CTCTTTCAATAGCTGAGAAACCTGAGATTTATGTTGTAATGGGTAAACGGCCACCATATGAGTGAAACGATCGACAATGGTTAAGAAAAATCGTTCATTTTGTGTACCTTTTGTGTTAAATGGGCCACACACATCAACATGTAGTAGTTCTAGAGGAGCTTTGACGACTGTTCGTGAAACCTTGGGAAATGTTGCAGTGTTTCGTCCAAACTGACAGCTTGCACAGAGTTCTTTCAAGATAGGTAAACCCAATTTGCGAGAAGTCTTTTCAGATGGATGTCCAAACCGTTGATGAGAATGAGAGTCCATAACTAGATTAGCCTGTGCACAGTACTGGGGAGAGAATATGCATTTGAATAGTCTATTTGGTTGATAAGTAGCAAACAGTTTATTGTTGACAAATAGTCCTGATTCATCAACGCGAATTCCTCCTGCTTTAAAGACTTTACAGAAAGCAATTAAGTTCTTTCCGGCCTCAGGAACATAATAGACATCTGTTAAAGTAATATCCTTACCATTGTGATATAGTAGGACAGTTCCTTTCCTTCAATTTGACATCCTGAAGATAAACCTTGCAGATAACCATGATATTTCAAAACTGCTGAAATGGTTTCTGTTGTTGGAAATATGACAAGTAGCTCCCGAGTCAAACCAATAAGCATCATCAATATGAGGAAGGGGTAAGTTTCTCGCTGTGTATACCTCACCCATGGTTCTAAATGCTTCAGCAACAAAGATTTCGCCATAAGTATCATCATCTTTTCCAGTTTCATCACTTAGAAGTGACTTCTTAGAGACTGGAGCAGGAGCACGACATTCAAAAGACTTGTGTCCTTCCTTTTGACATCTAGTACATATGATCTTTTTCTTCTTAGAAGATTTTGAATCTTGCATTTGCTTAGATTGATTGATTGTATACGCAAATGAAGGTCTTAACTCATTTTCAGCATATGCATTTTGTAAATCCATGAACGATAGTCTTTCTAGTTTGTTGACAAACAACTTATCTTCAAGAGAATCATCGTTCAGTGTTGAGAGGCACAATAGAACTTCAACAGTCTCTAAATCTGGTGCAATAAATTTCAGATCTTCTGCGAGCATCCTAAAGTTTCTAATATGTTCTAAAGGAGAAGGGGAATCTTTGTTCATTTTCTTGTACCTAAGTAATAAACCACGCAAACTTATATTCCCGTAAGTTTTGTCAATGGCTCTTATATGATCAAATCCGGACATCACATTTTGATCTAGGACGTCAATAACATTTTGAGACAAAGTTTTCAATAGGAGCACTTTCAAGGCAATATCACATTCTTGAATAACGGACTCATCAATAAGGACGTCATTTTGAACATTCAATTGGCCAGTCTTATAGTACTGGTAAATATGTTCACTTGCTAAAAGTAGATATTTTTCAAATCTTCTTTTCCACTCCAGATAGTTGTTGGATGACATAAGCTTCCATGTTTCTGAAAATGGATTAGCTAATTGGAAGTGGCTGACAGGGCTCATAACCTGTTGGAATGCTAACTTTAACTGATCTGAAGTTGTCATCTTTTGGATAATTTAATATACCTTTTACTACCTTATATCAGTAGTTGTATAAGCTTATATTTATAAGATTTATATGTAAATCTTACCAATTGAATGTTCACTTAAGATGAGGGAGAATCTAACTGTATTTATAGTAGATTCTAATACCACTCTAAATCTTTAGTGTGCTTTCTGAAACTTATCTCTAATCCTAACTGATTAGGATTTGTTTCACATAATATTTATGCAGGAGATGCATATCTCTGCATAGTCACGTGACATATTATAGACTAATATCTCAACAATTCCCGCATTAGCCATTTGGTTGCATGGACTTAGAGTCACCATTGAATGGCTCTGGTTGTATCTTGGGGATTACTGAAGTAAATATTACGCAAATTAGCTGCACAATTTGAAAGTCAAAACGCTACCTTACTAGCGTTGCAAATATATTCACCAGTTCTAAATAACAAGGTTTTGTTTGCAGTGGCGTTCGGTTATGCATTCCATTTTTAATTGAAGAGTTTGCGACCCAAGATATATAATAATATGATCACTCTCTCCTGACAACATACTGGGTAGGGAGGTACTTTCATCTAGATCCAATGCGGAACTTTTACATCAATATTCCGGAACTTGAAATAAGAGGTGCACACCTGACCCATTGGGTAACTTAGTAAAACATGAACACTCCATTAGCTGATTTCCAAATCTGTTGACATTAGATAGTCATAGAATATATCATGGCTGTGCCGCTGATCCAGATTTGAAGGTTTGTGGGTCTTAGCACATGCGTAATATGTGCATCAGCTCCAGATGATACAAATCTAGATCACATATGGTGAGAGTCACTAAGTAAAATATAAGCAGAAGCTGTCCAGCCATGATATATTCTATGACTATCTAATGTCAACAGATTTGGAAATCAGCTATTGGAGTGTTCATGTTCCACTAAGTTACCCAATGGGTCAGGTGTGCACCTCTTATTTCAAGTTCCGGAATATTGATTTAAATAGGACAGTCCTGCAAGTATGAAAGATAAGATAATTCCCTCTCATCCAATATTTTCATCTTTTATAGCAAAAGCCAAACCAGCCCCAAGCCACAGATCATTGCACACAAGCAATATAACCATTCTCTATCCATTAAAGCGGATTTTATTACTACTTTAAACATTGAAAATCTCTTTCCTTTTCTTTATTATTGCCGCTCTCTAGCCCTATTGTAATTGTATCAACAGGAAGGACACTCTATGGTAGCAAAAATATATTTGTGTATGATATCTTCAATGTAGAACTTATTCCAACATATTCTACAAAAGATATCATCAATCTTTCACTTTTTGCCCCTATCCTCCGACTCAGAATAATTGCTAAACTCTATTTTCACAACAATTAGTACCATAGTTAACTACTTCTTTGATACAGAGCCGTAATCGAAGAAAATCATACTATAAAGTAGCTGATAAGTTTCCAAATCGTTCATTTTCTGCGAATTGAGTTTGGACATTTGTCTGGCAGTTGACGTTGAGAAGATTTTTACTATTGAGTGCTGCATCAACTCTAACTCTATAAGCTTTTGGTCTCAGATAGACTTCAATAGTGGAAAGTGATCCTAGAGAATAGTCTGATCTGGTAGAACTTCTCTTCACGTCACATTGAAATAAAGAAAATGAACAAGTTCCTTGTTTCAGTCCAACGCCTTGCTACTCTTAGCAAAATACAGCTTACAAGAAAATATTGTTATTTAGATTACTTGGCAGAAAAGTAATTGTGATCATATGGCATTAATCGTGTTGATTTGTGGTCATATAGGTCGTGAAGTTAATATACTTTACTTAAGTTATGGAGACCAAAACTAATCCCGATGTGATTCTGTTATTTAAGAGATCAAGCCCGATTCGAAACGGGGGATAATATTTTAGCTAGCTGGTATTTACCACTCCTCAGCATTTCCAGTTTTTTGGGAGCTCATTTGGTTGGTAGAGATATCTTGCGTATACCGATATGTGGTGTTGAAATTACTTAGTTTTCTTCCATTATGCAAGTTTTATTGAAAACGAAGTTGAAACATACAAGCAGAACTCCAGCAATGTTTTGAACATAGTTAAGCAAAAAAAGATGCCATTCTAATGATCTTTATCGTATGAGTAATCTTGTAGCCCTGCCTGTAAAATAAATCAAGCCTTCGGATAAGGAATCTGAGTTGATCTGCAAGTAGCGATTTTGTTTGACTTTTCCTTCCCTCTTAAGTTGGATATGAATTTAGTTCTTTAACAGGACCAAAATTCCACGTCTGAGCTACATCTGAGAATCATGGTCCATAAGCTGCAAACTCCGTTTATCAGGGTTGGATGTCGAAATCAAAGTCAAGGAGAATGACGGACGCGTTTGAGCATATTGCGAGACCTTGAGAGACTTTTTGACAATAAAAGGTAAATGTTGGAGCTGATTCATGTGGGAGATCAACTTTGCGTGTGCTCCGCTCCCTCATACACGATATGATAGGTGAGCTCGAAAGTACGCCTATAGAATTCTGATTTTATGATAGGGAATATTGACTTCTGCAACCCTCTAAGTAGTTTAGACCTAATTAAGAGGTTATATGGCAATCCATGCGAGAGCACATAGCTACAGGCACAGACACATTAGTATCAAGTGTAAGACCCTGGGCTGCAAAGATTTCAACGCGAGATAAAGCACTTAACAGCATAGCCAGTGGCGCAAAAGGAAAAGAGATGTCCTTCAAAATGACAGTTCTATGATTGATTGATTCATCATATCATCATTGAAAGCCTCTACTTGAAAGGCTGTTTAAACATACCCAGAAGAGGATTTGCCTCCAATAGAGTCTTGAACGCACTTAAGGCAACGCGTGTCGAATTTGGCAATCCCTGCAAGACCATTACCAACTAATTGAGTTCTGGGAGGAACATGCCAGATCTAGACCTTTTGCGGGTAAACAACAAAAACCAGGAGATCCTGAGTTTCAAATACCCAATAAATATATGACACTACATGAGTATATTTTGGACCAAGTTTTCATGGAGTGGACTTACTTAGAGTTGTCATAGAAATACGGGATGTAGAGTTGGACTTTTCATTGTTTTCTGATTTTGAGTTTTGCAATGTACTTTTTTTGTCTGGCTTTTTATATCCTGAGGTCAGTTAGATGTTGAGTTTTCGAAACTAATTCTATCCGACGTAACTGACTTCTATTGGTCTAGAAAGGCGCTTCGACATACTATATTTCAAACGGCATACTCTCAAGAAATAGGATGCATTGCCGATTACTAAACTTATAAGACCTCACTTAATCACGGTTCCAATCTTCGTATAGTTTAAAGTTTGATCGTTGAAAGAGCGTGTCATATCTATTCCTCCGTCATGATGTTACTTTACTCCCCTTTAGTAAAGGGTATTGTTTAAGCTGTATTTTATATTGCAGCCTCCAAGAAGAGTTAAGCAAATCTCTCTTTAGCTCAGTTGGAAGAGCATGAGACTGTAATGGTATAAGGAATCTCAGGGTCCCCGGTTCGATCCCGGGAGGGGAGACATTTTTGAATAATTTTTTTTTGCACTTTTGCGTAGGGCCTGACAGCGTGATAAATAAATAGCGGATAGAAATTTTTCAAATTGAAAGTTGATACTACTCACTCGCCTTTAAATTCTCCATTTTTTGTAGTTACCATTGAATCTTAGCCATGGCGGACTCAGAAGAAGAGCTGTAAGTATGTTGTGAACTAAAATTCAGTTTCGAACACTAACAGACAGAACTCTTTCTGCTCATGCTTTGGCAGCATTAGCGGAATTTGAAAGCGAAGAAAGTGAGCGTCTGGAGCGCTTCAAAGCTCTTAGTGAAGAAGCAGACGCAGATTTCACCAGAAGATCACATTTGTCAATTGATGATTTCAAGGAAGACTGGCAGCTGTCACAATTCTGGTACAGCGATGCCACAGCTAATATACTTGCTGACGAACTGCTTGATGGAGCTGACAACGAAACGATAATATGTATTGCTAGCGCTCCTTCTGTATATGCAGCTATCAGGGCTCGCGAACCCAGTGAGCTCCCAACAAAAAACATCTATTTGCTGGAGTTTGATCGACGGTTCGAAATCCTTTCAGGAACTAAATACTTCGGATTCTTTGATTACAATCAACCTCTGAATGTTCCTGAACACTTAAAAGGTAGATGTCACCGTCTTTTAATTGATCCACCATTCTTAGAAACTGACTGTCAGAGGAAATCTGCACATGCAGCGAAAACATTATTACACCCGGATAAAACCCAAAAAACGAAGGAGAATAAACTGAGATATAAACTTATCACTTGTACAGGTGAGCGAATGGCTGATGTGGTTACGTCCCACTACCCAGATGTACACGTGACCACTTTCTACCCAGAACACAAAAACGGATTGAGTAATGAGTTTAGATGCTATGCTTCATTTGAGGGTAAGTCATGGAAATTTGCCTAGAAAGCAAGATCTATCCCAAGATAAAGCTTTTGCGTTAGCCACTTGATTGAAGAGCTAGCTCCCTGTGCAAAATTTCCCATACCCTTTGATGAAGAATTTTGCGCCACACATCAAAGAATGCTTTGCCACTAAATTGGACAAAAAAAAACACATGCAAATTCTATCGGTGCATATAGATTGATTGATCGAAAGGAAAACTTGTCAAAGAAGGGGCTTAAAACTGAGAGACCTGCTCTTCAATAGTTCAAACTTATTACTTGATGGATCCGGTGTTTGAGTAGTCGACATAATTTACGATGCACCTAATCTTGCTTCGTCATGCCTCTAGAGCTGACCATCGTGATTCTGATTGGTCTTCACCGGGATTTGATTCCATTGTCCATAATCCCGACCATTGGCTTGCAACATACGATCCCCCCTTAGACCCTTCCCTAGCTCTCAAGGAGGTTGAATCAGCTTACAAGAAGGTTTTAGCTCATATTCCATCCGCATCTAGAATATTTGTGCACTGTTCTCCATATAATCGCTGTGTGCAAACCGCCAGGCTTTTGGCAACGCACTTTTTACATACAGAATCAGGTGTTCACTCACAAACAAATCCAGAAAATCAGAGAAAGCTAAAGCTTAGGATAGATCAAGGCCTATCAGAATGGCTCAATGAAAATTTCCGATTGGACTATCTTCCGCCCAATGATGGAGGAGCATCCATGATAAGCAATGCAAACTTCTACCTGGAAAACATGTGCACTGGTCTATCGGTGGCAGATGGCGAAAAGAGCGAACTAAAAATATTCAAAGATCCCGACTGGCTTCACAACAAATTTGGAAAATGCGGAGACTATGGAGAAAAGCCATCAGAATTTGAGTTGCGATGTGCTAGCTATCTTAGTAATCTTGTGCAATACTATGAAACTCACACACCAGAAGAACACAAAGAAAAATCAGTCATATTGATTATTACTCATGGGGCACTAGTCTCAATGTTTCTGCAACTGATAGTGGGGCGTCGAAATTTTAGTGAAATCCCAGTTTGTACACCAATATATCTCAAAAAGGGACGGCCAGAATGTTATTTCTTTAAAGATTATGACTTCAACCTGAAATCGTTTGTCCCTATCACAAAAGATCAAGAATTTTATCATCTCCTAGATACGGAATTTAGACTGACAGATTTGAATAGCAAAACCACAAAGGAACATCATTCCGTAACATTTATAACAGACATTTCGAAATCGGTGTCGCCCAACAGTCAAACTACGTATCGACCAAGAAGCAAAACTATCAATGTGGTCGGTCGTGGAACTGATTCAAATGATAAAATTACCGCTCCGTTGCGCAAGGTTAGGTCATCAAAACACCTTGATTTGATGGACAATACCACAAAAGAAGGGAAAATACTAGATTTGAACAAACTTCAGGGATTTTTGGGGGTAACTTCCGATTCAGATGACGAATCAGACGCCCTATTAGGCAGCCAATGCTCTTCTGGTTCTGAAATCGACGATTCAAGTTTTGTTTTGCGTTCAGGAGAACATGTAACGCAGAAAAATTCAGATACCCTACTTAACACTGCTGGAGACAAAAATTCCGTCTCAAAAATTAAAAATTCAGGTTTTACAATTTCGCTTGGAGCTAATTTTGAAGCTCTAGATCAAAACCACGAACGACAGGCTGACGCCTTTTGCGAAGAGAGCCGATGTTCAAGTAACTCCACTGCCCCCCTTGAAAGCAAACGAAAAGAGACAACTTTGGAAGAGATGAGCGAAATAGAAGATTGTAAATTTGAAATTCTGCCCTTCGTACATCCCAATAACAAAGGGCACAAAGAGGCTAATCAAGCGTCTCATAACCATGATACATATCGATTTTCTGAGAAATCTAAAGGGTCCTTAAAGAGAATTCTCTTTGGTTCTCCTGAAAAACAGATGCAGTTTAGCGATGACAACTTAACGTGGTTTGGAAGCAATATGAAGAAACAAGTTGCATAAGTTTCGATATTCAAACTTAACTTACTTCTGTCTTCATAGGAAATAAAATTAATATAGGCCAATAGTGCATACATTACGAGATGAATACCAGAATGAAAACCCATGACAGAACAATGACCAGAAAAACTCGAATATCGGTATAGAAGCACTGTGTCGCATATGAGGATGCAGTAGCACCATCCATCTCATCTGGGTAAAAGTCATCAGTTGGATCACTCATCTTTAACATGTACAATCCACCTAATTCGTCAACGAAGTTATAAAGCAACGATCTGTTCTTTGCTCGAAAATCATCGCCATAAGAATCCCACCAAAATCCGCCAGCAAGACCTAGTTCTTTAACGTAATTTGCTTTCTGACGTGCAGCTTGTGGATTATCGTAGAAGACAATGCCGAGTCCTTTAGTGTTGTAGGCATAAGAGGATCCGGCAGTAAAATTGTGAACTTCTATGTAATCCTGGGGTGGCAAGTTATGATAGTTTACAATACACTGGTTTTGTTCTTGTTGAATATCCGCGATGTTTGCGCATCCTTTGAACGGTAAGCCAACACCCATCCCCTTGAAGCTTCTTCCATAGCTTGGCATACCTAGAATCAGTTGCTTTTTGTCGATCTTATCCAAAAGATATTGAACTGTGTTATTAACGCTGGAGGCGGAATATGTTTCTGGAGAATAAAGGTTGGAATGGTAATCGGCTCGGTCGGACCAAGGACCGGTCGAATCGTATCCCATCAAGTTGAAGTAAGTCACGTAATTACGCAAGGTTTCGAACTCATAGTTCTTCAAGGAGGAGACGTCCAAAGGAAGAGCTAGCGATAAGAGATATGTGTTTGAAAGCATGCCATTTTCCTTCTCCGCCACAGACAGCGTCTCTTTCAGAGCTTTGATCAGTTTATTCAGATTTGAAGAAGATCTTAAATCAGGGAATTCCCAGTCAATATCTATACCGTCAAATCCATGTTTTCTCATTGTATCTACGAGATTTTGACAAAATCTCTCAGTTTTCCTTTGACTGGATGTGGCTCCTTCAAAAACATGATTGGTATTCTCCCCACCAATAGCAAGGGAAACTTTGAGTCCCTTTTTGAGCTGCTTCATTTGTAGAAGCTGACCAATTAATCCGGTGGAATTGACCATCGGTTCAGCTTCAGATGAGGTTTTAGCATGATCTTTAGAACACAGCATATCATATCGTACACCAAAGGAACTGTTAGAGTCTTCATGAACTAATGGGATGATCTCTTCCAAAGCTACTTTTTCATCGCCCCAATATGTACCTTCTGATTTGGAATCAATTTTCGCAAATGCGTAATAGATGTTAGTGATATGAGACAAAGGTATATCAACTGGATAGTGTTTGTTATAAAATGACCATTCTGTATAGTACAAAGCAGTGACGAAAGTATCATTATTACTTTTGGGAACTTCCGGGTTGGAAGCCAGACCACCATGGGAAGCACAAAGAGATATCAAGGCAGGAAGAAGTCTTGATAGCATTTCCGTTTAAGGCCAAAGGTTAGAATACAGTGAAGGGTTTATAAAAAAGCGGAAGATACAAATGCCATTGTATGGCTGATTATATCCGAACAGAACACATTAGTATACTGTTCTGCAAAATAAATCTCCCTTGCTTCCGAGTGCATTGAAATCTCGCTCAAAAAAAGGAGTTGCAGGTCCATATCCGACGAGGTTCTGATCCACTTATTCCAAGTCAGAATATCGAAAGTAGGGGGCGTATATTAAAGTAGCATAAACATCTCGCAGCTGACTTTTTTTAGAACATTTGAGCATCTTTGCCTCGCTTTTCAGTATTCACTGTTCAAACTTGCTATACCGACTCATAACCTACTAGCAATATTATGTGCAAAACTTAATACCAACTTTCCCACCTCACTACACTAGTTTCTGATGTTCGAATTTCTCAATGAATACAGACACAAGTTTGATTATTTTCTCTTTGAATATCATGGTAGAGTTGGTTACTTCATAGCGTTATTCCTTTAATTCAAATCGTAAAATCGTTTGTTTCTGCTTTCAAAATTATCATTGCTAAGGGCCTCTAGTGTAATGTCTTTTTTCCTGGATGATATAACGTTTTTTACCGGATCTGAAGTGTGGAATCTAGTAGTATGATCACTGCCCCCTTCGCTCTCATTCTTTATTAGATGTTGTATTCCGTCAACAATCAATGAAATCCCGGTGGGCTCCGCCCCCCTCGGAAGAACGACATCAGCGAGATCTTTTGTGCGAGAAATGAATTTGCTCATTTCTATTCGAGACTCGCTCAAGTAGCGTGTTAATAGATTCCTGAGCAACATGCTCTTTTCAGCCTTTGAGATAGAACTAGACAATTTAGAAGATAAAAGATCTCTTTTGATCCATCTGCCCAACCTAATATCAGCATCACAGTCAATAAAAATTTTGACTGATCCCATATTCAAAAGCTCCCTGTCATAAAGTGCATAAAGCCCGTAAATGAGTATAACGTCAAAACCATCACTAATATGATTTTCGACCTTTGACTTAACCAGATTGAAATTAAAACGAGACGGACCTATCTCAAAGGTCTCCTCTTGGAACTCTTTCATATCAACTTCTGCGATTTTGATCTGCTGAATTCTATTTTCTAGCTCTTCTCTCAAAAGCTTGCTTGTAAGACACTAAGAAAGTTAGATTGAGAAACCGAACACGGTCGAGAATCACATACTTTACCGGCTGCATGCCCTCCTGCGATGAGAATGATAAGAGGGCGATGATTCGACTCGTAACGCATTCCTTGGTGCTACTTAAAAACCACGAGAAAAACTTTTTTGATTTTCAATATCAAATTATAAAGAAAATTGTAGTCACAACATTATCGATCACGCACGTCAGGGATTCCGCTGACCGTAATACCTAACCAGACCTACTGAGAACAATATGGATTTTGATAAAGAGCTTGATAAATCCTTGAAAGTTCAAACTTCGGGGAACATTCCGGTAATAGGGAGCTTTGAGGAGATGAGTTTGAAGGAATCTCTTCTAAAAGGAATTTATGCATATGGCTTCGAGGCGCCGTCTGCAATCCAGTCTAGAGCAATCACCCAAGTTATTGAAGGAAGAGACGTTATTGCTCAAGCACAATCAGGAACAGGGAAGACTGCCACTTTCACAATCGGGATGCTTCAGGTCGTAGATACTAGTAAATTCGAGACCCAAGCATTGGTTTTATCAACTACGCGGGAACTGGCAGCTCAAATTAGAAGTGTCATCAGCGCTTTGGGTGATTATATGAAAATTCGATGCCACGCGTGCGTCGGCGGGAAGAGTATAGGAGAAGATATGAGGGCACTCTCAAGAGGACAGCATATAGTAAGTGGCACCCCCGGGCGTGTTTTAGACATGATCAAGCGCCGCACGCTTAGCATAAGAAATGTAAAAATGCTTGTTTTGGATGAAGCCGACGAACTGCTTGGCAAGGGATTTCAAGATCAAATCAGTGAAATCTATCAATATTTACCTCCATCGACGCAAGTGGTGGTCGTATCAGCAACGTTACCAAAAGCTGTACTCTCACTCACCAATAAATTCATGTCGGATCCAGTCAAAATATTAGTCAAGAGAGACGAACTAACTTTGGAAGGAATCAATCAATATTATATTCAGGTCGAGAAAGAAGAATGGAAATTTGATACGTTGTGTGATTTATATGACTCATTAACGATTACTCAAGCTGTCATATTTTGCAATACCAAGAAGAAGGTTGACTGGTTGAGCGAATCACTTCGAAAAGCAAACTTTACTGTTTCATCAATGCATGGCGATATGCAACAAGTCGAGAGGGATCGCGTGATGGATGAATTTCGACTTGGTAATTCTAGAGTTCTCATATCGACAGACATTTGGGCGAGAGGAATTGATGTGCAACAGGTCTCGTTGGTCATCAATTACGACCTGCCTTATGATAAAGAAAACTATGTCCATCGTATCGGGCGCTCTGGTCGCTTTGGAAGAAAGGGCGTAGCGATAAACTTTGTCACGAGGAACGAATTAGGCGATTTGGCTGAAATTGAAGACTTTTTCAGCATCAAGATCGATGAAATGCCATCGGATTTGAGTGATGTGTTATGAGTTCAAGCCCATTTTGGAGCACTCCGAAAGCATTTGAGATCTCTGCACAAATATTTCAACCAGTTGAGTTACATATCCTAGGTCGTCACTAGGTATCAAATCCTCTCCATTCTCTAAATGTACTTCAGATTCGCTACCTTCTAATAAGAAGCTAGTGATTACATCTGGTTGGTAATCTGGCTGTGCATTTCCATGGTCATGAAAAAACCAATTGGTCCTGTGTATATTACTCACTTGCCATCTACTTGAAAGACTCTGGCAGGTGTTGGCTGAAGGATCCACGACAATAGGGACTTCTGACGGATCATCAAGGTTCAGTGTTGCACTTTCTGTAACGAATTTATAAGGTAGGGGTTTCGGATTGCGTTGTGAGAAAGCCAAATGGGTTTTCGTTAACTCTTCTACCTCATACAAAGTGCTAGATCTGGGCAGCTTGACTTCAGAAACTAGTGAGTTATCTCTCATCAAAAAGTGGTATTTAGATTTTAATTGTGACATGATTTAGGTAATGGTTAATCTCAGATTCTTTGTATCTTAAATTAATATATGTATTAGTTTTCTTTAAAATCCTTGCACATCGTCTCTTCACTAGATGAAACGAAAAAGCCCGTCGAGGAAATGGGAAAGCTGGTGCTTAAAATTCGGATCTATGAAATAGTAGCAGGCCCAAGGGAAACTCAAAGCTGCTGGTAAATGCTGGTAAAAAAAGACTCAGTTAAGAGGAAGAGATAGGATGACCAATGACCTGAAGCAATCATTCAAAGATGGCCTAGCAGTTTAAAGAGCTCAAGACATGATAGGTTAATCTTTAAGTGCACAAGCAACCCTGCAACCAGTATGCAATGCTCTAGTAGACACATAAACAACTGACGGCTGAAACGTAATCGGCTGCTGGATTTTATGACATCTGGCTTCCTGTCCCATGCTTTCATCTACTGATTAACTACAGACCAGACAGACCAGACAGACATAAAGTGAAAGCACACAACTAACTCATCGAAGATACCGGATACACCTAGTAATCGAAAATATACCTAGTTCAAAAGTTGAATCAATTGGAACCTTTGCCTCTCTTGGAGGAGGTTGAATTCTTTGGGAGTTCGTTGACAAATGGAATGAATTCGGGCTCTCCCGGAATATACTTCCTGAGAACTTCTGGAACGACAAGCCCATCATCGGTCTGATAGTTTTCCAAGACACAGCAGAGAGCTCTTTCAGTGGCACATAAGGTGCAATTCAAGCAATGAACATATTTTTTCTCCTTTTGATTCATGGCCTTGATACCACATCTTATTTCTAAATTCCTTGACTGGTAGTCAGTGCAGTTAGAGCACGAAACTAGTTCCTTAAACTCTTGTTGGAATGGGAACCAGGCTTCGAGGTCATACTTCTTTGCAGCAGCGTTATTGAGCTCGCCTGAAACGATACTGACAACTCTGTAAGGTAGACCCAAAGATTGGTAAAACTCTTCAGAGTTCTGAATCATTCTGTCAAACTCATCCCATGACTTTTCAGGCTCACTGATGCAAAACTGTTCAACCTTTTCGAAAGCGTGAACTCTGAAAATACCCCAAGCATCTTTTCCGTGAGAACCTGCTTCCCTTCTGAAACAAGAAGAATAGCCTGCATATCTAATAGGAAGCTGTTCAGCAGGACTTTCAAACCATTCGTTGGAATGATAAGCCGAGATAGGCTGTTCAGAAGTTGCAATCAAATACTTCTCATCATCTCCGTCAAGAACTTTGTAAAGCTCTTCATCAAACTCAGAAAGTTGTGCAGTCTTGGCCATGACATCTTTGTTCATCATCACAGGCGCTTGCATGGGAGTATAATTTTTAGAGGTCAAGAAACTCAAACCATAATTAATCAAGGCTTGGTTCAAAAAAACTCCGTAATTTCTCAAAAAGTACCCTCTGTGACCCACAATCTTGACACCTCTTTCAGGGTCGTACCCATCTAGTCTAAGCAACACTTCATGGTGGGAAAGCTTAGCTTGCTTTCCTGTCGCTGTCGCAACATTACTTAGTTTTTCAAAGTTCACGCCGGACGGAGCCCAGGTCCTGACTAGCTTATTGTCTGCTTCATCCAACGAATCAATAACAGAATCGTGGACAATATTTCCGACCTGGAAAACCTTCCAACGTAATTTCTTATCTGCCTCCTGCTCTTTAGCTGTAATTTCGGCCTTTTCCTTAACTAAATCATCTTTCTTCTGCAGGAGTTCAGATGCATCTAGCTTAGCCTTGAACTTCTGACCGATTTCTTTTTGTAGTTTATTTTGTGCTTTATTTAGTTCATCCAATGTAAACCTTAGCTTAGTCCAATCATTGTACTCTTTGATGATCTCATCCACAATCTCAACAGACGCACCTCTTTTCCTTTGTGATTCACGAATGGCCTGTGGATTACCTCCCTTCTCCTCAATGAACTGAATTATATCCAACATATTTTAAATTAAGATAACCAAATGTGAAAAAGCACTTTTTACCTGGATTGGTAGATATTGAAAAGCTTTTGGTGTCAATAACTTAGCAGTATCGAACTAATTGAGAAAAAAAAACTCAAAAAAAACCTTTGAAGCTGAAAGGAAATGATTAAGTAAGAGCAAGAAATTTTCACGTGACGAAAATAATTCATTTTGCCAATCCTTATCAGTGACTAGATGCTTAATCCCACAATCTATTTGTCAGCTTATACGGTTCGCTGGGAGATGTTTGCCCAAAATCTCGCTAAAAAATAACAACCCCAATAATGCAAACAAATGTAACACTCGCATTGCTACCATATCAGCAGGGTCCTTCAAAAAAATCTTTGGTAAGAGGTTTCTCTTTCATGTGTTGTATGCTGCATGCAGGTACAGATGGAAACATCAATTGATGGGTGTATAATTCAATTAGAAGTCTTACTGATGCTGAGCTGTCCATGATCTTATTAGTATGTCTTCCCAAATGAAGTCTACACATAGTGGAAAGTATTCTAATTGATACGCTAATAATTCATAGCCTGAATTCATAGCACTCTCAAACAAATGGTCGCGACTGACTACTGACCGTCAAATAGATGGGATACAATGTATAATCTATTTAGGTTTTTCGACCTATTAACATTGAAGCTACAAGACCATAGAAGTCTTTACAGCATCTCATTGAATGAGAATATGGGAATGCAAGTACGCTTTGAGTACGAGTGGGAAATCAATATATTATGTCCTCTCTATTCAACTTAATCACAAGACATGCACACGATTGATAGAATCCCACTTGTTATCAAAGATGGTGATTGATGAGCTTAGTACCATGGTTGATATGATGAGCAAGGTTTATTTATTTGAAACCCATATGGACAAGCCATATTTGTAATCTGATGAATGCAGCTTTCTGGATGTAATCAAGATTTAAATTATCGAAATAAGAGCTGGCGTATACAGCAGGTACGCATATTGAACGTCGATGCGACTCACGAATGATCATTGGTACAACACTTTATGAGCACGCTATAACACTAGTTCTAGCAACAACAATAGCAGATTATTGTACTTCCGCTATAGCTTATTATCCCATCGACTTTATTCAACGTTATGATTTGTGACATGACTCCCAACCTTGTGTCTAATATGCGGCAGTTGTGTTCCGTCAGATCTTATTATACGGAGCAGATACCGAATAACCACGAAAAAACAGGCTAGATATTCTCATAGTAGTTTTCAATCTGCTTTTCGCGGAAATGTTCCAGAAAAGGTTCGGTATCCATGCGTCTACGTTCATGTGTCTCAAAGAAGCACAGAAAGTCCTCCACTTGGACTTCGTCACAATTATTGGCTCTAACGGACTCTTGTTCTTCATTAACATTGATTTTGTTCTTTAATATAGAACGATCACGCGTGCTCTGTGTACTCACGTTAACCTTGGATCCTGAGGTTGGCGAATTGATACCTAATCCTGAAAACCTTCTACTGATTGACCTATTAATCCTCTTCAAGGGGCTACCGTCTTTGCACTTCTGGGGCGAGAACACTTTTCTTATAGATTTGCAATCGCTATCATGATTATAGATGAGAACCTTTGCTTTTGAATGAAATTTTAAGGTAGTCGAATCATTAGGCCTTCCATGGTCCACCCCTAAATGGGGTACCAACTTAGACAGGCTCTTGGTGTCTATCTTTTCCACGTTGTCGAGCCCTTTTATTTCCAGATGATCAGGTAAGAAGTGTTCGTTGACGTGTTGCAATTGATGAGCTTCATCAAAGTTTATAGTGGGAGAAACCAGGCTGGTTGATTTCTCAACTATGTTCGTGTCGTCGGAATCCACCTGACTCAAAGGATTCGAAATAAGAGTAAGGTTTTCATCTTGGCAAATCATTTGCACTTTGACCACATTTGTTTGATTGGTATCCGCTAATGGTTAATATGCCTAACATGGACTAGTGGACTTACCGTAAGAATTAGATAGACTCGAATCACGTGGAGATAATCCAGGTTCACAGCAATGAGGAAACTCCTTCGTTGATTCTTCAATGAAGGAGCTGAGTGGGCCATCAATGGAATCTTCTTTCAAAAGATTTTCCTCTGAGACTTCGTTGACACTAATTTGGGACGAGAGCTCGAAATCGGGGAACGAATGAGAGTTTGCATCTGAAGCAACATAGAATCTGCTTTTTTCGTGATCAACTTCCAATCTCAAACTGTTGAACAATTTCGCTAATTCCGAGTTGAGGTAGATTTCAGGAGCGCAATTGGCCGATGTATCAGTCTCTGCCATGTAGTTCTTTTGTTCACAAAATGACGTCCACATTGATTGGGTATTTAAACAACCAGACACCAGATCATTGTCACCTTTATCAGCCTTTATCTGTTTCAGACCTAACATATTTGCGACTTGACGGTTCTCACTCATTTTATTTACTAATTTATCCGGGATAGTCTTGGTGCCTTGTGTTTTATCCATCATATCACAGGTCTCCCTGTTACTGTTATCAATACCGGGCTTCAAAGCTTTAACAACGCCATCTTGATGTCTATAATGAATGAGTCTAACCGTCGATTTTTGCAGCAAATTAGAGTCTATCGATTCTCTTAAGGAGTTCAAAGTATTCTGAATTTCAGTATTCTTAAAAGCATTGTAGCATGAAAACATTGCATCTTTTTGAAGATCGAATTCACTCGTCACAACACTGTTCTCCTTTTCAGGTAATAAAATCACCTTATTCCTAGGTTTGAAAAGTGAGTGAATACTTAATAGCGGTCGTATCCATCTAGAACGTGAGTGAATTCTTGGCGCCTGATTACACGTCTGCCCGTTAGTTGAGTCCTTAAATTTCTTCTTATCTTCATTTTTCTCGTGTAAGGTGGATCCGATGAACTTGGAAAAGGAGAAAGCCCGCTTGGTTTTTTGTGTTTGAATACCCTCATCGTTCGTCTTGATCCTTTTCGTTGATTCTTTTTGCGTGCTACCATGAGGGAAGTGAAGTTCCTCCTCAGTTGGAGTATGGAGCAAAACGCTGGATTTGGTATCCATTGCAAGTGATAGCAACGAGTTGATTGTCTGCTATTGAGATTGGAATTTATAAGAGATCAAGCAACATAATAATAGCAGTATTTTCGATTTTCAATTGTCGTTTAAGCGCCCATCACTATAGATCGAACAAATTACATAAAATATAACTAATTATCCACGTGACATTCTCCGATTTTCATTTATGGATAAGGCTGCTAAGAAGCGCCGTGCTATCACCGTATCAATTGGCCAGCTAAGTAAATGCCAAAGGAGCAAATCAGCTTACTGATCATTGCTTATGTGATATTGTGTAAGAGTTAGTTATGTCCCAATTAACCAGTAACCAAAGGTACTGTGCTACAATTCCACTGTAAGTCAGATGAGTCTAGTGGTAATGTATCTTGTGCTATTGTTTATGGTGTTTATTGTCCACCGGATTATACGTTGAATAGCTCATCTGTATCGGCGAGAAGCACTAAATTTCTTGGAATAGCTTGCTTTCTCGCGATATAAAATCATTTTAGTATCCAAGCTACAACACTCAGTTAAATACCGTATTACCTACCTAGTAGCCTACCAAATACCAAGTATATTCCAGAATTCTAAAAAGTCTTACAATTGAAGTCTATTCGTCTATCGAAGAAAAATAAATCATCAATTGTGTAGTTTTGTAATCATTGTAGGTACTAAAGATAGAAATATACTGTCTTCTTAACTCGTTCATGGTCTTGGACGTTACTTGGCTCGTTCAGAACTCTAGTCGAGCGATGAAGCACCAGTGATAATGTCGACCAATTCGTTAGTAATCACAGCCTGTCTTGTTCTGTTGTACAGGATAGAATACTTGTTGATCATTTCGCCAGCGTTTTTAGAGGCATTGTCCATCGCATTTCTTCTGGCCGAGATCTCAGACGCATATCCTTCTGCCATTGCATTGAGAATCGCGTTAGTCAATGATATTTGAGAAAGAGAGGTTGGAATTGCCTGATCTTCCTCTAATTCGAACTCTGACAGTTTTGGGGACTCTTCAATTGAGATAGGGGAGAATGATGGGAACACAGAAGGCTCAAAAGCAACACCAGAAACAAATTTGTTGTACATGACCTCGATTTTATCATAGTCACCCAGCTTACGAATCTCATCAGCAATCAAAGAAGCCTCCCAGAAAGTAGGCGCCTCTTTTCCAACACCATTGAAAGATAAGACAACATTGCTTGAATGTGTTCTGAGCATTTGAGCTTTAATTTTATCACCAATTGTGACGACATCGGCATTCGGAGTCTCTTGCAACTTGGCTCTAGTGGCCTTTGCAATTTGTGAATGGATGGATCCACATAAGCCTTTGTCTGAAGAGACTGCGATAATAAGAGTCTTCTCTGCTGTCTCAGGAGTAGAAGTTTCTGCTGTTGCAAAAAAATCAGAGTCACCCTCACGGAATGCTCTTGAAGATGCCATTGCTCGTTGTGCTCTTCCCATTCTCGTAGAAGCCACAACCTTCATTGTGTTGGTAATCTTTTCGATGTTTTTAATGGATTTCAATCTGGTTTCAATTTCTCTCAGAGTGGCATAGTTTCTACATCGCGTTAGTGAATCCAATTATATGTCATCATGGTCATAGGGAGTTTTCAATGGAGTCCAGGTATCCTAACAAATGATGATCGGAACCTGTGTAAAAAACAAAACTCATACGACCATTCAAACGGCTTCTTTTTTCAATACTCACCTGCTAAAACCTGCAGTACGAGCAACATTCAAACCGAAACTGTACATGACGGGCTGTTTGTTATTGATAGTGGTCAATTAGGCAAATAAAAGAACTAAGTCTACTTTTTAATTTGAACAACAAAATTGACAACTGTGAAAATTCGGTACGGGGCACAAAACATTTTTGTCGGGAAACAGCATATTTTTCGGCGGAGGGAATTACCGGGAGAAGGTTTTCTCGAGATTCGATTGAATTCAAGCAGCGCATTTTTTGATTGGTCGTTAATTTATGAGGCAGGGTAACTATATCATATATAATTTCAGACTTTAGTTCCAGCTCCTGGAGGCCGTCTCCATCTGATCAGATCGCCCGTAGATATGAAAGCCCAGACGTACTCTTGCTGAAATTGCAAACCGCTTAGACGTCCTAATTGCACATTCTTTTCCCCAATTGGGAATAGAATAGGGCAATTTCTCCACCTACTGACTTCGTGAATGACAGTACTTTCTGATGGAACATGCAAAATCGTCTTGAGGTCTTTGAATAGCACATGGCTTGCTTTTGAAGTAGAAGGTTGCTGCTCTCCTTTTCTCGAGCCTTCAGCTTGATCTTGATTTATTATCTCATATAAGGACAGTTGCTGCAACTGAGTTGAAGAAGTTAGCGACGAGACTGATTCGGTCTGAGTGTGAGACCGAGAATTCTGTAGCCAGCTTTTCTTGATGCTTTCCGAAGTCAACAAATGCTTCATACTAGTATTGCTTCCAGAGTTTAGCGTTAAATTTGACTTTTGCTTTTGATTTATGGAAAGCTTGATCTTGTCATTTTTCAATCTTCTAGCCTTCGGCAAGTTTCGAGGCTGGAACTCGTAGAATCTAATTGTTTCATCATCTCCCACAGTTCCAATACGATAAAGAACTCCAGGCGTTGTTTTGAAATAGTCGACGCACAAACCACGAATCCAAGATTTTGCGCCTTCAAGTCGTGCTACCAATTTCAATAAGCCGTGAGCATTAGCCCCACCTAATATTGAAAACTCATAAATAGAAGCAAAATCATCCTCACCTCCCCAAATCATATATCTTCCATCCCTCGTGATGTCTATGTCAAGAATGCCTCCATAGTATGATGGTACGATGTCTGTTATGCTTTCGGAAAAGAAATCAAAAAGACGGACAAATCCATCATCACTTGCGATTGTCCAAATATTTGGAAAAGTAGGATGATACTTGAGTTTTGTAATCGCTTTGTAGGAAAATTTGTAGTGAGATACCGGATTTGATCCTGTCTGCGGTGAGTTGAGAGCTTTCATTACAGTCATGTGCCTGGTTTTTTGTGAAGCACTTTTAGTCTCCTCATAGATTTCTGCGTCTTCAAATTCTCTATGGAATACCATGACCTCTCCGTCCGCAAAACCGACGACAGCAAAATTACCACACTGTGACCATTGCAAGGACAAAACAGGTTTGTTTTTTAATTTGGCATTCTTATTCCATCTGGAATATTTAAGCTTCGGAAAGCTTAGCCAAAAGATGTCACCTGAGGCAAAGGCAGCAAGAATGTCCAGATTGCTCTCTCCCGAAGTCGTTGTATAGTGAAAACAGGAAAAAGCGGTTATGATGCTTGAGGAAAATACAACTTTAAGCAGTGGAATCTCAACGTCAATTTCCTTGGGATCATCTTCCAATGAAATAAGGTTAATGATTCGGCCGTGACATCCTACCAATAAGGAAGATGCGTTGTAGTATTTTCGATTGTAGTTGTCTGCTGTTGAAACTTTTGATATGAAGTTTGAGGTAGAACGAGATAAGTTGCTTTTGGGGGATTTCAGATCATCAGAAGCAACTGCTGTTTCAGTTTTCAGAGGCTTCTGCTTACCCCATAAACGTGCAGTGGAGGGATTGAACGGTCTCTTTTCGTGGTTATTGGAGCTTGACCTATCAAAGTTGATTATGTCGGCAAAACAGCCAGGAGTCAAGTGGACGTTTTTAAATGAGTCGGCAATTAAGGGGTTTATACCATAGCCAATGGGCAAAATTTCCGCCTTGCCATCAGGCTGGACGCCTGTTTGTTCAGGAGGCCTCGACAAGGGATTTGTCAGTTGATTCTGATTGATGTTTCCAAGGGTTGTATGATATTTTCTCAAGTTTTGTTCAACAAATTTAGATAATGATGCGTAAGTACTAGGATCACTCGAGTTTAGCGGTGTACGTGATATACGAATTGCAATATCAGGAACAAAGGTGCCGTCTAGATGATCAAAGCTGAACTGTTCTTCTTGTAGCTTGAACAAGCAATTGGGATCTGTCGACTGGATAGGGAGAATGCTGTTACTTAGCACATTTTGAAATTGGTTCGGCGGCACTTTATTAAATCTGGACAAATCTGCTGGTAAGTACATTGCTATCAATTATTGGATGGGTTTTAGCACTTTCGAATGTAAAATATAGAGAGTTTTTGATAACGAAATTCCCCAGACTATTGGAAACCTTTTTTTTTGCGGAGATCGTGATCGTAAAAAGCTCTTGAGTACTATACAAAATGAAACTACTCAATGACTGAACTGAGATTTGTTACAGGGGATCTGATGCAAGATAGATATTGAAAACCGTAGGGATCTCAACGTTCATATAGTTTGAGTCGTATTATGAAGTATTTTAGCGAAAGGAATTTGCAAAAAATGATATTACAGTATTTTTCCCCTTTGAAGACAGTGCCTTATTAACTAGGATGCCTGACTTTGCGGATTCAGTTTTTGACATTTCCAACATAGTTTTTCAAACGTCGAAGAACTTGATATCTAAGTCTTATGATCATATTAGAAACATCTGGATTGATACTACACCACCTCCTGCGCCAGTTCACCACTCAGCGATTCGTACATCCATCAACCAGTTCTCACGCCTAGATCTAAAAACAGTATTTCTTGCTACTGTGTTAGGAGGTATAGGGACTTATCGGTACTTAAGACATTCGAAAACCCAGCGCAGGGCACGGCTCCTCTCAAATGGAAGGCGATTTGAAGCAGTTCTAATTGTTGGACCCCCTACCTCCGTAGTTGTTCAAAAGCTTGTCAACGATCTCAATAGAAGGGGTTATATTGTATATGTTACAGTGACAAATGAGGCAGAGGTCAAAGCTATCGAGAGTGAACGCGATGCAGATATAAAGCCTCTGCTTTTGAATTTCGATTCTCCCTTGACCATTAGAACCAGTTTATTGCGGCTGGCTTCTATTCTTGAGACCCCTGAGCTTGCTCATACAGGAGATGACTCTGAATCATATTTTCTTCATTTCAAGGGCGCTTTGATTATCTCAGATTATTTCAAATATCCGAAGTACTCAAAGCTTGCTGAAATCGAGCCCCGCGATTTCAATGCAATGATTCAGAATCAGTTCTTGAAGATCAATGCCCTTCTCCAAAACGGATTGATATCAGCTTTACAAGAAAGTAACATCAGAAGAAATGAAATCGAGAAATTTAACGGTGTGAACATTTCGGAATGCCCTTCCAAACTGATATTCGTTAACTTTTTCCCCATATCCACTAAGGAGAAAAGACGGCTGTTTTTGGACTTTACATTGGACATCAACAACTTGTTGTTTGAATATACTTATAAAGAGAACCGCAAGAATTATTTCGGTATACCATATATCCTACCTAACAAGAACCCTGATTACATCAATATCACAAAGCTTCAAGTTAATTTTCATCAAGATGAGGAGTCTAGGTTGTTATCCAGCGGCATCGACATGCTAAAGTTGCGCAGTATGTTCACAGGTACCAGGAACAAAAAAATCACTTCCAGAAAGTTTCATCATCAAGTGTTTGACCTTTTGAATACAAACTCTTTGAAGAAAACATACACCATCAATACTTAAAAACTCGAGGCTCAGACTCAAACTTGACTGAAACAGCATATCGTTTCTCAGATAATTATTTTGCATCTGGTAATAGAAGGATCCTCCACAGTACCTGCTGTGAAGTCGGAAATTGTGAGAAGGCCTTTTCGATCCAAGACATAAAGCTTGTATCCATCTTTATCGAATCTCAAAGAGGCCGCTTCTTTCACTTGGTATGAGTTGCTGACATCAGTGACTACAACCAACCTTTTGCTGTCAGTGTCATCAATTCTTGATGTTGACATAACGTAGACAGCTCCAGAGCGATCAAGGTATGCAACTGAATCCCCTCGAGGTGACACGCAACACTTATGAATCGTGTTTCCGACCTCCTCAACTTTTGCAAGAAGTTTCGGATGTGCAATACCTTCAGGACCAGATATAGATGTAATATTAGTATCAATGATTATTGGCACTGAATTGTACGAGACAGAAGTTAATGTCATCAGTCTATTATCAGGGAAGAAGCTTAAATCGGTTATTCCTTCACTCTCCAGAGAAGTATCCAGTTTTCTTTGAGATTTCATCACCATCACTGGTCTTGAGGGATCTTTGATACTAATGATCATGAATCTGGATTCCAATGCGGTCGCAACAGTCAAGTATCTGCAATTTGGAGAAAACTTCAAAATGGACACGGGATCCCTATATGGAAGTGTGAAAGGGAAACACTGAATTTGTAAGGTTCTTAGCCCCGCAGATGTAGCGGGATATAATGATCCCACGTTGGTATCCAGGTGTCCAGCTGCATATGATTTTTCACCTTCGTTGAAACTAGAGATATGCGACTTTATTTCCAGAAGTTCAAGCTTTAGGAGAATAATGAATGCTTGCTCGAATCCAGTAAACTTGTCTTTACCTGTTACACCCAAGCTAGCATACTTTCCATCAGAAGAGACATCTATGCATCTAACAGGAAACCGACATTGGTACGTATATAGCGGCCTTCCTTTAGATTGTAGGTCAAAAAAGCGAACAAACCCACGTGTTCCCGAAATGATCAGGATGTCTTTTGTTATCTTGCAAAATAAGTGCTCCCAATTGGCTAAGGATTCCAGGGAATCTTTAGCATTCTCACCGAAGTTGGAGTTCATTATAATCTCGTTAGTACTAACTTTCTTTAGGGCACTGAATGTTTCTCCGTAATCCCCATTTATGTTTCCACAACATAGTAACAAGGGAGGCTTTTCTGGATGGTTGACTGATAAATGATAAACCTCCCATTTTTTTTCGCTCAAGAGCACCAATTTGTCGAGCTGTGGAGAGAAATCTGTATTGATGAATAGCTTTGTTTTAAATGGGAAATTAGAGTGATGAGTGTGGTGTTGATAAAGTTTGCGATAAAGAGGAAAATTCTTAGCATATAAGAACTCTTTGTTCACATCCTTAAGGCTGTCATTAGTGTGATCTTCCTTATCTCCTACAAAACCGGAGAGCGATTTTGAGGAGTAAGAGTTTTGAGCGTGTGGACGACTGTTTTGTGTTTGATGTGAATGTGTAGTGACCATAGCTGTATCTTGAGCTTGTAACCCTAGATGAGAGTGTTTTTTGATCCAATCATGATTTGTTTGTGATGTTGATGGTAAATCACTTATGGTCTTTGGTTGGTCGTCCACTGCTTGAAAGCTATGCCTTATCAATGGTTCCTCTATTTCACTGAGAACCTCATTAAATGCTGATAGAAGAGTTTTATGGGATTCGTTGTTATTATCATCAGAATCAGCATTTACGTCTCCCTTGATCTGCACCCCATAATCAGTATCAGACCTAACCTGCAAAATATAATCAATAACGGACTTCAACGGAGCACACTGTTTTAGTTTTTTTGATTCTGGATTTCCGCAAGTGGGGCATCCGAAACTGGATTCTTCACTTATAAGTTCTGCTTCTAGCTTTTCGGAGATCAGGCAGCCACAGGTGAGAATGATAGGATCATTGGAAAGCGCTAAAATGACTTGAGGAGGTGATCTTGAGTTGTCAATACGAGAGGGTATCCTTAAAAGCTGTTCAATGTCGTCGATAATTGACTCCACTGATGCTTTTTTCATATTGTGCCCTAATCTCAAAACATCAAGCTTCATCAAATTTGTGTATCTGTGTAAGGATGTAGTCGTAACAGTTCTGCTTCTCAAATAAATTTGTCGCCGACTTATGCTCGAGGTTAGCAAAAATGTCACAATTTTGCGGATATAGTCTTCAAATTGAACTCAATGATCCTTCGGCTACCATTCTGAATGGAACGATAACCGACATTCAGGACAAAGATTTGGTGTTATCTAATGTAACTTACTCGAATGGATCTGAGCATCGGGATAAAGACATGCTTATAAAAGGATCTGACATAAAAGACTTGAAGGTTTTGGCTTTACCTCCTAAAAAGAAGAAAGAAAAGAAGAAGTACAAGCAAGACAAAGAGAATGAAAATGGTGGTACCAGATCTGGAACCCCGACTTCGACAGGAAAACCGAAGAATAAAAAAGAAAAACAGAAAGTCTCTCAAGATCCTGACTTGCCATATAACTACCAATCGAACGAGATTGGTTGGCAGCACGAGAATCCAGGGAGGTTGAAGGAAATGGAAGTTTTTGATTTTGCTTCTAATCTCCGAAAATTCGATAAGCAATCTGTTTTCAAAGAATTGTCCAAGCTAGATAAAGTGGATCCGGCCAATAGACTTGTCGGCCATAATAGAACTAACGAAAAAGTGAACTATGACAATACAGAGATGGTACTGGATAAAAAGCAAAAAGACGAATGGGATAATATTGTTTCCACCTCAGCTCAGACAAACCCAATCTCTGGCTCCCGAGAAAATGAGAGTAGAACGTACAGTGGCAACTCAGAGATTGTTCATCAGCGCAAAAGTGTCACACCAGTTCTGGGGTCAAGCATCAAATTGTTTTCAAAGGACAGAGAACCTATCCCAACATGCTCTCCGATACAACTGGCCGATGTTCTTCAACTCAGTGCCGACAATTTTGGGCTGACGGATCGTGAATTGACCTCTGATACAGGCAAAAGTCTAGCAGAGTTGATTATCAAAGAAATAACGGGCGACTTCAGGTTATCAAAAATGAACCATAATCTACCACCCTTGATGCTGATACTTGCAGGCAATAATATAACTGGGGCTCGAGCGCTTGCTGCTGGAAGACAATTATTCAATCACGGAATAAGAGTATTGATTTATGTTTTACACGATTTTGAGCATTCCGAAGATGAAATCCTTCCACTAGTGAAGGAGAATCTGGAGATTTTAACGAACATCGGAGCAAAGCGAGTCAGCGACACCAGGGAACTGAATTCTGTACTGGAAAAGCTAGATTCTCCATTGGAGCTGATAATAGACGGGCTTCAGGGTTACGATACGAACTTGAGTGATTTACTTGAACCAGAACTAGATCGCTCAAAACAGATAGTTGATTGGTGTAACAAATGCGGCGTCTCCATATTGTCTTTAGACATCCCATCAGGATTAGATGCTTCTTCGGGTACAGCAGACTTTGACTCATACATCCTCTGCAACTACTTGGTCTCCGTTGGAATACCTTTGAGCTCCATTTTAAGTCTTTACCGATTCGGCTACTTCCAAAAAGAGGAGTTGAAACATTTCCTTGTCGATTGCGGGATTCCTAAGAGGGTCTTTACTCTTAAGTCGAATCTCAGGAAGTTGGACAGAAACTGGTTTACAACAGACTGGTATGCTAGCCTAGAAGTTGAATGAAGGGAAACTCATGTAAATAACTTTTTATCATGGAGTGCAAATGATCCAAATTTGAATCTATGTGTTTAATATAGATAGTTGACTTTTCATGTTAATTAATCTGGGCGAAAAAATAAAGTACAACACATTTGTGATACTAAAACCATATTTATTTGTACCCTTACAGCGTGAATTATTTAACTAGTGCATCTGACTTTGAGAACCACTTCAAGAATCCTTTGACGCCTATCTAACAGGACTCTGAAAAGAAGCGAAAAGATAACTAAAATTAGGTCTTTCAATGAGTTCTAAGATCACCTACTCTCTTGAAGAGCTCCTGAGCTTTCAGTCGAAAGGCGTCATTTTTCGAGATACTACACTTCCTGACAAAGAATTTTGGAGGTTCAATGCAAAACTCATATCCAAACTCAATGTTGGACTGAATCGGGGAAACCAAAAAGGTCACAATAATGTAAAAAAGAAAACTCCCTATAAACCTCTTACTGAGGAAAACTCTGAGGAAGAAGTTCCGGAATGGCTGAATGAGACAGATTTCCAAGTGGATAGCACTTTCGTTGGCTACAGTAGTATTGGCTCGCATACTTATGAAGACTTCGAACGGGAAAAAAGAAAGTATCACATGAAAAATGGCTATTATGATAAGCTTAAACACGACGAGAACGTGAAGACAAACCCAGCGGATGAAGATCACGCCTTGAGGGAGGAGAAAATAGCGTCCTCATCTGCAGAAGATAGCCAATTCGATAAGGAGCTAGAGCTAAAGGACCATCTTAATCGGCAATTTTTTGACAACCTACTCAAAAGCAACCTAAAGTCAAAACAGGACATCTCCCAAGCTTTGCCACAGCCAACTATACAGGCAAGAACACCAGAAACGTCTAAGTTTGAGCGATTATTTCATTCTAATAATAGTTTGGAGTTGCCTAGTCAAGCTCCACAATCAAATTTCGCACCGCCACACTCTTCTCAAACCTATGCTCCACAATATGAGAGGCCCCATAACACCTCTGCCCCACCTTCTGTGCCACCTTATGGAGCAATGCTGCCTCCTGGTTTACCGATAGGCCACCAGCAGAGTCAAAGATTTCCAGGTGCGCCCCTTGATTTCAATCCAGCAGGTCTGCCGCCGCCTCCGCCTGAGTTATTGAAACTCATTCAAGAAGGCAAAATGCCTCCTTTACCAGGAATGATTTCTGGAGTGACAGGTTCCAACCCTCAGATCCCTCCACAATTTCCTGCATTGTCTAATTTTCCAGGGGCTCCCCAACATCCGTCGATGCCACCCCCACCAGAATTCAGCTTTCCAGTGGGTGCTCAGAATTTCGTGAATTTCAACGACCCCCGTGTTAATTTGGGGAACTTGCCTAGGCCCCCACCTCCCCCTGGTTTGATGCAGTTTCCTCAGTTTCCCCAGCAAAATGATTATCCCCCTGGCAATCGTGGGCCATCTACCTAACCAAAGATGAAAGTTATTGTACTACAGTGTCCATGGATATGGCGAGACGTTTGATAACCCATGATATCTATTTGTAATTTAGTAAGTGCCCATCCTAGACAAACTAGGTGAATGATTTAGTATTCGTGTGCCAGATGTGTATCCGGGCTGTGCAAACTTTCATAGTTTTAAGGTTACAAAAATTGAAAATTAATCAACGACGCTAGTATATCGCGTACATCGAACCTAATTAGCCAATTGAAGCTTTTTTACACCCTCTCATTTTTGATAGGTATACGCAGACAAACTAGTCTTGAGTTAGGGTTGTTATTGTTTGAGCGCTAAAGCTTCAATTGGGAATCGAGCGAATTTTATCATCGAAAACGTTGATATTTTTTTAGGTCTCTTTCATCGATTGACTATGGACTCTAAACTTGCTGCTTTTCAAACGAGCGACACGAAGAAGCTCTATGGTCTCACGGATCGTTTTTTCAAAGATGGAGTTTTCAACTGCTATCTAACTTCACAGCAGTTTAATCTGCTTGATCTGATCTTACACAGGTTCAAGGATGCAAAAGCCCGGATCAAACTATGGGACGCTTTTATCAACAACAATCTTTTTCTAGAATTTGAGCAGGGACCTAGCCTAGCAGACAAAGAAGTGGAGGAAATGTCTTCCACCGGGGCAGAGGAAATATATTTGAAACAAGGAACCAAGTCTACGAGGAATCTCTGCGCTACAATACGATATCTACTATACGAAAAGGCTGTGGATTACTATTTCGGCGACGAAAAGATGCAAGATACAAGGTTTGCTGCCTTTGATATCTTGGAAGAGAGCGACGACGAGGACAACTTTGAGGATGCCGAGGAGAAACCACTATTTTCCCAAACCTCATCAAATAACGCTACAAGGAACGAAGAAGACGACTATGATGATGACGATGAGGACGATGAAAAGCAACAAGAGCCGAAAGACAGCCGAAATGGGTCCGAGAGCGACGTTGTCGAAGTTAACGATTCGACTGACAAAGACGCAACATTGAAGGTGAGTAGATATCGTGAGGTACCGGAAGAAGGGGAGCTTGAAGAAAATGAACAAGGCCAGCTCAAATTTGTGGTCAACGTGCAGCTCTTGCTTGCACGGCCCGAATTCCCATCCATCGCCGATTCCATTAGTTCGGCCGACGAAGCTATTGGTTCGATGGTGCATCCAATTTTGGGTACAGCATCTGCTATTGAATCGAATTTTGAAAGACAAAACGAGCTTAAACTTATCAAAAATTTCAACAAGGTGTACCACAGCTTTGAGAACGATCTCCCCAACATTGTGAAACGACGGAAGCTTGAGCGCAGCGACAAAGCCCTTGAGCTTAACGACACGAAAGATCATGGTAGCAGTGATAACGAAAATGGGGGAAACGACAACGAGGACTCTCAACACGTGAACAAGTTGATGGGGCTTGGCGGCGCTGCCAATCTATCGCTCAAAAACCTTCTTGCACGGATTGAAGAGAATCGCGATAAATTGAATCTCACAGATTTGGAACTCAAAAATTTGATCATGGACGTGCGGAAGAATCGCTCAAAATGGGCGAGCTACAACCGGATAGGCCAGGAAGAGCTTTACGAGGCCTGTGAAAAAGTTGTTTTGGAACTGAGGGGCTATACGGAGCACTCTATTGCATTCTTAAACCGAGTGTCTAAAAGAGAGGCACCAAATTACTACCAAATTATCAAGAAGCCTATGGACTTGAACACTGTGATGAAAAAACTGAAGAATTTTCAGTACAACAGCAAAGCCGAATTTGTTGACGATTTGATGCTGATCTGGAAGAACTGTCTGACTTACAATTCAGATCCCAACCACTTTCTAAGGGCAGATGCTATTGCCATGCAAAAAAAGACGCTGTCTCTGATACCACTCATTCCCGACATTGTGATCAGAGACCGAGCGGAGGTGGAAAAAGAGGCAGCTGCAGCTGCACAACAAAATGAAGCCGAGGACGCACAGGAGAAACCCGGTTTCATTTCAAGCAGAGGTGTTGGCGGATCATCCACGAGCGCAAAAAAGGCTAAGAAAAGCAGAAAAGGATTACAAGAGGCTGACCATACCGAACCCCCTACGGCTTCCGACTCGCCTATTGGTGATAGCACTGGGAAGAAAGACGCAAATACCTCGGCTGCTGACCAAACGGCAGAGCAGAACGAAAACGAATTTAGCCAGCCTCAGGGTGCCAGTAATCCGTCAATCGAGCCATCAAATGCTTCGACACCACCTGTTTCTGCAGCAAGTGAAGAAAAGACAGGAGACAGGGAAGGAACAGCGAATCCCGAAGAAGATGATAACGAAGATGATGCAACAGCTATGATGGAAGACAGACAGGCACAGGAGCAACAGAATGACAGAAACGAGGACGACGATAACGAAGACCTGGAAATGTCCACCTGGAGAACTCTTACTTCCAACACGCGGTATAAATTATGCCAGCAGAGATCCAATTTGTTCAAGGGTGGAAAAATCCAACCGAACGAAGAAGCTTTACTAAGAGACCCCCTTCAAATATCCAACTTCAGCAACTATCTTGACGACTCCTCCAAAGTTGTACTCCACAGAAATCGGCAGTGTTTTGACGAAAATGATGATCCCTATCTGATTGAGTACGACATTTGCGGAGGTATTCCATCTTTGAAGTATAAAGGGCCTGACTATGATGCTATAGAGAACGATATTTTTTCAGATATGATGAAACAAGGCAAGTCGTTGGATCAGCTCCCAGAGTCGCCGTTTTCCATCAAGATGAAGGGCAGCAACTCAGTGATCTACAAAAACATTGCTTTGATGCAGGATATCAGAAAAGTGTGTTTTAAGATCAACATTGTTCGGCAGATGCAAACATCGCAATTCATACACCAGTCTCAGTACCATGCTCCTGATATAGAGCGAATTAAACCTGAAGACATTGACCCACTGTCGAAGTTGCCTACGAGAGACCAGCTTGTGCCCCAGGTTGCTTACGCCGCGCTCGAGCGGTCTGTGAGCACCATTCTCATGGCCAACGGTTTTGAGACCACAAACCCTACTTGCGTGACAACAGTCACTCAACTCGCGGAGCAGTATTTTGGTAATCTCGTCAAGTCGCTCAAAATGAACATGGAATCCAACTCCATCAACAAACTTCCCTTGAAAAGCAAGAGGCCGATGAGTTTGAAAGATATTCTTCTCATTTCACTTCAGGAAAATGGTATCGAAAAGCCTGACGTCTTGTATTCTCATTACAAGGAGCATTTGACCAAGCAGAATAAGAAACTGACTGACCTCAAATACAAGCTTGAAGGGTTCCTCAGAGACTTACTGCGACCAGGAATCCAAGAGATAACCGAAAACCAGTTTACCGACGATTCGGAACAATTTCTTAATGGTGATTTCTCCAACGAGATTGGGGAAGACTTCTTCGGCTTCAAGGAGCTCGGACTTGATAAAGAGTTTAATCTACTTACATCCACCATTCCTCTCCATTTGCTTCACTCCAAGCTGTCGAACCAACTCAGCCATCTCGACTCTAAATCGAAAAAAGCTAAGTACGAAGATTTCCAGGAGGTCCAATTCCCCAAGTTGCGCAAGCGGGACTTGGCGTCGCAAATTGGTCTTTTAAGACCTTTCTACGAGGACCTGTTGTCCAAGTCAAGAGCAGCCTATGCTAAACAGCTGAAGAAACACAGACAATCATTGGGATTTACTGATCCAGAGGGTTTGCCTGCTGCTTCCAATGGCACCCCGAAAGCCCCAGAAAGCGGTTCTGCTCCAAATGGAGGCGAGTCGTCATCCACTTTCGTGGAAATTGAGGATCCTGAGGATTTGGTGATTTTGGAGGACGATGACTTGCCATTGAAACAGCGCAACCATCGTCCGAAGGTTCCTCCGAACGGAAGAATTACACAGGTAAAGCGTAAGCTTATCAACAACGCATTTTTCCTGGAAGCTCAAGATTTAAGGGAGCAACAGCCACAAATCACCATAGCAGATCCGCAAACAAGCACAACTGAGAACGCTGAGACCAAGGTAGGTAACCCAGAAATCGCCAAAACCACCGAGGAGATCCCTGACGTCCAGCCAGCTGCTTAGCATTATGCAACCATATATGTTTCGTTTAGGAGTTGTCTTAATATACAATGTACCATACTGAAGCACTAGAAATGTATATCCTCTCCTCTGAAATATTGAACGATCAAGTAAATGTTCAAAAAGCCTATCGTTCCCCAGGTGAGAAATGCCAGTACGTTTGTTATAGCCGAATTCGAGAAGTCCTTGAAGGCTTCACCCTTGCGTGCAGGTATCAATAGAGAAGTTTCAGTTGGCGTATCGTTCTCTAGATCTTGTGGCTGCTGCACTTGCACCTTCACCTTCATGATATTCTTGTTGCTGGTGAAGTACAACAAGGGAGCTGATACAAAGGGTAGGATCAGGGACAATATAACCTGCGACAGATTGAGTATGGTTGCAATGCCTTCTCTGCCCATGAATAAGGCCATTGCCATACAGGGCACGATTGCAATTGACCTCGTAACAATTCTCCTATAAAATGGGTTGAGCTTCCATTCAAGACATCCTTCTGCAACAAGTGCACCCGACATGGTGCAGATGATCCCTGCCGCAATGGAGGAGAAGAGCATGGCAATTGCAAAAATAAGTCCTGCTGTTTTTGAAACGTAATGGCTCAGCAGCTCATAAATGCTAATTAAGTCAGCATCCATGGCCTCGGGTTTATTAAAAAGAGCTGCCGCCGAGACGATTAGTATTGCAGAATTGATGAAGACGGCCACGATGCACAGAGAACAGACCAACTCGGCGTAAGAATAATTTAAGCAGTAATCTATAGCTGCAAGCGACGGTCTATAGGTGTCTTCATTGGCGTCCTGTACAACGCTTTGCACCTGCAAGGGGCCTGCATCTTTTTGATTTGAGGTGTCAAACTCTCTGAGTCTTGGCTTCACGAGACTTGACCCAAGGTACAAGGAGTGCGGCATCACGGTAGCACCAATTATTCCCAGTGCCAGGTATATTGACTCCTTAGAAGTGAAAAGCTGTTTCGACGGAAGAAATCCTTCGAGTAGTTCGCGTTTGTTTGGGATTTCCACCTTGTTCATTAGAACTATGAAGCACGCAAATGCTGCGAGGACCAAAAAGGACACAAAGAACTCAAATTTGCGGATTTCCTTGAGAGAGCCGTCCGGATTGTACGCTAATAATATCACCAGAACATCAAAGATGGTCAGGAGCACGCCGACTTTCAGCTCAATCCCAAACAAAATGTACAGCGCAATAGCGGTGCCCACAATTTCAGCTAAATCTGTGAATATAATTGCTAGCTCAGCCAGAACATAAACCGTTATATTGAGCCAGCGTGGGAGATGTTTGCGGCAGTTCTGTGCTAAATCAAGTCCTGTCACCGTACCCAGCTTGATACACAGACATTGAAGGATAATGGCAAAAATGTTGGACAGAAAGATAATGAACAGGTGAATATAGCCGAACTGAGCTCCGGCGTTGGTTGAAGTACTGTAATTTCCAGGATCTATGTATGCACATGTAATCAGTAGACCAGGCCCAATGAAGCTGATGAGTTTTCTCCAGTCTACCATTGTAGATATGCAATTGAGTGATACGCTCGGTTCTTAAATAGTGCGACAAAGTGGGCCAGGTAGACCTGTGGTGCGGAAATATATGAAGAAGGCAGAAATTAAAGGTGCTCATCTAAACGTCGATCGACGCGATGTCCATTGCGTCTGCTGAAAATTTACTTTTGAAGGGTAAAAAAAACAAAGATCAGATTTGGATTATAAGGCTTCTCAGGGTGCTCGCAGTTCAATATCATCAATGCACTTATAGCTGCGATACAACATGAACGAAAAACCAAAAACAGAAGAATCGAAGTCTCCACTACTGAGCTCGGGGTCTCACATCAAACCTTTGATACCCGAGACTGTGCTAGACGTCACTTCGCAACGTCTCTCGATTGTGTCTTTGTTTTTTCTCATTCAGGGATGGAAAATATACGATCTTTACCTGATCAAGAATGAATTCCTGAGAGAGGCTTTACATAGCTCGCTGTCGGTGAACCTCCTTCCTCCGGAATGGAATTTTATTTTCAAGTACATGTTTTTGGATGGTTTGGTTGTGTGGGCGAACTCCGTTTTGAGAATCCCCAAATTGGCATTGAAACCATATGCATCAGTGCTTCTGATTCTGGTTCTTTATACTATCACAATTCTGCTGACAACCAATCTGAACTTTTCTTTCCTTCCTCTTTTCACTGGACTTATTCATAAGCTCCACCCAGAAAAAGAGTTAGCGATTGCTGAGGGGCTTGTTAGCCCTCAGGACCTTTTTGACCCGTCTTCTCACTTCAAAGGCAAAAAAATGATTAGATTTTTGCCAGATTCCTCCATCAAGCTCAACCCTTTCAACCAAAATTTCTGTTTGCAGCACTCGCATCATAGTAAAGTGAAAGTGCCTGTCAAATATAATTCCTCGAGTGAATTGGACTTTTTACGTGAATTGGACTTTTTACAGATTGTCCATACAGACTTTGATAACAACAAATATACACTGAACTACACGAGAAAAGAGCTGAAGAAATTTTTGTCCGCAGATTATTCACATGTTCAGGGCTGGGATATCAACTATATTGATGAACGAGTCTCCTACTTGGAATTGGAATTTGATAAGCCAGGATATTATATGGTTCGACAGGCACAGGATGTGAAACATAAAAACATTCGCAGTTATAGGTCTGACCTGGTAATTCCAAGGTGTCCGAATGCCCGTTTCGAAGATCTGGAGCAGCTTAAAAATGTGTGTGTCGATGATGAACTTGATCAGCTATCGATAGTGGTCACTGGAGTTCCTCCTTTGACATTAGTGTACGAGGAGGAGGTTAATGGGGAATTATCTCATCTTCCAAACTCAATCATCGTTCCTGAAGATAAAGGCTTTCACTCTCCTTTATTGTCCAAGGATTATTACACCGGAATAAGTAATATGAAATCCCTAGACTTACAATCGAATGATCTGAAAGACTTATCTTGGGCAAAGTCTCATGTTATAACTGTTCCATTGGCTAGTCGGAAAATTGAAAAAGCAGGTGACTTTATATACACCATTGGCAAGGTTATTGACGGTTTCGGAAACGTTGTTGAATACTCGCCAAAGCCAAGTGATGTCTATCATTTCTACAGAGTGAAGTCGCATCCTTTGCCATTGATCAATTTTGTTGAATCTAGACCAAACACCCCAATTTTGATCGGAGAAGAGAAGTATTTAGAGCTGAAGGCCAGCCATGTTATGAACCCATCAGCAGAAGGCCCATATGTTGCTGACATCAAATTTATCCCTGCAGATGGTGATCTAGGAAAATCTAGGACCACGACCCACGTGTTTGATTTCAAGAAGCCTGCAAAATTCCTCGCTAAAGAGCCTGGAACTTATGTACTTGAATCGGTCACTTCCAAATTCTGTTCCTGCAAAATAGGCACATCAACTATCAATGTGGTGCAAGCCAATCTTCCTCGTATGCATGTTTCCGCAACGCCCATAGTGGATAACTGTGTTGGAACCACTGGATTTAAGTTCGCATTTGATTTTATTGGCACAGGTCCGTTTGAGGTAGCATACAAAGTTTCTAGACTAGATCCAAAGAATGAGAAACGAGTTCTGTCAACCAAGGATGCCAAAGTACTACGTTCGGAGACGTCGACTTTTGAATTCGATTACAAACCGCCTACAGAAGGCAGCTATGCGATCGAATTCGTGGCTCTTAGTGATGCATATTACAAACGAAAGGTCACCTTTACTCATCAGGAACATCGCTACGTCACTTACTTTGAGCAGAGACCCAGAGCTTACTTTTCTGAAAACAACAAGGTTACTAGATTAAATGTCTGCCATGCCGAGAAGGCATCTATTGACCTACACTTGGATGGAAAACCCCCATATCAAATTGCTTACGATCTCATTTATCCAGATTATAGAGTCGAAAAATTTGAGATTTCTGACATTTATGATCATCAATTCAAAATTGAGACCGGCCGCTTGCATCTTGGGGGAGAGTACAAGCTGCTGCTAAGAAATGTTACAGATGCATCAAATTGTGGTATGGAGTTCAAAGGTCAAGAAGTCCATATCAACGTCCGCAAAAGCTCGCCCCAGTTGAGTTTCTCTCAGTCAGAATCATACAAATTTGTGCAGGGTAAAACTCTGCTAGTGCCTTTGAAGGCTGACTTCAGTCAAAAGACCAATCTGAAGTACCGTTTCACGTCTCTGGATGGTTCCATTAAGCAGGAAGAAGTACTCTACGACTTCAATCCAGCTGATGGCTTTCCTATTAAAAAGGAGGGTATTTACGAGCTCTTGCAATATTCCGTTGACCAGTGCCCTGGCGTGGTGACGGAGAGCCATCAAGTTCACGCCACGTATCTTCCTAAACCAAAGTTAAAAATAGTTGAGACAGATGATTTGACTCTGCTGTCGAAGAACAGCTATCGAAAATCGACTCTTTGCCAGCTATCCCCTGTATCCATAGAGCTCCAGGCGATCGGCGAGGCACCATTCATCATTGAATATTCTATCAAACATCCAAGTGGAACCATGGAGCAGAAGACGGAACAAATATCCAACAAGTATTTCTCCATCCAACTGAAGACCAGCGAAAGTGGCGATTATGAGTATGCCATCAAAGCTGTATATGATTCGATATACACGAACGATATATTGGACAGTCTTGTGAGGTCTGGCGATTATCGTTTTGAGGAGATCCAAGTTAAACAGAGTATCTCTTCATTGCCTACAGCCCGTTTTGTCGAGAACAAAAAAGTTTATCAAACGTGTGTTTCGTCTCTAGGTAACTTGGAACTCCTCGAAGAAATTCCAATCCGTCTAACAGGACGACCACCATTTGATGTGAAACTTGGAATTTATAACGAGCAGGATGGATTGAAAACTCTCAAGCTCAACAAGATAGAAACCGAAAAAATTGACCTTCTGAATCTCTACGAGCACTTGAGAATCGGAGCTTACCAGGTTTCCATCCTTGAGGTGACAGACTCAAATGGCTGCTTTAGCAACGACTTTGACAAGGAGTCTGTCAGCATCCAAGTCTACGATGTTCCTAAAATCCGGCATTTGACAGACGACGTCATACATCCTGAGGAACAAAGTCTAAAAAGGTCTGAAGAAATATCATCTTATTGTGTGGGCGATCACATCAATTACATGCTAACGGGTCTTCCTCCATTTACTGTCTACTACGACTTCAACGGAAAAAGACAGAAAGTGAAGGTGAATTCCAATTATTTCAAGCGAAGAGCTTCAAGTGAAGGTGATTTGTCGATTCTCGCGCTGTCAGACTCATCATCAAAGAATTGTGTGGTCAACTTCACTTCGAGTGACGACAAGAGCAATAGTAGGCCAGACTTGAAAGCTAGGATTTACGATCTGCCATCTGTTGAAATAACCCAGGGTGATTCCATAGAGGAAGACATTCAAGAGGGTGACAATGTGGAGATTATATTCAGATTCAGTGGAACGCCGCCATTCAAGCTCACATATATCCGTACCGATCTTGCCGAACCAAACCGTATTGTGGAAACTGAAGTGGTGGATAATATTATGGAGCATGAATATAGAATATGGGCTCGCTTAGAAGGAATTTACGAAGCTATTGAAGTCCAGGATGCTTACTGCGTGGCCAGAAATCATAAATAATTTTATTTGTATAATATGTATTACGAATTGTTATCAGATTCATTAGAGTGACTTTGCAATTGCCGTTGTTGTTATCTATATACATAATGGATTAGAAACGAGCTCGGTTCATTTCTTCTTCTTGTACAGGCTTCTATTTACCCTCATACGGCCCCTAGTTTTCCGATTACTTAGCTCAGGCAACCTAGCACGTAGATTCGGGCGACGCTCATCAGTACTATCGTTATCACTGAAGCTCGTGTTAGAAAATTGGAAGCGAGCTTTATTGTAATCCTTTAAAGCCGGTGATTCCTTTGTAGCAGATGCTAAATCTTCCAAAGCGTTCCCAAGCATTTGGAAACCTTCGTCCATGTCAAGATAGAGGATTGTTTGTCGTTTTTTCGTTGGCGGTCTTAAAGGTATGGTGAGCGGTTTGTAACCTTGAAAAAAGGTGTCTAAAAGGACATCTTCAGGGTTCAGGGCGTCGGTGCTAGGCACTTTTGCTAAAGAGCTAAATCCCTTTCTGATCTTCTGCTTGGATTGTGGGACAACTTTCCCTTGATCATGTACTTCCGCATTGTTAACAGTCTCTCCGGCCTCCACTTGTTTCTGCTTTTGCTGTTCAATAACGCTGATTTTTTTCTTGTTTGATTCACGGTTAGGGTTTGAGGCAGATGACTGATATCTGTAAAAAGAGGTCGTTTTGAACAAATTTGCTCCTATCCTGCCCGAAGGCCTAAGAGAGTTGGCTACTAGTTTCTGCATTTTCACGCTATGCTTGATTTGATAGATAATGCTTGCGTTGCGGGCAACTATGCTGAGATGCAAAACAAATTGCTATTGACTTTAGTCTGAATATTAAATTTACTAATTTCTTTTAATCGCCTCCGCTCCGGGTAAAAAACTCGAATCTTCTTCTGATTCAAAATTAGGTGAGAACGGTTTATTTGTACTCCAATAATGTATAATACATTACACATCGATGTCTTTCACCGAATGATTCTTGAATCTTCGCGTAGCACGGTCAGTACTTCTGATGAGCAACCTATTTCCGATAACATCAAATGTGATCGAAGACTCCTGAGCTTCGAGCTGTAGCCTAAATTTCGTATTTCGCTTGCTTATCACTCTCAATCCGCCGATTCTCTCTTTCAAAGTGAACTCGGGCTTTACCGTACTGATATCGTTCTTCCAATTTGCCTGTCGTGGTACCACCATCACAAAGTTGTGTTGGGATTCCCAAAGGACAATTCCTTTCGTGCCTGTATTATTTATGCAACGGCTTTGAATAACTTCAAGTTCTGATCCAATTAATTCGCTGCTCGAAAGCTTGCTCACCATCGTGGGTATGTGGTTGGTCGTACCCAAAATCTCTAACATGTAGCCTTTCCAGAGCTTATTCAGTTCAATATAGTCCTCATATCGGATCAGATTCTTGCAAATCCTGAGCTCCGTGATGTCATTCAGATTATTCAGTAAATTAGGATCCTTCTTTAGTTTCAACCGTAGTTGGCGAGTAAGTCTATCTTGGAGCTTAAGATTGTCTGTAATGAACGATTTGAACTCATTCTTAGTCTTCGTTGGCGAGAATCTATTTTGTCTCCCTGGTAGTTGAATTGCAGTCATAATGGATTTGTGATGCTTCGCTCCATGTGTCCCTTCAGTGGCCTTCAAGGACAAATAGTTCTTTTGACTTCCTGTTAGAGAGTATCGAGACTCCAGGAGCTTTGATATCTCCCCGTCATCGTGGAATTTTGAGGACCTAGACAAAAGGAGATGCTCAACAGTGTGCTTTCTGTCCATGAAAAGAATAGCTTTTTTTTTTAATTTTTTGTTTATGATCCGAATAGGACGAACCTTAGCATCGAGACCCCTGAGCAGGTGTCGAAGGTTATACTCTCGTACTCCTTTTGATGAAAACCTAGACTTTTTCCCCGGTGGGCCACCCTTAGAACCAGAAGATCCAGCACGAAACAATTGCGATCCTTTCGATTTTTCGGACATCCCAATTATCAAGGATGAGAGTGATGTGCTTTCATCAGGCCTCACGACACCCAGTGACTCATTCTCGAGTGATACAAATATGTCTATGAGTTCGGAATCTGTGATGCAGGAACCTGTCACCATGACTACAGAAGATTTCATGAAGAAACTTAATATAACCCGTTCAGATCAATCTTTTTATGAGCAAAAACTCAAGCGGTTTAGCTTATTCTTGCGTACCGATACTCACAGCCGTCAATATAATACAAGACTGCAAGACATTGCAACAATTAGAAGTCCGTTAACTATAATCAGCGAGTTCAACAATCCAAGACTCAATCTTGCCATAGAGAAATACGTTTACGACCAGATGCCAGATCCCTTGGGTAATGCAAGGTCACGAAGACTGGTTTTGTATAAGAACTCTCCTTGCGTGGTCATCGGCAAAAATCAAAATCCTTTCAGAGAAGTGAACTTTAGAGAAGCCACTATTCATGGAATCCCAATACTGAGGAGGTTCAGCGGTGGAGGAACTGTGGTTCATGATCTCGGAAATTTCAATTTCTCTTACATGAGTAGCAAACAATCATTCAACAGAGTTGAGTTTACAAGTGCACTGAACCATGAAATTAATCAGCTCGTCGGTCTCGATATTGGCTACGATGTACCTAAATTTCCGCTCACGACAAATGACCGGGGAGACGTTGTCAGCAGCAACACCTTAAAGAAGGTCAGTGGCTCTGCCTACCAGGTTTCTAGAGGTAAATCACTGCACCATGGAACAATGCTCCTCAAGTCGGATCTTAAGAGGCTTTCTGCTTTGTTGAAGCTGACCGAGAAGCGAAAAGCTTCTATCCAGGACAGAAGCACTAACTCGATTCCTAGCCCGGTGGAAAATTTGGGAATGTGCGATACACTGTTCCAATTTTGCGCTGTAGAGGCGTTCAAAAGATTGCATCCTACCGACGGGATTGAGGACATGGTGTACGACAACCTTCTTGTCCAGGGAGACAGCCACATTCTCAAACTCAACGAGGTTAATGATCTTCCTGAAGAGGTTTTGGAAATACAACACGAACTCTCTACATGGGAATGGACCATTGGAAAAACTCCGAAATTTAAGCTGATCGTCGATGATGACGAGTTCCAATATCAGATGACTGTGGAAAAAGGCCTAATTACCGAGATTGATTCCGCGGAACCAGCGTTGGAAGCACTGATCGGGCTTCCGTTCAGTAGTGAAAAGATATACCATGTCCTGGCAGAACCTTTGCGAAGCCATGTTACGTGGCATGTCGACTCAAACACAAACTATGCGCAGTTAGGGATCTCATGATTAAATTAGCATTGATAAAAAATTTACCCCTGGCACCATTTTGGGCGCTAGATCTAGAGATTCTATAGATAGATTTAATTATAAGGTTTCGAGCGCACATTTCTAACAGTTACTTTTCTGGTCATTGCAAAGCAAGCATACAAGCATATGCAACATGAAGAGTATATCTGCATTTTCCATGGTGATTGCGATCACCAGCGCCTATGCCGCAAATGCTGAATCGATATATGAATTATCACCAAGCTTCAAAGAGTTCATTAGTAAAAGACAAGTCAAACGTTCGTGGGACGAGAGTGAGACAAGTAATTCAAAATCCGTTTTTGACTACAATAACGACAAAGTTTATGGCGTGAATTTAGGAGGCTGGATGGTGACAGAGCCGTACATAACACCGACTCTTTATTGGGATGCTTCCACCGACGGAACCGAAGCGACAGTGCCAGTTGATGAGTATCACTACTGTAAGCAGCTGGGTACCGAGGAGTGTCATACCAGGCTGAAAAAACATTGGGATAGCTGGATCGTAGAAAGTGATTTTGAGAAGATCAAGAAATATGGCTTCAACACAGTCAGATTTCCAATTGGATATTGGGCCTTCGCCCACTTGAGCTCGGATCCCTACTGTTTTGGGCAGGAAGAATATTTGGACAAGGCAATTCAGTGGTGTAGAAAATATGGCTTGTTCCTTTGGATTGATCTGCATGGGGTTCCTGGCTCCCAAAATGGGTTCGACAACTCGGGATTAAGAGACCACGTGGATTGGCAAAAGCATCCGCTATATGTTGATCTTTCGCTTGAGATCTTGCATTACATAATGGCCAAATATGGCGGAGAAGAATACGAGGATGTTATTTCAGCTATCCAAGTACTGAATGAGCCATTAGGATCGAGACTGAATATTAACAAACTGGAGGAATTTTATGTCAACAGCTACACACAGATGAGATATTTAAAGAGCGACACTTACATTGCGTACCATGACGCATTCATGGCTCCGGAATTCTGGGACTCCAGACTTACCGGAAAGGTGAGCCATACCTCTAATATTACATTATACCCTCACACGGGTAATTTGACTGGACATACTAACACATCCACCTATCAGGGGAATTATTATAACATTATTATAGATCACCACAGATACGAGGTGTTTGATGTTGGTCAGCTGTCACAGTCGATCGACGAGCACATCGCCTCATTGAAAGGTTTCACATCTGCAATCCTCAAAGAAGACAAACCAAAGCTGGTTGGTGAATGGGCGGCTGCCATTACCGATTGTGCATTCTGGCTAAACGGTGTTGGAAGAGGTGCCCGGTATGATGGAACCTTCCAATCTACTAAAAAACTAGGTAACTGCGCGTATGCAAACGATTTCGGTGAATGGACCAAGGAACGCAGAAAAGAGGTTAGAAAACTAATTGAGGCTCAATTGGATCTATACAACCAAACGAGCGGCTTCATTTTCTGGTGTTACAAGACTGAGGATGCCATCGAATGGGATCTTGAAAAATTAGTCGAATATGATCTTTTTCCTCAACCACTAGCAGACAGGAAATATGCCTCTGTTCTGTCTAGCGACGCGGCTATCGTGAGTTCTCCCCTGAAAAATATATCCAAGATTGAAATCATTGTACTTATACTAACTGCATGTGCACTAGGACTAGAATTACTGTAATGTCGACTTGTTATTCTTTTACTATATGGACAATATAAGTCTCTTAACGAATGTACACCTTTCTACTATCAAACTCTAAATTATGGTTCTGAATCTAGTGTTAGCGAAATAAGGTGTATGACTGCTCTAGGCACAGTATGAAAACGGGGCAATACATGACTGAATTGCGTGGAATTTCTGGCGTGCTATTGTTCAGGCAAAACGCCAAACAAAGCTTCCATAGCCTCCACAACAATTCCAATCCATACTGATCCGCCAAACATTATGCCTACAAAAAAAAATTTGTTCAGCATTTCCTTTAACCGTTTCGACGCGCCGACGACTCTCAGACGATCTATCTAATCACAAACAAGTAACTAAATAAATAAATTCAAAGGAAAATCTTCATTGATGAGTGCGTTGAACGCAATGAACTTAGGAGCCGGCTCCGAAATAGCCATTGACGTGGACGAGGCGGATATGTCAATTCTGGACGAGAATCTCAAATCGACAGATGAGCTGACCGCAACGCTATCTGCGAAGCTTCATAGGGTTTCAACAAGCAGCGCTCTCGCAATTAAGTCAATCAACCCGCTGATGGTCAAAATCAACCGTCTCAAAGTGCAGCAGAGAAACTTCCAAAATGTATTCAAGTTGGTGGAGAATATTCGGGACTACGCAGAGGAGATCAGCAGTTTAGACAAATCAATGAGCACCTTTAGTGGACTCAACTCCGTCTCACAAATAACCAGCTTCTGCAATATTGTTGACAAATATCAGCGAATCCAGCATGAATTGGAATCCAGGAACTTGAATGACTTTGAAGGTTTACGCAAAGGACTTGACTCGTCTCTACGAGATGCCGATGTAACTCTTAAATTCGAGTTTATCAATAAGCTCAAAACATTAAGCAAGAGGCTCAAAAGCAATGGTAATAAATACGGAAAGGAAGAGGACGATATAATAGTGCAGCTCAAGCTGATGTATGATTTTATGAAACGCAGCCGTGCAAAGAATATGTTAGATACCCTGATCAAGGAAAGAGCAGACTATAACCTTTCAACTCTTCGTGCGCTTAACTTAGACCTCCCTACGCTTGTCAAAGATCAAACTTACTACTACGATGGAGACAAAAACCAAAGGTACTTTGTCAACTATTCCAAGACGCTGCAGAGTCTTCTCTATGGAGAGCCGCATTTTCTTTCCAAGTTCTTCGATGATTTCAATGACATCAATCAGCTTCTTTTTGAGATTTTCTCGCCTTCTCTGGAAAACTTTGTCAATCAGTTCAACAATTTCTCAAGCTTTGTTGAAATTCACCAGTCAAGCTACAGCTCCATGTATTTTGAAATTGATCACGGTCTGTCATTGATTCTAAGCGCTTTCAGAAGACTCAACCTGATAATTCCGCGCCAAATATCAGAGCTAGAGCCTGAGTCTCTTACCCACTGCCAGTCGGTTTTCCCAGGCTCCTTCAAGTATATTGACCAGCGTTATTCTGACATGGTGGTCGGTGACAATGTGAACGAAACGTTGAACAACACATTCATGTCTCTCATTTCAAGAATCAGTAAGATGTGCCAGTTCCAAGAATATCAGCTGAAAATAATCTCAACCATGAAGAACGGCAGCTGGTTACCTGCATCAAAACCTCCTGGATTCCAAGAGGTTAGGATGGGCTCTAACGATCCTGCTTTCCTGTTGAGTGTTTTTTATGGCGATCTGATCGAATACAACTTCTTCCAGCTTGAACGGAAGTATAAGCCGAAAATGAGCGAGGAAGACCTTGGAGTTTTCCTGCTATTTAATTTGGATGGGCTACAAAATTTGCTGGATAACAGTGGGGGACTGAAGCAGGTTCTTGGGCACACGGGGCTGCAGCGGGTAGATAGAATGAAGAAAAAAGCAATGGAGAAGGCCACAGCGGAATGGACAAAAATGACTACCAAGTTGATGCAGGCATCTACCAGACAAGGAGACACGTTCAACCTCACTTCAAAAGAACTAGGGAAACTGATTGACGAGTTCAACAAGAATTTCGAAGAGAACTTCAAGAAGATGCAGCACAAGAAACTTCCTGCATTTTTCAAAAAGCAGCTGAATCAGGACATTAACAAGATGCTTGTTCCGGCTTACAGAGTTTTCTACACCAATTTTACCTCCAATGGCTCCTCTAAGAGCGTGGCGAAGCATTTCAAATATGATATTAATGGTTTGCAGAAGAAAATAGCTGACCTAGGTTAATCTTCGATAACTTCCTCATTTTTCCTCAGTGTATGAGAGCTTAATGTTTTTGAATTTGTAACACCATCCTCGTTCGATGCTGCCAGCACCGAAAGGATGGGTTCCACTCCAAAGCTCAGTTGTCTTTCCACATGTCCGTAGTCAAGACGACATTCTTGAGCTCCCGCCTGAGCATACTGCGCTTTCCATTCGACAGTTTTATTCTGGAGGCCTGCTCTTCTCGAATTGCGAATGTTATGCGGGAGGTTCGGGACCACAGATCCCTCTGAGGCTTCTGTCATGTTGAAAGGATGCCATCTTGCGTCCGGAACTGTTTCGAAGGCGGTATTATTTGACATTGACGAGCCCAACATCGCCGTGATATCGACAGAGCTGCCATTTTCCGGTGGCAGCTTGAAAATAGAGCTTGCATTTTCTTCCAAGAGGTTATTCGTTGACTCGTGGCTCAAAAGCGGTTTTCTGGTTGCCGGATCCTCAGAGACCAGAGACCCGGTCAATGAGTTTAGCGACGACCTTGTAGAGAAGTGTCCTGGAGAGTTCATGAGCGGTTCGGAGTTTGACTCGTTGGTCTCGTGACTCGGGTCATCCTCACGCTTGGGAGAGACTGGGTGCTCGGGAACACTTGCCAGACTTGGTTGAGAAGCAAAGTTTGGCCGGTTCGGTTGTTTGTCCTCGTCACTGAAGGCTTGGGAAAGCGCATCGTCCATGCCATGAGAGGCATTAGTCACGTTTATGAAGGAATTGCCCGGAATTAGAGACGAGCTAATTAGCCTGGATTTTGACCGGCACTGGGAAACCAGTGGAGGCGATCTGGATCTCATATCGTCCCTGCTCTGAGAGGTAGAACGAGATCTAATTGGAACTACCTTTAGTTTGAAATTGCCTCCCAAATCGCTGCCCTCCATATCCGGGTCGTCTCTGATCCTATCAAATCTCGATCTCCGTTCATCCACGTAGTACGAAGAACGGTTGGACGAAGAGGTGTCTGGAGTTATTTGTGATTCTCCCTCTTCGCAGCTCTGTTTCTCTCTGATCGCCTCGTCGTACGACGGAGGCATATCTTTGGTTGTTTCCTCGAAATTTGGAGGCGGATCTTCGAAATCCAGGCCGTTTGCGCTGAAGCTGGAATTCTTGAGCAGCTGTGGCGACTGCAGAAGCGGCAAACTGTTGCGCAGATCTGCACTGCTGGATTGGGGTGTCATAATTGGCGAAAAAGGCTTGGCCTGTGGAGACTGCAATACAAACGGTGTGCGTCCGTCCGGCTTGTATAGGTTAGAGTCCGTGTTAATCCGTTCTCTAGACGAGAGCAGCATGTCAATAGAGTCTCTGCTTTGAGGAATTCCCTCCATTTGCTCAGAATAGGAAGGTAGCAGTGTGTTTGCGTGCGCACAGAGCGGAGACAGCAGGTGAATGGGCGAGTCGATGGAAAGCTCGAAATGCTTGCGCTTCTTAGGATCCTCTGGCGTTGGGGCGGATCTCGAGATTCGAATACAGATCTTGATCCAGTGGTGGGACTGGATATCTTCGAAAGAGGTGTCTGGGTGCAGCTTGTATCTGTCTCCGAGTTTTTCCGGCACGTAGACATGGAACTCGAGTTCTCTAGCAGAGATTTCATCTTCGCCGAGTGAAAGCAAATTGTCCTGCTCATTGCTGGCTTTGTGCTCCAATAGCAAGAATTTCTTTGGTGGCTCTGTGCGGTGGACTCGTTTGTTCTTGCAGTAGTATTCTAGGTGTTCTGTAAAATACACCTTGATCCGGTGGACTTTGATTTTGTCCAGCGGACTCAGCTTAAATGAGATTGGCAAATACGAGTTCAACAACACCTGTTTCGACGAAACAACTATCTCGTAGTTCAGCTGGTCTTCCCAATCTCTGTTGATCACGATCGGTTCGTTCTCCTCAATGGAGTCCTGAGATGGGGTGCGCACTATATTCACCGGTTTTTTTGTCGACAAACTTGACTTGAACGTCCCGCTGCGCTCTAGGAATGCCTCAAGCTGGTAATAAACCGAGCCAAACGTGACATCAATGGTTTCTGCCGCAGAGGCCGGGATCGGATGTTCAAAAGCGTAGATGTAGTCTCCTGGCACAAACAGTTTTGTGTCATCAACGCTGGCGTTCGACTTTGCTGGAGTTAGGTCGATATCTTGCTGTGACAACTGAGCGAATAATCCAGGCCGTGGCGAGCTAGGCCGCTTTCCCTTAAGCACCATTGCGAGCGGCGAAGGCGACTTCACAGGCATCATGTCTGTGAACATGTCTATTGCGCTGGTAACGGGGGACAGACCGTTGTCGAGACTAAAATTCGATGGCTCGCAGTCGGCATTGCTCTTTGGAACAAACAGATCAGCGTTGTTCCGGCTCGTCTCCGTAACCTCGTATGTGTTTGTATGGTGAAAGAAAGGCCATGTGTGCTGGATGAGAGTGGTTTGCTCAACGTGCTCGACTCTCTTGGGAGGTATTCCTTCCGGCCAGTCTGTTCGGGACGTACCGGTAAGTTTCAGCGAAATGGATTTTATTTTGACTGGTCTGAGAACGCGCACAAACAGGCACCCGCGAAGAATCGTGGGAGGTCTCCCTTTCGTCTCCTCTTCTGTGAACCCCTCCAAAAAGAGGTTTTCCTCTGCCTGGATGAGATACAGCTTAACGGAACCACTCTCTGCACTAGGCTGTGGTGGAAGCTTGATGATAGTCTCGTTGGAAAGCCCCTCCACAGGAAATAGCGGGGTCCGTAGAAGGTCTGCCATGAAATTTCTGATTGTCTCGTTGTTAACTAAAATGCTTGGTGTGCAATACCAGAACTATTGAATACCGGCCATTCAGAGGCAAAAAATATGGGTTTGGGTTGGAGCTGGTTTTTTGTGCTGCCAAAGGATGAGGAGTTCACGCTACTGACAGTGGGGTGCGATTAGTGGTTGGGACAGTAATTTAAGCTGATCTTTTTAATGACTTTTTCTTTCCCAAGTTGGAGGAGTCCTCTGATAAGAAAAAGAAATTGCGATCTGCGTTGTCGCGAAGGAATGGAAAAGCGTCGATCGACGGAAGACTTTTCTGGAGGAACGGAATTTATGGGAGCGGAATTTACGTACTTATTATGTAATAGAAGCCTAGAGCGAGCTTGTTAAATACACAATGGATAGGTGGCGTCATCAGGCAGCATAATAGCCAGCGTCGAATGCCAGAAGTGAGCAGATTTTGTGTCGTGTCGTGTAATGTGCTTGTATATAACTGCTCCGTCTGATAGGGGGTGTCACGCAAGAAACTGGAGCCAAGCAAAAAAACGGCCACCCCAACACTCCAATATTTTCTCCCCACTTGGAGGACAAACACGGGGTGTGCTACCCAAATACTCTATCTAGCATTATTTCGATTCCAAACCTTTTATGGCACGAACACGACGGACAATTGTTCGGCTCCTCGAGAAGGGGATCTATTTACTAATTTGGTAAAGCCGGCTGGACACTACCAATCGGAGTATATAGATACCCAAAGTTGCAAATTCTCGGACTTTTCATCTGCTGCAATGACTGTTTCTGTGAACTACCCTGAGGAATTTGCTGGTTTTGCCGTGCTTGACACCAAGGACTGGAACAAGCCCAAGTACATCTCGTACAAGCCCAAGACCTTTGGCGACCACGACATTGACATCGAAATTGAGTGTTGTGGTCTTTGCGGGTCCGACATCATGACGGCGATGGGCGGCGAAGGATGGGGAGAAATCAAGCTTCCGCAGGTTGTGGGCCACGAGATCATTGGCAAAGTGGTCAACGTGGGTCCCAAAGTCAGTCTGCACAAGATTGGCGACAGAGTCGGCCTGGGAGCCCAGGCTTTTGGATGTTTGAGCTGCAGACGGTGCAAGGAGAACAACGAACAGTACTGTAAGAACTCTGTCACCACGTACGACGGCGTTTATCCCGATGGCTATGTTTCTCAGGGAGGCTACGCTTCGCACGTGAGAGCACACGAACATTTCTGCTTTGCCATTCCCGACGCCATTAAATCCACCGAGGCTGCCTCTCTGTGCTGCGCAGGATTAACCGTGTACTCCCCTCTGAAAAGATACATACCTACCGACCTGCCGAATGGCGAGAAGCCAAAAGTGGCTGTGCTTGGTCTGGGAGGCCTGGGACACCTCGCGGTCCAGATTGCCGCTGCTTTGGGAGCCCAGCCATACGTTTTCTCGAGAACAGACGCCAAGAAGGAGCAGGCCTTACAGCTTGGTGCCAAGGGGTTCGTGGCCACGGGAACCAAGGGCTGGGCGGACGAGTACTTCGACCAATTCGACCTTATTCTCAACTGTGCCATTTCTCTCTCTGGCCTCGACTTGGACAGCTTCCTGTCGATCTTGAAGGTTCAGGGCAGATTTGTCTCTGTCGGTCTGCCGGCCGTAGAGGAGAAATATGACGTTTCTCCGTTCACGTTTTTCTCTAACGGCTCATCGCTGTGCTCATCAAATCTGGGATCCAGAAAGGAGATGCTGGACTTGCTGGACCTGTGTGTGAAGCACGACATCCGTCCGTGGGTCGAAGAGATCCCAATTTCCGAGGAGGGGTGCAACATTGCGCTGACCAGAGCCTGGAAGGGAGACGTCAGATACAGGTTTGTCTTTACCGAGTTCCACAAGGCCTTTGGAACGGGAAAGTAGATTATAGATTGGAACAGAAATAAGCTTCTTCAAAGAATGATAAAAGTATCACTCAAATTAAATAGTCTTAGAGAGAGCGTCATTTCCACGGCGCACGGGTAGCTCTAGGCGCACCAGACGGGCGTTTCTCCGCAAGCATCGCAAGTTCCTCTTCTCTTCGTTGGTACAGCGAGTGCATAGCGAGCTCGGCCTCACTGCGGTAGTCTGTTTTAGCGGGAGCTGTCTTTTCGGGCTCCGTGTCTGGGGAAGACTCGGGCAGAGCTCGCAGCGAAACAGCGTCTATCCAGGGGAACAGCACATTGCCAAAGTAAAAGTGCTGCACAACAGGGAATTTCGAGAGCACCTCTCCCTGGAACATTTTGATCATTCCGAGTGCTATTTTTTCCCAGGGCTTAGAGGTGCAAATTTCGTAGAGCAGCGGCGAGTGCTCACTGAAATTGCCCTTTTTCACACGCCGAATAAATCCAATAGCGTTGTAGAAAAGATTGCGGTGTGCCTGCTGTTTGGTCACCGCCGGATTCAGCACCGTCGACGGCGTGAGTCCCACGCGAAAGTTCATGGCCCTAGCGCTTTTTCTATCGGTTCCAACGGTCTCGGAATCCACCAGCTGCGAAGCTCCAATGATGTAGATCAAGTGGAAATGGTCGTCTAGCCCCCACACCCCGTGTGATCCCGCCGGTTCGAGCGTGTACGTCAGGATCAAACGTTTCACAAGATCATAATATTTGCCAAAGATGACTAGGATCTCGGTACCCTCGAGAGAGTCCTGGTCCAGCAATTGACACATAAGCAGGCTCGCAAAAAATGCCAAAAAAGATAGCTCGTGCCCTGTGCCATAGTCAAGACGCTCGCGAGAGCCGAACGCCCCTAGAATGTAGTATCTGGCTTCGGAAACAAACCCAGTAAACTGGCCGTCCACCTGGGATGCAAAAAGCGGGCGCAGGTGCAAATCAAACCAGCTGTCCACTTGCTTCTCGAGTTGGTCGTGCCAGTCGCGACACGCCATATTTCCGTACCGTCTAGGACCGGGCTTCGGCGGGACCTGATCCACCAGGAGGTTAAACTCGGCAAGAAAATCAAGCACTCGTTGGACGTTGGACGAAAGCGTTTTCTGGTCGAACTCTGTCGTTGGCCGGGGCAGATCAAGTATTGGGCTTGATACTGACTCATTAGGCGATTCCACTAGCGAGGTGTCCAGAACCCCTTCCGGCACAGTTTTCAGGCTGACCTTCTGGCAGATCAACATTAGGGCTGTCTTGATGCGGTCAATTGCCATCGAATGCAGAAAGCTCTGCACGTCCACAGAGCCGTGGATTTTTTTCGCTGGCGGCGACCACTCCAATAAGCTATGCTCTAGGTCTAATCGAGGAACAGCCATTAAGAATTAATTTATCTATTTTTATCTACCAGTTAACTGAATATTTAATAATAATCAGTGAGGCTCCCGCAGTTTGTAGTAATTTGTCGAAAAATACCACTTGTTGAAAACATGCACCAGCAGGAGATTTGCCAGCAGCGGCAGCATCAGCTTCGGTATGGTCTGCGATGCCTCCTCGTCGATGGTGAATCCATGTTTGAAGTAGAGAATAGCCAGCAGATAAGTGCAATGTAGAATGAAAATCAGCGGCGATCCGATCCTGATCGCGCTAAATCCAACCAGCGCCGTCCACGTGTACTCATCCATTGTCTCGTGGTCCAGATAAAAGTCATCCATGCCGTAGTACTTAGACGAGGGCCGTTTTCGCACCGGGGTCTCTGCTGCTGGTCTTGGTTTCTTGCCCGCAATCACCAGTTCGTCCGCAGTTTCGTCGACAGTCGCCGGCTCTGGCTTTGACACACCAGAAGAGCCTCGCTGCCGGCGACGGCCCGAGCGTTTCGAGCTCGTGATAATAGGTTTCAAATCAGCGAAATCTGCCATTGGTACAATTTTTTCTTATCTATTATTTTTCGTGCACCAACGCAGCCGACTGCCATCCTCCGGCAGCAATCGCCAAAACCTGACCGTTAACAGGAACACGCACCGGCTGCTCAACAACAATGTCATTCCCGTCCTGACGCACGCCTGGCATGGCAAGTGCGGCAGAAAGCGTCCCAAGCCCCAAACACCCGTTTTTGTGTGACTCTCTGCCCCAGGCATACAGCTCGCCTTTTCTATTTAGGGCCAAAAAATGGTAGTCCCCAACAGCCACCGAAATCACTCCATTAAACTGCAGCTCGCGGTAGATTTGCGGCTTTTCCGAGCTCTTATCCCCCAGCAGAACCTGGTCGTCGTTGGTGATCGCGCTGAACCTGTTGAATGAGCCGCTGAGCCGCACAAACCGGGTCTTGTGGCTGCCATACGCTGAGTGTTTCTCCGCGTACTCCTGAAACTTGGCGAGCTTTGAGCCACGGCCAATTCGTGGTGAGAGTTCGCGTGGCAGATCCACACGATACAGCTCGCCCTGCTCCGTTAGGTAGATCAGAAAATTGTCCAGCACGATGTAGTCGTCGATCGCGACGGTGCCGTCGATAACGCTGACGTAAGCGCGCACTGGCCCGTATTCGCCGCTATGCGGAGCAAGGCTGTCACGGCGATTCCAGACGGCAATCCCCAGGTTGTCGATGTGGCAGCTGCTGAACGACCAGCCCGCGCGGATTCGCTCAATCCGGCCCGTTACCCTGTCGCCGTTTTCCAGGTGGAGATCCAACTCGACACCCCTGCACAGCCGGCCGACGCTGTCCCACGTCCAGAGCCGGCCGTTGGTGTCGAGGCCGATAAAATGCGATCTTCCTGACCCGATCTGGCTGATCTTGGTGTTTTCTGGTAATTGTACCTTATTGACACATTTTCCTGGCTCATAGGCTGGGCGCGGCTCGCTGCCAAAATTGTAGTCTCTGGTTTTGGGCCCCGGCTCCGACAGGCCTGCCATTCCATGCCAATTGCGCCCTGTAAAATACACATTGCCCCTGGTGGTAAGCACGCAGAACGCAAACCCGCCGGCAGTCACGTCTGCAATGTATTCATCCTCAAAAGTCAGCTCTACAGGCTTGACGAGTCGCTTGCTCTGTCCGTGGTCCAATATCTCCATAGCGGCATCCTGGCTGCCAAAAAGCCACCCAAGACGACTGTACCCGTTGTTCCCAAAGGTTAGTAGCTTACAGCTTTTGCGCAGTTTGTACAGCTGGGGCCATTTATAGTATATGTCGAACGGAACGTTGTCATTCTTGAATGCCTTCCGAAACATTTGATGCCAGACAACGGCCTGGTTGAGACACAAGCTGAGGCTTTTGCATGTAAGAAATAGAGCACGGATGTCTGGCTCGTCCAAAAACGGCACTATATGGAAGCAAATGATGTCTTCATTCAAATCATGAAAGGATACCATGATGAGAATAAAGTAGCATCCCTTATTTAACAGGGCTGCGATTTTCCCGTGTACGGGTGTTTAAGGTTGCTACCGGCAATTTAGTATATGATGGTAAATGACTCTTATTTATCGTATAATCGAGTATCGTTATCGTAAATCGTAACTGCAGCTAGGTTTCAAACAAAGTCATCTCTATTTTCGAGAAAAACGCGCAAGTGGAACAGCACATCGCTCAAGTTCTTAAAGTTCACAAACTTGAAGTTCTTGTCGTAAATGAAGTTGAAGAGGAAGGATCCGATCTTGAGAAATTTGAACGGGAGCTTGAACTCAATCAACTCGTTGATAATCAGGTCTTTTTCACGGAGCACCTCTAGATCATCCTTCAAGATCGAGTTCAGGTTCTTTTCCTGCTGGCTGTAGTGCATCGTATCCCTGTTGATGATATTGGAAATGGTCAGGCTTGAGAAATCGCTCTCAAAATCATGGTAGTCGTAGTTGATTTTCAAGAAATACTCGAGATTGAGATAGATCTTGAAGAACTTCTTGTAATACTTGAACACTGTTTCGTCGACATCGGTGTTCAGCGACGAGGACGGGTTGTACACTGTAGAGCGCAGCTCGAAGTGCTGGATAAGACTAACAGAGCCAAGGCTGTTGTACTTCATTTTCATTTTGAAGATGTTCTCGAAATTGATCAAGAACTTGACAATGATCATAAAGATGTCCAGAAGCAGCTGCGAGTCAATGGACAATTTCATCAAGAAATTAAGATCAACTATTCCCAGCTCCTCGTCATAAATCTCCTTCAGTTGCTTCTCTGAGTTCTCGAGCTCCGAGTCTGCCGGCTGCTGGAAGAACACTGTTTTGAAAATATCAATGCAGTTGTCCAGCATTCCAATGAGCTCTTTTTGGTATTGGGAGTCCTTCAGCTGGTCGTCAGTAAAAATGAAGCTATTTTCGTAGAGACTGTTGATATCGCTGAAACTTCTCAGCCAGACGTTTTCTTTGATCTTATTGAAATTCATGATGTGCGACAACTTCAGGTTCAAGTAGCTGTTCAACAACTTTGCATCAATAAAAACCTCGCTATTCCTCTGGTACAATTTGCAAGCCTTGAGCAGGTTTTCCCAGTTTTGAGCCACGTTGAGCAGTTTTTGATCCTCTGAGCCTAGTTGCAGTAGAAAGTCGGAAACGTTGCCTCCTTCTGGCATTGACAGATAAAGCTGCTTCAGGTATGCCAGCTGGTGGAGCCCATTTTGGAGGCAAACAAGCCCATACTCGCTAACGTGATTGTCAAAGAAGAAATTCAATTTTCCGATCAAACCGGTTGATGGATCGAGCTTGGCGAACGGTAAGTTGATGAGATCTCTCAATACACGGTGGTAGTTTTCTGGCCTGAAATCAAAACTTTCAAGGATGTTCTTGAACTCCGCATGGCTTGTGCACTCCCAAAGAAAAGTGGACGAAGGCAGATCTGTTTTCAGGTCGTCAATCTTCAACGATGGAACAATATTGTAGAGCGTGGATAGCAGAGAGGAGATGTGGAATATCATGTGGACAGTGCGTATGGTGGACTCGTTTTCGATGAATTTTTCGTGAGAGGTTTCGTCGTCGTCTATGTTTATTGGTAGCTGCGAACTGACGGAGTTCAGGCCTGACGACTTGACCAAGGAGCATAGGGCGTTCACCTGTCTGATAATAACATTCAGGCTGGTCTCGTCATCTGCAAAAAGGCCGTAGACCACGGAAAGAGTGAGAGCCTGGATCAGCCACAGAGGCGAGGAGTTGTTGGTCTGAGTCTCAACGTTCTCGTCGGCTGAGTCTCTGTGTCTGACAAGCTTTTTGCGGGTTTCGAGATAGACATGAATGCACCGTCTGGACGCCTCGTACAGGTTGGCGGCGTCGCTCTTTCTATTTGACACGATCGCTCCGATGGTTGCAATCAGCAACGGCTGACAAACCAGAGACACTCTGGTATTGTCGATGCTGTTTTCGTCTCTAATCAAATTCGATTCAATTGAGCAGAGCGTCGACTTCATCAGAGAATACTCGTTAAGCATGGACTTGTGGATGAAGGGATGGTGGTTCAAAAACTTATTTTTGAATTCGTTGGTGTAATGATTGAGTTTTTCGTTGTCTGGAATAGTGGGAGAAGGAACTCCCAGAAAAGGATACTTGGAAAGAGACTGGTACACGTAGTTTCTGATGGTGCCGGTGAACAGGTTCACCCGTGAGTATTTCTCGAACTTATCCTTTGAGTATGCAAATTCGCTATTGAACTCTTTATCCGAATACGTTTTGGAGCCTCCTTGTTTCTGGGAGTTTTCGAGGGTCTGATTCGGGCTGTTTTGCCGCGAGTTGGCCGAGAGCGTGTTGTCCAGCAGAATAGGCGAGATCGTGGCGTTTGACGAGCACGACGACGAGTGCGGGACCGTGTTCTGGTCGCTGTTGCCGTAAAATGAGTATCCTTGAGGAACGTCGTACGTTTTGGACACGTTCAAGTCGGCGATCTCTTCCAAATCATTGATACTCTGGTTGAACAGTGTTTCTTGCCAGTGCTTGACCTTTTCATCTCCCGGCTGCGTGTTGAGGCTCGAGTCTGTGGCGGGACTTTCCTGGACCAACGGCGACACGTGGGCCTTGAAAGGCTGAACATCGGGCCTATCTTGCGGACCCAGAGGGCCTTCCACAAGCTCCTCGAGTCCGTGCGCCTGCACACCACGGTTGGGCAGAGCCGTGTGAGTAAACAACGAGCCGACGTTTTTATAGGGCACGTCGTAAAACGAGTAGCCGGTGATGTCCTCGTGGAACTCATGCGGCGAGACGTCCATGGCGTCGACATTCAAACTGGAAGACGTTTGCATTGGCACCTGGCTGTCGCTGTGGTCCATGAGGTCGAGGTTGGGCAGGCTGTTGAGCCACTGCTCGGAGTCGTCGTCGAACGCAATGAGCTGCGGCGTGGAAAACTCGACGGCCTCGGTGGCGTACGGCTCGGGCGTGGGCATGGCGTAGTTGCGGCCGCTCATAGCGGAGAATGAGGCGCGTCTGTTGACGGGGAACTCGAGCTTGTAGTCGAAATCCTTGAGACCCTTGAAACTGAAGTCGTCGTGAAGCTCGGGCACCTCCTTGATGCGCTGCTCGACGGCAACGGGCACGCTGTTGCGCTGTCTTCTCGCTGAAGGCGTTGGCTTGGTGACGGCGCTCGCAGAGGCCGAGAAGGAGCCGCGTTTGCCGCGACGCAATCCTGCTCTGCCAGCCGGCTCCGCAGACGGACTGTTGGACGCGCTCTGGTCTGTGTTGTCCTTGGACGCTGGCGAGGACGTCGACTTGACGGAGCGTCGTCTGAGCCGCGGGACGACCTCTGCGGCCCCGGCATGAAGCTTGGTGGAATGTCTAAGCAGCAAGTCTCTTCTGCTGAATTTGCGCGAGCAGATGGTGCAGGCAAAGGGTTTCTCCTTTGTGTGGGACCGCTCGTGTCTTTTCAAATGCTCCTGTCTGGCAAAGGCGCGGGTGCAGATGTTGCACACGTACAGCCGGGGCTTGCCCGAAGGCGTGGTGCCGTTCAAGGTAAGCTCTGCGGGCACCGACTTGTTGTCCTGGGACAGCTCGCTGGAACTGCGCCGGCTGGACTTGACCGAACCAAACATGGGAGGCATTTGAAACGTTTTATCGCTGTTCATAGTAGCACAAATCATCCAAAATATAAGGTATGCGAACAACGAGTCGGTTACAATTGGCAGTACATTTCAGTCGCAGGGTAATTTGGAAAATATGGAGAAGAGGGACACCCTCGAAATATATATGAACCCTCGTGTCATCGGTCAGCCCAACACCGCGAGCCGACCACACGGCTGCCGCGTCTGTGCCATTGGTCATTGCGGTGCTGCAAGAGCCCCTTTGTTGGTCACACCATTCTATTTCCCGATTGAGCTGAAACTTTTTTTACCCCACATTGGGGGGGTCGGATTTCTGTCGGAGCCAGCAAACAAAGCCAAAATTGTCAGCAATAAAGGTGGGGCCGCGTGGGGCTCGCCTTATTCTGCCCCATTCGGAAACATCTCTGCACCAGCTGCCCCCCTCGGTATCTTTTTTTTTTTGGTCATTCTCGACACACGTCATGGCAAACCTTTCAAAACCGCATACCACCGGACTCCGCTATAGCCAGGAGGACCAGGTCGACATCGCACGGCTCGCCAAGACCGTGCTGTTTGTGCTTCTCTTATCGGCCGCCACCGCCTATTTCGCCCTCCAGCTCTACACCTTGCTTGGCAACTGGCTCTATGTGTCGTGGCCCCAGTTCATGCTCGACCTTGCTGCATTAAGTATTAAGATCATCGTGTTTTACTATTTTTCCCGGTGGCTCAACGGCGTCCTACTATTGCGCCAACCCGACCCTGCAGAGCTGAAAAAATACGCCTAGTCCTCTGTTCCCTCGGCCATCTCGTTCACCGTCTCATTCTCCCGCACCACAAACGAGACCCCCATCTCGTCCAGACACGCCCGCACAGTGACGGGCTCCAGCTGCACCCCCTTTGCGTCCAGCAGCGCCATCACGTCGCTGAAATTGATAGGCCTCAATAGCAAAATGTCCCTGTACAGCGTCTTCTCTTCTTTCAATAGCCTGCGGATGTGTGAGAACATGACGCTGCGCACCTCGCGAAACGTTTCCTCCATACGCACGTGCTCTGTGTAGTTTCTGTCCAGCTCCGCCTGGCTGAGTTGCAATACGCCCTCTTTCTGCCGCAGTAGCTGCCGGCGGTCGATCATCCGCAGCGACGATGTTAGTATGTCCACCATCTGCTTCCGCGATTTCGCCGGCTTGAGTCCCCATGCCTGGATCTGCAGTTTAAGCTGGGCGGTGGTGAAGCTGCCGAAGTCCAGCTCTGCCGCAGTCAGGGGCGGCTGCGACTCTGCTGTCTCTGTAGCCGTTGCGCGCGTTGGCTGCAGTGCGTGCAAATCGTCGAGTTTGAAGGTGCCCTCCCCCACCGGCGAACTCTCCACCACCACTATCGACGCGTCGGTCTCGCTCGACAGCTCGATCGGGTCCTGCTGCGTGCCAGATACCCCCGGCTCTTCGTCCAGCACTTCGTAGACTTGTCGCCGCTGCTGGATTTTCCGCGACGCCGACGCGTGCGACTCGTATGTCGTCCACGAAACCTCGCAATCCCCGTAGTCCTCCTCGGGCGTGCACGGCACCGATCGCTCCTCGGGCTGGATCACCTGCGACAGCGTCACCACCAGGTCCTCGTCGTCCGACTGCGACGCAACAAAGGTCTTTTCGTCAGTCTCAAAGTCGTAAAGGCTCAGAATCTCGTCCCTGCTAAACACCATCGGCGGCGCAGACGACTCCTGCCACAGCTGCTTTGCGGTCGGCTGTTCGTTGTATTTTGCCGACACAAGCTCCAGAGTCATTTTAGCGCTTTTCGAGAGTTTTGGCAGACTTCGCAGGATCTCGTTGCGCACCTCAGTCCACTCCTCCCGCGAGTACACAAGACTGATATCGTGGAGCAGCGACGGCTGCTCCGGCGCAGATTCCTCGATCCGCGCAATGTTCCGTATAATGTCCTTGGCCTTACGCTTCCGCCCCGATAGAGCAAGAAGAATCGCAATGTGTTCGTTTTTTTTCCCGTGTTTTTTCGACATTCGGTCGCCCAAGCTCCTGATCTTGGGCCTTTTCGGCACCGGCCCACTACGTCGGGACCTTGGCGCCTCTTTTGCCTGCATCGCGTACTTTTGTTGTAGCAGTTCGAGTCTATCTCGCTCCTGGTCCTTGGCCTGCCATTCCTCGATTTGTGCCTGGGCCTGTGTTCCTAGCAAAAACTGGGACATGGGGAAGATGATTGAATTTTATTTTTTATTTTTTTTTCATAATTATTTTACGCGTCATGTACGGCTTGTCGCCCAACAAGTCACCAGAAAAACGAACTCCTGAAGATCCTGATGTGGAAACCAAGCGCCAAAAAACTGTGGCCACGCCAGAGGCCCCGGACGAGACGCTGACACCGAAGTCGTCGCCAATGGACGCGGACAAACACGCCCGACAGAGGCTGAAGAAGGAGCAGGAGGAGGAGCGCAGGCTCAAGCGCGAACAGGAGGCCGCAGAGCGCAAATTGCGCAAGGAACGCGAGGAGCAGGAGAAACGCATGCGCAGAGAGAAATTGGAGGCCGAGCGACAGGCCCGGAAAGAGCAGAAGGAGCGCGAGAAGCTCGAGAGACAGCAAAAAAGAGAGGCCGAGGCCAAGGCGCGCGAGGCCAAAAGACAACAGGAGGAGGAGGAAAAGGCCAGGCGGCGGGCCGAGCAGGAGGAACGCGCGCTCAAGAAGGCCGAGGCAGAGCTCGAAAAGCTGCGGGCCAAAGAGCTGGAGCAGCAGAAGCTACAGAAACAGTCCATTATGAATTTTTTCAAGCCTAAGGACCCGAAAAGCCCGACTTCCAGTCAGTCGACGCCAGAGAAAGCGGCTGCTAGTGACTACCGCACGTATTTTCTTCCGTTCAATGTCCGTCCTGGTGTGCGAATGGCGCAGAGAACGCCGCAGAGTACGCCGCAGCAGAGTGCAGAGCTAGATAAGTTTTTCCAGGGCCAGCAGACAAGCACAGCACCGTTCAGAGACTCGCTTGTTTCGAAAAAGAGCGCAGGGCTGTATGGCAAAGCATCGGATGTGATCCAGGCTTACAACCTGGGCATGGTTAAGGAAGCGCAGGAACAGCTAGACCGTGTGCCTAAAAAGTATCTGCGGTTCTACGAGAACGCAAAGCCGCCATATTTGGGCACGTACTCGTTTTTGGTGACGGATTTGAACTTCAGGCTGGCGCTGGACCCGTTCACAAAAATTCCATCGGACATTTTACAGATAAATTACGACTTTGACTCGGATCTAGAAGAAGAGGACGATGACGACGAAGGCGAGGATGTGGAGCTTGACGAGGACTCTGAGGAGGACGAAGATTGCCTGCTAGATGAGTCGTCGGACATCGAGCAGTTCGTCGAGACTGACGAAAACGGTGCTTCGACGAAGAAGACAGTCATCGGGCCTCTGGTTCCTGTGGTTAGCTGGATTGGCCAGAAAGCCAGTGAGCAGGACCAGTTTGCGCACTACTTCAGCAGCCTCCAGTATGAGCGTCTCAGACACAATATTGAGCTGCCTATCGATCCAATGTGTGACTACTGGGGCGAGGAGGAAGCACAGGAGCCACAAAGCGCTACCAAAATCATTGAGGACACGCGGAAAATTGCTGGCGCTGTGGAATCTGGACCGATGACCGTGAAAAAGAAGGTTATTACCGATGCGGCACACGTGGCCAAGCTGGTTAGCTTCATAGCAGAGAACAGCGATTTTTCGATCAACACCATGACGGAGATCGCGCAAAAGCAGATTCTGGTAGACTACTCGAAGGCAGTTGTGAAGAACAGCATCAAGGAGCTGGCTACGTTCGACAAAAAGACCAACAAGTGGGCCGTCAAACAGAGTGTATAAATAGGTACAAATTTGATGCATTTTTTTTTTTTGCTGGGTTTTCTATGTAACGAATTATATTTCCTAATTTGGATTATTAAATTGGCATGCTCTTCTATCTTGTCGGCCAGAGGAGCTACAAGGCCCGCGTTTGCAGCATAAAATTCACCGGATTTTTCTGAGTCTAGTGGTGTGTCTCTCTTCCCACAGCTCGCTCTGTAGCATAAAATATTCCCATCTCCATCCCGTTTAATTACTCGCGTCGGCCATATATTTTTCGCGTCCTCAACACGAAACATTAAAATTCTTTTTTCCTCCCACCAATGTCTTCACCGCAGACCTCGCCCGTGCACGATTCCCACCAGTCTACGGTGCCAGACTCGGCTTCGCAGACCCAGAGGCAGCCAGTGCCTTCGTCGCCTCTTTTTATCGCACCTTCCAGCGACGATTCCGCTCGGCCTTCCCAAACCCAAGGTTCCAGACAAAGGTACGGTTCCTCTCCGATCCCGTTCACCTCGTCCGAACTAGGCCATGATCTCAACTCCCAGCTTGCCCGCCGCAGCCACCACAGCAGGGGAGACGTCCACTCCTCTGACATCATGTCGTCTCCTATGAGAAGACGGTTCTTCGATAACTCCAATCCGCAAGGCACTCTGATGTCCGATTCGCAGCTTCCCTCTGAGTCTCAGCTTTCTTCCGTTCAACAGCTTTCTGACTCTGGCTCTATCAACCCAGACGAGCCCGTCAGAGTCATCTGGGGTACCAACGTTTCGATCCAGGAGTGCTCGGACAATTTCAGAACGTTTTTAATGTCGTTCAAAATGAAATATCGCAGAAAACTGGATGAGGCAGATAGCGATGACCCGGCAGACGACTCTTTGTACTACGTCAAGATCCTCAACGACATGAGGGAGTCTGGCACCACCAACCTGAACCTCGACACCAGAAACCTGCTGGCGTACTCCACCACCAAGAAGCTCTACTACCAGCTCATCAACTATCCGCAGGAAGTCATTCCGATCATGGACCAGACCATCAAGGACTGTATGGTGTCTCTTGTTCTTGACAATTCGTCCAACACGGACCCGCAGGACCAGCTGGTCGACGAGATAGAGTCGAACGTGTACAAAGTGCGTCCGTTCAACATCCAGAACCAGAAAGGTATGCGGGAGCTCAACCCTGTCGATATCGACAAGCTTGTGACCGTGAAGGGACTTGTGATCCGGTCTACACCCATCATTCCCGACATGAAAATTGCGTTTTTCAAGTGCAACGTCTGCGACCACACCGTGGTTGTGGAAAACGACCGCGGAGTGATCCAGGAGCCCACCAAGTGTCCGCGGCAGATCTGCTCGTCGCAGAACTCAATGCAATTGGTGCACAATCGGTCTTCTTTCGCGGATAAACAGGCCATCAAGCTCCAGGAGACTCCGGACAATGTTCCGGACGGACAGACGCCTCACTCGATTTCCCTGTGTGTTTACGACGAGCTTGTTGACGCCACAAGAGCGGGAGACCGTGTGGAGGTGTGCGGTATCTTCAAATCCGTGCCTGTGAAGGTGAACGCGAGACAGCGCGCGGTCAAGTCGCTTTTCAAAACTTATATTGACGTCGTGCACATCAAGAAGGTCGACAAGCACCGTTTGGGAGCCGACGTGTCGACACTGGAAAATGAGCTGAAAGAGCAGCAGGAGGTAGACGAGGTGCGCAAGCTGTCAGAGGACGAGATCGCCAGAATCAAGGAAATTGCAAAGAGAGACGATGTTTACGAGTTGCTGGCCAGGTCGCTGGCACCGTCAATCTTTGAGATGTCTGACGTTAAGAAGGGAATTCTGCTGCAGCTATTTGGCGGCACAAATAAAAAGTTCGCCAAAGGCGGCAGGTACAGAGGCGACATCAACATCCTGCTCTGTGGAGACCCGTCAACGTCGAAATCGCAGATTTTACAGTATGTACACAAGATTGCTCCACGAGGAATCTACACGTCTGGAAAGGGCTCATCTGCGGTTGGTCTGACGGCGTATGTGACCAGAGACATCGAGACCAAGCAACTTGTTCTGGAGAGCGGAGCGCTGGTTCTTTCAGACGGCGGAGTGTGCTGCATCGACGAGTTCGACAAGATGTCGGAGTCCACGCGGTCTGTGTTGCACGAGGTGATGGAGCAGCAGACTATTTCGATTGCCAAGGCCGGAATTATCACGACGCTCAACGCCAGAACCTCCATTCTGGCCTCGGCCAACCCGATCGAATCCAGATATAACCCGAACCTGCCCGTGACGAAAAACATCGATCTGCCACCACCGCTCCTATCACGTTTTGACCTCGTGTACCTAATTTTGGACAAGGTGGACGAGAAAATCGACACACAGCTAGCCCGGCACATCGCTGGCATGTTTCTGGAGGACAACATCCAGACTGCCACCAGCAACGAAATATTGCCGATCGAGCTGTTGAGCTCCTACATTCAGTACGCCAAGGAAAACGTGTCGCCTGTTTTAACTGAGGAGGCCAAGAACCAGCTGGTGAAATCTTACGTCGAGATGAGAAAGCTGGGCGAGGACGTGAGATCTGCTGAGAAGCGGATCACAGCCACCACAAGACAGCTGGAGTCGATGATTAGGCTGTCTGAGGCGCACGCCAAAATGCGGCTGTCGCCCGTCGTGGAGCTCGAGGACGTCGACGAGGCCGTCAGACTCACCAAGTCTGCGATCAAGGACTATGCTACCGATCCGCTTACGGGCCGCATTGACATGGACCTAGTCAACACGGGACAGACGTCGGCCGAGCGCAAGATGAAGGAGGACCTTTCCAAGCAGGTGTTCAATCTGCTGGACGCAAACGGCTCGCTCGCGTACGATGTGCTGTTGCACAGGATCAACGAGCAATCCTCGGCCAAAGTCGAGAATCTCGATCTGAGCGAGGTTCTACGCCGCCTGGAGGCGGAAAACAAGGTGACGGTGTTTGGCCAGGGCCACAAGAGAGAAATCAGAGTGAACAGAGGAGTGGTGTAGACAAATAAAGCTATTGATTAATATTCATTTATCCTGGTTGCGTTTTCTCGCCACCTCCACGATCTTGGCCCAGTCAACGCGATAGATCACAAACAGCTCCACCAGGCCAATCAGCAACAGCCCTGTGCCGTTGCCAATCCACAGACCGACCAGTTCCATGTCGCGTTGGAATGCCAGCACAAACGCGAGCGGAACTGCCACCACGTAGTAGCCAAGCAGGCTGAGCACTCCACCGATCGCCTGGAGTGCCAATGCCCTCAGCAGTCCATTGGCGACGCACGCGAGGCCGTCGAACAGCACAAACACGGACACCAGCGGACATAGACCCGTAATCATCTTGATAACCTGCGGGTCCTCAGTAAATAGACGTGCAATAAATTTTTGTCCAAACAGAATAAAACAGGAACTCAGCGAGGCACAAGCAACCGACGCACACAGCCCCACGCGAGTGGCTATTCTGGCCGCATCAATATTGCCTGCGCCGACGAAATTGGCCAGCCTGGTTGACGAAGCCACCGACAACGCAAAGGGAACCATGTACAGCAGCGAAACCAGGCTGGAAAGAGCCGATTGCGTGGCCAGCGCATCTGTCCCGAAGTACGAGGCCAGCAGCGTGAGAACCTCGTACGCCAGAGACTCGGCAAGAAGCGTGATTGTGCCCGGAACAGCCAGCAGGGACAGATCATACCAATGCGACAAGGCGTCCTTGGAAAACCCGTCCCAGCACTCCTCTCCGTCGATGAACATCACATAGAGCACGAGGAGAATGAACATGAGCCAGAAGTTGATAACGGCCGCGATCGGGGCGCCAATGTAGCCAAAGCCAAGGTAGTAAATCAGCAGCCAGTTGACCAGAATGTTGATGGGCGACGTGATGAATAGGATCAGAGTTCCGGCCTCGAAGATCTCCTGGGCCTGTAGAAACCGTTTCCCGTTCTCAAAAAGGATGTACGCAGGACCCCCCAAAATCAGAATTCGCAGAAACTGCTGCGAAAGCTTCACCACCTCTGCGTCATCAATAAACTTGCCGAGCACCGAGCCGCTGTACCACCAAAATAAAGCGGCCGGAATGTACAGAACCAGAGAAAACAGGCTGCATCTTTGCGTATGGACGCCGACCTTTGCGTACTGGCCGGCTCCGTACGCCTGCGGGCACAGCGTATCCAGCGACGTCGCTATTCCCTCGTAAATTGCAAGAACAATCGTGCTCGTCATGGAAGCCATGCTGACTGCTGCTAGCTCCTGTTTTCCCAGGTGCCCAACAAATATCACCGACACAAGTGAAAATATCTGCTCCAAAACAAACGTCAGGATCAGCGGAAACGAGTACTGTGCGAGTTTGCGCGACTCAGATGCCACGGTGGCGCGTTCGTGCGCAAAGTCCTCGTCAGACTCGTCTTTCAGCCCCATGTCGTCCGTATACGAGACATCGCTCTCGTGGTCTTTAAACAGTCGGTCAGCCTGTGACATGAGCTCGTCGGTGTCGTTGGCGGCCCCATAGTTCGGAAACGGAGATCCCGGGTCCGTCATGCTCCGTCTTTGGCGCTCTTCCTCCAGCCATTGGTGCACAGAGTCCAGTTCGTCATCAGTGTACTCCAGCGTAGAAGGCAAAGACCTTGAGCTCATGACAGACTCTGTATCGCCGATAACAGCCGAATGGTGCTCGGATACTAGCTGTGACCCTGTTCCCAGACTCAGAAACGATCGCTGGTCGACATCGTTGTTGTAGACAAAGAGAGGTGACTTTGTGCTGGGCGGAACAAACATCAGCGGGATCTTGCGTCGCTTCGAGTTGATGGCGGTGTTGTTCGAGTTCATGATCGACTTGGGCAGCGTGCCCAGCGTTCGCGAGAACAGACCTGTATTTCGGCGCTTTATGCTATCTCTGCGATCCATGGTAAAATATCACCTTTGTGCAATAAATTTGGAGTGCACGGAACTTTTTGGCAAACCGAGCTTTAGAGATTTGTGCCTTTGGAGATTGTAGCTTTTGAGCAGAACTGGGTGGTGGTGCTGGTATCACCAAATCAGCTGCCGCCAATGTCTGCTTGGCGAGAGTGCCGCGACACGGTGTTTGTTGTGCCTATCTACTACTGATTTAATAATCTGCCTTTGTTAAAAAGCCGAGGCTCCCTTGTAGGGTGCACAAATTAGCTGTTTTCCAAAACACCAGTATGTACGCTACAGAGCTCCCCACGCATGGCCATACACCCACATGCTTGCACCGTGGCCACACGAGGCTCGTGCCGTTCCCTGTTGTCCACCCGCATCCAAGCATGGCTGCTACGCGTTACGAGCCCCCACACAGAAAAGCGTGATTGGTGAAAAAATTATCTTTCAAACAATCATTATGTTCGCCAGACAAGCCCGCAACACGGCCAGATCCGGAATCAGATCCGTTGGTGTGAGACCAATCTCCCAGTACATCACCAAGGCACAAGGTAAGTGGACTTTTGCTCCCACAATTCTAACAACCAGGTTTCTTCAACCAGGCCATTTACTGGACAAAGGTCACCGTGGAGGTGAGCAAGCAAATCTACATCAGGGAAGGTCTGGCTCCTCCTTCGGTTGCAGAGATCCAACAGGTGTACCAGGGGCTGTACAAAAAGGCTTTGGAATTTGCTGCTCAGCCAAAGACGTCGGCCGACGGCTTGATCAAGGTCGCCAAGTCGCTGTCCAAGGAGGAGTATCTCAGATTCGGTGCCTACTTCATCCAGATTGTTGGTCTATTCTCACTTGGAGAGATCATTGGCAGAAGACAGATCGTCGGCTACCCATCTTTTGGTCCTAAAGAGCACCACCACTAGACATTAGATTAGCGCATGAGTCTATGTAACCTATATTCAACACTATAGTCAATTGCTTGAACTTTGCTCCAGCAGTTTCCGTTTCTTCGACGCCTCGATCATCTCCTTCCTCTGTTTCCGTTTTTTCCGCACCACGGCAGGAACCGTGCTGATTGGCTTGCGATCCACTGCTTTCTGCTTAATCTGTCTTTTTTCTCGCTTCGTGAGCTTCGACAGGTTGGTTTTCAGCCAGCCGGCCACCCCGTCTTCCCACCCGCTCTGCTTCATCACATTCACAATCGGCTTGATCGCCAGAGTGTCTTCCTTTGTGTAGAACGTTACTGCCTTTCCTGAACGGCCTCCACGACCAGTACGGCCGATTCTGTGCACGTACGCCTGTGCAGACGTTGGGACATCGTAGTTGATTACCAAATTGATTCCCTTGAAATCGATTCCTCGCGCAAGGACGTCTGTGCAGATCAGACACCACAGCTCGCCTTTGCGGAACCGGTCGATGATTGTTTCTCGTTGTAGCTGTGTTCTTTCGGCGTGGATCACGTCCACGTTCAGGCGGTCGTACAATAACTCGTGGAACAGCGCCTTAGCTCTGGTAATAGATTGCAGGAAGATGATCACCGGCGGCTTGAACTCTCCCTTGCGCAGCATCTCGCGCAAAGCCAGCAATTTTCCATGCTCGTTACCGCAGAAAACAAGTTTCTGCTCGATATTGGAGTTGGCGGCCTCTTTGTGGCCTATGATGATTCTGATCGGCGAGTTCATGATCGAGTTTGCCAGCTCCTCCACGCTGGATGTGATGGTGGCCGAGAAAATGGACCGCCGCAGTTTTGGGTTTGAGCATGCCGTCAGAATGCGGTCGGTCTGCTCCACGAACTTGCTCTCAAACAGCTTGTCAACCTCGTCAAAAACAACTTCCTCCACTTTGCTCAGGTCCATTACCTCATCACCGATCAGGTCGATCAGACGCAGCGGCGTCGAAACGAGTATGTCGAATTTCGAACTTGCCAGCACCCTGTTGCGGAATTTTCCGGCAATAGACTTGTTCAAAATGCCAATTTGCAGGCTGCTACCTTTGCACAATTTTGTCAGCTCATTGAAAATTTGAGCAGCCAGCTCCTTCGTCGGAGAGATCACAAGACCACGGATCCCATAATTCTTACGGCCCTTGCCTAATCGTTGCACCATTGGAATCAAGAATGCAAGCGTTTTACCAGATCCCGTTGGAGCACAGCAAATCAGGTCCCTGTCGGCCAGACAAGCGGGAATCGCCTCACACTGAATAGGAGTGGGCTCAGTAAATCCATTGGAGACAAGGTTGTCCAGAAGCTGTTTGTTGAGCTTGAAACGGGTGACCAGGTCCTCGAATGAGCCAATGGGCAGATGGAGATCGTCGCCCGAAACCTTGGCTTTGTACGATTTCCTCAGCTCTAGAGCCTCCTCAGTGGTAAGTACCTTTTGTATGGTCTCTGCAGCGGGCTCAAAAGTAGGCTGTTCCTTTTCAGGCTCGGGTTTCACCGAGTTCTTCTTTTTATGATCTTTTTGGTGGAAAAAATCGACTTCCTTCTCGATCTCACTATCCAAATTCTCTTTTTCCGCTGAATTTTTCACCGCAGGCTTGGCCAACGAAAAATCAGCACTCGCACCCTTCGTCTTCTTCAGCGACGCTCCTCTCGACAGAATGCGAAAGATATCCATTGTGAAAGCTTTAATTTATTTATTTGAAATAAATTTTTATATGTGGCAGGTGAGTGGCTAGTGCGATTAAGGCCGTGGCCGCCACACGACCCAGAAATTTTCAACTCACTTTCGACAAAAATTTTCAAGAGTGCTCTTGAAACTAGACAAGTGGTGGTGGAAAGCTCAGAATTCTGAGCCTTTGAGGGACATAAAAAGGTGTACATAAACTGGGAGAACTCAAGAATTTCAACATCACAAGAGAGAACAGCTAGAACATACACATCACACTAGAATTACGAAAGCGATGCACAGTATATCAGGATCGTTACTGCGTCTGGGAGCCAGAAACCAGCGCCAGGTGTGTATTAACGGTACACAAGTGACAGCCAAGAGAAGCGTGGTATTTGCCAAGGGCCCAAGAGTCAGAGGAGCCATCCGGGACCCAGAAGACATATTAACGGTGAAGGGAGTTAAATACGGACTAACCGAAGAAAACGTGAAGCCATTGAAGACATTTTTGCAGTCTAAACTGCAAGGCAAGTACGAGCTGCCTGACAAATTGCTTCTACAGATAATTACACACAAATCTTTTGCGCACGGTACGCAGCCGTATAACGCAAGACTGTCCTATTTTGGAAGAGAGCTGATCCAGCTGAGCGCTGCCAAGTACGCCATAACACGAAGCACAAACAATGAATATGCCATAAATAACCTGAACTTCGACTCCCTTGGATCTTACACGCAGAGCCTGATGAAAACGGACCGGCTGCTCAAGGAGTATGCGGTTGTCAACAACTTAGATGCCGTTTTTTTTAGACGTCTGGCTCTGCCGTCCGGAAAAGAAGACGATAATTACAAACCAAAAGCAATCTGGTCAACCTTGACTGCGTCATTGGTTGGTGCCATTGCCTCCCAGCACGGCAAAAAAGCGGCTGAGGAATTCATTGAGAAAGAGCTGTTTGGCGACGTTTTTAAACAGATTCTTCCTGCGACCAAGCCGGCCTCTGAATCGGCTTAGTCTGTATATAGAACGTGATATATGTACATTTCGGCATCCACTCACACCCTTGCACCATAAATCTTCTAGCTCCCCGGGTGAGTAAAAAAATTGTTTAACGCGTTAGTGTTAAAAAAGGTTGTTTTTTTTACGATCAAGCTAGTCTTTTCAGGGTCCCGAACCGATAAAGGCCCATACTGCGTTTTCCGATTGCAAATCAGCAGCACAGTTTGCCAATAAAGACACTGCTCGGACAAAACAACGCCTTTCGCAACGAAAACCAAGCTCAAATAGCTCGCGCGTTTGTTTATTTGGTAGCCCCATAAATCACGATTACTACTCGCTTTTCTTTCCATGACAGACGTGAATCGCATTTTGCACTATCACAAGGTGCTTAAGAATTTTCTGGACACCTCCTCAGATGCCTTAACGCCGGTGACCTCGTCCAGAGTCATAAAGGCTAGAGAAAAATTGGGCAAGCTCACGAGCTCACAATTCTTTGATCTGAGCACAGACGTTTACGACGAACTACAGCGGCGGACCTCCGCGGAGTCGCTGCGGCCGGCATTTCTGCCGGCGCAGTCCAATTTCCATCCTAAGCGGAACCAAGCCAGACAGAAGCTGGCGTCTCTTCCCGCGGGTCGATTCAAAGATTTAGTCAACGATGTTCTTTTTGAAATTGAAAGACATCAGTCCCAGTACATCAAAGAAGAAGACCAGATCACCAGCCGTGCTGTCGATGACCTACCGAAGGATTCAAGAGAGATCAACGATCCGTTCCAGACCAAGGCGGCAAGCGAAATGCCCAAAAGCCACAACAAAAAGCAGGATTTAGTGCTCAACACAGTGGACCTCAAAACGCCGATAAATGATAGGTTTCAGTCGTCGCCCGATACGCCCACGCAGCGAGAAATCAAGAGCACCAAAGTTGTGCCTCAAAAGTCCGAACTATCCTGGTCCAGCGACGAAGACGATATTCCTGAATACAAGCGGTCGGAAAATAGACGCTCGAACGGGTCTTCGACAGAAAAAAGCCCGGCTAAAAGTCCAGCCAAGAGCATTCCGCCACCTTCGCCAGCACGTTCACAGCAGTACACAGAGTCTTTCAAAAGCCCCGAGGCAGTGCGGTCCAATGCCAGCTACGCTCCTTCACAGAGGCTTTCGGACGGCAGAGATAAGGATAAGGACATCAAGCTATTGATGGAAGAGAGCAGCAAGATGGACAACAAGATCTCCAGTCTTGAGTCCGAATTATCCGAACTCAAGAAGCAGAAGTCCGAGCTCGAGTTTGAACACAGTCAGCTCGCTTCCTCCCACGAGCAACTCAAGAACGAGCTCAAGAAATATAATAGAATGTCTAAGGACATGAGGAAATTGCTGGAAGAGAAGGAGCAGCTGAATAAAACCGTGAAGGAGAAACACATGAACATGGTTGCCTTGCAGGAGCAGCTGAGCGGGATTTCTGACAGCAAGAACCGCCATTTGGAGACAGAGAATGCACTCAAAGACTTACAGGCCAAGCACGATACGCTCTTGGACGAGCACGGATCCGTTAGACAGCAGCTGGAGTCTGTGCAGCAGGAGAACCAGAGAATGGCTTTTGAGCTACAGGAGCTGCAAAGCCTCAAACAGGAAAAACAGACTAGCGACAAGTTGGACCGGATGGTGCAGCAACACAAGACTGTCTTGAACACCACGGAAACCAGCAAGCTCACAAATATCAACAATGACTTGCTAAAATGGCAAACTAGATATGAGGAGGCAAGATCCGAAAAAATGGCCAAGTCGCTCTCCAAGTCTGTAGCACTGTCTGCTGAGGATTTGCAGCCATTTATCGACCCCCAGGGCCTTGTCAGTATGACGCAGGCGGTGAACTTCTACTCGTCTGTGGACTCCATGCTCTTGTACGTGACCGAAGATGAGATCAGCACAGACCTCTTATTCGAACGAACGGCCGTTTTGGTGAGCCGTGCCAACGAAATTGCCAATGCAGGTAAGGGTGGGTCCGAAGACCTGGTCGACAAGAGCCGGCTGGTGCAGTCTGCGATTTCGAATGCTCTCACCAGCGCGAGGTACTATGCCATGTACAGGAGGTTTATTCCGAAGCTGGTGATCAACACTGCTGTGAACGATGTGTGCTTTGCGGTGTCGGACTTTCTGAAAGTGGCCAAGTTGAAGAGCTCTGACACTGCATCGCAGCCGGTCCAGGAAAAGTATCAGAAGCCAGTTCCTGAGCGGTTGGCTCTTGCCAATGATGTCGAACTCCAGACTCGGACTGGTTCCTCATTGGAGACTCCCATGTCTCCTGCGCGGTCTGTTTTAAGCGACGACACAGAATCGTCTGTGCGGCCGCTCCGAATTACACAGAAGTTGAGCCAGGAAGCGGCTAGTGGTTCTGAAGCTCCAAAGAAGATTTCCAAGCCTCCTGCGTTTTTGAACTCGTCGCCAGTTGGCACTCCGATTGGACAGATCCTGGTTACGCCTACAAAAACAGCCAAGGACGGATTCTTCGACCACTCGCGCAAGTCTTCGGAGGAGGCACGGGATAATTCTCAAAGGACCTTTAGTCCGACAAATAACTCCGACAAGCCAGACAAAGAGACTAGAGAAGCAAGCAAACGTTCACAGCAAAAAGAGCTGCCTATGCTGCCAAAAGAGAACCCGAGCCCCTCAAATGTCCAGCAGGAGCAGAAACCAGCTGCTGACAGCAACCGTGCCCTCTCCAAGAATGCTAACGGTAGTGTGTCGTCGCTAGCCTCAAAGTTCTCGACCAGCCAGGACCCGGAGTCACCACTGAAGTCCCATGCATCCAAGTCGTCGCCGAAAGGCAACATTCTTGCCAGGATGAAAATGCTGCAAGAGAACAGCGACAACGACAACTCTCCAACAAGAAGCAGGTCCGTGTCGCCAGCCAGATACGTCTCTGACACGGCGTCGTCCGCCTTCGACAAGTTTGGAGCGCGCAGGAGAACGAGCGTGGACAGATCGACATCGTCCGCCAACGGCACGGCCAGCAACTACACAGACAAGCCGCAGGAGGCAGCAATGCAGCCATTAAACTCGTTGGAGTTGCCAAAGCCAGAAAAGCCCGTGTCTGCGGCGCGTGGCAGTGTCTACGACAATCCGATGGCGCAGGAAGAGCCAGTCAGCAGAGACGGTGCGTCTTCTGGGCAGACGATTCCGAGCGCCGGGAGCGCCCTCCAGCCGCTAGGCGGACAGCACGACACGACGGCCGAGAACTTTGAAGTGGAGAAATTCAACACGCTGGACCCGGACAACACGCTCAAGGAGCTGCTGCTGTACTTGGAGCATCAGACCGTGGAGGTCATTGCGGCGATCCAGAAGCTCTTAGAGTCGATTAAGAACCCAAAGGCCACCAAGTTGCTACTCAAGAATGGTGCCGGCCAGATCATCGAGGTGGTCAAGCAGATGGCACAGGGAACGAACACGCTGATGGCACAGACGAGGTACGCGGAGCAGATGGGCCATGCACAGTACGTGGTGGAGGTTCTGGAGGACTGTGTGCGGCGGATGGAGGCGCTGTATTCCAGTGGAGACGAGCGCACAGACGGAGAGTATGCGGACAAAGCGTTCAAGCAGAGGTCTGCAGGCATTGCGTTTGACGTCGCCCGCAGCACGAAGGAGCTCGTCAAGACTGTCGAAGAGGCAAGTCTACGTGACGAAATTGCTGTGATCGACTCGAGACTAAACGGCGGGGCGTAGACAGAGAATGAACGTAGATAAAATAATATTGTGGTTTATTCCTGGTGGTGTCTGTGCGTAGCTAGACCATTTTGTGTGGATCCTGCCATTGGACTGAATCCAGACGACATGGATGTCCTAATGTGCGGCTGCTCCCAATCGGCAGCCACCTGCTGACAGTTGCTGCGCCACCGCTGAGATCTGGGCCCGTGGCTGATGTGATCCACCCGGATGGACGTAGCCTGTGCGAACGTTCACGGCTGTCGGAGCCGCGTGAACAGACAACGAGGCAACTGAGCTGATGAATGTGTGAGACCGGCTCTTGCTTCGTGGACCCCCCTCACCCCGCCGCATCGGTCAGATCTGGTATGCTCTGGTGATCTGTGATCTGTCAGGGTGCGGCGGCCTCGCAGCTGCGATAGGATTTTTGCAGTGGGTGCAAGGGCGTGCAAGGATGGTCAATTTGAGGCCACGCTAAATACTCGAAAGGAGCCGCAGCCGGGTGATAGGGCCTGCGTAGGGCCTGCGTAGAGGTATTTGGTAGCGGGGCCGGGACTTGGAGAGCAGGCCCAGATTGCGGCTGTGTGCAAAGCCTATAAAGCACAATATATATCTTGAGTGTGCAGCGTTAGCAGAGGCGGTCTTCGGCAACATTTTGGTCGAACTGGTGATCAGACCAGACAGCCGGCCGCGAGACGTGTACAACACAAAAACTTCTAGTCGTGCAGATCTGGGGAAACTTGGGGATTGAGAAGAATAATTTATTTGCTAACTTGTTTTGGTGTCAAAAAGAATCTGTGTGACTGCTGTGTTTAAGCGAGTGAGCATTTCTTTGCTAGTTTACATTTGGAATATATAGTGTGCGCAAGTTCGGAGGCTGGATTACACGGAGATTGCATTTTTTTTTCTCGCAACGTCGTGAGTATACCCAACAGATAATCTTGTGGCCGCAAACAGGGGACTGTGTTAATAAGCTGCTGAGCATCTACAGATTCTGCACAGATACAGAAACAGAAAATCCGGGCGAAGCGCAGAGTATAAGGAGCGAAAAGATTTGGAAGCTGGTAAGATAAGATGAACGGGGCGACCTTGAAACCGGAAGCCGGCAGTCGGGAGCTTCCCTCGATAAAGGATCTTTTCCCCACATTAGAGGGCAGCTCGATTGCTCCCAGAAGTCAGAGCATGACCGAAGGGGTATATATGGCTCCGCCAGTCGGATACGTGCCGCCGGACTTCAGTCTGGAAAGAGAGCTGGGCAAGCTCACGAAAATCAGCATGGAAATCCAGCAGATCCTGGAGAGCTCGAAAAGTATCGCGCACGTGCCGCGCGAACTGCTCGAGAGCGGAGCCCAGCAGGCAGATCTCCTTCACTCTATTTACCATTCGTGGATGAGAACCCGTGACGAGGAGGCTGCACGGGCACCGCCTCGGCAACACGCACATTCCCGGAACTCGTCGATGCAGTACACATTCCAGCCGACAGTTCCCGTGGGCTCGGGCGGCGCCCCGATGCCACTTCTTCTCAACCCGTCAAGATACCAGAATATGGAAGAACAGGCCGCACGGACGCTTTCGTCGATGATCGAGGTGTCTCCTTCGCAAGCACACCAACGTACTTCTTCGTATCCAACGGACGACCGACTCACCACGCCGCCGGTTTCGCCTAGTTCTTTTTCTGTTCGCAAACTCAAAATGAAAAAATCTCCAACAGGGACAAATAACATCTCTGCACAGTTGGCGCTCGAGGCCAACGTCGACAACGGGAATCTTGCTGAAATGGTGACCAACGAATGTCTACATTGTCAGTCCAAAGAAACACCCGAATGGAGACGCGGGCCCGAGGGAGAGCGCACGCTGTGTAACGCGTGCGGACTCTTCTACGCCAAGCTGTGCAAGAAATATGGCGAGGAAAAAGCCAAGGATATTATGAAGGAGCGCAAAATCAAGGGAAGTGAGACTGACCGACGGGTCAGTGTGGGATTTTGAAAACCGTTAATCGTAATGATTAACTCGACTGTAATAATGAGACACTGATTTTTTTCGAATTCAAATACTTGTAGCCAGGTTGTTGACCACGTTGTTGAAAAATGTGAGGCCGCGCACAAAAGTTTCGTAGTCATTGTCCTCAATAGGCTCCACGAGTCCAGGCAGTTGCTGGCCCGCATAGCCCGTGTAGCGTCCGCTTACGTAGATAATATGTCTGAACCATGGTCTGTCCTTCAAGCCATCGGGATTCAGGAATTTGCGCTCGAAGTAGTTCAGCTTACGGTTCGTCTTGACGATTTTCAATTGCAATGCAAGTTTCTCCCACCAAGACAGACTGTCCCAGTTGTCGTACTTTGTTTGCAATTGCACTGCTTCCTCATCAAAGGAGATGGCAGCTTTTTTTAAAGAAATAATGTTTTGCTCGGTGTCCGAGAGCAGGTCGACCAGCTTGCCGCCCTTCGAACAATGTCCTATGGTTCGACTCAGCCAATTCTTAGGAACCTCAACTTTCTCGTAAAGCCGCTGGATTTCGGAAGCATAGTCAGAGGCCTTCATTTGGTACACTTTGGTCTCACTGAGCTTCAAAACCGACAGACCCACGTATTTTGCCATGAGATTATGGAAAACAAAGCCAGGATCCGCTAAACTCTCTATCCAGTGGTAAGAATCATAGACAGAATGGTAGTGATAAACAGGACCGGTGCGGTTGCTCGTGAAACCCATGTCCACCGATGGTATGCCCAGATGGTCCAAGAACACTGTGTAGTAGGAGCCCGATCCAAGGGACTTGAAGGTGTCGTTTGTGTTCTCCTTGAAATGATCGTACAGTGTCTTGTCTGTGCCAGGATACTCCAGAAGATCTGCAGTTGATCTCAGCACTTCGTACAACATTGGCGAGGCTCCGAGTTCCAGAATGTTACCAACAGCCGAAACGTCCATGTTGAAGTAAGCAAGAGTCTTTTTAGAAAGATCGTGCGCGTTGTATTCGCCAAATTCGGTGGATCCAAGCAATCCGTACTCCTCGCCGTCCCAGGATGCCAGCATGATGGTTCTTTGTGGCTTCCAGCCGGTTTTTTGCAGATTGCCTAAAGCTCTGGCAATTTCAAGCAGCACAGCAGAGCCCGTGTGAGGATCTCCGGCAGCAGGAGTCCAGGAGTCGCGGTGGTTGCCGATGATGATCACTTCGTCTTTTTTGTGTCCTTCAATCTTGCCATAGACATTGTAAAGATTAGTGATGTTGAAGTCCTGCTCGTTTGTCAGGTGCAGCTTGTAGTTTGGATTTGGTCCAATAGATGCGTAATCGTAGCCAGGTACAAGTCCTGCAGGCCAGGACTCGACCTTAGGACCATGTCCTGAGAGTTTCTGCAAGATAGGAATAACTTCTCTATAGGAAACAGGAATCGCCGGAATTCTTGGGGTCGTCAAATGAGGACTCGACCTAGTCTTGTTTTCTCCTGGTTTGATGGCATAGCCTGGCGTGGTGGGATCGCCGGGAAACACAGAAAGAAACTGAGAAGAGCCGCGCTGGATCGCGCTCGGGTTTCTTGCAATTCCTTCAGGATAGGCCTTGTAGCCGTTCGCCTCAGTCACCTCTCCATCATCTTTAGGGTCTGTAAACAGCAGGGCGGCCTTGAAACCAAAATCCTGCGCAAACTTGACCTTCAGGCCTCTGAAAATCTTGCCGTATCTAATCACCGCTATCTTGTCTGTTGCGTTCACTCCTAGTTCGGCCAATGTATCGAAATCCTCTTTAGTACCGTAATTGCAGTAGATGTACTCCCCCACAACATCGCCAGAGGCCGCATAGCCCAAAAAGGCAGGCACACTTTTCAGGGAGGTTGGGTCTTCTTCCAAAATGTCTTCCTGAAGAGCAGCCTTGAACACAACGGAACCGTTGCTGGCACTCAAAAGATCCAGCGATTGAGACACAGGATAGCTAATATAGGTAGTGTAGAGGTCAGTTTCTACCTCCAGACCAAATTCGAGGAATTTGTCTCTTGTCCAATTGGCTAGCTTGATGTTTGCCTCCGTGCCTGGGAATTGTGTCTCATTAGAGTACTCTTTTAGCCATGTACCAGCATAATTCTCTTCCAGTGAGCCAAGATAGCCCATAAAAGTCTTGTGAACGGGATCTGGTTGAGCAGAGCGGTGAACTTGGTCCAGGGTAAACCGACAGAACAGCCCTAAGATAAGTATCTGTAGGACAATCACAATAGGGTTGCGGAGCCATTGATAATCTCTAACTGGCTTTCGAAGAATATCTGGAGTCTGTTGTCCTGCTTCAACGTCCAGAAATGGCTCCTTTTTCTTCAATTCTTTCTTGTCCGTCATGTTGTACAAGGATGAGATAATAAAAATTGATGCAGCTAGCCAAAAAAGTGTTGCTACCGACGCGACGAACACATATCATCCGACGTCAATTAAAAAAAAAAAACAAAACACAATTCTGTATTTTTCTAACAGACAATTCTGTTCCACTGGGTTTGGCATTTCTATAAACTTAGCCTTTACAGGCAGGCCAGCTCTGAATAATCTGCATTACTTGAACACATCTATCTAGTTTTCCAATAGCATGAGTTCAATCTCTTCGCTCCCGGCAACGAAGATCGGGTTCAATCCCATAAAGCTGATATTACGACTTTATGCTGAATTTTTGGCCGCTAAGAAGCAGAACAACATGCTGGTCGAGCTTAATCACGACATCAAACCCACACTGAAACATTTCAGAAACCTCTCCAGAACCGCCGTCATTAATCTCAGCATCCTCGGCTCTGTGTTCCTGTTTGTGCTCTATGTGCTTCCAATTTCCTTCTTGCTCAAGCTTATGTTGGGCCTTGGACTTGGCCTCCTAATAACCGTCCCACTACTGTCGCAGTTCTTCCTGTTTGGCCTTCCGATCCTCGCTTGGGTGTTTTTGTTCTTCTCTGCAGGAAAAATCCCAACCAGCTGGAAACCACCCATCAGTGTGAAAATCCTGCCCTCTATGGAAACAATTCTATACGGCGATGACCTTTCGGACGTGCTGGCATCGTACACATCTAAGCCTCTGGACTTTATCGCTTGGTTTCCGTACGGAATAGTGCATTTTGCAGGCCCCTTTATTGTGGCCGCCCTGGTCTGGCTTTTTGGCCCGCCAACCGCCCTGCGCTCGTTCGGATGGTCGTTTGGATACATGAACCTTGTGGGCGTGGCGATCCAGCAGATATTCCCTGCCGCTCCTCCGTGGTACAAGAACCTGTACGGACTGCAGCCGGCCAATTACGCCATGAAGGGCAGTCCTGGAGGTCTGGGCCGTATGGACGGCTATTTTGGGGTGGATCTGTACACCACGAATTTCAGCAACGCTCCGGTCATTTTTGGAGCGTTTCCGTCTTTGCACTCCGGCATTTCCACGATGAATGCATTGTGGCTTTCATACCTGTTCCCCAAGTACTCTCCGTACTTTGCTTGCTACGTGTGCTGGCTCTGGTGGTCCACGATGTACCTGACGCACCACTACTTTTTTGATCTCACTGCGGGCTCTGTTCTGGCAGTGACGTTCTTTTTCGTTGCCAAATACCAGTGGCTGCCGTTGAAGAAAGCCGACTGTTTCTGCCGCTTTAATTACTACCGACTCGAGTACGAGGACACGCTGCGGGACGACCCACTCAACTATGAGTTGCGCCTCAGCATGGACGACGCAGTGGAGATGGATGACGCCACGTCCAGCGGGGAGTCGACCCCCGTGGACGACGACGCGACGGTAGAGTCGAGTCTTTTTACAGCCTAATGCATAATGATAATAGATACTCAACTATTTAAATCGATCAGGAGGTTCTGGCTTGCATCCGGGTGCTCGTTCTGGGTCTGCTCCTGTCTCATTTCGCGCGGAACATCGTCATTCTCGTCATTCTCGTTATGCTCGTGAGTTTCGTTAAAATCGTCATGGTAGCTCGAATGCGTGTAATTCTGCGACGCCAGACTAATCCCCCCCGATGACCGCGACTTGCGGTGGCCCGGCGACCCCGGCAGATACCGCGCTACGTTGCTGGACAGCGTCGAAATCCGCGACCTGGCAAATGGGTCCTGGTCCTCCTCGAGCCGCAGCGCGTCCGAGCGTCCCACGTCGAACTGGTCCTCATCGTAGAACAGCGTGCCCGAATTATGCCGCATCTTCTTACTGGGCTGGAACTTCTCGCGCTCAGCAGCCAATTTCGCCTCGTCGGTGGCCAGCTCCACCACGTGACGTGCCATCTCCTTGATCTGCTTCTCGTGATTCAAGTCAAGCCCATCGTAGCTGAGCGTCACCTGGTAATGCTCCAATTGCACCACAGGATCGAGATCTACGCGAATATCGTCAACAATGTCGAAAAGCTTGACACCGTCATCCTCCTGATAGCAGTACAGCAAAAGATGTTGCAGCAGCTGTAGGCACTTGGAAATGATGACAAACTCATACCCGCGCGTTAAAAGCGTCTTCTTGAGAGAGTTGAAGATGCCCTGCGTCCCCCGGGTCAGTCCGGAGTACTCCTGGATCCGATGGACTATAAAATCAATGGCTTTTTTGGAGATGCTCTGGCCAGACTCGGCTGTCTGGGAGCCCGCAATGTGGTCGGAAACATACTCGGGATTGGCGTAGTTGAGGATCCACGAGCAAAGCTGATTTTTCTGCTTGGATGTGGGGCCCCAGGGATCCGTGTTGGTGGCCTCCCGGATCAGTATTTCCAGGTTGGAGTAGCCGGAAAAAGCTGCGGTTAGAATATAGGAGGAATTGCCAAACATACCATTCTGGAGCTTTCTTGTCTTCTGTCGGATGTCGTATAAAGAGTACGAGGACATGCGGCGACCAAAGTATAAGAGGCAAAGTATTGCTCTTCGGCATGAGAAGACACACCTAAAGCCCGAATGCAGGCGGACACGCCGATCGACGCGTCGAATACTACAAACATATCAAGGACCATCGTTTAATCACTCATTACTTACAGCTCACCAGAGTCGGTGATCTCGATCCTGGCACGGGTGGCGCCGGATCCAGAGCCGAGCTTCTCAATGGCCTTGACAACATCGTAGCCCTCGACAACCTCGCCAAAGACAACGTGCTTGCCGTCCAACCACGAACATGGAACAGTCGTGATGAAGAACTGGGAGCCGTTGGTGTTTGGACCAGCATTGGCCATCGAAAGCAGACCCGGCTTCGAGTGCTTGTGGTTGAAGTTCTCGTCCGGGAACTTGGAGCCGTAGATGCTCTTGCCACCGGTACCGTTGAAGTTGGTGAAGTCTCCACCCTGCAACATGAAGTCTGGAATGACTCTGTGGAAGATGGAGCCCTTGTAGCCAAAGCCCTTCTCTCCAGTGCACAAGGCTCTGAAGTTTTCGGCAGTCTTTGGAACGTCATCGTACAAGGAGAACACGATTTTTCCTAGTGGTTTGCCTAGGCTGTTAGAATGTTCAATGGCGCCAAAACTCCCGCTTGGGAGCTCAATTGCTCTGGTACATACCGTCAGCGGCAACGTCGAAGAAAGTCTTGACCATTTTAGTTAATAGATAGATGAAGAAAGCAATGCAATTTGCCTCGCTAAAATTTTGCACCCGTGGCCTGGCCACCGCGGTGAAACGGCCGGGTAACCGCTTTGTGCCTATCGGGCTGGAATTTTCCAGTGCGTATATACAGGGTCTATTGGATGTAGAGCAGGAACCGGTTGACTGTCTTGGCGAACGTTTCGAAGCTGGCCGCGTCCATTTCCGGCTCTGTTTGCGGCGCCAGCAGCGATGCCTCGAACCGCTCGTTTTTTCCGTTCGAAACCACGTCGTACATGAGGTGGCAACCGTCGAAGTCCAGCTCAATCGACCTGCGTCTGTTGATAGCCGTAACGAGGTAATTGGCCGGCTCCTGGTCCTTGGCGAGCCGGATGGGGATCTTGCGCGACACCAGGGTATTGACCAGCTGGTTGAGAGCGCTGGTGTCTGACATATCCAGCATGTTTGAGGAGAGCGAGTTGATCACGTTTTGCAGCGGTCTCTGGGACGGCAGGCCGGGGTCATAGGGATTGGAGCCGTCCAGAAGGACCGAGTTGCACGTGGACTGGAACATGACGTCATTGTGAAGCTCAGGGAGCGCCATTGCGCAATTGACCTCGTTCTCGTTCACGTAGATGCTGCAGGACGACAGGTCGACCTTATTTTTTGAGATCTGGAACCATATCTCGACATTGGGCAGCGTGATGAAGTTATCGAAATTTCCGTAAGCGTCAGGCACCAGCTTGATCTGTAGCGAGTGCTCGAAGTTGTTTTTGATGCCTCCGGCAAAGCCGAAAAACCGTGCGTTTTTGTCGTACAAGTTGAGCATGCCGATTTTTTTATTGATCTGGGGCAGGTTGGCGTGGAAAATACCGGCACTGGCGGCGTTGTCGTTGACCAACAGCTTGCCAAACGCTGCGCTGAATGTTCTGGGAAGCCATGATTCGCCTCTTTGCACCTCCGGAGTCAGCTTGGAGTAGATTTCCCGACTCTTGGCCAGCCACGGAGCAGACGAGTCGGGGACAGAAATCTCGGCCGGCGAAAACGGCCTTGTCTCCTGTTTCTGGTCCAGGAAGTTGTACTGAAACTTCTCTGCTGCCTCGACAACCTCAGACCGGAGCTTATCGACCTCTTTCGCGAGCGACTCGGGGTCAAAATTCTCTTCAAAAGACGACTCTTGGGCCCGTTTTTGCGGCACCTCGTAGCGATACAGCGGGCCAGCAGCCCACCATGGCAGCGTGGAGTCCTGGTATAATTTTCGGTGCTCCGTGGAGGCACCGGAAACGTCTATGTGTCTATGAGAGGTGGCGGAAAAGTCTGTGGCGGCCAATAACAACGACTTGGCCAGCTGCAAATTGGCAGCATTGAATGTGCTGAGCTGGTATAACTTGTCTTGCTTGTTGATTTCCTCAAAGTACACGTTGCTTAGTTTCTGTAGCTCCGCAATTGGCATGTCTCGGTGCAGTTTATGAGTGTAGAACGAGGCCAGTTCGTTGAGATGGGCCACGGACGTGCTCACGTGATTCAGCAGATAGTTCCACGAGGCCTGCACAAAGTTCACAAGCTCCTGGTTGCCACGCACCGTGAGACGAGAAAGACCGCGGTTGAGCTCGAGCCGGGCACCAAGCCTGGTCCATGACCGCATGAGGTAGCCAGAGTGCGACAGCAGCAAAAACGCTTCTTTCTTGCTCTGCAGCGTAATCTCCGTCTGCTTGAGCACCTCGACGGGCGAGTCTTCGGAAATGGCCACATCCCAACATTTTTGGATTATATACTGGGCGAGCTTCTTCTTGGTGGACTTGGCAGCGGGAGGAGAAACATGCTTGTAGCCAATGTACTCTAGAAGCTGTGATTTTTGATAGCCCTTGACCAGCTTTGATTCAAGCTCTGCGTGAGCTTTGACCGAAATTGCGCTGTTCCGCGGCTGCAAATTGTCCAGGTCTTTAAACAGCTGGTTGTCTGTGGACGGGATCTTGAAGACCATAAGATTTTTCAGTCCCTTCTCGAACTCAATCATGTCGAGCCGTTTTTTTGACCGCTCCGAGCGGCCGGACCTGCCGCTCTCCAGCGTTTCCTTGATGTTTGTCAGTTTCGATTTTTTCTGGACAGAGGGCTTGAGTATAATATGTTCCTCTTCGGGCAGCTTTTCCCACGGCAGCGGCTCGTCGAAGACATGCGGCGAGGCTTCATCACTGTTCACTGTATCCGCCTCATCTACTCGCTCGGATAGATGTCTGACAAAGAGTAGCCGTGGTCGGCAGAACACTGTTCTCGGGATACAGTGTCTTAGCATGAAAAATAATTAAAAGAAAAAAAAATAAAATTGTTTTTATTCAGATCAGAGATTTTATTTAGAACGTGGAAGCCATGGAAAATGGCATTCCTGATATTTATCTGGGAAATTCCAGCGACGAAGACTCACAGAGCTCAATTGAGGACGAGACTCAGAACATAGAGCTGAGCTCTAGCGATCCCGAGTCTGATGCGTCGATCTCGTCGATCGACGATAGCTCAGATTCATCAGACTTGTCTAGCACAGATTTCCAGGACGCGAGCGAAATCATTCAGGAGCCGGCCAAACTTTCGTACTATCGGCTGGAAAACAAACCGAGGCTCTTTCAGGGAAACATCAACTACCTGCGATTTTTCCAGGCCGAGAAGCGCAGATTTCTTTCGTATACGAGTCCGTTCGGACGCTCCAACCTGGTGGGAACTTATGTGTCGACCGCAGGTTTTAGATACCGACGCAAGGATGAAGTTAATGAAGCGGGCACGTACTGGTCGGCGGACGACAAAGACACGTTCTTCGAGCTTCTGGCGCGCTATTCCATCCACAGAGCCGACATTATACAGGAAAAGCTACCATCGAAATCAATCGCGGATATTTTGGACTATTACAAGCTACTGAAACGCGAGCTACAACAGTACAAGCGACACAAGCGACGATTGCTGAAACTGGTGTCGTACGACGAGATTCCTGCGAGTTACGAAATGAGCAGCGAGTTCATCGAGATGGAGGAGTCGCAGGCGTTTCTCCTCAGGTCGGTGGCCAACATGCGGGACTCGGACACAAATTTCCGGTTCAAAAAGATGCATCCAGGCTTGAACGAGCAAGATCTGCTGGACTACGAGCGCATGGCGGACATGGCTAATGCTCTGTATGCGAATAATCAGCTCCTGGATCCTGCTACCGGGATCAAACGCAGGCTGTCCAAGCCGATGGTTTTGGACGAAGAAACAAAGTACATTTTGCGCCATGTTGCGAAGAACATGGCCTACGAAGTGGTTCTGACTGTTCTGGAGGACAAAATCGAGGCTCACGACGAGTTTGAGATCACGCAGAGCGACGTGCATCGCGCTTTGGCCCAAATGAAGGTGCGCAGACCAATTAAATTGAAAGATTACTGGTCGAACATTGGCTGGAGATTGGGGCTGGAATTTGGGCGACAAATGCCAAGCGGACGACAGAGGCTAAATAAGCTGGTTCCGTACGAGATCAACGGCTTGGAGGAGCCTCGCCAAAAGGAAAAGACACCTATTTTCGACATCGAAGGAGACGAGATCGAACAGGTGATGGATGGTGCTCTGCCATTTGAGAGCGCCGTTTTGAACCCGACCCCGGTGAGCGAGCTTTCCCAAAAACCAGCCGTGGCTGAGCCAGACGAAGTTCTAAGCGAGCAGCTGCTGGAGTTGGAGACAGCGCTGTTAGAGAGAAAAGATCATGAGGAGTCCGTCAAACAGGAAAATTGGCTGCTACATTATTTGAGCTGTCGTGAGAACGAGATCATGCAGAACGACGCCGATCTTATCCACGAATACGTGGAGAACAAGTACCGTGACCACGAGCCTGCGGAACTGCCCAAAGTTCCAGACCACCCGCACATCACCAACGAGATGTTGTTTCTACACTCGTTCGACTATGCAAATTACGAATCAGATTAAATATCGTTACAACTCCTCGTCCTCTTGTTCTAGACCCCTTTCGAATATCTCCTTTCCTGTGAGCCTTCCCTGATGCACCTGCTTGAAGCGCTCGTTGAGCCTGGAGTCGATTCCCATCTCGGCACGGAACTTCAATCTCCACTGGGCAAAGTTCTCCTTCGTCACCTTGGTGCCGGAAAACTTTTTGTGTTCCTCGTATTCTCTAGCGCGGCGCTCTTCCTCGTACTTCTTCTCCTGTGCGGTCACTTTATCCTGAAAAAGTGTCTCGGCATGTTCTTTGAGCAAGGACGTAAGCGTGAATATGCTAGGCATACCAACGTTTTCCTCGGCGTTCTGGTTGACAAAGTCCAGCAGATCCAGCAAATCGTCTCTGTCGAACTCGACGGTCTCGGAGATATTGAGTGTGCTTTCGGGCGCCTCATCATGCTCCTGTTCAATGCGCAATTGCGGAACCACCTCAGGATACGTCTCTGGGTACTTGACGTCGAGGATTAGGGTGTGCTTGCGGTCTGTGCCGGTGTCAAGCAACAGCGACACGCGAAATTCTGTGTCTGATACTATCTCCAGCTCGTCAGGATATATGCTCTGTAGAATCTCGATCTCCTGCTTTTGTTCCTCAAGATAGTCCATGTTGGAGAAAAAATAATTTATTTCAATTTTTTTTTTTTCACAGAAACATAAAAAATTAATGTCTTTACAACAGGTTATCGTGGAATCTGCTCAGCTCCTGGAGAACCAGCAGCCCGAAAAAGCCGTGGAGCTGCTGAGTTCCAAAGAAAGCGAATTTCACGACTCACCACTTTTTTTGCAGTCGTTTGGAGAGGCACACTTGGAAAATGGAGACGTTGAAAGCGCATACGATGTACTGAGCAAAGCCTGCAAGTTGGACCCAGAGGCCAAAAGTGGTGTGGAGAAGTTTTTATATCTGGGCCAGATAGTGGGAGCAAATCACGGTGTGGACCTGTTGGAGACGGGGGTGAAGAGATTGCTGGCTCAGCTGGAAATGGTCCAGTCGGAAACTGCACAGGAATTGGACGAAAGCACGCAGCTGCTGTTTGCAGCATATACAGAGCCCGAAAAAGTTCAAGACTATCTTCTCAAGAAACTGAATCAAGCACTGTTCGCGATAATTGAGATCTGGATGACCGATCTCTGCATGGAGCCAGCCGCAGAGGAAGAGTGCGAGAAATGCATTCAGCTGGCTCTCAGCCTGGACAACACCAACGGAGAAACATGGTCGTTACTGGCAAGCATCCGCATTTCGCAGCAGAAGACACAGGAGGCGCGCGAGGCCGTGCAAAAATCCTGGGAGCTTTTTGAGCACAAGAAAGCTTCCCTGGAGGAGTCTAGCGAGCCCGAGTCTCAGATGGAGTACATAGACCTGTGCCAGCCGCTGACAACGCTCTCCAAGTATGCAATTGAGACGGGACTCTTCGAATTGGCGACGGCTATAGCGTCATCTGTGCAGGATATTAATGAACAGAGTGTCGAGAGCTATTATTTGGAAGGATTCGCATATCTTCTGGCGGCCAGAAGAAATCAAAACGGCATTTCCGAGGAGGAAGGAGACAAAGTGTCGATCAACTATGAACAATATCCACTTAAAGAGCGCGACGAGACGGTCAGAGAAGCCCGCCTGGCGCTGACCGAGGCATACAAGTTGCTGCAAGTGGACAGTGTTGCTGCCGAAACGGACAGAGACCTTGCCAACACGGTGATGGAGTTGCTAAACGAGCTGGGAGGTCCGTTATTCGAAAAAGCCAGCAAAGAAGACGCGGACCTGGAGGAGCTATTGGAGAACGAATAGTGATTAATGACTGTGTAGACGATTATTCTGTGCTGGTTTCCCGATTATCTGTATTTTGCTGTGTAATTTTGAGATCTCCGAGCTCCTGAAGAATCCCTGGTAGAAACGGCTTGGCTTGTTGCTCCTTTGTTTTGTCTGGCTGTGCATCGTGGTGTTTGTGTTGCTCGCTGTCGTCCGGCTGGCCTGCTTCTTCCAGCTCGTCGTCCAAAATGCTCACGTATTCTGACGGAACAAGCCCTGTTTCTCCCGACTCCGGATCGTGGGCCACGAGCCACCCCTCGCCGTACTCGTAGTTGATGATTATGACTTGATCTTGCTCCAGTTTCAGCTCGTTCTCATTTTCTGGCTCAAAAGGGTACAATGCCACGGCCTGTATCACGCGCTCGCTGGTGTCGTCTATGTAGCCGTCGGTGATACCGTAGTGGAGTGGGTGGTCGGCGTCGTAGGCAAAATCTTTTATGGACACGGAGGACATTAAAAATAGAGAAAATTTATTTTATTTTTATTTTAGTTTAATCATTTATAATGACTACTGCGCACCGGCCGACTTTTGACCACGCTCGCGGCCGCGACAACGTGCGGTCCACGATTATTCACAAACGGGCAATGCCGGCGCACATGGCGATGAAGTACCGGCGAGAAAAACGGGCGACGGACGACGACTGGGACGGGCCGTCGGAGTACGAGGTGGACAAGAGCGAGGTTCAGCAATTGCGAAGCGAATTGGAGAATCAGAACAGGGCCAAAAACGAGGGCGAAAATGAGGAAAATCAGCCGGAGATTGACGAGTTAGAACGCAGCAAACAGCTGTTATTGGAAACAAAGGATATAGACACAGATAGCGAAAGCCAGAGCGAGAGTGAAAGCGAAGAGGAGGAGGATGAGGAAGAAGACGAAGATGCTGAGTTGCTGCGAGAGCTGGAGAAAATCAAGCGCGAAAAAGAGGCTCGGCAGGCCAAGCAGAAAGAGGAGGAGCTAGCTCGACGAGCCGCGAGCTCGAACCCGCTGGTGCAGTTCAGTGACAGCGTGCACAAGTCGTGGCGGTCGACGACATTCAGAAGAAAGGAAAAAGCCAGCAGGCAGGACAGCTACGTCAACGATATGCTCCGCAGCGATTTCCACAAGCGGTTTATGGACAAGTACGTGAAATGACGATCTATTACGTTCTATGATTGGTGCCACAGTCTTCTAAACATAGCCTTGGCGACCTCTTTGAGGAAGGGCCAGCCGTTGTCGCTTCGAACGGCGTCGCCATTCTCCTCGAGTCTGCGCAAGAGATACTCCTTGGTTTCCTTCGGAGGGCCCCACGGAACGTATTTGATCACGTTCTTGACGTCGTACCTGTTCATCAGCTCGAACGTGATGTTGTCGGCCATGCCGAGCAGCTGGCCGAGGACGACGTTGGCCCGGACGCGCGCGTCGGCCTTTTGCAGCAGCTGTGTGGCCTTCAGTTGCGACTCTCTGTTGTGCGACGCAACAACGAGATGCCCCACGGCTGGCTTTTCCGAGCTCATGTTGGCGATCGAGGCTGCGATGCCTGCGTCGTAGTTCTGGTCGGTATCCTGTTTTGTCGCGAAAATCACCGTTCTGTCCGGCTCTGAGTGGATATATGCACCTCTCACGAGCTTCCAGCCCAGCATGTAGCCGTCCTTACGTGCTAGCCTCTCTTCTTCAGCAAGAATGTGGCTTGATTCTTGCAAATACATCTGGACAGTGCCAATAACGTTGACTTTGCCATTGTTGAACTCGCGAAACAAGTCTCTCTGGAGTCGGTAGACGCCGTGCTGGAGATCACTGCGCTCCGCGTCGATTACGGCCGCCACGAACGGAGCCGTTCTGCCTGGGTACTGTTTGGCCAGTTTCTCATTTTCCTGTGCCACGACACGACAAATGTCGCGGCAATTGCTCAGCAGCTGCTGGTACCCGGCGTCGTACTTGGCGTCGTTGTGGTTTCGCAAAATCTCGGCCGCGTTTTCAATCAGGCCCGTCGGCTTGAGCGCAACGTAACCCGGCGGCACAGAGTTGATGTCCGCAGCCTGTGAGATCATCTTGGCCGTGTGCGGAACTAGCACCTGCGAAATCGACTGCTGCGTTTGCTCGACGATCTGGCTGACCGGCACCGACGTCTGGGCGCCGTCGCATGCCTCAATCGTCAGCGACAGCATCATGTTCTGGATGCCGCGCTGGGCAAGGCGGTCGCCTGTCTGGAGAACCTGTGCAAGGTTGTCTCCGCCGCAGTAATTGCGGTAAACAAGCAGCTTGACCAGCCAGAGCGGCGTGTACGGGAAAAGAGAAATGACCAGGTTGAGCGTGGACTTGGAGAGGGTGGCCAGGCCGATCACGCCGTAGCCCAGGAGCTCGGGCGTGGTGAGGCTGTCGAGATAGGATTTGCCCGATGACTGGAGACGGTGGGACACTAGCGGCGCCCGTGGACGCAGAGCAAGGCCTGGTCGCAGTGGGCGGGAGACGAGCGCTTTCAGTCTGAGCATTAGCGGAAAATGAGCGTCATGTTGCGATAATTGCGATATTTATATACTAGCAGAATAAAGGTCTGATAGTCTGGATAGGAATGTTACAGCGAGGAAAAAAGATCTCGCTAACTGTTGCAGAAAAAAAAATAACGTTTAGGGAGCCCCGTCGGGCATTTTACAATCCATATGCTTTTTACTCAGCTTACACAGAGATATTCAAGTATTCCACCCTAGTTGTTCACAGCTGCAGTGTATGCCAACGACCACGTCTTGGACATACCGTTATCCAGGTAGTTGGTGGAGAAGTCGGATCCGCTGAAGAAGTTGTACGAGGTGGCCGGGTCGTACAGCGCGACGTTCAGCATCAAAATGCCCTTCCAGCCGTCCGTGACGTTGCCGATCTTTGAGCTCAGCACATTTTCCCACTCCTCCTTGACAAATGTCGGGCCCCTGATCAGAGACGAGACAGGAGTGATTGGCAGCATGTGGATGCCGTGAATGTACTCGATGTTGGTTCCGAAGTACGTGGTGTGCGCGATCTTGTTCTCAAACCAGATTCCACTGCAGTAATTGCCAATGAACTTCGAGGGCATCACCGTGTTGTCCTGTGTGTACAGAAAGTAGACGTTCATGGCTCTTTTCGAGATTGCGAGCATCAGGTCTGCACGGTTTGCCATGTTGGTGTCGTTGATGACAGAGGCCCAAATCTTCATCGCGTACGCGAAATTGTAGTCCTCACTCGAGCTCTCCTCGTCCTTGCCGTCCGCGTACACGGTGATTCCGTGCGCGATGGAGTGGCCGAGATAAAAGTCAAAGTTTCTGAAGACTGGGAAATGCGAGTCGTCGCTCGACGGATTGGCCACGTCTCTCACCAAAGAATTGACCCAGTCCTTGACGCTGCTGGCCCACGACCCGCCCAGGTCGGCGTCCACGAGCGCACACAGCGCGGCCGCGTGGATGTGGTAGCCATAGTGGAAGTGGTGGTCGTTGTAGAACGCGTTTCCGTAGTCGATCGACGTGTCGCCGTCGGACATGCCGCCCGTCGAGCAGATTCCACCCCAGTTGGTCTCGTAGCACAGCGGGTACTTTTGGCTGTTGCCGCTGAACCGCTCGATGGCCTTCTTCAGCGACGCCAGCAGCGTAGACGTCTTGTCGGAATCTTTCAGTACGTAGTGACACACATAGAGCACGTACGCGTACTTGTCGAGAATCTTGCCCGAGGTGTACATCGAGTCAAGGTCCGTGTACGAGTACACGTCTGCGTTGTACTCGTCAGCCGCGGCGGCCTTGATGGCGGACAATTCAGAGTCAGAGTACGACGGCGACGAAAAGCCAGAGATGGCGCTCCAGGGGTCCTTGCCGATGCTGGTGGTGAGCGTTTCGGACATCTCGAACTTGTTGGAGAGGTACGCGGTCATGACGCCGTGGACGGTGTCGTCGAGCGTGGCCGAAGTCTTGGAGCCAGAGGTGGTCGAAGTGAACGAGTCGCTCTGGTGCGGCATGGCGTACATGATGGTGGTGCCATTGTTGGAGGAGCCAGAGGTGGCGTACTCGAACGCGTATGTGGCTGTGGAGCCCGACACGGACGCGCTTAACGTCACAGAGGTCGGGTAGCACCCAGCGGCTTTGTCATAGGCGCTGTCGTCACCGCACGCAACCTGGATAACACAGTTGTTGATTGAATTCGAGCCGATGATGTGGTTGGAATCCTTGAGCGCGAACTGGCACGACTGGTTGTCGCTGAAAGTCACGTACAGGACCCAGGTGGAGCCGTCGTTGAGTACGATCTTGTACTTGTCGGTTCCGGAGCGCGGGGCAGTATCGCCAGTGACGGACTTGATCCCGACGCCAGAATGGATCTCCGGGATCAGGTCGTTGTACACGGCCGATACAAAACCCATGCCCTGAACGAGGGTGGCAGTGAGCGAGCCGGCGCTTTTTGACGCGACCGTCACGTCGATAGACATCTTCCTGAGGTTGGCGAGCTTGAGCGAAACGTTGGAGTCGAAATCGCTGGAGCCCAGACACAGCGAGATGTTGCCCGCCGGGGCGTAGAAGTACGATGCAGCACCTTCCTCGTCGGTTTCACCGTACACCCGCTGGCTGGCAGTCTGGTGGGACACGGCCAGCCCCTCATAGTCGGACTTCGTGGAGTACCACAGGGAGTAAGGGTGAGTGTAAACATAGGAGGTTTGGTCGCCGAGGGTCAGATTACCCCAAAAGTTGTTTGTCTGGACGGCACCATTCTTTGTCACCCCGCTGGGCACAGACACCGTAGAGGCTTTCTGAGAAAACAGCGAGATGGGCTCGGAAGTGGAGATGGCAGAGAAGATGTCACCAGAGGTTTCACCAGAAGCTGGATATTAGCTGGGACACACAGGGGCAGGGGAGACTTACACGTGGCCAACATTTTGGAATAACTGGGAGCTCTGCGAAGTGGAAGCAAAGACACAAAGCAATGGGTTGAAAGAAAACAAGAGAAAGTTTGCAGCGGGGGGGGGGGAGCGTTTAAATATGGCCAGGCCTGGGGAAAAGGGAAGGGGATCATCGGAAAACAATTATGATGTCATGCTAGTAGTCCAGTTTGGGGGTGAAGTCGGGCGTGAAGCGATGCACCCGTTTGGCAGAAGGAACGTCTGGTTGTGGTGGCGGCGGCGGTAGGTACCCCTGGCTGGTGGCCTGTGGCAGCTGCGTGGGCGCCTGTGTAGCCGCCGTTGTTGGCGGGCGCGACGTTCGTTTGAGCTTGCGCGGCGGCGAGTTGAGGCGGAAAGCCGCATCTAGATTCTGTAACATGCACAGCTCGTCTGCGCGCAGCTCCACCAGATCGAGCCTCCCCACTCTGCGGTGCTCTGTCTCGATTTCCTTCTCCTTGACGTCGCTCGCCAGCCGTCGTTCCAGCAGCAGCCGCTCGTAATTGCGTCTTGTCGCGGCATCCTTTGATGTTGCCGCCTGGATCAGAGCCCTGTTGCGAAGCGCAACCACCTTGGCTGCGTTGTGCTCGAACTCAGATGTCATTAACTGATATTTTTTTTTTTTTATTTACCGTTATTATCTAGTATATTTTAGCTCCGGATGAAGTTCGTCGCTCTTATCTCCGGCGGCAAGGACTCCTGCTTCAACGTCCTCCATTGTTTGGCCAACGGCCACGAGCTCGTGTGCCTGGCAAATCTCTATCCACCACCCTCTGACTCGCACGAGCTCGACTCCTTTATGTACCAGACCGTGGGCTTCGATATCGTGCCGTACTACGCAGATTGCACGGGGAAACCATTGTACCGACGGATGATCTGCGGTGATTCGCACAACCAGAAGCTGGAATACGAGCGGACAGAGAACGACGAGACCGAGGATCTGTACGAGCTGCTGAAGCTCGTGAAGGAGCACCACCCTGACGTGGAGGCTGTTAGCGTGGGGGCCATTCTGTCGTCGTACCAGCGCACCCGCGTGGAGGACGTGTGCAGCCGTCTTGGACTCATTGCGCTGGCGTATTTGTGGCAGAGAGATCAGGAACAGCTGATGGGCGAGATGTGCGCCTCAAAAATGGAAGCCAGACTCATCAAAGTGGCTGCTATCGGCCTCAACGAAAAACACCTGGGGCTGACTTTGCAGGAGATGTACCCAGTACTGGTGGACTTGAATAGGAAGTACGGGGTGCACGTGTGTGGCGAAGGCGGCGAGTTCGAGAGCTTGGTGTTTGATGCGCCCTTCTTCACTAAGGGAAGGCTAAAAATCATACACCAGGACACCGTGCGACACACCAACGACGAGGTGTGGTATCTGAAGCTAAAAGTGGAGGTGGTGGAGAAACAGGGTGGGGGAAGATTCGACTTGGAGCAACCACCACTGTTGCACGAGCCGTTCAAGGGGATACGAGGGCAGATCAAACACGGCTTGCGGCGAGCACCGACGAGTAACGCGCAACACTTTCGGCACGGGCGCCAGAACTCATCGCACTTGAGATCCCTTCTTCGCCTAAGCAACATCACCTCCACGCAACCAACAGCCGAGCTACAAATGGCCCACATTATGTCCCAACTAAAAGATTACCTGGACAATCATAAGTTGCACCCCACGAACGTGATCTTCTCCTCGCTACTCGTGAGCGACATGTCAAAATTTGGCGTGCTCAACTCCATATACCAAACAATCTTCACACACCCACTTCCACCGGCCCGTGTGTGCCTGGAAACCAAGTTACCGGAAAACTGCTTTGCCCAGCTCTCTGTGGAGATAATAAACAACATCGGCTTTAAAAAAGGTCTACACGTCCAGGGCCGGTCTTACTGGGCACCATCAAACATTGGACCATATTCGCAGGCCATAGCAGATACATCCACCTACATGGCCCACATCAGCGGCCAAATCCCGCTAGTCCCCAAAGACATGAGCGTGTGCAAGGATGTTTTGACTCAAACGGTGCTCGCACTCCAACACTTTGAGCACGTCAAGGAGGCCATCGGAAGCAAGACCGTGCTCTTCATGTGCTGCTTTGTGACCGACGCAAGCCTCGTGGACGTCGTCAGTCACACTTACACCCTCTATACGCAAGCATCACGTGATGTTGACCACGTGCCACAATTAGTGACGGTGATTGCGAGCGCGCTGCCCCGCGGGGTGGACGTGGAGTGGACGGGTGTGTGTGTGAACGAGGGTGTGGGCGACTACGAGCACGCAAAGATAGCGTTCGATACAGACATGGAATACTTGGCAGACAGACACTACAGGATATACTACAGCGGTGTCGGGCTGCCTGCTGCGTTGCCAAGTTCCTACGAGATGGTTCCGGTGCAAGGTGTGTTTGACGTTTCCGCGGAAGAGCGGCGATATGCTGTGGTGGAAATGCCATGAGCCCTCTCTACGTATCACGTGCCCACACAACACCGCGCACCAGAAGTCGCGGAAAAAATTTGGCGGAGTGAGGGTGGTTGGCCTGCGCGAAGAGATTACTCAGAGATATTTCTTTTCAGCCAAAGAGTTATTTCCAAGATGTCGACCAGAGCTCCAAAGTGGTACGAATCGGAGGACGTTCCTGTTCCAAAGCAGACCAGAAAGTCTGCCAGACCCCAGAAGCTGAGAGCCTCACTTGTTCCGGGCACCGTTCTGATTCTTCTTGCTGGAAGATTCAGAGGCAAGAGGGTTGTCTACCTGAAGAACCTTGAGGACAACACCCTTCTTGTTTCCGGCCCATTCAAGGTCAACGGTGTTCCTTTGAGAAGAGTCAACGCCAGATACGTCATTGCCACCTCCACCAAAGTGTCTCTTGACGGCCTTGACCTGTCCAAGTTCAACGTGAGCTACTTTGCTAGAGAGAAGTCCAGCTCCAAGAAGTCGGAGGGTGAATTCTTTGGCGAGGGTACCAAGAAGGAGATCAAGAGCGAGAGAATCGAGGACCAGAAGGTTGTTGACAAGGCCCTGATCTCCGAAATTAAAAAGACCCCATACCTGAAACAATATCTGGCTTCCACCTTTTCTCTGAAGAGCGGTGACAAGCCTCACGCCATGAAGTTTTAGAGTCCATCACCGCCATCGCCCTGTCTACCAACTCCAAGTCCTTGCAGGGACCTTCCATATTGCAATAATAATGTGATAGTTATATTGGTTTTTCTTACGTAATTTTTTTTTTCTCATGTCGTTGTCTACCAAGTACCAGGTCGATCCCAAGATCCCTTCCGTGCTGCCATTTGAGAAGATGTACTCCATCCAGATAGGTGACCGGTTGTTTCGCCTCAGCGGCGCGTCGATTTCCTTCGACTCGCCGTCCTACTTCACCTCTTTTTTTGGCCGCAAGGAGAACGAGAGCAAGGTGCTCACCGTTGACCGTTCCTCTGCCGTGTTTGACAAAATATGCTCTCATTTGCAGGGATATTGCATTCGTGCAGACAACGAGTACGAACTAATGCATTTGTACGCGGACGCAACCTACTTCAGCCTCCAGAAACTGCTCAAACAGCTCTCTGAGGACTTCTACTACTGCAACGTGGGCGGGCTCAGTTTCCGATTCCCGCAGGACCTGGTGGCCGGCGAGGGCAACAGCCCGAACTACTTCACGGTAGCGTACCAGACCACGTTCCAGAGCCCGTATTTCCGCGGCGAGCTAAAGGACGTGATCCGCCCCCCTCCACAGAGCCCGATCGTGGTCAAGCGCAGCGCCAAGCTGTTCACCGATCTGCTCAATGCGCTGTCGACGGGCCGCATCTGCGTCGACAACGAACACCACCGCCGCCAGCTGCTGGCGGAGTGCCGCTACTACCGGTTTCTTGCTCTGGAGCAGAAACTGATTCCGCACAAGATCCAGACAAACCCGTTCACTCATTGCGAGGAGATTGTCGTTGCGCTAGCCGACGTCAAGAAGGACCGTCTCTCGATCACGTGCGCGGGCCCAGCCGTGTACAAACGGCCCTTTGTCGACACCAAGGCGCGCGTGCTGGTGCTCCAGATCGATTCCGAGGAGGCCAGTCTACTGATCCACACAGAGCTCTCGTTTGTCAATCTATTATTTACCGGCGCCACCGCGCGCCGTCTGTACACACTGCTGAGCCCACTGGACGGCGACCTGTACGAATCGACGGTGCTAGAGGACGGCAGTGTCCAGGAGAAGCTGCGAATGTTCGTTTCTCTGGATGAGTGCTCGTTCACGCTCAACGGCCACGAAACGAAGAAAAACTGGTACATGGACTTTTTTGCGGGCGGAAGCGAGCACACACAGTCGCTCAACGGCGACGTCATCGACGTCAAGCTGCTGCGGTCGCAGTGGACCGTCAACTCCAAGGACCAGGGCCGGCTGTGGTTCAACGGCGTGCTGGCTGACGGCGTGCTGGACGTGGCCCACTTCAACCGCCGCCGCGGCTTCCTGTGATCAGTGCTCGCTCCGCTTGCGCAGCTGGTTCACCGAGAACGACGCAAACAGGTCGCCCTTCTCGTCCCACTCCACGTCGTTACACCCGTACACCTCTCGCAGCTCCACACACGTCCAGCTCTCCAGCGTGTACTCGAGCAGACAGTTTTCGGCGCCGCGGACGCTGAGCACGAGACTCAGGGCCGAGGCCGCGCCGCAGATCACCGGGCTCGCCACGGCCACCGTGCGCTCCAGAGCCAGTTTCCCGTCCTCTGCCACGGAAACCACCAAAAATGCACTCATCTTGTCAAACAGCACCACCAGCCTGTTCTGCGACGGCAGCTCCACCAGCTGCGACACCGTGAACTCCTTCAGGTCGCCGGCCTCGTTCTGGAACCGCGACGGCACCAGGTGCTCCTCGGTTAGATACGGCTCGACCGCGGCTGAGAGATCAAGCTTGTCGGCAAGCACGCCCTCCTGCCAGTGCCACGAGCACAGAAACGGGTCGCCGCCGCCGCTCACCAGCACCCTGTCGCGACACCACCGCGGCGCGACGATCGACGCCACAAACTCCTCGTGCTCAAACAGCCATCTCTCGATGATGTAACTTTGCGGGAACCGGCTCAGTCTGATGTGCTCGTCACGATCGGTAGTGACCACAAGCTCGTTCCCGGCGCCGTCCGAAACGTTCAACACCCCTGTCAGCATCGACACGTGACCCAGAACCGGCACCATGTCTTTTTCATCCTTGATCTCAGCCGATAGCATGTCAATACAGTAGACGTCTCCAAACTTGTCTCCGACGACGACTGTCGAGTCGTCGAGCGACGTCGACACGGCACAGGGCCTCTTTGGCAGAGGCTGCCGTTTGATCTGTCGCAACGATCCGCCGTTCAGCTCAAACACTACCACCGCCTTGTCTGTGTCTGTAGTGAGGATGAGATATTTCTCGTTTCTGCTGAGATGGATGTCTCTGATGTAGCAGAGCTTTGGTGGCGCTCCCGGACCCGGTGTCGGCACCTTTGGCGGCTTGCGGTCGCCTGCAGCGGCTTCTTGCTCGAATTTCCTGCTGCGTGCCTCGTACTCCTTGATCAGGGCGTAGTTGTGGTCGACGGTGTCGAGCCAGGAGTCGGTCAATTGCCAGTTTTCGCGACGCTGGAAAACAAACAGTTTCTGGCCGGCACCGGCAAACAGCAGATCTCCCTTTTCGTTGAGCAGTACCTTCTGGAACGGGTGCTTCATGAACTTTGGATCGCCTTAAATATTTTCACAATTTTTTCCAGCGTCGATCGGCCCGCAAATTTTTTTGGCACCCCTATCAGAGCTTCCACCAAAATGCCACTTACCCACCCATTGATCAAAGACGGCTGGTTCAGAGAGGAGAGCGAGGAGTCATTCCCCGGTCAGGCCATGCGCCTTAGAGTCGCCGAGATTCTGCACGCAGAAAAGTCCAAGTTCCAGGACGTGCTGGTGTTCAGGTCCACAGACTTCGGCAACGTGCTCGTTCTGGACGGCATAATTCAGGTCACTGAACGCGACGAGTTTGCGTACCAGGAGATGATCACACACGTGCCGCTGTTTGCGCACCCTAACCCTAAAAAAGTGCTGGTTATCGGCGGCGGAGACGGAGGAGTCCTCAGAGAGGTGCTGAAGCACGATTGCGTCGAACGCGCAACTCTGGTTGAGATCGACGAGTCGGTCATCAACCTATCCAAAAAATACCTGCCCAATATGGCCAAATCTCTGTCTCACGAAAAAGTGCAGGTTGTTCTGGCAGACGGCTTCGAATACCTGAAAAATACAGCTGCCCGTGACGAAGCCGACAAATACGACGTCATTATCACAGACTCGTCGGACCCAGACGGCCCCGCCGAGGCGTTTTTCCAGCAACAGTACTTCGAGCTGCTCTACAACGCGCTCAACGCCAACGGAATGGTCATCTCGATGGCGTCCGAGAACATATGGCTCAACATCGACAAGCTCAAAAGTCTCAAGGACATCTGCAGTCGCGTGTTTGCGGTGACCGAATGCTGCTATTGCACTATTCCTACATACACCTCCGGACAGATTGCGCTCATGTGTTGCTCGAAAAACCCGGACCTCAAGGTGTCGGTGCCGCACAGGACCGAGTCACGTGACCGCGAAGCGCAGCTGTTCCGCTACTACCACTCGGGTGTCCACAGTGCCAGCTTTGTGCTGCCGAGATGGGCCGCCGACAAGCTGAGGGGTGTCTAGAAGCCAAATATATCGTCGATCGTCTTGCGCGACTTGTTCCGTTTTTTCTTGTTTTCATTCCTCGGCTCCTCGAAGCTTGCATTGACAAGCTCTGCAGGGGCGATCAATTCTCCAACCTCTTCCTCCTGCAAGAGCTGCGGCTCAGGATCTGGCTCCGGGGCCGGCACAGAGCGCATCTGCAGCAGAATTGCACGGGTCTTGGCGACTAGGCCCATCAGCGTAAAGCCAAGAGCCAGATACTGGCCCAGCTCGATCACGGCGTAGAATCTGTAGTAGCAAGCGGGCAGAATGCGTTGCAGCAAATAATTAATCAAAGTCTGGAGCTGCTGTTTTTTTCGCTGCACCAGCTGCGCCGCCTGTGTGGCGCTCAGGGTGCGCTTCTGGAATTTGGGGAAATGCGACCTCGTGAACCTCAGCGAGGAGAGCTGTCTCTTACCGGTGATCTCGTCGATGTCGATGCAAAGCTGCAACACCGTCCGCAGTCGCCGGTGGAAGATGTTGAAATGCTTCCACCACAGCGACGAGCGGTGCTGTTTCGAGTCCCTGTGATACACAAGGTGCGCGATCTGGTACTCGTTCAGCAGCGCCGCCTCCATTCAAGCTGAAATTTTTTCACCTTGTCGCCTGTTGTTGTTTGGTATGCTTACGTAACGAACACGACGCGGTGCAGCATTGTGATTTTCTCCCAGACACCGCAAGGCACCCCTTGGCATGTGCGCGCGAGAATGTCACTAGACATTCAGACGCATTCTTACACGCACAAGTATATATACCAAGTCCTGTAAAAACTTTTGTTTTCCAAACACTCTCACTCTAGTCATTCATTATGCAATTGTCCAAGATTGTGCTCGCTTCCGTCCTTGCTTCCCTCGCCACCGCAGCCGACGAGATCGTCAACCAGATCGGCGACGGCCAGGTCCAGGTCCAGAGTGAATCCGCTGCTGCCACCACTGCCACTACCCCGGCCACTACCTCGTCTGCTGCCGAGACCCCAGCCACCTCGTCTGCTGCCGAGACTCCAGCTACCTCGTCTGCAGCTGCCACCTCGGCCTCCACCGAGCAGGACACCACAGTCACCTCCCTGGCCACAGAAACCCTCACCACGTGTGAAGAGAGCTCTGCAGCTGCTCAGTCCACTCCAGTCGGTACAAGCTCCGAGGCAGACCAGACCCTGTACGTCCAGACCACCCAAACTACCACCATTGAGGGCACTCAGACCGTTGTCACAACCTACTGTCCATACACCACTACCCCAGCTGCCACCTCTGCCACCTCTGCCACCACCGCTATCTCGTCCTCTGCTCCAGCAGCAAGCACTTCCAAAGATTCCTGGAACACCATCTACACCTCCTCTTCTTCTTCCGAGGACATCACCTACGTGGACGAGACCACCACGCCAACTTCTACCGTGACAAACAACCACTACTCGACTACCAACGAGTACGTCACCACCACGTCCACCTATGCTGGTGCCTCGTCCAAGGCTGCTGTTGCCTCGTCTTCTTCCCTGAGCTCGAACGGCACCTCCTCGATCGAAAGCTTCGAGGCTGGCGGTGCCAAGCTGATGGTCAGCTCCGGAGCCATTGGCATGGCTGCCCTGGCATTACTTTTCTAAACTTATGACACTGTATTGAATAAAAATAGCTTAAGTGACATTACTTTTATCTCCCGCCGCGCTGCCGGGTCCCAAAATTTTATCGGACTGCCGAATAATCGGTGGACCGATAAGTGAGAAAAAAATATAAATAGCCCCCATTTTGTTCTATAATTTTCTAACCACAATGAAAGCTACAATCTTGAGTTCGCTACTGCTTGCCTTGGGCAGCTTCGCACTGCCTGTTCCTAAGAAGGGCTACCACGACGTTGAGACTGCTGCCCGTGTCGCCAGAACATTGGTCAAAAGAGAATCTCTAGCAAATCTGGCCACCATCCAGAAAAAGGATGGCGTCCCTGTTTCGTTCATGGAATACTATGCTGATTGCCAGGATGACGGCGAGCCAACTTTCTTGCTTGTCAACATCTCCTCGAGCCAGAGGAATATCGATGAGGGTTCTAAAGTCTCTGTCTCCATCAGAGTCGGCGATCACCCAATCAACGATCACGTGAATCCACACTACATCGGAGGCAGAGTTCGTTCTCCTGCCGGCTCTCCACGCGTCAACTTGAAAGGTTCGTTTGTCCCTGTCGCTGGTTCTCCAGAATTGGATGCTTGTTTCGCTCTCAGACACCACGATGCTCCAGCTTGGTACCCTGGCTCCCCTATTCACGCAACGTATTGGGCCAAATTCCACGTCGAGGAAGTTTACATCATTGGTGGCTTTGGAGACGCAGCCTACATTGGAGAGATCCCTGCTGATTTGTACTTGAACGCCACCACCTTCGACGATGAGGAACTTTCTTCGCTTATTGAGCTCCCAGAGCAGGATTATACTTTTCTCACACGCTTCGTGAAGGCCTTCTCCAGTTTCTTTGGTCTTCAGGAGAATGAGGATGAAGAGCAGGAGGGATGCGACTTCGAGGACGATGAGAAATGGAAGCACTATGGAAAGGACCAGAAAAAGTACTGGAAACATTACGGAAAGGAGCAGAAAAAATACTGGAAGTCTCACGGCGACGAGCCTGAGAGCCCAGAAGATGCCGAAGTTGATGCTATGACTGAGGTTGACGACCCTGACTACTGGAAACACTATGGAAAGGACCAAAAAAAGTACTGGAAACATTACGGAAAAGAACAAAAAAAATACTGGAAATCTCACGGCGACAAGCCTGAGCAGCCTGAGGACCCTGAATGCGAAGAAGTGGCTGAGGTTGAAGACCCTGACTACTGGAAGCACTATGGTAAAGACCAAAAAAAATACTGGAAACATTACGGAAAAGAGCAGAAGAAATACTGGAAGTCTCATGGAGATCAGCCTGAGGAGCCTGAGCAACCAGAGGATGCCGAGGTTGACGCTATGACTGAGGTCGACGACCCTGACTACTGGAAGAAACACGGCAAAGACCAGAAAAAGTACTGGAAGCATTACGGCAAGGATCAGAAGAAGAACTGGAAATCTCACGGCGACGAGCCTGAGAACCCAGAAGATGCCGAAGTTGATGCCATGACTGAGGTTGACGACCCTGATTACTGGAAGCACTATGGAAAGGACCAAAAAAAGTACTGGAAGCATTACGGAAAAGAGCAAAAAAAATACTGGAAATCTCACGGTAAGGGCGATGCCGGGGAGCAGCAGGTGATATTTGCTGACTATTGAGACCGATACCACACACCAGAGAACGCCAATCTTTTATTTAAATGTTGTAACGAGCTACAATAATTATTGTTTTTAGTCCATATTTGTAAATTCTATGCGCCCTATTTTTTTTCGCCTGGCCGGTGCAGGGTCGCGTTATCGCGTTGCTGGATTCAGTTACTTGATACGGAGCAGAAAGGATTCCCGTATAAATTAAATACTAAAGAGCGTCTTTTTTTCGTCCAAAAAATGGCTCCTCGCACAAGGAACGTTACGCTCGCAGCCGCCTCCGCAGTCGCGCTTTTAGGAGCTGCGTCGCTTGTCGTGACTACATATCCTCATTTATTGGAAAGACTACCGTGGTGCAAAAAGAAGTCCGCCACCGAGAACAAAGAATCCGAACAAGACTCGTCTGCCGAGACGGCAGAGAATATTGGCGACTCGACTGTTGTTGTGCAAGAGAACCAGTTGACGGAAAACGAGCTCAAAGAGGTTCTCAAAGAGGTAAGTAGCTAGCCGCGTCGAGCTAACTGATAAGAAAGCGATACCTATTCCTGAAGGTTCTACTCTTGATGACCTTATCGCCCTTGCTAGTAAGGCTAAATCTGTATAAGGTGCTCAAGGGCATACAGGTCTAAGTGTGGTTATATATGTTGTATATCTAGTGTTCATGAGACGGGTTAATATGCTTATTGAATTCGCTCCACGTTAATTTTTCGTTAGGCAGGTAGCAGAACTTGACGCCAATCTCTTCCACGTCTTTGTTTCTATATTCGTCATCAAAAAGACACATTTCCGACGGGTCGATGTCGTTTCGGCGAGCAAGCTTCGATATATGGTTTTTCTTCGATCCCCATCCCCATTCGCTGTCGTCGATGTACTTTTCGAGATTGAACAGCTTTATTAGTTTCTTTGCCGTTGGCGGGCTTGCTGTTCTTGAAGCGGTGAATATTTTGATGTTTTTAGACCGCAGATATTCCAGGATTGGCACCACGTCCTCATACAGGGTCACTTCGTAGCCGTACTTGTCGACCACTGTGTTTTTCTTGCTTTTATGGAGTTTTAGAGGCGCCGATATATGTGTATCACACCAGCACGCCAGGTTAGCACGAGTAGTTGACACACTTACGCCAAAGCGTGTAGTCCAGATCGAACACCACGGCTTTGTAGGACATGGAATAAAATTAATAAAATAAAAATATTTAGTCTAATGGCGCATCTGGAGCGATATAAGACCACACTAAACGAGTCTTTGGACAAATCACAAAACTTGCTAAACACTCTAGTGGATCTAAAGAAAAAAGAAGCATTGGATGACGCGGATATAGACCTGCTGAACTCCCTTCACCGAGAGGCCGTTTTGGACAATGTCCAGCTGATCAACGCCAAGAACGAGGTCAAGAGCGTGTACAACAAACTGGCCGACGACAACCTGAAAAAACTGCATTCTGGACACTACCAGTTCAATAACATGAAGATCCAGCGGTACAAAGGCCAGAAGCTCAGGAACGAGAGTCTGGCAGCAGAGTTCAGCAAGCTCATCTCACAGATCCCAGAGCTGGAACTTGATCAGGTTTTGGACAATGAGAACACAGAGGACCGGGAGTTTTTGAACGGACTGCGCAAGAGCGGTCTGGACATCCGGCTGCAGTTTGCAAAGTCGGATTTCAGCGACCAGATAGACGAGACTATTGTGAGCCGTGTAGAGGAGATTTTAAAGAACGAGGAGGTCAAAAAATTCCGTCTGGTGCAGCTGAATGACAAGCACTACGAGCGCGAGCGGGCAGTTCTGCAGAGCATGAGTCTGAAGTGGCAGAACCGGTTAGCGGAGCTGATGAAGTTTGTGAAGGACGATTCGTCAAGACTTTTGAAAACGATTGAGGACGTGAAGGAGGAGCTGCGCGAGGAGCACGAGGAGGAGCTCGAAGAAGAGGAAGTTGAAGAGGAGGAAGAGGAAGAAGAGGAAGAGCGAGAAGAAGAAAAAGACGGCCAGGTAGAAGATGCAGAAGACGCAGAGGATGGACAGGACGATGCGATGGACGTGGAGACAGAGAACCAGGTGGCCAGTGACGAAAGAACACCGGTTCCAGATGTCAATTCCGACCTGGAGCTGGATGAGTAAAGGTAGCAGATGTACGTTTTAAAAACAATTTTACCCGGCTTGTTTGTTGCAACATTTTATTTCCAACTTGCCAGCATGGACGCAAATTATCTCTTAATTTCCCTTCCCAAGAGCACGTCAACGGACAAAAACACGCTCAAGGACTGGCTGCAGACACATATCAACGGTGGCAGCGTTGAGCTGTTTGAATACCAGCTTCCAGGCTTCAAAGTGGGCACTCTCGACTCGCTGGTGCTCCAGAGCGAGGAGCTTGGTAGAATCGACCAGCAGCTGTACGGGTCTATTGGCAAAGTCCAGGACATCATGGCAAGCATTCACGGCGAGGGCGATGCGAAGTTTGTGGCCAAACAGAAGATCGACGGCAAATACGTGGACCAGTATTTGGAGTCCTTCCGGTGGAACACCTCGAGATATAGACTGGATAAACCCATCGAGGAGCTCATCAACTTGATCTCAAGCGAGGCATTGAATGTGGACAATGATCTGAGGTCGTCCTACGCTAATTACAACCAAGCAAAGTCGAATTTAGTGGCCGCTCAGCGAAAACAGACTGGAGACCTGTCTGTCAAGTCACTGCATGACATTGTGCGTGCAGAACACTTCGTGCTGGACTCTGAACACCTCCAGACCGTGCTACTTGCCGTGCCAAAGAGTCTCAATGACGAGTTCCTCAACCAGTACGAGACATTGGTGGAATTTGTGGTTCCTCGGTCTGCACAGCAAATAGCCCAGGACTCCGAGTACTACCTCTATTCCGTCACATTGTTCAAAAAATACGTGCCCGCATTTTTGGCCAAGGCCAGAGATGCCAAATGGATCCCTAGAGACTTTGACTACTCCGAGGAGGTGATGGCAAAAATGAGAAACGAGTACCAGGAGGCGTCTAAGGAAGAACACACGCTCAAGAACGACCTGCTCAGACTCTCCAAAAGCGCATATTCGGAAATCGTCTCGTCGTGGACACACATCAAAGTCCTCAGAACCTTCGTCGAGAGCGTCCTCAGATACGGCCTGCCCCCAGACTTCTACTCATTCCTGCTGAGACTGCCGGCAAAGGCCATTTCGAAGTCCAAGCGGGAACTCATCCAGAGATTTGGCTATCTCGGCGGCAACGCATTTGCCAAGGACAAGAAGGGCAACATCGTCTCGGACGCAGGGCTGCACGAGTACGCCTCGCTAGTTGACCAGGATTACGAGCCGTTTGTCTTATACGAGATCAGCTTGAGCTAGAGGATATCGACGCGTCGATAGACGCGTATCTTGTAGATGACGTCATCGGGTGATCACCGTACCCCCTCAGCACATGAATATTTACAACTAAATTTGTAATATTTGGCTATGTCGCGCAATTACAAGAAACTCAGTAGCAGGCCTACGCAACAAAATCCGTTTGAGCCGGAGGAGACCAGCACGGCACTCGAAACCTATCCGATATCGCTTGAGCCGATAAATATACACGGGCAGGCGGAGTCTAAGGCACAGCAATGGCAACACCAGGAGGACGTGTTCGCGGACCCGTCCGACGAGCAGGACTCGCACGAGTCGGAGGAGACGGGCGGGCTGTATGCACACGTGGATTTCAACGCAACCGTCCACAGCCGTCTAAAGGGCCGGCGACTTTTATATTTCACGTCGTTGTTTAGCTCCATAGGAGTTTATTTGTTTGGGTTCGAGCAAGGAGTCATGTCGCTGATTATCACAGAAAAATCATTTTTGAGCTATTTTGACAACCCAAGCAGTATAGAGATCGGGACCTTGATAGCCCTGTTAGAGCTGAGCGCGCTTTTTTCTGCTCTGGTGGTGCCCAAGGTGTCGGACGCCAAGGGCCGCAAATACACGATTCTGACGGGGGCTCTGCTATTTTGTATCGGCGGCATGTTCCAGACATTTGCTCCGTTCGAACAGATATGGATCATGATGATTGGCAGGATCATCTCTGGTTCTGGAATTGGGTTTCTGAGCTCCATCATCAACCTGTATCAATCAGAGTGTTCTCCGAACGACCAGCGTGGTATGATTGCGTCGATGACATTCAGCTGCAACATCCTTGGGTTTGCGTCGTCCATCTGGCTGGACTTTGTTTGCTCGTTTCTGTCCGGCACGTACGCGTGGAAAGTGCCGCTTCTTGTACAGGTGTTTTTGGGAGCCGTGCTATTTTTCGGTGGCTTCTACATAGTGGAGTCTCCCAGATGGCTTTTAGCCATTGACCGCGACAACGAGGGCTATGCGATTCTCAAGCTATTCAACGACGACGATCCAGACCCGGAGAAGGCGAAGAAAGAGTTTCTGGCCATCAAGCATACCATCGAGAGCGAGAAGAAACTTCTCGAGCGCGAGCAACGCAGCTGGCTCGGGACGGTCGTCAAAAACCGCAGAATCATCACCATCGGCGCGTCGTCTCTGTTTTTCGCGCAGTTCAACGGCATCAACCTGGTCAGTTACTACGCTCCGCTGATATTCGAGGAGGTGGGTTTCGAAGGAAAGTCTGCCTTTGTCATCACCGGAATAAATGCCATTATTTATCTCCTATCTACACTTATACCATGGTTCCTCGTTGATAACATCCGGATCGGAGGCCGCAGACGACTGCTCATAGCCGGCGGCCTGTTGATGGGCAGTTCACTGTTTGTCTCTGGGATCATGAGCGCTCTGAATAACAAGTTCGGGTCAATCATGGTTGCCGTTCTCATTGTGCTTTACAATGCTGCTTTCGGCTTCTCATGGGGCCCATTGGCATGGCTCTATGCCAGTGAGATATATGCTGACTCTTATACCCGTTCTGTCGGCGCATCTTTGGGCACCTCCATCAACTGGTTCAGCAACTTTGTTGTTGGAGAGCTCAGTCCTGAACTTCTTGATCTCATCAGTTGGAGGCTGTATTTCATATACGGCGCCTTCTGTTTTGTCAGCTGTATTGTTGTGTACAAGTTCTATCCTGAAACAACGGGAGTCGAGCTTGAGGACATGGACAAATTGTTTGAGGAGTTCAGAAAAAAATGATACATAGTACAATACATCTCATTTCTTCCCCATCTTGAACCATTTCGGTACTTTGCGTGTGTTGTGCGCGGTCGTCGGAGCTGGTGCCGTAGTCTCTTCTTTCGGCGGAACGCTAGCTTTGCTGGTTTCGATTTGCGTCGTTTCTTCTTCTTTCTTGCTGATTTTAACCTCCTCCAGCTCGTCCAACCCTTTTGCCGCCTTCAAATATTCGTCCTTCACGTACTGCGAACGTTTGAAGTCGTCCCGGTACACGAAAAGCGAACGGTGTGCAAACTGACAGTCTTTCACCAGCTCTTTTCCGAAATCTTCTGCGCTAGTAAGAATTGCCTGTCCGGGATAGGCCGTGTACAGCTGGAATGCTGGGCGCGGCTTTTCTCTCTGTGCTTGGGTCATGTGAACAACTTTTGTAGAGAGCACGTTATAAAGATCTCCTAGAGTATCATCAGGTTGCAAAACAAGTTGCACTTGAGTGTAATCAGGGAATTTGATTCTGATCACGCATTCTTTGACTGCAGGCTTTTCAGGAGCAAGTTGTTCGCGCTGTCTTTTGCTCATCATCTGTCTATTAGGGTGTGCTCTTTTGGCAAGCAGAGATTGGTAGAGTCTAGCCTGCTCAATGGACATGTCGTAAACGGACTCGTCAACGTTTTCATCTTCGTTGTGTTCTGAATTTGGAACGTAAACCTGAATTGGGTTAGAGTTTGCCACTGGTGATGGGGGAAGCGGAGGCCGTTGGCGCTGTTCAGAGCTCTCAACTGAGTCTCGAGACCCGATCGGGCGTGGCTGGCTTATTTCATGTTTTTCTGCCTTAAATCTCAGTCTTAATGTATGGTTTCCGCTCACAAGACCTAGCGATCTTAGTGAGTGCTTGAGCTCAGACGTTCCTGTCATCGTCTTGCTCATGCTCTGCACAATGGGCTCGTAGATGTATTTGTACTCTCCAATTGCTTCTCTGCGAAGCAGCTGTATATTCAAACTTTTCTCAAATTCCTGCAGGACCTCCTCAATACTCTGATCGCTATCGCATTCCTTCACCAGCTGGGAAGGCGGAGGCAAAACGAAGGATGAATCGCCTTCTGGAGCCATTATCTGCAACTTTATCACAACTGAGCCTCCTCCAGTGGATTTCGTGTCCTGTGGCGCCTTCACAAGTTCCAACTTGCAACCCTGGGGCAAATTTGCCAGTCTCAAGGGCAAAGACAGATCCAGCAGCTGACTCCCGTGTTTGAGAGCAAATTGGCTCGGCTCAAGCTTGAAATGGGCACAGCTTTCTATGAGAACGTCATTGAGAATTTTAGAAGGGCTAACCTTGCATTTGAATGTTCGGAAGTTGTATGAGACCGTTAGCGAAGACATCAACTATTCTATGTGGCGATGAGAAATATAGTATTTTGATTTCTCCAGAATTTATACGCCACATGTGGCTGGTCGATTGGTCGCGTTTTATAAACAAAAACATTTATTTACCTTTCCAGTGTATCTCTACAGTTTTGCTAATAGCTCGCTTCAATGTCCCACAAAGCTGCCAACTCCAGATCCCGGTCACCGTCAAAGTCGCCTAGCAAACTCCAGCACAAATTGCTAGCTCCAGACCTGGGCACAGAGTATGTGAATAATACCAATATAAAGGTGATCGTGCGGTTTAGGCCCGAAAATGAGATGGAGAAGGCCAGCGGTGCCACGAATATTGTCGAATACCACCCAGATAACCAGAGCGTCTCTGTCACTGTGGCGTCTAATACCAGCAATTTCACGTTTGACCGTATTTTCAGCGAAGACACGGAGCAGGAAGAAATCTTCAATTATTCGGTCAGACAGACCACCAACGACCTGGCCTTGGGCTATAATGGAACGGTGCTATGCTATGGTCAGACCGGATCCGGAAAATCGTATACAATGATGGGAGATCTGCATGACGAGAGAAATAAAGGACAGACTCCGCGGATATTCGAGCAGATATTCCAAGGCATCGAGGACTCTCCAAAGACGCTCGAATACACGGTTGGCGTCTCGTATTTGGAGATTTATAACGAGAATTTGCGAGACTTGCTCAATCCAAAGAACAATTCCAAGCTGGCAATCCATGAAAACAAAGTCGATGGTGTTTATGTCAGCAACTTGGAAACTCTCTATGTGTCAAACCTCAACGATGTGTACACTATTCTAGACCAGGGAAACAAAAACCGAAGCGTCGGCTCCACGAATATGAACGAGCAGAGCTCGCGGTCGCATGCTATATTTCAAATACGATTGAGCTCCAAGAATTTGGAGGACGGGATAATCAAGACCGGTAACTTGTTTCTGGTCGATCTCGCGGGTTCAGAGAAAATCGACAAAACAGGTGCCTCCGGACAGCTATTAGAGGAGGCCAAGAAAATCAACTCGTCGCTCTCTGCTCTTGGCAATGTCATAAACTCTCTCACGGACGGCAAGTCCACGCATATCCCTTATAGAGATTCCAAGCTCACGCGTATATTGCAGGAGTCTCTCGGAGGAAACTCCCGAACCACGCTTATTATCAACTGTTCGCCTTCTTCGCTCAATGATCAGGAAACGCTTTCCACGCTCAGGTTCGGGTCCAGAGCCAAATATATCAAAAATAGCGTCCACATTAATAGCGAATTGAGTAATCATGAGCTCAAGAAACGATACTTTGACCAAGCCAAGATTAACGAAGAAAACGTCCGAAAGATACAGAAACTGGAAACGCGGAACCAGGAGTTGGAAGAGGAAAATGGACAGTTGAAGGAAGAGTTGGCAAAGTTCAAGGAACTCATGAACATGACCACTCCGTCGAACGAAGTGGCCAAACTGAACGATAAGATCATGATGCTAAAGTCGTCTCAACTAGCCATGACCAGAGAGCTGGAGCAAAAAAATGCACACATAGCCGAGCTTGAAAGCAAGGCGAATGATTCTCTTGAAAGCACTTCAAAACTCGAGGCTTTGGAGAAGGCCATCGAGCATTTCTCTGATCACATTGAGCAGATCGAGGGACAAAATAGACAATTGAAAAAGGATATCCAGGCGTTGCAGCTGATGAGCAACCAGAAAACCAACAAGATCAAGGAGTTGGAGCAACAGTTGAAAGCGCAGGAGATGCTTGTGGAGCAGGATTCACAGATATTTGAGCAAAAACTCAATCATTTGAAAGGACGCGTGTCCTCCCATAGATCATTGAAGCAGCGGACATTGTCAGGAGAGAAGGAGAATTCTGGGTCGAGCATTTCATCGCGCACACGGCCGTCTACCAAAAATCGAATAGGACTCAACCTGAGAATTGTGAAGCCAATGAGAGGCGGTCAACAAGGGACATGAAATTGATTTATTTATTACGTTACTCATAAAGTATGGCCTTGCGACTCACTCAAAAACGTCTTGGCCTAGCTTGAGTCCGAGAATGTTTCTGACATCGCTGGTGAATCTGAGGCTGTTCAACAGAGGCAGCAAATTCATTAGTTCGGAGTCATCAGGATCGTTGATCCAACCCTCGATCATGATTCCGTTCTTCTTGTGAAAGCTGTAACTGATTGGCGAGTTGTCTATTATGATGACCCTGCTAAGGTCTGTTGCTGATCTTCCCACGGAAGATCCTCTCGTTCTGCTTGCAGAACGGTCTCTAACAGAATTGACGGTCTCGTTCGAATTGTTTGTTCCTGGAGGGTGTGGCGAGGCGGTTGGTGTGGATGGTCTCTCTCTTTGGTGACCAGTCAGGACCCCGAGGTCCTTCACATAACCTTTGCCTTCGGTGAAAATACAGCTGTTTCGGTAAAATCGTTGGCTGAACAGCTTTTTCTGCGAAATGTCTCCTTTGTCCTTGAGCATGACCTCTTGTTCCAGATAGTTGATCACCGGGTCGGCGTACTCCTTGATGGAGGCAGTGAAGCACACGAGGTTGAACCAGTTGCGGACTATCGACAAGAACTCGTCCACGTAAGGTCGTTTATATATATGATATAGCGTAGCCAATTGACTATTGATTCGGATCTCAATGGTGGTTCCTTTATTCTTGTTGAGAATCGATGAGTTGTGTCTCGAAAGAGAATGTATAAGGGTCTCGTCTAGATCAAGAACAAGCGTTTTTTGTGGCAGGTTTGGAGGATGATTAATGTTAAAGTTGAACAGCAGTTTAGGGAAGATAAACTTCTTTTTCCGAGGCGTCATGAGATTGTTATGGCGTATGTTCTTCCTGCGTTCTGTATTATGTAGTTGCTGTGGCGGTTGTCGAATTGCACTGGTAGAGGCCACCGGGCCGGTTGGTGATTTTATCGGATCCTCGCTCTTATCCAGTTCAAACTCTATGTCTTCCTCCATTATGGTGGTGATTTGAGTTGCAGGGTCTTCACGAGACCTCTGAGGCTGGAGAACATGTACCTGATCTGCGCTAGTGTCATTGGATTGTGGAGCGGGCGTCGTTTGTTGCATAGCTTGTTTCTTGCTAAACACATTTATCAGTGCCCTCACAGGGTACGTGACGATATAAAGAACCAGTACGAACGGGTTGACAATGATATGCTTTGGGATAAAAAACAAGATGCTTAAAAGAGTGCTAAAAGACGATGGATCGTCGGTATCCTCCTCCTCATCGAATGCAGGTTGCTGTTCATTTTGGAATTGTACTGGAGGATCGAGCTGCCTTGTGACAATGGCTGAATCGTCAATGTCTAATGGAGACTTCTGATCCGGCGGAAACGCAGGGTTGAACGCCTTATCCACGGTGTTTGCCAGAAATTGGATAGAGTTCATATATAGGAATAATCCAACAAAAAATAAATATACGACAGAAAAATGTTATATTGTTGTGAAATAAATAAAGCGGAGCCTTATTTTTTTAGAAACTTATTCTTTGCGGAAGCTGCGTCCTCTGGGTGGCCGTCCGCCGCCGCGGCCGCGTCCTCGTCCTCGTCCTCGCGAGCCGTTGCTGATGCTGCTAGCTGATGAAGAATTCTTGATCTTTTCAGTATCCTCTTCCTCTTCCAACAGCCTATACCGGAAATTGTAGCCCCTGGAATGACATTCCATCTGCACCTGACCTTCATCCACATTCAGCGTGAGAAAGCCATAACTAAGGTCACACAGGTTGAAATGCCATGTGTTCTGGAAAGATATGTAGTACAAATCGTTGAGCTGGCGAATGATAGTGTTCAACTCTCGTTGTCTCGACTGCAACCCAAACGAGTCCATCTCTTCAGTGTTTGTCAGCGACTGCGAAAGCTGTAGCGGCAGGATATCCTCAACACCCTTAGTCGAGATAGGAATTTTATCAAACACTTCCAGAGCTAATTCTGTACAGGCGATCATGAGCGGGTCATTGAGCTTAAAGAGCAGTCTTTCATAGCGTTGTTGAATGTTCTTCCAGATCACGGCAATTTTCGACCGGGCGTCGTTGAACTTGAGCTTGAAGCTCTCAAAGCTGGGATTGATCGAGAGCTCGTTGTACGAAGAGGTGTATTTGAAGTGCAACGAGTTGGAAATCGAGTAGTCCATCTTGAAGAAAATTAATAGATGCTCAAGTAACGGTTCTCTCGCGGGCGACTGGTGAGTCACAAAGATTTTGATCGCTTTGTTATAAAAGTCTGTGTGTTGTTCGCTGAATTCAGTTAGTGTGTAGATGAGCTTCCCCAGCTGCAGAAGAGTGATCCAGATATTGCCCGGGTCACCGCTGATAGGAAGAACATAGTCTGAGTTTTCGATGTCTTCGAGATTAGTCGTTTCGCCAACAATATCCGCCAGCTCGAGCGACGAGCCCTGATGCACAAGCTTGTGGTACGATAAGGAACCGCCAATGCCGGCCAAAAGGATGTTTTGTCCCTCGGGAGTGGTGATTCCAAATACGTTCCCGTCGTCGATCACGTGCAGGTTAGGAATCTTATAGACGCCGTAGCGGAACTTGTTGACCACAAGGGAGTCCTCGCACATTCCAAATATGGTGTACACGGGTACTTCGAGCTTCAATTCGCCGCGCAAAAAGCGCCCCAGCTCGCTTATTTCCTGGTTCTCCAGCAGTGTCTTGAGGTTGGTGGTCTCGCTTGAAAGGTGCTCGACTGAGTCACCTGTCACCTTCGAAAGCTTTGAAATCTCCACAATGAGGTCCTCGGACAGCAACGGCGAGAACTCGACAATGTGCCGCAAATAAGACTCATGGATTCTGTGCACACTGCCTTCGTCGAGAAACCCAAAGTTTCCCGTATGTATGATCACGTCCGCCTGGTATTGTCGTGCCAATTGGTTGAACAGTGACAGCTCGCCACGGATGTCCGCTACGCAAATGATTTTCACGCCGTCCCTATCAAATTCTCGAACGTTCATATTTGAGAAAAACTGGATAATCTAAAAAATACGGGGATGGAAACACTTCAATAAAGAAACCCTTTGCATTTATTTTTACAAAATAATTTTACCCTTCTCCAATCAGATAGTAAACTTAATCAATACACTTTGGCAGCAAGCTCTTCCAAAAGCTTATAGTTGCGCTTCTGGATGGAACCATTGCCTGGAAGACGGGTCTCGCCCATCAAGAACTGGTCAACTTCACGGGCACACTGTCTTCCCTCTTGGATACCCCAGACCACCAGAGACTGGCCTCTTCTACAGTCTCCAGCAGCAAACAAATTACCCTTACCCTCAACCTGGTATCCATTAGGATCGGTGGTGGACACCGTTCCGCGTGGCGTTCTCGAAACCTCCAGTCTGTCAGCTTCAGGACCAACAAATCCCATGGACAGCAAAACCACCTCTGCAGGGAAGAACTCCTCCGAGCCTGGAATCTCAGCCATTTGCCAGGCGCCAGAGTCGGATCTCTTCCACTCCACTCTGACGGTCTTAATGCCCTTCACGTTTCCGTCTTCGTCGCCAACAAATTCCTTCGACAAAATACAGTATTCTCTAGGGTCTCTGCCGTAGTGCTCCTTGACCTCGGCGTGTCCGTAGTCCACGCGGAAAATACGAGGCCACTGTGGCCATGGGTTGTCCTTGCCTCTTTCCTCGCTTGGAGTAGGCAGAAGCTCAAAGTTGGTCACAGACTTAGCCTTGTGACGAGTGGCAGTTCCAAGACAGTCGTTACCTGTGTCACCTCCACCAATGACAACGACGTTCTTGCCCTCAATCTTGGCCCTGATCTCGTCCAGGTTGTCCTCCAACAGGGCCTGTGTGTTGGACTTCAGCAGAGTCATGGCGAAATCGATGTTCTTCAGCTCTCGTCCGGGAATCTTGAGGTCTCTAGGAATAGTAGAGCCAACACAGAGCAGCACGGCGTCGTTCTGGTGTTGAAGCTCATCAACAGTGATGTCCTCACCGATTGTGGTGTTGCAAACAAAGGTGACGCCCTCGGCCTCCATCAAATCGGTTCTTCTCTTCACAATTCCCTTGTCGAGCTTCATGTTCGGAATACCGTACATCAACAGTCCTCCTGGACGGTCTGCTCTTTCGTAGACAGTGACGGTGTGGCCGGCCTTGTTAAGCTGGTCAGCAGCAGCGAGTCCCGACGGACCAGAACCAATGATGGCGATGTTCTTGCCTGTTCTAACTGCTGGAGGCTCTGGCTTAATCCACCCCTGCTGGAATCCATAGTCGATAATTCCAGCCTCAATAGACTTGATACCAACAGGAGCATTGCCAGACACATTCACCACACAGGCGCCCTCACAAGGAGCCGGACAGATTTTGGAGGTGAACTCCGGGAAGTTGTTGGTCATGAGCAGTCTCTGCAGAGCGTCGTACCATCTGTCCTTGAACACTAGCTCATTCCATTTCGGAATCACGTTCGAAATAGGACATCCAGTGTCGCTCTGACAGAACGGAATACCGCAGTCGATACATCTGGCCGTCTGGTAGTGTAGGTCTTCCTTGGTCAGTCTGCTGGACAGCTCCTTCCAGTCGTTTATTCTGGTCTTGGCAGGTCTGTAAGGCTCGTTTCTTCTCTTGTACTTGACAAAACCGCCGAGCTTGTCGAGCTTGACCGCTTTCGTCTCTTCGGCCTTAATGTCCACGATCGTGTCCTCCAGATCCATCACTTTTGGTTCCTTGGCCGCACTGGCAGCAGACACGCGCTTGGACTTTGGTCTCGAAAACTCGCCGTTCGTGATGTCTGCTTCTGGGTCTTCCTTGATGGTTGAGAAGTACGACGATGCCTCTTTCTTCTTCAGCTCCTCCTGTTTGCGGGCCTCCTCCTCCAGAACTCTCTTGTAATCAACAGGAAGAACCTTCACGAACCGCGACAGGAATCTGTTGAAGTTGGTCAGAATTCTGTCGGCAATCTCAGAACCAGTGAAATGCCTGTGGTCTTCAATCAGACCTCTCAGGAAAGCAATCTCCGACGGATCCGTGATCGTGCTCAGCTCCACCATCTCCTTGTTTACCTTCTCCTCGAAGTCCTGTGCCATGTTCAGCACATACGCAATACCGCCAGACATACCAGCAGCAAAGTTGCGGCCCACAGAACCCAAAACAACCACTCTTCCTCCGGTCATGTACTCGCAGCCGTGGTCTCCAGTTCCTTCCACAATGGCCGTGGCTCCAGAGTTTCTCACGGCAAATCTCTCGGCAGCAATGCCTCTGAAGAACGCAGTACCAGACGTGGCACCGTACAAACAGGTGTTACCAATGATGATGTTCTCCTCGGCCTTGAACTTGGAGTCCTTTGGCGGATACACAATCAGCCTTCCTCCAGAAAGACCTTTGCCGACGTAGTCGTTACAGTCGCCTTCCAGCTCCAGGGTGATACCAGCTGCGAGGAACGCACCAAACGATTGGCCGGCAGAGCCTCTGATGTTCACGTGGATCGTGTCATGTGGCAGACTGGAAGGACCAAATCTCTTGGAACATCTGTACGACAGCGTGGTACCAATGGATCTGTCCGTGTTGATGGCCTCGGCCTCAATGGTGACCGGCAGCCCCTTATCGAGAGTCACTTCGGACTCGTCGATCAGCTTGTTGTCCAGTCTCACGTGCAGTCTGTGGTCCTGTTTCTTAATACAGCGGGTGGCAACCCCGGGTCTGATGGTGTGAGCTGGAGTGAGAATTGGCGACAGGTCAATGTTGGCGTTCTTGGTTGTTCTCAAATCGTCTCTCACGTACAGCTTTTCCGTTCTGCCCACCATCTCGTCGATCGTCCTGAATCCTAGCTTGGCCATGATGCCCCGCAGCTCGTTCGAGACGTAGTAGAAGAAGTTGATCACGTGCTCCGGAGTTCCCTTGAACTGTTTTCTGAGCACAGGGTCCTGGGTGGCAATACCAACGGGACAGGTGTTGGTGTGGCACTTTCTGTTGAAAACACAGCCCATGGAGATCAATGGAGCCGTGGCAAAGCCCCACTCTTCGGCACCCAGCAAACAGGCAATGGCAATGTCTCTTCCGGTCTTGAGCTGACCATCGGTCTGCACAGTGACTCTTCCTCTCAGATCGTTCAAAACCAGAGTCTGGTGAGTCTCGGCAAGCCCCAGTTCCCACGGCAGACCGGCGTACTTGATACCGGTCCATCTGGCCGCACCAGTACCACCATCGTGTCCAGAAATGAGAATGTGGTCTGCCTTGGCCTTGGCGACACCAGAGGCAATGATTCCCACACCAACCTCAGAAACCAGCTTCACAGACACTCTGGCTCTAGGGTTGGCGCACTTGAGATCGTAGATCAGCTGTTTCAGGTCCTCGATCGAGTAGATGTCGTGGTGCGGTGGTGGAGAAATCAGACCAACACCGGCAGTGGAGTGTCTCGTCTTGGCGATGCTGTTGGACACTTTGTATCCCGGCAGCTCTCCTCCCTCACCTGGCTTGGCACCCTGGGCCATTTTAATTTGAAGCTCGTCGGAATCGGACAGATAGTACGAGGTGACACCAAATCTTCCAGAGGCCACCTGTTTGATAGCAGACCTCATGGAGTCGCCATTCTCTGAAGGTTTTGATCTCTCCACGTCTTCACCACCCTCTCCGGTGTTCGACTTTCCACCCAGTCTATTCATGGCAACGGCCAGCGTGGAGTGCGCCTCCATCGAGATGGAACCGTATGACATGGCACCGGTGCAGAATCTTCTCACAATCTCTGTCCAAGGCTCAACCTGGTCGATCGGAACAGGCGTCGAGTTGGCAAAATCAAAGTCCAGAAGACCTCTGAGCGTGCAGTTCTTGATGGCATCGTACTCTTTTTTCGAGTAGGCTTCGTACGCCTTCTCGTTCTTGTTCCTGACGGCGTCCTGGATGTTGGCGACGGCAGCCGGCTCGTTCACGTGAGCGTCTCCGCCGTCTCTCCAGTGGTATTCTCCTGACTCTGGAAGACCCTTTGGCAGAACCGTGTCTCTGGAGGGGAATCCCTTTTCGTGCATCGAGAAAGCATCCTGCGCGATATACTCGAAGGTGATACCTTTAATTCTCGAAGCCGTGCCTGCAAAACATCTATCAATCACAGAGTTGTCGACACCAAGCGCTTCAAAAATTTGTGCACCTTTGTACGATGCCAACGTGGAAATACCCATCTTGGACATCACCTTGAGCAAACCGTCATCGATGGCGTGTTTGTAGTTTTCCAGCACCTGTTTGTCCGTCAGGTCGCCTGCCAGAAGATTCTCGCTGTTCAACTTGACCAACGTCTCCATAGCCAGGTACGGGTTGATGGCGTCTGCACCATAGCCAACCAGACAGCAGATGTGGTGAACTTCTCTGGCCTCTGCGGTCTCCAAGATCAGAGCAACCTTGGCACGCTGTTTCTGTCTCACCAGGTGGTGGTGGACGGCACCGCAGGCGATCAGCGAGCTGACCGGGATTCTGTCGGCACTGGTCTTTCTGTCGGACAGAATGATGATCTGATGGTCGTCGACAATGGCCTGGGTGGCTTCCTGACAAATTCTGTCCAGAGCATCGGTGTAGCCTGTCAAACTCTCCGACTTGTCGAAAGTGATGTCGATATTTGCAACAGACCATTTAGGATAGACCTTGTTGATCTCCTTCAAAGCTCTGAGCTCGTCGCTAAGTAGCACTGGAGACGGCATCAACAATCTGTTGCACTGTCCCGCATTCATCTCCAGAAGGTTGCCCTGCGGACCTATGTAGCACTCCAGCGACATGACGATTTTCTCTCTGATCGGGTCGATAGGAGGGTTCGTAACCTGCGCAAACAGCTGTCTGAAGTAGTCGAACATCAGTCGTGGCTGTTCTGCAAGACACGCAAGTGCAGCGTCATTACCCATGGATCCCAGAGCTTCCTTGCCGCCGGCTCCCATTGGGCCCAGCAGCGCAACCACCTGTTCCTGTGTGTAGCCAAAGGCAAGCAGACGAGGATCCTCCTGGACTTTCAGAGTCAGATCGATTGGCGTGCTCAGGTCCAGGTTCTTGTTCTGCAGCTTGGTGGTCAGCTCTGGCATGGTGATCATGTTGGAAGTAATCCACGCCTTAAAGTCAAATCTGGATGCAACCTGTTTTTTCAGCTCTCTGTCGTCGACAATTCTGCCCTCCTTGGTGTCCACAAGCAGCATTCTTCCAGGCTGGAGTCTGCCCTTCTCGACGATCTTGTTCGTCTCGATTGGAATCACACCCACCTCGGAGGCACAAATCATTCTATTGTCGTCGGTGACGTAGTATCTGCACGGTCTCAGACCGTTTCTGTCCAAATTGGCACCACAGAACCTTCCGTCGGCAAACGTGAAGAGCGCAGGCCCGTCCCACGGCTCCATCAGACAGGCGGCCCACTCGTAGAAGGCCTTTTTCTTGTAGTCCATATGCTCGTTATTCTGCCAGGCCTCTGGAACCAGCATCATGACGGCCTCTGGAAGAGACAAAATGCCGTTGATAACGAGCAGTTCCAGCACGTTGTCGAGCGCGGCAGAGTCGGAACCGCCCTCCTCGATGATCGGGTACAATTTCTCGAGCTCCTCGCCAAACAGCTTCGATTGCATCACGCCTTCTCTGGCGCGCATCCAGTTCTTGTTGCCCCTGAGCGTGTTAATCTCACCGTTGTGGGCTGCCCATCTGAGAGGCTGGGCACGATCCCAGGACGGGAACGTATTTGTTGAGAATCGGGAGTGGACGAGAGCGAAGTGGCACTCGTAGTCTGCGTTCACGAGGTCGTGGTAGTACGAGTACACCTGAGTAGGGACGAGCTGGCCCTTGTAGACGATGTTCTTGTTGGTCAGCGAGCAGATGTAGAACCAGTTGTGCAGGCCGATCGTGTGGGTGGACTGTTTTCTCAAAATGTACAGTTTCTTCTCAAACGTCTTTTCGAACTTGGACTCGAACTCCTCTGCCGAGTACACAGCCTTGGGCTTGTTTCCCGAGCCGTACACCTCCTCGAGAACCACCAGAGGCTGTAGAATCAGCGGCTCTCTCGAGGAAGCTGCCGGTCCTAAAATCGACGAGTCGACAGGCACGTGCCTCCAGCCGAGCACCCTGAGGCCGAGGCTCGCGGCGATGTTCTCGAACGTGCTCTTGGACTTCCGGAAAACGTCCTCGTCCTTCTTGAAAAACAGGTTTCCCACCGCGTACTGCCCGCTGGGCGGCAGCTCGATCGAGCAATGGTACTCAAACTCCCGCGCCATGAACTTGTGCGGAATCGAGGTCATCACACCAGCACCGTCTCCGTCCCGGGCGTCCGAGCCCACGGCTCCTCGATGGGTCATGTTGCACAGCAGGTAGCGGGCGTCCGAGATGATCTTGTGCGAGGCCTTGCCCTTGATATGGCACGCAAAGCCCACACCGCAGTTGTCTTTTTCGTACGCTGGGTCGTATAAACCCTTGGAGGTAGGGATGGTTGAGGCCCACGTTTTGTTTTCCGGGACCTCGTCGTAGCTATACACCGAGTAGGCCTCTGGCACTTCGCCGGCGGTCGGCTCGTACTCCAGATGCTGATCGCTTTTCAAAACCATGCTGAGGAAAAAGAATACGGACCCAGCGAGAATAAAATAGCCAACCGGGCAAATTTTTTCGTCAATGACTTACCACATGCGACTCCGCAGATTCAGCGGGGACCTCCGTGAATGTGTGCCGGACCGGGTGAACAAAGCTGGCAAGATAATGCACACGCAATCTCTGGCCAATGACGTTGGGCATAAAGTTAATGCATTGTACGATTCTGCACCGTGACAAAACTGGAAAGTTTAATCTGGGAGCTGGTGCAAGGCGGGGTGGAAAAAAAAATTAAAGAAGGACCCAAGATAAATAAATGCACAAGCTACTCTGATTAAATTAATAATCCTCTAGTTATTCCATCTCCTCCTCGTCCTCCTCGTCATCTGCGCCTCGTTCCGCCTCCATAACGCTCTCGACGTATTTATCTGTGTATTTGCGCGCGATCCGCGACGCCCGGCCCGCCGCCTTGGCCTCCTGTCGTGCCCGTTGCTGCAGCCGGCCCAGCTGCTCTTTGAACGCTGCGCGCACGTTTTTGTTGCTGAAACTATCCCACATCTTGAGACCCGAACCAGACCCACCCACAACAAGGTTTCCCGCAACCTCGATATCCGGTGCAAAGCTGGCCGTCAGCACCTTGCCGCAGTCAAAGTCTCGGCTAAGCACCATCGACGGACCACGCATAGACGTCTGCTCGCTGTCCAGCTTCCACAGCTTCACCACCTGCTCACCCATCGCGCCCGTCACAAGCATGTTGTTCAAGAACTTGTTGGCCTCCAATGTCGAGATACCCGAGTCGTGCGCGTGCAGCGTCCACAGCGGCTTCGACTCGACCCTCGCGTCGAAACAGTAAACGTTACCGGCGTCCGAGCCCGCAAAGAAATTCGACGAGTCCGCGCTCCATCTCACACATTCCACCTCCTCGCTGTTGCCCAGCTTGTAGCGTCTCGACATGCTTTTCTCGTCTGCAACCCGCACGTCGCTAATACAGCACGCAGAGTCGTAGCCACCAGTCAGCAAAATCGAGCCGTTGCTGCTGTCCGACTCCTCGTCAAGCCACTGCGACGACGAAACGTGCTTGCCTCCATGGACGCCGTCCAGAGAGCGCGCGACCTGGCAGCCCGTCAAGTCCCACAGTTTCACGGTTCCGTCCGCCGACGTCGACGCCAAAACGTTTCTATACAGCTTGTTGTGCGACAGAGACAAAACAGCGTCGGTGTGTCTGTCTGGCAGCTGCCTCTTCTTGGCCTTCTTCTTCTTCTTCTTGGTTTCCGTCTCGACGTCGCCCAAGATTGCGTCCGGGAACGCCTTGTCGATGCTGTCCAGGTTCCAGATCTCGATTTGCGGCTCAAACGTGCCAATGGCAGCAAAGTTGCCGATATTGGATTGGTCGTTGGCCCCGTACGGCTTGTAGCTCAGCCATTCGACACACAGAGGAAACGACGGCAACATCAGGTCGTGGTGAATGTACAAGTTGTTTTCTCTCACTAGGCCGTTCGCAACGTCAGCGTCAAATTTGTCCTCTTCCTCCTCCTCTGCCCCGAGAGGAGCTCCTGCTCCATCGTCGTAAATATACACGTCCAGGTACGAGACGTCGTCCTCAGTCCGTGTGGCCAACACCATGTTATCTGTGGGGTACACCTGCAATTCTGCCTTTTCCTCAGCTTCCTCTTTTTCCGTAGGCAGTGTCAGGTAGTGCTCCTCTTGGCCTTCTTCCATATCGCCGTCCTCGTTAACAATTTTCGCATACGATGCGGCCGTGTTCGAAAGACCAGGGAACATGGTGATTGGCTCGCCCGTGATTTCGTCCACCGGATCATCATCATAGTGTTCTAGATCGTATTCTTTGAGGTCGTCGTCAATCTCTATCTGCGACTTGAGAGTGTCACCATCTGTCTCTTCAGTCTCGTCGAGGCCGGCCTGGGCCTCGGAGATCTGCAGGTTGGCCATCTGCTCAATTCTGTTCATCTCCTCATCTGTGAGTTCGTATTTCTCGGGGAACTCGGAGGCGTAGCCTCGGGGCACCCAGCATGAGGCAGAAATCATAGTCTTCAAAATGTAGTATTAAATTTTTTTATTCAAACAAAAAAAAAAAAAAAAAAAAAAATTCATGCACAATTCGACTGTTACCCTGGCACGTATTTCACATACTTCGATTATTCGATACTAAACAAAATGGCACCTCCGGATGAAAAAACCATTGAGTACTTGCTGAAAAAGCTCGCAATGGGCGAAGAGCTGACGGAAAAACAGAGAAAGGATATGAAGGACTACAAGTTCTGGAAAACACAGCCTGTTTCGAAGTTCGACGAGAAAATCGACAAGGAAGGTCCAATCGACTCGGTCAAGACCCCTGCAGACATTCCTGACACGCCAAGTCCTCTTCTGAACGATTTTGAGTGGGTGACCATCGATCTCAACAAGGAGGACGAAATGAAACAAGTGGAGTCGCTGCTTTACGAACACTACGTGGAGGATCAAGACGCTACGTTCCGGTTTGCATACAGTGCGAGATTCTTTGAGTGGGCGCTAAAACCACCGGGATGGAAACGCGAGTACCATGTGGGGGTGCGTGTCAGGTCGACAGGCAAGCTGGTGGCGTTCATCAGCGGCATTCCTTCGCTGCTGCGTGTCCGTGAAAATAAAGTGCCAAGCGTGGAAATCAACTTTCTCTGCATCCACAAAAAATTGCGGTCCAAGAGACTGGCGCCAGTGCTGATCAAGGAAATCACCCGCAGAGTCAACAAAAATGATATATGGCAGGCCCTGTATACCTCGGGGGCCGTCCTGCCTACGCCGGTGTCCACCTGCAGATACACACACCGTCCACTGAACTGGGAGAAACTGTACGAGGTTGGCTTTTCATCGCTGCCTGCGGGTGTCACCAAGTCGCAGATGATTGCCAAGTACGCTCTGCCCTCCAGCACAAAAACGCCAGGGCTCAGAAAAATGGTCCCTGAGGACGTGGCCCAGGTGCTGGAGCTGTACAATAAATTCCAGGCCAAATACGATCTTGTGCAAGAATTCACAGAAGACGAGCTGGTCCACTGGCTCTGTGGTCCTGTCACACAGAGGGACCTCGAGGACAAGGACAAGGTCATTATTTCATATGTGGTGGAGCAGGATGGCAAGATCACCGACTTTTTCTCCTTCTACCTGCTACCATTCACCGTCCTGAACAGCTCCACGTACGATCGGCTGAACGTGGCGTATTTGTTCTATTATGCCACCGAAGCCGGTCTGGAGGACAAGGACGACGCCGTGCTGGCAAAGCGTTTGAGTTCGCTGATTGGCGATGCGTTGGTGGTGACAAAGAATTTGAAAACCGACGTTTTTAATGCTCTCACGTCTCAGGACAACACTCTGTTCCTGAAAGAGCTCAAATTTGGAAACGGAGACGCGTTTCTCAATTTCTACCTCTTCAATTACAAGGCGTTCCCAATCAAGGGCGGAATCGACCCGGAGACCAAGGAGCTGGACCCGGTGAACAAGAGCGGTGTTGGTGTCGTGATGCTGTAGTGGTGGCCGTCGTGGTGCAGAGGTGTGTATATTTTTTTTTTAGTCCGAAATTTCACCTCTAGATAAGAATATTTAGAAATCAATGAGATACGGGAGTGTCCGCGACGAATCGGAGCCGGACGATCTCCGCGACATCCCGGATACCGTCGCAGAGACAGTGAGTCTGGATTTGCCATCCAGTGATCCGCCACTTTATCTGACGTTCCGCTACTTTCTGCTCAGCATTGTATTTGTCATCCCGGGAGCATTTGTGGACACATTAAATTCGTACCGGACCACGAGCGCACCTTACAGCATTTTATTTGTTCAATTTCTATCGGACCCGGCCGGCAGGTGGCTGGCGAGAGTTCTGCCTCGAACCACTGTGAACCTGCTTGGGTTTCGGTTCAGCCTCAACCCTGGCCCCTGGTCTATCAAGGAATCTGTTCTGGTAACGCTGACAGCGGCCTCGGGAGCCACTGGCAACCAGGGCACTGCCGGTCTGTCGCTGTCGGAGATCTACTACGATCGAAAAGTGCATCCGTTAGTGGCACTAGTCTTCATGTACAGCATTGTCTGGACTGGCTACTCTTTTGGAGCAATTGCGAGAAACTTTGTTCTATACGAGCCACAGTTTGTGTGGCCCAAGGCGTTGATGCAAACTTCGCTGTTCAAAGCCCAGGAACATGCTGGGAGCCAGTCGAACTCGCAGATGCGCGTGTTTACGGTTGGCCTTGTGTCGCTATTTGTATGGCAGTTTTTCCCCGAGTTCGTCTTCCCATTGACGTCGTCGGTCGCCATATTGTGCTTTATGGCTCCTCACAATGCGGTACTGAACTTTTGGGGCTCAGGTCTCGGCGGACTTGGGTTTTTGAACATCTCGCTGGATTGGAGCAACATCTCGTCTTCGGTGATGCTCAGCCCGTATTGGACAATAGTGATGCAGTTCCTCGGGTTTGCAAGCCTATGCTGGATATTTCTGCCATTCTGCAAGTGGTACGACCAGGGAAAGTATGCTTTGGGACTAATGGACAACAGACTTCTACTTTCAAACGGGTCTCTGTATCCGACAACCCAACTGCTTACTCCAGAGCTCCAGCTCAACGAGACGGCGTACGAGCTGCTCGGACCCATCCATTTCGGCACTCAGCGCCTTGCAAACATCTTCTTCGACTATGCAGCCTACACCAGTGCAATTGTTTGGATAGGTTGCTTTGGCTACCAGGATATAAAGTCTGGCTACCAAAAGCTGCGCCAAAAATTCAAAGATCCACTGACAAACCGCTACGCAGACAGAATCAGCAAATCGTATGCGCGATACGATGAGGTGCCCAACAGCTGGTTTTTGACCCTGTTTTTGGTCAGCTTTGTGCTGCTGTCGTCCATTCTTCTGGCCACAGATGAGCTGTTTATTCCCTGGAAAACGTATATCGTGGCGTTGATAATTGGGTCAATAATAGTGACTCCGATGGCATATTTGTACGCGATCTCCAACTTCCAGGTGGAGATCGGCACGGTCAACGAGCTGGTGTACGGTCTGATGATGCAGACGCCATTTTTCTCGGGCACAAGTGGCAAACATCCCTGTGGAGCAGCTTTCTACGGGGCCATTGCGGGAAACTGCTGGTACCGTGCCCAGTACATTCTCCAGGACCAGAAAATTGGAATCTACAACGACATACCGCCTAGACTTGTTTTCTTTTCGCAGATCTTTGGCGATCTCATAGGCGTGCCGTTCAATTACATGTCGCTGCGTTGGGTGGTGAAGTCCAAGTACGACTTCCTCAAAGGTCTGAAAAGCGACCCGATGCGCCAATGGACCGGCCAGGTGTTGACAAACTACAACAGCAACGCAATCCAGTACGTTGTTCTCGGCCCCAAACGGGTGTTTGAGCACTATCCGTATCTGCCTCTGGGATTTCTGGTTGGTAGCATAGCACCCTTGGCGGTGTTCTGGATGGCAAAGCACACGCCCTGGCGGCTTGCAAAAAAGTTCAACGTTACCATCCTATTTGCGTCCATGTCCAAGTTCTATGGCAACATCAGCACAGGCTACTTTACGCAATTCCTCATTGGCACCTTCACTATGCATTACCTGTACAAATACCAGCATCAATGGTTCCAGAAATACAACTATGTCCTGGCAGCAGCGTTCGACACGGGCTTCAACCTTGCCAACCTTGTCATTGCGCTGCTGTTCGGGTCCAAGACGGCAGCTCAGTTTCCGGAGTGGTGGGGCAACGACAGGTCCCATTTGGAAAAATGCTATGCGCTGTGAGACCACTGATCCGCGCCCTCGATGTACTCTCTGGCCTTCCGCTGGCGCTCTTCTTCGATCCTCTCGAGCTCCTCGGCAGACGGCGGCAACGCTTCGTTCTGGAGATCTGCCTCTCGGGCCTCCGAGAACGACTTTAGTCTGTTGTGCAGCTCCTCGCGGCCGTCCATTAGCACGCCACGGGGCAATTTGCCGCCCGAGTAAATCTTGAGATGCTCAACTTTCTCGGCCTCCTCGCGCAGGATGTTAAACATGCGCGACATGCGGCCGATCGAGAGCAGCTTCTTGCGCAGCGAGGCACGTGCCTCGAGCGGCGACACGCCGGTTGCTGGCCCCGTGACGGCGGCCAGCGTGGTTTCCGGAGACGTCTCGGGTACGTCCCGCAGCGACTTGACCACGTCGCGCGCCACGACGGTCTCCTCCTCGAGCTCGTCCTCTGTGCAAATGTTGAGGATGGAAACGAGGATGTCAAGCACTTTTTCCGACACAAACGGCAGCGACCACTCGAAAACGTCCATGAAGTCCGGCAGATGGTAGGGCGAATCGGTCGCCACAAACTGCTTGATGTTGAACGTGGAGCCGTCGTAGATCAGGGCCGCAGCCTTGTTTCTATAGGTACCGCAATAGTTCGGGGCGGAAAACAAGGTGATCACCGAGGGGAACCCGGTGGCCTCGTTCTTGCGGTACATTCTGTAACCCGCGTCCTGCGCTTGGTGCGCTCTTATGACACTCAATAGATTATTTTTCTCGAGAAAGTGGCACACAGCATGGTACGAGTAGTAGTACGAGCAGTGGCGCTCGTAATTGTCTCTGAAGTAGGAGTCGTAGTCTGTGGGCGAGAGGACTTCGGTGTCGTACTCGGGAGCCGGGTCCGACCACATGATGTCGCTGAAAAGTCCTCGGGACGGGAAATCGTATCTGAATCTGTTGATTTTGCTGATATCGCTGAGCCTCTCGAGCTCGGGCGAGAGCCCGCCGTGGCAGCAGAAAAACTGGTCGTTCAGCACCGCGCAGAAGGGCATCATCTTGAAAGTGTTGAGCGCCTCCCTGTAGATGGCTAGCGAGTACTTGACGGCACACTCGCGCTTGAACGTGAAGTGCTCGGTCATGCGTTTGGTCTCGTGGTTTCCTCGGAGAATCCAGAACGACTTGGGAAAGTTGATTTTCATGGCCAGCAGCAGAATCAGACATTCCATCGAGTAGTCGCCACGGTCGACGTAGTCTCCCAGAAATAAGTACTGTGTCTTGGCTGGGTCGCCGCACATGTTGAGCATCTTGCACAGGTCGTAATACTGGCCGTGGATGTCGCCCACCACGGTTGCCGGACAGGGCACCTTGAGCATGTTCGGTTCCTGCTCGAAAATCGCGGCCGACTCCTGGAGAATGTACGTGAGCTGGTGTTCGGACAATCTTCCTTCCTGCTTGAAGTGGTGCATCAGAAACTTGTAGTCTGGGTTTTTCCCGTCCGGGAACACTTCAGAGTCCGCAGGAATGCGGAACGATGGAGGGCTGATGGTCTTGACGATGCGGTCGGTAGTGATAAACGTTTCGCCCTGCTCGTCGACATACACGGTAGGGTCGCCCGGCGCAGGGGCCTCGTCGCGCTTCTTTACGTGGCGCAGCGCGTTTTCGATCTTCACCGAGTTTTCGTGCGCCTTGAGGTTCTGGAGCGGGCTCATGACAAGAGGTAATAAATAATATAAATATTCAGGGGTGGTCGATCGACCTCTATAAAAATTCCTGTGCAACCGTTGCTCATTTGCGAGGCATGGCCTCGTTCGGCAGATCGGCGAGCCTCGCATGCTCGAACGACGTCAGCTTGCGGTCCAATTCGTCCTGTCCGTCGAGCAGCACGCCCTTCGGCAGCGCGTCTCCGCCCGCCAGCGTGCGCAGATGCTCTACCTTCTGGGCCTCTTCTCGCAGCATGTTGAACATTCTCGACACTCTGCCAATTGCCAGGATCTTTTTGCGCAGCGCCGCATAGTCAATGGGTCTGGCTTCTGCCTCGGCCTCGCTGGTGCCGCCGCCCAGCTCCTCGGCAGAGCAGATATTGAGCAGCTGCAGCAGAATGTCCGACGTGCGCTCGGCAACGAACGGAATCGACCATGTGAAGGCGTCCAGCCCGTTGGGTAGCCGGTACGGCTCTGGCTGCGACCCAAACTGTCGGATGTTCATCAACGATGGGTCATAGCGTAGTACCGCTGCTTTGTTGCCGTATGTGCCGCAGTAGTTGGGGGCAGAGAACAGCGTGATCATGGACGGAAATCTTTGCGCTGCCGTCTGTTTGTACATGCGATAGCCCGAGTCCTGGGCCTGGTGCGCGCGAATCACGCTCAAAAGCCCGTTTTCCTTCAGAAACGTCTCGACGGCGCGGAAAGAGAACATGTACGAGCAGCCGCGCTCGTAGTTCTCGACGAAGTTCGGCTCGACCGTGGCCGAGTCGTAGTTGTTCGACGGGTCGGCCCACATCAGGTCGCAGTAGAGCCCCGAGGACGGGAAGTTGGCCACGAAACGGTCGATCTTGTCGAGGTCGCGTAGCCAGCGCAGGTGCTGCGAGATCCCGCCATGGACACAGAAAAACTGGCCGTCCATCAGCGCAGCCAGCGGAAGCGCCTTGAACGACTCGAGCGATTTCTCGTACACGGCCAGGCTGTGTTTTTTGAGACATTCTTCCTTGAACGTGAAGAACGACGTCATCTGCTCGGACTCGTGGTTGCCACGTAGCATGAAAAAAGTGTGCGGATGGTTTATTTTCATCGCGTACAGCAGCAGCAGACACTCTAACGAGTACGAGCCGCGGTCCACGTAGTCTCCGAGAAACAGGTACGAGGTCTTGTCGGGATCGTCGCAGATCTCAAATAGCTTGCACAGATCGTAGAATTGGCCGTGCACATCGCCGCACACCGTTACCGGCGCCGCCACGCGCACCATATTGGGCTCTTTCCGCAACGCGGCAGCGGCCATTTCCAGAATCCGCAGCACCTGCTCCTCAGAAAGTCGTCCTTCCTGGCGGAAGTGGCGGCGCAGGAACTTGTAGTCGGGCAAGCCGTTGTTGGCAAAAACACGGTCATTTCCCGGCATTTCGCGAGTTGGAGGCTCCACGTCGACGACAATTCTGTCCCTGGTGCAGAACGTATGGCCCAGATCATCCGTGTACACTGACGGGTCGCCCGCAGGCTGAGTTTTCCTGTGCTTGACTTGGTTGATGACGTTTTCGAGCTGGGACGACGAATCAAACCGGTGGACGCTGATCTGCGGACTGGTCTGAAACGACATCATGTTCAAACTTTAAAAAATGAAAAGTGTAGCCCAGCCTACACCACCATAAATAGATTTTCGTTGCCTTGGAGTCACATGATTTTCCAGTGAAGAAATAATTTTTTTTTACCTAGACATTTTACGTATGATGGAGCTAGTACTCGAAGACCCCGGATACTTGTGTGCTGTGGAGCCGCGCAAGACATTGGAGCTTGCTGACGAGAAATCACAGGCCAATTTTGAGCTTGGCGTTTCGATGCTCGTGCACGGATGGCAGATCCTCACCACGGCCGTCGATAACAGCTGGGGAGGACCAGAGTCTGCAGAGAAAAGAGACTGGATCACCGCTGTGGTGATCGATTTGTTCAAGCAGAATAAAGAGGTGGACATTATTTTGATTCACGAAACTCTATTTAACGCCATGGAGGACGAGTTCGACGTCATTGTCGAGGACCAGAGCACAGTCCACATAGCCAGTGCTGTGGTCCAGATCTACCAGGAGTGTCTTGCTGGCAATTACGATCGTGTGCAGACGATGTACCAGAAATACCTGCAGAAGCAGGAGTATCGCAGGACTCACGGCATCGAGAAAGTTGAGGTCCAAGACGATAGCGACGACGAGAGCGACGACGATAGCGACGAAGACATGATGGACACCGACGTGCCAGAGCTGCAGGAAGCCGCCAGCCAGCCGCGAGAGGTGATTGACGAGGACGGCTTCACGGTTGTGACGAGAAAGGGCAGACGCTAATCATCAGGACCCACGTTTGACCGTGTTCTGATAATTGAGAGACTATTTCTTGGAGTCACTTTCAGCGGCACCGGAGGCGCGTTGGGTTGCTTGCTGAAACTGTTCAAGTTGAACCCTTCGAAATCGCCCGCTGCAGGAGGCGGCACAGGACTGTAGTTCACCAATGGTGGCGTGGACTGCGTGTTGTCTGAGGAACCAAGGCCGCGGGAGAGCAGCGGCCGCCCGGGACTCTCTGTGCCAGACCGATGTGCCTGCTGAGTTTGTGAGCTCAGCGTCTGCAACGACGCAGCACTGGACTTGCGGCGGTTGAGCGCTATCGACCCGAACCGCCTTATAAACGAGTCCGTCGCCATGTCCACCGAACTCTTTGGCTCAGTAAGTGCGATATCCCGTGCACCTCCTTTAATAGTAAATAATTTGACGTTTGTGCCGTCCCAGATTCCAATCGGCGAAAGAGAGTGAACCTCCATTGTAGAAGACTTGCTGTTGAAGGTGCTCCATGTACCGAATCCCCAGTCGGCACCCACCTTCTTGAACGCTGAGATCGAATCCTCTAGAACGGATTTTGACTTGCAAACCTCCAGCTGGTTGTAGGACCGACACCACAAAACAGAGGTGTACCACCCGAGCGACAGATTGGACCACGTGAACTTGAGCGGCTCGAACTTCGTCTTGGCAGGATTGTACTCGTTTGGAAGCTTCAATGTGGCAATGAACTCCGGCATTTTAGCCCCGTTGATCTGGTTGATGATGGACGCGGCGTCTGCGCCAGTGGCTGTCACGTTGGCTTCGAGGTGCCGGATAACGTCCAGCAGGATAGTCGTCGACTTGAGCCCTGTCCACGTGAGCTCTAACGGTGCATTCAGTGGCAGTTTAGCCTTGGCCCTGAACGACATGCCCACGGGCAGCTTGGGCCGGATGAGGCTATCGTCTGTTGGACCCCTATACAGCGGGTCTTCCTCGCTCGTTTCTGCGTTCAGTGTCGGCGACGGCGAATTCGACCCGCTGGCCGTCATCCTTTCGTCCTGGGCCTCGTTGGTTGCCGACACCTTACGGATTGAAACAATCACGTTTTCGAAGATCGATTTATTTTTCAGCAGCACGTAGAACCAAATGGCGCAGTCGCTGGGGTTTCTGGTGATCACGTGGCACAAACTGCGCATCAGTAACGCGAGCAGGTCAAGATGGACGTCCTGCTGGCGCAGAAACTCGACAGACGAGAACTTGGCAATCAGCTGTGTCACGGCGGAGCAGGTCGAGTACGACATCTGGAGCGTGGGCGGTTGTGCTGCGGTCAGGTCCCGCGACGAGGGACGTCTATTGATCGTGGGGACAGAATTAGACGCGGCGGGCATCTGCGGAACCATGTTGTATATCCATTCTATCATGGTGGGGACGAGAATCAGCGGACAGTCCGACTGGAGCATAGCACAGGTCTGGGTCACCAGAAAGTCTCTATAAGTGGTGGGCGAGCCAGACAGACGGAAATGTTGCGGGAGCGTAGCGTAGAATTGTTTATCGAACGGCGTGACCAGCTGCGTGGTGATGATGGTATCGTAGGAGAGGAAGAGCACCAGATAGGAGCACGTTCGCACGTGGTTTCTGTGTTTTTCGGACGACCTGTAAACGAAGATCTGGTACAGCAACGCAACCAGCAGCTTGACGCCGTACTGCGTTGCCAGCCGTATGCGGAATTTCTTGTTGCACTGATAAAATTCCCAGACTAGCATCACGATCTCGGTCATCCAGTCTTCGAGATTCGAAGCCGCGGCCAGGAACTTTCCCTTTATGAGGTACGAGAGGCCAGAGGCGCTGGCTGCAACGCCGGAGTTCGCGTCCATCAGCCGGAAAAGCGGCCTCACCAGCCCATCTTCAAGGAACTCGAGCTCCTGCTCCTTGTGGAGCCGGCCGCAGTAGTGCCGCACCAGGTTCGTAGGCGTGTCGATCAGAATGCCTTGTTTGTGCAAGAATTCCTGGTCCATCTTGGGCAGTGGGTACACAATCATCTGAGTGAACAGCTGCATCGCACACGTGACCATCAGAATACGCACCTCTTTCTGCGCCGCGATCTCCAGATCCAGCCCCGTGTTGTACTCGTTCGGATCCTTCGTGGACCGACAAACCAGGTTCAGCAGCGACGAGATCAGCGTCAGCATCCGCAGTCTCGGCACCGCCGTCACAAGCACCGTTAGGTACCGGCTTCCGAGCGGTACCACGTTCGAGACTTGTCTGTAGAGACATTGCGAGCAGAGGACCAGCAGTAGACGCAGGATCTCAAGCCTGTTGGAGTCCAGGGCAATGTCCGGGTGCTTCAGTTTGCCTGTGAGGCCAATTCCGGGCTCCCAGATCGAGAATTCCACCGAGTTCGGCCTGGTTTGCTTGTCCACTGCCGGGACGGTGAAGCCGGTTGTAAATAGTAGGTTGACTGCCTGCAGCACCAGCAGAGCGCCCAGGGCAAGCGAGCCGCTCTGCGACTCGTCCACAGTGGGCTTCATGGAGAGGTTGTCGATGATTTTGTCGTGACTGACCAGCACGTCCACCATTCCGTTGGTGGTCTCTGCGCTGGACAGATCTGTCGAACACAGCGAGTCGAAGCCGACCGTGGCTGTTGTGGACCCATTGGAGCTGCCCGAGGCCTGGGTGTGCGGGTCAACGGCGTTGTTGAGGGACCAGAAAAGCGTTTTTTCTGCAGAAGAGAGCTCTTCCTTTTCGTACAGATACGGCAGCAGCCTGGTGAGGAGCCGCGCGCAGTTGAGCACCTCTAATTTGTTGAAAGTGCCGGATTCGGTGTGTCGCGCAAGGCTGACAAGCCGTGCGGCAGTGAGCCGGATCAGCAAGAAGAAGTTGCGGGGGTTGGTGTCTCTCAGAAGCACAATGTTGGCGGGCGAGAAGGCCGTAAAGACGTCGTTGACGCTGCGCGGCAGCGTCCAGAAGGAGGCCCAGATCGCATCCGAAACGGCTATGTGGCTGAGAGGGTCTGCGAGACGGAACAGACGCTCTGCCAGGGCCGGTTTTGCATCTTTAGGGTCCATGGCCGCAATTGGCGTGCAAATAATTGAGGTAGGAAAATTGCAGAAAATACAGAAAATGCATTAAAATCGTTAGATATTGGTAGATACGAAAATCAGGCACTAGAATGGTGTGGATTGGTTATTGCGCTCGGTCAATCAGAACTCCTCGTTGAACACTAGCGGGCCGTACTTTTTCTCGTAGTCCTGCGTCTCGTCAAACGTCCGCTTGGTGCCCCTGTCCAGCTCGCTCTCCCAGTCGGCAAGCGACGAAGCGGTCGATCCGCGGTAATCCAGTGCAGGAGGTCCGCTGGCCAGATGGTCTGGCAGTGGCACTCTACGGATCTGGGGTGCGGTCAGCTCATCCCCCTTGTGAGCTGTGGAAGCGGCGCTGGCGTCGCCCTGCATGTACCCGTCGCTGACGCTCTTGCGAATGCGCATGCCTAGAGTCTGCAGCTGGCGCGTAAGCGGATCGACCGGCTGGATATCTCTGTTGAAACTCACTCTTTTGCAAGACTCATCGTCAGACGTAGTTTCCAAATAGAGAAAAATTACTTTTTGATCTCAGGCTCTGACACCAATCCACGACCCAGAAACTTTTCTTCACCAATATCCGTCCTCTCATGGCCATGTCTGAATGGAGCCCGTTGTCGTGCTTCCACTACGGAAGAGTTGTCGAGTCATTTCTGCCGCTCAAGCTGCTGGACAAAAAAGACCCCAAGCACAAGGCCATTGCCCAGAACTTTGTCGACGTCCACCCTGGAGATCAGGTGTACCTTTTCGAGCAGGAAGATGGCGGCAAATGGGTCCGGGGATACGTTGTCTCGCTGCCCATGCCGTCCGACTTCCTTACAGCGGGGGCCACGCTGGACAGAATGCCTGAAAACCGTGTTTCTGTGGCTCTGCTGCCCAGATCTTGCGTGCAAGTCGTCAAAGAGATCCCGTATAACAAGTCCTATGTGCTTAGTTCAGACTCGCTCCCTCCATTGCCACCCGAGTCTCAGGCCCTCACGGACTCGTTTTTGGACGAGGTTGTGTTTTCGCTGCGCTCCCTGGCCGTCTATATCTTTGCCGTTTACTCCATGAACCAGTTCTCTCTGTTCCAAAAATTAAAAGACATATACTCTGAGCTGGACGACATTCGGCTACAGTTTCTGCACGATCTGCTCACAAAGGACCAGAAGGTGCTTGCACAGAAACAGGCCGCAGCGCTTGTGAACAGGATTTCCAAGCTGCTGGCTCCGGTAATCTCCAACGACGTCGGTGGCTACCTGGCTATTTCATCCAGAGACGAAAAAACGGGGCAGCTCTTCAGGGCCAACAAGAACCCAGAAAACATGATAAACCTCGCCAAAGTCGCACAAAACCAGGTGTTTTCGGCCCTGGCATCCAACTTCCCTGTCAGCAACGCAGACGTCTCCTTTGTACCCGAAAAATGCCCCAAGCTGCAGCCTGCGCTTCCGTGCCACATTCTCGTGGATTTCAAATCCGTCTCTGGCTCCTCGAACATAGTCCCAAACGGCTACGACGGGATAACCGCGTACATGTACTTGCGCAATACCAGGAAGACCATCACGGAGGCGTTTAGCATCACAATTCGGCCCCACGAGAGCTTCGATCTGGAAAATATTTCTGCCGCTCTGTTTAAAAATATTCCAGCCAGCGAGGTGGAAAATACCAGGGTCTACCTGGTGGCCGTTTTGACCGAGAACATCAGGCTCCCAGAGAACACACTGCCCTCGATCCGCAAGGGCATAGGCGCCGGTGTCGCCAACATCACGCGAATTTTCAGCGGGAGACAGGGCCATCTGACTGCGGGACAGGCTCACCAGTTCACCATAAAACTGTTCAGCTCGTACACTTCACGAAACTCCCAGCAGCCGAGTGTCAAGCCGGGCATGAGTCCGGTCTCGGCAGTGTCGTCGCTGATGGAAAACAACGGCTGGGGAGAGCTTGTGGACCGAATCATTGCTGGATCCAGCAAAGGGGTGGCCATCAACCCAAGGGCGGAGCAGATCACTCTGTCCATCAAAGAGCTCAAGAACAACAATCTGCTGGACTCTATCGATGCGAAAACGTCTGCAATTGCGTCGATCCGGCCCTCGCTGTACAGCCCACTGGAGCCAGACTACAGCAGATCGTATTTGACGGTCAACAAATGCAATCTGGTGGCAGGTCTTGACAAGGAAAAGTGCTTTGTCACCGTGGAGGTCAAGTCACCCACTCAGGGGCTGCGGTTTGCCAAGGGCACGAACGAGGACCCGCGCAAGGTGTGGCAATTCCTAACGGTTTCGCCGGACGAGTACGTGGGCGAGACGGTCCATATTTTCAATATCGATGAAAACTCCATCATTGAGAATGAGTACCTGCTATTTACCGTTTATTTGAACGGGAACTCCCTTGGCGAGGGACGGTACCATCTGCGGTCCGGCCACCAGATCCGTGAGACCAAGAAGGGCGCCCAGGTGGAGATCTACGGGGACGGTAGCAGCCAGGTGGCCGCGGTGGATTTTGACCTGCAGTATGTGGGGAAAAAGTACAATGCCGACCCGGCGGTGGCCACCATTTTGAACTGGAAGAAGTTCTACAGCGCCAATCTCGAGGGCAACTACGGCACGCTGATCCAGGTGCTGGCGACGGCAGGCAAGGTGGAGCTGGCGACGGCCGTGAAGTTTTTCCCCGAGCTGTTGCACACGTTTCTGGAGATTTTCAACGAGTCGCGTGTCAAAAAGCTGTTATCGCTGGAGATTGCCGCTTTTGAGAGTGTCGTGCGTCTGCTCGACGTGACCATCGCGCGTCAAGACCACTATAACTACGTTTTTTCGGATTTCCTCGAAAAATACAAAAACCTACCGACTGTCGGCGAGCAGCTGCTGCACTTGATGGCTTCGTATTTTTCGCAGGTCGACACCGACTGGAACTCGACGGGCCGTGCGCTGTGTCGCACGTCGCACCTTGTGCTCAAACTAGCGGCCGCGTGCTACGCCAACTCGACCGCGTTTGCCGGCGTCGGCACCTTCTTCAGCAACTCGGCCGCCAAGCTGCTTGCCATCAAGCAGGACTCAATTCTGGCTGACCAGCTGCTGATTGCCGAGTCGCTCGAGTTGTGGCTCGATGTTCTACGCGAGTTCCACGACGATGCACACCTGCTCAAGATGGCCGCCAAGTGGATCGACGCGATCGGGTTGCAGGGCCTCGGTGCAGCAGACGACGTGCCGTCCAAGAAAAAAAGCCACGAGCACCGTCTGATCGTGAGCAAGCTAATATTTATTCGCCGGCTGCTGAACTCCTGGCTCATTCATACCTCCTCCGTCGAAACTCGCGACACTCTGATGGCCAGCGCGCTTAAATGGGCGCTCCAGGTGGTACTGAGCGAGCAAGTCGACATCGACGCCATCCGGCTTGCGCTCGGGATCATCCTGGCGTTCGACACCGCGTGCTTTGGCGAAGATCGCCTGTTCCACGACGACAGCAAGCAGGCGTACGTGACGATCGCGCGGCTGCTGCCTGTGCTGGGCGAGACGTTCAACAGATGCCTTGTGCACTGCCAGAAAAACGGCTATTTCAAGCCGCGCAGAACCTTCACGCAGCTGTTCCCCGTGGCTTACCCGTTCCCAGAGCACACAATCGACTCAGCCGTTAACAACGAGTCCTTCTGCGAGGTGCTGATCGAGCTGGCTGTGCTGATTGCGATCCACGCCAAGATCGGCAGGGCCAACGGCGACGCCATGAGCCAGTACCTGGCGAAGAAAACCACGTCGTCCGCGTACGAAACGCTGAACGGGCTGCTGGGCGCGCCCGGAAGCGTGCTGGACTCGCCCACAAAGCCGTTCGACACGGTTCGGTGGGTGGTTTCCACCATTTCGGCGAGATACTACCCGGCCGATAAATGGCTCTCGCTGCGCGCACTCATCACAGAGGGCATTCTGTCGCTGACGGAATTTGTGTATCCGATGGCGGTTCGGATCCTCCCGCCACCGGGAGAGCTGGACAGGTTCAACGTGAGCGTCTGGCACAAGTACCTGGTGGCGATCATGAGGTGTGCTACCGCAAAGACGTCGTCATTAGAGCACTTGCACGATATCCCGCGCAAGTGCTGCTACCAGCTGGAGGGCGACATCCGGCCGCGCGCTGCGGGCCTTGTGCAGTCTGTGTGGAATAGCCTGGGCGCGCGGTGTGCTGAGAAAACGGCGCAGCGGTTTAAAATCGAGAAATGCGGTGGATTCCAGACGCTATTTATTGCTGACGAAAAATATACCGTCGTAGGCGACGTGCTGCTGCTGTGTTTCCAGCGCAACACCACGTGCGTGGATGTCGGCACGAAGCTTCTGTGGTCAATGATGGTCGATGAGTGGCTGAACAAGCAGAGTCTTGAGGACTTGCAACGGCTGTGCATCGTCTCGATCTACGAAATTTTCCACACCGAAAACAGCTACTCTCCTGGCCCGGAGGAAATTGTGGGTTTCATCAGCCATCTTGCCGACTCGGTCAAGCTGGACCCCGAGGATGAGGCACATGGCCCAGTCATGGGGCTGATCGACAAGTTGTCGGGGTATCTTGAGAATATGAACGAGCTGCAGAAAATCCCCAAGGGCAGCGAGTTCGACGACGACAGAATGTACTACAAGCTGAAATTGTCACAGTATCTCGCCAATGTGGACCGTCCCGAGGTGTTCCAGTCGTTTGTGAACGACCTGTACCAGTCGAACCTCGAACGTGGCCACTATGTACAGGCTGCTCTGTCGCTCGGACTCTTGGCCGACACGTACTCCTGGGACCCGGAAACAGAGGTGCCGGCATGCGAGCGGCCGTCGTTCCCGAAACAAACTGCGTTCCAGCGCAAGGAGCAGCTGTACAAGATGATTGCGTCCAACTTCGTCCGTGGCAAGCGTCTCGAACAGGCCGTCGACGTGTACCAGGAGCTGCTACGCGCGTACATGAGCTACAACTTCGATTTGCGCGGGCTGAGCTACTGCCACGGCGAGCTCGCCAAAATCTACAAGGCACTGGAGACGGTAGACCGCGTGGAATCGAGCTATTTCCGCATCGAGTTCGTTGGAGCCGGGTTCCCTGACGCGCTGCGCAACAAGCAGTATATCTACGAGGGACTTGCGTTTGAGCACATCACGTCGATGATCCAACGGTTGTTGCGACTGTATCCAGGGGCACATCTCATTAACAGCGAGGAGGAGCTGCAAAAGCTCAAGGATAGCGAGCCAGCAGGAAAACATCTCCATGTCAAAAGCGTGGCTCCGTATAAGGACATGAGCGGCGACAAGTTGTCGCTGCGCACAAAGCAGTACGTGGACAACAAGGACCTGCGCCAGTTCCAGGCCACACGCAGACTCACCGGCTCGACGGGGATCCAGGACCTGTGGACAGAGGAGGTGACGTACGAGACGTATGCTCCATTCCCGACGCTTATGAACCGGTCGGAAATCAAGACCACGACGGTGACGAAGCTGTCGCCCGTGGAGAACGCGTTGAGGTCGCTGAGTGCGAGAAACGAAAGCTTGGAAGATTTGGAGCAAACGCTGCTACAGGCGATGAAGAAAACGGAGGATTACTCGCAACTGTCGAAGTCTGCCATTTTTGGCGAGCTGTCCAGGGTGCTGGCAGGAACGGTCGACTCGCCTGTGAATGGCGGGGCGGGCCAATACAGAGTGTTTTTCGCAAAGACAGACAAAGACGGCACAGAGCAGGCTGTGGAGGCCAAGTTTGAGCAGCTGGTGCAGAATCTGTACCGGCTGCTCCGAGTCCATGCTCTTCTCGTGCCGGACTCGCTGTTGGAGAGCCACAAGGGTCTGGTGGAGCTGTTTGGCGCCAATTTTGCGCCAGAAATCGAGAGTCTACATCTAAGCGTGGGTGAGCTGATGGATGTGGACAAGATCAGAGAAACGCCTCAGAACGTGTCTTTCGAGCCGGCCGGCTCACTCCACCTCACCATGACCAACACCAGCAGCAACGCATCCGTGCACTCGAACTCGTCGGAACCCAGGTTCTCCCAGAGTCTAGCCTCGCCTGGCGTGCGTCTGTATACAAAGGCAATGGTATAGCACTCACTATCTGGATCTTCGGCATTCCCAGAAAAAGCAGTGAAGCACATATGCACAAAGTCGTCATAGCCATTATTCCGCTTTGTTCGAGAACAATATTTTTTTTTCTGGATATCGTTTCATTTTCAAAATTCTCGACACTCTACGTAGCTGGAATTAGGTAATAGGTCGTGAGGGTGCTAATTGAACGTAGCATTGTGTCAAACAAGAGGCTTCCATATATATGTACAGACTTCCCCTGTTGGGTGATTCTGGGTCTCTAATGTCAAGATTTCGTGTCAACACTATGGAATCTGACAACCTGAGACGTTTGGAGAATGCACTGGTCAAGTTCCACTCGTACAAGCGGAACAACACCTCCAAAACGAACATCCTACGTCTGTCGCTCCTTCCCTTTCTTAGAAACACCAGCGCACCCTGGTCCGCGCACCGGCTCGATGCGGTCGACCCAAGATCCAGAACCCAGTTTCTGGAGCTCGCCGTCGTGCTTTTGCGCTGGTGGAAGGCGCTTTTATCGGCAGTCAAGGAGCTACACCAGATGACGTCTATCGACAGAAACTGCTATTTGGAAGCGATTTCCAGAATCGTCGGCCGCCAAGAATGGCTCGAGATCGCTAAAGACCCCAACTCTGAGATTTACAAACAGCACAACGCACAGCTACTCGAGACGTTCGAGTTCTGCATAGCAAGACTCGATGTGAAGAATATCAACCTGCCCATCAACGCTTTTGTTGGAAAGATCTTTGCCCACGCCTTTGTGAAGTTGCCGGACCTCTCCCGCGGCATCCTGTTCCTCCTAAACTCGAGGGTCAAAAATTACAAGGAGTACTACGACCTGATGGTTCGAGAAAAATCACCTCACCAGCCTGTTCCGGGCCGCGATAAAAAATACTTTGAGGACGTGGTCAACGCCACCTTGGTGTATTTCCCCCAGCATCTGCATCCACTTATCAAGTCTGCGGAGCAGCCTCGTCAAACCAGGTACAAGCTCGAAAACAAGGTTCTTAACTCGGTCTCACCGCCATCTGCCAAGATCACAGGAATCAGCGACCCGCGCGGACTTTGGTGCACCAGATGGTCGTCCCTCGAAAATGTTGACCTGTTTTGTTCATTTTTACGTCATTATCTCACGCTTATCTCATTTTATGTGCAACAAACCAAATCGCTTTCCGCTCCCGAAGTTTACGCCCTTCCAGGCTTTGCATATCTGATTACCCACATTTTCGAGATTGTTGATTTTCAAATCTTCCAATCCGCGCAACGCACATGCAGCCAGTCCACGGAGTCGCAGGTCGATAAGTTGCTGAAGCTGCTCCGCGACTTTCTGGCGAATGCCCGCCACGAGTTCGAGCCTAGTCTCCGGAGCGGAGTTCTCAAGTGTTTTGACACTGTATTCAAACTGGTTTTCTACAAGACTACCATATTCCAAACAGAGAGAATTGACCTCTGTTTCGACATATGGGTCAGATTTGTGAGAAGCATAGACGAGACAAATTCCTATGCCACTCAGGATCTAGATTGGAAATTCTGGATCGATACACTTTTCAAGCTGCTCAACTCGGAGTTCATCAACAGCGAACTCAAGGCGCTCTCTGTTTTGTATCAGATTTGGGACTATCTTCCGTCCAGCAAGCCACCGCAGGCAAACTGGGTCTCTGATCCTAACGACACCCTGAAATACAACATGATATTATATCTCACGAGTTCGGACAACTGGTCCAAGTTCTTTGGTCACTACCTGCCCTTGGTGAGATGCTACTTTATCATTTTGATGGTGTGGAAAGTTTTGGGTTTGGAGTCTCTGCATCTTAGTACCAAGGGCGGCTTTGCCGACGTTATGACAGGAAAGAAAGTCCAGGCCATCTTACAGACACGTTTAGACCAGAGCTACAGTGCCTCAGAGAAGATCCCCGTGGTTCCTACCGACCCGCTTCTAAACAAGAAATTGGCTATTGTGAGCGCAGGTCCTAGAGATGATCCTTCAAAAAGAGACCTTGTCAGGTCGCATCCTTACGAAATCCTGGATGATGCAATTTACACATGTGCCAACCTATCTGTGGGTAACTCGACAACTAGTCTTTTTTCTTCTGCCTCCTATGCTTCTACAACGTCCATGACGAGCAAGAGGTCGAAGCTAGCAAGCCATTGGGTGTCAAAGTTCTTCAAGAAGAAGGATAGCGACGTGGATTCCACACAGTCAGAGTCCGTGAACATTCCTCCGCCAACAGCTGTGTCAGGGCAATCGGCATTCTCCTCTCAAAGCTCGCTTCTTCCTCCTTCGACTTCCTCGTTGACTTTGTCTTCGAAGTCCTCATCACCAAGCATTCTTTCTTCCGCTACCACATATAGTTCACCTCAGTCTTCGCTGTCTTCGGTCGAGTTCATTGACACCAGCAACGAGCCAAACAGCAGGCAAAACCTACCAGTCGAGCTGTTGATGAGACCTCCAGAACTGGGGAAATCAGTCTACAAGTTCCAGCTGGTGGTGAACGAGAACAAAATTCACGATTCTCTCAAACAGCTGCAAGAATTCAATGTCACAAAGTTCAACAGCGAGGCAACACCTTATTATAACGCAAAACCCAAACTCCCAGGACTTGGTCTGAATATTTGTGGTGGGAGTATCTGCAGTGATGATGACATAGACATGGTCTCTCAAGACTCAAGAAGCTTAGATTTCCAGTTTAGATCCGCCATGCCTGTGGTCACAGCAGAACTTGCTCTCCAACCACTCCCTTTTAAGGCTACGTACACGAATGCCATTTATGAGTACAACAAGATTGCTCACGAGTTTGAGCAGTTTGTCAAGCAAAGACTCGATTCTGCCTCTGGAACAAGTACTCCAACAGATGCTGCACTATATTTATTCAGCGACAGCCTGGCTGTCTCCATTCCTGTGCTTCTTTCAGAGGCTCCCGAAAAGCCCAACGCTTACTGATATACATGCATAATATACAACAAACAGTTTGTCCGTTCAAACTTTCAGCGTTCGACACCTTTTAGTAGCGAGTCTAGGTTTGTCATTGTTTTGTCCTGTTTGATCGGTGGCACGGTTCGCTTGTAGTACATGAATATAAATGCACTCACAGCAACGCAGACGACAGAGCTAACCGTCCAGCAGATGAGAACTCCAGCGATAAACGAAAGCGTAGGATATTGGGCCAGGTACCATCGGAGGCCGTTGTATTTGATCACCACCCGCAATTTCGCATTTTCCAGGAACGCCTGGTTCTGGTTGAACTCCAAGACAAACTTCATGTGCCTGGAATTTTCCAAAATATCATTGTAGCTCGACTTTGACCACACAAGCGACTGTGCTGGCGGCTGGAGGGACAGCAGGTGAAAATTATAGGTTGGTGAGTAATGTAGTTTATTTGCGAGTTCAGGAGGTGCCACATGTTTCTCCATCAGAGGAGGCAGGAACGAGTGGTTTTCCTTGCAATCGAGCGTGAAGTATTGAGTGTTGACATAATAGATGCCCATGCCAGGAACCACCTCGCCTCCACCTCCTTCTATCTTTGTGTTTTTGTGGCTATTCCAGAATCTCCACGAACTTGATGGAGAATCCACAATGGGGTCTTGCTCGTTGCAAAGGGAGCGGGAACGCGGCCATTGCCACTCAATGCTACGCGGCCTGTTGGAGTCTGAGGAAAATTGCAACGACCTTTTGAGATTGTCGGTTATTGGCCACAAATTGACAAACTTGGACTTGAGACTCACACGTTCCAGGTTTAACTCCCAGGGCTTGAGCTCCTCGTTCAAAATGGTATCGTCGAGAATCGAAAATCTGGATCCAACAATGGTTTTCTGGGAACTTAGACATTTTGGCTCGAAAGACAGATAGAACTCGTACTCTGACACCGGGTCGTTGAATAAATTGTCGTTTTTGACTGCGGCAAGATGGACAAAAAAATCTGCTGCGTTGAATATCTGGTATGGCCCGCGTTCACGCAACTCGTAGTTCAGCTGGACTGTCTGCTCATAAATAGGCGTTGGAATTAAGCGACCGTAAAAATACGAAAAGGAAACAATCGACCAGGGCAGCAAAACAAGAAAAACCGACGCCAGTACCAAAACTGCGTACAGCGTCGCTCTAGTGAATAGCAAGGGCCATGAGAGGCTGATTATCATGCGCAGACAAAGCGAGAATGCTTGTTAAATTTGACGTTAAATATATTATATCATCGACGCGTCGATGTACGTCGGCGATCTAGTATTTGAGCGGAACCTTAAGAGTGTAAGCTGCGGTGAACGGCAGACAAACAACAAGCGCAACGTAGTGACAGATATATGCTAATGCCAGGCAGTCGACCTGGATGTGGTCCTCGTAATCGGGAGGAGTATAAAATGCAGTCAGGTAAATGTTGGACGTAGCTGGAGGCATGCAAAAAACGATGTTTGACACAAAATGAAGGATTGGTTCGTTGTAGAAGAGTCCGTCTTTGTCGACTTTGGAGTCGAGTGCACATCCTACAATGGGAAGCAGCACAAGGCGCACACAAGTAACTGCTACTGGAGTTGCCCACCGCGACAATGGGATATCTCTAATTTCCAGCCTACCAATAGTAGCACCCAAAACAAGCAAACCGAAAGGAACCTGTGCGGCTCCGATATAAGATGAGATGTCCATCATGAAGGAAAGCGGCGGCAGTCCGTCTGGCGCAGGACTGATATGAGCTTGATTGGTTGTAACGAAGAGGGCCTTCACCCACGGAATCATGCAAATTATTAGACTAATCACGACAGTCAGCGAGATCGGCTTGCGGAAGCTATCCAAAAGCAGGAAAATAAAGGACTTCGCTAGCGACCACACGCCCTTTGACTTAGAAGGCGTTGTATTCGGGGCAACCTGCAGATCTGCCGGGTCGTTGACCTTCACAGATCCAGCCGCGAGCTCGTCAAAACGCGAGTATTGTCGCACCATGTCAGCCATGTTCTCTGTGGGCATCTCTCTTAGAGAGGTACCAGAACACGCGCTCTCGGTTCGCCCAAGATCCAGACCTCTTCGTGCCGTAGACCTTGAACTACTACGCCCGGTTCGTTTCTCTCTCAAGAAGTGTGGCTGATTCCCATCTGCGTCGCTGCCGTCGACTGAGGAGCTGATGCTGGTAAGTGAGTTCGAACAGTCGGTATGCTGAACCGACTCTGGAGACGCGGACGTCGATACCCTTTCCTCCTCGTCGCCGGCATTTTTCAAAGCATCTCGAAAATCCCATTCGATCAACCTGTAGAGGCCACAATTGAACTGGCCGATCAGCTGAATCACCGTGTAAATGCAATTGAACGCCACGCCACGGTCAACGTCAGGAACAGTCCCATATCCCTCCAAACTTTGCAGATAGGCGATCGGCAAGTCAGAGATGTTGGGGAACATCCCCACGCTGATAAGGCCTCCATACCACCGTTTGGGGCATCTGGTGACTAGACCCACCAGGAAACACATCAGACCACCTCCCAGCATGTTGAATATTCCCAGAAACGCTATCGTTCCTATTTGGGCAATGTCAGAGTTGTCGATATTGGTAATGATTTTGTTAAACAGCAACGCAGGCAAGGTCACCATAATGGCTATACTGCTGATATTTCTAGTGGTATCCACAGATAAGATGTTTTTGCGTGCCAGCCAGAACCCCACCCCGATCAAGAAATAGATCTTGAACATGGGCTTGCATGACATATATATGACTTCTCCCAAGGAGATGCTAGTCATGAGTAATAAATTAAGAAAAGCCAAAAAATTCACACATTACGAAAAAAAAGATTTCGGATAAGGAGTAGCCGTTTTCATCTAGTTCGATCTATATGCCTTTAATTTATCGAGCGTAGCTTCTCTCCACGGTGGCAGCTTCAGCGGGATGTTGTCAGGATGGAGGTCGGGATAATTTGCAGATATGACTTTCATCAGCTCGTTGTACATCAGCTGGTATGCAGTGCCAGTGAAATGGATTCCATCACTCAGGAGATCCGCGCTGGAGAGTCCAGAGTTGATAAACACATCGTACAGGTCCACAGAAGGAACCCCGAGCTTGCCACAGACCTCGCCCAAAACGTCTCCGTACTGTTTCTGCAACTGGTTGCTTCTCTTGGCCCTTTCCCGTTGCTTTGCTTCATCGGCCAGCGTCTCGTCGTGTGTTCCCGGCTTGATCGCAATGACTTTTATCCCGCGCGACTGAAGCATTCTGATCAAAGTCTCCATATTCTCTGCGTAGCGGCCAATCGGCACGTGCTGAATGTGGGTGCCACCGACGCTAGAGTCGTTGGTGCCGAAAAAAATCCAAGCTATCTTGATCTGCTCCTCAACAGGCTTTGTGTCGTGCTCGAACTTCAATATTTCAGGCAGCATATGTAGAGCCTGTTCGGAATTGTAGCCGTCAAAGCCCCTGGTGATGACCTCCAGCTTCCTTTGGTAGTCGTTAGCCAGGGCGGCAGCGATGGAAAAGTGGATCTGGCCATTGTCGGGCTCTATTATCTGTTTGGACGAGTACTGCGTGATAGAGTCGCCAAACAAAAGAAACTTGCCATACTGGTATACACTCATGGAGATGAAACTGCGAGTGGATATCAGCTTTCCTTGCCAGACCGGGAAAAGCGTGCGGCTCGAATTAAAAATTAAGGGCGGGAGACGAGCGAGGCTTTCGGCCGGGCTACATAACCCCTGTTTTCCGTAGGCCGACGATGCACCCAGTTAGGTAATTTGGTTTTTTGGAATGGCAAAAAGGAAGAGCTGTCTAATAAGATAGATATGTTTGGCCAGACTGCTAACGACTCGACACAACCGATCAACATTAGCTTTTCCAGGACAGGGTCCGTGTACCAGAATCCACGCATCCGCAGGGAGAGTATAGCGCACTCCCAGGGGATGGGGGGAATATCATGGGGTTCGGTGACTATAGGATCCTGGCTCAAGGACGAGGTTATGTTACATGCGCACCAACAACAGAACACACACAACAACAACCTCTCGCCGTTTTTGGGAGCCAACCACTCGGTGAACACCCACATGATTACTAATAATTTCGACAACCTTAATAGGACGGATAGCCTGAGCATGGCCTTTTCCCCCAGCATAAACAATACCTCCTACCTGGCTGATCTGGAGGCCACCTACTGTAAGGACTACTCCTGCTGCGGCCAGCTGTTGCCCACGTTGCACGATCTGCTCCGGCATTATGAGGAAATGCACATCCAGCCAGAACAGCCCTTGGAGACACCAAGAGCGAGACCGGTGAACACGGCCATGGATACGGTGAGCACGAACGAAGTTTTTCTAACACCCCAAGGGTCTCACGATCCGAACGTGCGTACGCAGCAGAGCCAAGGAGGCCACGGGGTCCCTGATTCGCTAGCAACCTTCTCGTTCAACCAGCAGCCAAATAACGACACGCAGTCCAGATTGGGATATAATATACAATACCAGCAGTCGCAACAGGATTTATTGAACCACTCGCAAGGTCATTTGACCCAGAACGCCCTCCAACAACAGCACCCGACCTTGTTCCAGAACTACAATAATCAATTGCCCCAGAGACAACAGTCGCCGCTTTCCTCCCAGCCAACGCCCCACACTAATCATGCAAACACCATACCTCCGCGGGCAGGTTCTCCTCGCCAGTTTGCCATGGACGAAGATGAGGATATGGAGGAAGACAGCGAGGTGTGCATAGACGATCCAGCTAGACATCTGTACGTGATGGAGCAAGGCGAGAGCCGGCCATTCAAATGTCCGGTGATAGGTTGTGATAAGAACTACAAGAACCAGAACGGTCTCAAATACCATCGGCTGCACGGCCACCAAAACCAGACTCTTCGGGCCAATCCTGACGGTACCTTTTCTGTCATTGATCCAGAGAGCGACGCTCCTTATCCTGATGGCATGGGTATGGAGAAAGACAAGCCGTACCGCTGCGAGGTGTGTGGCAAGAGATACAAGAACTTGAATGGTCTTAAATATCACCGTGGACATTCGACGCATTAGGAAGTTGTAATAATAGATTAGGGGAGTATAATATAGAATAGTAGTTATCGAGACGTCATTAAAAAAATTATTGGATTTTAGCAATCTTGGAATATTTTCAACTCATTCATAATGCCTCTTCATTACAACCTTGTCTTTGCACTTTTGATCTCTGAGGTTGCTCTGTTTGCCCTCATCTCCTTGCCCTTGCCTAGCAAGTTCCGCAAGCCGCTGCTCAAGACATTGAGCGGTCCGTTCCACTCTCAGCATTTCCAAATCACAACGAAATGTGTTCTAGGGTTTGTGCTCGTGCTATTCCTTGACGCGCTCAACAGAATGAAAACCGTCACCAACGAGCTTCAATCGCAACAGGACAGTCCTATCGCGGGCGCGGTGGGTGTCCACGAGTCTCGCTCTGAGATCCAGGCCAAACGTTTTTATGCCCAGAGGAGCGTCTATCTCTGTGGCTTCACCCTGTTCCAGACCCTCATCGTCAACCGGACTTTTTCATTGGTGTTTGAGTTACTTGCCGTCAAGGAAAAATTGGCAGAGAGCCAGAAGAAAGACAACATCGACAGTTTGGACACAGTGGACGATAAAAAGGTCGAGGAGCTCAAGTCCAAGATCGCCCAGCAGGACGAGACCATTGAGAACCTCAAGTCACAGGCTTCGGCGCTGTCTGACGAGTACGATGGGCTGTCCAAACGAAAAATCTAATGATTTTCATTGTTTCTCGTACGAATTGCTTTTATGTTTAGGAATAAAACTGAATCCGTCTCCGGCTTTGCCCAGGAACATTTCTGTGATCTTGATCCAGTCCTTGTAGTCTGACGATCCCAACAAGGTTTCCAGCTCGTTTCTGCCCTTCCAAGGTGGCGGTCTTTCGTTCAATTTCGGTGGTAGCCGCTCCAATATGCCGACTGGAATATACCGATGTGTGAAAGAAATAAACTCACACAAGTACCGTCTAGCGCTGTTCACGCCGTATTCGTCGCTGCCCCAGTGCTCCAGCGCAAACTTGGCGTATTTCTCCAAATAAGCAAGTCTTTCGGAAGCAGACTTGTCCAGATACTGCTGTGCCTCCACTTCCTCGAAAATCCACGGCTTAATCAGTGCACCACGAGCCACCATCACGGAGTCGATGCCCTCGTCGCTCACCGCCCTATGCCAGTCCTCGTGTGTGAAACAGTCGCCGTTGCCGACAAAGTATACAGGTGGCGTATCTACCTTGTCCTTGTCTTCCTCCTGCTGCTCGTTGTAGTCCTTCACTACAGCTCCAACTCGGCTGATATAGTCCCAGTCTGCGGCACGCGTGTATCTCTGTTGTCTGGAACGTCCGTGCAAAGTGATGGCTGCCACGTCAGTTTCATTCAGAACACGTCTCACAAGATTTTCGGCCACAGGCTTGTCGTCCTTGACACCCATTCGGATTTTTACCGTCACAGGAATCTCACCTGAGGAATAGCTCATTCCTTTCAGAATACGCAGCATCCGCGAAGGATTTTCCAGAAGCGCAGATCCTTCGCCCTTGCGATATAGCATATCTATCGGACAGCCACAGTTGAGGTTCAGCTCAGAAACGTGGCTCGTGAGCGTCTGGATGGCCTCGGCGGCCTTGCAAGCCTGCCAGTGCTTGGCAGTCGCGATCTGGACCCCAAACCCTGGATACTCCGACTCGTGCGCGCGAGGAAGGGCCCATTCGGAGTTCGAGCCTTGAATGAGTGGCAAAGCAAGCGCCATCTCGGAGTACGTCACGTCTGCTCCCAAACTGCGCATTAATCTTCTATATGGCAGGTTTCCCACAGTGGTGAGCGGGGACACGATCTTGGCATTCCTCAGGTTTAGTCTTTTCTTCTCGCCTGTTCTGAACCGCGACTCCGTGTAGGAGGCTGCATTAAGCTTGTTCTGGTCGGGTTCGTGATTCTCTCGCTCTTCCTTCGTCATGCTATTTTTTTCGTCGTTCACTATCACCACGCTGTCCAAAAAACGAATCACCTCGTCTGAAACAGGCATCGGCAGCTTCTTCTTCTGTAGCTGGCTCTTGGTGGTCGCAGAAATCCAATTGACCTCGCCCTTATGTTCTTTCTTTTCAACACCTTCTTCCTCGAGCAACAACCCCGTCTCTGGGTTGTAGTGCGACCCTAGCCATCTACATTTCACTCCCGAAGGACAGTAACCAATTGCCGCATATACTGGACAAGTACCCTCAATGTCTGCTGGCTTTGAAGCGAGATACGCTTGGATATCGTGCGAGAAGCGACACTTGTCGGCTCCATACGGACACTCTTTAGTCTTGTCGTTAGGATCAACGACGGAGGAGCACAATTTTATCTCTTCGTGTGCCTGGCGCAGGTCTCTCTTCTTGTTCTGGCCTCGTTTCTTCTCTTTCTTGCTCTCCTTCTCCCCAGAAGTGTGCTTGGAAGATTCTGCTTCGTCGTCATTGTAATCGGCCTGAACTCCGCCAATAACAAGGTATTCTTGCTTTATTGGTGCAACTCCCTTCTCAAGACGCGGCTTCACATTTCTCTCGAGGGAATCGTGCTCCACCGAGCGTTTCTTGTCCTCTGTGATCTCGCTCATGATTAAAATTTTAAGTAGCACAGCCAGCTGAAAAATTACGGGAAAAAAAAAAGAATTTAACACAGCCAGCATACACTTTTGTCTTCCGCAAAGGGAAACTTAAAACGGGCATTATCTCTATCAGATTAGATTTAGTCTTTTGTTTACTTGTTGAGCATGGTCAGAAACCCAGAGGACAGTCCGTTGGTTGTTATCGAGCGCTGTCGTCGCGAAAACCGGCCCGTTTTCGTGGCAGGACCGATGGTGCGTTATTCCAAGCTGCCTTTCAGAGAGCTTGTTCGTGACTATAAAGTTGATATTGTCTACTCGCCCATGATCCTCGCACGGGAGTTTGTGCGGAATCACAATGCCAGGTCCAGTGATTTCAGCACAAACCACCGCGATAGGCCACTAATAGTCCAAATCGGAGCCAACAACGTCACAGATCTGTTACGGATGATAGACATGATACATCCTTATGTTGACGGCGTTGGGCTGAACTGCGGGTGTCCAATCAAAGACCAGGTGAGAGAAGGTATTGGTGCGGCACTGATGTCGAAGAAGGAGCTAGTCGCAGAAATGGTGCACGCCGTCAAGAAGAAATACGGCTCGAAGCTTGTGATTGAGACAAAGATCCGAGTTCACCACGATATCCAGGAAACCATCGAATTTGTCAAAATGGTGGAGGCGGCAGGTGTTGATTTCATTACGGTCCATGGTCGCACAAAGAACACGAGGTCATCTGAGCCATGCAACTTTGACAAAATTAAAGCCATCAAGGAGACCGTTTCCGTGCCTGTTATTGCAAATGGCGACTGCAGATCTCTCGAGGACGCATTCCGGATTGCCAAATACACAGGTTGCGACGGAGTCATGGCAGCGAGAGGCATTCTGAATAACCCTGCTATGTTTGCAGGCTACGAGAAGGCTCCGTGGGGAGCTATTGAAAAGTTCTGGAACTTGAGTACCGCATATGGACTTCCTTTCCGTCTCCTTCAGCATCATTTGGGGTGCATGCTTGTGGGACAGATCAACAAACAACTACAGAACGAGTTGAATAGCAAGTCCAGTCTGCTGGAGTTGATGGACTGGTTCGATGCTAATTTTGAGCTTAAACGGCCTGCCGATACAGGATTCGGAACAGCTGTTGCTGTCCAGTACCGCCAGAATAGACAAAAGCAGGCTCATATATAATTAGGTCGAAAGAGTAATATATTAATGGATTCCGACTACGCGAGAAATAAATTTGACAGTGCGAAAATTTTGAATACGATTTGCTTTTCGGTAAGTACTAGAGATGAATGATGATGACCTTTTATTACCATATTGAACAGACCCCAGGGTCTTGTTGATGGAATATGGTGGGAGTCCGTTTTGGGCTCTACCGGCCTTCCTCAACGGTAGTAATGATCGGTATTTTAGTCATAGTTACACTGACATCGAGTACTAACAACTAGTTTTGAGTGCTCAAACTCTCGCCAAGGTTGGCAACGGCACAATGCTGACGATTGTCTGACATATTGCACGAGAGCAGTATACGATCTGTAGTACTAAATAGGTTAATACACCAGATATAACATATCTGAAGCACATATCTACGCTTACTACTCTTCAATTATTGGTTTCCTCTTATTCATATTATCTATTCCTCGTCCTCAACAACAACAGTGTTCAAGCCCTTGACAGATGGAACGTTGACAGGCTCGACGTAAGAGAACATAGTGTTCTTAGCGTCCTCCTCCTCGTTTCTCTTTCTGGAAATTCTGATTCTCATTCTGAATGGAACACCCTGGATACCTCTCTTCCACAATTCGACGTTCAACTTAGGATCCAGTCTCACGTCCTCAGTACCCATGTGTAGTTTAGCGAACTTCTTAATCTCCTTCACGGCTCTTGGAGCTCTTCTCTTGAATTGGATACCGTGCAATCTCTTGTGGAGATTTATAGTGTACTCTCTGGTCACAAGTTCCTTAAGGTCGGATTTAGCCATCTTTAATATGCAATCAAAGGTTTGTGAAGAACAACCAAAGTAATTTGAATTTTTGAAGTACAATTTTTCACTCGAGCTTTGTGTGCAGATTAGGTAATCGAGTAGAGCAAGATACAGGAAACAGCATAAATTGGAGTATTGTGGGTATACAAAGTCCACAGATACAAGGTAGAAAGTACAGCAAGACAGAGTATTAGAACTGTATGCCTCTCAAGAGCCCCTATGGCACACAAATATCGCTACTCCTACGAGCTATATGTGAGAGGTGCAAGGTGTATGTATACAGGAATCGGTAAGCCCTTTGTAAAGTCACGTGAGCTAATCATACTGGTAATGTCTACTCAAAAGCGTATATATTTTGAGGGTGCGATGTCCATTGTCGATGGACAAGGTCGAGGCACTTGTCCAGTTCCGACTCATCATTCGTTGACAGTCGTTGTACCTCCAAAAGTCCACACAAACTGCACAGAATGCGTCCACTAATTTTCCCGTCTTCGACTAGTCTAATGATTTCTTGCAACGTAAAATGATGATCTCTCTCCAATGCCATTGTGGTAGAACGATCTTCATTGTAAACCGGTTCCACTGAGTTTAGGATTGAGACAAGCAAATCGAGTGTCTGTTTATCTGTTTTTTGGAAAGCTGCAACAATTTCGTTGAAGAATGGCGCGTTATCTGACACAGAGCCTGAATCTTTGAATGTGTACAGGCAGCCCACCAAGGCTGTGAGGCCTGCTAATTGTGAATTTTCGAGGTCACTCTGGAGTGTTTGGTTCAACAGGTTGAACACGGTAAGCAGCTCATTTCTGGCGATCATGATAGCGCATACATTATAGAGTATGATTGACGATTTGTTTGTCAAATCCTTTGTTTCCTTCGGTGTAGTTCCACGCAGTTGCACAAGATCATTATATAGCTGGTTGACCAATATCAAACTTGGACCGTATTTGATTCTGATGATGAGTAGCTTGAAATGCCAGCTTAGTTCCTTGGGTAGAGTTTCTTTATCATCGAGCTTGATCAGTTCTTTCAAAAATAGGTTTGTTTCATTTCTCAGGAACTGTGCGTTTGGAATGGGCGGGACCAGGGAGCTCGAGTTCGGTACACGTAGATTAGCAGCCATCAATAACAGATTGATACGCAATTCCCATATTTGGAACACATCTTGCAAAGAAATATCAAAATTGGAGAGATTCGGCGATAATATGATCAACTTGCAGTACGAGGCAATGGTGAGGTATGTTTCAAGAGGATTTTTGTATGAGTTTCGGGCAAACAGTTCCGAAGGTACCTCCTTCGATTCCTCTCCCAGCAGATTTTGTACGAGTAGGATCAAATTATCTGGCGAAACTGGAGTACTACGCTCTAGCTCGTAGAACCTTGACTCGTACTGTGGCAAACTAATGAAATTATTCGCATTTAATAATGATGGATATTTGGCTTGAAGCATCAGATGAACAATAGCATAGAGATTAATAAATGTATATTTTTAATTACTCATCTTTACGGGAGTACGTCATCTTGACTGAATCGAGATGTCTCCATGGAAGTTGTCAGTAGAGACTTCAATAATCTTCACGATGGCCCCCATCCTTGATTTTTCGTTCTTCTAGTGGACAATCTACAGACAGAGCTGCCTCTTGGTAGCCGTCTATGCTAATAAAATCGGTGCACAGATGTTTGAAAAACTAATTTATTTCTATTTACCATGTCCTTCAAGGAGTCGTCGTATAGTTCGCAAAATGACCATGCTCCAGTCAAGTTGCCCCCGATATCGTTTCTTTCGAGCAAACTGGAAGCATCAGACAAGGAAGAAGAGGTAAAGAGCCGTCCTGAGAGTCAACAATTGCCTTCTCTATCATCTATCAACTCCGGTGAATTTCAACTGCCTTCGATATCCTCGCTGGCGTCTGGCGTCGACTCAACGAAACTCCCTTCTCTCGTGCCGAGCAAGTCTTCTGAACAACCCTCCGACCAAAAATTACCACCTTTGAAATCGTCAGCGTCACCTCCTTCGACAAACAACTCGTCACCTTCCAGACAGCAAATTAATAGCGTTAGCCCTCCTCGAGAGACTGAGAAGGGAGAAAAATGCCGCCATCACCACCGTGTGCACGATGGGCTTACGACACATCTGAAGGAAGCACAACAGCATCTCAAAAACGGCGGCCATATTCATATCGTGCATCAGCATCATGGTAACCACCATCATCACAAAGTTCTTGTACACAACCCTAATGAGGCACCTTCCGATGTTCCGCCTCCTCAGGGGAATGATACAACCATTATACAGAACGACTCTACCATAATTGACCCCAACGCAACAGTGCCCCAGGACCAGTCATTGGTCAACCAGACATCGCCGGAACAGAGCACAGAAAAACCAAAAGAAACATTCAAGCGGCGAGAAATAACAATCGACTCAAAAGAAACATTTCTTCTTGCTGCAAAATTCCCAAGAAAGCATCTGGGGTCGATAATATACCAGGTATATCCAACAAACGAGACCCGTTGCATGTATTTGCAAAATATAGACCCAGAACACGTGCATGAGAGCTCCGAAGTGAGCAGTGAGCTTGCATCTAAGAGAATCGAACTTCTCCCTGCATACTTAGCAAACTACATCAACTGTACAGTGGATATACACATCCCGTACCAGTGTATACCCGACAATGTCAATGTATACGACCGCAGAGTATGGGGGACGGACATTTATACAGACGATTCCGACATCGTGGCCATATTGTATCATTGTGGAGTGCTCAAGTCGGCTGATCCTTGTGCTCTGGACTCTGGGAATCCCACCCGTACACCAGAAGATAGCGAAAAATCTGGGGAACTTATCATTGATAACGAAAAGGGTACTATAAGATTTTCTAGACATACAGGTCCTTTGACGCCCGGAAACTTGGAGAACCGCTCGAACGTGACTAGGCAGAATGTGGATGCGAGTGACGCAAATGATTTGGTGGTAACTTTACTGATTCTTCCTCGTCTGGGCGTGTACCAGGGGACATACAGAAATAACTACTACTCAAGAACCTGGGGAAAAAATGGTCGTTTGCATAATGGAGTCTCTATTGCTGTTTTTGCGGTGAAATGGTGCAAGCTGGGTGGTTCTTACGACTGCTTGAATTATGGGTCTTTCCGCAAAAGATTATTAAGCGAGCGCATTGAGCTTTCCCAGAAACTTCTCAAGACTTCGAGCGAACAAGGGTCTGTTCCTGGCTGGAAATTGGATCGTAAGTACTATAAAGAGTTCAAGTAATATATATGTGTTTTGAAATCATGTATGACTGCTGCGGCTTTAGCTTGGATAAAAAAAAATAAAAAAATTGTCGTGCGAGCAAATTACCAGGTGACCTTTGTGCACAGGTTTAGATAGCCAGTTTGGTCAATAGATCTTGCCACTTGACTGCTATTTATTGACTCGAAAGTGACGGCCATTATGAATGAGCGAGAACAGAAAGAAGACACGATGTTCGAGGGCTGCGAGCCTTCGAGGTTGAGAAAGGCACTCCTCAAATTAACGTTCGCTTGGGCAACGTTTATCAGCAGACTCCATTCGATATCGGAGGCCTGCTTGGAATCCGATGAGATTACTGAACAGCTGTTTGATGACGACTCAGACAGCAGTTCCAGCCGCGTCCAAGAATACGAACCGATTAAACCTTCTCAACTCCAACGAGATGTACTGGAAAATAAGCTCGCTAACGATGATAAGGAAACGTGCTCCACGAGTTCCCCTTTCACGACGACACGCTTAACGTCGCCCCAGAGCAGCGCTGTCAGCGGAGGTGATGAATCTAACGCTACCCCAGATAAGGAGGGCACCCTCACACCGTTTTGTGGGGGAGAGGAATTATGGAAGATACAGAACCAACAATGGTTGAAGGCAATCGCGGAATACACCACTCTAGAAGGAAAACTGAAGCTACAGAAGAGACTGCGTTCACAGGCCCTCAAGCATTACGTGTCGTCGAAAGATTATCATATAATATATCGCAATTTGGTCATTGACGGAAGGAGTCTTAAGCAGCCCATGAATTTGAAAGACTTATTGCGCGTTGTTGAGGCCGGCTGGGAATGGAGTCGGATACAGGAAGGTTGTCACTTTCCCCAGAGATAGTGTACCACTCAGCCGAAAAGGCCTTTATTCACAGGCGCGGGTCTTGTGTTGGTAGATTCGACTAATTTAATACTGTTTTCAAGGACACGAATATTTCTATCGAGAAGCTCAATTTTGCCTTGTGCGGTGTTTGCCCCGCTATCGTGTAGTCTTTTAGTTGTTTTTTCCAGCTTTTTATGCAATTCCATGGCCTTAGTACCCAACTGTTGGTACGTGTTCACTAACTCATCCTTCTGTCGTGCAATCGACTCCTGGTTAGAGTATATCGTTTCGACTTTGGATTGTAGTCCAGTTTCAGCTGAATCAGGAGCAACCAGCTTAGCCAGCGTCTTGGAGAGGTACTTTGAGTATTTCTGCGAAAGATGGCTATTTTTCGCTCGGATCTGTTTCGAGTGGTTCAGCTGCTGTACAAAATTTGGGTCCACCATTAATCAAATTTAAAATAAAAATACTGTATATTTTATCCTTTCCCATGGTGCTGGTGGTATCTCCGTATTCGTATTTTGAATTCGGACCCCACAACATATCCACATTTGAGGTCTTTGGGAACCTTGTATATGTGGGGCTATACGATGGTTCTTTAGACGTTTGTCAGCTACCCATTGGTGGAGAAACACAAATGACGCAATTTGACGAATCGAAGCTGGTACTGGAAGACCTCGACGTGATTGCAAGAACGAAGTTGTCATGCCGAGCGATGCAATTGGAATTGATACCAAAATTGGGATATTTGGTTGCCTTACTGGAGAACCAGACAGTGGAAATATACAATCTGAACGACTATCAATTCATAGACAAGTTTGATGAGGCACGCTTCAATTTGATCAAAACCTGGTACGAGGACGACAGGGATCTTCAGCTAGATCAAATCAATGAAGAAGATAACGATTACATCACAGTAGACGACAACGACTCGATCTCGCTGGCCACTACTGCCTTGGAAACCGTCCGAACCAAGAAGTTTGTCACGTCATTGACAGGCAACAGCTACTTGTGTCTGGTATCGAAACGGAATATTGCGGTGATGAAGTGGCACGACAACCAATACGATCGCAAATACGAATATAAGATGAATGACAAAATTCAGGTTGTTGAGTTTCTCAATTCCGATGGTTTAATCGTTGCATTGAAAAACGGTGACACCCTGAAAATAGACTTGACGCACGATTCGGTATCAACTATACAGATCCAGTTTCTAAACCAGCCTACTGGTTTCAGCAAGTCATTTTTCTTCAGCCCGTCAGACTCTCTACTGGAAATCTTCAAAGCAAACAACGACCAGCAGCTCATCATCATGAAAGACTACAACCTAATTAAACTCAACAGCGATTTAGAACTTGTTGTGTACAGACGACATACCCATTCCATAGACTTTAGAAACCCGGTTTTAGTGCCGAGTCATAACCAGTCTGGGAAAAAGTTGAAGTTTCTCAAGTATTGGTTCCCCTATGTGGTATTGGTCTACACCAACTCCCTAGAAATTCGGAACCTCGAGAACGGCTCAATTGTACAGCAATTGCAAGGGACGTCCACATTTGGTAGCATAACCTCGATCAAGTTCAACTCCAAGTTTTTGTTTTTAGTTTGCAACTCAACAGTGTACAAACTTGTGAAAACTACATACGACTCCCAGCTAGCCGAGTTTGAGAAATCAAAGGATTATAACAATGCAATAAACTTGATTGAGAAGCTCAACCCGTTGGCATTTGAAGATATATCTGAAGACCACTCTGCGCGACAAATCAAATTTACAAAACTACGTCAATTTCAGCTTCTAAAGGGTTTAGAGTATATCAAGTCAGGAAATTATGAGACAGGAATCAAGTTATTTGTCGAGTTTCTAGCCTCGCCGGAGCTCTTACTTGATAATCTGCCAGAATCAGTAAAAAATCTGCTGTCTGGCACATCAAGTCTGAGACATGCTGCAAGCAAGGAGTCTTTGAAGAGCGATAAGGAGCCGGAAACCAGACTCAACCAGGACGTCAAAATAATTGGCCTGGTAATCAGCTTTTTAACAGATGCTCGGAGGAAACTTACACGACTTTTGGATCCCGATTCGCCTAAATTCCAGTGGCATGGCTTTCTCATTTCCCGTGAGCTTTATGGGTCCAAGGATATTTCGAAGCTAGAACAAAAACTGCAAACTGTAGACGACTGTCTTTTTCAATGCTATCTGATTACCAATCCCAGAATGGTGGGACCACTGCTCAGAATTTCCAACTATTGCTCCTTCGACAAAATAGAGAATAAATGTCTCGAACTCAAGCTGTACACAGAGCTTATAGATTTTTATTACTGTCGATCACGGCACGACAAGGCGTTGGAGTTGTTGGAGAAGCTGTGTATAGAGGAGCACATCTTCAAACCAGAATTTATGGTCAAATACATACAGAAACTTGGACAACCACAGCTGGATCTTATATTCAAGTACGCAGAAAAACTGATTGCACTAGATCAGACCAACGTGGAGAGTATCTTCATGGATGACTCAGTTGAGTGTGAATCTCTGAACAAACATCAAGTACTGGATTTTCTTAACAAATGGCCCTCGTTGCAAGTGCGTTACTTGCGCTACCTAATTTTTGACCTCGGCGAGACCAACATCAAGTTCCCAAATAAACTCATCGAGTTATACCTACAGGACCCTGCCAACAACCAGGCCCACATCAATCAAATTTACTCACTCGATAACTACAATCCATCGTTTGTGCTCAAAATACTCGGTTCGCTTAAACAGTCGCCAGTTGTATTGGAGCTCATGATCCTTCCTCTTGGCAAACTCAATAAACATAAAGAAGTGCTAGATATACTTGTGCGCAAGCTCAACGATGTGAGAAAGGCGCTAAGTTATTGCAGGGCAGTTTACTCTTCGTCACCTGAGACCGGAATCAAACTCACATATATGCTGCTCGACATGCTCCTATCCTCTGAGGACTACGACTCAGTTTTTGAAATATTAGACTCGGGCATTACATATCTAGATACAGTCCAGGTGCTAGAGAAGTTGCCTGAATCTCTGCAGCTTGGCAAATTGGAGGGCTACTTGGAATCCAACATAAGGAACTTGACGTCAGATCTCCGATTAGACATCATACAAAATGAGCTTCTTAAAGTGCAGCTCATCAACCTCAAGTACGAAAAATTGCTCTCAGACGCAGCCCATGTCCGCATTGATGCAAGCTCCAAATGCATGGTCTGCAACAAAAACTTCGCCGCCTCATCGATTCTTAGCTTCTTTCCAGACGGATCTGTGGTGCACTATAGCTGTGGCAGGTATAAAAATTAAAGACATTAATTGGCTATGAAACTATGTTGTCGTGATGAAGTTGATCACTGCAGAACAGTATTTTACCATATCGTCCATCTTGCTGTCTAATTGAGAAGCCACGGAACGCCATTCGTCGAGAGCTTGCACAACCTCGCCTTGAACATTGTACAACACGTCTCCATGGATTTTGAGAAAGACAGAGACAACGGCCACCAGGATTTCATAATTTTTGTTCTGCTTAAGACCATAATTGATAGCATCCACAAATCTTTTGAGTTCTGTGAATGGCTCTGTTGTCCGCAATGTTCTGAGTTCCAGATCCAGCGTGGCAGGACTCATGTCCACGAGATAGTCAATAAACTTGTCGTAACTAGACTCAGCACCCTCTCGAAGCATTCTCGTAAAATCAGACTCAAACGAAGCAGCAGAAGGGTCTAGCTTCATCAATTGGGACTCCATCTCCGTTTGCTTTTGCTCGCTTGTCTGCTGCAAGAAAAATGGAGCAGAGTCTGGCTTTTTCGGAGGCTCCGACGGCTTGTTTCTCCTCTTGATCGTGTCCAAATGCATAATGGTATTGAACTTTGTGCGCGAGTGCAGCGAAAGAGTCACTAGATCTTTGTCAAGCTGGTCCACGGAAACGTACGTTCCGGAGCTATGTTCCTCGTCTTCGGCAAACGCACCTTCCAGAATACTAGAGCCGTTTTCGCCGCTTACATTCGGAAGCATCATGGTTGCAAACTCCTCCTCTTCGACGTGCTTCGTGGATATTGGCTTGAATTGCGCTTTGTTAGTCCACAAAGATATACCTACTCCATTGACATGCGTGGTTGCAAGATAATCGCCCAACGGAGACATCTTCAAGCATGTGACAGTGTTAGGAACAAGTATACCGTCAATGCAGCCACCTGTAGGTAGGTCCCAGGTCCTAATAGTGGAGTCTAAGGATGCCGACACAATCCAGCGACCGTCAGGCGAGAAGTCTATAGCAGTGATTCTGTTGGAGTGTCCAAATAGCTGTCTGACTACTTTATGCGTGGCCGAGTCGACGACAACAATGGAAAGGTCATCTAAAGCAAAGGCAACAAGGTCTGAACCTCTGTGGTAAACCATTTGGGTAATTGGAGCGTCCAGTTGCAGTTTTCCTAAGAACTTTGATTGACTGAAATCGTAAAAGCCAACGAGTCCATCGAGAGCACAAGAAACCATCTTCCTGTTCATTCCATCAACAGCAATACCGGTGACAGCCTTTTTGTGCAACTTGTAATTTTTGCGAAGTTTTCCACTTTGCAGGTTATACACTCCAATGCCACCATTGCTGGATCCAACAAGGGCAAAGTTTCCGCACTGAGTGATGTTCACGGCCTTGACAATGCCACCATCGATTGTATCCAGAACGTGTTTACTAACCTTTTTGTTTCTAGAGTCCCATGTACGTGCAAACGTTTCGTCTTGGTGCGCAGTCACAATATTGGCCCAATCTCCTTCTCTGGCGTTCTCCTGAGCTATCATGGTGATTGGCGGGAATTTGTCCTTGAACGTTGAAGAGATACCTGCTTGTCGTTTTCCATCCTTCATGGCGGACTGTCTTTGAGACATTTCCTGAGACTGAGCATCTTTACGTAGCGAGAAGGTCCAGAACGAGCGATCTTGGGAGGCAGATTGGATAAAATGCGACTTCGAGTCGCCAAATGTGATGCAGGTAGGTGGAGCCGAGTGTCCTCCACGAGATCTCAGGTGTCTAGGGGGAGAGACAACAGCCGAGTTGTCTGAGAGAGCCGGATCAAAAACGTATTCCTTCAGACTGTTGTCGGCGCCAGTAGTGACCAGTATTGGCTGTCCGCTTAGAAATTGCACCTTTGAAACACCACCAGAAATCTCTTTGTGAGCATTACGTAAAACATGTACTCTTGTCTTCTTCTCCAAATCGTAGAAGAACAAGTCTCCATTCACCATCGAGCATACCACGTGGGGGGATCCATCAGTTCTGAAGGAAAGCGATGTGATTTTAGATTTGGATCCTGTAGACACGTTTCTAAGAATTTTACCCTTTTTCAAGTTGTAAACGGCAAATGAGCCAACACCATTTCCAACAGCCAGGATGTCTAGAGCTGGGGCCGTTTCGATACAAGTGATTCCATCAACAAACTCTTCGGATACGAACACCATTTTCGCAGTTCTAACGTTGAATATGAGCAGATGAGAAGTTGTGGCAACCACTATTTTGTTGATATAGGTTGGAGGATGCACAATATCCACGATCTCGCCGTTGAGAGCATTCACTTTGAGCTCTCCATAGTATTCGGTAGGAAATTTTTCATCTTTCTTCTCAAAAACGAAAAGCGAGGACCCCGTACAGGCAACTAAATAATTGCCAAAGATTGTCACTTTTCTGATGGTATCAGCAGTTGGCAGGGTGAGCTCTTTTTCCAATTTGCCTCGCCTGAAAATACCGATTTTATTTCCATAAGAACAGAAAACATAGTGGAAATATGCTGTAATGGAACGAATAGGGGTTTCTGTCTGGGTGGACGATACAAAAAGCAGGTGTAAGGTTGCAGCGTCGTAGATTTGGAAGGATCTGCCAACCACAGTGGCGATGTAAAAAGACTGACCTAACGTTCCCACAGCAAATGGAGTTCCGTTGGAGACGTGACCAATGACTCTGAAAGGCGCAAAAATCTTGGAACTGCGCACAGTACCAGTAGATCCAGAAGCCTCAACTCTCCGTCGTTTCATCGAGTCCGCAACAGTCATGGTATTGAATTTGGATCACTAACAAAGGTGAATAATTTTTCCAAAATTTTATAAATTTTTTTTCTACAGCCGCGTCGATCGACTGAAATTGTAAATCAGAACCAACTAAAATAAAATTACTTGGAAAAACTGTAATGAGCTCTCTTCCTCATCTGGGAGTAGAATCCGATACAGAACACGAGGAGATAGGCGCATTGCCAGAAAGAACATACTCGGGCCACTCTAACACTTCTGTGGACTCCATGAATGCCATAGAGGAAGAAGACGAGGAAAACGATATGGACCCGGTGCCTTTGACTGCGCATTCTTTGGAACAGCATAAAAGGGCCATTGCCACAATTGCTCCTATTTTGGAAGATTTTGTACCTGTTCTTTCCAAGTCTGAGGTGCTGAGTCCGACTAACAACGCTCTCTCCCGCACTGTGTCGAATATCAGCTCGTTAAGCATTGGCCACCAGATGCCTCCCAACAGTCAGGGCAGTCCGCAACACGAAACTGCAGGAGCTGAAAGCTCCCCTGTTACCTCTGAAAATGCATTAAATTTCAGTGATGGCAGAACACTATCGGCTTCCTCATCAAACGGCGTTTCTGCCTCGAGTTCAGGAGTCAATTTACAGCATAAGAACAGAACGTCGTCTATTTCCGTTTCAGAGGTGTCTGGGCCGAAATTGCCCAAGATTGGAATCATTGGTGTGTGTGCAATGGACAACAAGGTGCTGAGCAAGCCATGCAGGCAGATTTTGAACCGTTTAATCGAGAACGGCGAGTTCGACACCGTCATATTTGGTGACAAGGTAATATTGGACGAAGCCATTGAAAACTGGCCAACTTGCGATTTTTTGATCTCGTTCTTCTCCAGCGGGTTCCCTCTTGACAAGGCAATTGCGTACCAGAAATTGCGCAAGCCGTTCACCATCAACGATCTAGTGATGCAGAAAGTGCTCTGGGATAGACGGCTTTGTCTCCAAATTCTGCAGGCGGCCGGTGTTCCTACGCCAAAAAGATTGGTGATTTCCAGAGATGGCGGCCCCTTTGTTGACGATGAGCTGAAGGTCAAACTGGAGAAGCTGGGAGTGGACACTTCAGAGGTGCCGGAGCCAGACTGGAAGATGCTAGATGACGACACTTTGTATGTTGATGGCGAAACCATCAAGAAGCCATTTGTGGAAAAACCCGTTGATGGTGAGGACCATAACGTGTACATTTACTATGCTAAGGAAAATGGCGGTGGTGGTCGCAGACTTTTCCGCAAAATTGGCAACAAGTCGTCTGAGTTTGATCCGAACCTGAACATGATCAGGACTGAGGGATCGTTTATCTATGAGAAGTTCATCGATACCGACAACTTCGAAGACGTCAAGGCATACACTGTCGGCACCGAGTTCTGCCATGCGGAGACAAGAAAGTCGCCAGTGGTGGACGGCATTGTGCGCAGGAATACACATGGCAAGGAGGTCAGATATCTTACCAAGTTGTCGCAGGAGGAAAGGGAAATTGCGAAGAAGGTGAGCCGGGCGTTTGAACAAACGATTTGCGGCTTTGATCTGCTGAGAACTAGTGGTAAGAGTTATGTCATCGACGTCAACGGCTTTTCTTTTGTGAAGGACAACGAGGGTTACTACGATCAGTGTGCCTCGATTTTGAGACAAACGTTTCTGAAGGCCAAGAGCGAGCGTTTGAAGAACTCGGCCACATTAACTTCAGAGGAAAAGAAACAAAAATGGGTGTTCAAAGGCATGATTTCTGTGGTGAGACACGCAGACAGAACACCTAAGCAGAAGTTCAAGTATTCGTTCAAGTCGCCCATATTTATATCTCTGCTCAAGGGTTATAAGGAGGAGGTTATTATTCGCGAGATTCGAGACTTAAAGATTGTTCTCCAGACCGTGCGTGTGGCCCAGGAGCAGCAGTTGGAGGATGAAACAAAATTGATGCAGTTGGCTACAGCCTTGGAAAAGAAGATGAATTTCCCAGGTACCAAAGTTCAGCTGAAGCCGTCACTCAACGACAAGGGTGACATTGAAAAAGTACAATTAATCATCAAATGGGGCGGAGAGCCTACCCACTCGGCCCGATACCAGGCTTCGGACGTGGGAGAGCAGTTACGGCAGGATATTCAGCTGCTGAATAAAGACGCTCTGAAAGACGTACAGATCTACACTTCCTCAGAGAGGAGGGTGGTTGCATCGGCGCAACTCTTTGCCAAATCGTTCATTGCGGAAAACGAGTTGCCTGAAGACTTTCTGCAGGTCCGCAAAGATCTTCTGGACGATTCGAATGCCGCCAAGGATCTGATGGACAAGGTCAAAAAGAAGTTGAAGCCATTGTTAAGACAGGGCAAAGAGGCTCCTCCACAGTTTGCCTGGCCTCCACGGATGCCAGAACCGTTTGTGGTGATTAAGCGAGTTGTGGAGCTGATGAACCACCATCGCAAAATCATGGAGAAAAATTTCGAGACCAAGGACGTTGAAAACTTCCAGAAGGAGTGGTGTTGTGGTGAGGATCCGTACCTGTTCAGAGAGAGGTGGGACAAGTTGTTCCAGGAGTTTGTCAGCGTTGAAAAAGTGCACCCGTCGAAAATCAGCGAGCTCTACGACACAATGAAATATGACGCTCTACACAACCGCGACTTTTTGCAGAAGATCTTCATCAGCGACGACCGTGAGGACACAGGCCAGCTAGGCTGCTCGCTGGTCAGACAGTATCCGATCAATGTTCTTGCTATGAACAACTTCAAGGTTAACGACTCGTCGCTCGACAACTCGTCTCCATCGAACTCGTCCAATCCAGCAGGCTCGATCGGTTGGGTTCTTTCGTCCTCGTACAAGCCGTCCTCTCGCGACGACCATAGCTCTCCGTTTGACGATCCAAAATACAACCTTTTGCGGGAATTGTACAGACTGGCCAAAGTTCTCTTCGATTTCATCTGTCCTCAGGAGTACGGTATTGAAGAGCAAGAGAAACTGGATATTGGGTTGCTTACGTCGCTTCCATTGGCCAGACAGATCATGAGCGACATCTCGGCCATCAAGGAGACCGACAAGGCCGCCACACGCGTGTATTTTACCAAAGAATCGCATATCTACACGCTGCTGAACATCATCTACGAGTCGAAGCTGCCGATGAAAATTGCCCGTAACGCGCTTCCCGAGCTCGACTATCTGTCGCAGATCGTATTCGAGCTCTACGAGTCGGAGGACAGTGTGGGTGGCAAGACGCATTCCATCAGACTGCTTCTGTCGCCGGGCTGCCATACCCAGGACCCGCTGGATGTACAACTAGACGAAAAACACTATATCTCGTGTATTCGCCGGATCAGTCTGACCAGACACCTGGACATGGACTTTATGCAGCAGAAGCTGAAGAGCCGGTTCTCCAGAGTGTCGCTGCCTAAGCGGTTCACTCCAGTGAACATCTCGAGCCCGTTGGCAGAGGCCAAGCCTTAATTAAATACGTTGAAATAATTTATTTATCTTAGGTTATCACGGCCAGAGAATCGAACAGCACGCTGATGCTTTCGCCAAAATGATCTCTTCTGATACACTCGGCGAAGATCGGCGAAACGTCGATGACGGTGAGTTTTTTGCAGTTTTGGGCCTTGGTTTCGGAGATCGGATACGTGTTGGTGACGATGATGCCGTCGATATACTCGCACTCGTTCAGTCTCTCGAGACAGTCGTTGGCAAATATCCCGTGCGTAGCCACCACGTAGCACTTTTTCGCACCGCAGTTCATTCTCAAGTGCTCTGCAGCAGCAATGAACGAGGTGTGCTTGTCAATCATATCGTCGACAATGATGGCTGGTCTGTTCTGGACGTTTCCGACCAAAGTGATCAGCTTCTCGCTGGCGTTGAACTCGGGCTCGTCCTCGTCGTCCGAGTTGTCGTTCGCAATGTCAGAGGTGTGCTGAACCTGCGGCTCCTCGTGCGGAGCAGAGGTATCCTCTACCACATGTCCTTTCACGATTCTCGCAGTCTGGATGTCGGTGCTTACTATGACATTTTCCTGTTCCACCTCGCCGTTCTCGGTGGTGTTAATCTTGGCGGCCGGCTGCTTGCCTCTCACTTTTTTGCCCATGAACCCGTCTCTGGTCCGCCTTCTGTCGGTGTGGATCATGGCAAAGTTGACCTTGAGCTGGTCGGCCAGGGCGGTCACGCGCTTCGTTCCTCCTGGGTTTTTCGACACTACAACAGCCTCGCTGTAGTTCTCGATGTTCTGGCGGATCCAGTGCGCCAGCGTGGGGCCCGCATACAGATTATCCACCGGCTTGGAGAAAAAGCCCTGCATCTGGGAAGCGTGCAAATCCATCGACACCACGTGGTCAGCACCAGCCATAATCAGCAGATTGGCCAACATCCGCGCCGTGATGGCCCCACGGTGTTTTTTCATCTTCGATTGCTTGGAGTAAGGGAACTGGGGAATGACGGCAGTGATCTTTGCTGCAGAACCACCTCTGCACGCAGAAATCAGAATCAGCAGCTCCATGATATGGTCATTGGTTTCTGGCGAGCCCGACTGGATGATGTATACGTCCTCGTCTCTCACAGAAACGCCTATCTGCACAGAAGTCTCTCCGTTGGCAAATTTCTTGAGTGTGACTGGAGCAGGGTCGATACCCAACTTCTCGCACACTAGCTGACCCAACTTGGGGTGGGAGTTCCCGACAAATACCTTGCACTTTCTCATCTCGCTGATAAGATGCTGGCTATGAGAACTGGTAAACTGGGTGGTGCTAATGGTGACTAAATATGCGCGTCTGGCACTGGGCCTCTGGTAGATAATTAAAAATTTTTTGGGAGTGTCCACATTAGGAAACCGGGCCGGAAATCAAGTAATTATATTATTATCTCTCCTTTATACCGAGTTAGTACATGTTCAGCTGGTTCGAGGTCATGGAATACTTGATCCAGTTTGGCAAGCAGTTTTGGTCGTAGACGTCGGGAGGTGCAAAGTATCCTGGCTCGTGGTCCGTAGAGCACTTATCGCTATGTGGAGAGTTCTCATACGGCGAGTGGTGGTAGCCGATGTCTCTGAACCACCACACCTTGCTCTTGTCTTCAAACAGCCCGATTCCCACAGAGTGAACGGGGGCGTCTCCCCATCTCTCGTAGTAAAATCCACCAGCGGCCTCAAGAGCGTCGAACCACTTGGAGTATGCCTCTCCTCTGTAGAAGTCCATATCTGCGATCTCAAAATTCGACCAGAAGTGGCACGTCGAGTATCCTCCCGCCCCCTTAGTGTTCTGAGGGTTTTGCTGGTTCTCTGTCAGCCACTTGAACGCACCGTTCGGATGCACATACTCGGGATGGGCAAGACAGAAGTCGACGGTGGTCTTCCACAGGGTCTCGATGGTCAACGGCTCATCGTACAAGCTCACAGTGAAGCCGTATGTCAGCTCATTATCTCTCATAAACTTGAACACGTCGTAATCCACCTTACAGAAGAAATCCACGTTGGGCTCGACTCTCCAGTAGTATTTGAACTTCTTCAGGCCCTCCAGTCTGTAGAACCAGCCGGAGTTGAACCGACACATGTTGTGGTAGCTTTCCAGACTGGCATAGTTCACTTTATTCGCAGTCAGCTTGGCAATGCCGTTCTTGTACAGATCAGGGTCGATGTTTGCTGGCTTCTCCCAGATCGACTTTGGGATGATCTCGTAGTACACCTTGCCGGAACACACCTCCTCCACGCGTTTCTTGAACTCTGGTGTAAACTCTTCGTCGTTGATGAACGTGAACGGATAGTTGTAACGCCAGTTCCAGGTCTCCTCCAGCTGTCTGATCGACGAGACGATGCCGTCTAGTTCGGAGTTTCTCACAAGAGACAACAAAGTGGCGTTGGCCAGCTCATAGTTAGTGTCACCGTCCTGCTTGTGCACCAGTTTCATGCCCTTCGGCTCGTCGATCTTCTTGCTCAACACCTCTCTGTGGAACTTCATTTGCTCCTCCACAATCTTCTCCTTAGGAGTTCCCTCAGGGAACGCGCCATTCTTGAAAACCAGAGCCTGTTTCACCTCGTTGGCGGTCATTTTTTTGTACTTGCTTGCTGTCTTTGTAATGTATCCTTGGAGATCGGTACGGTAGCTATCAAACATCTGGGATGCGCCTTTCAATGTTTGCGTCTCGCGTGCTGCGTGCAATGTAAGCCCCAAAATAACGACTAGTGCTATTATCCCGGCTGAAAGTCGGATAAACCGTTTATTTAGCAACATTGCAATTAGGGGTCCTAGCAAAACAGCAGAGAAAAGAACGTTTTGCCAAAAAAAAAAAACAGCTAGGTATACAAAAAAAGTAATCCGTGTTTGGTGCGTCCACGCGTTATGTTCTATGCAGCCAATATAAAGGGGCTCAAAAACTTGCCGCGGAAACCGCCGGGCCAGGGGTACTCACCTGGAGTCTGGGGGAAGTCAAAGATGATCTGTTAATCATGCCTGCCACGTTTGCTGCACCCACACAGGGCTTTATGGCAAGACATTCCTAATCGATCCGAGGCACAGCCAAGATATTAAAAAAATGGTGTATGTATAAAAAAGTAAATCGTGCTGCTTCTGTTTAATCTTATGTCACGCCAATTTACACACTCGTCGCAGCGACGCGCGTCGCTGGTTTCAACATCTGTGGGCAGACACGGGCTATTTGTGCCCCAGGACCTCATCAAACCAGAAGACTTCACGGCTGTTGTCAGCGACCAGGACCTCGAGGAAGACGAGCCACTGATCGACTCTCAGGTCCAGCAGTACTCAGCAACATCAGACATAGCCGAAGAGGCAGAGCTACTCCAGGCCAACCACTTTCCTATCAGAAGATACTCCTCCGTGCCTTCGGTTTCTGTGCCACCTGCACAAGACCCTGAAGCTATCAATGAGTCATGGGACAAGGCTCTTCGCGACGGGAAAATCACCACCACGCCTCTCTTTGAGCTCAAGAAGATGTTCATGTCGTCTGTTCCGCTTGTGATAACCTTCTTGCTCCAAAACTCCCTTGGTGTGGCCTCTATCTTTGCCGTGGGACACATCTCCCCTGAAGCACTCGCGGGAATCACCCTGGGAACCATGAGCTGCAATATATCGGCCATTGCCGTCATTGCTGGCCTTGCATCGTCACTCGATACGTTTTTACCGCAAGCCTACGGAGCCAGAAAATACAAGGTTGTGGGCTTGATCTTCCAGCGTTGCACAGCTCTTATATTCACGCTCATGTTCGTAGTCTGCGTAGCATGGTGGATATGGGCTGAAGAAATTCTCATAAAAGCCCTTCCGAACGCAGAAAGCGCCAGACTCGCTGCGACATACCTGAAAGTCATCACTTTTGGATTGCCAGGCTACATACTTTTTGAGACAGGGAAAAGATTCTTGCAGGCCCAGGGAGTTTTCGAAGCATCGACGTACGTGCTTTTCGTCTGTGCTCCCTTCAATGCATTGCTCAACTACATCTTCGTTTGGGTATTCAAAATGGGATACATTGGCGCTCCCATCGCTGTCAGCATCAACTATACACTGATGGCTGTTGGGCTATTTGGGTACACGATCTGGACGAAGAATGTCGCCAACCCTATGAAATGCTGGAACGGACTGGCACTTCGAAAGGCGTTTTCCAACTGGGGCGAGCTGGTCAAGCTGAGTATCCCAAATCTTATCATGATTATGTCCGAGTTTCTGAGTTTCGAGATCCTCACCCTGCTGTCCAGCTATCTCGGAACTGTGCCGCTTGCAGCGCAGTCTGTGATAGCCACCATGGCCTCTCTCACCTACCAGGTGCCATACGGAGTTTCTATTGCGGCATCCACTAGAGTGGCCAACTTCCTGGGTGCTCAGCTCCCACGAGAGGCCAAGATTGCTGCCAAGATGGTTTTTGTGTTCACCGCGGCCATTGCCTTGATCAACTCGTCGTTCTTGCTCTTGGATAGCAGGCAGATTGCGGGCTGGTTCTCCAACGACGCGGACGTGATTGAGGTTGTCACACAGGTGATGCCATTGGTCGCTTTCATCCAGATTTTCGACGCCATGAATGCAACCAGCGCAGGATGCCTACGTGGACAGGGGTTGCAAAGAATAGGTGGATACGTCAACCTGTGCTCGTACTATCTCATTGGCCTCCCGCTTGGGTTTGTGCTGAGCTTCTATTTCCCCAAGGGCCATCCTATGGGACTCTTTGGACTGTGGACCGGCTGTGGAGTGGCCCTGGCTATCATCGGTGTCATTCAGACCTACTGTGCCCTTGCTGCCGACTACAACAAATTGGCTGCGGACGCTCTCAAACGAAGCGAAACGGACTAGGACAATTGCGTAATTTTGTGTCTAATTTTGGCCAGCTGAACAATAAGTTCTAGCGAGTCTGCAAAATCAGACTGCGCAGTTCGTAGAGACAGAGGCACCAGTCCTCCAGAGAACATTTTCCGCGACTTCGACAATCCGTCTTCCCTGTCGCAGAGGATTATTTGTGCATTTGTCCAGTCGACATCCACCAATCGCTGCATTTCCCTATGATCAAGGAAGTTTTGGTATCTCGTATTTGCTTCGTAATTAGCACGGGCAAGGTCGACAAACCCGCGTTTGAGAACTTGCTCAAGCTTCTGGTAAACGTTGTAGTACTCTGAAACAAGCCCTAGCACTCTGATCTGTTTCTCTTGGGTAGCGGTGAGTGGTTTATTGGAGTTCACCGGTTTCAGCAAATCTGTCATCTAGACAATATTGTTACTAAATTTTTTTGAACTACAAATGTTCGTAATTCATCTATTATTATACATCCTCGTCAGCAATTTCTGGCAGACGGAGTTTACTAAACGTCTTTGAGTATGAGGCCGAGAAATCCAGCTCTGTGGCCATACTCAGTCTTGACAGCCTGCTGATGTTGGCTGCGTTCAACGCAATAAGCGTGTCCTCCGATTCCGAGTTGTGCTCGTTATCGTCGTTCTCATCCTCGGAAAAATCACACGAAAGAACATACTCACCAGTAGGCTTTCTGGTCCCTGGGGCACGGCTGTTTCTGACGTATTCCGGCGTTGATAATAGCTCGAAAGTGAACGCCGAGTCGCGGGAGTCGACAGGGGAGCCTATGGAAGGCACTTTGCGGATGTGTGGAGGATCAGTAGGAGTTCTATCTGTTGGTGTTTGCAAAAATTGCGGGAACTCGAATTTCTGGAGATGGACGTCTTCCTGATCAGAGCTGTCTCGGGACTCTCTGTTGCTTCTGGAAGAAAATTGAGAATTCTCGGAGTAGTCTGAGGATCTGTAGAAATCGGTCTCTGACTCTTCCTGAGGAATAGATGGCAGTAGGTCGTTGTGTTTGAGCATTCTCATTGGGCTTTCCTGGATAGAGGGTGCCAGTGAGCTAAGGGTGGATATCGAGGTGGAGCGAGTGAACGTGGAGTTGGCCCTACTCAGAAGCTGTGAGGTAGAGGACGTGGAGTTCACTCTGAAGTGCCTGGATGATGGCCGCGAGTCTGGTTCTATGTTGCCGACCGTGTTTGGCGAAGTTCTGAAGGAGGACACGGCCAGACACGGTGGAGACCGTTCTGGAGCTGTTTTCAGCACTTTTGGCAGCAGGCTCAAGTCTGCCTCCTTGAACGCCTTGTCCAAACCAAACGCGTTTTTCTCACTGAGATGAGACATGTGGTTGAAACCGAACGGCGTGCTGATCATCAACGGGGATTTTTTGCGGCCCTTTGCAAAGTCAGGCTCCAGGTCAAAGTAGTGGAGGATTTGTGCGCTTTTGGTTTGTAGTACCCGAAGGACCTTGTCCTTCTTCCTCGTGGAAGGCTCGTCCAGCCACAGCGACTCTAATTTTGGAGAGCGAGACATGAAAAGCTAAGAAGAGGCGTTTTAGTGCTTTATATCTGTGTGAGCAGTCAGCACGGCGCGCTTTCTCCAAAGGAGTGGGAAAAAAGATAGGAACAGGGATGCGGACAATAGAGCACAATAAAATTTTTGCTGGGCACAATGTAGCTGAAAATTGGGACCTGATACGAGAGATCACCCGCGGGTTCCGCCAAATCGGCGGTCTAGCAGAGCCAAAACAGACCTGATACACGTACCAGATGCTGATACGTGTGAGATCATGTCCCACAAACTGTGGTTCCAAACTTATCACAAGTTTGTAGCAGAGTTGGAGCACCGCGGGCCGGGCTTTTGCAAGAAAAAAAACTACGTGTGGTTTTTCTGAATTGGGAAATAATCCAAATGGGGAGTCTAATAAGGAGCCTAAAGGGATAACGGCAGTTTGACGCACCAAAGTCACCATAAAACAATAGAAAATTACTTTATTCTGAGGTCAATGTACCGGTTCCTGGCTAGAACCATAACATGATCGCAAAAAGATCGTCGAAATATCGTCAACTCTACACATTTTTTAAATACCATTAAATTACCCGTTAACCTTCCATAACCTCATAACGCTCGTCTAAACGGACACAGCCACGGCATGCACAGGACACTCACACGCACCTTTACGGTTGATCCAGTCCTTGATGCATTTGTAATGGAAACAGCACAAACACTCTAGCCTGCCAACCTTGTCCCCCGCGTGGAACTCCTCAAAGCAAATGACACACTCATTATCCTCGTTAACTCGAACGTTGGCGTCCAGCGTGTATACCAGCATTCTATTAGTTTGTCTCTTAGAGTCCGGCGAGCCGGTGAACTCCAAAAAGTGCAAGCAGTTGTTGATGTGCTGCTCGCGGCCGGCATCTGTCTCGTCTGACAGGTCAATGTTGCACACAGGACACAGGTTCTCGTCGTTCTCCAGGGCTAAGGTGTCTTCTCTAGCGGACGAGCTCTTGATCATGTCGATCGGCTGGCTTCTGTGGCCCTGTCTTTCCAGTTCTGCAGCACACTCGTCGCACGTTCTGTGCGGTACGTGGGGGGTTTCCAGAAACATCTGGGACTGCGGCGATACAACATAGGTGTTGGGCAAGTAGCACGTAAACACAGAAGAGCAGTCGCCACAGACCACGCGGCCACACTTCCGGCAGTGGTGTCTGCGGTTGAAAAACGTAAATTTGCGATGACAGAAGGGGCACTCTCGCGCGCTTTCATCTGGTTGCCAAAGGGGAACCCCTTCTGGCACCACTCTTGCCCCTTGAGACATCGCCGATATGCCTAATTGATGGGGAAAAATAATTATTTTCTATTGATTATTTCATCTATAATAAAAAAAAGACACCCCCAGAGACCTAGAAGTTTTCGTGGGCCCTGGCGAGATATCTATTTTTCAAGCAGTAGATCAGCGACCCCAGAACAGTTAGCACCACTCCGCTCAACAGGAATGTGTACGTGGAGCAGATGACAAGGTTGCTGTCAGTAGAATTCACACAGTTGCGCGTGTAGTCGACGCCGTAGACAAGGTTGAGCAGCATGTTACCGATGATGGAGCAGCATGAAAAAATCCCATACGTTGTCCCTAAAATATCAAACCCATAAACTGCCGCCAGCACTGCAGGAAAAAGTGTGTAGAGGCCTGAATTGAGAACGGCGTTGAGCATCACAATGACGTTGATGTGCAGTCCAGCGATGGGCCAGCTGGACAGGTACACATGGCCCAATCCGCACATAACGATCAAGCTTGCGAGAATGCTCAGACGAGAAATGCCGTATTTCGCGCAGACATGGTCGGTGGCCACCATAATGACGAACCTAATTGCCGTCGAGGTGATGGAGTAGAGCTGCAGATTGTAGTCTAGCGTGTTTTGGTCAAGAGACGACAGGATTGAGCTGAGATTTGTCAAAAAAAACTCTGTTGCACCGACAGCCATGAAAAATGCCATGTTCAGAGGGTACATGAGCGGATCTCTGAGAAAACGAGAGATCTTGTGCTTATAGCTGACACTGGAAGCAGACATCTGGTCGTCCAATTGCACGTATTCAAGATCTTCTGTAGCAATGGCAGCCTTTGGTGAGTGCGAGCCCAAGACCGCACTGCCTCCTGAAAGTAAGGGAGACGCGTTGAAGCTGCTAAAATGCTCTGTTTCGTGCTCGTTTTTTTCCGTCCGGTCTGTGATCTTGCAACCCAGGAATGCAAAAATGCTGCTTGCGCAAAGCGTGATCATAAAGAACCGTAACTTATGCTGGAATGCTTTAGTCGGGTCCGATTCGTCAAACCAGTTTTGCAGCATGTGGATCTCGAGAAATGTGGAAAAGGCAATCATAAGGTTTGGGGTGCCAATAGCGAGTGTTGTGTAGTATTTCCCGAGAGAACGCGCACAGTTAAGCAAGCAGCTAAACAGAAGACACGTGTGAGCACACCCAATGAGAAAAAAACTGATGTACACGGGGACGGGATCAAGCACCTCGTTCTCGTAAATAAATAGAACGGAGGAGAATCCCAGCAGATAGCAAGCGAGCGCCAATAGACTAAGGATCCAGGGCCCTTTGAGATCGGCCAGGAGCCCACAAAGGGGTGTGAACCCGTTCAGACCCAAGGTCTGGGCGATTATGATGCTGTTGATGGTTGATTGCGGGTATCGTAGCCGACTCTGCAAAGGCTGGGTGAATATAGAGAAGAGAGCCAGCACACCCAAGGACAGCGAGCCGACCAAGGAGAGCCCAAAGGCCAGAGTGTAGGAACGTACAAGAGGTGTCATGGGAAAAGCAAATAGAGGGACAAAAGTTTTTCTGTTGCCATGGAGCACAAATCGTGATCGGGGGACCGATAAGCAATAATAAATCGACCGGGCACCGATCGGCGCGACGAGGTAATTTTTCCTGGCAGCATTTATCGTATATTTATTTTATCTAAACCATGTCGCTGGAAGGAGCATTGGAAGAAGAACGTCAATTAATTGCGCAAATTTTAGAGCGCCAGAAAGCCGGAAACTCCGGAACAATGAGGGGCCGCGGGAGGGACGCATCCCCGGGTGCGCAGCGCGCACACTCGAGGGGCCTGTCCAGTGTCAGGAGGTCCCTGAGTCGTTCCAGCTCAAAGGACCCTGACGCTAAATATGCAATTACTGCACACGATCCGTCCGAAAGATTGCGGTCGCCGTCTGGAACACGGGTGAACGAAAGCGAGGACGAGCTGGAAGGTCTGGATAATGCCTCCAGCAGCGATGAAGAGCAGATAAGCGATACAGACTCTGAATTCGAAGTCGATGACGGTGGTAAAGTACTTCCGAACTATGCGTCCTATTCACCTGACGAAATGCAGGATGAGAAATACAGTTTTGGTCGCAAGATGACGCCTAAGGACGAGTTGAGCAAGATCAATAACCGCAAGCTCGTGAAAGATGCCATTCAGGCTGAGAAACTTGACGAGCTGCTGGCAGCGGAACGGGCTTTGGCTAACGCCAAATCCATTGGGCGCCAGGTTCCTCATGAGTTTCTAGAAAAGATCGAGGAGAACGCCAAGAAGGTAGGCACGCATATCCACTATGACCCGGAAAAATTCTACCAGGACAACACGGGGCGCAAAGAGAAATTGCAGGAGTACGCCATTTACAAGAAAAAGCTCGTCTCGCCCGAGTTTTTCTCTGCTACCGACGGCTTTTCAGTGCCTTACACAAGCGATGTGGAGGAAAAAGCCGACACAGAGTTGGCTCGCACTTTGAATGAGCATGTGGTTGTATCAGAGATTGAATCCATCCTCAGTAACCAAATGGCTATTCGAACCATCACAAGAGGGAATTTTTTTGAACTCTCCAGAAAAGACGGCAGGGAGGCTCCTCAAATGTTTGTGTTGTGCATGGACTTTTCCGAGGAATCGAAATACGCTCTGGAATGGTGTATCGGCACAGTCCTGGTGGATGGGTCTGTGCTGTACGTTTTAAATGTGATCGAGGATGATGATTACTCGTCAATGAACCTAAACGGTATCCAACCTAACAGTCCAAACCAATCAGAGACTAAGGAAGAGAAGCTGTCGAAAGCTGCTCGGGAAAAGCTACGTATACAGAACGTTGAGGAAATCACGCGCGAGACGCTAGACCTTCTCAAACTCACCAAATTGCAAGTCCACATCGTGATCGAGTCGTGCCACCACCCAATCCCACGCCATTTTATGGTCGAAATTATAAAACACATCTCGCCAACACTGGTGATAGTCGGCTCCCGCGGCACCTCGGCCATAAAAGGAGTGCTCCTGGGGTCGCTGTCAAACCATCTGGTGCGCAAGAGCACAGTACCAGTCATGGTGGTCAAGAACAAGCTGAAAAAGCTTACCAAGAAAGGGAAACAGTTCAGCAACAACATTTCGACGCTACACAGTCTTGCAGAGGCCAAGGTCGACTGAGTGGTTTTTTTCGCTTATCACACACCCTTGCACCAATGTTTATTGCAGTCCCCTCATGTTGTTTTGGTTCAACATTTTCTGCTTAGGGGAGGGGATTTCTGCTCACAAAAGGGACTTTCACATAGCGCCATGTATATAAAGAAGCCAAACGCGTTCAAACTATGCTGTTGATGTTGCATACTGCTGTTCTCCCAGCAAATTAATAAAACAACAGCCGTCGATCGACCCGTCGCTATGAATTACTATCAGAATTTCAAGGCCACACATAACCTAATCACTTCAACCTTTATAAATTATTCATCTGCATCCCCCATTGCTGCAAACACAGTCAACAACACTGTCGTCTTGCAAAACAAGCTTCTACAGCGTCTATACAACAGTCTTTCATTTCTCAGGTACCAGATCCCGAACCCTCCACAAGTGGGCCACGATCTGGATCATAGATTCGCCAAACTCGTGAACAGCCACAGGATGGAGTCACGATATTTAATTAATTTACGGAACTACCAGCCCCGGTACTATGCTGGGTCCCAGGTGTCTGTCTGGCATCGCTTGCCGGCGGTGAGGAGGTCTTCAGTTCTCGTTCTATTGTTTTTGGGCAGACAGGGTGAGTTGCGTGTGATCCTGACAAAGAGATCGCACAAGCTCAGAAACTTCTCAGGACACATTTCTCTTCCCGGTGGCAAAGTCGACTATCCGTTGGAGTCTGAGTTTCAGTGTTCTCGTCGAGAGGCTGAGGAAGAGATTGGAATACACCGCGACAACCGGTTCTTGAAAGAGAAGTTTGGGTATGAGGTCGAGGAACTCAAGGTGATGCCCACGTATCTCGCAAGGACACTCCTGGGAGTGTCACCTTGCATTGCGTTCATCAACTGGAGCGAGTCCAAGCTAGGCAGCATCGAAGATCAGCACATCGGCAACATCATGCTCAATCCGGGAGAGTCGTCGTCAATCTTCAGCGTGCCTCTGAAGGACTTCTTGCAGCCTAAACCACGTAGGTACGAGCTCAAGGAGTGTCTCAAACAATCATACATAAAGACCAAATGGGCAGGTATTCCATGGAACTTACGGTCGTTCATCTTTCCTATTCACAACGACAATGAGGTCAGATGGCTGGAAGAAATCCAGGATTTGTCCTCCGAGAGTGAGGACGAGACGCAGGAGGACCACGAGTTTGGCGTGCGCACGCGAAACTGCTGGGGACTGACGGCAAATATTCTTCACGACCTTGCCGAGATCGTCTACACTGGAGAGAACTATTACGATAATATTCTGGGAGAGGAGGACTTAATTTGGGCCTTGATCCAGAACGGCCAAATGCAAACTAAGCAGCGTTCTGAGTTTGAGAAAAAACTAATCAACAACACCAAAGGATGTTCATTCAAGGAATGTATGAGTCCAGAAGAGTTCATCAATCTTAGGAACTTATATAGCACTATCTAACGAACCGTCGCAAAATATTTATAACTTTCCATATGGATCAGCGTTAGGCTCCAATCCCATATGTTCAATGTAGTGAACTGCCTCGTCGATGTATTGTTTTTTGAGCTCCTTGCTCCAGCCGTACTCCTCGGCCATAATGTCGGCAACTTCGTCAACACATTGTAACGCCATCTTGGAGTCCAAGAAGGCCAGTCTACACCGTCTGGCCAAAAAGTCCAGAGGCCGTCTGGCATACTCATATGCCATCGAGTAACGTAGCTCTGCTCTAGTGAACGGATGATCGAAGTTGGCATACGTTGGCGGGTTAGTCAGACCCAAAGGCTCAGCATTCCGAGGGTCCTTGAACATACCAATAATCATAGCAGCACGGTCTCCATAATTGCTAGCCAGATGGATGGCCATTTTGTCCGTCAGTTTATAAAGCTGTGCCAGTCTAGCAGACAAAGAGTCGTCGTAATTGACGGCTCCAACGAGCTTGTGGTTTCTGGTGGAACAAGGCTTCAGAGGTTTGGTTTGGAACTCGGGAGTGTCCTTGATGACCTCATTGATGACCTCCTCTGCCATTTCTCTATAAGTTGTCCATTTACCGCCAGAGATGGTAATTAGTCCATTAGGCGAGTGATAAATCAAGTGGTTTCTAACAAGTCCCTGGGTGGAGTTGATGTTGCCTGCGTGCACCTTCTTAGGGTCTCTGACAAGCGGTCTGACACCACACCATGCACTCAAAACATCTTCTCTTTTAACCTCGAACTTAACATAATGCTGCAGCTCTTTCAGAATATCATTAATCTCAACCTCTGTAGCAACAGGGTTCTCTGGAATCTTGTCTAGGGGAACGTCAGTGGTTCCTGCCAGAACCTTTCCTTGCCATGGCAAGAAAAACATCACACGTCCGTCGGATGTCGAAGCATCAAGCAATCCCATGTCTCTGGCGCAGTACCATTCTGGAAGAACGATGTGAACACCGCCAGAAGGAACCACCATCTTTGGGCGTTTCAAAATCTCAGGATCTGGCAGACCGGATGGCGACTCATCCATGGACAACAGTGCGTCAGAGTAAGGGCCCGTAGCACTGATGATGGCATCGGCAGCAACCAAGTATTCATTATTGGTCTCAGAGTCGACGACGCGCACACCCTTGCTCCTTCCTTGCTCGTTCTTCAAGATCTGCTTGACCTCCATGTAGTTCAAGACAGTAGCGCCATTGTGGATTGCAGTCAAGGCAAGGGTAACGTTCATCCGAGAGTCATTAAACAGACCGTCGTGGTAAACAAGTCCACCAACAAGACCTTCTGGGTCCAATTGTGGGTGTTTGTCCAACAGACGGTTCTTGGTCATCATGTAGGAAAATCTCAGGTTCTGAGAACCTGCAAACAGGTCATACAGCAAGCAGCCAGCATAAAAGTATGGCATTTGCCAGTATTTGTAAACGGGAATGGCAATAGGAAGACAGTGAGCCAGATGAGGCGCGTTGTTTAAAATGGAAGCTCTCTCATTCAAGGCTTCAATGACAAGGTCAAGCTGGGCCTTGGAAAGCTGGAAAATGGCCTTTTCTAAGTACCGGACACCTCCATGTGCCATCTTGGTGGATTTGGACGATGTTCCAGAAGCAAAATCATTCTTCTCGAGCAACAAAACATTCAAACCGCGGAGAGTAGCGTCCAGGGCAGCACCAGTACCCGTGGCGCCTCCGCCGACAATGATCAGGTCAAACTTGGAGGTGGCATCCCTGGCGGAAAAATTTTCGGCTGGAGTGCTGACAGGTTTCCCCAGTTTTTCCAGCAAGTCTTTTCTTGCGGGGGGCTTTTCTACGTCGGTCACGATGGGCGGGAACTTGCTCTTGTAGTCCACAAGCGTTTCGTTGTGTGCGGTTTGTACATAAAGGCCTCCCAGAGTCAGCGCTATAGCTGAACAGGCTCCGATTTGGCCAAATCTTTTTGCTTGTCTAAAAGACATAATATATCATCCAAATTCGAGAAATATGAGAAAGTTGCGGAAATACATTTCTCCAAAAATTCCCCGTTTACCCTGCCCCTCGCATTTTTTCTTGCGCGATCACGTCTTCGCCAAGCGACTGCCTAACATCTTCCCGAAATAGTAAGTTTGTATCGCCGTACCCTAAACTAATTTCGTACGCCCTCACCAGCCGCACCTCGTTGATTCCGATGTTGCACTGGCTCAAGCTCAGCAAACAGTTCTTGTATCTCGATATGGTGTCCTTGATGCTGGCCGAGAGCGCGTCGTTCTTGTCGCTGTAAATGTCCCACGACGACTCCTGTTCCAATCTCGTGATTGATACACTACCTTGTCCGGGCTGATAATAACCGGAAGCCGCAGAAGACAACTCTGCATTAGTCTTAGCCGTGGAAGCAGAATGATCTGCAGCAGAAGAAAGCGGAGTTTTGTAGATCCAGCAGTAGCCGTTCACACCCAAAATGATGCTCACATTCCCGGGTAAGTCGTGAGAATGGTTTTTCGCTCTCACAATCAGTTTCGAAGGCACCGCAACAAACACCCCGTTTCGAAGTTTCCCGTATTTCAGTGAGCGGGTATGCAGGGAGGCGCTGCCGTCCGAAAACAGCGATTGCACCTCGGCGTTTAGCAGGTCGCCTTCTTTTAAAAAATTACGCATCTGTAGTTCGTCGCTCTCGGATTTCCTTCGCAGAATACCTCCGGGCAGGTTCACCGATCCCAGCATAAGCACCGCGTCATGTTCACCTCCAATGTCCACTTTCCATCTTTTCTGTCCAACATCAATAATTCTGCCCACTAGATGGTCTCCTGTCTCTGGAGAGTATCTGCCTTTGAAGGGAACTACGCTCAGCAGCTTGTTCACCTTGACAACGGTTCCTGCAACTGAAGAGTATGTCTTGTCGTTTAGAAAGTACGTCCCATGGCCGCGCATCCATGTCGGATCGTCGGTGATCAACTCTCCTGGAGTGACCACTGATGAACCAGCCTCGGTGTCGCCGGGTTCTGGCTTTGACGGCACACTAATGCTGATAATCATGATAATTGGATTTTTTTTTTTTCGCACCTAGAAAAAAAATATTTTACTTCACTAAGGTGTAAAATAATATATACGCGTTCTGATCCCCAATTTCCTCCTCGTACCGACAAACACTCAGCCGGTCGTCGTCGCACAAAATCCATTGGCCACTCCGGTGAATGACGTTGGTGTAGTGACCAGACCCTATGGAGTCGCCCAAATGGTCTATCCAGCCACTCAATTTGTAATTGTATGCAACCTCTTTATCTTGTCTTTTGATCTTGAAATTTAATCTCTTTGGGAATCGCAACTTGATGTTGAGTTTGTTCTGGTACGGGTCAAATTTGGCGAGGTAGACAGTCAAAATCTGGGGTAATTTGATGAAATTGGATGATCTGTACGACACGTTCGGCTGGCTCAGAAACGCTTTCAGCTCAGCGTAGCGACCTGTCTGGTAGTCGTTAATTGTAGAATGGTCTTCTTTTTTGAACTTGAAAAACCCTCGTTTTTTCGATTCCTGAGAAGAGACCATTTCCTCGAGCTGTTTCAGCTCCGCACTTAATTTCTCGCATTTTGGGCAGTTCCACGCATTTCCGAGCCGATCAGATAGTTCTTCAGGCTCAAGGTTTCGTAGAATAAGATCATTCAGATAGTATTCGCTGCCGTTCAAATTCAGATTCATCATCGTCGAGTTATCGTAATTCAGCGATACATAGCCACAACGTCCACACTTGAGCCTCGTTTCTTGCTGAATTTGGAACAGCTTGTTGATTGGAGAGACCCCTTCCGACTTCAACAGCTGCGAGTTCCAAGACAGATATTCCTTGCTGCTACCATAGTCTGTAAATGGGTCTGTTTCCGGGTTATTCGTCTTGAAGCTTTGTCGGTTAGCGGGCGAATCATCTATGCGCAGCTCGTCATGCAATCTGTTTAGGATAAAATATAGAAATTGAGAAGTATCTTGTTGTTCATGAGGAATTTTGAGATCTGGCTTCAGATATGAGCATAGCCTTACAAAATTGTTGGGACGAACAACAGCGTGGCCCTTGGCATAAAAAAATTCGTTAAACAATGCGTAAAATGCGAGGACAAGGGAATCGTCGTTGGACCGTAGGATTGGCTGGAATCTGGATGGATCCATCACGAAATTGCGGAAATATGACAGATTAAACAAGCACTGGACCATAGAGTTGATGTAGCACGTGCTTCCGTAATTGTGAAGTCTCACCAAAGGAAGAGAGAGCCCGGGAGGGAGAGACGGAGTTGAGCTCCGGAAAGATGTGGCAGGCTTGGAAGGTGTGGAAATGGTTCCTGTGAATGTTTTTGCGCGGTCGTTACCAAAGAGTTGAGACCAACGTTCAAAGCCTCCTTCTAGAGTTCTTGGCTCAACTTTGATATCACCCCATCTTTTTCGTTTTTCAATAGCACTTTCCACCAGCTTGAACACATGCTTCGCTCCTTGAGACTCGCCAAACACGACAACAAAAGTGTACTGGTTGAAAGACGCAAGCTTTGCCGAAAAATCTATATTTCCTACCTGAAGACAGAAAACGAGGTCCTCAAAATCATGTACTGCTTGCACGCTTTCCGGCTGAATGTTAATAATGTCTTCATGTTCTATGTGCGATTTCAGGAACTTATCAAAGGTTCGAACATCTATCAGAAGTATCTTTTCCCGGAGATCAAATAGACGTGTTGATAGCTCATCGCAATCGAAACTTAAGTGATCCACCACCGGATACAGGTCCTGATTTAAGTCTGATTCAATAAGACTTGATGCTTCTTCCATTGCAAGATCCAATAGCTCCTTGTATTTGCTTTTGTTTAATATTTGGTGCGATACGTTGCTGAGGGTGCCTATGAATCCTTGATCTTCTTGATTTCTGACGTCGGCACGCTGCAATATGTATTTGAGAATGAAATAATTGTAGATATACAATTGGATCACCATACTAGGGTCCTCGAAATCTGCCAGTGCTTTCAGAGCATTGAGATAGTTTGTTGAGATCTCTATCCAGTCGATGATGACTAGATCTGTGGCACGTGAGTTGAACGGTTTGTTCTCAGTAAGAAGAGAATGTGATCGAAGCCTGTCATTGCGCTGGACAATCAATTGGAACTGGCATTGGACTATGGATTTAATTTCCTCTACTGATAAAGTGTCCATAAAAAAATAGATAGATACTAAACTAGCTCAAAGCCTGTTTGTTAGTGACTAAAAAAAATATTTGCAAGAAAAAAAAATAACTAGCCGGGATGACCAGAAAGGCCACCACCAATATGATCGACCATCTGGCCGTGACAGAGTCGTTGGGGTATAAGGTTTTTCGTAAGCAGACTCGATCATTATGGACGGAAGAGAAGGACGAGGCTCTCAAAAAGGCAGTTATTGAGCAGTTTCTCAAACAGGAAAACCTGGAAAAGTACGATAAACAACGCATAAAGCCTGATCGCATAGATTGGGCCTCGATAGCTGAGATGTTCCCAGAGTTTAGTGCCATGCGCTGTCGCAAGAGATGGGTGAGCGCCTTAGACCCTCGGCTGCGACGGGGAAAGTGGACTCCCGAGGAGGACCAGCAACTGCTGAAGGCATATCAGGAAGTCGGGCCTGCTTGGGCCAAGGTCTCAGAGAGAGTGGAAGGAAGAACAGAGGACCAATGCTCTAAGCGTTACATCGAGGTCTTGAACCCGGAGAACACCGACAGAACAAAGCCATGGAGTTTGGAAGAGGATTTGCAGCTAATTAAAAGCGTCCAGGTACATGGAACCAGATGGAGAACTGTGGCCGCTGCGATCCAGGGACGTCCAAGTCTCACGTGTAGGAACCGCTGGAGAAAAATCATGACTGACGTTGCGCGCAAACAGGCCTCCAGGCCGATCATGGTAGCTGTGGGAGCTATAGAGGCTACAGGGGAAGACACCAATCCGACAACAAACAAGCTGGCTAGTTCAGAACAACATCATCTTCCCCACAAGCTGCCCCAGGTGAGTTTTCAGCGCCAGCCGCTTGCCCGGCCAGGAAGCAGCCGATCTCCCGGCAGATCGAACACGGAATGGCGATTTGACATGCTGGATCCAAAAACAAACGAGCCTATTAGAGATTTCCACGGAACCATACAGTCGCAGGAACAGGTACACCAAATCATCGATCTGGCCAGGTTCAACGGGGTCAACATCACCATCCACCAGCACATTCACCACCACTACAGTCCACAGACTTCTGCTTTGGATCCAACAACGTCTTTGAACAGATACTCGCACTTCAACTATCTTCCGCCATTGACAGAGGTTCCGAAGCTCACGTCTCACTCGCCAAGAGACAACACCACGGAGTCCAACGGAAGCAGCACGCAAACGCGAGGTGCAAAAAGCACACCTCCTCATACTACCGACGAGGAAGACGAGGACGTGGAAGAGGACCAAGATTTCTGGGAATCGATGAGATCGCTGACCCAGCCCACCGCGCCCACCGTTTCTAGCAAACCCGTCTCCCGACACCATCCTCTGCATTACCAGGACAAGTATGTCACCGAAGTGACAGAGTATTCTCATGGGGTGGCGGAGTCACGTGCTGAGGAAGAGGAAGAGGAGCTGGACGACGGTTACGGGTACGGGTGGTCGTACATGTCTCAAAAGAGCCAAGCAGACAGCGAAAGGTACGTGATGCCGTTCAATCCGTCGTGACGAGCAAAGGGCTGTAAATTAATAATATTATCTAAATTAGATAGATCAATCTACCGCGAATCACTTTCTTTTGAAGAAGTAAGAGCTGGACATGAACTCGGTGCTCTGATTGTAGAGGTAGTCTCCAAGCTCCAAATATTTGTACGCGTATTTCTCGAGCTCCGGTTGGTTGAGGAGCTTCACGTTGGGTTCGATTCCAGTATTTTTCTTGATGCCGGCAAGAAACCCGGCGAGCAGAGCAAGGTCCACGGAGATGTGTACTGCTTTGGAGATCTGAGGTTAGTGGTGCTGGCAGTATTTTACTTACAAAAGCCATGTGAGTATTTGAAACAACGATAAGAGTCAGGAGAATTGTAGTCAAAAAATGAGAAAAAAATACCACCACAGCCAGCCAGGGCAGCTGATATTGGATTCCCCAGAATCGTAGAAAATTTGATCCAATTGCTTCACTGCTAGGTTGTGGGAGAAACGACGCTCCGGTGTGGGAGGACTCTTGATCGTAGGCCTGCTAAATTTTCTGTCTGGCTTGCTTCAGCTAGCACTAGTGTAATTTTTTTTTTAGTTTTCTATCTTGTGGAAGATATGTCAGGACCGCCTAGATTTCAGCGCTACGACAAGCGTCATTACAACGACGAGTACTATGATGATCGCTATTACTACCGCAATGACTACTATGAGCAGGACCGGCGATATTACTACGATGAGCCTCGACTTCCAACCGGTCCCCGTGCGACCACTGCACCTAGAGGCAATGCTCAACCGACATTCAAACGAGCCAAAGTCAGCAACAAAAACGTTATGGAGGACGAAGAGGAAGATAAATGGCAGCCCGAAATGCTGTTTATGCGTCATGTGGATATCAAGGGCCCTGTTTTCGAGCGAATAAACCAAGTCGGAGAAGGAACCTATGGAAAAGTGTACAAGGCGAAAAACAAAATCACCGGGCAACTGGTAGCACTGAAACGTCTGCGACTCGAGTCTGAACGTGAGGGCTTTCCGATCACTGCGAGCCGGGAGATTGGCCTGTTGCAGTCTTTCGACCACCCAAACATCGTTGGGCTGAGCGAGATGATGGTGGAAAAAAATGCAGTCTACATGGTTTTCACGTACATGAACCACGATTTGGCAGGTATCCTACAGCAGGCAGAGATTGTGATCAGCGATGGCGAGAAGAAGAATATTTTCAAGCAGCTTTTGCGCGGCATCAACTATTTGCACACCAAAAAAGTTATTCACAGAGATATAAAGGGCTCCAACATTTTGCTAGATGAGAAGGGAGTGCTCAAGATTACAGACTTTGGGCTTGCACGGCGTATGAAGAACATTAATAGCAACGTCGAATCGCCAAACTACACTAATAGAGTCATCACCTTGTGGTATCGTCCGCCTGAAATATTATTGGGATCCACAGATTATGGACGGGAGGTGGACATTTGGGGAATTGGATGTTTGCTGATTGAGCTGTTCACACGACATGCTATATTTCAAGGAACAGATGAAGTTGATCAGTTATGGAAAGTGTACGATATCATGGGAACGATAACCACTGACGAGTGGCCAGATTGCGATAAATTGCCGTGGTTTGAGATGCTTAGACCGAACAGCCACAAACCATCGCTGTTCCGATCCAAGTTTGGGTCTCTTTTGAGCCCCCAGTGTTTTGACCTGGCTACCAAACTTTTGTCGAAAAACCCGAAAAATCGAATCAGCGCGTCTGAAGCTCTAAGACACCCATATTTTGTGGAGGAGCCACTAGAACAGAAATTGCAATTTTTGAGTAAGATCGAGGGCGAATGGCATGAGTTTGAGGCAAAGAAAAAGCGCAAACTGTTGCGGGAGGCAAAACAAAAAGAGATGACAAACGTGTCGGGCTAAATTTGAGCGGTAAAGATATATGGTCAGATTTGGCCCCCTAAAAAGATCCACCGCATTTCTTGTAAATCACCACCATGAAAGTGACTCCTTTGCTTATTCTAGGCCTTGGCCTCCAAATTGTCAACTGCCAAGAGCCCAGCCATGACCATTCTGATGCTACCATATACAGCGAGGAACATTTTGGTCCGCAATTTTCTCAGTGTGCTTCTCAAGTATTTAGCGATATTGGTGAATCAACATTGGATGATGGTGACCAAAGTCGTTGTCAGTTGCACAGGGCCGTCTTTGAAAAATGTTCTGGAACTTTGGAACACGCCGATCCGATGTACTACTCTGTTGCACGACTGTTGAAGGACCATTCCTGTTGGGCGGGACAACCAGACTCTGCCGAAATTGCCATCGGCGAAAGACTTGTCAACCATATTGTGCGGATCCTGAGTAAGGGAACACGGAGAGACTTGAGAGTGTTTTTCGAGACCACCGAGCTCAATTTGCCAGGACGGTTGACCAAGCGTGGCAGCCCGTTCGAATTCATGATCAGCGAGGATAAAAAGTCCACGAAGAAGACTGAACAGAAGGGTGCTGAGGATGAGGCCAAGGCTCGGGCGCTGGAGAGGTACATCAATCAACGCATCGAAAAAGCCAAGGCAGAAAAATCAAAGCAGCCTGATGGCAAAGTGGTTGACCAGTCCAAGACTACTCAAGCGGAGAAAAAGCCCAAGCCAACAAGTCTTTCAAAACCTAAGAAACAGGGAAAGAACAACGGTAAGAAAGCCTCGCCTGAAGCTACCCTAACCAGTGTTGTACCGGAACCTATCAAGACGGCCAAGCTGAAGGCAGATAACGTTGAAGTTTCTGACCAAGGCATCTTTGACAAAATTCGCGACAAGATCGAAAAGCACAAGGGCCATTACGACGGCGATGACTGCGATGACGAAAGTGCTTCCCCTCCTGAGACCGTTGAGGTGACCACAACACAGGTTAAAAAAAAGGTGCACACAGAAACTGAAACGGAGACGGACTATGACACCGAAACTGCAACAGACACTACAACAGTGTACAAGATTACACATCTTCCCACGACAATGTACCAGTTTCTGACGAAGCATAAGTGGGAAATGCTCACCAAGACCGAGTACGAGTATGTCACCGACACCGAGTACGACACAGTCACCAAAACCTGTCTCGATATAGAGACTACCACCGAAAGAGAACTGGACATTGAGCGCACAACCAAGACGGTTGCGAAAAAGACAATCACCAAGTACGACACAAACACGGAAACTACAACAGAGACGGAGATTGAGTGTAAAACTACAACTAAGGAAAAGACCAAGACGGTGGCTACGACTGAGCTGGCTACCACAACACAGACTGCCACCACTACACAGACCACCACCATCACCACCTCCATCACCGGTTCTGGCTCCGTGACGATGACGTCGACCGTGACATTGTTCAACGAATTCACATCCCGCTTCTGCTCCATACTCGGCCGACTGGGTGTTGACTGTCCGGCGATTCCTACACTGGCTGCCATGCAGCTGCAACAGCGCGATTTCAGGGAGCCAACGGCAATTGCCTACGCGAACTATTTCAACGGGTCGATTTCGGTTCCCACAACAACTGCTGAGGCTAGCAGGCAGTACAGCACGGCCAAAGTCACCGAGTCCAGTGACTCTACCCTGCAAACAAGCACGGTGGGTGTATCGTCAACGGTCAGAAACGTGACGTTCCAAAACGCTGCCGGTGTGTCGCCGGACTCGAGTCTATCAGCAGTAGTCAGCGTCGTCGGCTTCGCATTTGCGCTTCACTGCTTTATGTTTGAGTGATCTGTTTTCCTTTCTCATTGCTTCTCTATAGCTGGCTCTTCGCACTGAATAGACGTGTGCTGCTCAATAAAATTTTATCGTGAAAAAAATCGAATTTTTATTCCGTTCTTCACCACCATGGCTTCTATAGGTATCGCTTTTGGTAACTCCACCTCGTCCATTGCTATTGCCAAGGACGACGGCAAGATTGATGTCATTGCTAACCCTGACGGTGACCGTTTCATTGCCTCTGCGCTTTCGTACGTTGGAGACGACGAGTACCACGGTGCGCAGGCCCAGGCCCAGCTGGTTAGAAACCCTAATTCCACCATCGTCAATTTCAGAGACTATATCGGTCTTCCGTTCGACAAGATCGACCCTACATACTCTCAAAATTCTGCTCATCCGATCAATTTGGACGGAAAGACTGGCTATTCCATCAATGACAAACAGGTCACTGTGGATGAGATCGCCACGAGACACTTGAAACAGATCAAGGCTGCTGCCGAGGACTATATCGGCGAGAAGATTGAGGGAGCCGTCATTGCGGTGCCAACGAACTTTTCGGAAGGACAAAAGGCTGCATTAAAGAAGATCTCCAGCGACGCAGACATCAAGGTTCTGCAGCTGATCAACGAGCCTACGGCTGCTCTATTTGCGCATCTAGTTGCCAAGGATGCACTGGACAAGGACAGGCTGTTTGTGGTTGCTGACTTTGGTGGTGTTCGTTCGGACGCTGCTGTTATTGCTGTGAGAGGCGGTATTCTCACCATTCTCGCCACTGCTCATGACTACGAGCTCGGTGGTGACAAGCTGGATGACTGCTTGGTGGAGTACTTTGCCAAGGAGTTCCAGAAAAAGTACAAGGTGGACCCAACGGCCAACGCCAGATCGCTGGCCAAGCTTAAGAGTGCGTGTATCATCACCAAGAAGACTCTTTCCAACGTCCAGACCTCGACAATTTCAATCGACTCGCTTGCAGAGGGCTACGACTTCCATTCGACGATCAACAGACTGCGGTTTGAGGTTGCAGGCCGCTCAGTGTTCACCAGAATGTCTGCCTTTGTCGAGTCTGTGGTTGCCAAAGCTGGCTTAGAGACTCTTGACATCGACGAAGTGCTGCTTGTGGGCGGCTCCTCGAACATCCCAAAGGTCGCGGCCAACGTTGCGGCCGTTTTCCCGGAATCCACCGTGATCAGCTCTCCATCCACCGACAGCAAGCTGTGCAACCCCAACGAGCTGATCTGCAGAGGCGCTGCCCTGCAGGCGTCGATCGTCGCGTCGTTCGACGTGGAAGAGATTGAGGAGTCGACGCAGCCTGTGGTCACGAACACACAGCACATTGCCAAGCCAATCGGCATAAAGACCGGCGAGGGTGAATTCCTGACGGTTGTTTCGAGAGAGACGGCGTACCCGATCAGAAAAAGCGTGACATTGAAGGCTGGTGCGGACGACGTCTTCATCGAGCTTTACGAGGGCGAGCGCAAGGTTAAGGAGACCGTTGTTGAGGCCGAGAAGTTCTCGGACGACGAGGACAGCGAGGAGGAGGAGCCAGAGATTGTCAAGAGCGTGCATTACGTTCCCGGCACGCTGCTGGCGCAGATGGCTCTGAGAGGCGTTGGCGAGGGCAGCTCCGTGGAGGTGATTGTCAACATCAACAAGGACGGCAAGCTCCAGCTGGTGGGACGCAGCGGCGACAAGGTTGTCAAGGGAGATGTATAAATAAATAGACCCGAGTAGCTTAATTGCACCCTGAAATTGGGCTGCGGCTCATAAGATTAGAAACTATCTCGGGAAATTTCCATGGCTTAGCCTGCATGAATTGCGCTAGGCGTGGCTGTGTCACATCAATAATTTTGACGGGGCGCCTGGGCTCTGTCCCCGCAGGTAGAGAACCCTTTTTTGAGCATGCCAAGTCTGATTTCCGCTTTTGCAGCCAATCAGCTCATTCTGCTAAATTAGGTGATGATCAATATAAAGAGACACTCCTGCCCTGATTTATTCACACTGCCCTATGTCTACTGCTATCAGCTATTATCGCAGAAGGGTCTCTTTCAACAATCTCGATGTCGACATCATCGACGACCACTCAGTGCCCAACGCGCCCGCAGAATCGGTATCTACGCCCAAGCCGATTCTCAAAAACAGAGATCAGGGGCTCACCGCGGGCGGCGACCGCTACCGTAAGAAAAGCCTGGTCGACATGTCCGACGACGAAATCCTACAGCTGGACTCGCAATTTGCCATGAAACGGGTCAACATCGACGACTTCAAGTTCGAAACAGACTACTCGCTTGTTGTCGACCCATTCAACCAGTCCAAGCTCGCGCGCAAAACATACCACAAACTCGCCAGTGACTACCCCACACGCCCCACTATCCGCACCAGCTCGCTGTGTTTCAGCTTCCAGCACCCTGACTGGTCGCAGAAAATCAGCAACAACCGCTTTTATCTCGTGTTGATCTCGTCGAAGGCGTCGTCGTTGGGCGCAATAGACTACTACTTAGACTCCAAGGCCAAGGATGGTGATAACGTGATTATTTGTTGCTCCATAAACGACGAAAAATACAAGGACGAGTATTTACCGGAATTAATGGAGATCATCCTCGACAAGTTCTACAAGCACGATCCGGATCTCAAGGTGCAGATCAACTTCGAGTTCTGCCGCAGCGTCAATTACCTCCGAGACATCCTCAACTTATACAACCCGACCGCCATCCTGGTAGGGTCTTCGCATAGTAAACGCCGGTTCGGGTCGATCGTCGGCCTCCGGTCTATCATTCCGATAGTGTACGTGAACGAGGACTACGAGGAGCGGCGTCCGCAGCTCATCGATCGCACCAACGGCATCCAGTTCAAGCAGCCGTTTCCAGAAAACAGCAACACACCATTCATCACGATCGAAGAGGCAGACGAGCCATACGCGTGCGAGCCCCACGACAAGAAGTTTTCGTTGGAGTCGTCTGCCGTGGACTCGACTTCCTCGTCCTCGTCTGCATCGGTCAGCTCCATGAACAGCTTCCGCAAGTTCAAGACCAACGACACGTCACATTCGCTCTTGTTTGAGAAGCTCAACGACCTGCCGTACATTGACGACCACGAAAATGCGTCCGAAGGCGCCACCAAAGTGAAATCCATGCTCGGGGACGACGACTCGCTCTCTGCAGTCAAGGTGCTCTCGAGCAGCAGCGGACAGTCTCCCTGCGGCTCAATCTCTGTGGGGGGCCCTGTGGGGGGTCCCAACAGCAACAAATTGTCGCTGGCGTCGATCGACCGCGCGACCGGCATGGCGGCGCCACATGCGCTGGGCAAGACCAAGTCCAACAGCATCGTGGACCAGTACAACCGCCGCATGAGCGTACAAAAGAAGGACGAGCCAGGGGCCAAAGTGCCCGTCAGCGTGCCGGCCCGGAAATCGCCGCCTGCACAGACAAAACAGGAGCCTCCGCCAGGCACGCCGCCTAAAAAGGGCTTTTTCAAAAAATTGATACGGTTTTAATGAAACGTCGCTATATTAGGTGTTACTCATAGTTGCTAGGATATCTGTAATCGGAGATCTCATAGAAGTTCTCCTTGATGGCCCGCGGAGTCACAAATCTCGACAGAATCGACGCTGAGCCGGCTTTGTCGTTCGTTCCCGACATCCTGCTTCCACCGAACGGCTGCTGACCAACAACTGCTCCCGTGGACTTGTCGTTGATGTAGAAGTTTCCAGCGGAATACCTGAGCTCCTCCTGCACTTTTCTGATGATTTTGCGGTCGGAAGCGAAAACAGAGCCTGTCAGACCGTATTTGGTGGCAGAGTCGATCTGGGGCAGAATTTGGTCGAGGTCCTCATAAACGTAGACCGTCAGCAGCGGGCCAAAAAATTCAGTCGTCATAAACGAATGGAGAGGGTTCGACGTCTCAACAATCGTTGGTTTGACAAAGTAGCCCTCGGACGCGTTGGCAAGGCCGCCGCACAGCAGCTCAAGGTCGGCGTCGTCCTTGATGGAGTCGATCGCCGCGCTCAGCTTGTCGAAAGAGTTTTTGTGGATCACAGGGCCCATGAACTGGTGCAGGCCGTTGGTGGCCGAGGTGTTGGTGGGCACGATCTCGTTGGTATGTTTCACGAGCTGTTTTTTGAACTCTGGCCAGACCTCAGCGTCTACATACAGACGCGAGGTTGCAGAGCATTTCTGGCCCTGGTACTCGAATGCGCCGCGAATCGTCGACAAAACAGCGTGGCTCACATTGGCAGACTTATCCACCAGATGGAAGTTCTTGCCACCTGTCTCTCCGACAATCCTTGGGAAGTCTCTGTATTTGCCCTGGGCGGTGTTGTTGGCGATTTTAGCCCAAATGTCGCCAAAAACCTGCGTCGAGCCGGTGAAATGCAGAGCGTTGAAATTTTTGTCTGACAAAACACAGTTGGTGATCATCTCTGGGTCGCCTGGAATAAAGTTTATCACGCCTTCTGGCAGTCCGGCTTCTCTCAAAACCTGGAACATCGTGTAGTTAGACAGCACGGCATACTGTGACGGTTTCCAGACCACGGTGTTGCCCATCAGGGCTGGAGCACCCACCAAATTGGCAGCAATGGCCGTGAAGTTGAACGGAGTGACCGCGTACACGAATCCCTCCAACGGTCTGTACTCAACGCGGTTCCAGACACCGTTGCTTGACTCTGGCGGCTGCGTGTTGTACAACTGGTGCGCGTACTTGATGTTGAACCGGAAGAAGTCCGCCAGCTCTGCCACGGCGTCGATCTCTGCCTGGTAGACGTTTTTGCCCTGGCCGATGATTGTGGCGGCCAGCATACGGTGTCTGTACTTGGTGGAGATGAGGTCTGCGGCCTTGTAGAAGATGGCGGCTCTGTCGTCGAACGAGGTGTTGAGCCATTCTTTCTTGGCCTTCTGTGCTGCGTCGATCGCCTCAACGACGTCTTTTTCCGTCGCAGTGGCGTACTCCGCAATCACCTGTTTGTGGTTGCCCGGATTGACCTGGGTTTTGAGGTCTCTGTTGTAGTACTCCTTGCCGCCAATCACGAGCGGGATTTTGGTCGTGGTGTCGGAGAAAGAGAACAGCTCGCTCTTGAGCAGGTCCCAGTCAAGCTGGTCGTGCTTGGCGAACGGCCTGACGATCTCGTTCGTGACGTGCTTTGGCGTCTGGAAGTAGGCCAGCTGGGCCACTCCGCGTCTGTGCAACAGCAGGAAAGAGCGCATGGAAAATTGTGAGCTGGTGAATGTGGCCGGTGTATTTATATAAGTAGCTGCACTAGAGCTGATTTTTTTTTTTGTGCGGAAGTCGTAGCCGAAATGCCAGGCCGGGAAGTCCTCAGCGAGAAAGGGCAAAGACGAAGAACATGGCCATGGAAGGGTGCATCACAGGCAAGGGCCTCAGCAGGAACCGTCTACAAAGGTTTGTCTCGGGCTTGTCTGCTGACCACCATGTAGCCCGCCTTTTCGCAGGTATGCACCAGATATTTTTCACATGTCAATACCCCACATTCTAGTCTTTATATTCCTCCTATATCGCTGATAACTACATGTCTCCAAGCTATAAAATCGTCAACCAGGTGTTTGTGATCGTTCTGGACGATCCACACACCAGAAACGCCCTCACGATCGCCCAGTTTGTGCAGCTTGCCGAGCTGCTCGAGTTGGCGGACAAGCACCCGCACACAACAGCCACGCTTGTCGTGGGCAGGGGCCCGATGTTCAGTGCGGGTGCCAACATCAAGACGGTTGCCCAGCTAAAAAACAAGACCAGCAGCGAGATCCTTAGCGAGATCGGCGCGAAAAACCTGTGTCTAGTGCATCTGTTCACGTCGCACCGCAAATTGCTGGTGGTCGGGCTCAACGGGCCGGTAATCGGGCTCACGGCGTCGCTCGTCGCTCTGGCAGACCTCGTGTACGCTCAGAACCACAAGGTGTTTATGTCGTTCCCGTTCACCAACATCGGTCTCACGACGGAGTGCGCAGCAGCCGTGTCGCTGCCGCAGCGGCTTGGGCTGAGCACCGCTCTGGAACACGTGCTGCTGGCAAAACCACTCTCGGCAGCCAAATTGCATGCGCTCGGACTTGTCAACAGAGTGTTCGATCTGGATGACTGCGACGAATTCAATGAGCAGCTCACAAAGATGCTGAATAAAGAGCTGGTCGGTCTCGACCGCGAGAGCATTTTTGTCAACAAACGGCTCATGCGCCACACGTTCGACACACAAGTGCGCGCACAGGCGCTCCAGGAAACCATGTCTGGCGTAGCCGACTGGACGGCCAACAAACCGCAGACGGCGTTCGACGAGATCGTGGCCGGCAAACGAAGGCACAAGCTGTGATCATCACTGCACACGCACGCGCTCGTCCCAATCGGCCTCGTAGTCGTGGCTCTCCTCGTCTGCAGGCTCTGAGATTTGCCTCAGCATTGGCGCGTCCTGCGCGGCCTCCTGCTCCTCGCCCAGTTTGAGGTTTTTCGTGGCGTTCCAGCTGGTCATGATGGCGACGGCCATAATCAGAATGGCAAGAATGCCCGACCGCGTGAGCGCCCATCGCAGCGTCTCGACCTCAGACCGCAGCCCCGAAATAAGCTCTGAGATGATTTTGTTGTTGAGGTCCTGGTTTTTGATGTTGAGTCGCTTGAGTTGTAGATTATTTTCGTGCTTGAACTGGTTAAGAATCATCTTGATGGAGTTGTCGTTGAGTTGTAGTCGCGACGTAGTCTCGTCCTGCAGCAGGTTGAATATTCGTTTCAGCCCGATCGACGAACTGGTAAGCTCTGTGAGTGAGATCTCGCGGTAGTTGCGTGTTTCCACCAGCAACTCGCTGTGCGCAGCCTCGAATAAATACGCCTCGTTCTCGAGGTCCACCTGCGGCACAAATTTGTTGTTGAGCCACGTCAGCTTCTGCTTCAGTACAGCCTTGATCAGCCCCAGGACCACCTCGCTCTCCGCCTCGCTGAACCCGCTGTCCCGCAGCTGTTTCCACACTTTATATGTGTCCAAAAACGACTCCATCCGGATCTGGTCCGCGTCGATCTCGCTTGCTGCGTCGGTGGGCTCATGCTCGTCCAAGATCGGGATCAGGTTGTCCAGCTGCGACGCCACGCCGTCGACCTTGTCGGGCGTGTGAAGGTCGAATTTAAAGTTCTGGTCGTCATTTATCTCGTTGATCACGTCGACAATGTTAGGCCCTGCCGTCGCATGGTTGTCCTCGCTGTTGGCATTAAACAGGTTGCCGTGGAAGAAGTAGTTCTTTCGCACCGGCCTTGCAAAACAGACGCTGCGTCTCGTCAAGATTCGCCGCAACATGGAGGTCGGTGTAAGGATTATCGGAAAGAAATTATCTCGTTTGAAATAATTTATATATCTTTTGCATGTCGGACCTGCTCAACAAGCCGCGCGCAGAGCTGTCCGAAAAAGACTTGCAGGACTTAGAGGACTACGAGTTCAACAATGGACCGCTCCGGCTGCTGACCAACGCCATCCACAACAGCGCCACAGTGCTGATCTCGCTGAGAAACAACCACAAGCTCCTGGCCAAGGTCAAGGCCTTTGACCGCCATTGCAACATGATTCTCGAGAACGTCAAGGAGATCTGGACCGAGACCAACCCAGACGATAGAAACAAAAAGATGATGCGAGAACGGTTCGTGTCCAAGATGTTTCTCAGAGGGGACTCTGTGATTGTCGTTCTTAAACACACTTGAATGGCTTGCTGAGGTAAGCGTGTATAGTAGAAAAAAATTCATACCATATAATTATCCATGTTCCGACGAATAGTCCCGCGTTCCCGGTTGTGGCTGTATTCCAGACGGCTCAGCACGCGTAGAGAGTACCTCAACTACGAAATTGACAAGGTCAACAACCCGATTCGTATCCCGAAAGACCAGCTCGCAGAACGGATGGCCAAGATCCCGCTGAAAAACTATAGAAACTTCATCATTGTGGCCCATGTCGACCACGGAAAATCCACTTTGAGCGATAGATTGCTTGAGCTGACAGGAGTCGTTGAACCAGGCCAGCAGAACAAACAAATTCTCGATAAACTCGACGTCGAGAAGGAAAGAGGCATTACTGTCAAGGCCCAAACCGTTTCCATGATCTACCATTACAAAGGAGAGGACTACTTGTTCCACCTGGTGGACTCGCCAGGCCATGTGGATTTTCGTCTCGAGGTGTCACGGTCGTATGCGTCGTGCCAAGGCGCACTACTGCTCGTGGACGCGTCTGAAGGAATCAAGGCGCAAACCGTCGCCAACTTCTACCTTGCGTATTCGATGGACTTGCGGCTGCTGCCGGTAATCAACAAGATCGACCTCGACACGGCGAACATTGAGCGCGCCGAGGAACAGATCGCCACCACTTTCGAGCTTCCAGCACGTGACATTGTGCACGTGAGCGCAAAGACGGGGCAGAACGTTGAGTATCTTTTACCAGCGATGATCGAGAAGATTGCGCCTCCGATGCACTGTCGGCCAGATGCACCGTTGCGGGCGCAGATAGTGGACTCGTGGTACGATCCGTACGTGGGGGTTATCCTTCTAGTGAACATGGTGGACGGTGTTATCAAGAAAGGCACCAAAATAGAGAGCTGTCGCACCAAAGAAAAATACGAGGTTAAAGAAGTCGGTATCATGTATCCCGAGCGCACGCCGATGCCACAATTGGTTGCTGGCCAGGTTGCGTATGTGATTCCTGGGTTCAAAGATCCGAACGACGCGTTTGTCGGCGACACGCTTATCCTGGCGAACTCTGACGCGGAGCCGTTGGAAGGCTTTGAGGAGCCGAAACCGATGGTTTTCGTGGGCGCGTTCCCGGCGGAAGGGTCAGATTTCAAGAAAATGGAGGAGAGTCTGCAGCACCTTTTCCTGAACGACAGGTCAGTGACAATCCAGCGGGCCACGTCGAACGCCTTGGGCCAAGGCTGGCGACTTGGATTTCTTGGGTCGCTACATGCGTCGATTTTCAAGGAGCGGCTCGAAAAAGAGCATGGTAAAAATCTTATTATTACATCGCCAACGGTGCCGTACAAAGTGCACTACACAGACGGCACAGAGCAGGTGGTGAGCAATCCGGACGAGTTTCCGGATGGTACACAGAAACAGAAGATCCGATACCTAAGCGAGCCGTACGTGGAGGCTCTGATGACGTTCCCGAGCGAGTACACGGGCACAGTGATGACTCTGTGTGACAACCATCGCGGCGAACAGGTGGATATACAGTACTTGTCAAACGGACAGGCGCTGGTCAAGTATCTGCTGCCGACGTCGCAGCTGATTGACGATTTTTTCGGCAAGCTCAAGAGCGCGACGCGCGGTTATGCGTCGCTTGACTACGAGGATCACGGGTACCGTCCTTCTGACATCCACAAGCTGGAGCTACTGGTGAACGGGAACGGCGTCGACGCGCTGTCAATGGTGCTGCATAGGAGCCAGCTCGAAAAGACGGCGCGGCGAGCAGTCCAGCGGCTCAAAGAGTTTCTGCGGATCCAGCAGTTCGAAGTGATCATTCAGGCCAAGGCCAACAACCGCATAATTGCAAGAGAAACCATCAAGGCTCGCCGCAAAGACGTGCTGGCCAAACTGCATGCGGCAGACATCTCGCGGCGCAAAAAATTGCTTGCCAAACAGAAAGAGGGCAAGAAAAACCTCAAGGCCGTGGGCCAGGTCCGTATCTCGTCGGACGCATACCAGTCGTTCCTGCGCAAGGACTGATGTAAATAGTATTAGTGTATCAATTGCTCGATCAGCGCGCGGATCTTGTCATTTTCGTTGCGATTTTTGATTAGGTAAAGGATATGGTTCAGCACCGCGTCACATTGCTCCACGTCGTGAGCTAGTTTCTCAGAGAAATCGCGTTTATAAGGAGCAAAGAGCCGCACAACCGTGGGGCGACAGTTTGTTTCTCCCGTCTCGGTCTCTGCACAGTAATGCATCTCCATCAGCTTTACCTCGCGCTGCTTCAGATTAATCACAAACGTCCTGCTAATGGCTTTTGGGCCCAAACGCGCGCAGTCATCGCGCATCGACTCGCCGATCTGACCCTCCAGATTGTAGTGTACAGGACATGCCTGAAGAGAAAATTCAGGCCGGTACTGGTCGATGAAACCGGTCATCAGCGGCAACACCTGGGGACGGGGTATTTTCAAGGCTAGGGGAGCAATGTCGAGCACTTTCGCGCCGCCCGCCAAGTCTACAGCCTCAAAGTGCACGTCAGCCGCCATCACGAGCTGCGCCAGATCGACACGCTCGGCCACACTCGGGATCTCGTACGTGGTGCGAACCACGGCTTTCTCCTTGTCAATATCAAGTGACCCGAGGTCACGTGTCAATCGCGAGAGGTTGCCTGCGCCTGAGGACACAGATTTCCACGGGTACTCGTCGTACTCTGCGACCGCTGGTGGTGTCACTTCCACGCTCTCGCCGAGACCGGACCGCCAGCGCTCCATGAACGAGCCGAAGTGGAGTCGATTGCGCCACGACGACGACATTGTTGTTGACTGCGACCCGTACGACGTCGACAGATTCTGGAGAGAAGCGTACGAGGACGCTCGTCTGACTTGCGACATAGGCTGGCGCTCGGGCTTCGCAAACTCGGTGAATTTCGGTGAGTTTGAGATGATAGGTGTCGCCTTGGACGGGATCTCCCAGCCCTTGGTGGAGCCGGAGCTGAACGTCATTTCGGGCGACATCGACTCAGAGCTGGAGTCGTCGTGATACGCGGTGCGCTGGATCGGGATCGGTTTCGACGCAGTCGGGCTTTGCCCGGGATCAGTGTCTGTGTCGTCGTCCTTTTCGAGCGATTTGGAAAATGTAAAATGATCATAGCCAAAGATGCCTGCAAGAATTAAAACAAGTTTCTGCGAAACGACCGGGTTGCCCGTGACAAGTACAACGCGCACGGAACGACGGGTAAGGTAGTTGAGCGGGCCGTCGACGATTTCGCGGCGGTGCGGCAGAATGAGCGTGAGCAGCGTGGCTAGAAACTTGAGTCCAACAACGGGGGAGCACGGGTGGCTGGGCGACGTCGACTGGGATTCCTGGATCGGCGCCTGTAGCAACGCCAGTGACGGGTGGCGGCCATCCTTGAGCTCCAGCCACGTCGCCACGGCAACGGCCCACCGGCACAACGTCGAGTCGCTTTGTTTCAGCGGGACGTACAGCCGTGGAGTCTCGATGAGGAAAACCAGCGACCGCACAAAAAGATGCAGGCTGTGCACTAGATCGGGCTCTTTTTGGAGGCAGCCAGCGGGGAACGAGGGTTTAGACCCTGCACACGGTCGACCAAGCGACGCGAGTGCGCGAAGTTTGGCCACAATAAGTTTTTGCGTGGATTCCAAGTGTCCTGCGATTTCCGGCCAATGGTTTGTCAGTATTTCATGGGCATTCTGATCCCTGCCTATCGGCACAATCAGGCCAAAGGCCATTCTTGTGGGCGCCTCGTCGCACATTGGGGCACTCCGCGAGTAAACACAGGGCTTAGGAGCCCAGTCCGGGTCGCCATTGCCGCTCTCGCACAGCCTGAAGCTGCTGTTCACGGAAAATAGCCGAGTGACCAGCATCGACGCAGGCATCGCCGCGAGAGGCGGAAGGTAGTGCAGCTTGGTGGTGGAGATGGTCTCGTTCAGCAGAATGCCGTAGTAGCCAAACATAAGCGCCGCAAGCTCGCTGGTCGGGTGGTGAAACGACTTGTTCAAGTACGCCGGACTTGATGCCTCGGAGACGCCGGGTCGCAGGCTGAGCGCTGAGTCGAACAACGTCTGTTTCGACCGAATCCCAGAGTCCTGCACCACCACAAGTCGACAAAGACTCGACTTGTCAGAGAGCCGGAAAGTGGCAACCGGGACAGTGTTGCCGGGGCCGTAGAGCTGGGACCCGTTGTAATGGGCATCACTGGCGGCGTATGGGGGCGGCGGCACCTGCGGGTCGAGAGTAGGTTCCTGCTGGCAAAACTCTTTTTTTCTGAGCAAGTTTCCTAGCATTTGCGATACATGGCCACACGCTGGGGGGGATTTACCTGGGAGACTTATTTTTTTCTCGATAAGCCAAGGCGCGAGGGAAAAAAATGTGTGGTAGGATTATGAATGAAAAATGCGTGCACGTGACACGGGTCGCGTGCCATTCTAGCTATGATCAGACACAAAAATCAGCGGAAAAATTGCTGTCTCATTCGAAAAATAGGTAGATAAAATAGTCTGGTGCGAGTTTCAGCAGCCACTGCATTTTTAGCCGCCGTTCTCTCGCCCTCTACCTTTCTATTACCACCCACCATTAGTCTTTGCTTGTCCTATGCAACGTCCCCACGCAGAATGACAGGAATAGCGAACAAACAACAGATTCTGGAGCACGATAGCGAGTTCCCCACGAATCACTCGATTCCGCAGTTCAACTCCAAGTACACGGCCGAGAGTTTTGGTGCCTCCGAGGCATTGACGTCGTCTGCGCAGCGCAAGAACAAATCGCAGGAGTCCAGTCCACTCGCATCGCCCACCACGTCCCGACGCTCGTCCCGGCTCCCTTCGGTGAACCCCGTTTCGCCGTCGAGCTCGTCGCTGGCACTGAACCAGGACACCCAGCGCACGTCGCACACTTCATCTGTGCACGAGCTCAGCGACAAGGGCTCGCGGCGTCCGTCCAGCAGCCAGGGCGACATAGGCGTTCCTCCGTCGTACAAAGGTTTCCATGGCCGGCGCGACGGAAGCGAGAAGCCTGTGCCGCCGCTGATGACGCCGATCAAGCCCAAAAAGAGCCGTCGCGGGACCTCTTTCCTCAACAAGTTCCTCTCCTCGCGGCGCGACTCGGATTCCAAAGCGCGGCGCCAGGGCAGCTCGCACTCGTCTCGGTTCTCGCGGCGGTCCGACCAGTCGCTGAGCTCGCGCACCGCGTCCACGGACTCCGAGAAGGGAGGGTCGCCGCGCGAATCTGTGTCGTTCTCGTCGCGACTCAAGAACCCGATATCGCAGGCCCTGCCGTTCGGCAACTCCGACAAAAAGGCCAGCCCGTTCAATCTCGACCTCGACACCGATAACGAACACATGGCAGATATTACGAGACTCTCGAACTCCCGGCTGTCGCGCATGGGCTCGACGGTCAGCATGATCCCGCAGCCGCCGCTAGAGCGCACCGACTGGCGCCCGCCCGAGAGCTGGAAGGTGAAGAACACGCGTGAAAACTCAGATCCACTCACGCACTACCCGGGCATCCAGGAGCGCACGAGCTCTATGTCGTCGTCCGAGTCGTCGTCTGCGTCCTCGGGCCGGTCGCTGGTGCCGCCGCGCAAGGCCTCGGCAATAACATCGCTGTCGACCTCGAGCCCCAAGAGTGACAACCATGTGGACGGGCACGGCGAAAAACGCGACAGCAAGAGCACGATCACGGAGGAAAACGGCCGCGTGTACCACGCGAAGGAACTCAGGGGCTCGGCGCGGTCGTCGGTGCGCATATTCATCGGCGACAAGAGCTCTGTGCTGCCGTGCACTTTGGACACCACGTGCAAGGATGTTCTGGACTCGCTGCACCGCAAGCGGTTTTTGAAGAACGACGAAGACCACATAATTGTGCTCAAGTGCGGCGGGCTGATCCGGACGCTGTCGCTGGACGAACGGCCGCTCAAGATCCAGCGCACAATGCTGTTTCTGTACGGCTACACGCAGCGCGACAACCTCGACTATATCGAGCGCACCGACCTGAGCTTCCTGTTCAAATTCGTGGTGCAGGACCGCGGAGTCGAGCTGATCAGCAACGAACGCCGCCGCATGATCAACCCGCAGAATGTCAATCTCAACAACTGGAATTTGCAGGATATTCCGAATTTTTTGTACGCAGAGCCTATCGTCAGTCTTGACGTGTCGCAAAACCCGTCGTTCGAATTCACCAAGGAGTTCATGCACGACTGCCGCAACCTTCTCAACCTGAGCTTCACGCGCAGCGGCAACCCTAAGTTCCCGACCCCAGTCGTGTACGCGCCGCGGTTGCAGGAGCTGAACCTGGAGGTGAACTATATCAAGCTGATTCCACCTGAGATCTCGAAGATGACGACTCTAACGACGCTGAACCTGGCCTGTAACCGCATTTCGACGCTTCCTGCGTCGTTCGCAGAGTTGCAGAGCCTGCAGAGCTTGAATCTCTCATCGAACAGACTCAAGAACATCCCCGAGCCGCTTACCAAGATTGCCGGCCTAAAACGGCTCGATCTCTCGTACAACAACATTTCCGAGATCCCAGACTCGGTGGCCAACCTGGTGAATCTGGAGGTCTTGCAACTGGCAGCCAACAAACTGTCCAGGGATCTGCCGTCGTTTTTCCGGCAGCTCAAGACGCTGATTAAGATAGACATCCGGTTCAACAAATTCGACTCGATCGACGCGCTGAAAAACTTGCCCGCTCTCGAGGTGATCCGGGCAACGGGAAACAACATCTCGGTGTTCAAGAGCAGCGCAGCAAACTTGTTTGAGGTCGAGCTCAATATCAACCCGGTCACGTTCGTCAAGTTCGACCAGGTGATGACCAAACTCAAGATTGTCGACTTCTCCAAAGACAAGCTCACGTCGTGCTCGTTTGTGTCGATGCTGCCTGCCATTGAGAAGCTCACAATGGACTACAACCACTTGGTCTCGCTGCCCGACGATATCTACAAGATGAAGAACCTGACACATCTGTCAGTGTTCCGCAATAACCTGACCTCGCTACCCAGCGCAATCGGCTCCCTCACGAGACTTCGCTACCTCGACTTGCACCTCAACAACATCAGCTTCCTCACGCCCGAGATTTGGAACCTCTCGTCACTTGAGTACTTCAACATCTCGTCCAACCTGCTGGAGTTTTTCCCCGACCCGCCCGAGCAGTTTGTGCCATTCACAGGCTTTTCGTCGCTGGGCCGCACAGCACCACAACGTGCACGCAACCACCAGTCGTCGATTGTCGCGCCAAGCACCAAACGGCGTACGTCAGAAATATCCACCATGACGATGAGCAACTACGACAGCGTCGGACTCGAAAAGTCACTCAAAGTGCTCAGTCTTAACGACAACAAGTTTACCGACTCGGTCATCCAGACGGTATCGATGTTCAAGAACCTTGTGGTGCTCAATTTGTCCTACAACGAGCTGTTCGATATTCCGCCTGGCCATCTCAGCAATCTTACCAAACTGCAAAAACTATATCTGAGCGGTAACCATCTGTCCAGCCTGCCCGTCGACGACCTCGAGGCCTTCACCCAGATGGACACGCTGCATCTGAACGGGAACAGATTCCATACGCTGCCGGCAGAGCTGTCGAAAATCACCAACATGACAGCGCTCGACGTTGGATCCAACAACCTCAAGTACAACATCGGCAACATACCGTACGACTGGAACTGGAGCTACAACCCGAAACTCAAGTACCTCAACTTCTCGGGCAACAAAAGGCTCGAGATCAAGCCGCTGCACAAGCGCGAGGGCATGGAGGACAGTTTGGACTCTTTCCTTGTGCTGAAAGACCTTAAGTTGCTGGGACTGATGGATGTCACCATCACTACGGACCTTGTACCTGACCAGAGTGTTGACGTGCGTGTGCGGTCGACCGTGTCGCAGCTTGGAAAATACGGCTACGGCATCTCTGATACACTCGGCAACAAGTCGAGTCTCACTACGAGAGACGTGGTGATCGAGCGGTTCCGGGGAAACTCGAACGAGAAGCTGATCACGATCTATGACGGCAAGAACTGCAGCGACGAGAGCGGCGACAAAATCTCCAAGATCATCCAGGAAACGTTTGAGATCCATCTGGCCAAGGAGCTTGAGGGCCAGGACTCGGGCAAGACGATCGAGGACGCGTTGCGCGCGGCGTTTCTCACGATGAACTCCGAAATGAGCATTCTCATCAACAAGGACAAGTCTTCCACGTTCAGCTCGGCAGCCGCCCACCGCACCACCACCACCGACGAACTTACAATGGAGAAGGACGGCCTCACAGGGTGTTGCGCCACGGTTATTTACATTCGTGGCGACGAGCTGTACGTGGCCAACATCGGCGATATCATGGGCATTTTGACCAAGGCGGATGGCGAATACTCCGTTCTTACCATCAAGCACGAGCCGTACGCGCCCGAAGAGTACTCCCGCATCAGAGAATCGGGAGGCTTTGTTACCACCGACGGCTACCTCGACGGCGTAAGCGATGTGTCACGTGCGGTGGGATACTTCAAGCTCATCCCGCACATCAACGCGGTGCCGAGTATCTCCAAGTACAAGCTGACACAGAACGAGGAGATGATTGCGATCGCCACGTCTGAGATCTGGAAAAAAGTGCCGTACGACCTGGCTGCCGACATTATACGCCAGGAAAAAAGCAACCCGGGCATTGCGGCCGAGAAGCTGCGGGACTTTGCGATCTCGTACGGCGTTAGCGACAAGGCCACCGCGGTGGTGCTGTCGCTGCGGCAATTCACAACGAAGCAGAAGTACCACGAGCGCGGATCATTGCCCGAGGACTCGCTTCTGCGCAAGCTGGACGAGGAGATCGAGCCACCGACGGGCGAGCTCGCGATGGTGTTCACCGATATCAAGAACTCGACGCTGCTATGGGACACGTATCCGGTAGCGATGCGGTCGGCAATCAAGGTGCACAACGCCATCATGCGGCGGCAACTGCGAATTATTGGTGGCTACGAGGTCAAGACCGAAGGAGACGCGTTCATGGTGTCGTTCCCGACGCCATCGAGCGCACTCCTGTGGTGCTTCACGGTGCAGTCGCAGCTGCTCACCACAGGCGAGTGGCCTGCCGAGATACTGGCTTCCGACCAGGGCTGCGAGATCAAGGACGAGGAGGGCAATATTATTTTCCGTGGTCTGTCGGTGCGAATGGGCGTGCACTGGGGCCGTCCCGTGTGCGAGCGGGATATTGTTACCAAGAGAATGGACTATTTCGGGCCGATGGTCAATCGTGCTTCGCGGGTCAGCTCTGTTGCTGACGGCGGACAGATCGCCATGAGCACAGATTTTTACTACGAATTTGAAAAACTGCGCAACTTGCATGAGCAGGTCAAGTCCGGCGCGGGCGACATTAGCCAAGTGTATGGGTCAAAGACCTTGGGCCAGATTTTGGAGAGCCAGATGAACCAGGTCGACCAAATAGGATGGGTCGAGGAGTCGATCGGCAGCCGCAAGTTGAAGGGACTTGAGGCACCAGAGAAAATATGGCTTATTTTCCCGGCCCATCTCGCACAGCGGCTGAAGCTGCTCACCAGAATGAATGGCGAGATCGACAACCGCGCGGGCAAGCTGTTGATGGGTGGTCTGACGGCCGAGAGCGTGTGGAAACTGCGGAAACTGTCGTTGCGCCTGGAGAAAATATGCAGTTTTTGCGCCGGCTCGACCACGCAGCTCATCTCCAACAAGACGAAGATCTTGCCGTCAGACCTGATCTCCTCGAGCGCCGAAGAGACATTCATCAATCAAATCACAAACGCAGAGATGGATCTGCTGCTGCTTATTGAGCACATTGTCACAAGAATCGAGAACGCCGTTGGCATTTTGACGGTGCGCAAATGTGCCTCGCCTGATACGGCCAACGGCCTGCTGATGGGCACGATGGACGAACTGTACCATAAAATGCACTTGATGGTGCACCAGGCGGAAGAGGCTGTGCGCGCCAAGAGCCAGCTGATGGAAGAATTACCTGAGGAACTGTCGCAGGACGGCTCAGAGCTTGTAAATTAAATTGTAAATAATATATAAAATATTCGCAATTTTTTTTATCGCATTTTTATGGACCATGGCAGGATAAGGCCTGTTTCAGACGCTATCCGCTCGGGAATCGTCGTGGTCGACGCAACAGACGCTGTCCGTGAGCTGCTAGAGAACAGCATTGATTCTGGCGCCTCGCACGTCACGATTAGCGTCACGTTCGAGAACGGTTGCTTAGACATCGAGGTTGTTGATAACGGCTCAGGTATCGGTCCACACGACTTCGCAGCCATGGGACGCCGCCATTGGACATCAAAGAGCCTCAAGGAATCAAAGTTCGGGTTCCGTGGCGAGTCGCTTCACGCCATCATGGGACTTTGTACGCGAACAGAGATTGTCAGTGGTAGAGAAGGGTGTGCGTGGAAAATGCACTATGTTGGCACGTCTGCGCGCGAAACTCCCCGTCAGTGCGCTTTCTACGGGGCCAGCGGGACCCTGGTGCATGTGTTCGATGTGTTTGGTCGGCTACCGGTGCGCAAACGGCAGTTGGCTTCCGAATGGCGCGAGATGACTTCGAAGCTGAGCAGAATGTTGTTCTCTGTGCTCGTGGCACGGCCAGGGGTTACTGTGACTTTGGAGCGCGATGGGGTGCGCATGTTTAGTGTTACCAACCAGGGCGGCGTGGCAGGAATTGTAGGCTTGTTGGAGCAGCTGTATGGCCTCAGGGGTGCTGTGGAGCCTATCAATGCGAGCTTTGAGGATGTATACGTCACCGGCGTGCTGGGGCCTGACGTGGCCAAAAAATGCCAGTTGCTGTTGCTCAACGGCCGCCTGCTGGAAAACAGAAGCCTACAGAGGACAATCGCTCTCCAACTTGGGGCACGCTCGGGACTCTATGTGTTTGACATCCGTACACCACTCGAGGAGTCAGATCTGATGCAGAGCCCAAGCAAAAAGGTGTTCAGTCCCGTGCTGTTCGACAAAATCAAGGCTGTGTTGGAGGAGGTGGTGCGCCGGTGGATTGACAGAGAAAGAGATGTGCGTTTGCAACGAAAAGCGCGTCCCTCGCTGGGATTTTCGCGTTTTTTCAGTCCAGCCAGTCACGTGGTGCTTGACGGGCCCACCATTGGGCGCAGTCACGTGGTTGCCCAGGTGGAGAGCAAGTTCATTCTTGTGCGCATCGACGGAATGCTGGTGGCATTGGACCAGCATGCGTGCGACGAAAGAGTGCGTGTTGAAGCCCTGTACAGGCGATGGGCGGCCAGCACGCACACTGTGGCGGTGCACATTGAAATACCCGTCGGTGTAGGCGAGATAGAGCAGTTTGCGCGCTTTGGTGCCGAATTGAGTCGGTGGGGCATCAAATGCCGCGTGGAGAACGAAGTGGTGGTGATACATGAGGTTTTGGCTCTGGTGGCTGATAAGAACGCTGCTTTTTTGCAGACCGGCGTGTTGCAATTTTTGGACGATCTGGCGTCGAAACGCAAGCGCGGCTGCGCCTGGAGCGTCGACTGGTGGGTTGCTACTACCGAGATGCCGGAAATGTACCACGAGGCCATCCGTTCTCAGGCTTGTCGGGAGGCAATTCGGTTTGGGAAAACGCTCGATAAGGATTCTCAGCGCAGGTTAGTAGCCGACTTGGCGCTTTGTAGGGATCCATTGCACTGCGCACACGGCCGCCCGACATGTGTTCCGTTGATAAGATGGCTGAATAAATAAATCTTTTTTTTTTCTCTTGTTTTGGTTTTGTTTCCCATTGTCCTGTGCCCCAACAATGTGGGGGGAGAGAGGGTAAAACATAAGGAGGTATCGATAAATTATTGCTTCAATAATTACATTGGACAGTGGAAAGATACACTGAAACCCTGGAAATTCTTGTGTATTACTATTGGTTAGAGTAGTTGCATATGTCACGGAAGGTTGAGAAGCATCTATTGTTTGAAGTGGCGACAGAAGTCGCCAACAGGGTGGGGGGTATCTACTCTGTGCTCAAGTCGAAAGCACCAGTCACTGTGGCCGAATACCGCGAACGGTACACTTTGATTGGTCCTCTGAACCATCGCAGTGCTTCCGTGGAGGTGGAGGAGCTGCCGGTGCATAACGCGGCCCTCAAGGCGACGCTGGACTCGATGGAGTCGAGAGGAATCCGCTACCTGTACGGCCGTTGGCTGATTGAGGGAGCCCCCCGGGTGATTCTTTTCGACATCGGGTCGGCCGTCCCATACTTGAACGAGTGGAAGGCAGATCTATGGAGCCTTGCAGGCATCCCGTCGCCCGAAAGCGACGTCGAAACAAACGATGCAATCATGCTCGGTTACCTGACTGCGTGGTTCATCGGCGAGCTGTGCTGTCACGAGACGGAGCGTGCAATTATCCTGCACGCGCACGAGTGGCTGGCTGGTGTTGGGATCCCTCTGTGCCGTCAGCGCAAGATTGACTGCTGCACCATCTTCACCACCCACGCTACCTTGCTGGGGAGATATCTTTGTGCGGGCAGCGTTGACTTCTACAACAATCTCGATAAGTTCGACGTGGACTACGAGGCGGGAAAAAGAGGCATATATCACCGGTACTGCATTGAGCGTGCTGCAGCACACTCGGCAGACGTCTTCACCACGGTGTCCCACATTACTGCATACGAAAGTGAACATCTATTGAAACGGAAGCCTGATGGCGTGCTGCCCAACGGGCTGAACGTGGTGAAATTCCAGGCGGTGCACGAGTTCCAAAACCTCCATGCAGAGAAAAAGGAGAAGATCAACGAGTTCGTCCGCGGCCACTTCTACGGACAGCTCAGCTTCAAGCTGGAGAACACTCTCTATTTTTTCATTGCAGGAAGATACGAGTATAGAAACAAAGGGGTGGACTTCTTCATCGAGGCACTGGCCAGACTCAACCACCGGCTCAAGTCGATCAATTCCGAGATGAACGTGGTCGCCTTCATCATCATGCCCGCAGCCACCAAGTCGTACACCGTGGACACGCTGCGTGGCCAGGCGGTGATCAAGCAGCTGGAGTCCACCATCAAGGACGTCCAAACCCTTATGGGCAAGCGGCTCTTCGAGTTCTGCCAGCAGCCGATTAACATGCAGAACTCGACGCAGATCGAGCTGCCCTCGTTGGACGATCTGCTCAAGCCGGCAGACAGAGTCAACTTGAAGAGACGCATGTTTGCGCTGAAAAGAGACTCGCTGCCTCCAATTGTGACCCACAACATGGTGGATGACGCAAACGACCCGATCCTCAACCAAATCCGCCAGTGCCATCTGTTCAACACCAGCGAGGATCGCGTGAAAATCATCTTCCACCCTGAATTCCTCAACTCCAGCAACCCTGTTCTTCCTTTGGACTATGACGAGTTCGTCAGAGGCTGTCATCTGGGCGTCTTCCCATCCTACTATGAGCCCTGGGGGTACACCCCGGCCGAGTGCACCGTGATGGGGATCCCGTCCATCACGACGAATCTTTCTGGATTCGGGTGCTATATGGAGGACCTAATCGAGAACTCGGAGGACTATGGGATATACGTTGTCGACCGTCGGATGAAAGGTGTGGACGAGAGCATCAACCAGCTGTGTCAGCAGATGTTTGACTTCACGCAAAAATCCAGAAGACAGCGGATCAACCAAAGAAACCGTGTTGAACGTCTGAGCGACCTGCTGGACTGGAAACGAATGGGCTTGGAGTACGTCAAGGCTCGTGCGTTGGCGCTCAGAAGAGCGTATCCTGAGGAGTTCAAGCACTCTTCGAATCCGTTTGACAGCGCCGGAATCAAGATCTCGCGTCCGTTGAGCGTTCCTGGCTCGCCGCGCGACCGGTATGTGAACGGTATCATGACTCCTGGTGACTTAGGCACTTTGCAGGAGAGTAACGATGCGGACTATTTGAGCTGGACGCTGAATAAGAGCGGCTATGACGAAGACGTGACTCTGCGTGGGGCCAGTGTGGCACCGAGCGTCGATGGCGAGAGCAGCGAGGAGTGATCGCTAGTATTGGCTAGATTAAAGTATTCTTATTCATGACTGGCGCTCCCTATAGCGTTGAGCCTTTGCGTACTCGTTTTTGTCCACCAGCACAGACTTGATGGTGTTCTTGGGCACCGACACAAGACCCAAATGTCTTGTTTGCGAGCCTGAATGCTCGTATACATCGGAAAGCAGCAAGTTGCGCTGGTCATCAATTGCCATTAGAATGCCGTCCAACTGTCTGTTGTCGACGAGCACTATTTGGTACGGCAGGGAAATGAGGTCTATAGGAAGCATGAAAAAAATAATTATTTTTTACTTTATTTATTTTCATGTCTAGTATCACGCTCAAGGCCGACCTTGCGGCCAAATACGTGGTGCAAAATGAGCTCCTACTAAAAGTTCTTGGTGGGCAGACGGCTGACGTGGGGCAGGTCACCATCGGCGACGTGATGGGCAAGGATAGCCTGGCGTACTTGGAAGAGTGGAAGAGCCGTCTGGAACAGGCCGATAGCGATATGGAGACGCGGGATCCCGTGGACGACGAGCTAGTAGAGTTGGACACGATCATCACGCGGCTTGAGAAAGAGTTTCTGAACCCTTCCGACACATCGCTACGCGAACAAAACAACGCCATCTTCAACGAGTACTGTGAGAAGTACAACAAGGTGATCTACGAGGTGAAGGAGAATGAGGATTTGAATGCTGGAATGGACGACACTGAGGAACAGGGCTCTTTTGGCAGCAGCGTGTACTATAGGGTGAAATAAAATAATGATTTTTGTGCTGTAAAAAAAGTTTGCCCCTTTTCTTATCTAGCAACTATGAGGTAAGTCCGGTACTTCCAGAATACTAACGACTAGTTCTCCTAAACGGCGCATTGAGAGCGATGTGATGAAACTGTAAGTGTGCGAAGCATGGCGTACTAACCAGCAGACTGATGAGCGACTACGAGGTGAGTCTGGTGGACGACAACATGCAGGAGTTCTATGTGAATTTCGAAGGCCCCAAGGACTCGCCATACGAGGGCGGGCTGTGGCGGATCCATGTGGAGCTGCCGGACCAATACCCATACAAGTCTCCGTCGATCGGGTTCCAGAACAAGATCTTCCACCCTAACATAGACGAGTCCAGCGGGTCTGTGTGTCTGGATGTGATCAACCAGACGTGGTCGCCCATGTTTGACATTTTCAACATCTTTGAGACGTTTCTGCCGCAGCTTCTCAACTATCCGAATGCCGCAGACCCGCTCAACGGGGACGCAAGCTCGCTCTACATGAGAGATAAGAATTTGTATGTGGAGAAGGTTAAAATGTACGTCAAAAATTACGCGGACCCAGCCACAATCCGCAACGGCGGCGCGGCCCAGGAGGAGGACGAATCGGACTCGAGCGACGCTGACCTCAGCAGCGTAGACGAGATGGTGGGCGAAATCGACCTCTGAGTCATCAAATTATCTCATACGATTATCATTTATAATATAGCCTCATACGTAAGCGATTCCCAAATTTATCCAATGTAGTTCGTTAATTCGTCTCTAACGAGAAAGTCCTGATGATCGTCCTTAAACCCGGACAGCCAGTCATCCGCGAGTTCGGTCTCCTCCAACTGCCGCTGTTTCTGCAGCTGTGCCTGCTGGTTGGTGATGTAGGCCATAGAAGGCGTGTATTGGTACGACTCGAGCTCAAAGTTGAGATCTGCGGCCTTTGGCGGAAACAAATCCTCAATCTCGTCAAACCACTGGAACGACGTGGCTGACGAGTCGGCTGTGGAAGGCATAATCGGCGACACGGTGGCCGAAGGCGGCACGGTGATTTGGCCTGGGTCGTAAAACAGTGGCGTGGTGGCCTCGAGCGGCGAGTTTAGATCTGCAGGAGCGCTCAGGGACAAATCTGGCTTGAACAGCTGCTCGGGCTCAACTGCAGGGGCAGTAGTTGAGGCGGTGGGAGCCAACGGTGCGAGCGGGGGAGCAGGCTCGACAGTCTCCATGAGCCCCATTGGTTCGGCAGGCTCGGCATTTGGCGCGTGCTGCACTGGCTCCCTGTCAGCCTCGGGCGTGCTGCCTCTGGCAGACTTGTCGTCGTCGTCGCCAGAAAGCGTTGGATTGGCAATTCGCGTGTCGATTACTATGGATTCCCTTCTCCTGTGAACAACCGGGTGTTTGCGCTCCTGTTTATTGATGAATTCCCAACATTTGTCTCCGTAGGCCTTAGGCGTCTGTCCTGTGACGGACTTGAACACACGGTGGAAATGCCATGGGCTCAAGTTCGACTTGGACGCCAGTTCCTTGAATCCCAGCACTCCGCCCCTGCGTCTTTTTTTGCGGCCCTGGCCAGCCTGGCTGGCCCGCCGGGAGTCTGGAGGTGAGGGACTTTTGGAAAGCGACTCGCTCACCATGGAAGCGCTGTGGCTGGTGGATAGCGCGGCAAGCGCAATGTGGCGACAAGCCAGGTCTATGAGCTTGAGATGATCAAATTTGTTACGGGTAAGTGGGACCTCGTCGCTGTCGTCAACGGGTCCGCCCGAGAGGCGCTTTTTCAACGACGTATTATTGCTCTTCCATAACGACTCTTTCAATGAACTGTTCTTATCATTTTCCTCATCCATCAAGGGCTTGATAAAGCCAATGGACTCGTTGACGTGCTCAACAGTCTTGACCAGGAGGTCAAGATCGATAGAAACAAACGTATCGTGCAGGTCTTCTGGGTTGGGCTGTCTATCTGGGAAACAGTGCTTGCAAGGATGGTAGCCGTTGGCAGTGGCTTGATCCAATGTGTCGACAAAGACTATATCCGATTTGTTGAAGCTAGAAAACCCAAGGTCGCAGTTGGGACGGCAACAGACTCCCCTCCCAACATGGCAGACAAGAAACTTGTCTGCTGCGAAGGGGTCTTTGAATTGGAATGCCACCCATTTGCTCTGTTCCGATGAATACATTTTAGATGGGAAATGAAGAGGAGACTGTGGCCTTTTATAAGATTAATCTTGACATGACGTTTACTACACGACGTAAACGTAATTTAGAACCCCTCGCATCTGCACATGTATGCAGACATTATGCAGACACTTTTTGAGAAGCGCGGAATTTCTTGTGCCAGGCTCAATTATGTTCGAATACGTCCAATAGAGAGAGATAATCGGGTTATGCGGGCATGTTTCCAGGCATACTAAAAATTCACAGCTGTCGGCTATTACATCACACTATTAGTGACTGTGCACGCCACGACAGGTGGCGCAGCCTAATCCACTAATTACCCTAAAACCTGTCAAATCCTCGGCAATTTCACGGTACTTTTGGGCCGGAACATCGGTTTATTGGCAGTCCTTAGATGCACGTTGCTTGGCTGCACAAAGTGGTATATATTGTAATACTCGTTGCTGTTCCAAGCTACGAGCGACGTTTAGCCTTGAGTTAACACCATGCCTTTTTGTCGCCGCCTTCACTCGGGCAACATAGAACTTCTTCTCAAGCATCACAGGATGTCGTCAGCTTCCACGCCTCGCCATTGGTGACATCAGGCCATCCGTATTTTGCTAGAAATTTTTGAAACTCTTCACCCATGATTACGTGTATCGATAACTCCATAACCAGTAATTCTGCAAATCGTGGGGCTTTGAGGCAGCAGGCTTCCATGCGGCATGAGAGCGGAGACTATATTTGTCCTGGTGGCCACTCCGAGAGCGAGTATCGGTAAAAGAGCCTGGCTAATTGGGCAGACGCTGGGTGCATGGACATGGTGTGTGTCTTCTCCCCTGAATATTGGCCGTGGAGCATCTACAGCATCGGAACCCTTTACCCAATATGGTGCGATGAAATTTATCCTCCCAGCATGAAATTCATGCACGCTGCAAAAGAAGCCCTCGGTGTATAATTGATATCATCGTTCGTGCATAAAATCCGAATTGGAAAAAAACTTCCATGGCAGAATATTGACAATCCGTTGTGTCACAGAGCGTAAACTCCTGTAAAAGGTTCTTCCATCTTAGTTTGGTCACAATAGAGCATCTGACACGTACAACCACTTACGTTGGCTATTTCGTCATATAATTTTAAAGCTACCATCCTGCAAATACACTTATTTGGCATCCACTGGGGAGGTTACAGGTAATACGAAAACTAAAATGTCTATTGTTTTAAATCCCGCTCTCAACACATAATCACTGGTGCAGCACTTTCTTTGCCTTGAACTTCTGTTCCAGTGTAAAGACGATGACTATCGATCAAATGCGCATGTAGGTCTCAGTTGTTATTGACTGCCTCAGCTGCACAAAGGCGTTGATCACATGGCGTATTCTTCGCCAAAAAACTGGCACTTGAGCTTCTCCGCTAAGTGTTGACAATCCTTATTGAGCTGAGTGGGGCCGCACGAGACAATCCATTTATTTGCGTAATCAATAGTGCGGTTCACATTTTTGGCCAGCACATGATCAAGACGTGGTCGGCGTCCATGTTTCACCACAGTGGCAAATTCATCGGTAAAATCTGGACTGCGTGTCACCTGACTCGACTCCTCGTATGCTTGGAAGTCGTCGTCCAGCGACTGCAGCTCAAACGTCTCCGGACCCTCGAAATTTTCTACCGCTTCCTCCTCGTGGCCAGAACCCGTCACGTAAACTTCCAATCCCTCTGCCTCCAGTTCCTCAAGAATAAATAAATCCTTCACGCTTGGCGTAATCCAAATGCACAGCAGCTTGATATCTTTTTTTTCGTGCTGTATTTTGCGTTTGAAGTAGTTGAAAAGAGGCAACCCCAGCGAGATTCCAGAGCCTCCACATACGATGGTGACGCTTTCCGCAGTCTGGAAGAAATTGAGTGAAAGGGAAGATTTGAAGAACGGCTGCACTGAGTACGACCTGAAGGACTCCAATGCAAAGCGGTTTTTCTTCACAACCAAAGACACGTACTGAGAGCGCTCTTCCTGGATTGATGCCACAGTGTAGGGGTGCGACGGAAGCAGCCAGAAACATGGGTTATAGAGTGAGTACGGTGATAGCCTGAGATGGCATCCCGGAAGAAACTGTGCCGGAAGCAACGCACGCGGCAGCTTTACAATTTGCAATGCAGAGCCACTATTTTCTGATATTTTGTCAATAGTGAGACTTTTGGTCGTGAGAAGTCTGTTAACGTACTGGTACGAAACCAATGCAATGTTCAGGACAAACAATAATGTCACTCCGGGACGAGCGTGCAGCTGCGTCAGAATCAAGTATGTGTACATCACCAAGTTATGAAAAGCAATGAAGTAACTGTAGTTGATCGACCGGACACGCCGCCAGTTCACTCCAAGCAGCACATCAAACAGCACAAACATGACAAACCCATAAAAGTTAAGCAGTCGCCACGTTTTCGAGAAAGTGCCCAGAACAAGCCAGCGCAGCAGGAACCCCACGCTATGCAATATTCCAAACACTAGAATAACCCGCGACACCCACTTATGCAACCGCAAAGTGTCTAGATAGTTGTCGAGGCTAAACGGACTTGGACGGAGGGCAAGAAACAGATCGAGCGGTGTAAGGGCATATGCAAGTCGTCCAAAACGCTTCAAGTGTATGGTGAACTCCTCAATATGCAAATTGAAAAACTCCACAATCAGCATTACCACGCCAAAGATGGAAACCGTGTATGCTAGTGGCACGTTGACGAGGCCTTGCTTGCTGGTCGACCTGCCCGACCGACTCCAGCACCTGTGGTAATAACTTAGCGCTGCGTATCGGAACGCCACGTACAGTACAGACATAAACAGGAGCGCATAACCGTACTTGATGTTTGCGTAATGGTGATCCCCATGACGAGCCAATAGCATTGGAGGGATTTGTTGTGTCATCAACGAGAGAAAAGGCTTTATTTCCTTCTAGTGAGACTGGTTACTGTCAGGCGATGATTGGATGGGTTGACGACGTAAGCGACCTGTCTGCCGCTACGTGAATGGATAACAGCACACTATAAAAAGATGGATTTATTTTGTTAAGCCAGCTTATATAAGCCTTGGGCCCACTTCCTCAGCGCTAGAAAAAATCCTTGTCATAAATCCCTTATTTACCTTTCAATGTATATCGCCAGCGTTCTTTCATTGATAGCGTGCGCAGCCATGGCGGTGGCCATGCCTCCCGCATGCACGCTATCCTGTGTCAACGACCAGGCACACCTCTGCGCCAAAAGCCACCTGGATTTCAGCTGTCTGTGTGCCTCCAGAGCCCATATCCTCAGATGTTTGATCGACAAATGCCCCTTTGGCAACTACCTGCCCGCCAGAGACCACTATCTGGGCACGTGCATCGAGCGAATTCCCGAATTGGCCTCCAACCCGCTCTACAATATCCATCTGAGAGAGCGCGAGCCACCATCGGCATCGAGCCATGCGTACTGGATCTGGGACGCCAGAAACCCCGACTCTGGCGTCATCATCAATGGCACAACTGTGGTGGACGCCAATCGCAGCAACAACGCCGTTGCAGGCACGAAACTGCCGAAAATGGTTTCGACGGGCGACTTCTTCAAAGACGAAGAGAAAGCTCGTGACTCAGACAGCAAAGAGCTGGCAACATTAGAGCGGGAGTATGAGAAGATGCGGCATCAATTCTCTTATATGCGGAAGCAGTACGTGGAGTCAGAGGCCAAAGTATCAATGGAGCAGCACCTGGGAGACTCGCTGATTGCGCCTCTAGCTTCGAAAATCTCCACACCTTCATATGAGTCGCGGCCAGAATCGAACGCTCGAGATCTCGCAAAAGAAGAGCCTACCTTGCACCTCCAGTTTGCAACCCAAAAGCAACTGTTTGACTCACCTTACGGTAAGCAGCAGCGCCCAAATTTTGCAACAGGCAATCTGGATATGGAAGACATGATTCGGCGGCTAGATGAAGCAATCGCAGTTGATAGCAGCCACATGGGTGAGGATGACGATGAGGACGAATATGAGGAGACAACGGTTGCAGACGCCTTGAAGAAAGGAGTAGTCAAAAAGCTGGCGAAGTCTAAAAAAGGCAAGACTAAAAAATTGGGAGCCAAGTCCAAACCTGCAGCGCACGAGAACAACAGTCCTGCTGGCAAAAAAATCCGGTTTTCGTCGAACATTTTCAGAACGCCCAACTGATGATCTCTCACGAGACTGCTGCCCTAGTGTCGATTCTAAGTTTGGATTCTTTCCTTTTTTTCTTCGCTCGGCTCAACAGTGCAAAGTTGGTGCCTGAATAGCCGACGTACTTGACGTGGGATTGATTGACCTCTGCAAGATCAAGAGGCGGTTCAGGTTTGACAAGAGAGCTTATAGGGATAGGTCTCGGCAAGTCGTCCGTGGCTATTGCTGAGTCGTCGGGGGACGGATAGCAGGAGCAATCAGAACGGGCAGTGCTTACGGACATCTGCACCGACCGTTGGGAGCCACTGGACAACGGCGACTTTTCCGGGGTGGTATAGATATTCTCGCTTCCAGCTCGTGGACCAGTTGATGGGTGGTGCATAGATCGCTGGGTCGTGAGTGGCAGGTATTCATGACGGAATCTTGTATTTTTGTTATCCACAGAAATTCGCCAGCCAGGTGGCAGAGGCTCGCCTAATTTTTGCGCGAAAAAACGCTGATAAGGATCATGTGCCCAGGCGTTTTTCTGCTCTAAAAAATACTGTTTCTTATGTCTTCGTTTGGTCCTGCCCGTAGAATTGGAGCTCCTCATTTGGTGCCGAATCCCGAGACACTTATTTGATGTCATGTCATCTATTTGAATCTGTGTTCTGTTTGGTCGTGCCACGCGCAACCTAGTATTACAAATACGTCTTTCTTGTGCCCTGGCCTGTACTTATACATACGGCAGCTAGCCGTGCGTGTGACCGTGCAATACCCACTGTCTATACGGAGAAACGGTAGATAATCTCACTGGCGGGCAGCATAGCCTATCCCGCAACAGCGGTTCATAAACACCCGTGCACCAGGGACATCGACTAGGCATTCTTGCCAATGACATCGCCCTCGGGGTTCATGAAAAGGTTGGCAGTGGTTTCTGGGTCGTCGTCGTTTTCGAGACACTTCGAACAGATGTTGGCCGCAGGGTTGAAGCTGAGGTCGTCTATATGTATATGATTGCCGCACTTGAGACAGATCCGATCTGGGTTTGGAATCGTGAGCGATCCGCCTACGTCTTCGCCGTTAGACGAGTTCCCGCCCTCGTCCTCGTCTGTGTTGGAGGAGGAGTGATCCTGCCCTAGCTGCGACAGCTGCTGGTGCAGCTGCTGGTTCAGCTGTTGATTCAGTTGCGAGTGGTGGATTTGGGGCAAATTATGGAAGTTATCGGGCAACATGATGTCCTGGTCATGTCCAGACTGCTGTCCATTAAGCACTGCAGCTGCCACAGCCTCTGCCGATGCCTGTTGTACGCTATGTTTGGATCCGTTGTGATGCTCTGTGGCCAGAGCGACGCGTTTATTAGGCGTCGACGGGGCGCTGAGGCCGCGCTTTTTCTTGGTGCGGCACTTCTCGCACACTTTGTGGTCTCTGTCGGACTCCTTGAGCCGCTTTGCGCATCTGTTGCACGCCCCGATTTTTTCCAAGTTCGAGCGGCGGATCTTGTCGTTCTGCCGACACCGCGAGCACACTTTGAACTTCGCGTCGATCGAATCGTTCGGCCCCGAGCAATGCACACACTTGCCCAGCGCGGCTCGGCTCGCCTTTCTTGAGCGCAGCGACATTCTACAGTTCTCGCACAGAACGAACTGCGCATGCTCAGGCGGGATTTCCACGCCACACCGTCTGCACACGCCCTGTTTCTCCTTTGTTCTCATCTGCCATCTGCGCGACCGCTGCCGTTGCAGCTCGCGACAGTGCGAACACAGTCGATAATGTTTACCGAGCATCTGCGTAAACTCTTTCTTGCACCGTGTACAAACGCTAGTTGCAAACAGCTGTCCGTCCTGCTTCTTGTGCTCGAGTTCGTGCGTATCGTGTGATTCCTGCTTGCCGTACTTCTCCAGTTCGAGCTGTAAGGCCGGATCAAGCACAAATTTCTCCTGCGACTCGTCTTTGGTGCTGTGCGCGCTGCCTACGCCATTGTGACGGCCCTGTGCGCCAGGGTTTTCCGGCCATACCCCATCGCTGTCCTCGTAGTTTTTAATGGCCCGCGCAGCTGCCTCCGCAACCACAGCCGCGTGTAGAGGGTCCATGTACGTTTAAAAAGTCGTTCTTTGCCAAAAATCTTCCCCGGATTGAACGATGGTTATGAAAACCTGTCCTCTAAGGATAATAAAATTAAAAAAAAAAATTAATTTTTTGCCCATGGTGTCAAACATTATTCTAGACATAGAGGGCACAATTTGCCCCATCTCATTCGTCAAGGATGTGCTTTTTCCGTACTTTTTGCAACAATTGCCTGCTTTGCTAGACCAATACCAGTATCCGCTGCTGGAAGATTCTTCCGACCCGATCAAGACCATCCTGCTCAAATTTCCCCAGGATAAGACCGCCTCAAGAGACTTGCTGCACACCCACATCAAGGCCCTGGTAGACAACGACGTGAAAGACTCTGTGCTGAAGGAACTCCAGGGCCTCGTATGGGCCAAGGGCTACCACGAAGGAACCATAAAAGCACCATTGTACCAGGATGCCATACAGGCCATGTACACCTGGAGCACACATAAGGACAAAAAGGTGTACATCTACTCGTCCGGATCGGTCCAGGCGCAGAAGCTGTTGCTGCAGTATGTACGTAGCATTGACGAGCCGGAATCTGCGCCCGGCAAAGACCTCAATGAGCTGGTTTCTGGCTATTTTGACACCACCATCGCGGGCCCAAAAATCCAGACCAGTAGCTACTCAAAGATTGCGGAAAAAATAAATTCGAGCCCCAACGAGTGCCTGTTCCTAAGCGATAACCCAAAGGAAGTGGCCGCTGCTTTGGAGGCAGGCATGCAAAGCTACATTGTTGTCAGACCGGGCAATGCTCCAGTGGAGTCTGCGCCTGCGGCCATGATCTCTACGTTCGACCAACTGGAATTGTAGTTCGCCTAATACAATCTGCCTGCATTCCACATATCCGCTTCATATTACATGTATCATTCAGCGTGGTCGCTGAAGAGCAAATTGGCCGTCATCTCCTCATTTTTGTCGCAAGCAAAGTACACCTGGATGACAAGATCTCTTTCGAAGCCCAACTCGCAAAGTCTGTTGATGGCCTCGTTTTCTTCCTGAGTAATCTGAATTCTGGTAGCCCCTTCAGGAAGCTCTCCCTCTCCTTCGACACCTTCCATGTATTCTGGAGGGACCCCCAAAGCCTGGGCCAGTGCGTTCTGGTCTCCGTCAGTTATGTATCTCATAAAGGCCTCTGGATTTGACTGCACAATTTCGGCAAGTTGCGGGTTGGAGGCTGCCAGCTGCTGCAGAACGGCTTCGGCCATCTCTGGCTGCTGTTGCAAAATCTCTCGCAATGAGCCCATAAAGTCGCCCTCCTGCTGCTGGTCGACGTCCTGTCCTTGGGATCCTGCCGCGGCAGCTGCCTCAAACAGGTTGTCTGGGTTAGGGCTGGCGTTAGTGTCTTCCGCTGCGGGCTGGTCCTCTGTCTGTGATTCTCCGCTCTGCACCGCGGCCGGTTGCTCGGCCGTCCTCTGGGGAATACCAGAAAGTAAATATTCCACTGCTCTATCTGGGTTGTTGAAAGCTGCCGTGAGGGCCTGCTCCACCTGAGGTCTTTCGAAGCCCATTGCCATGATGTTCTGGATTGCTGTCTCCCTGACGCTTCCGGATGCAAACGTGGAGGCATCGAACGCAGCGGGCGTCGCAGAGGAGCCCTCCTGCGCTGGCTGAGCTGTTTCCGCCACCGGGGCTGCTGCTCCAGCAGGGCTAGCCTGCTCTTTCGCAGCAGGCTCTGGCGCCGGAGCTGCCTTCTTGGGTTTCGAAATCATAAATATCACCTGGTCGTTTTCCTTGATCTTGAAGTTCTCAAACGTCTTGTCATCTTGAAGCACTTTGCCCGAGTACACAAACTTCACCTGTGACGCTTCGCACTCTTTCAAAGACGCAAGCTTTTCCTTGGCAGACAGCACTGAATCACTCAGCTCCACCTCCAACGGGATCTTCTCCTTCTTGAAATCTTTGAAAATCACTTGCATTCTCAAGTCAACAACACTTACACTTGATTTAATACAAATAAAAAAATTCCACCATTACACCATAGCAAAATTTTTTAACCCTTACACAAACAAATGGACTTGTCTCAAGATACTGACGACTTGCTCGCCAATTTCCCCCAATGGGCAGCTTTGAGACACGCTCTGGCCGAAAATGACAAGGATCCGCAGCTCTGGGGCGAGCTGCTGTCCTATGTCGAGGGCCTGGTAGCCACTCAGTTGAACACGCTTAAGACTAACCCCCAGCTATGCCAGCTGCTCGCTGACGACTTTCGAGGGCTTCTTATGCGGTTTCCGTATCTGACAGAGTTTTGGAAACGTTTTGTTGCCATTGAATACTCGATCGAGGGCCTTGGCGGATCGGTGGCCATTCTGGAAGAAGCAGTCGCCAACTTCCCCAGTTCCTGCGAGCTGTGGGTCGACTATCTCAATGTTGTGATATCAAACAACCTTAAAGATGAACCACAGGTGCGCAGCCTGTTTAAGCGGGCTGTTGCGCACGTAGGACGACAGTTTTTGTCCCATCCTATCTGGGATCTGTATCTCGACTGGGAGTCCAAACATGCAGGAGTCACGGCTCTGGAATACGTTCAGATCCTCCTAGAGGTGGTGCAGTATCCACTGCATCAGTACGCGCGCTACTTTGAGTCTCTGTATGAGATTACGTCTAATTTCACAATCGAGGACTTGATACCAGTTGAAAAATTGCACTCTCTCATAGAAGCGTCTTTTCCGAGCAAAATGCTAGAAGATCTTGATGCGGATCAAGTGAAGGAAATCAGCGACGCCTATTTCAACAAGATATTCACCTCTTGTTACGAACGCGTCACAGAAAGATGGGAATTCGAAAGCCAGCTCACTAAACAGAACTTCGACCTGCTGCTTGTTTCTGACGAGGACATGGCACGCTGGATCAAGTATCTGGATTTTGAGGAGTCCAAGGGCGATATTGAGCAGACCAAAAGCCTCTACGAGCGGGCACTGGTGCCCACTTGCTCGTACGAAACCATCTGGCTGAAGTATATGCGCTATCTAATTCGCAATGACCAGGACACCGAGTACATTGTGTCTCTGTTCAACAAAGCCTGTGACATCTTTGTCAGCGCCGACCAGCCCGCCATAAGGTACATGTATGCCAAGTTCTACGAACAGAAGCTAGAAGACTACGAAAAGACCCGTCAGATATACATCAGCATGATTGCTGCGCATCCTACTGAGACTTATCCTATTGCACGCTATGTTCAGTACCTGTGTGGGAGACTGGGTGATGAATACACTTTCCGACACCTGCTGAGGCTGTTGGATGTGTACACGCAGAAGACGACGGACGAGCTGGACGCAGACTTTGGCGAGCTGCGGTCGGTATTGAACATGTGGAACGCTGCTAATTTGGTGGTGGAGGCGGCACGAATACAATGGCTGCGACGCAAGAACGTCAAGGCTGCGCGCGAGGTGCTATTTGCACATTTTAAAACAGAGCTTGTTCGGTGCTCTGTTGCGTTCTGGACGTTTTTCTTCAAGTTTGAGCTTGTCCAGAAAAACACCAGAAACCTCGCCAACATCGTCAATCATGTCAAATACTATGGTCAGCTGCCCACGACGTGCATCAACCTGCTGCTGGACGAGTTCCGCGAGCATCTCTTCAGAACAGGCAGTCTGGACCAGCTGCAACCGAACCGCGAGCTCGTCCGACTCATTCTGGAGACCGACATCGAGTCCTCGACCCACATGAAACATTTTCTAAAGGCAAGGCTGAGCGCGAACCGCGACGAGGACCCGGTCAACAAGCGGCTGATCAAGGAAAACGGCCACCCGGGTGTCGTTTCAGAGTACCGTCCGCGCCTGGTCAACCCTATCGATTTCGACGCGTCGATTTTGACGCAGCGCGACGCTGCACAGATGCCTCGGTTCACCAACGTCGAGCGTGCTGCCATGCCGGTCAAGTATCTACAGATGGATGAACAGAACTAACTGTGTACTATAGACAAGTTTATATACTGTCGCTCTGGCGGCCGATAATTTTGAGGTTGTCTCTGACGATGGCCGCAGGCGTGCATCTATTATTTCCGTACACCTCAAGAACCGACAATTTTGGAGCCACTCTGGACAGCATCGCGAGCGCAGAGTCGTCACACGAGCGCACAAAGCCGATATCCAGCGTGGTCAGCAGCGGGAATCGCAGGTGACGGCCGATTTGCTTGAAGAAGTTGCGCGTGAGGTTCTTTATAGAGTTCAGGTTCAACTCCACCAGAGTCTGGCACGAATGCTCTAACAAAGCGTACACGGACTCATCGCCAAGCTCGATGCAACGTGCCAGACTCACCTCCATGAGCCCGCCGTTCATGTCCCAGTCTGTGAACAGCTCCTTGACGCCAACATCGGTGATCTGGTCGAGCAGCACTAGCGACAGCTTGGTGAGCGCAGGACAGAACGGCTTAACTCCCGAGATGAGAAATTGGTCCGTGAGTCCAGTGCATCCATCAAGGACGAGCGACTCGAGCGTCTCGCCGTTCACACCCAACAGGTTGATGAGTAGCTCGTCATCGATCAGCTCTTCCTTGTTTGGGTATGAAATCTCGAGATGTTTGAGTTTTCGGAGGTAGTGAGGCAGTAAGTCGTAGACGTTTTTGGACGTGAGACCGTCCAATCGGCTCAGCGTGAGTTCCTCGAGATTATTGCCGCAATTGTCTAGGAGAGAAATGAGCGAGTCGGGCGAGAACCGGTGCGTGTTCTTGATATGGATGCCTTTGAGGTTTTTACCAACAGGGCTGTCAAAGAAGTCCTGCCACGCCTGATCATTGATTAGGAACGCGCCGTTCAGGTACAGGTACTTCAGATTGGTGAACTTCTCGCCGTAATATTTCAAATTATCCTTGTGCAGCCGTCCGCACATGTTCAGCACCAGTCTCTCGACATTCGGGCAATAGGCCGGTATCTTGTCAAATGCCGAACTGTCGATCTTCGAGCAGTCCCAGAACTCAATCTCGCGCATGCTGCTGTCCAGGAAAAGCGACATGGTGCGGTTATCCAGCGACCTGTTCTTCGACAAGATGCGACTGATTTTTTTCATGTTGACCACTCCGATGTCACCCAAAAGGTCGACTTGGTCGATGTTCTTGGAAATGACATTGATGCAGCAGTCCTGCAGCGACGGGATTCTGTACTCCTGCTTGTCCAGCAGCGCCGCCGCCACCTTCTTGCGTCGTTTCCGCGCCTCGATCTCGTTGCGTTTCGCCATCCGTTGCCGCTTTATCTCGTTGCTCGTGCACTCCGGACACAAATACCCGATGCGACCGTACTTCTCCATGCGCTTCGAATACACAGAGATGACAAACTCGCGGTCGCACTCGATACAGAAGTTCTTTCCTTCGTCCTCCTCGTCGTCCAGCTCGCGGTCCCGGCGCGCACGGCGACGCTTGATCCTTGCGCGCTCCCGCATCAGCTTCACGTCCTCGGGAATATCCTCTCCCTCCAAGATCTCCTCGTCAGACTCCTCTGGTTCGCCATTTTCCACCTCCTCGCCACTGCTCGCTTGCTCCTGCTGGCGGCGCAGTCCTGCCTCGTACCGCTGTCTGATGGCCTCCGCACTGATACCCTGTTCCCGCAGGAAGGACGTCAGCGCGCTGCTAGGACCCTGAACTTGGTACTCTTCCTGGCCGCCATTCTGTCTGGCCCTTCTTCTGGACATTGAAAACGATAAAAGAAATTTAGGCCCTCTGATTTTTTATGGTGCAAGGAGTACATTTATCGTTCTATCTACAGTATACAGGTGGAGCCAGCGAGTTGGACTCCTCAGCGGTGAGCAGAACCAAATCGTGTGTCTGCTGCGGCGGCGTATATGCGGGAGCGGGTGTGTGCTCTATCAGGCTGTAGTCAGGTGCTGGCTTCTCAACAGGGCCCAAGACAATATCGTGGTAGAACTTGAGCTCGTGGATGCGTTTCTTGAGAATGCCGTTGTTGCACAGCGTCAGGGAAAACATTAAGCGTGTGGTGTTCTTGAAACAGCTGCCGATCTGAATGTTGGGCATGAACGGTTCCCGTAGCACGTCCAGCAACGAGACGTCTGGCAGCAGCTTGCTCATGGGCAGCCGGCCAAAAAGCATGCCGTTGTGCTCTTCAAACTCGGCCACGTCGAAACGCGGCTCCGTCTCCGGTTTGTAGCTAACATTAAACAGCTCCACGGGAGTCCCTGCGTTCTCAACAACGGTCTCGCCGATTCTGAGTCGCATTTGCGAAAGAACGGTAGCCTTGACGTTAAGGACGCGGAACTCGCCCACACCCGTAGAGAGACCGTTAATGGTGTAATCGTGGGTCTGTGGCGTGTACACGACTAGCTCCCCAAGACTCTGGATGCTTGCGTCAAAGCCCAGATGTGCCACCGTAGACAGCCGCGCACTAAGTAGCACGTCTGCGGCCAGCTGCGGGTTCCACCTGTGGAGATGCAGTAGTCTGCGCAGCCTCAGCGAGTACCGTGGCATTGTCACAAACGGAGTCTGCACCACGGCGCCGCCGCACTGAACCAATCTGCGGGCGCACTCGGGGAAAATGTGTGAAGTTTCCGAGCAAATTTTGCTCACGTGACCGGACGTGGGATCCGAGTCGGCCTGGAAGCGGATAGGCAAAGAGGCGGTGATGGGGTCTGCGTCGGGACGGACGATGGTGACGTCGATCATGTACTGCGTCGAAATAGAACCCTTGCCCACGCCAGGTTCGCCGTGAGCGGTGCACGACGAGGGGAGTAGCTGCCGTTCGACAGGGAACTGGAACTCTAGTGGCAGCTCCAAAAACGAGTCTTTCTCGAGCGTTGCAGGGTACTCAACGTTTCCGGAGACGGTTTTTGTGTAGCTAAACAGAGGGTGGAACCCTTCTATGGTGTGGGAGTCCGGTTCCTCCCGGATACTGTGTGTTCCGTCCATGTTGATGATGTCTGTGTATGAGTATGTTCTTTCGACTATGCTGGTGATCATGTTGCCCTTGAAAGAGGCCTTGATTGTCTGGATCTGGATCGGCGTGTGGAAGTGGATTTTGAGGATGGCTTTGATGTGCGGTTGCAGTGGTGAGTAGATGGCATGTTCATTAGGAGGGTCTTGCAGCGAGAACGAAAACGTTACCATAATCGAAGAATCGTTCTATATGACAGCAAATGCAGGCCACATGGCTGTATTTATGTGCAACGGTGTGAACCCGAGCGTTGCGTTGGAGCCCTATATTATGCCACGGCCATGCGGGTGGGATGTTTTTTCGAGCCGCGCTTTTTTGTTTTAAAAATTCCGTGCCAGATATATTATTGAGTTATTTGTGGAGTCACTATGAGCAGGGGCCTACGACTAGCGCCCGTCGCTGTTCGCCGGTTAGCGGGATCTGTTCGTTTTTTGGGCGCTCTGCGCAAGCCAGACTTTGATCTGGAGTACTACAACTCGAGAGTCCACTTGTTCCGCGACATTTGCAGTCGAAGAAAAGTGCCGTTCCCCTTGGACGGATACACAGCCCTGTACGGGAAGTATGTGGAAGCGAGGAAAGAGGCAATCGAGCTCAAGCGCGAGGCTAACACGTTGCAGCAGCGAATCAAGGACAGCAAAATGGGAAGGCAGCCCGTGGACGAGCAGGCGGTGCTCGACAGACTGGCTCAGCTCAAGCCTTTACTGAAACGGAGCGCAGAGACCCAGAAAGGTCTTGTTACGCAGATGGAGGAGCTGGTAGATCAACTACCGAACTTGATTGATGACGCCGTCGGCAGCCAGCAGACCCTATTGGAATATATCAACGTCTCGCACGACATCGACGCTGCTGCTGACGAAAAATACGACCACAAGTCGATCCTGGAGAACGCCGGGCTTGTTGAATTTTCGCAGGCCTCCAACGTGTCAGGCCGCGGCTGGTACTACCTAATGGGCGACATGGCGCTTCTGGAGCAGGCACTTGTTCAATACTCACTGAAAATGGCCAGAAAGAACGGGTTTCAAATGGTGCTCCCGCCCTCCATAGTTAAGACAGAGGTCACCAACGCGTGCGGTTTCAGACCCCGGGACACCAACAATGAAAGACAGGTGTACGAGCTCACTCACGACAACCTGTGTCTCACAGGAACGGCCGAGATCGCGCTTGCTGCGCTGAGCATCGACACAGAGTACAAGTTCGGAGACCTTCCCCGTCGCATGGTCGGTCTCTCGCGCAGTTTCCGTGCAGAGGCTGGCGCAGCGGGAAGAGACACGCGCGGCCTGTACCGTGTGCACGAATTCACCAAGGTGGAGCTGTTTTCCTGGACAGCAGGACAGCTTTCAGAGAGCAGCAAGGAATTCGACCGTTTGGTGGCATTCCAGAAAGAATTTATCAAAAGTTTAGAACTCCCGGCGAGAGTGCTACTCATGCCTGCCGACGACCTAGGTGCCCCAGCATTCAAAAAAGTTGATATCGAGGTCTTCATGCCCGGGAGAGGCGCCTGGGGTGAAGTCAGCTCCACTTCCAACTGTCTGGACTACCAGGCGAGAAGGCTCCATGCCCGTTACCGAACAGAGAACAATAAACTTAGATTTGTGCATACACTGAACGGCACTGCGTGTGCGGTTCCGCGTCTACTGGTGGCGATCGTGGAAAATAATTATGACCCAGATTCGCACTCCATCGCAGTCCCAAAGGTGCTTCAGCCGTACCTGGACGATAAAAAATATATAGAGTGCATGCCATGTAAATAGTTTGCATATTTTAATTGTTAAATTTATTAAATTGCCAATAAATTTCATGGGAGCGAACTAAGAAGCCGTTTTTCGTCGCTGTCATTTAAATAAAGCAGAGTCTTGATCACCGGAAGAAGAATCCCCCGCTGCTCCTTATGTTCAAGAAATCCCAAAATCACGTTCTTGACGTATTCCATTTTCTCCTTCGTGTCCGGCTGGCTTTCTGATGTAAGATCGCCATCACTTGTCGATCGGGTCATAACAGGTGACGATTTGTCCGACTCAAAGCTCGCCACAGACTCTCTTCTGTCTCTGGTCGTTCGGTACTGTTGCGACAGCAGCTTGTATTTTTTGTTCAATCGCATCAGTTTCTGCGACGTCTCCTCGTTAGCCTTGCGTAGCTTGCTATTAATCGTCTCAAGGTCCCGGATCTGGGCCTCGCTTTGTTGCAGAGTCTGGCGAAGCGACTCCAACAGCTTGTAATCGCGCTCAGATGTGTTTTCCTCGCGCTGCTTCTCGCTGTTCTCTACGTCACGAAGAGCATTTTCCTGCTCTAAAAGCTTGGCCTCCACTGAGGTCTTGTCGCGACGAAGAGCGTCCAGCTCGTCCCGCATGCTTTCCAAATTGCTCTTGAGATCATCGAGCTCGCGCTGCTTCTTCTTCATAGTCAACGTCGACTCGCGCTCCAACGCCTCTTTTTCTTCGGCAAGCTTTTCCAGTCGGGCATTAAGCTCTTTCAGATTACTATTTTGCGAGTCTTCAGTCTCGATAAGTAGTTTCCGAATAGTTCCAGCTTCACGAGTGCGCTCCTGCAACATAGAGCGAGCCTCTGAAAGCTCTTCCTGCAGCACCTCCATCCGGCTCTCGTATTCTCTATTGCGCATCGAGAGCTCCTCGCATCGCCGTTTGATTGTCTTGACCTCGTCAGAGGAGCTCATTTTCGAATTTTGCAGGTCCTCGTAGCGGTCCTTAATTTCTTCGTAGTTCTTCATCAGCCTGTTGTTCTCCGTGCTCACTTTGTTGAGACGGAGCATAAGTTCGTTGTAATCTTTGCGCAACGTCTCATTCTTCGTTAGTGCGGCGTTCTTCGCTTCTAGGTCAGAATTAATTCTTGTCTTCAGCTCGCTCACTTGCACTTTGAGCTCTATCACGCTGTCATTCAGCTTAGTTTTCTCTTCTTCCAAATACTTCAGACGACTTTCTTTTTCGTCCAAAAGTCGATCCTTGCGTGTGAGCAACGACTGAGCACTCGACAAATCCAGCTTCAGCTGTACTTCCCGCTCTTTCAACCCAGCAAGCTCGCTGATTTGTTTCTCCAAAGCTGCCTTTTCCTTATTCAGACTATTGATCCGTTTCTGTAACTGTCCATTTTCCTCGCCAACATCCTTGAAATTTTTCTCAAAGCCAAGTTTGAGGTCTTCAATCTGCTTCTTAAGGCTCTCAATGACAGCGTCTTTCGAGCTCGTCTCATCACCAACGCCTTTCGTCTGGCTTTCTTCCAAGGAGGCCAGTTTCTTTTCCAGCGACGACTTTGCCCGCTCATAATCCTTTACTGCATCAGAGTTCTGTATGCGCAACACTTCCAAATCAGCCTTCACCCTCTCCAGCTCCTCGGTCTTCTCTCGGTACTGTTCTTGCGATTTTTTGAGCTCGTCCTTGGCCGTCACCAGAGAGTCACCCACATCTCGCAACATATCGCGCTGGTTTTCAATCTCGTCCTTTTGGGACTTGACTTGTTTCGCGAGATCAGCAGCCTCCTTCTCAAAACGCTCGGCCTCGCTGGCTTTTGCCTCCAAAACCTCAACCTGGTGACGAAGCTCAATAAGCTCGGCATCACTGTTCGGGCTCTTAGCCGCCTGCCCCTTCTTCTTCTTTTTACCTTTCTTGGGGCCTTCATTGGGTTTCGAGTTGTCGTTCGAGATGTCGTTCTCCTTTTGGGATTTGAGCTCCTCGTTTAGCGCTGCAACTTTTTCTTTGAACAACTGTGTGAGCCTACTACTCGACTCGAGCGATTTTTGCAGCTCTGTAACCTGCGACTCCAACTTCTCCTTCTCTGATTGGACGCCACTCAGACGCTTATCAAAGTTGGCTTTTTCTTGGTCAAATGTCTCCCTCTGTTGGCTCTCCTTGGCCTGCGCATCGGCTAACTGCTCCCGCAGCTCTTCCACTTGTCTCTTCAATGCTTCCACCTCTCCATTGTCTGGAGTCCTGGACTCGCTGCGCAAACGATCCAGCTCCTCGAGATTTCGCTTCCTTTCCGCTTCTTTGGCCACAGCCTGCCGCAGCTCAGACTCTAAAAAAGCTGTCTTTGACTTCAAGCCTCCAATATACTCGCGCACCGCATCAATCTCGCCAATACTGGAACACGGAGTTAATTCGCGCAACATAGCCTCAAAAGCCTGTATCACCACGGTCTTGCGCTTTTCAGCCTTGTAGGCCTCGAACAGAATGGGATACTTTTCATCGTACTTTATAAATCTGCGCATTCGGCTTCGTATTTCCGGGGGCAGATCCATGAACTTGATATTCGTGCCTGGAACAGTAATGCTAATAGTGTTAGCCTCATTTGTTGGCTCTGGAGTGCTCAATTCCTTGGGCTGTGTCATGCTGTCCGGCTCGGGAGTCTGCGTGGATAAGATCCTGCTTGCCGTCGATGGATCAATTCCCGCATTGGGCGAGGTCGAGCCCTGTTTTCGGTTACTATTCACCTCGTCATTGATCCGCGAAATCTCGTCGGTCAGATTCTTGCCGATCTGCGAGATCTTGGAAAACATGATCGTGTAAAATAAATCCTCCAGGCCTTGTGAAATTATATTACTGTTCGAAGCACACACATCCGTACACCAATATCTACATAAACCTCGCCTCGGGATGAAAGTACACTGGACACGTCCAATACGGGCGGTAGATGTCTGCCCAAACGCTATCCTTTGCATCTGGCCTGGTGGTTTTCGGCACATCAATCTCAGTATACTCCGTCTTGAGTCCATAGTTTTCCAGATCCAGTTCCACAACACGCTTATAGACTTCGTAGCACACCAATCTGTCTGCTCCCAAGCCATTAAAAAACGAAAATGTGCCTTCCGGCTTCAGCAATCCCACAAGAAGGTCGTAAAGTTCCAGCATATCAGAGTACTGCTCGCTGAATGTATCAAAGTAAATCCCATCGAAAAACACTCCCTCGTTCAGGAGTGGTGGCAGAGTGTCCTGCCATTTGCCTTTCAACACCACCACATTATTCTTGTCCATCCAGCCATCTCTTTGCATTTTGTCAAGTACATCAGGATGAGCTTCACAAATGTAGTGCTTAGCTGGTTTTTTCTTTTGGATCATGCTGTCTATTATTCCCATACCAAATCCAATATTTAGCACCACCACGTTGTTTGGGTCCTCAACGCTTTTAAACAAGGACTCGCACCCGGCCCTCATCAGTTTCTCTTCCCATTGCATCATCACTCCGTCTTTTCTATCAGTTAGCAATGCGTCGTCAGTGTACTTTAACTTGGTTTTTAAAAATGTGTCACTGTCTCCAGCAGGATCGTGTTCCTTCTCTTTTTCCTCCGGTTGTTCTTGCCTTGCCGGCTCTTCATCGTAACCGGCCACTTCGTCTTCCTCTATAAACTCAATATTGGATTCCATGTGTCGAAGAAGCACTTCAGCACGAACACCAGCAGAAACTATCTGCTCCCAGTATTTCGATTTATGAAAGCCTCTTCTTTCCAATACACAGCCTGGGGTCTCGTCTTTCGCATTGATTAAACACCATCCAGCCCCATTCAGAAAGAGCTCATCAATCATCGAAACCACAGTTTCCTCCTCTTCGGGCGTAAAATCGTGCGAGACATTTTCACAAATTAGATGTAATGGAGTCGTGGTAGACGGGAGCTCCTCATCGACTCCCCTCTCAAACTGATCCACTTCCTCAAGCGTATACGTAGCTGGAATTCCAGCAGCCAGGTACTCTTTGAGTTTCTCGAGATGGCGTTTTGTTATTGGTCTCCTGAGCCGGCAAAGTTCATGCAGTTCAGACATGCTGAAATTTATTTTTTTTCGTAAAATACTTTCTACTAAAATCATAAGTAATGACCATGGATTGCCTTCCTACTCACCCAAAAGCCCTGCCAGATACCTTAAGGAACTTTCTTTGAGGCCGCGTGCTATTATGGCATCATAATCTATGGGCTGCTCCTTTCCTGCTGCCACACTTCCATCCATCGTAATGTTGCCTGCAAGAAGAGGAGCCAGGTAGGCATAGGACTCATCGTTCAAGATACCCGTGTAAAGAGACGAGTTCGACATATAGCGCTTCTCGTTCCACATATTGACTAGCACTTTGCCCACAGTATTATCCTGCACTTCCTCGAGGGCAGAACATAACGATGTTTTGTCAACCTCGGTTGTGCTCTGCTCAGTAAGACTAGCATTTTGCTCCTCAAAGACGGCTGCTGGGACTTCTCTCGGGGTGAAGAATTTCTCTTCTTCTGTTTCAGACTTGCCGTTATGCGGGGAATCGAATATTTCCATGTCATCCGTCAGATCAGGAAGTGACATGTCAAATGTACTGGATAAATCAATGTCTTGGAATAGATCTGCCTCCTTGGCTATTTCTGGAATCGGAGGCTGATCTTTAAACTTTTCGTGTGCCGCTTGTAGTGGAGTGACGACGCGCACACTAGGTCTCTTGGCTTCTAAATTAGCCGGTGAATTTTTTGATTGCAGGACACTAGGAGGCTCTAGATTGTCTTCCTTCAGTTCGGAAGTCTTTGATACTCTTGGAACCTGTTTCTCCGTCTTTGTATCTCTTAACGCCACCAAAGGATGTTTGTACCGACCTTTGTTGCTCACAGGCCGTTTTACAAAGCTTGCGACTCTGCTGACAATCGAGTCGCTACTTTTATCGCTTTCCCAAGCGGAACTGTCGTCGTTGTTGGCAACTGTCCAATTATCGCCTTTTTCATTGTCGCCAAATTTATTCAGCTTGGCCACAACACTAGGCGAGAACAGGAGGCACCTAGTACCAAGAGGAGCCTCTTGAGCCTCCATCACCAAGCTGACGCCATATTCTTTCAGATTATTCTCGTGTTGCTCTCTTCTTTTCCGGGCTTCGCTAAAGTACCTCTCCAGCTTCTCTTTCAAAGCATCTTGGGATGAGGAGTCTTTAGAATCCTTGTTAGATTGTACCTCCTCCCGACGGAAAGCTGTTTGCGGTTTGTCGTTAGGCACTGTCTCCTTATTACTTTTCCCCTTCAATATCTCGGGCCTCACTTTGTCAATATTTAATCCGAATCCATCAACCAGATTATCAGACTCTGCAACAGAGACTTGACGAATTGTGGATCTATCAGAATTATAGTTGATAGCTGAGATTTGCGAGCTTTGGCGCTGCCCAATTCGAAGTATGCTATCCTGTCTTGTTGGGAAGTGATATTCATTAGCTGCTACCATGCTGGACACGGTTGGAGAAGCCGGCTTTAAATCTTCGTCTTTGTGCACTGCAACTGGTTCGACTTCTGGCGTCTTGCCAGGAGCCCTGATATTGCGAGCCATCGATCCTTTTTTCCCGCCAAACATACGCTTGTAAAATGGCACCGACTTGTCTTTCGGTTTTGTTATCTTAGTCGAGCTCACTCGGTTATTATTCAGCATGTCCAAAGTGTCCGATCTTGGCTTGAGGACTTGGTGTCCTTCCACAAGCTTTCTGTTTTCCATGAACAGCTTGTGGGCCTTCTTTATGTTTGCAAGCTCTTTTCGTTGGCTCTCTTGACTGCTATTCATCACAAGTGCAGCCTTGGAATACATCTCCTTTGATCTATCATAAAGCTTGTGGTTGATCATTGGATTAGCGTACGTCAATTGGAAATCGAGCATGTCAAAGATTTTACCTAACAGCTTAATTGACAGCTCGCCGTATGGAACTTCATAACTCACATAATTTTCACAGCAGCTGGTACCCTCAATGTGTATTTTATTAGACGAGAAGTTAAGCGTGACAAATCCAAATAGGGAGTATTTCTTCAAATAGCTTTCGTCAAATTCCATGTTTAAAAACACAGCAAAAGGCGACTTGGTTTCTTCGGACTTGTATGTTTCTAATTCATGAGCGGTGTAATACAGTGCTCGCGTAGCATCTGTTGTGCGAAACAAATGAAATGGCTGCGATTTGTTGAGTATCTTTGCTTTGTTGAGAACCTCGATGACGTGAGAACCTGCATATTTGCTCACTTCATAAACATCAAAGGCCTTATCATCGAAGAGCTGGATGTACGCTTTTCCGTCGTAATTGTAGAATTGAGCTTCGGTATCATTTATGCCAGACCATCTTTCGACTTTCATTTTTGGCAAGCTAGCAAATGGAACCTCGTTGACCAATGAGTGCATTAATACATCGGCAATAGATGGCTTGTGAATATGGACCTCAGCCTCAAAAAGGTCATAATAGTACAAATCGTCCACAATTTCCAAAATCACAACATGATCACTGAATATAATCATCACAGCATTGTTCTTCAATGAATTTTTTAGCACATTTTTGACATCAAAGATTGCAACCACTCTTCTGGTCAACCAGCCGTACTGAAGTTCGGCTGGCCAGCCACTGGCTAATTCCGTAAGGATTTTACCGGTGGGGGTGAATATTCTGTGATTGTAAGGCTTGAGAGCGTCGCTGCCAAACGCTATGATTGTATTCAAGCATGACTGGTAGTACCCATCAACCTCGGACTGCAAGTCCTGAGGCCACTTCTTAGTTGTCACGAGCCTATCCAAAATTAATTGCAATTTTGGCAGATTTAAAGATGCATGCATGATTGATTGAATAGTCTTTTGGTCAAAGGTAAGCTTGTCGTAACCATTTCTTTTCATATCAATCATGAAGGCATCCAATTGAGTAGCAAATGTTTTTGTGGCGGCCTCATGTCTCATGTGCGCTTTGTAAAAGTAGGGGATTGTAGTACCACTGGCCTTGAGTAACTCAAAACTTCCATAAGGAAGAGCCGTTTTCAAAATGTCCAGATATATACAATTGATTCTGGTCACCTCATCGATGGTTGGTGGAAATATCTGATTAAGTTTTGCAGTCGTGTATCCTGGTATTTTCCCCTCCAACACATCCACCCTTAAGGGAATAAGGAATTTTTGTAAGAATTGCACCAAAGAGACGGTGAAATTAGTTTGCACTTTGATTAGCTCGTTGCAAATACTTTTAACAAGTATATCATCTGAATCATGAAGCTGTGGTGCATCGACAGGAGGTTTATATGCTTTTTCTGTCGGTTCAGGAGAATATTCGGTCAACGGATCGAACAGGTGGTCCAGTTGTTCTCCTAACAAAAACGCGAGCTCGTTGTTTTTGTCAGAGTCTTCCAGATTCCCGGTATTGGCATAGAGGACATCCACAACATAAGACGTTCGTTGCTTGCGTTGTTGTGCAAATCCTAGCTTCAATATCAGTTCGCCCACCTCTTTCGGAGTCTTCTTGTCGATGAGTTTCATTTGAGAAGCGATTTTGCCTGCGTTCGTCTCATCCCAGTCATAATCTGGTTTTATTTGGGCTTTCTTCATCATGAGCGATTTGGTTTTTGGGTCCAGTTTCGCGTACGTTCGCAGTAGAGCCACAGCCAATGCTCTTCTCACGTTGCTTTTGCGACAGTCCTTGCTGAGATTCTCGACTGCGGGATAGTACTTGGAATGTCTGCTCAACGACATGGAATCCACAATGGTCTGTCCATGTACACTGAGAAGCATGCAGCTGAGCTTCTTGGTCGTCTTGTTCTGGTAGACCATCGCTATTATGTGGCCAAAAAGAGAATCATGACCTTCAAAATAAACCGAATCAGCAATTAATGAGCGCCAGTACTGTTCGGTAGCCCGTTCAGGGTGCGACTCTGACCCCAAGTCGTTCATGTACTGACTACTGCTTCTTCTCATCGGGTTCGATGCTGTAAACGATGAGTAGAACGACGACTTCATGTTTGTTTGATCAGACACCGTTTTCGGGCCGACTTGTTCTTCCATCTCGTTTTATACCTGTAATCTGAGACAATTTTCAAACAGGATCGCGAGTTGTTTGTGATTTATTTTTTTGTAAACAAATGTTTCAAAAACAGGTAAATAGAGTTTGAGGCAGTGTAAGAACTAAAATGCACAGCCGTAACCCTCATTTTATCGGGCTCTTGTGTCATGTCTAATCGCAAGGAAATAATCATTTAGGTAATAATTACTAAATATTAATAATTAAAAGGGGTTGCATTTCCAATGCGTAACTAATATAAATATAGCATTCTGGAGCCAAAGTTAGCTGGCGTTTAAATTTCAGACTCAATATGACCAAGAAAGTGGCAGTAAGTATCAAGGGGCGAACCTGAATTGCTGACTCAAGATCATCATTTACTCATTATACCATCACGTGTCCACCCTGGCGGAATCGGTCAAAGTGGGACTCGAAGCAGGAGGTGTCGCAGCTAAGATTTTCCAAGTTCCAGAGACACTTCCAGAGAGCGTTTTGGAGAAAATGCATGCTCCTCCAAAGAAGCCTTACGAAGAGGCCACAGTTTCCACCTTGCAGGAATACGACGCATTTATGTTTGGTATTCCAACCAGATACGGTAACTTTCCTGCGCAATTCAAGAGTTTCATTGACCAGACCGGAGGCTTATGGGCTTCTGGTGCGCTTTACCACAAACCATTTGGTGTTTTCATTTCTACAGGCACTGGCGGAGGAAATGAAATGACCGTTGTCAACTCTTTGTCCACATGGGTCCACCACGGTATGATTTATGTGCCATTGGGCTACGCTAAGGTGTTCTCATTGATGACAGACATGAGCCAGGTTCGTGGTGGTTCTGCTTGGGGAGCAGGCACTATTGCTGGTGCCGATGGCTCTAGACAGGTTACACAACTTGAGCTTGAAATTGCCAAGGCACAAGGTACAGAGTTTGCCAAGGTTGCGCTCAAGCTCTAGAGAGGTTTTCGAGATTTTGTTTTTATGGCAATGAAATTCAGGTATGATGTAACTTACAAAAAACTACTGTAGTATTCATAGTCTGCCTCGAGGAAAGCCGATTTCGGCACTTCGGAGTCATAGGTCATATACATGCTGATGATATCATCGACCCATTTGAAATCAAGGCTATCTGAATACGTTGACGAACTTTCAGAATTTTGTTTGGAGGGCACGTTCCGCTCGCTGCTAGGAACAAGGTAAAACTGCTCCGAGATGTCCCCTAGTTCATGCTCCATACTGACGAAACTCATCTCTGCGGACTCAACGTGATGTAAAGTGTTGGAGGATGTTTCCTTTGACGTGTTCACACCGTTGATGAGCATAGAACATGCAGAATACTTATTCGCCGGCTCCATAATCGTTTCGGAGACATTGGTGTTGGGGCTTGACTTCTTCCAGAAATTCCGCTTGTGCTTCGATCCTAACCTCAGTTGGTTCACAAATCTGTTAATAGTTCTTGAATGCTCTAGCATTTACTCTCTGGAAGATAATGAAAATGCTCATAATGTACATGGTCGCCAACAGAACATCCTAACTGGCGCACGAACATTTGCCCATTTTGAGCTCGAACGAAACATCAGAACACCATCTTTCCTCCAAATCTTTCAGCTCGTCACCCCACTTAGTTCTGTCGTAAGGGTTGGTGCTCATTTTCATTATTTTGTCAATATAGTCTGCCCTGAGATCATTTTCGGCAGTATATTCAATAACTTCTTCTAGCATCCAATTTTTAGGAAGAAATAGGGGGTTAACTTTGGATGCTCTGCTCAGCCTCTCGCTGTCAGATATCTGTTCCCGCTCCACTCTGTCTTTAAAAACAACCAGAAAGCTTTTTAGCTCTTTCAGAATATTTTCCTTAGTGTAGTCGTTGACCAGGTCTTCCTGGAAATTTTTAGGTATGAAAAGCTCAGCAGTAGCCTCATAGTCAAGCTTCTTCTCCATTGGCACGTGCTGCAGGACTTTAAAGAAGTCGTTGTAGTCAATCTTGGTGGCTCTCAGCATCTCAAACATAGGACCCAGAATCTCTGTATGATCGGTCTCTCTAGGACTGATACCGACTCTTTGGCAAACCAGCTTTAAATAGTCATCCATGAACAACTTCTCATACACCGTGCCTGCTATCTCAATAATCTTTCCTGCTCTCTGAATCATTCTTTCTGTCCATTCTTGCTTGATACCAGCCTCAAAATCTGGAGCATCTAAAAGCTCCTGGTCAGCTCCGATTAGCTCAGCAACATCCTCGCCAAGTTTAACCAAATTGAACCAAATTGCACTCGGGGTGTTGGCAAAACTGTACATTCTTGTGTGGTCGTCATGATTTGACGTGTAGTTTGGGTCAAAGTACTCCATAAATGCGAAAGGCCCAAAATCCATTGACAGGCCAGTGATGGAAGTGTTGTCAGTGTTTAAAACACCATTCAAAAAGCCATAAACGTGCCACAAGGCAACAGTCTTTGCATTACGAGCAACAATCTCAAAGTACATCTTGTCATAGCGCGTGAGAATGATGTTGTGTTTCGAGATCTCTCGTTCAACTTCTCTTTTTATCTGCTCGTCCTCGACCATTTTGTTGTGGAAAACCTCATCAATCACATAATTACTAAGCTCGATCAGCCCCTTGCGGTCTTCTCTCCATTTGTACAGATCGAAAGTTCCGATTCTGATCCATGTAGGTGCCATTCGACAGACTACGGCACATTTTTCATGGCGAGCGCGCATGGCATACGTTTTGGGAAGCGCAGTGATAGCCAACGCCCGCGTGGACGGAATTCCAATTGCAGATAAGGCCTCACTTATGACAAATTCACGGATGCTCGAGCTCAAGAGCGCCTTGCCATCTGCAAACCGAGAGAAAGGGGTTAGCCCAGCTCCTTTGAGCTGCAGTTCGTATCTTTGTCCATCTCTAGCACTTTCCACTTCAAAAAGGTTCACGACTCTTCCGTCACCTAACTGTCCTGCAAACTGACCAAATTGATACCCGGCGTAAGCCTGAGAGTAAGGAAAGGGGTCGGTGAGGTACTTTTCCCCCGACACCAGCTCCTGGAAGCTTTTATCTTTAGCCTCTGACGGATCCAGCCCTAAAGTCTCCATTGCATATGGTGATGCTGTTAAAAACCGATATTCTTTACGGGGAGTAGGTTTGCAATAGGTGTAGGCGCCGCCAATAAGACGCCTCGCGACATGGAAGAGTTCCTGTGGGGTTGAAGGATCCAGAGCCACCTTGGGGCTGGGAATCCGCGGATCGGGCGTGAGTTTTTTGGTGAAAGAAGATGTTTTTGGCAGTGACTGAAGGGTCATTCGTTTGGACATTGATAAAAAACGGTTTTTGCAATTAGTCTTTCTGTTGAGTCATTTGCTCTTTTTTTCACTTAGTTCCTGCTTTTATACTTAAGAGGTGTTTTTTGGATTGGATAATAATTTTTTTTCATAATGGAAGTGTTTGTTAACGAAAAGATAGGAGCCGACGACGCTGGCGCGATCGGCACCAAGGAGAAGCCATTTAAAACCCCAGCCTATGCCCTCTTCAAGGTTCCTGAAGCCAAATTGATCGTCGCCAAAGAGACTGAACAAGGTGAGGAATACGTTGACATCTCTCCTTCTGCTTTGAAGAAGGCTAAAAAAGGAGCCGAGTCTCTGAAGAAAAAAGAGGAGAAGGCTCGCAAGCAGGCTGAAGAGGCTGCTGCTAAGGATGCAGAGGAAAATGCCAAAATGTTGGAGGCTATGAAGATTACTATCGTTGAAGATAAATCTCTTCCGCCAGCCAAGAAAATCAAAATCATGTCCATTGGAAAACACATAGAGGAGAGAGTTAAGGTCCAAGGATGGATCCATCGTTTACGTCTGCAGAAGGGACTTGCCTTCATTGTCTTGAGAGACGGTACCGGCTATGTTCAGTGTGTTTTGAGCGGAGACCTGGCAAACGCATACCAGACTCTGTCTCTCACCATAGAGTCCACTTTATCCATTTACGGTACGATCAGAGAGCTTCCTAAGGGTAAGTCTGCTCCTGGTGGAGTGGAGTTAGCCGTTGATTACTACGAGGTGGTTGGATTGGCTCCATCTGGCAAAGAATCGTTCACCAACAAGATCCAAGAAGGAACTGATCCTTCGATCTTGCTGGACCAGAGACATCTGACGCTCAGAGGAGAAACCTTGTCTGCTGTGATGAAGGTCCGTGCTGCTCTTCTTGCCGCTATTAGAAGAGTTTACATTGAAGAATCTGTCACTGAGGTGACTCCGCCATGTATGGTGCAAACCCAGGTTGAAGGTGGATCAACCTTATTCAAAATGGACTACTATGGCGAGGAGGCGTTCCTGACGCAATCCTCTCAGCTGTATTTGGAGACCTGTCTTCCTGCTCTGGGAGACGTCTATTGTATCCAGGAGTCTTTCCGGGCGGAAAAGTCGCACACTAGAAGACACTTGAGTGAGTATACACATATTGAAGCCGAGCTGGCTTTTGTGACATTTGATGACTTGTTGAGTCACATCGAAAGAGTTATCACCAAGACCATTCAATACGTGCTGGAAGACCCTACTGCTGGTCCCCTGGTGAAGCAGCTGAACCCTGGATTTGTGGCTCCGCAATTGCCTTTCAAGCGTATGCAGTACATTGAGGCCCTGGACTGGTTGAACGAGAACGGCATTCCAAACGAGGACGGTGAGAAATTCAAGTTTGGAGACGATATCGCTGAAGCTGCAGAGCGTAAAATGACCGACACCATTGGTGTCCCTATTTTGCTTACCAGATTCCCTGTTGAGATCAAGTCTTTCTACATGAAGAAATGTGTCGACGATCCAAGAGTCACCGAGTCTGTTGATGTGCTGATGCCTACTGTTGGTGAGATCACAGGTGGGTCAATGAGAATCGAGGACACTCAAGAACTGCTTGAGGGCTTCAAAAGGGAGGGTATCGATGCCAAGAGCTACTACTGGTTTGTGGACCAAAGAATCTACGGCACTTGTCCTCATGGAGGTTACGGTCTGGGTACCGAGAGAATTCTTGCTTGGTTATGCAACCGTTTCACCGTGAGAGACTGCTCGTTGTACCCACGGTTCACCGGAAGATGTAAACCTTGAATAGATTTTAAATTTTCAGGTGCTATAAAGTTCCGTTTTTGTATTTCTTCAAACTGGGCGATTTTTTTTTTTTATCTTGGACTTCAACAAAAATTTTGTCATTATGATATCTTCCATGCTTTCCCTGCTCTCGCTGAGCGAGCCAACTCCCGAAGATGCTATTACTGTCAAAACGCTTGTGTTCAAGCCAAAGACACCAAAGTCGCAGGCTCCAGTTCCCGTCATCGTTGTGGCCCCTGCCTCTGTCCAGACTCCTGGTGGAGGAGTTGCCAAAGCTGCAGGAGTGAAGGAGCCAAGACTGGCCAACGACGAACTGACGCAGGAGTTTTTCGGCATTCAAGCTAGAGAGTTCACCATCGCTTCCTTGGGTAACGACCACGTCGGTAAAGTCAAGGTCCTTGTTGAACAAAGCATCCAAGCTGATGAAAAAAATTACGTTATCTCTAATTCTACCGGAAAGCTAATTCTCACCGGAAAACAACTCTTGGGCTTCCTGGAGTCCTTTGAGCCTGTGATTGTCGATTTTTCAGCCAAGGAGGCACCAAAACCTGAGACCAAGACCGAAGCCAAGATCTACGATGCCAAGCTGATCGGCGTGACCGTTGATAAGGAACGTGATTTCTCTGGCTGGTATCAGCAAATCCTGACCAAGGGAGAAATGCTCGATTATTACGATGTGTCTGGATGTTACATCCTGCGTCCTGCGTCCTACGCTATTTGGGAGAAGATCCAGAGATGGTTTGACGACAAAATCAAGGCTGACGGCGTCTCCAACGCGTACTTCCCTATGTTTGTGTCTTCTAGAGTTCTTGAGAAGGAGAAGGACCACGTCGAAGGATTTGCTCCTGAGGTCGCTTGGGTGACAAGAGCCGGTTCGTCTGACCTGGAGGAGCCAATTGCTATCAGACCAACAAGTGAAACCGTCATGTACCCGTACTATGCCAAATGGATCCGTTCTCACAGAGATTTGCCATTGAAGCTCAACCAATGGAACTCTGTGGTTAGATGGGAATTCAAGCACCCGCAGCCATTCCTCAGAACCAGAGAGTTCTTGTGGCAAGAGGGCCATACAGCACACCTCACCAAGGAGGAAGCTAGCGAGCAGGTCAGCAAGATCCTGGATCTTTATGCGAGCGTTTACGAGGAACTGCTTGCTGTTCCTGTCATAAAGGGTGTTAAGACTGAGAACGAGAAGTTTGCCGGAGGTTTGTACACCACCACTTGCGAAGGATACATCCCAACCACCGGCAGGGGTATTCAAGGTGCCACCTCTCACCACCTCGGCCAAAACTTCTCCAAGATGTTCAACATCTCTGTTGAGAACCCTCTTGGTCCAGAGCATCCTAAAATATATGCACATCAAACGTCTTGGGGTCTTTCTACCAGAGTTATTGGTGTCATGGTGATGATCCATTCCGACAACAAGGGTTTGGTCATTCCGCCACGGGTGGCTCAGAACCAGGTGGTGATCATTCCTGTTGGTATCACTAACAAGACCACGAAGGAGATTGAGAACAAGCTCTACGAAACTTGCTCCGAGCTGAACTCTAGACTCAAAAAGGCCGATGTCCGTTCTATCACCGACTTCAGAGACAACTACTCTCCAGGATGGAAATTCTCCGACTGGGAGCTAAAGGGTGTTCCTGTTAGATTGGAGGTTGGTCCTAAGGATATTGCCAACAACTCTGTCATGGCAGTGAGAAGAGATAATGGAGAAAAGACTGCTCTTTCTCTCGACACTATCGAGACTGAACTGCCAAAGCTTCTGGAAGCCATCCAAAAATCGCTCTTCGATGCCGCCAAAGAGAAATATGACAGCCACAGAAAGATTGTTACCGAGTGGAAGGACTTCGTTCCAGCTCTAAACAAGAAGAACGTTATCCTTGCCCCATGGTGTGGAGTTCCAGAGTGTGAGGACGACATTAAAGACTCTTCTGCAAAGAAGGATGATGGAGAGGACTACGAGACCGATGAGAAGTCTCCCTCTATGGGTGCCAAGTCTTTGTGCATTCCATATGACCAGCCAGAACTCAAAGAAGGCCAGAAGTGTGTCAAATGTGGCAAGCCCGCCGTCAACTTCACTATGTTCGGTAGATCTTACTGATGGTGTAGAGGTGTAGATATCAAAGGAAAAATTCGTGCTAATAAACTCTTCAGGGAAATAATGTATGTCTCTCTCCGGGCTGATCTGCGGCACCAATTTCGGCGCTATTCGAGCGGGTATCGGTGGACACTACCTAAGTGTATCAAGGACATTGCACAAAACCCTCCCCAGATTGGCGACAAAATCAAGCTGAATGGATGGGTGAAGTCTTTGAGAATATCCAAAAATGTTGCATTTGTCGACCTCGTTGACGGTTCCTCGCACGAAGACATCAAGTGTGTTGTTCGCCCACCTTCGCTTCTTCCAAAAGCACTGAATACTGGTGCTGGAGTCCAAATATCAGGTGTCTGGTCAGAAAGTAAGGGGAGACAGAATTTCGAGCTACAGGTGACTGAGCAGTCCGAATCGCAGATCCAGGTATATGGTGGAGTTGAAGAGCTGTATCCATTGCAAAAGAAAACACATTCCAGCCAATTCCTAAGAAGCATCCCTGAATATCGGTGGAGAGTGCCTGAGGCCGTCTCTATTCTTCGGATGAGCTCTAAACTAGAGTCTTCCTTCTCAAAGTTTTTCGAGGAACACTCGTTCTTCAAAACCCATCCACCAATGGTGACAAGTAGTGACTGTGAGGGGGCCGGTGAGCTTTTCCGAATTGAGTCAGAGTCAAAGCTTGGCAGTCCAGAGCAATTCTTTGGTAAGAAAGCATACCTGACAGTTTCGACTCAATTGCATCTTGAAGTTTTATGTGCAGCCTTAGGTCGTGTCTGGACGCTTACTCCATGCTTCCGTGCTGAGGAAAGTGACACAAATCGCCACCTATCTGAATTTTGGATGTTAGAGGCAGAGATAGCTTTCATTGACGACGTGAGCCAACTGACTCGATTTTCAGAAGAGCTGCTGCGCTACGTAGCTCGCACCGTTCAAAATAGTGGGTTTGATGAATTTCCCGAGGAGACTAAACAACGTTGGGACATGTTGGCGAATGGCGTTTACACTCAAATATCTTACTCAGAAGCTATAGATCTCGTGCGCCAAAATCCAACCAATTTCAAGACAGTGCCAACGTGGGGAGACAGCCTGGGCTCTGAGCACGAAAAGTGGCTTGCTGGCGAATATTATAAGGGCCCTGTGTTCGTGACGAATTATCCTGAAGACCAAAAACCTTTTTACATGAAAAAAAACAATGATGGTAAAACCGTCGCTTGTTACGATTTGCTGATTCCACAAATTGGAGAGCTGATTGGCGGATCTTTGAGAGAGCATGATTTGCACAAGTTGGAGCAGGAGATTTCTGACCGGCAAATGGATATCGGCCCACTACAATGGTATCTTAACCTCAGAAAGAACGGAAGCGTGCCACATGGAGGTTTTGGCATGGGCTTTGAAAGATTGCTCCAGTATATGAGTGGAGCTGAGAACATACGCGACACCATTCCATTTCCTAGAACAACAAAGCATTGTGCATGTTAGAGGTATATATATACAATAGCACTGTGTGTTACACACGACAAAATGTGTTATCAGAATTAATTTATTTTTTTATTTTCTATTAATTTATTGGAATTTTTGGGAATTTTTTTCTGATTTAATTAATTTATATTACACGAAAATTTATGAACCTCTGACCACATGCTTTCGGAACCCCCTCGTTCATCTGTGAAACTCCCGGTACTCAGTCTTCCTCCAGATGTGCCGTCCCCGATTTCCTCGCTGTCATTGACTAGCAAACCGCATTACATTCTACCGCCTCCAGTCACCAAAAACACGGGACCGGCATCCTCCAATCTCCTCCCCTACACGCTTTCGAAGAGTCCGGAGAGCAGAGATACATCACCTACTGATAAGCCTGAGTCCGCGATGTCTTCCACGCCTGAACCTAAGGCTGACGAGGAAATTAAACGCGAGAAGCCTGAAACCGGCAGGGAAAAACGCAAGCGAGGACGACCTCGCAAATTTCCACCTCCTCAGCCAGATGTACCTTCGGAAAAACGCAAGCGTGGAAGACCAAGGTTACCGCCGTTGGAAGAGAGGGAGAAGTCGAAGTACATCAAAAAAAAGAAGCCTGACCAAAAGGATGACAAAAACGGGAAAACTGGATCCCAAGGTATGCAGATCCCAGAGTACTCGTTCCAACTGAATGAGACTGCTACTTTTTGAACTTAGAAAATATAGTCTTACCGCTATAATTTTGCGTGTGTTTTCACCAACACGTTGATTAAAACAATTTTTCCGCTCAACATGTCTTCCATCCCTTTTTTCAATACGTCATCCAGCTCCCTGCATTTCTGCACATAATAGCCGGTCCCACCCAACGAGCTGCTGATATTTTCGTACCGAACCCCAAAAGTCAGCGCCGTCGAAGGGAGTGGTTTGTTGGTGTATGGAATATACTCATGTGGGTTTTCAACTCCACTGTATATTCCAGAATTATTGAGCACTATTATCAGACAGGGAAGTCGTTCTCGGACCAGCGTCTCGATCTCCATAGCCGAGAAGCCAAAGGCGGAATCCCCTTGTATGACAATCAACGGTTTATTTCCCTTGGTCAGTTTCGCTGTCACTGCATATGCCAAACCAATGCCCATCGTGCCATTGGTCCCTGCATCCAATCTTTGGCGAGGCTCGCCTAGATACAAACTCTGTCGGGACAGATCCATTGTACGAGCGCCCTCGGCCACGATGTTTGCATCTGCAGGCATGTGTTTTCTAATGGCAGCTAGTGCTTGAGTGTGACTAGGCATAAGATCACCATTTACAATTTCTTCCTGTTGTCGCAATGCTTGCTCTCTTTTCTCAATCAGCTCGACGATTATTTTAGGAAGCGCTGGAAATTGGTGTCCATTCAGTTGGTCGCTGATGGAGCCCATCGTGCTTCCGACGTCTCCCAGGATTCCCAGCTTCAAACTGCTCACGTTTCGCGCAATCTCGCCGGCATCAGTGTCAATTTGAACAATTTTGACATCTTTGTTGAATTTAGGAGGCTCTCCAAAATGGAGAATCCAGTTCAATCTGGCCCCTGCTACTAGCACCACGTCTGCATGCTTCAAAACCAATGACCTTGCAGAAGAAACATTACAATCGGAAGCATCTGGAATTATTCCTTTTCCCATTGGCGTGGGAAGGAATGCGATGTGGTGAGTTCCCACAAACTGTCTGAGTGTCTGTGATGCATTTGCTGCTCCCTTGCCAATTATCAGCAGCGGAAACCTGGCATCTTTCAGGAGTTCGCTGGTCCTTTTTATTCTTGTTAGTTCTGGAGTTATAGGCGAGAGTAATGAAAAATCGAACTTCATTACTCGAATATCTTCGTAGCATTCTTGTTTGATAAGGTCGTCTGGCAAGTCGACATATGTTGTCCCGGGAACATCTGCTATAGAAGTCCAATATGCCCTCTCGAGAAACCGCGGTATTTGGCTGCTTAGAACTGCGCGAAAGCTACTTTTTGCCCATGGCTTCATCAGACTGACCTGGTCCAATTCTTGAAATCCGCCTTTTCCTTGTAGGCATATTTTAGTTGATCCGGCCATGACCATGAGCGGCCATTTGTTGGAGTTGGCATTGTAGACGCCAGCTAGGGCGTTGACAATTCCCGGTCCTCCAACAGTTAGTAAGACCCCCGGCTTGTTGGTCAAATAGCCGTATATTGAAGCTGCTAAAGAGGCTTGCTGTTCGTTCCTAAAGGGAATAAACCGAATGCCTTTCTCAATGCAGGCATCAGCGATCTTCTAATTAGTCGAATTAAATGATGCTACCTTACCTCAACCACTGGAATACCAACAATACCAAAGACATGCTCCACTCCTAATTGCCGTAACGTTTCCGCAATGAGTTCTGCTCCGATCATGCTTAAAAATAAATACCCCAGGTTTTTTTTTGGTAGCCTAATTTATTAACGTATATCAGTCATAATATATAATCCGAGACAGAAGAACTCTGTCGTTAAAGTTGATCCACTGGTTTTTTTCGTGGTAGTCGCGCAATTCTTTATCCAAGTACTCCAACTTTCTTTTGTTGCTCATCAGTGTGACAACGTCAATCAAAGACGAAGCAGACGATGAATGCCCTAGGTTTCCGCGTAGAGCACCCCTCTTGATGCAGCCGATGGGATCTTCCACCCTGTTAAAGTCCAGAGGAGGAATTTTCACAAAGTATCGCGTGTAGAACTCGAGTTCTTGCTCAGGAGTCATGTAACCGTCTTCTGGACCAAAATCTGACTTGAAAGCCGGATCCACAACGGGTTTCGCTGTCTGGCTTCGAACCTTGGATAAACTTATCGGCGTAAGCCGCGAAATGGGAGACTGGTCTCGTTTGCCTCGGACAGAAATTGGAGTAAGTTCGCGGGGAGAAGAGTTCACGTTTTTCATTTGAGTCCTCAAACTCAAAACTTCGTTTCGTGTGGAATCATCATGTACCTCGTGCGCCTCCAATCGTTCGTCATGCTTCACCATTGGAGGATCTGATTCTTCGGTGAAGCTGTCGTCCAAACGCTCACAGTCATCGGAGGAAAACGTGCGTGGTTTTTTCGAGTCGCTCTTCAGGGCACTTAGATCGTCCTCTGAAAAATCGTCCAAATCAATAAGAATCGAGTCCTTTATGGTGTTACTCTTAGACAATGCGCGATCATGTTCCTTGGTCACTTTTTCAGCCTCAGATCTTGGTTCTTCGGGCTCTTCGCTAGCAAGAAGAATAGACTGTCCTATAGTGGACCCCAAAATGCTGGAGCTTCTATTCGCCCGGCTAGAGGAGCTGAACAGCTCTCTCAATTTCACTTCTTCGTCATCAGATGCCTCCAAATCGGAGATGTCATCCAACAACCGCCTTTTTTTACCATTTGGTACCTCTTCTTCCTGCCTCTGGCGGACCAACTTGGAAGCAGATCGAAAACCAGTCTCCACTCCGTCTGGAATGAAGAAGGACTTTATTGAGGGTTGTGCCGCGTCGCGTTGTTCAGCAGACTTCTTGCCCTTTTTGGTCTTCCCTTTGGTGGTGAGCTGTGTTGCAAGACGCAAAAATGCATCACTATCATCTGTTTCCTGTATGATTTCCTCGTTCTCTTTCGGAATGTCGATCAGTTTTTTCTCTGGTCTAGGATTACATCCCTTTGGAACGATACGGTCTGATGGATGGAAGCGAATATTGTTGCCTGCTTGTAAGTGAGTCTGTATCCAGCTGTAATTATCCATGGCTTTGTCAAACTTATCGCGCTCATTATTTGACAGAAGCAGAATGATGCGACCGTCTCGTTTTCTACCGGTTCTTCCCATTCTCTGGATGTTCTTAATCGGCGAAGAAGTCGAGTCATAACACACAATCAAATCAACTTCTCCAATATCCAGTCCCTCCTCACCTATGGAGGTTGCAACCAGCACGTTGAAGACTCCCTTCTTAAACTCTGCAATCAGCTCTTTCTGAACTCTCTGCGTCATTCCGCGGAGCTGTGCGTCCTCAGAGCTTCTAACGCGGTCATTGGGACGGAGTTTCAGCTCAATCTTAGGCTTGGTTTCTTTCTTGGATTCTGCTTGTTTGTTCTTGCCGCGCCCTTTGGGTCCATGCTTCTTGGCAAACGATTCCGAGTCAAATTTCTCTTTCTCCTTAGCTTGTCCAATGAAAATGTGCGGTTTGAATAATTCTCTAGGTCTGCTGGGATTTCGGGCATGGATGAAGCTGTTCGCAGACTCTAGACATTTCACAATATCCAATGCGCTTTCACGGAGCTCTGTAAAAATGATGACTTTGGAATTGAGGTTTTGTGTCTCATCAAAAAAGGATTCGAGCTCGTCAACCATATGCTGCATTTTCGAGTGCGAGAAAACTCCTCTGATGCGCTCGCCCTTTGCTGATTTCGTCTCATCCTCGACAATCATCTTCTCGACCCTATTTTTCAGCTCCTTGATTCTAGCATGGTAGTAGAAACTGGCTGCTATTTTGTTGGTCGACTTCTTGTTGTCGTACTTGGTTGTGAATTCGGTAAATTTGTCGAGGAAATACGAGTAGAACGTCTGTATTCCATAGACATAGAGCCTCCGCAACAGCTGACCCACAGTTCCCAGGAGCTGTAGCTGGAAGTAATACGTCCATTTGATTCCCTCTGCCAGCGTAGGATTTTTGATTACCTTTTGAGATTTCTCCATGGCTTGAAAATGGTTTATTTTCGAGGGATCTGTGATATCGTAAATACCGCTGCCATTGGCTTTCCGAAGCACGGGAAGAATAGCCTCACAGATCAATTCCACAATCAATGCAATGCTGTCAGTGACTTCGCAGTCGATTTTCAGGATGTCACGGTCCTTCATGTATTTAGCGGTGTCAGGACTATCTTCAGTGCGCACCTCAATTCGCGATATCACTAGATTATCCACAATTCCTTGAATTGACTCAACATCAGAACCAGGAGTAGCAGACAAACCCAGAATCCGGACACTTGTGTTGAACTTCCTCATGTATGACACAACCGCCGCATATGCATAGGCACCTTTGGAGCGATGAGCTTCGTCTACCACTAATAGCACAATGTCTTTGGGATTTAGCGTGCCGCTCTTCAAGTCATTTTCGACAACCTGGGGAGTCGTAAAGAAAACGCGTTTTGAGCGCCAGATCTCTGCGCGATTCCGTCGCGTTTTGTCAAGAAGAATAGCCGTCTGATCACTTGGAATGCCCGTGATACCATAACAGGCCTTGATTTGCTGAGCAACCAAAGGCCTAGTCGGAGCCATGAATATCACTTTTGCATCACGTGTCCAGCGAAAAAAATTGAGCATTACCGTGGATGCAACAAATGTCTTCCCCAGACCCGTGGGCAGCACGCAGAGTAAGTTCTGGTACAATGCCTGTTTAACAATTTCGAATTGATAGTCCCTGACCTCGTAATTGGTTGGGTAAACAAAGGTCTCAAGAGCGCTGTAGTTCAATGGATGGTGCGTGGGCCCGAAACGAACGTTTTTCTCGCGGATCTCTTCGTAGATCGTGGTTCCATTGCCGGTCTGGAACTCAAGAACGCCGCCATCTAGCGTGCGCTGTCCTATTTTGCGCACCTCAGAAAACCGATTGATCGCTCTGCCCGAGTCACGTCGAGGTTTGACTTCATTCAGAAATACAATTTCTCCCTCATCGCTGAAATCGTCGTCAGACGACATGATAAAATATCTAGATTAATGCAAACGCGTATTATTCTATATTATTTTTTTATCTGCACAGCCATGATCCTCACAGGTACTCTTTGCTGAAGTTATAGTTGATAACGATTTTATCGACCGGATTAGAAAGCGACTCGTAGTAATCTTTGAGGACTTGGTTCAGTTTCGAAAAACTGACGTTGTAAATGATGCTAAAGGAGTTCAAGCAGTTATTGAAAAGATCTTTCTCCAATTCCTGGGCATGTTTTTTACTAACCTCGCTTTCCTCTCCGCAGGTCATCTTGCCCATGATCTGCGCCGAAAGCTCTGCTGATAGCTGCTTGATATACGTCTTCAATTTGGATGATTCGAACTTGCTCAACAGCTTGCTCATATTCTGGGTGGAGTAGGCGTTTGTGCGCGATGGATTTGTGCGGGACTTGATCAGCCCATCGATGCCGTCTAGCACCGACACGAGCTCCCCAATCGCAGTGGTCCTAGCGTAAGAGTCACAGAAATCGTTGAGCTCGCTCGATTTCAGCTCCTCAATCTTTGTCCTAATGGTAGGAGGCAAAGTGCCCAAGTTCTTGACTTCTTCACTCAGCCACTTGTAGTTAAGTAGCAGAACCAGGTGGCCTGCTACATTCTCCATAACCGATGGGGCTGTTTTAGTAAGCTCCAGCCGAGTATTCTCGCTAGCTGTTCTGGTAAGAAGCATATCGTGTTGTCCTGTGAGTTGAGCATTTCTATGAAGGCAAGTGTTGAGTCCTTCCCAGAGTTTGTTGTAGTCGCTATCTAGCTGCTGCTTAATGGCATATTCCGAGACATTAGCAGCCCCGTTCAAGGCCATCATGTCTTCAACACGCCGGATGAATTCAGGGAACGCCTTACTGAATTTGTAAACTTTGAACCCGACCGGCTCTTTTTCCATAATATGCAGCTGGTTGTCAATGTGTCTCGTCCATATAAGAACTAGCTTTGAGTCCATTCGGCTCAGCATGTTAACCACGTACTCTTGGCCTGTCGACGAAAGATCTGCAATGAGCTTTTCAGCAAACAAGGAAATGAGTGGGAACTGCAGCATGTCCTCCTTGACGATTTTCGATACAAACTTCAGCAACTTGTAAATTGAGTCCCCAACGATCATATGCATGAGATTGAACGTCTGGTCGCTAACATCGCGATCTGCTTCCATCTGAGAAACGTTGGAATTGGTGAATTCATGAACTCGCTGAGCAAGTGGTTTTTTAATCATCTTGACGAAGTTGTACTCTTCGGACGATGACAACGAAAAGAACTGAATCACAAAGCGTTGGTGTGTAATAACCATATTGAAGAACAGCCTTAATAGCTCTAATAGCGCTGTCGCAAAAGTATGTTTTGCGATCGGTTCTGGCGAACTGCTGAGAGACTCTTGAGACGGTGTGCCCAGCCCAAGCTCCTGCAAGATTTTTGTATTCGAAGACATCTTCTTCGACTCTGTTGTTGGCCTAGTTCGTTTTGATATTTCAAGAATGATATCTTTTGGCTCGCTATTGAATGAAAATGGTGGAACCGTGGTCTTCTGCTTTTCGGAAACAATTCTCTCGAAAAGGACCGAAACAAAATTCATATAGAATTGTGAATAAGCCTCCTTATGCTCAACAAGCATCTGCTTATAGTCTTCTGGTGAAACTTGTTTCACGAAAGCCACCAAGCCTTGTAACGTCATCAGCTCTGCCAGTTTACGTTCGAGAGCAGAATTTATGGCATCCAAAGACTTTTCTGTCTGAAGTCTTGAATTCAGACTTGTCACCGATGCCTTGACCAGCTGACTTAATTGTTTTTTGAAGCCACTGACAAACATGGATACGGCCTTCTCGTACTTGGACTTCTTTTCTTCCAAAGCTCTCATCTGACCCATTTCTTCATCATCGGATTCGTTACCTCTGATCTTCATCAATGCCGCATACAAATTGCCCAAAGCAGCCTCAATACTTTCATTTTGTTCACCAATGGTAATCCGCTCATTCGGCAAACGGCTCAGGTCTTGGTCTGAGATGTCCACAGAATGCAAGATCTCGTTGAGCTCTTTCATGAGCAGCTTTTTATTCGTTGTCTCAACTTGAAGGCCTTTTCCCTGTTTCTCTATGTAATCAACCTCATCTTGAAAAGAAGCCAGTTGAATTCCGTAGAAAGCCAAGATAGGATCAATGGCCTCACATTCTATGATCGACCTGTTGATAGCTTGATTGACTGCAGACGAAGAGCCTACGACATCCGTCAGAGATTCGATTCTCTTGAACTGTATTCTCTCCAATTCCTTAAGCAGTTTCTTCCGCAAAGACTTCGAGTCGTCCACCTTGGGGTCCCATCCTATCTCATCAAAAAGCTCAGTGAGATCTCCCCCTTTTGGACTTTCATTGTCAACCCGGCTGAAAGCCCTCGATCTGGCATGAGGCCTCAGCAAATCCATGGTTGTATTTTCTTCTTCTTCATCAGAAATATCAAAGTCAGGTACAAATTTCTCGGCCTTCCCAACATTATGAGGTACTGGGGAGGGCACTTTAAGTGAATTGATGGAAATTTCTGGTTTTTCCGGGAAAGAAGTGTTTGTGCTCAAGTTCAATGGCGCTGTTTCTGGTTCGTCATCAGCATAGTCGTCAAACACAGCTTCGTACTCGTCGTCTTGCGTCAGTTCCTCAATTTCATGGTGAGATTTGCGGTGTCCTATAAACTCGATTGACTTGACAGATCTTGGTGACATGGAGCCGCTGTTACTTTTCAGAGCATTCAAGGTTTGCATCTTTTCCATCTCTCGTCTAGACTGCTCGAGTCTTTCCATCTCCAGTCTTTGTTCTCGTTGTTGGCGGTCACGCAGCTCGATCTCTTGCCTTTGTCGCTCTTCCTTCTTGCGTTTCTCTTCCTCCAGGCGTTCCATCTCGCGCAGTTGTTCCTTTCGCTGCTGGTCTCTTATCCGCTGTGCTCTTATTTCCTGTTCTTTGCGCTCCCTTTGAACTCTCTCGCGTTCTTTACGTTCCTGCTCTTTGCGTTCCTGCTCTTTGTCTATACCCCTCAAAGCGGAAGTTGTTCGTTGAACCTCTCTCGAGCGCATGTCACCTTTGCCATAGATGCCTATCCTTGATGGAGACACATCTCCTGAAACTGGAACAGGAGAATCAATACGCGTTCCAGGCGAACTATGGGCAGTTGGTGTGGTGGCCGATGTCCCTGTTCGTGTTCCACTGGTCATTGTATGTGAGCTCTCTGCAGTTGCAGAGCGACTCGGAAGTTTATAGGAATATTTCTGAAGAAGGGGTTCCAAATGGAAATACTCTACCGAACAATTCACCATCTGAGGAAGCTTCTTACCCCCAGTATATCTGATATAATGTTCAAGCACAGAAGTGAGCCAGACTCGCCGCTCTTTGGGATAGCTTGTTTCCCAATAGTACCTCTTGGCCATCTCAAAGATAAAGCCCGTCGGAACTTCTGGATCGAGCTCAATTTTGGTGAGCTCTTCGAAATCCCAGGTTCTGCCGATCTGGACGCTGGAGTCAGGATTCTCTCTGGCCTTGTGCAGACGAATCCTTCCTGATGATCTCACAGACAATATTAGAATGCGGTCTTTCTTATTACTAGCGGGGCTATTGTCAGGTGGCCGCTCAGACTGAGACTTTGAGTCCTCAATGATTCGGACGTGGGCCAAATACTTCTCAGCCCGGTGGCCTGACTGATCCATCTCCCTAAATAGATATTTGTTGATTTTGGAGATGTCAAGCTCATACCGACGAGCCAGATCAATTGATGAGTGAGAGGCCGTTTTCTGATGGCCCTTTTTGGGTTGGCCTGTGATCATAACAAATAAATAATTTTGAGAGATCTGTATATTGTTTGTTCTGTAATATCGAATATGATTAAAATTACATCCTTGCACCAAACTACAACTCAATTAAACTCAACTAAAAGCTTACCCTTGACGTAGCCATTTTGGAACTTGTCGACGGCCTTTTTGAACTCCTCAAACTTGTAAATCGTATCCACCAGGACGTTGAATTGTCTATTCTCCCACATGTCGCTCACAGCCTTAGCGTAGCCCGCACCATCGCTAAGGTTCCCGACAGCAAAGTCGTAGTTGGAAAGTCCTAGTTTTGAGAGAATCTGTTCTCTCAGATTTCCCCTGGATGGCAGCATATCCGTGTACCTGACTGTTCCGTAAGACATGGTATTGCTTCCCATAACCTGGATGTACTTTCCACCCTCTCTCTTGGTCTTAAGGACGTCCTTCAGACGTCCAAGCAAAACTTCGTCTCTGCAGGTATCAAAGATAAGATCGAACTTTCCGTGTTTCTTTGCGGCTTCAACGATCTGCTTGTACTCTTCTTCTTTGTCATGGTAGTCCACTGTTTCGTGAGCACCAAAATCGGAAGCAATACTGATTGACTTCGAAGAGCAGGTGGTGAGAATGTACTTGGCACCCAGATGTCTAACTATCTGAAGTCCCATCATACCCACGGAGGTTCCTCCACCAAGAACAAGGACATTTGCGTCTTTCAGATTCTTATGTCTGGTGATCAGCTCGTATGCGGTAGCAAATGGAATCACAATGCCAGCAGCCTTCTCCATAGGCAATTCTTCAGGAACCTTGGCGATCTTTGTTTGTTTGGTCACATCAATGACCTGGTAGTTTGCGAAGGATCCATAAGGAGTGTAAGGACTTAGGATATCTCCATAGATCTTGTCTCCAGCCTTGAAAGATTTTACTTCGGAACCGGTTTGCAGGACCACGCCAGAAAAGTCTCCACCAAAGCCTTTTGGTTGGCCTCTCTTCAACCATTTTGGACATAGTTGCCATAAGCACACATCGACGGGATTCAAGGCAGCATATTTTGTCTTCACCAAAATTTCGGTTGGAGCCAGGAAAGAGGATTCGGAACGGCCCTTGATCTCTCTCTTGGCAATCTCTAAAGGCGTGGAATAATTGTAGTATGTGACTGCATCAACAGTCAGGGTATTGTTGACAATTGGAGCTTCAGTCATACTAAAGGTAAAAAAACTTGCCTCTGAGTGCTCTTTAATACTTGCGTCAAATTTCACACTAAATTTTAGCCGAGCGTATGCCGACTTTGCCGATATTATAAATCACCATATTTTGTATTTCTGGAAGTTTCTTTCATCAGCAAGCAGCAATCGCTTGTTATGCGTAGCCCAACTAACTATTTTTCGACAGAGTTTTGCTGCTCGCTAGCTTGTGTATCCTCCTCGTCATGCTCCGCGAGCTCAGCATCTAGCTTCTTGCGCGTCTCCTCGTCAGTCACCTCGTAGCAGCCTGCTGCCTCGTCGATCACCGTCAGTTCTAGGCCAGAGTTCAGGATCTTGTCGAAGTCCTTGTGGTTGATTCGCCATCCCAGTTCCTTGCCCGTGAGATAGGTGATCACGTGGTCGCAGTAGCCCAGAATGTCAACGTCAAATTCGCAGTGGTAGATGGGATCTTTGTTGATCAGAATCTGCGGGACGTGATTGGGAACAAGGTTAACAATCTCGCTAACTGGGGCCACTTTCAATGACGTCCCAATGCAGATCAGCAAATCGCATTTCTCGATATCGCTCTTGATAGTGGTGTGGAATTGCTCGGGCAAGTCTTCTCCAAAAAATGTAATATCAGGCTTCATCACTCCGAAGGAGTTCACGTACTCAAATTTTCGCGAGTAAACGCCCTCGTCTTCCATCTTGTCCAGCTGAGCCAGTAGGCTCTTTCGTTCGTTCTCACAGAAGGGACAGTAGGCGATTTCCTGGCGCCTGAGGTGCCCAAAAAGAGTCTCTCCGGGCACCTTGTATTTACATGTAATGCAGCTGGCAGTTGCAAATGAGCCGTGGCACTGGACAATCTTTTCTTTTAGCACCCCTGCGTTGGCTTCCAGATTGTCGATATTTTGTGTGTAATTTCGAAGCAGCTTCCCTTTATCTTGCAACAGACGGATAAAGCCATGCAGTGGTGTATAGGCAGCTTCTGGAGGCAGAATCATATGTGCAATCGAGTAAAACACCTCCGGAGATCGCTTGAACACCTCCAGACTGAAGACATCCTGCGGGTCGTCGAGCCCAAGATGCTTCATTCTTGCGTAGAAACCTTGCGACGATCTAAAATCGGGGATCCCCAAAGAGGTGGATATTCCTGCACCCGTAAGCACCAAGACGTTTTTCGCATTTTCCAGCGCATTCTTGACGTGCTCAATCTTGTGAAAGCTGGGAAGTCTTGTGCGGATCTTGAGCACGCGATTCATGGCTTTCTGCAGAAAAAGAATGCATTTTTGCATAAACTCCTCTGTTTGGTCCTGATTTCTGTAAAAGCGACTCTCGTATCTGGGCGCATAGCCAAGCATACCAGTGACATGTAGTATATCCTGAGGCGAAGGGTCCACAGGTATGGTTTTTTCCAGAAATTCAACAAACCCGCGCAACTTGAGGAAACTTCTGGCGTACGAGCAAACGTTCTTGGTGATCTTGATATTAGTCAGGAGAGGAAGCGGGTCCCGGTCAAAGTAGTCCATTTTGTCAAAAGGTGGTTCCGACTCGTCAGCCTCTTCAAAATCGATTTCTTTCAATGCAAGTTCGTCCACCATGAACGTATCAGAGTCTTCTGATGATACCTCTGCTTCAGAGCTCGAATCGATGGGGGTGCTGGATTCCAATTTGGGTATTTTCGATTTGTGGATATCATCCGAGCTATCGCCACCAGCTTCGATAATAGGACTGCGTGGTCTTTTGGGCAAGTCTGCGGCTTGCAATGGAGCGATCGGCATATTCACACCGTCAGAGGCCGAAAGCGACATGTTTATTAAATTCGAAAATTGTACAAATTAACAATTGATTAGCTAATTTTTTTCCAACCCAGATCGCCAATGTGGCATATCTGCTTTTATGTTAGCTACATCTTGCTTGGCGCACAGACATCGGCTACGTGGAGTGATCGAAAGGCGCTGCGAGTTCAGGGGAGTGGCAAAACACGTATATTGGCCAGCTACCAATGCAGTCTATTAGTCCTCAATGTGGATCCAGCCAAGCCAGATCACACAATCGCGGGATCGGCTACTGTGTCTCTATACACAGAGACCTGGCGCCCCTCCTGAAAGATGCCACCCTCGTGTGTCTCTACATCCTTGCACCGCCAAAACCGGAAAAAGGCCTAGCCGGGTAAAGTAGTTTTTTTCATTATATTTTTATAAGATCGGCCGTAATGAGACCAAAGCACAAACCAGCTATTCCGCCACTCCCTCGGTTGAAGGTCCGCTCATCTGGCAAGAAAGGTGTTGGAGCAGGAAAGTGCGCCGTGGTGATGTCTCAGATGCTGAACTGCTGGGCCGCCAACGGTGAAGGTGCCGCAGCTTGCAAAGAACTTGAACAGCAGCTCAGAGAATGCATGTATTCCAAGAAAACCGTCACCAGCAAGTCCAGTCCAATGATCAACTTCCATGCCTCTCGTCTGTTACCTAAAATTCACCGCAAGGCTGACGATTAAAGACACAACCACAAGTTCGCTGTATATAAAGGATCTACGGATTGACTACTGTGGAGCGCATATAATTAAAAGTCATTTCTTCAATTCACATATAAAAATTAAGACATTAAATTAGGAGCTAATATCGTTTCTCGTTTCTCGTTTCTCGTTTCTCATTTCTCGTTTCTCATTTCTCATTTCTCGTTTCTCTCAGAAAATTAACCGCTGATATTAGACAAGAGGAACCTGAGCTGCTTCAGGCTCGTTCCAGGATCCTGGCATTCTGAGCCATTTGGTTTCTGGAATTGGTGCGTAAGAGTTTGCAGAGCTGGCCAATCCATCATAGACACCATAGAAAGCACAGACAGAAGCCAAGAAACTGAACACACCAGATGCCACCTTGCAACCCTCGTGCTCTCCAAACGTTGCAATGGTGTAAAGCAACATGAAGAACCACTTGCAGAAGGTCAGAGCAACCAATGGAATGGTGCTCTTAAATGTTGAAGTGAACAAAATGAAGTCAAAGACTGTCCATGCAGACAGATAAATTCCCAAAGCGTTGTTGTAGTCGTCCGTGTTTGAATAGTAGTCCTGGACGCCCAAAACGTCGGTGATAATGGCACCGAAGGAAGCGAAAAATGCACCGTAGCAAAGAAGTAAGACGGAACCAAACAGATTGTTATCGACAATAGCCCAAATACCAGTGATGATCTGGACTAATCCGGAAGCAAAGAAGAAAGCTCCGGACAGAATGGCTGGGTTCGTCACAGAGTGGGCTTGACACAGGATCAAACCAAGAGAGAACAGAGTGATGGCAATCATAGCAAGGCCACCAGCGCAAGAAGTTGGATATGGTCTCCATTGGCTAGACTTCTTGTAGTAGCTAGCTCTCAACAGGCCTGTCCTTGGTGGATAGACCACATACTCTGGCTCGTAAGTCATGTGCTGGATTTTCTCGTTGTGGACTGCGGTTTCGGTGTTGGATAGCTGATCAGACATTTCTATTTGATTTAGTACTGGATAGAACAGGGTCATCAGGACGGATATTTATACTGTTGCAAAGCCGAACGGTTCCTAGGTTCCTTGGTGTGTGCGGCTATGCGGCAAGAGAAAACGGTGGTGCGTGCCCATTAGTGGGTGACTAAACATGTCTACGGTACCTGTCGGAGACACGTCACGCCATGCCAATTAAGGTAGCTGATGCATGTAATTGTGGCAGTTTGGTACGATAAATGTTTCGGTACACATCGGCTTTTTTTTTTCCAGAAAATCCACCCCATGTCAAGATACGATAAACGGTAACTGTAATGACCTCTTGTTTATGGCGGAAACTTTTGGAATTTCGAGTAATTAACAAATTGTTCTCTGCATACGGAACGGCTGGTAGCAGGGCCGTTGATGGTGTGATCCGTCCCGAAAACTCCTATCGCCATTCCAGCGAATGGTAGAGCTACCAAATATTTGCTCCGGGATAAGACGCGCATTTCCACAACTTGATTTGTCTCCCTATAGTGGTGTGTCGCCTGTTTTTGATGCTCAAGTGTCTCATCCTTGTGTAAACTAAACTTAAAACTTAATATCGCATTTTCTGATTATGTAAAGCGTAAACTAATTTTTTTGGAAAAAATGCTCAGGGCTCGCTTGATACGACAGTACTCAAAACTGGGCCAAACGGTGGCAGAGGCCACAAAGGACGGCGTGGCAAGTTCCATCACAAACGATCACTCGTATAAGAGTTTTTTCGAGGATTTTTCCAAATCTGTGATGTCGCAGAACCAGCTATCCTCCATCAGCGAACAAAAGATTTTTGGCAAAGTGTTCGACTATCTTATGAAGAAAACAAAGCCAGCAGGCGTGGCTGAAACCCTGAAAGATCTTGTGAATATAAATGAACAACAAGCAAAGAGTCCGTTTCATGACTTGGCTCGAGGAACCGAATCCATCAAGGCGCACAGCTTGGAGACATACAGGAAAAGACTCGAACAAAACAAGGCTTTGCTCAAGGCACTAGAGCCAGCTCTGAACTATATCAATTACAACATTGTCACGAGCGAAGGGATGACGGAATACATAAAAAACGATCTTGTGGAACGGTTCGTGAGAGAATACTCCACCAAGAACAGAAATTCATTGGATCACGACCAGCTGGTTCATCACACAACTACTTTGACCTTCAAAAGCCCTTCACAGCCGCCTATCAACCAAAAAACATTTCCTCTTCTGCTAGAATACTGCTTGAATTCCCTCACATACGATTTTGACTCGTTCGACGACACGCTGCTCATCCTCGACTACATCAGACAACACAAGTCGATTTTTGTTTACGAGTTCGGCCTCAACATCGATGTTTACAACTCTGTTCTACTCCAGGTGTGGCGCAAAGCAGAAAATCTGCAGCTGATCAGCAAACTGGTGGATGAGATCAGCGCAAATGCTATACAGCCTGATCTGCTCACATACAAGATTTTGGCCAACATCTATCTTCAGTGCATGAACGTTGACGACGAATCCAAAGCCCGCTGCTACCTATTGTGGGGGAACGGCTCCGATATCTACAAAATTCGGTCTTTTCTGGATAACATGAGGCTCTCCATCGTGTAAATAGTGTATCTAAAAGTCATTTACATCCCTACACTGGGTGTCACGATAATTTTCTTAAAACGCGTAAACAGTATTTATATAATTTATTCATACACCGCGAAGAGAACGGCCTGTAGAAGTACCTTCTGAGACCAGTGCCTTTTTAACTGCATACAAGGACCCGACAACTAGGGTGCATGTCAAATACGATTCTAAGTGACGATGATATTGACTCCCGGAGAGTTTTCCAAAGCCTTTGAGGAGATCAAGACCACCTCTCTGACCCACTCTACTTGCAAACTAGTCATATTTGTTTCGTGTTTAAACGTGGATGCGATCTGCGCTGCCAAGATACTATGTGTTCTTCTCAAGCGGCATCTCATAGTGTTCCAATTAATACCTGTTGTCGGATATAATGATCTGAAGACCAAATATTCCAAGCTGGACGAGGGCATATCCAATGTGCTGGTTGTTGGCTGCGGCGCAATGGTCGATCTTGAGAGCTTTTTGGAGATTGATGTGTTGCAGCACGTCGAGGAGCTCGATCCGTTAGGCGTTCCAATCACTCCAGAGTCATCTACCACGGAGCCCCAAATGAAACTCACGCGACGCATATACATTTTCGACGGGCATCGGCCGTGGAACCTCGACAACCTGTTTGGATCGCAAATGGTTGCTTGTTTCGACGACGGCTCTTCCGAAAGAGAGCTCCAGAGCCAAAAATCGGCATACGAAGCATTGGTGGCCATGGACGATGAGGAGGAGGATGAGGTGGAAGAGGAGCCCCAATTTGATGATCTGGCCAGCGACTCTGAAGACGAGGTTGGCGGCCGCAAGCGTAAAAGCGAGGACGCCCTTCCCCAGCGCAAACGTTTACTTCTGGAGAACGAGAAAATCATACAAGATTATTATAATCAGGGTACCACCATTTCTATGTCTGCTGCAATACAGGTCTACTCATTGATTTCTACTTTGGGAGAGTCGAATATCGACTATTTGTGGCTATCGATTGTGGGGACCAGCTCGTTGAGCTCCGACTTTGCCAACACGTACGAGTCTTTGGTTCCGCTTCTCAAGGATGAGGTCAACAGATTGCAACAGAGCGACGACCGAGCAGAAAATACAGAGTCAACACTAGACTCTGCCAGAGCGAAGAAAGCAGACGACTCAGCGCTGCGGGTCGACAAAGACTACAGCCTGTTTCTTCTTCGACATTGGAACCTTTACTGCTCGTTTTTCTATTCCAGCTACGTCAACTCAAAGCTTCAGCTGTACACAAGTAATGGAAAGCGGAAACTAAACACTATGTTTGCGCGCATGGGGATCTCGCTTGCGGCTGCCAACCAGAATTGGCATTATCTAGACATCAACCTCAAGAAAAAACTGCATACTGTCTTCCGCAAGAATTTGGGTCAGTTCGGGCTGACAGATGTGATCAGAGACGGGTTTGTTCGCGACTTTGGATTCCACGGTTCTCTGTCTGCCGGTGATTTTGTGGAGGCTGTGACGGCGTTATTGGAGTACGACGGGGAGTTGGTCACCCAGGACACAAAGACAAGGCCTCCAACTCCAGAAGTTGAAGATAACGCGAAGGATATTCGAACACTGATCCAGAGAAGGGAGGCACAATTTGTCTCGAATTTTTGGAGAGCATACGACGCGCTGGACGATTTCGAGCTGATCACCAGGGGGCTGAAGATCGCAAAGCTTCAGCAACAGTTTATTTTCGACAAGGGTTTCGAGATATTCCAAAAGAAAATGATCAAGAATCTGCGCATCTTCAGGCTTGTTGTGCTGAAGGATAACTTTGCAACCAACAACACGGTGTCAGACCATTCTCTGATCCCAGACTTTGGCAACTCTGACTCCATCGAAATTAAAACGTTCAGCAGCAATACCAAGCTCTTTCAGAACCCTCTCATCCTCACAAAGCTTGGCAATTGGATTCTGGAGTCCTGTGCAGAGCTGGACAAGAGTGTCTTACCGCTGGTGATTGCCTCTCTTGACGTGGACACAGGCACGTATCTCGTCTGTGGACTTCCTCCCAAATACCCAAACATGAAGGGTGTCGAGGAAGCTGCTGAAAGAATCACTGTGCTCAACACGTTCTCGCTCGCGTTCCAAGAAATAGCACACAGCACGGGGGCCAAGGCCAGAATAGACAGCTTCGAAAGCTCCATGATTGAAATCCGAAAAGACGACCTCCCTATGTTCCTTGAACGTCTCAGTTTGAGCGGGCTGGTCTAATCTCGTGCATTTATAATAAACTAGATACCATTGCGTAGCAAATCTAAAAAAGTGTTTACTAAAAGTGCACAGCCCAGATCTATGGTTTTATTTATTTATATTTATTAAATGAGCTCTCCGTCAAAACAGCAGGTACACCCTTTCCCCACATTCACCCCTACGAGACACCTCGAACAGCGTCGAATGAAGCGTGCTGCAACTTCTCCTCCGCGCAAACGCACAGCCACGACTCCCATCTCGCTGACACCACTGTCAACGATGCGGAGGATCAACTCAAGGCACACCAGTACTAATGGCGACCGGCCGACTGTGCTGAATTTCCAGAGCGCCACGAAAACAAGCTCCTCAAAACTGTCTAAACGAGAGGGCGCCAACGAAAACGTTTTCCTGTCTCCAAAACAGAACAAGAGAGTAAGCACTGACACCGAGCTTAAAGAACTTCTGCTCGAGAATAGCAGACTGATGAAAATCCTTGCCCAAAACCAGGAACTAATCATGGACTACATCAGACGGAAGTAGGAGGCATTTTCTCTATTTGTTTCTTGACAATCTCAAGTGGTATAATCGCGTCTTCCAACGAATCATGCTGCCCACCCTGGATGTTCTTGCTCAAAAACCGCCATGCAAGTTTTTTCAGCGGATCTTTGCGACGAGGGTCGACTGTCTTCTCTGAAAACAGCACTGCTGTGTCCACAATTTTGGGATAGACAATCCGCAACACATTGAGATCGTTCTCCAAGCCGTGTCCAATAATCACGGTGTTCTCGTCGGTGAGTCGCGCCATTTTCTCAAGCATTTGCTCCCATGTCATTGCGTTTTCCGGAATCGACTCGACACCAGAAACAAACGTATTCAGATCAATTACATCGCCCTTGGGTTTGACAATCTCGTCCATGATCAGAGTGCACTCTGGGAACTTGACAAGACTCAATTTCATCATTTCGAACCCACACGAGGTATAGCACATCTCGCAGTCCAGCCCAATAGCTGTGTATTCAGGCTTATCTTTAATGTTGAGCTTTTCGCGCAATTCTTGAATAGTTGCAAATGGCCGCTGATAATGCATTTCTGCCGGATCATTCAACTTAAAAACATGCTTTGACAGCTCTTGACAACCCTCCGTGTGGCCAGGAGTCTCATTACAACATGAATAGTGGCGATTTGCATAGTTGTGGTTCCATTTTTTAATTCCCGAGCTTAAGCTGGTGATAATTTTCCCTGGATGAAACCTGCACACGCTCTTATGAGCCGGTAGGTACTCCTCAGCAGCCAGAAATGACACTTTGCAATGTGCGCACTCAAGTGTCTCACTATGTTTCCTTGCTTCCGGTACATCCAATATGAAGCCGTGTCTCAAGAGCGTCTGTCTGGAAACACATAAATGCTGCAACCTCCTGATATATTCCTCGCTAGACAGACCTTTTGAAGTAGAATCGAGCTTGGGTTTTTTCTTCACTATTTCATACATCCGTCGCTTAATCATTCGAACGTATTGTGGCTGTGTTTTGCTGTTGGTTGCCACATCATGTTCTTGATCAACAGCAGTAACAACAGAATTAGGAGTTCCAAGTTTTTCCAATTGTTCATGAAATATTCGAAGATAATGTCTTCTTTCCTCGTACTTTGCTGGCGAAAAAGGAATAACCGGCCGCGGAACAAGTTTTACAACATCTGGTGTGGAATCAAACGGGTCAACGCTTTCGATCTTCCGCTTCGACATGGGTGGCAGAGAAAATTTAAAGTGCTCTCTTATTTTTTTACATAGTACCGACCACCGGTCGATCGTCGCTAGTTCGTCAAAATGTCTTACTATTATACATCAACTTTTAAGTTTTTTCGTTTCGCCAGTGCTTCCTGGCGCTGGCGAAGCTGAATTAGTCGATCCATTAGCCCCATTAGCCCCATTAGCCTCCGATCCATTGGCCAGCTGTTTTTGCTTCTGCTGCAGCATGCGCTGTTGTTGCTGAAGAAGACGTTGCTGATGGGCTTCAATTTGCTTCTGTCTGATGTGGTGGATGCTGTCGTATGCTTTTGTCAACAGCATACAGCCAAAACGAATGGCTTGAGTCTGACTACCAATTTGGTTAAGCTTTGATGGATCCAAAGGATTGTAAGGCGGCAAATCAGAGTCAAACATGAAGCGGGACTTGAGTCTCCTCTTCGCATCGCTCTGAGAGTCATAGACATTTATATGTCTCTTGCGGGATGCCAACTCACTATTCTGTGGCGGTGTGACTGGTTCGTCCTTCGATTCTTCTTCGCCGTTGTCTGATTCCAACTCTAATTCATCATCAGACGCATTCAAATATTCTTCGAAAATAGAATCATCCTTGACACGCTTGCGATCTATCCACATTCTTCCGTAACGACCAACACGTTTCCTAAGTTTATAAAGAACTTCAGACACAGAAAGTTTGTGCTGATTGGCATTATTTGGATTGTAGAATCCGGTATCCTCATAATCGCGGTCCTGTCCAGTGAGATCATAAAATTCTGGCAAGTTGTTTCTATCATTCTTCACCACCTCTCCATCAGCAGCATTTATCTTCACAATTTCGTCATCTGTATAATGCTTGTGGCTATTGAGAATTGAGGAGAAGTCGGCCTCCCTTGAGCTCTCGACCTCATACATTGATGAGGCGATAGACGAATAAGGAAGGTGTGATCTTTCTTTTAAAGTTTCATCTTCATTGCTTGCGATCTGGAAAAACGGATTGTAAGGATCATCCGTGAAGTTGACCCACCCTTCATCCTGCGCGCGCCGTTTCACCAGTTTGTCGCTGACAGCCCTCTTGATTCCCTCCAGCTTGTCCTGCAAAACAGCATTGACTGTTGTTAAGTCCAAATCTGGAATCCGAGACGACGGAAGTTTGACGTATGGCTGGACAGCAACTGGGTTCGCACCCTGCCCTGGCTGTGTCTGAGAATAAGCGCCTCCCTTCTGATACTTTTGTCTTTGAGAGGCGACCAATTTTTCCTTTTCCAGTTGTTGTTTGCGGCGCTCCTTGGCCAACAATCGTTCCTTCTCCGACATCTGCTGCGCTCTGAAAAATTCCGGATCTGGTAATGGCGGCCTTTTTTTCTTATGTGTGATCAAATCGTCTTCTTCTCCCTTGACTCCTAGCTCTCTCTTCACTTTCTTTGTTTCGCATCTCAAGTTGAAAATCTCCTTGTCGGTCTTGAGCTGCTCAAGTCGCCGAACTTCCCGTTCAGCAACCATAAATAAAATATTGCGAGCATGCTTTAGGTCTTTGTAAAACACTGCAAGACGCTCTGCACCTTGTGTATCGGTTCTTCTGGTCTTTCTCGCTTGTCTGAATTCACGGCGTCTGAAACAAACATATGGGTCATTGTCGTCCTTATGCGATGGATCTTCAAACTTGAGTGTAGGGAACACTGGCTTACCGTTTCTGGCTATGCGACGAGCTTTCCAATGCTCATAGACCTTGCGACCAAACATATCGAAAAGCACCTTTAAAGGACGAGGTTGCTTTCCGCTCGTTGGCTTGGCGTCGAGCAGCGTTTTGAACGGGTGTATATTAAGCTGGTTTTCCAATGTCCGTGCTACGTCTGCGGGATCAGATTTGTCTGGCACCACTGCAACCTCCACTATTTCCTTGAAACTCAAGATCTGCTGCGGATCCATCGACAAAAATGGCTGTTTTTCATTCACCACAGACTCGAATCTGTGTGCAATCATCTCAAACTCGTCTTCCGTGCATTTGTTGTCTAGCGAACTGTTCATCTTTTCAAGAAACTTTTCGTCTTCCTCATCCATACAGTAGGGACATCCGGATACATCCTCGACGGTAGCTGAGAACTTGATGTATGAAGCAGGTGGGACAAACTCATCCTTGTAATACTTATCTGCGTCTGCCCAAACTTTCGAAGCGTCTGGTGTTGGAATATAAACCTGTTCGACCTTTCGACCTTGTATTTTAGCTGCAGATGCATTAATAACTTTCTGCAGGTGATGTTCTTCTTCCTCTCCTTTTTCCACACCGGTTTCGATCTGTTGTAGATCTCGCTGCTGCTCAGCAAGCTCAAGATCTGGTATATCGCGCTGCTTCCACACTTGGAGCGTCTGCTTCACCGAGATCTTGCGCTGCCTGAAGCGAGCACCAGCTGATGATGGGGGTGCCATTGTGTAATATAATCGATGCCACTCCTTTACACCCTTACACCACTGTTTATTTGCCCCTTACTTGTCACAAACAACACGCTTAGATCCTGGTGGACTTGAAGCGGGCAATCCCAATCTGTGTACAGTCCGGTTCTTCTCTGTATTCCAGAGCGAGATACGCAGTCCTGTGTTGGGTAAGTTCCACAGAAACTCCTATCTCGGAAATTGAAAAAAACACACGTATTTGTCCCGTTCTCTCCAGTATGCACGCACACACTCACGGTCTTGAAATATTGGTGGCCTTGTAGATGTAACTAGGAAGCCTTGGCTGGCCTGACTCCTTATTGGGCAAATATTAACCTGGTTATCCTAAGATATTCGAATATGTACAAGCTGGCCCAATTTACGAATACCCGGATTTGCCTTCGCTTGCCATGCTCGGGGTTGCCTTTTCGCGAACAAATTTTTCGACGAAGGGTTATGAGCACTTGTCACAAGGCAGGGGAGAGCGCGCGTATCCATCTACACATCCTTGCACTGGATATGGTATTTTCCCAGCGTATCCTCGGCCACTCTACTTGGGGAGCCGACCACAGGGTCCGTCCCCGCCTGCGTCTTCGGGAACGCCACAACGTCTCTGATGTTACTGGACCCAACAATCATTGAACAGAGTCGATCAAATCCCAGGGCAAATCCTGCATGCGGTGGACAGCCACTGTCTAGAGCTTTTAAGAGGTGACCAAACAACTCTTCGGCATTGTGGACCTTCAAAATCTCCTTGAGGACGTATCTTTGAACCTGGGCATCATGAATTCTTTGCGATCCTCCGCCAACTTCAACTCCGTTGATCACCAAGTCGTAATGTTCTCCCTCGACGTCCAGAACGTTGTCCAGAGAAGGTGTAACTCCTTGTGTCAGGTCAAACATCGTAAAAGGATGGTGAGTCGCCTCATATGTGTCTTTTAGATAAACAGGATATTCTTTTCCCTTGGACGAAGGGTCTTCCTTTGGCGAGAAAAGCGGGAAGTTTGTCACCCAGCATGCGGCGAAGGTATCATTCGTCGAGTGTCCAGTGTCGTCTCTCCAAAGATCAGGGAAATGCTGTATGGCCAGCTGTCTAAACTTTCCTAAAGGCGTTGGGTTTTCATAAACATGTCTCTGTCTCTCTTTGTCGGGGTAAACCAAGTCACCCAAAGCCACGACATCTCCAACTTGAAGACCGAGACTTTCATTCAATTCGTTGATGTTTCCCTTGAATGCAAATGGAGATTCCGAATGCCATGTAGTGAGATGGTGCATCGATTTGATTTTGGCAATATACAGCCTGCGGTTCGAATACTCGTGTGAACTAATCAGCTGGTCGACTCCGTCAAGGTTCGCAGCTCCAGGAAGAACAACTCCTTGAACGGAACCTTGGCTATCGAAAAACTCGTCAAGAAGCTTGAATCTTAAGTTAGAACGGAGGTCCGGTTTGTCAATTCCGTAATAATGCATCGCCTCTCTATAGGAAAGTCTTTTAAATGGCTTTTCTCCAGCTAAAACTAGGCTAGACATGTCCTCGCTTGGAGTTAACAGGTCAACCTGGCGAGTCTCCTTGAATATAGCCTTTATAAGGGTCTCCACTGTGTGCATAACTTCTTCCTTCTTTGCAAACGACATCTCCAAATCGATCTGAGTGAACTCTGGCTGTCTGTCTGCACGAAGATCTTCGTCGCGGAAGCACTTGGCCAGTTGGTAATACCGATCAAAACCGCTGGCCATCAAGAGTTGTTTGTACTGTTGTGGTGATTGAGGAAGAGCATAAAACTGGCCTTGTTTCCTGGTCGGTACAAGAAACTCGTCGGCTCCCTCAGGCGTTGATTTGAACAGCAGTGGTGTCTCGATTTCCACAAATTCGTTAGCGTCCAGTACGAGACGTGCAACCGCAGCAATTTGTGCCCTTTTCCGTAGTGACTTTTGATAGTACGGTTGTCTAAGTTGGAGATACCTAAACTCCTGTGGAAATTTGCCGGTTGTATGTTTCAGAGAGTTTAGCTGCACAGTTTGGATGTCCGCAGAGTTCAAAACCTTCAGGTCTTTTAATACCAGCTCCCACGTTTCCGGCTGCCCATCTTTGCTTTTCTTTGGCTGTACAGTGCCCACCACGCTCACCACATCCTCGGGCTTCCTGGAAGCAAGCTTCTCAGCTGTTTCCTGGTCCTTGCAAACGAGTTGGGCATAGTCTGATTTTGTGTCTCTGAGACATGCAAAAACAAGCTTGGAAGACAGCTTTTTAGGAGCTCGATCGATCCAGCCGTTCAAAATAACGGTACTTTGTCCCACCCTATTGTGGTCCTTGTTGATCTCACGAATCGTATGAGTCGGCTTGTCAAAGTTAAACTTGGCCGCAATTTCAGCAAAAGACACCAGGTTGTGTAGCGATCGGACGAAATGGGCCGTAATCGGCCGTACTTTAAGATTCATCAGGAAGAATCTCAAACAGGAACAAGCTTACGGTGGTGCTTTCGTGAACACCTTACTCCTGGTGTGTTTCACACGACTCATGAAATTAAAAATTTTCCAAGCACGAACAAAAGTACATTATAATTGATCTTGAACACTAGACAAAATGTCGTTGGGTACTTTATATGCTGGTGAGGCCACCAGAGTTTTGGCCGCCAAAGGTGTCGTCAAGGCTCTGGACTTGGACGTCAAGTTTGGTGAGAAGACTGATGAGGCTTTCCAAAAGAACTTCCCATTGGGAAAAGTTCCAGCCTTCATTGGTCCAAAGGGCTACAAGCTGAACGAGGCCATCGCTGTCCTCTATTACTGTGAGTATTTGCAAACACGGACCATGATTGATGCTTTTATGATGAAATATTTCCATCAATTATACAGTTATCCCTGTCTTAAATACCATGTCGAGATTGCGAATCTGAGATGCATCTGGTCCGTCTTCCTATGTGAAATTCTTACTAACCTCTCTAGTGGTGTCTTTGAAAGATGAAAATCACCCATTGCTCGGAAAAACCTTCCAAGACCGTGCTCAGGTCTTGAAGTGGATCTCCTTCGCTTCCTCCGAATTCATGGTTGAAGCTACGACTGCTTTCAAACCATTTGTTGGCAAGGCACCATACAATAAGAAGGCTGTCGATGAAGCCCTCGAAAAGATGGAGAAGTGTGTGTCTGCTCTGGAGGCTAGATTGGAGCACTACACTTACCTTGTCGGCGAGAGACTGACCATCGCTGATGTGTTTGTTGCTTCTATGTTCTACAGACCATTCACCATTCTGTACGGTGACGAGTGGAGATCCAAACACCCATACTTGACCAGATGGTGGAAGACGATTGCTGCCACTGACTTCCTGAACTGGTTCTTCAAGGACGTCAAGCTGATCGAGAAACCTATGGAGGCTCCAAAGCCAGCCAAGAAGGAAAAAGCTCCAAAGGCCGAAAAGGCTCCAAAGGCCGAGGCCGCTCCAAAGGCTGCTGCCGAAAAGCCAGCCGAGGAGCCAGCTCAAGAGAAGAAGCCAAAGCACCCATTGGAGGCTCTTGGCAAGCCAACCATCCCACTCGACGAGTGGAAGAGAAAGTACTCCAACGAGGACACCAGAGCCGTTGCTCTGCCATACTTCTGGAACGAATTCTTCAACCCAGACGAATGGTCTTTGTGGAAGGTCGCTTACAAGTACAACGACGAGCTTACCCTGACCTTCATGTCAAACAACCTGGTTGGAGGATTCTTCAACAGACTGTCTGCTTCCACTAAGTACATGTTCGGTTCTGCTGTCGTTTATGGAGAAAACAACAACAACGGTATCATCGGTGCTTTCCTTGTCAGAGGACAGGACGCTGTTCCAGCTTTCGAGGTTGCTCCAGACTGGGAATCTTATGAGATCACCAAGCTAGACCCATCCAAGCCAGAAGACAGAGAATTTGTCGATAACATGTGGGCTTGGGACAAGCCTGTCAACGGCAAAGAGATCGTTGATGGTAAGGTGTTCAAATAATCTGTGTGACGGTAGTTTAGATAATAAGATGCGTTTTCACGTCCCGGAAAATTTTAGGTTTGGGCTGTAGCCACCCTGCCCGTAGTAGTGCTTGTGTGCCGCACTTGCTGATCACTCTGAATCGTTTGCTGCCGAGATTGGGGCCATTATGCCATCTTACCACCAACAACAGCACGTTGAGTAGCTTGAAGTCGTTAAGAATGGACACCAGCCGTTCTCCGGCCCCTTTCTCCCCGTTGTCGTTCTTTCCCTGATCGAGATTCGCTATATGTGGGGGTTTGGGCGCAGTTATAGCAGTTCTCCAGGCGAACATGGCAGGATGGGTAGCCTTCTTGATAGCAGGGTTTTCCTCGTGCAGTTGCGATATCAGCAATGGAATCTCATTTTTTGACGATATAGGGATACACCAACCTTGGAACCTGTCCTTCTGGATTATTTCCACCGGCGACGAAATCCATGAAGTAGTCATGTGTGGAAAAATAATTTGCAGTTGATTATTTTAGCTATGGACAAGGCCAAATATAAGTACCGGCTGGAGATCCAGCAGATGATGTTCGTCAGCGGCGAGACGAACGACCCTCCAGAAAGCACTACCATGGTGATTGAGACGATTGTTAAGGACCAGGTGGTGGAGCTGATATTGCAAGCACAAAAGACGGCCAATGCTAGAGGACAAAAGAGCATTTTGCCCGAAGATCTTATTTTCCTGATCAGACACGACAAGGCGAAGGTCAACCGCCTGCGGACGTATCTTTCGTGGAAAGATGTGCGGAAAAACGCCAAGGACCAAGAGTCCGGCGACCTAGGTGCCGGAAATGATCTGCTGGACAATCCTGCGGGAGGGGCTGCTGGAGCACCCAATGCAAGCGGAATGGACAACAAAATGCTTGCCAAACAGAAAAAGTCACAAATTCGTCTTCCCTGGGAGCTGGAGTTTATGTTCAACGAGCAGCCTCTGGAATCCAACGACGACGGACATGGCAACCAGATCGACGAAGAGGAGCGTGAAGCCGTTCTTGCGCAATTGAAACGGCTCAAGCAGAATGATGAGAGAACGAAGAACATGACGCAGAAGGAATATGTGCATTGGTCGGAGTGCAGGCAGGCGAGCTTCACTTTCCGTAAAGCCAAGCGGTTTAGAGAATGGTGTGGGATGGCTCAGCTCACTGAGAGTCGGCCCAATGACGATGTTATTGATATTCTTGGGTTTTTGACGTTCGAGATGGTATGTTCCTTGACCGAAAAGGCTCTGGAGATAAAAAAGAATCGGAGGGAAGAATTCAGGCAGGAGAAAGAGAATAAGAAGCGCAGGTACCTGTTCGACGAGCCAAGCAACGATACCAAACCTATTATGCCAGAGTATATCTACGAGGCATGGAGACAGTTACAAACAGGACCCCAGGAGGGTCGGTGCCTATACAATTTCCGCGGCGGAAGATTGAAGGAGAAAATTAGACTTATCTAACTGAAAAAATAATTATATAATTAACTAAATGGCCACTATTCTTAGTCGGGCTGGTCCTTTTACAGACCCAGACTATACGCCAGAATTTGGTCTAAAGTCCCTGGCTACGAGCAAGGTTCTTGTGCTAGGCGCAGGAGGGCTGGGATGCGAGATTTTGAAAAACCTCGTCCTCTCAGGGTTCCGCCATATTGAGTGCATTGACATGGATACGATCGAGACTAGCAACCTGAACCGCCAATTTTTGTTTCGATCGGCTGACGTAGGCAAGTCAAAGGCCATTGTGGCGTGCGAGTTTGTCTCCAAACGCTTAGCACGCCAAGGATTAACCATTCTTCCTCACTTTTGCAAGATTCAAGACTTTGACGACGATTTCTACTCCCAGTTCTCCATTATTGTGTGCGGACTAGACAGTATTGAGGCCAGACGATGGATAAATGAGAAACTTGTGTCTTTGGCAGCAACCATGGGCCACATCATTCCCTGGATCGATGGAGGAACCGAAGGATTTCAGGGATCGGTCAAGCTCATGATCCCCACCATTACAGCGTGTTTCGAGTGCTACATGAAATTGGTTCCTGTCCAGACAACATACCCGCTGTGCACGCTGGCCTCAACGCCTCGATTACCGGAGCACTGCATCGAATGGGCCCATGAACTCGAATGGCCCAAACGCTACTCAGATGTGGACTTCGACCCCGATATTCCTGAACACGTGGACCTCATGTACCAGCTGGCTAAGGAGCGCGCCAGTCAGTTTGGCATCGAGGGTGTTACGAAGGCCAAGACGCTCGGAGTGGTGAAAAACATCATTCCAGCAATTGCGTCGACAAACGCAGTCATTGCCGCTGCCTGCTGCAACGAGTGCTTCAAATTTGTTACTTCGTGCGCGGAGAACATGCGGGATTCCATGTACTACAACGGAGAGACAGGAGTGGTATGTGTTTCCGATCCGTACGACAAGGCCGCAGACTGTGCCGTGTGCGCCAGCTTACCTCAAGAATATGTCATTGAGGAAGGGTGTACGCTGGCCCAGTTTGTGGCCGGGGCCACACAGAATTTTGGGCTCCAGCAGCCGTTGTTCTTCACAGCGGAGGGCGACTTGTACAACTCGAAAAAACCTGACGCTTTTGTGACGGATATTCCAGTGGTTAAATTAATTCCGTTCGCGGATCGAGTTGCCAACTTGCAGATTAATATTGTTGACAGTTCAAGACCGTCCACGCTGAAGCTGGTACTCAGGGTGGAGTGACCGCCGACGCCATCAAGTACATAGGCCAATTTATGGTAGATTCGCGTGTTCAAAGTTTATATAATATATGTCCTTTAGTCTAACGGGCTCTATCTAACCGTGCTTAGAGAAGTAGTCCTTTGCCTTGTTGACCTCTGGCTTGATGGTGTCAGAGCCAGCAGTCCAGTTGGCTGGGCAGACCTCACCGTGGATCTCGGTGAATTGGAAGGCCTCCAAAAGTCTCAAGGACTCCTCAACGTTTCTACCAACAGGCAAATCGTTGATGGTGATCTGTCTCAAAACACCCTTAGGGTCAATCAAGAAAATACCTCTAAGGGCAACACCCTCCTCCTCAATCAAAACACCATAGTCTCTGGAGAGAGTGTGGTTAGTATCAGCAAGCAATGGGATGTTGACCTTGCCCAATCCACCGTCGGCACGTGCAACATTGGTCCAAGCCAACAGAGAGTATTCGGAATCGGTGGAAGCAAACAGGACTTGGCAGTCCTTGTCAGCAAACTTCTTGGCTGCCTCGGAGTAGGCAATGATCTCGGTTGGGCAGACGAAGGTGAAAGCCAATGGGATGAATGCGAGCAACACCCACTTGCCCTTGAATTGTTCAAGGGAGACTTCCTCGAACATACCGTCGATGACGGCGGTCTTCTTGAAGGTTGGAGCTGGCTTTTGAATCTGAGCGACCATGATGAATCTAAGTTATCGTGCAAAAATGTATCAAGATCTTGGAAAAAATTCCAGGATGTTCCTCATCCTTTTATACTCACCCTGTGGGGCACCGAATTGGCTCGAAAAAGCTTACTTACGTAACTATCTGTCTTATCAAATTACTAACTAAACCAAAAATTCTGGAACGGTCTTAAATATATACGTAATCTGCACAGCCCTGATTATTAAAGTGAAAAATTATTAAATCGAGCCAGCCTTAACTAAGGTGCTGCGCGTTATTCCTGTTGGGCCGATAAATCAATTTGCTCTCGTTCCTGCTGATCTCTGAGCATCTTTTCCACCAATTCCTGCTGTTTTTGCAGTTCCTGTTGGCAGAGCAGGAACACCGTTGGGTGCAGAGTGATCACCAGTAATATGGCGTCCTGCAACGCCACACATAAATAATGCTTTAATTCCCTTTTTAGGTCTAGCTGGCCCTCGGGCCTATTTTTTCCTGGCAATTGCAAAGGCCCGCGTCTTTCGTGTTGCAGAAGAAATCGGAGCAGCTGGATTATCGACAACTCTAATTTCTGTTGCACCAAATCAGACAAAGATAGTCCTTTCTGCACCATGGGCAACACAGCGCTCTGAGCTGACTCTGGCAAATCATTTTCGACCAGATCCCTCAAGCTCGTCCACAAGTCGCGTCCGACGATGGTACCCAAAATGATATATCCGAGGAAAATGTCTGCAATGAAATTTCTGACGACTGACACATTCTTTACCTGCGCTGAGGTACCCACCACAACCACCCCGATAGCCAACTTGATTACCACCCAGCTGATATTCACGAGACGCCAGAACGTTCCCTGTGTAGCGAAATGCACTGCTCCGCGGACTAGCAGTGAGGGCGTGCTGAAAAGGAGATGCAATGATGTAGCGAACACCTGGCCCATCGAAGCCGACCATTCGCGCGCTGCCGGTGCACTACGGGCATGGAATTCTGTATTAAGCGGGGCAAGGGTCGCCAGTTTCTGACGGCCTGCGTTGGACAACAGCACGTAGGAATCGTAGCCGGTCTGGTGGTTGTCAACGAGAATGCAGTCTTGAGAAGTCAATTCGACCTTGTTCTCGCGTCCGAGCTCGTCTGTAATGGCCACCACGTATTTCTTGAGCTGTGCCACTGAGCCGGGCAGTAGCACGCTAATAGATATTATCGTAGGCACCTGGTCGGTCGTGACGTTTGCACCACATTTTAATATGTGGTACAAGGGCAAGCTTGGGTCCAACGACTTGGATGAGTGTTCATTTTCAATCACGATTTCCAAGACGTCTTGTTCGTCGCACAGATTTAGCAGCTCGGAGACAGTAGTCTGCAGAGTTATTCCGCGTACTAGCTTGGGCTCTCTGTTGGCGAGTGGCCGCATATCTGACGAACAATACCGGAATTCGGCCTCAAACTCGACTTCCAGCGGCGACTTGCCATAATCATCGAACGAAGACATAAAGTGGGAAGGGTTCTAAAAATCCAATTCTGCCAAATACATTGCGGGTGTCTGACACGCAAATAAAATTTTCGACGCTCGGTTAACATTTAAATTAGCGGAGCTTCTAAGTGTCCTGTTTAGATAAAAAGTTGCTGGGCTACATGTTTGTCCGCGTCCAAATTAGCAAGACCGTGCAAGGGGGTGTTGCAAACCCCGTTTGCAGTCGTCAGATCGGCTCCTTTATTCGCAGTGTGCTCTGTATGGACCCACCGCCTTCTCCTGATGATCCTACGCCAGAAAACAGATTCCATCCGTGGGACCAGTCGCCTTCGCCGGACTTAAGAATGCGGGCTGCCACCATCCGGGCAAAGGCCAAGTGTCCCGTCACAAACAAAGATATCAATTACACCTGTCCATATTCGGGTATACCCACGCATCACTCCAGAGAGGCGTGGGAGCAAGACACCAATTACCACGATTCCAAAAGGTACGAAATCTTGAAAAAAGTCAACATCTATGAGCACGACCTGAGATCCGGAAGACAGTTCCCGGAGTTTGATTTCCCGTCGCAGCAGCCGCAAGACACCCTCGTCAACTTTGCTAGCTGGGATACGTACTTATACACGAGACGCTTTTATTCGATGGACACAGAGTTCCAGCTGGCTGTTGTTACCAAGATGCTGAGCTTCCCGTGCACCATCGCGTCCATCGTGCATCAGTACTCCCCGTACTTCCTCAAGCCCAAGGGTCCTGTTTCCGTCGAAGGTCTCAAGAGTCTGGCGGCTTTGAGATACACTTTGTATCCAGACACAAGAGTTTCGTCGTTGAAGGACCGTCCTATACGGATTTTCCTGCTGAACTCGAAGTCCGAGTCCATGTTGCCGGGGTTCGTGTGGAAAGAGCTGACATATTTATTCCCCGGTATTTCTTTCGAGCTGCATTTCATTGGTCCCGAATCTTACTACGATAGGGAAAAGAAGCAGTATCTTGTTTCCGAGAGACCGATAGTCAAGCGAGTCGACGACACATTATGTTTCTACTACCACACTCACGACTTCAGCGTGCTGCACGAGGCCCAGGACTTTTTCCCATACGATCCATACCTCGACGTGTTTTTCTGCTTCCATCCGAGAATGGGCTCCGGAGTCTCCACCGAGCTGTGGGAGAAGAGCATTCCGGGTCTTTTAGACTCCAAGTGCGGTGTGTTCGTGACAGGATACCACACCAGCGACATACAGAGAGACTACAACTGGCTCGTCCAGAACTACTCTGACGACTTGGACATTTTGATGGACATCGTGCCGAACGTGTTTGGATCCACTAAATGGGAGCTCAACGACTACAATCCGCATGAGGTATTCCAATATAACCAGCAGACCTTCGGGTTCCGTGGAAAAAGATATCATGCCATCAATCAAGACTAATAGATGTGACAATCTTGTGAATAGAGCGAATTTATCAAGTACTGTACAAAGTGAGCGTTCTAATATTTTTCACCAAAACCCGTAGCCCTCCTCACGCCCGAAAATATTCAGGTCGGTCTCTGGCATCATTTCCATCACCGAGTTTTCGTTGAAGTTGAGTATGTCGGAGTCTATCTGCGAGAAGATGTCGTTTAGCAAATTTTGGGACTCGGTTGTGTGTTCCATAGAGTTTTCGAGTCCGAGGCTGCCTAATTCTGGAATCCGGTCCATCGTCTCGCTTCCGTTACCTGGCGAGTCATTGTTCTCGCTGGAATTCAAACCGATCGGCGACGGGATGTACGTCGAGCCCGAACGGCTCTGCGGCCGCGACGAGCTCATCGAGAGCTTGCGGCCGTTTTTGCGCGACATGTTGTCTGCGCTGTAGTTTATAAATTTGTTGAATTGGATGCGTGAGTCCGGATTCAGATGCCCGTTGTCGCCCTCCTTCTTGCCCTTCAGGTTGACGCTGATGTTCTCAACCGCTTTCTCCTTGCCCAGCTCGTCCAGAAGGTCTACCATCGAGTTCGTGGCGCCGTCTCTGTTGAAATTGTTCGACACCTGCATCCATTTGCGCACCCGTGTGAGAATCATTGTCATCCGAGAAGCAACCTTGCTCTGCGCAGCGACTTTGGCCAGCGCAGCAGCCACGCGCTCATACTCGTGCTCCACATTCACGTCAACGTCCAGCCGTTGCGACTTCACCAGCAGTCGGGACCGAATCAGGGCAACGAGCGCATGCATAGGTCTGTAGTAGAAAAAAGTAGGAAACGTCGATGTCTGGTCGCTCAGAGCAACAAATGAGTCCACAACCTTGATGCTGGCCCGCACAAGACGGTCCAGAGTCTGCAAATAAACGTCTGTGAGCGTGTCCTTGCGCACGAGAACACGGCAAACCACATAGTCATACATCGTCATGAGCAGCTGGTAGTAGATGATGGAGAGCAGATTTTTCTCCTTCGACTCCGACGTGAGCAGGCCGCTTTCGGTGGCCAATTTCTGCATCTTCTTCTCGTAGCTGATCATCATTGCGCGCAGACTCTCGTGCGGGAACGAGTTCTCGTCCTGCGTTTCTTTGTCGGCACTGAAAAGCATGTTCAGCCGCGTAGCCAACGACGGAGAAGCCGTTGTCGGGCACAGAAATTGAAATATCTCTTCGCCAATGGCCACGAGCCGCGCATAGTATGCAAGGAACCGGTCGTATCTGCTTACCTCGCCCATCAGCAAGACTTGACAACAGCGTTCGTGCGTTTTTGTCCAGCTCACCACTTTGAAGCGTGGAAGAGACAATCCCAGCGATCCACAGCAAGAATACACGCCGATGTATGTGCGCAGAATTTTGCGCTCTTCGGAACCATCCTTAAGCACGTTGGGACCCGTTCGATGGGCCTCGTTGCCGAGGTCGAGACACAGTGTCAAGTTCAAAGCTGTCAACAGACTCATCTGGTGCTTGTATGACCCCCACTTGCGTGGAGGAGAACACCACAGCGACAGGGCCAGGTAAACTTGCACTAGAGTGGGGGAAATGTCGCCCAGGACGCCCACTCTTTGCGCAAGATTGTTGTCTAGATAGTAGAGCAGAGTATCGTGTAAATCGGCCTCGTTGAGACACGTGACGGTGATGAACGCCAGCAACACAAGCGGCTCATTCTCCAAAAGCCAGTCAAACGTGTAATGCGATGGAATTGAGACACAGGGCCAGTAGCACAGCACATCGCTAAGAAAATACTCGAATCTCGAGCGGGCGTCATCCTCGCTCAGAATCTTAAGCTTTATCAACTCCTTGACCAAATTTGGACCGTAAGCAACAAAAGGCAGGTTTGGCATACTTTTCACAGGGCCCTCCTTCATCGAATTGATTGAAGAAGCGACACTTTGGTCTTTGGAGCTGAGATACACGTCCTTACTGAAAGTGACTGCATGAGCCAGCAGCCTTTGTAGGTCTGTGAGCTGCGATTGCAACTGTGACAGGCTCTCTGGATTCAAATTTTCGTCCAGGCTCGAAAAATCCAGTTTTTGGCCGTCCAGAGTCACTGTACTATTGTTTGTTGTTTCTGACATCTGTCTTTGGAGCGTCTGGAAAAGCCTTGTCGCCTCCCCCATGCTGGTCTGGAGCGCGCTAAGGGGCCCCGTGCCCTTGAGCTTGATCTTCTTGCGCGGCCGCGAGCGTGCAGTTGTCTCCGTAGGGTCTTCAGTGATGGAACATTTCAAACTCGCCTTGAAGCACCGAGTGCAGCTCTCAAAATTCGGGTCCTCGTACACGCAGCGCATCTTGAGACGATGGCATCTCGCACACGCGCGCACCCGACGAAACTTGTTGGCAAAGTCAGAATCCGGTACTGCGGAGACCTCCTTTTTCATCGGTGAAGCTGGCTGCAAAAGAATCCTGATCCAGATTCACAATATTTTCTTGTGTATTTTTTTCTTCGCTGCACGGATTCTGCCGTAACCAAGCGGTCCAAAAAATCTGCAACCCCGATAAGGTTGCTTACTTACCCCGTAAATTTTACTCGTTGAGTGGGAATTTATGGAAATCTCCGGCATGCCGGTTTTCGATAAACCTAATAACTATTTGATACCCTAAAGAATTACATGCGCATTAACCTCCACCAGTCCGCGTTCCAGATTGCTGTAGACCACATGGCGCGGCGAGTATTGGATCAGCTCGTCCAAAGCTCTGACCTTGCGGACTTTGTGGTCGTCAACACGGACCTCCTCGTCGTACTCTCCCCAATAGCATGACACAGACACACCCAATTGTGTACTCCTATCGATGTCCTCATCGTCATCAAAGGCCGTGCGCAGCCATTGTAGACCAACGTGGTAGTACGGCTGCGTCCAGTTGAGCTTGTGGAGCTGGATCTCGTCAATACCTTTCATTGTCTTGAAGCGGTGGTTGCCGGCCTCGTCGGTCGAATAGCCAGAAGGAACAGAGGACAACGGCACAGATTGGTATCCGTCCACATATAGCGTGACCAACTTGACTGGTGAAACCATTTTTTCCGAATGAGGGGACTTGAGCGAGTCGTAGTTGGACGAATTGAACCGCAAAATGCAATTTCTGTTGTCTTGCACGTTGATGAGGAAATCCACCTCCACAGGGGTGAAGTTGTCCACAAAGTCGCCATTATTCGAATTATTGACAATCTGAAGACTCAAATAATTCGTAAACTCGTTATCGGCACTGGTTCCGTCCACAAGGTAGGGACGAGGACCCTCATACTGACAACGCTCCGTTCCTGTATCAGTGTTGAGAGTGCAGCTAATAGCACTCCCGCTGTCCTTCAGAGAAGGAAGATCCCGAAGCATCGGTTCAATGTAGCCAGCGCGGCCGAAGAGATTGACTAGTGGCACCTTGGAGGTCTCGTCAATAGTCTGCAAAAAGCGTAGCTTCAACGGGTTGGCATAAGAGTAAGGGGTTTCAAAGTATGACACCGTAGAGCACACCAGCAACACGGCAGTAAGGAACAGTACCAGTGCGACATTGAGCTTGTGGATGAATGGGGTCACGGGAACGCCGAGACTGACGGCCACCCCAACAAGAATTTGCATTGTGACCTTGCCGAAGTACGACGATTCCTGCACAGTCTGATTCAGGGCTTGTAAAACCAATTCGCCATTTGTGTAGATCAGAAAGATCGACAATGGCACTAGAATAAGAAATTGAATCGACCAGTCATAGGAGAATGATTGCAGTGCTGCATGTTTGAGTTTCTGCCGATAGGTCTCCTCTGACTCGTGTTCTATGATCACTATGGTGGAGTTGTTGTTATTGGATGAGGTCTCTGCCGGCAGCAACGGCTGATTCTCCGAGTCGTTGGATTCAGGGATTGTCTCTGCTGGAGAGCCGTTTTCATTATCAAAGTGATGCTGCTCCTCCTCGCTCGATCCATAAATTCTTGGTTTTATTGTTTTTCTGTAGCGAGGAGCTCTCCGTTTGAATATCAGCCCAAGCAGGCCAAAGATCGACGACACAGACACCAAAAAGTGAACAATTGTTATACTGTAGCCTGCAACATTATGCTCTTGTTTTTCCTTCATTGTCATCCAGATCGCCCCGATCCACAAAATCATATTCAGCTCAAGCAAACAAACCAGTTTCTGGTCGTGGACAGGCCGCAGCCAGGCAAGGAAGTTCAAAATCAAGTAGTTGCACAGTAGGTTCAAAGAGGTTAACGCCAGTAACGGAGAGATATAATCATTCGAAAGAAGGATCGGATCATTTAGATAGAGGTATTTCGACACGAATGTAGTCAATGCAAGGGATGCTAGCAAACTGATTGGATATCTCAGCCAGCCCTTGCCAAACTCAATGTACCAAGTTCCTCTTCTGGCAACAATGAGCACACAAATGATGGTGACTATCGGCACAATGCTCACAATGAAGATGTCCAAGACATAGAGAGTGTCGACAGAGAGGTAGAAGAAGTATTTGCCGAGAATGTCAAAAAATACTGCTTGGGAAGTATCATCACTAATTTGCTTATTTTCGTTTGCCAAAGCATCCACGAGGTTCAAGGCATTGATCTCCATGTGCCAGAGCGATCCCAAAGAGGTGCCAGTAATGGAGTCACGTAAGGTGTGGTACAAGGACCTAGGCTTGTAGAACGCAATGTCAACACCGCGTAGGCCGTTCTCAGCGTAAACTTTGTAGTCCGTCTGGGATCTGATGAGACCGCTCTGGAAGCCCTGTTGAAATAGAGAGTTGGCAAATGGTCTGCTTGCGGCAGAATAGTAGCTAAGCACTCCCACATCGGTGCTTCTGAACAAAATTGCCTTTCCTCCCGCTCCTGTTCCCTCCAAATTGACGAAATATTTCACGAGCTTGCTCCACTTGTGTTTCATGAAGGCTTCTGCTCCCAACAGCCCGAACTCCTCGTTGTTGTTGAAATTGAAAATGACAGTCCGTTCAGGCTGGTCAGTCTCATCCAAAGAATAATGTTCGAGGATGCCCAACATGGATGCCACGCCCATTCCGTCGTCGGTGGCACCATAGGCTGTAGGCACAGAATCGTAATGGGAGCTTATCAGAACACCAGGCAAAGCGGGGCTTTTGCCTTCAATTTTCACCAAAATATTGCCGCTCTCAAAGTAGATAATTCTGTTTGCAAGTGAATCTGGGTCAAAGACGTCCTGCTGGTTCACCATGAATTTCAGTTTGTCATAGTCGTCATCAACCTCCATATAGCTTTTTCTAGCGCAAATGGTGGAGACTCTTTCCAGCAAGTAGTCATGAATATCATCATTAGCATGGGATGTGTATGGATGGAAATGAGCTGAGATTGTCTGCAGGTCCAGCCACGCCGTATTCAGTATCCGAGGAGCAGGCTCTGGGGGAGTGAGGGAGACTTTATCGAAATATAGATTGACAAGGATGGTAGCAATGTACGAGATTATCACCAATGCTGTCAAGGTAGTTTTCCTGAATCCAAAGGTGGACTGGATGAACTTGGAGATTCTCCCAGGTTCTTGAGACATTGCTTCCTAATTTCAGTATGGCTTGTTTGATGTATATTATTTATTTATGTTGCTTTTAGCCACATTTCACTGCCTGCATGCGCCACGGTACCAGTCCAAAGAAAAAATCAAACCGAAAAATCAGCATGCTCCATGTTTCCCCCATTGAAGAACGATTTGATTCTGAGAGCTGCGCGAGGTGAAGCTGTTGAGAGACCACCCGTGTGGCTTATGCGTCAGGCCGGCCGGTACCTACCGGAGTACCACGAGGTCAAAGGCAATCGCGATTTCTTCGAGACCTGCAGAGACCCCGAGATCGCGTCTGCCATCACCATCCAGCCGATCGACCACTTCGACGGCCTGATCGATGCCGCGATCATTTTCAGTGACATTCTTGTCATTCCCCAGGCAATGGGCATGGACGTCCAAATGGTGGATAAGGTGGGACCCCGTTTTACGGATCCGCTCAGGGTGCCCGAGGACCTCAACAGGTTGCACAAAAAGACAGACGTTGCCAAGGAGTTAGACTGGGCTTTTACCTCTATCACCACTACAAGAATTAAACTTCAGGGGCGCGTCCCGCTGCTGGGTTTTTGCGGTGCCCCATGGACTTTGATGTGCTACATGATTGAGGGAGGAGGGTCAAAAATATACCGTTTTGTCAAGGAGTGGCTTTTCAAGTACCCAGAGGCCTCACACAAGCTGCTTCAAATGATCACAGACGTGGCAGTGGAGTTTCTTGCACTCCAGGTGAAGGCGGGAGCACAGATGTTGCAGGTTTTTGAGAGCTGGGGCGGGGAGCTGAGTCCGTCGGATTTCAGGGAATTCTCGCTGCCATATTTACGCCAGATTTCGCAGAAGTTGCCGTCGAGGTTGAAGGAACTGGGAATTACTGAGAAGATCCCGCTCACTGTCTTTGCCAAGGGCTCGTTCTACGCTTTAGATGAGCTGTGTGAGTCGGGCTACGACGTTGTCTCTCTTGATTGGCTGTACGAGCCGGAAGAGGCTGTCAAGGTGGCTAATGGCAGGGTTGCCCTTCAGGGAAACCTAGATCCTTGTGTGATGTACGGATCGCGGGAGACCATCAGGCGAAAGACCGAGGAGATGATCAAAGGATTTGGAGGAGGGAAAAAGAACTACATCATCAACTTTGGCCATGGAACACACCCATTCATGGACCCTGAGCAGATCAGGTTCTTCTTGGAAGAGTGTCATCGCATTGGCAAGCTCTAGCAAAATAGCGGGCAAAATCAGCAGGATGTACTCTAGATAAAATAATTAATAAATAGTATCCTTGACATTTCCGAGTTTTTCATAAAATTGTCCATTGGATATTTTTTATTTTCAAATGTCCAAGACTAAGAATTATCGCCCCACGGCCAGTAAAGAGGAAAATCAGTTTCGCGAGGCCCTCAAGCTGTACGACTCCAAGCAGTACAAGAAGTCTTTGAAGGTGATCGATGGCGTTCTGAAGAAGAACCCGCATCACGCGGAGAGTCTCGCTCTGAAAGGAATTGCTTTGTACTACTCGGATACGGACAAGGCATCCGCAGAATCGTATATCTCGAGGGCTTTGGACAAGGACAGTACAAACAACGTGGTGAACCACATTGCGGGTATCTACTACAGGGCGGTTAAAAACTATAAAGAGGCCGCTAAATGGTATCAGGCTGCGATGGACCACGGCTCCACCAACAAGAGCATTTTGCGTGATCTCAGCTCCATGCAGAGCCAGATACGAGACTTCAAGAATTTGCCGAAATCCAGACTTGGTTATCTCGAGGACCAGCCTGGCTACCGAGCTAATTGGACGGCGTCTGCCGTTGCACATCACCTGCACGGTGACCTGGCAAATGCCGAAAAAGTGCTTGGCCGTATTGAAGAATTAATTAGCGACAAATTGCAGGAAAGCGATTACTTCGAGCACTCGGAGTGTCTGCTCTATAGAAACGATGTTATTGCCCAGATGGGTGACTACGAAGCTGCCTTGAAGGACTTGGGCCGGATCGAAGCCACAAATATGGTCCTTGACGGTCTGTCGTTGCTAGAAAAAAGGGCGGACTACCTCATGAAATTAGATAGGAAAAAGGAGGCGTCGTTGGTGTACCGGAAGCTACTCAAAAGAAACCCAGACAACGCCAAGTACTACTACCAGTTGGAGGATGCTCTTGGAGTGCGTACCTCTTCGCGTTTGAGGCTAGCGTTGTATGAGAAACTGGCATCTTTCTACCCGAAGTCGGATCCTCCTCATTTCATTCCGCTCACTTTTCTTGCAGGCGAAGAGTTCAAGCAGAAGGCCAAAGTCTACGTTCTTGGCCAGCTGAAACGTGGTGTTCCCTCCACCTTTGTCAACGTCAAACCACTGTACAAAAATAATTCGCATGCTGCCACCATCTATTCCATTGTGTCTGAATTCTTTGAAACGATCCAAGACCAGCCATTGACCTATTGCTGGACAGCTTATTTCCTGGCACAGCACCACTACCACGTTGGAAGCTATTCAGAAGCTCTCAAGATGATCGAGCTGGCGATCAATCACACGCCTACACTGGTCGAGTTGTACATCCTCAAGGCACGTATTTATAAAAGGATGAACGAGCTGGACAAGGCGGCCCTAGTGATGAACGAAGGACTTAAACTAGACCTTCAGGATAGATTTATCAACACCAAGACCACCAAGTATTATTTGCGTGCCGATAACGTTCACAAAGCTATTGACACGATCTCCGTCTTCACGAAGAACGATGACAGTCCCAACGGCCTGAGAGACTTGCATTTGATGCAATCTATCTGGTTCATTGTGGAGAGTGCAGAAAGCTACCTGAGAAAATATAGAAAGGCTCTGGGTGAGCATAACGACAGGGGGGCCAAGACGAATTTGGGTCTTGCGTTCAAAAGATACATCAGCTTAACCAAAATCTTCGAGGACTTTTACGACGATCAGGTCGACTTCCATCACTATTGCATGCGAAAGGGCACTCCAAGAGCGTACCTGACCATGATCAACTGGGCAGATAACTTGTTCGATCAGCCAATGTATAACCGTATTCTGGATGGCTTGAGCGAGACTGTCCTGGAAGCAGTGCGCCACAAGGAGTTGATCACGGCCGAGCATGGGCACAAGAAGCTCAAAAAGGAGGAGATCAGGAAAAAAGAGGAGCTAGTACAGTATTCTCAATCTGTTGCAGAGGATGATGACGTGTTTGGTGAAAAACAGCTCCAGGAAATCATCCGGGACGAGAAGCTGGATATTCTTGTGAAGCAGCAAGCACTATTACACCAACAGGACAGTATTTTCACACAGATTTTCACTTTCAGAGTCAACTTCCAGCTGAAAAAATACGCCCTATGTCTGCAATCATTGAACAAACTCCTGGCACTTGACAAACACAATCCCTTCATTGGTTACATGGTGCACCAGCTGCGCAACCACCTCGCAGAGTCGACACCCGACACCATCAAAAAAATCGTGTCTGTGGGTCTGATGAAGAATTTCGGTAAGGCCGATACCGCCCACCTATTGGAGGCGTATTTTGGTGCCAATGACCTTGAAACGGGACTTGTTCTTGCCCGTATGAACGAGGCTGCGTTCCAGACGCGGCTGTCTGAAATCAAGGAGAAGTTGGATCCGTACTCGCGAGGTTTGGTCAGCATTGTCCAGCTTAGCTATTGATCCAGTTGTCTAGCTGTGCTCTAGCAGCAGAGCCCGTCAAACTGAGTCCCTGCCGGCCGTAGGGGAAGTAGCTCACTGTATAGGCAATTGAGGCGAGCAATTGCACGACTCCACATATAAGAACAACTAGAGTGTACTTCCACACAAGACAGAACCACAGAGTAGCCACTATGGAGCCGACAAAGGAGATGGTGAACCATAATCGCTCCTTGGAAATCAGGTGTTTGGCAAAGCTCTTGAATCCGTTCATGAACGCAAATGAGGTGAGAAATAGTATCGAGCCCAAAGTCCACAATAGTGCAAACTTTCGCGGCTTGAGTGACAACAAGGGCAGCAAAATAAGACACAGGCCGTAACACACAAACGAGCCGCACAACGTCACGGCAAACAGGGCCATGCGCTCAAAGTATGACAGACTGAACGATTCAGACTGCCACCACGAAGACGACTCCTGTTGTTCCTCGTCCGCAAGCCGAACTCTGCTCAACCAAGAAGACATATAGGAAATATATTTTTGAAGCTTTTATTTTCTGGAGGACACAGCCCTAATTTACGTATTTATTCTTCCCCTCATGACGGCCAAATACATCAAACATTCGGGAGCCCCCGTGCCTCATGTTAGCCCATTCTACCGGTACACTGCCACTGCTCTCGGGGCAACAATGTGGTTCTGGATACTGTACCGGGCAAAGCACGACTGGAGACACTGGGTTGGGCTGCACGAGCACTAGGAGGAAAGGCTACCACTTCACGAATATCGTATTTATTATCTGTCTGGCCAGAATTTTCGCTGGCAGACAGCTTATTTATCACATATAGATCAACATTGTTCATACTGCTGATCGCACGAGCTCGACAGATCACTGTTCATTCCATAACTAGTCATCACGTTCATTTAAAAATTTTCTTGAGTTTGCCAAGAATACCACCGCTGGTCTTGACAGCGGACGAAGATGCTTTCTTCTTTGCGCTCTCCACGGTGTGAACCGGCGACAACTGCTGTTCCATCTCCTGTTCAATGGTTGTTGGCCCCTTGACGTGCACTTTGTTTCCGGCGCCGCCCCGTCCTGTAGAAAACACAGGGCTCAGCTCCTCTTTGATGGCAGCAGGGTCCTCGCGAGGACTGGGAACAGCCTCCAGCTCCGTCACGTTGCCGGCACCTCCTCTGCCTGTGGGGTAATGGAATTTGCCGTGTTCGTCCTGTTTGAAAGAGCTGCGAGTCTCGTGCGGCACAACAACCTCATCAGCTGCCGACTGGTGCACCACGTTGCCTGCGCCTCCGCGGCCCGTTGAATAAACTGGTCTTATATCTGACATTAGTGTTTAGAAGGAAGCCACAATTGTGTCAAAAAAAAATATATATAAATCGTGACCTAATTTTTCATTTAATGCCGTGCCAGCTTCCTCGTGACAAAATTGTACACTGGCGGTAGACGATACTCTACCCACTCGTCTCCATCGATCATCACCAGGTCATATAAGGAATCGGAGCCCGCTTGAGGCACAAGGTGCCGCATCTTGTCTACGTATTTGTTGTACAGTTCCAGCTGGAACTGCACCAGCTGGCTGATATTTTTAGTGCCATTTTCTGCCTCGTAGTCGTCGCAGAATTTCGCAAACTTCTCGAGGCGCTCGATCCGCTCCTTGAAAGACGACTCCACGATTCGCAAGAACGCACTTAGCGCTCCGTCGATCTGCTCCTCGGATGCACTCTCCATCACTGTCGACACGTCGTCCGTGCCTATGAGCCCTGCAAAACTGTAATTCGACGCCATGTTGAGGAACAGATCCACCAGCTGACCGTCCGCATACTCCAGCACAAACTGCAGGTTCGTCGGCTGCCGCTGCTGGAAAACGTATTGGGCCAGCTCCTCAGACTGGTCGAAATGGTAGTAACCCCAGAACGGCACGTCCACCACCTTCAGGCCGTCCGAGCGAGGATAGAATCCGTACGTGAGGAACATCCGTGTCATCTCTTCAACTGGAGTGTAGCTGATGAGTACCTCTGAGCCACCAGAGAGCGGTCGTTTGGCAAGTAGGACGACCTCGTTTGTTTCTGGATCGAAGTCAAAATAGGCATTCTGTTTGGAGTTGTCGTGGTTGGCAAAGTCCAGAAGCGGAACCAGCGTGATATCGACCGAGAACTCATCGTCACTGATTTTTCTGGGGACTTCCAGCGTCCGTGAACGGATCGCAGCCACGAGCTTCTGGATCTCACGCTCTTGTAAAGTCACTCTCCACGTCTCAAAAATATACTTTGACAATTCCTCGACCTCGCCGCTTTGTTTCTCCAGTAACGTGGCGTTCACAAGCGAGTTTCCCGGCTCCAACTCATAAAAACTCTCCAAAAGAGGCTCCTCGTCCTGCCATAAATTATCGATCTTAGTGCTCAACAAAATATCCAAGTACCCTTGGAGCTCCTTGAATTCCCCCAGCTTGCCCAGCCGGCGAAGAACCTCGAAGCCAACCATGTAGCAAGTCAGTATTCTGGTCTCGTTAGGCGGGCCGTTGCAATAGAAGCCCAGAAGCGTCTTGATCACCGGGGTTTGAGATTGGTCCTCCAGCTTCTGACTGAGCTCTAGACAGGTGTAGATGTTGTAGACGTGCTGACGGCCAACTCTGAGGATTTCGCCGTCTGTGTCCTTGTCTACAAATAGTCCAAGCCCGCCAAGCTGGCTGGGCCCGACGGAAATGCCGGAATCGATACGGTTGACTGCAAGTAGCGTCTCCATAAATCTAGATATTTATCAGTCCGAGCATATCCAAAGTGATTTGTGGTGCGGGGTGTGGTTGCCGTGCAAAGACATGCAACTGCTAGAACGGCACAGAGCACGCGGCTTTCGCAGCATGGCAATGTTTCTGCTTACACAAGTGTGCCGAGTCAGCAAAGCCGAATCACAGACAGAAAGATAGCTCCCGTGCATATTTATTTATTTTCACTATGTCTATGAGCTCACGAGAATATTAGAAGAAATAGCGTCCAGTTTGCTGGTGAAGAGCCGCAGACTCACTGCGAGAAGCTCCTCGTACAGGTCGTGGTCCTGGCGTCTAAGCTTGTTGATGCTTGGCCCGTCGAGCTTCCAAACAACGCTCTCTGTATTGGAGTAGTAGCGCACCACGCGGTCGCTCTGTGTTTTAACGAGATCTCCAAAAATGGTGAGCGGCAGTACCCAGCTGTTGAGACAGAACTTGAGGTTGTTGAAGGAGATGTCGTAGCCGATCATGCCCGATTCGACAAAATAGAGACACGGCTGGTTGAGGTGCTTTTCGTAGACAACCTGGTTAGCTGCGAGTTCCTGGCGCGTCAGGTACGGAACCAGCCGGCTCCAGAACTGGTCGTCGCGTGCCTCGCTAATGCCCTGCATGGCTGTAGAGACAAGAGCCAGCGGGTTCTTGGAGTTTGTCGAGATGGAGAGCCGACGTCTTTGCGAATCGAAGTCCAAAGTCTTGCGCGCCGCGCGCATCACGTGGGCGTTCCGCGGCGACCCGGACATGATGGTTTCCACCAGCTGGGGCGTGGGAGCGGTCAGTTTCCGCGGTCTTCTGGACAGCTCCTTGTATGCTTCCAAAAAAATGTTCTCGCACCATTCGAGCGCCGTGTTCAGATTGTTGAACAGCTGGATGCGCTCGTGGTGCTCACTGGTCTCCCAGAGACCAGAATCCTTGAGAGCCTCGACAATCGCAGACTTGTCGGTCACAGAGGAGATGATCATATACGAGTCTTTCTCGATGACGAGGTTGCGGATCCGACGGAAACCCTCGACGGCAGAAAAGTCGATGCTCTGCACGTTGTTCATGTCGAGAATGAGGTACTTGATTGGCTCTCTGGCAAACGTGCGATGCTCGAACCGCGCACGCACTTTTTCCTCGAGCCCGCCAATCGAGCCGAAAAATAGAGACCCCTGAAGTTTCATCACGTAAATCTGCTTCCCCACGTCCTTGAGGAACTCCTGCTGTTTAGGGTGGCGCACAACTATCGACCGCGCGTACTCGCCCGTGTAGATGCCAGAAACAACGGGTTTTCGCGCCGCCTCGACAACAAACGACAGGCACGCCAGCAGAACGCCCACTAGGATTCCGTACACAAAGTCCCATGCGCCCATGGTGAGCACGATCATCACGATGGTGAAGTACTCGAACTTGCGGAGCTTGCCCTTTGTGTCGTAGAGCGCCTCCTTGAGCAGCTCGTAACCAAGTAGGTAAATCAGTGCTCCCACAACAGCCACGGGGATGTACCCTATTATGACCGGGCCCGCCCACATCACGCCGGTGGTGGCCAGGGCGAGCATCACGCCGCTGAGACGCGAGTCTGCGCCGGCCCGAATGAAAAGCACCGAGTTGGTGTACACCAGATAATTCTGGATGCTACCACAAAGCCCCGAGAGCGCGTTCGACAGTCCATGCGCCATGAGCTCGCGGTCCACGTCAAAGTCGTCCATCTCCACGGTGACCGCAAGCGCAGGCACGTTGATTGGCACGTGCAAAATGCCAAAGAACGTGAGCGCCAGCATCGTTGGGACCTGGTGCAGCACGGCCCACCAGCTGACACGGTCAAATTTGTACAAGCTGTAGAAAGAGTACCAGGGGGTATTGGTCTGCGGCGCAGAAAACACCCATCCGTAGTCCCTGGCGTCCTGCAGGTCCCATGAGGGCACGAAGTACACGATCACGTGAAAGACGACAAACACGACAATGAAGTACAGCGGCACTATCAGTGCACTGGAGTTGTAGTGCTGGATGACCACCAGCACGGCGGCCAGAGCCAGCGGAACAAACCACTGGCAGAACGACAGCGGTTGCAGCAGGTAGCGCAGCGTGGGCAGGTTGTATTCAAGGCCGCCTTCCAGACGGGATGAGACCTCGATCGCGGTGACCACCAAAAAATAGCCAACACCCCCTATGCAGCCAACCAGGATATGGCGAGGGAAAAAACCAACAAGACGGCCAAGACGGCATTTTCCAAGCACAAAGAACACCAGTCCCGTCACCATCGCTGAGAGCGCGTACGTGACTATCGTGGTGGCCAGAACGGCATCCTGCTCGTCGCCTAAGCTGGTCATGATGCTAATACCCATCTGGTGGAAAAATGGCGTCACCTCGATCATTTCTGAGCCGATCCCGGACTTGAACGCAGAGCCTCCCAAAGAGTACACCAGCTGCGAGATAATCGTCGAGACATAGAACATGGACAGCCCGTGCGCGCCCATCTGGCTGAACATGGTCTCTCCAATTGGAAAAATAATCATGCCGTAGCTCAAACCGTCTAGAATATTGAGCAAAGTGCCCAAAAAGACAGCCGGAAGATACCTGACCGGCTTCACCAGGCACTCGCGGACCAGTGTGCGGGAATCGGCCGTCCGCAGGGTCTGCACTGCCTGCCACACGCCTGTGCTAGCAGCACGTCCATCTCCGGTATGGTCGTACTTGTTGTACGTAGCGATGTCAAAAGAGGTGTTTGCAATCTGTCTCTGCGCTTCCTCGTCGCCACTGAATGCCGGATAGTCGTCTGTATACGTGGCGGCGGCGTGAAAATCGGTTTTCGCGTGATCTTCAGACAGCAATGGGGTGTAGTCTTCGGCATAGCGTTCAGGAGGGGTGTTTGGGTCGTCAACGTAGTACGAAAACTCCTCTGTGTTGTCAACTCCAACATCGGCCAGCCCAACAGACGTTTCGTTGATCGAGCTGGACGAATGCACAGCAGCATTCACAGAACTCAAGGGAGAATTCAGATCGGGCCTAAAGCTCGAGTACACAAAGCTGCGGCCAAGATGGGTGTCGGTAGTCACCGACTGTCTCGTACCATAGCCGGGCAACTGGTTGGCTCTGGGGCTCGCAATCGCCTTGGGCAACGAGCTGTTGTATGCAGACATGCAAGTGAAGATGAAATATTTACAGAAAACAGGGCCTCAAATAAAATTTGGTGCTTATGTAAGACCATCAAGCCACACCTCTACAGCTCGTCTTTGGCGACTTTGATTTCGCCTGCGTCCGCGATGACGACCGGCCGGACAGGACGGTTTTGGAAGCCTGTCTTGGTAGACTCAATGAGCTTGACTGTGTCCATTCCGTCGAGCACCTTACCGAAAACCACGTGCTTTCCGTCGAGCCATGGCGTTTTCACGGTAGTGATGAAGAACTGCGAGCCGTTCGTGTCTTTCCCTGCGTTTGCCATGGATAGATAGCCTGGGCCCTCGTGCTTGAGCTCAAAGTTCTCGTCCTCGAACCTAGCCCCGTAGATCGATTTGCCTCCGGTTCCGTCGCCTCGAGTGAAGTCACCTCCTTGAATCATAAAGTTAGGAATGACTCTGTGGAACTTGGATCCCTTGTATCCCAACTTAGGGTCGTCGGAAATGGCCAATTGGTAGAAGTTCTCGACTGTCTTCGGCACCACCTCTCCAAAGAGACCAAGCACAATGCGGCCGAGGTGGTGAGCGTCTTCTCCCTCGCCCTCTGTGATGTCAAAGTAGACGGTGTGTGTAATCTTTGGAGACTGCTGGGACATGACTGTGCACAAAAAGAAGAACAGAAATGCTAGCGAAAACTTCATGTCTCCAGGGTTTCAAAAATGATAAAATAAATACTCGAGATATTTTTTGCTCTATATATTGAGTTTTTCGACCGAGTAGATTGGAATTCTGCGGCCGTGGTCTTTTTTCACCAGGCCGTTTCCCAGTGGCAGGAGTGAGTCGAGGTTCGTTGTCTCCTCGACGATCGAACTGTTGTTGATCTCAACGTCCTTCCGCTTCTTGTGCTTCTTCTTGGTAGTGTGCTCGGCTATCGACAGGGATTGCGTCACGAGAGTGAGCAGCTGTGTGTCTGTGACTAAGGAGTCCACCTTCTTCTGTGTTTTGGCAATCAGCTTCGACAGCTGCGCCTGGTTCTTCGAATAGTGCAGACTCAACACCAGTCCATCCGAGTCGATGAAGTTGTTGAGAATCTGGTAGCCGTAGTTCAATTTCAAGATCCGCGCAATGATCGCGTCCAGGTCCACGGCTGCGCCATTTTTGAGCATCTTGGCGGTCTCCTGCGTAATTGTGTCGCTTGAGAACTCCTCTAACAACCGGGAGATGATGTCTTTGAACACTTCCTCGTCTGCAACGAGACTCAGCAGTTCGATCAGATCGCAGCAGGGGATGTTCGGACACGTCACTATTGCCTGCCGCATCAGTCTTGGAGACTCCATCAGAGTCTTGAGCAGACCAGGGGTGTACTCTGCTGGAAATAGCGGGTGCGTGAGAAGGTACGTGAGCGAGTTTTCAGCAACATAAACCGGCAATTGCAGCGAGCCGTCCTTCACTTCGAAAAGCAACAAAAGCGCCTGGCGCACAAACTCCGGGTCCACAACTCTGTCTTTGTCGGCCTCGTACACCATAAATGACTGTTGCTGGAGTTTGAACCCTGCTGCATCAACGTCGTCGATATTTTTCAGGTAGCCAACCAGCTGAGTCTCCAGCTCGTCGAAGCGGCCGTCTTTTTTCAGTTGCTCCAAAGTTTGGAAAACGTGCTTGGCGGCGCTGCTTAACTGATTGGCTCTGGTCTGTAACGAGCTGTTTTCCTTTGTGCTGGACTTGAACTCGCTTTTATTCACCAGAGCTGGATATCCAGCAAATTTGGTCTGTGATGAGCTCTTGATTCCTTTTCCAAGAACATTGGACAGCTTTCCAAGCCCAACATCGACAGAGATATACTGAAGAGATGTGAAGTTGTCCTTCGGGCTCTTCAAAAGCACCAGGGCGAAAGTTTCTCTACTCTTCAAACTGTTGCCTTTTACAGTCACACATGTCTGAAGGATGGCTGTTCTGGGAGGTTTGCTGGTGTTTTCCTTAGACTTGGCATAAAGGTCGATGGAGCCTAGCAAAGCCTCAAATTGGATGTCCACCAAACAAATGGTGCTGCCCTTGGAAACAAGAACTCTGTTGGTGGAAGCAGGGCAGATGGAAATGGGCTGTTCGGCAAATTCCTTGTCAAAAATTCCAATGAGCTCAATCTGCTTCAACTTTCTTGTGAACGGGATCGAGTACACGTGTAACGTCATTTTTTCGTCATTCTCCAAAATCAACAGCTTGCCTGCCGGATCGTAGCAAAACTGGGCGCTGTCTGACGTGTGCAATTCCACCATCGAGTCAGAAACCTCTAGAACACGTGATCCTTCAATAGCATACACCCGCACACTCAATCCTCCTGTAGATTGCTCAACCGTCAACAGCAAACTCTCAACGTTTTCAGATTTTTCAATTTGAAGCTCCTCGGTAGATATAAAGCAGTGGTAGACGATATCTCTCTTCTTGCCGGACTCAAGCTCAAAAATCACTTCCCCTTCAATTTCTTCCTCGAGCTTGATCGCCCAGATGCAAATGGACCCGTTCTTACTAAGTGTGTATGCATTTCTTCCGCTGCTGGAAAGCTTGATCCCTATTAAATCTTGCTTCAACACCACATCTTTGGTGCGCACTTCTTTCAATCCTTCTGGCTCAGCTGTGTTTCTCTCCTCCTCGTTGTACAAGGACAAGCTCTCGGATGTGTTTTTATCGTCCTCAGACTCGTTCTTGGGACGTCCGTAAGTGATTATTCTCATATAGCTCTTCTTTCTCTCGTTTATTCCCGCAAGGAGAAGTCTTGACTCCTCTCTATCTGCGGCCTCCTCAAAGATGAATGAGTCAAGACATTCCACGCGCGCTTGTGGAGACAGCGAATACGACCAGATCAGCTTGGGAGTAGGTTTCGTGATGTAGGTGCCAATGAACGAGCCACTAACTCCAAAGTCAAATTGCGTCGATAGCGGAGATTGTATGCTGGATATCACACATGGAGAAGCTGTGTTTGTCTTGGACGGCAGCCTGGGGAGCTGCGTCACCATGAATGGGTCCCATAATGCGACAGACATGATTGAAATATTTTTGGTAAATTTTTTTTTTATTTCAATCCGCATCTGTGCACTGCGACATATATATTGTTGTGGCCGTTATCTGATGGTAGCAACAATGAACAGTTGAACACACTACGAACAACCAACTGATCTAGTATACAATGTTAGCTTGTATTATGCAGATGGCTAAGTATATCATGAAAACTAACCAAATCGGACTGTGGTTCAGACTCTCAAGCATTAAGCAAATAGTATAATAAATTTAAAATATTGATCTATTAATTGTGACCATCAATATTACAAAAGACTCGCCGGTTACTCAATTACTAATGCTCATATGAACAGTAAATCCGTTACTAATATACACCCTAAACAGAAAACTTGATGAACAAGTTACAATTCCCGATCGCAAAATAAACGTTAAACTTAAGCAGAAGTAGCAGAAGTGTACTTGGTGACAGCTCTGGTACCTTCAGAAACAGCGTGCTTAGCCAGTTCACCTGGCAAGATCAATCTCACAGCAGTCTGGATCTCTCTAGCAGAGATGGTGGACTTCTTGTTGTAAGCAGCAAGCTTGGAAGCTTCAGATGCGATTCTCTCGAAGATGTCGTTCACGAAAGAGTTCATAATAGACATGGCCTTTTGGGAAATACCAGTGTCTGGATGCGTTTGCTTGAGCACCTTGTAGATGTAGGAGGAGTAGGTCTCCTTTCTGGCCTTAGTTCTCTTCTTAGCATCGGAGGATGCGGCGGTCTTCTTTCCGGCTGGCTTCTTCTCAGCTGGTGCCTTGGAGGCTGGTTTCTTTTCTGCCTTTGGTGCCATTCTGTATTTAGATATTAATTAAAATCAATCAAGAGGTTTTGTTGACATGGGCAAACGAGTGAGTTTATATAGTTTTCCAAACACGCTTGTTTAGATAGGTCTGGTCGTGAGCTACCCAAGTTTTTTTTTTCGCAGCATGCTCTTACAAAATGACAATTCTGATTTTTTACCTCACCAATGTCTAGAAATTATAAAATTTCGCGACATCTACGGCGTGCCAGGATTTTTTCACGGATGTGTAAATATAAGTCTGACAGCATATTTACAGGTGGAATTACGTTTCCACCAATCAGACAACGCCGTAAGTTTGCCACCTGGTGCAAGGCAATAAGTATATAAAGTAGGCCTGTTTCGTCTTTTGTAAACCATCAATAACAAAGTATAACTAATAATGTCTGGTGGAAAAGGTGGAAAAGCAGGATCTTCTGAAAAGGCTTCGACTTCTAGATCGTCTAAAGCCGGTTTGACTTTCCCGGTCGGAAGAATCCACAGATTGCTCAGAAATGGAAACTACGCTCAAAGAGTGGGTTCTGGTGCTCCAGTCTACTTGACTGCCGTGTTAGAGTACTTGGCTGCCGAAATTTTGGAGTTGGCCGGTAACGCTGCTAGAGACAACAAGAAGACCAGAATTATCCCAAGACACTTGCAATTGGCCATCAGAAATGACGAGGAGCTGAACAAGCTGCTTGGTCATGTGACTATTGCTCAAGGTGGTGTTTTGCCAAACATCAACACCGAGCTCTTGCCTAAGAAGGTCGGTAAGAAGGAGTCCCAAGAATTGTAAGCATGTGGTGTTCCGACCATATCGATTTAGCTGTAATGTTTTTAGGGTTTCGGGTATAACTTAATGTATATTAGATGATTAAAAACAACCGAGGAGGTTTTTTTGATAAGATAACTTTCAACGTGTGAGGATCAAGGCGGGTAACATTTACTTTTTAGCGAAAAAGGGGCACGACAAATCAAGCCATAATGGGATTTTGTTGTGGGTGTCTCCCATTAACCGCTTCAAAAGGATCGTATAAAAAGGGTACACGTCCCTCAAAAAATATCTCTTGTTACATTTACAAGCAGTCCCGCCGCTAATCAATCCATAGCAATGCCAGTCAGAAGAGTGCTCAAGATCGTTAGAGAACAATACGAGTCTATCTCCAAGAGATTCAACAACAACGCCGAGAAGAAGGAGGAGGCTCCAGCCGAGGAGACCGATCCTGTTGAAGAGGCTCCAGCCGAGGAGACTGCTCCAGCCGGGGAGGCTCCAGCTGAGGAGCCTGAACAAGCTGCCGCCAAATAAGCTTTTGGCGCTCTCGTAATGAAGGTGTCCCAACTCTAGTTGCATTCAACTAGCGGGAAAGTTTCTCTCTCTCAAATGTTGCTACTGAGCTATTCGTTTTCCAGTTAGGCAGATTATATTTCTTCTGTGTAATCCTTTTTCTAATATACTTCATTCGCCTTCGCGTTGCCACAGCCTGACCTGTCCGTCCATGCACACCGTCAACAGCTGCTCCCCATTGTCAATAGGCCCCACTTCCATCACAGGACTGCCGCTCCCGGTGTCCAGCAGACACACGATCTCTTTGCTTTGGACGTCCCACAACAGCACCTTGCCCTTTTCGTCACCTGAGCAAACCAGCGGGCTTGCAAAACAGGTGAGGAAGCAGGTCCCCAGACTGTACTTTTCCGCAACAGCGCCCCCGTCAACATTCTGGAAAGTCTTGACCACCTTATTGTTCATGTAATCCCACAACCGCACAAACCCATCCAGCGAGCTCGACAATATGTATTTCGAGTTGGGAGAGAAAGTCACATGACTCACAGGGTACGACGAGCCACTTTTATCGTAGATGAGCGTTTTCAGACACTGCCCGGTTTCGAGATCAAACAGTCTGATGAGCCCGTCGTACGAGCCGCTCACTATCACGGTCCCGTCAAAGGAAAAGTCCAGGCTTGAAATTGGGTCCGAGTGAGCGCTCAAAACCTTCATGCATTTCGCTCTCCTGAGGTCCCAAACACGGATATTCTCGTCAGCTGAGCCACTTACCAAAATAGAGCCTCTATAATGAAACTTCAGGACAGTGACATGAAACGTGTGGCCCCGTAGTATCTGAACAAGCTCGCCCTTTTCCACGTCCCATATTCGAATCGTGAGGTCGTCCGACGCAGAAGCGATGTACTTGGAGTTTGGCGCAAACTCAATGCTGGAAATGCCCTTTGTATGGCCCGCGAGCGTCTTCCAATACGTCGGTCCCGCGTCGGACATTTTCCACAGCTTGATGGTCTTGTCTGCAGACGCGGTGGCAAGAAGACTGCCATCTGGACTTATTTTGGCCGACGCGACCAGCGCGTCATGAGCCTTGTCCAGGGTCCATTTTGGTTTGTACATAAAAATCGCAGATTAAAAAATTAAGGCTATGGAAAAAGTTCTAAAGCACATTACCTAAGCAGGAGATTAGCGGAACTGTTTGGCGGTCTCGTTCATCACATTGTCGTAGCTTGGCGGCGCCTCGTCGGGGGTATCATTGTCCGTGGATCCGTATAACACGTGCTGTCCGAGCTGGGACGGTTGGTTCGCCTCTGTGCGGCGCTCCGATGCTGCCCTATTCAGAGGGAGTGGGCTTGAACGCGGGCTGAGCTGGTTCTGCTCTACTAAACTTGGGTTGTGCGTATGGGGTGTGCGGAAAGGTTCAGGGTGACTGAACTGGATTTTCGTTCGATCTGGCTGGCGGGACACAACCGCGGCTGACGGAGAGGACGGTATGTTTATTATGATCTGCTGGCGCTCTAAGTCGTCATAATCAAGCACGTCTGGGTGTTTTAGGATGACGTACCAGGAGTGAATAAGCCCCGGGACGTAGCCCAATAGGCAGAGGGCGATATTGATAAGCATGTCGGCCGAACATAAGCCTCTTTTGATGCACACTGGAAGCGGCGGGAAGATGACGGCGAGAAATACCAGGATGCAGTCGCAACAGCAGCAATCGCAGTAGCAAAGACACATTTTCACTGTAGTGTGGAAAAAGATAAGCGCATGCTTTATATAATGGTGAGCTTTTGCATGATGATTTATTTCAACGGTATGCCGGTGGTGCAGAGATGTGTTCAAGGGCGAAAAAGAAACTTTTATTGGGGACTTGTGAACCTGTTGCGGGTCCGGCAAGCAGGAAGAAATGCAGGTACCAAGATTTCACCTCAACTGTAGGCCGAGAGCTACTAAAAAAAGCCTCAGACGAGCCTTTATTGTGAATCAACTATTATTGGAACCGCCGAGGCGCTCATGATGTAAGAGAGGCGCCAGAGCAATCGAAACGTTGAAGAGGGCCAGGAAAAGCACAAGTAAAGATCAAATCGATTTCCTCCATACCGGGGCACGGAATTGATTATTGCCAAGCGTTTGCTATATCCAGATTGTGTGTTTTGGCCTGGCTTAGACATTGACTAATTAGGAAGTGTAGGCGAGTAGGCAAAATTTCAATGGGGCACGAAATATGCACCGCCATCTCCGTGCCTGCATTTATGATGCGTAATCCCTTTCATGCCCTAGTTGGAATTGGACACCTATTGTTGGCACGGATCGCTCGTTCACGCTGTATTCTGAGCCTCGCTGAAAATCAAGGACATCGAAATTAAACTTGTCAAAATTGAATTCATCATTTTTTCTTGCAATATGAGCGTTGTCGATACTCGGGGACCTTTCTATCTTTACAAGTTCGGAGACAAGGCCGAAAAACAAATGGACGAGTTCAAAGTGTTTCCCACGCCAGAGCCCTACATAGCAAGGTCCTCGGATCCTTACCATACCCCTTACTACACATACACCGCGAACGCCAACTCAGCATTGCTTTCTCCGTCATCCTCGTCGAACGAGTCCGAAACAGAATCCGCCGCCTCCGCAGACTCGCGTGAGGCATCGATCTCGCGCGCCTCTCACAACTCGCATGATTCCGGCTCAGACCGCCACAAGTTCAAGTGCACGTACCCGGGCTGTAAATACAAGGGCACGTTTTTGTCCAAAGATTACTTACGCAGACACATTAGGGAGCAGCACCGAAAGACAAAATTACATGCTTGTGAGGGCAGAAACAAAGACGACACCGTTTGGGGGTGCTCCAAGAAATTCAGCAGACCCTATCAATTGATCAACCACTGGCGGGGCCAAAGGTCGTTGAAGAAATGCGGTGTGCCAGCAGAAGAGCTCATGCGCTATGGGATCATCTAACTGTGTAAGATTATGATTTATGTTTGATGCTTAGTTTCTGTAGTGACGACACCTTCTCTCCGCAATAGTCTACACCTCGCCAAAAACGGCCTTGTTAACAATTGAAACCCGTGCACCCTAACACCCGCATAACAATGCGCACTCTTGGCCGCCTGCATGCATGCCACTGAATCTAGGATCTGCTTCGCGCCCGTTTACGGAAGCACATGCGGTGCACGGGTGCACAAAGCTCCCTAAGCTCACCTCGTCCTCTCATCGAGCCAAATCTGACGGGTCACAAAGACCGCCCAACCAGCCATCCGTATTCCTCATCCTCCTCGCCATATATAACATGCGTAGATACCGCCTTCTCTTACAACCATGAGCACCAATTTAACTCCCCCAAGCTCCCCCGCCTTGCGCTTCCCCAAGCTTGGCCGAGCTTGTCTCGAACAGGCGCAGTACAACTTCCTCACCAATCGTTCCCACTTTCTTGCTCTGCGCCGCCAGGTCTCTACAGACGCCCTTTCGTCCGCGCGGTCTGCCAGCTACTACGATTTTTTGCAGTCTGTCACGCCGGCCAGCAACGCCGGCCAGCTAGACTGGATCAATGTCCGCGCGTCAGAGCTCAGGGCGCTGAAAACTCGCCGCTCCTTTGTCCGCTGGCTCGACAAACAGTACGAGGCGCTGCACGGGGACGACTTGCTCGCCGTCTCGGACGTGCTGAGCGACGAGGACACGCCCGAACCGTCTCCATGCACCGCTCTGCCCGCAGCCACCACCAGCACTATGCCGCTGCCAAAACCGGGCACGGGGGTGGCTTATGTAATCACTGACGTCATCACACTGATGGCGGCGCAGACGGCCGTAGTGGCTCTGGCTGTCGCGTTGTGGTGGTGTGTGTTTGCGGACAGCACGGATGCCGCGTACGTGCGGTCGATTTTAGCCGTTTTGAAGGCCATGTTGACAGACAAGAAGGAGACTAAATAGGTACACCCAAAAAATATATATTTTTCACTGGTTATTTTTGCCACATGTCCCTCAAGTCCTTCATAAAGTCCGTGCGCAACAGCAAGACGATTGCTGCCGAGCGCGCGGCTATCCGCAAGGAGAGTGCCAAGATTCGGACCGCTTTCCGGGATGTTCATCTAGACAACGCGTCGCGAAGGACGAACATATCGAAACTTCTTTATTTGTATATTTTGGGTGAGCCTACGTATTTTGGCCAGGTCGAGTGCCTGAAGCTGCTGGCTTCTCCCAAATTCGTTGACAAGCGGCTTGGGTATCTTGCGACGATGCTTCTTCTGGACGAGAACCAAGAGGTTTTGACACTGTTGACAAATTCGCTCGACAATGACATGAAGAGCTCTAACCAGTACATTGCTGGGCTTGCGCTTGTGACTTTGGGCAATGTTGCATCTCCAGAGCTTGCCCGTGATCTATATGCGAACGTGGACGCGCTGCTAGGCTCTCCGCATGGGTATTTGCGGAAGAAAGCTGCGATTGTCGCTGCCAAGCTCGTGAACAAGGACCCGGATCTGAGCGAGATTTTCCTGCCGAGAGTGGCTCCCCTACTGAACGAGAAGAGCCATGGTGTGGTTTTGGGTGCTCTGACGCTGATGCGAGCCATCTACAACAACGATGAGAGCTCAAGAGAAACACTCAAAGTGCAGATTCCGCGACTTTTGGCACATCTGCGTATTCTGATTGCTACGGGCCACTCCCCCGAGTATGACGTGAGAGGCGTGCCGGATCCTTTTCTGTTTGTGTCGCTGCTGAGCACTTTGCGTCTGTTTTTGGCCAACGACGAGAACAACACCAATCTCGAGCCGTTGAACGATCTGCTGACGCAGGTATGTTCTAGGATTGACAGCGCAAAAGGCACGGGCTACTCTGTGCTCTATGAGACGGTGCAGACGATATTTACCATCAACTCGGACTCGTCGCTCAAAGTTCTGGGTATCAACATTCTGAGCAAGTTCCTGACCCAGAAGGACAACAACACACGCTACGTTGCACTCAACACGCTGCTGAACGTTATCAACTACGAGCCGCTTGCCGTGCAGCGCCACCGTACGACGATCGTGGGCTGTCTTCAGGACGGCGACGTCTCGATCCGCCGCCGCGCACTCGAGCTCACGTTTGCTATCATGAACCAGCAGAACATGCGTGTGCTCACGAAGGAACTGCTGGCCTTTTTGCAGAACTCGGACGACGAGCTTAAGGAGTATATCACAACACAACTTTGCATTGCCTGTAACAAATACCGGCCGGACGTCAGATGGCACTTTGAGACGCTCATCAGTCTGCTCAAGCTCGCGGGGAACCACTTCTCCAGAGAAATCGTGTCTAACGTGTTGGCCCTGATCATGCAAAACACAGATCTCGAGCTGACCAAGTTCCTCGTCGAGGAGCTCATTTCCTCGAGCCAGACCCACCACAACCAGTTTGCGTTGGCACTGGTCACCACCTGGTGTGTCGGCGAGTACGCAGACATCGTTCTTGGCGACAAAGTTACGGCAGACTCGCTTGTGACCCTGATAGAAACATTCCTCAACATATCCTCGTTTGAGCAGGCAGACGCCATCCAGATGAAGACCTACGCATTGACGGCCATTCTGAAGCTCTCTGCCAGGGCCAGCTCGCCGCAGTGCATTGAGCGACTCAGGAAATTGCTAGTCTCGTTCCAGTCTGACTACAATCTAGAGATTCAAACCAGGGCTATAGAGTACGCCGAGATATTCGGCCAACCAGCATCAATCAGGAAAGCATTGCTGGAGAGAATGCCAGCGCCACCAGTCAAGCTGCACGAGGGCATCCCTCTAGTCAACAGAAGCACCACAAAATCGACCAAGTCAGCCTCGTCCCAATCTGCCACCACCGGAGACCTGCTGCTGGACCTTCTGGGAGATGATGAGACGAAAAAGGAGCGCGAGGCCGCGCCGGCGCCGGCCAAGCCCCAGGAGTCGACGCTGGACCTGCTGTCGGACATCTTTGGCAGCTCCGCCTCGCAGAAACGGCCGCAGGAGCCACCACAGGAGACCGTCATTCCGGCATTCGCGGACGAACACCTGTCGTTTGAGATCATCGTGAAGGAGATCGGCAGCGGCAGAGCGAGCCTCGAAGGTCGCGTGCGTAATCTCGACAACTCAGTGGTCTCCAACATCTCTGTGCTCTGTGCAGTGACTAAGCAGCAGAAGTTGCAACTTTCGCCCATTGGCAGCAACACCCTTGCACCAGGAGCTAGCTCGTCGCTGGGGATCCGTGTGACGGGACAGCCAGGTGCGAAGGTGAAGGTGCGGGTGAAGCTGGAGTACAACGCTGGCTCGCAGGTGAGCCGGCAATTTGACTCGGCCCTGCCAATGACTATGTAGAAATAAAGAGTTTGGAAAGTTAAGCAAATTACTAAGGAAAATACTTAGGCAGTTTTCTTTACAATTTCTTTAATCAACAGATTCATCATGGATTTCAACAAGCTGCAAGCCCAAGTGCAAAACGCGTTTTCTGCAATTGACTCTGTAAGTAGGCGAGATCATTCTAGCTAACAACCAGCAAACGCAGAACTCCCAGCTGCTGACCCGTTTCGAACAGCAATTCAAGCTTCCTCGCTCCTACATTGTTCTGGGTGGCGTTGGATTCTACTTGCTGCTGGTGTTTCTGAATTTTGGCGGAATCGGCCAATTACTTTCCAACTTTGCCGGATTCGCGTATCCTGGCTACTTGTCTCTGAGGGCACTCAAGACCTCCACCTCCAAGGATGACACCAGATTGCTGACGTACTGGGTTGTGTTTGCTGCTCTGAACGTTGTGGAGTTTTGGTCCAAGGCTATTCTGTACTGGGTGCCATCTTACTTCCTGATCAAGACGTTCTTCCTGCTGTACTTGTCACTTCCTCATTACAACGGTGCAGAGGTTATTTACCACAAGGTTCTCGCTCCTTTGACCGACCGCTATGTCGACGGGGGTGCTCCTGCAAACGACCTTCTGAACAAGGTCCAGGAGAAGACTCAGTAAGACTGCAAAGGGTATGCAAGAGCAGAAGACAATTTTCTCGAGGTGTCTTCGGGACGCCTACCCGATGGGGCTGGGCCGGCCCGGTTTTCTAAGAGAGTTCTTTTATTTAGTTGTTAAATGTCTCATTCTCCGTTTTCCCCCACTTTTGGTAGCTAGCCCATACCTGCTGATACGTCAAGAGTGTATGCATTTACTTGCTTCCCCATATTTTTCGTGCAAGGAGGGCCCAAAAGCGGCGTGCGACACTATTCCCCGGAGTGTCGTAAAAATTCGGGTTACCCCAGACTCCGCTATCCCGGACTTTTTTAAATAGCTCAGCGCAGGACAAACGGAGCCATTCCGGGCACGCTTGTATATAAGCTGAGATGTCCCCACAAATAAACACTAACAATGGCACCTACAGCAGTTGACCTCCACAGAGAGTACCAAACCTCCCTCGCCCAAGAAAACGGCACCCCATTCAACAAAAAGAGCAGAAAGGCCTCCGTCGTGAGCTCCCTTGGACTCAATCCAGATGCGGCCATTCATTATAATTCGTCCGTTCCAATTTTGTACGAAGACGCATTGCAGGAGAAAGGCACCACCATCTCCTCAACAGGCGCTCTGATCGCGTACTCGGGCTCAAAAACGGGCCGCTCGCCTAAGGACAAGCGAATTGTCGACGAGGAGTCTTCTACAGAGCACATCTGGTGGGGACCTGTCAACAAGAAGGTTGACGAGCAGACCTGGAAGATCTCCAAGAGCAGAGCTATCGACTACCTCAGAACCAGAGACAAAGTGTACATCATCGACGCCTTTGCTGGCTGGGACCCTCGCTACAGAATCAAGGTGCGAGTCGTCTGTGCGCGGGCCTACCACGCATTGTTCATGAAGAACATGCTGATCAGACCCACCGACGAGGAGCTGCGCGACTTTGGCGAGCCAGACTTCACGATCTGGAACGCCGGCCAGTTCCCTGCGAACGTGTTCACCAAGGGCATGACGTCTGCCACCAGTGTCGAGATCAACTTCAAGGAGATGGAGATGGTCATTCTGGGAACCGAGTACGCTGGTGAGATGAAAAAGGGTATTTTCACCGTGATGTTTTACCTCATGCCGGTGAAGCACCAGGTGCTGACACTGCACTCGTCGGCCAACCAGGGCGTGCAGAACGGCGACGTGACGCTCTTCTTTGGTCTGTCGGGAACAGGAAAAACCACGCTCAGCGCAGACCCTAACCGGAAGCTGATTGGCGATGACGAGCATTGCTGGTCCGACCACGGTGTTTTCAACATCGAGGGCGGCTGCTACGCCAAGTGTCTCGACCTGTCTGCCGAGAAAGAGCCAGAAATCTTCAATGCAATCAGGTTTGGCTCGGTGCTCGAAAACGTGGTGTACGACCCGGTCACCAGGGTGGTGAATTACGCAGACTCCATGATCACCGAGAACACTAGATGCGCTTACCCGATCGACTTCATTCCGTCCGCCAAAATCCCATGCCTGGCCGACAGCCACCCTAAGAACATTGTGCTGCTCACGTGCGACGCCAGAGGCGTGCTTCCTCCGGTCTCGAAGCTCACCAACGCGCAGGTCATGTACCACTTTATCTCCGGCTACACGTCCAAGATGGCCGGCACAGAGATGGGCGTGACGGAGCCAGAGGCCACGTTTTCAGCCTGCTTCGGCCAGCCGTTCCTTGTGCTCCATCCTATGAAATACGCTCAGCAACTGTCCGACAAGATGAGCGAGCACAACTCGACCGCCTGGCTCCTAAACACGGGCTGGACCGGCAAGTCAGCCTCGAAGGGCGGCAAACGGTGTCCGCTCAAGTACACCAGGGCCATTCTGGATGCCATCCACTCGGGCGAGCTCTCCAAGGTCGAGTACGAGACGTATCCAACCTTCGGCTTGCAGGTGCCAAAGAGCTGTCCTGGCGTGCCATCGTCGCTGCTCAACCCGGCAAAGAACTGGGCCGACGGCCTGCAGGACTTCAACACAGAGGTTACCAACCTGGCACAGCTGTTTATGGAGAACTTCGAGAAGTACAGCTCCCAGTGCACTAGCGAGGTGAGAGCTGCAGGACCTGCTTTGTAACTCACATACTATTCATTATTTATTGCATTTTCACACTCGTTTCTAGCTAGAGTAGCGTGTCGTTAACGACTCTTTTTTTAACAGGAAGAAACCGCGCGTCCACACACGGTTTGCCCAGCTGTGCCGCGTGGAACTCGTTGAGAAACCTGCTCAGCGGCCGCGCATACCACCGCTCGTTGTTCCAGCGGAACCAGCCCAAATGACCGCCCAGCGTCGTGCACACCGTCACCAGGTACGGCTGCAGCGTGGTCTCCTTGAGCGGCAGCGCCTGCTCGTCGCCGCCGACGATCGGGTCGTCCAGTGCGGTCAGCACAAGTGTCGGTGTACGGATGTTGAACACCCTGGTGATGGAGGAGCCGCTGCGGTAGTACTCGGAAGCACAGTTGAAACCGAACAGCCGCGACGTGAACGCGTTGTCGAACGACTTGATGCTGTTCACGTGGCGGAAATGCTCTTTGTATATCGGCTCGAAATCCGGGTTTTCGCTCAGTTTCTTGTAGTGGCTCTTAATCATCTGTTTGAGAGGCACCGTCATGATGGGCGAGTAGATCTTGTCCGAGATGAAGTCCTTTTCAAACACGAAGCTCGAGTGGTTGAGGTCCCACGGGTTGGCGACCACCACGGCGAGATCAAGCCCGGATTCTTCGCCTGTCTGACCGACGTAGTTGGCAAGGATGCTGCCGCCGAGCGAGAAGCCTGCCGCGTAGATCGGCCGTTTAGGGAACGCCTTGCGCAGCCGCAGCACCGTGTGTTTGAGGTCGTACGTCCAGAAACCATTAAACAGCACCGGCGTGGTGAGCGGCGTCTTGCCGCAGCCACGGCTGTTCAGCACCATGCATTCGAAGTCGGGCATTCGCGCAAAAAGACACCGGATGTAGGACTCGGACGACGAGCCCGACAGCCCGTGCAGTACGAGGAAAATTGGCTTGGACGAATCAGCGAACTCTTGCAACTCTGCAGCAGTGAGCCGTCTGGTGAAGTCGGGCAATTGGCCGTCTGCGGCGGCCTCTTTGGCAAACTGGGCTTTCGGAATAACCCTGTCGAGCGACACCTGCGCGCCGTCAGGCAGGTACAGCGTTTCTCTGCCGAAATAGAGCCGATCGGCGAACCTGAAGCTTCGGAGGCCCGCAAACATGGTTTGCAGGTGGCCGTGGCACAGCAGCGGGTTCATCACCGCCCAGGCACCAGTGCGAAACTCCGGCATGCGGCGAACAAGCTCGGCAAACGTGACAGTGCCGCGTGCACTAGGGAAAGAGATCGATTGCTGCGGCTCTATAGTTCGCACCACGTTGATAAAAGAGAACCTGGACACAAAGCGCAAAACAGAAAACAGCACGTAGCCATAGATAAGCACACATGCCCAGAGAGGCAGCCGCAGAAGGGCCACAAGCACCGTGTGGTGCAAATCTCTCAGGGTCTCGTTAACGACCTCGAGCATTTGATTTGGAAAACTATTATGCCCGGGTAACTCTTTCTGGAGGAGAGATTTCGTGGATGTGGACGGAGGGGTGGTCGAGGCCGTCGACCTGCGAGATCTGCAGCGGCGTGATGAAAATTGTCTGTGTCTTGGGGTTGTCGGCGACTTTCTGCAGAATCAGCTTGAGCGCGAGTCGACGGTTGACCTGGTCCATGAAAACGTCAAACTCGTCCAGGCCACGCACTTTGGACTGCATCGGCTTCCAGATCGCCAGCAAAAACGCGATCTGCGCAAATGACTTCTCGCCGCCCGAAAACGACTCCACATTCCGCAGCTTCTCGGACGGTTTTGTCGACACCTTGAGCACGAGCCGAGCCTTGGCAAAGTCGAAGTCAATTTTACCCGTGAAGCCGCGCAGCCGCAAGGCAGACTCAAAGACGCTGTTCACCTCCTGGATCAGCAGGCTGGCCGTCGCGGTGAGATTGTCGAGCCGCGCCTGCAACGACGACGCGAGGTGGTTGTGCAGTTTCACCGAGTCCTGGTACTTGTTTTTCACGTCGCTGTACACGTCGTGCGCCCGAATCACGTCCAGCTTCGCCTGGTCTCTGCTCACTCCAACGTCGCGCTCAATCTTCGACAGCGTGTTGGCGATCGCCTCGATCTGCGAGTCCACCTTCTCGATCGTGTCTTCCGGTGTCAACGCGGCCTCCTCGCGCGAGCAGTGCGACTCAGCACGGCGTGCCAGAGTCTCGATCACAGGCGGTAGCTGCACATGCACAAAGTCGTCCAGCTTGTTCACGTCTGCGCGGAACTTGCCGATCTTCATCTGGTGGCTGCGCACGGCGTCGCGCGCCTCGCCGATCTTGTCTCGGAGCTCCTCGATCTGCGCGTTTAGCTCGGCCTTGTCGCGCTGGATGCGCTTGATTTCGTTGCCGCACGCCGTAAATTTGTCGCGTCCCTGCCGGTACTCCTGCACCAACGTCTCGATTTCGGCCTTGCGTGTCTTGATCCGCTCCACGTTCAGCTGGATCTGCGCGCTCAGGTTCTTGTGGTCCTCCAGGTGCGACTCCAACTTGCCCGTGCCCCGCTGCAAATCCTCCAGCTTGTTCTCGATCTTTGACAGCGACTTGGTCAACACCATCGCGCGCTGCCTGAGTTCCTGGATCTCGCTTTTCGCTGCGCCCACCTCGCCGTCCAGCTTCTTCTCGCTCTCGCGCCACCGCGCCTCGGCCTCGCGCAGCCGCTCGCTCGTCTCCTTCAGCTGCCGGTCCAGCTGCGAAGTAGGGTTCTCTGCGTCCCCCGTCCTGTGCAAACTCAGCCAGCCGCGGTTTTTGAACGCGCTGATCGGGTCCGTCTGCAACCGGTTGTTCCTCTTGGATATCCGCAGAGCACCGCCGGGAATCATGCAGATCGCCGCAGAAATGCGGTTCTCGCGGTCTGCCAACAGCACCTGCTCCGCCGTCTCCCGGTCCTCGATCAGCAGCGTGCTGTGTATCTTGCTAGTGTCGACCAGACAGCACTCCACGGTGCGGTCGTCGAAAACAAGCACATCCACCATTTTCAAGTAGTTGCCCCGAGGAACACTGGCCGAGTAGTCAAACACCTCCGCCCGACGCACAGTGATGTCGCTCTGCACCTGATAAAACTTCATCCGCTCGCGTAAAAGACTGGAGTCCGAGAAATTCTCGGCTACAAACGTCCCCAGCTGTCTCTGTAGCAAAATCTCAATCACCCACCCCCACTTGTCAAATTCGGACCGCAGCGAAAACTTCATCCCCAATGGCCCCGTGATCCGGCCCTTGTACCGCTGCGCGCTCGTCTGGAGCTCCTTGAGAAGCCGCACCACGCCCGTGCCAAATCCGTCGAGCCGACTACACTGCCGGTTGTGAAACTGCGCGCGACTTTGGTCCAGCCGGCTCAGCTCCAACTTGAGCTCGCCGGCCTCCTTGCGGAATGCCTCATTCAAATCCGCCTTCTGCGCCCTCATCTCCTCCACCAGGGTCAGCAGCTCGCTCGACCGCGCCCGGCACTCACCCAATTCCTTTTCCTGCTTCGTCTTGAGCGTCTGAAGATTGGTCAGCACAGAGCTCGTGTCTGAGTCCAGCCGGCTCTTCTCGATCTCGATTTTTTCTTCGACGGCTCGCAGGTTGTTCTCGTCGACGCTGATCTCGTTCTGGATTGCTGTCTGCTTGGACTGCACGTCCTTGAGCCGCTCCTGCGTTGTTTTCAGCATCTCCTTCAGAGCATCCTTTTCCTGCTCCTGCTTCTGCAACTGCTCGTCTAAATCCAACACCGTCTGCGCCTTGTCGTCCTTCTCTGCCTGGTAGCCACGTATTTTGTCCTCCGCATCGGCCACAAACTTGTCCGAGTTCTCCATCTCGCGCTGCCGCTCCTCCAGCAGGTTCTTTGCAAGCCGCAGCTGCTCCTCCTTGTTCACAACCTCCAGCCACAGCCGTTTCCCAGAAAGCAGATCCTGCTGCTTCTTGAATTCGTCCGAGTTCTTGAAGTTGTTCCACAGCTCCAGCGCTCGGTCCAGCTTGGCCTTGGACTCGTGCAAAATCTCCTCGTCCTGCGCCAGCTTCAGCTTGATCTCGCTCACGTCTTTCTGCAGCTCCTGCACGTTATTGAACGTCTCCTGGAGTCTCGTGCCCTCCATGAAGTACCGGAATTTACCTTCGTCCGTGGAGTGTGCCAAAAATGTCTTGGCCTCCGTCTGTGTCAGGATGGTCATCGGGTTGCCGATGGTGATGCCGTAGTAGTCGAGAATGTCGTCGATCGTCTGCTTCTTCGTCGATCGCACCTTGCCCGTCTCGTCCTTAATTTGGCACGACGGGCTCGAATCTGCCTTCAGCACACGCTCGATCGTAATGATTTTGCCGTATTCCTGCGGTCTGTACGCCTCGGGGCCCTCGTTTTTGAACGTCACGATCGCTCGCGCCACGTTCTTGCCGTGCATGATCAGACCCTTCAGCGAGTTGCCCCTGTCTGTATCGCTTGCCTTGGCCCCCAGAGCCACAGATATGCCGGTCAAAATCGCCGACTTGCCCGACCCGTTGCGGCCGATGATAAAGTTTGTCTGCTCGCCAAAGTCAAGCTTGAACGCGGCGTGACACATAAAGTTATACAGCTCCAGCCTGAGAATAATTCCCGCTCGCGCAGGGCTCTCGTCAACTGCCGCAACGTCCGTGCTGTGTGCCTGCGTCATGAGCCCGACACGCCGCCGTTTGAGATGTCGCGTCAAGTTCTGCGTGAACTGCTCGTTCACGTCGATCTGCGAGTCCTGCACGGCGATCTTGTCACCCGCTTCTGCCGAACTTAGCGATTCTAGCGTTTCAATCGAGCTCGGCAGCGTTGCCGTGCTCGTGTTTTCTCCGTCGGCGTCTGCCGACGACATGTCCCCAGCAGATCGCTTCATACAATAAATAAAATAGAATAAAAATAAATCAAATAATTATTATGTCTCGACGAATTTTCGACCTCACCAAGCTGGACACCAAATGGGCGACCAGATGGAAGAAGCAGGGCTGCTTGCTGAACCCACGCAGAAAAGTGGCCCCCACCAAGGGCAAGATCTACTCGACCGCGATGTTCCCGTACCCTTCGGGCATTCTCCATATGGGCCATCTTAGGGTGTACACTATAGCCGACGTGCTGGCTAGATTTTACCGCATGCAAGGGTACAACGTGATTAATCCGATGGGGTGGGACGCCTTTGGACTGCCTGCGGAAAACGCGGCTGTCGACCGCAACGTGAGCCCTGAGAACTGGACTAAGCTCAACATCTCGAAAATGAAAGTCCAGATGGAAGCCATGCTGGCCGACTTCGACTGGGACCGCGAGGTTACCACGTGCGATCCTGCCTACTACAAGTGGACGCAGAAGCTGTTTTTGCTGATGTACGAGCACGGCTATGCGTACCGCAAGAAGGCAGAGATCAACTGGGACCCTGTGGACCAGACGGTTCTGGCCAACGAGCAGGTCGACTCAGAGGGCCGTTCGTGGCGTTCGGGGGCGGTGGTCGAAAAACGGCTTCTCGAGCAGTGGTTTCTGGGCATTACGAAATTTGCCAAGGAGCTGAATGCCGACCTCGATACGTTGGACCAATGGCCGGCTAAGGTCAAGGCCATGCAGCGCAACTGGATCGGCGAGAGTACAGGAGCCGAGATTCGGTTCCAGGTTGGCGAGGAGACCACATATGTGTACACGACGCGCGCCGAGACGATTTTTAGTCTGCAATATTTGGCTCTTGCGGCTGACCATCCCATTGCTACCAAAATAAAGCAGACCGCGCCCGAGCTTGCTGAAAAATACGATACAGGCGTGAAGCTGCCCCTGGAGGCGACGAATCCCGTCACCGGCGAAAAGGTGCCTGTTTTCGTTGCGCCGTACGTCATTTCTGGCTACGGCCACGGCGCAGTGATGGGGTGTCCTGCCCACGACGCCAGAGACTACGAGTTCTGGAAGAGCATGGGCGAAACGTCAATCCGGTCCACTGTTGAGCCGGAAGACGGCTCTTTGGACGCCAATGAGCCGTATTTCGGCGCCAGCGGCGTGATGAATGCGGACTCCCAGTTTCTGGCAGGTCTGTCTGCCACCACGGCCCGCAAAAAAATTATCGAGCATCTGGAGTCACACCAGCTCGGCCGCAAACGCACAACCTACAGACTTCGCGATTGGCTGATCAGCAGACAGCGGTTCTGGGGTGCTCCGATCCCGATAGTTCACTGCGACCGCTGCGGCACGGTCCCGGTTCCGGATGATCAGCTGCCCGTGTTGTTGCCCAAGGTCGACAAGCTTCTAGGCCGTGGCGGGTCGCCGCTGGCGCAAATCCCCGAGTTTGTCAACGTGGAGTGCCCCTCGTGCGGAGGCGCTGCCCGCCGCGACACAGATACCATGGACACGTTCATGGACTCGTCGTGGTACATGTTCCGGTACCTGGATCCGCATAATGAGCAGCAGCTGATGGATCCCAAGGTGGTGAGTCCGCTGCTGAGCGTGGACCAGTATCTGGGCGGTGTTGAGCACGCCATATTGCATCTGCTATATGTGCGGTTTGTGAGTAAGTTTCTGAACAAAATCGGCTACTGGGATGGCAGCGCTGTGAACGGAGAGCCGATCAAAAAACTCGTGAGCCAGGGAATGGTCCACGGCCGGACTTTCTCGGAGCCAGAGACGGGCCGTTTCCTGAAGCCGGATGAGTACGAGATAATGCCCGACGGTAGGGCCGTGATAAAGGAGAGCGGCAAAACAGCGACCGTGTCGTTTGAAAAAATGTCCAAGTCGAAACATAACGGTGCCGATCCGTCGGACTGTATAGCACGCCATGGAGCAGACGCTACCAGAGCTCATGTGCTGTTCCAGGCACCAATCGAGGACGTTTTAAACTGGGACGAGGACAAGATTGTTGGTATTGAGAGGTGGCTGGCCAAGGTGTTGACCATTGCTGATGGGCTGCGTGAACGGCTGAAAGAGTCGGTGCAGCCCAAACCAACAGATCTGTACACCAGGTCCGAGATTTCTATTCACAACGAGTGTCAGCAGCTCCTGCATTCTATCACGGACTCTTTGAGCAAATCGCTGTCGCTGAATACGGTAATCTCAGACTACATGAAGTTCACTAACAGGATCTACAGCGAGTTGAACAACAAGGACGTTTCCACGGCCGTGCTTTACGATTCCTATCTGGACCTTCTGAAAGCGCTCAGCCCTGTGACACCCAGCGTGAGCGAGGAGGCAAACGAGATGCTGCATCCATGGCCGGTTGAGTCTATTTTGACGGCCGATTGGCCGGAAATCAGGCCTTTCATTGCTGCTACCGTTCCGTACACTGTGATGGTGAACGGCAGAATGAGGTTTGTCTATCACGGGCCAGAAAATCTGATAGAGGACCGGGAAGGGTGCATCTCCCAGATCTTGGCCACTCCGGAAGGACAAAAATGGATCGGAACGAAAAATGTCAAAAAGGTCATTCTCAAGCCTAAAACGGTGGTTTTCATCGTGGACAAATAAATTCACATGATAAATTATCTGTATATAGATATAATAAGCATCGCAAAAAGTAATTTTTTTTGGTTCCTAGAGATAATGTCCAAAAGAGTCCAGAAAACTCAGTATCTGCTGCGACTGCTAGCCAATCCCAAGCTCTATAACCTACTGGGCAGTCCATTCGAAGACCCGCTGAAGCTCGACTCGCTGCTGTCGACCGTCTGTTATGGATCTTTGTTTATCTCTGAACTTATCAAGAGAAGGCCCGAACTCGTGCAGATTTTGAGTAACCTGGCGGAAAAATTGAAGATGCAAGGATTGATCTCGCTCATAAAGACACTCATACAAAAGATACAACGCGCGGTCGATCCAAAACATCGTTTCTCTATTAATGTTTCTCTAGACTCCTTATCCACCAAGTTGAGACTCATATCGGACTATATTGCTGACGTGCGCATCTTCAATCGCATGTGGGGCCTGCCCGGATTGCTGGCTTTCGGCCTCGAAGATTTGCACAGGATATTCAGAGCAGATTCAAATTTCATCACAAAACTGCTGGAAGCCACAAGCACCATATCCATCGTGGCGTACCAGCCACTCGAAAATGTCGCTTTTGCAGCCGACCACAACTGGACGCACCTTGAAAAGTCGGCCTCACTCGAGTACTATGTGGCCTCATCGCGGCTCTGGGCCGTGTTTGTCGTGCTGGAGGTTGTGAAGCTGGTGAAGACTATGATTCAAACTAAACTTGCTGGAAAGCCGCTCGACCTTCTCCACAACCGCTCTCTGAACCGCTCGTTGGTCGCCAATATCGCCAATTTGCCGCTTACTGTGCACTGGTCTTTGTACGATGGGTGCCTTAGTGATCTCACCGTGGGATTCTTGGGCACCATGTCCAGCTTGTTCGACACAATAGATTCATGGGGAGAAGTGTCTGCACAGTTGCGCCAGCTTTGATAGCGCTATTCATAATTATAGAATTCCTCCTCTGTCGAGGTGTGCGTCCGTAAATACTCGAGGTGAGGCAAGAATAGACTTTGGCACTCGGCATTCGCCTTGGAATTTTGGATGTACTGCAAGCCAAGTCCCGACAACTTGTCTTGGATCTCCACAGAAGCGGCATCTTGTGTTTCGTTCGGCGTCCATTGCGGACAAATCAGCTGCGTTATAAGCTCCCACATCCGCAGGTCAAAACCATACGCCGAATTTGGCAATTTTCCTGGATAGAGCTTGCGGTGTCTCAGCTCTCCATTTTGTTCCCACGAAATTTCGTCCCTCAGTTTATCAGGATACAATTTCGGGTAAGACAAGTGCATAAACATCAACCTGGCATCGTCTCCGTCTTGGAAGTCGTAGAAATTAGACAGGTACGGCGCCATTGTTTCCTCGGTGTGAGTAGTAGGGTCCCACTGTCCTAGAGCCTTTGCATGGTAGCCGTAGGTGTCATGATACCCTAAGAACTTCATGCTTTGCTTGACCTGATAGACCGGCTTTCGAAGAGCGTATGCAGCAGCAATAAAAGTGTCTTTATCTCCTTCTCCTGCTCCTCCCTGGGTCAAAAGCGGGTAGTAGTGCGACGGCCCAAACATGTTGTAGTATAATGACAATAACAGAGTGTCGACTTGCGTCTCCTTGTTCACCAGCAACATGCCAGACTCGCTGGCCGGGTTGGGCAGAGTCCCAGGCAAATCATGGTAATTCCACTCGTCTGGAGACTCTCGATCCTTGAATTGGCCACGCACAGGGTGATCACCAATTGGTATGTCAGCTATTCTGTAGAAATAAGGATGCGTGGTCCTGGACCAGCAGTCGGGCCATAAGACCAATCCATATTCTTCAAACACAGGCCAGTCAAACAAAATGTCCGGATTGTGTATTACCACGTTGTCTGCGTCCAGCAGGAGAACTCTTTTGAAATTGGAAGCGAAAATTGCCAAAATCTTGTACTGATACCCGTCAATCTGCAGCTTTTTCCTGTATTTATGCATGGGTAACTCTTTGAAGCCAAAAACGCATTTAGCATTGAGAGCAGGTAGCAGACTGTCACAAAAGTCTCGCTCATACTCTTGCTCGGACGCGATGAACACCTCTACGGGTAATTGGCACCCTGTGGACCTCAATTGGTTGATGTTCAGCAACGCCAACCAAGAAAAACGCCCTCCTCCGACCATTACAATCCCGTCTCCATCTATTTGCTTCTGCGGGTCACCAAAAACGCTCATCTTCAGATCGCGCATTTTATCGACGAATTGCTGATGTTGCGTTTTCAGATCCAGCAAAGTTGTTTCCTTGACGTCCAATAGCCCCATCAGATACTTCTCGCTGAAATGGAAATCTGAGTCACTGGAAAACTTTTGTTGAGCTTTCTCGCCGTTGATATAATTTGTCAAAGGAGGGGACTTGGGCTTCGTTTCGACCAATAAATTGAACAAACGGTCTACGAGCACGTTTTTGTTTTTTTGCGTGAACCAAAATCCTCCACTTGTTCGCACGGCGTCATCCGAGTAACCCTGGAGCCTGGAAGACTGTGAATTGCCACCCACTGATTCTATCGGCACCAATGGCAAGGCACCTTCTTCCCCCATATGTATTATTTGGTTTTCCGAGTTTTTGGCCGAGAAGACAAAGAGTTGCACAATAAGCAGCAGTATGGCCGCGGCCCCAATCTTTACAAGCCGTTTTTTATTCACAAACAAAGACATGAATGTATATCAACATGTAATAAATTGCGATCTAGCGTGATAGAAAAAATAAACCTAAATTATCCTAGAAAGTTTAGCACATGTGTATTCTTACTTTGAGGCCGATTTTTTCCCTTGTTTAAATTTAAGGTTTATTTGTTTAATTGTCTCGTTTGATATGAAGTGATAACGTCTTTTTATTCTACTCGGTACATGATATCGTATCAATAATGAACATCTCCCTGGGGAGGCGTTTGAGTGTTGTTTTCCTTGTCCCACTCAGAGCTAGAATCGGTCTGGTAATCTGAATCAGCCTTAGATCTGAGGCCAAGGTCGACAGAGAACAAGAACATGATCACACCGAACCAGAAACACAAGGCCCATTCAAACACCCCAGAGACGCCCCACAGCCGAGATGCGTCGCCATGTCTGCTTGCAATTCGCATGCATGCCACATAGCCAATAGCGAGAGCGATTCCAATAATCAGCCATACCAGTTTCAGCCAGGCACTCCATTTGAACCATTTGAAATGGGTATAATGTTTGGCATAGATGAAGTACAGGCTGATGTTGCAGATTGCCCACAAAAGATCGAGCACAATGAAGATACCCACAAAGGTCAAGTGAACGGTGTCATATTGGGTGTCCTTGAAACAAGAAACGAAAAAGATGGAAAGCGAGGATAGAAAGATCAGTATGATACAAACAACATGTAGAGCGGTAACTGTGCGACGGAACCGTGGTAGCAAATAACGTTTCCGGCGAGATCTAAGGTATGCCTCCTCTATTACGGCCCACACGAAGAAAAAGCCCATGGTTGCTGTGCCGGCAATGAAAAGTCCTTGCAGATTAGTGGCTCCGACGTTGGACAAATACACAATGAGATGGGCCATGTAAATGTGATCTTGCTCGTAGTTAGGCCTGCCCTGCGCCACCCAACACACGATCATGGCAATCAGCATTCCCCACCATGCTGCCACGGAGAGTAACGGCAAGATGAAGGCCCATCTGGGCCTCACGTTTGGTGAATTGAAAGCACCAATTTTAATCATGGGAGAAGAAGTTCAAGCAAATTGTTGGAAAAATGTCTACGTCTACCTGAGCAAACGAGAAAAGTTCTTAATAATGCAAAACGCAATTGTTTATTGTATTTTTAGCCCGCGATTCAGTTTAATTATCAGCCCCGTATTGAACTAAAAGGAAAAATTTATTGTTTTGACACATTTTTTGCAGGTCACGTGGAACGATACTGAAATTTTTTCTGTATTGTCACCCGACCAAAAAGATGGATGTACTTCGATATATTGTACACAATCTATGAATTCTATTGAGAGACTGGCTATGGTGCAACGCCATTTCCAGATGAAACACCCGCTTCCCGAGTTTCCGTACTTGTCGCAAATAGAAAGAGATGAGTATTTCCGCCATTCCCAGCAGCAGAGTCTTAGTCAGCCTCAAATGGCTGTTATTATGGCATCTGTGTGGAAAAATCAGCACAGTGGACCGAACATCAACATGCATCCTTTGAAATGATCGAGTATGCCCTTGCAGATGTTTCGAATGTATGCTATGTCAGCAAGGTCGGGATTTATCTCTGCTAGTTTGTCAAGTTGTATTTTGGACCGGCCATTTTGCACTTGATCTAACAACGCGGCCTCTGAAAGTGGATTACTTTTGAAGCAATTAAGAAACACAAGGTCCGCGAAAGTCAGCAATGCTATAGTTTTAGAGTCGAGAGAATGCGGCTCTGGAGAAGTCCGACCCACAGACATTTCTGCATCCGACTGGATGTCGCTTTCCTCAGGGACAACGTGCTCTTCTGGCCGTTCTTTTTGGTCTTTGCAGCTGTCCGATTTCTTATCTTCGATCTCAAGACAGTCAATGAGGTCATCCACGAGCCCCACTTTGGCTTCTGCAAATGTGTCACTGAAATAAACATCGCTGAAATCCTCGCTTGGATTTTCAGCCACATTAGTGAGACTGCAACTCAATCTGTATAGCACATTTTCCAATTCGAACGAAGGAACATTTGGAACTGGAATGTCGAGCTCACTGGATGTCCAGAGAGCAACCTCAGCATATTTTTCAGTAGGTCTTTTCCTTATCATCTGTTTCACTTCGTTTTTGAAAGGTGAGGATATATTCACGACCAAAGGTTTGAATATTTTCCGTAGCAGCTCATCGACCATGCCCGACAAGTCCAAGGTTTGGAACTTTTGTGCAGAAATAGAGATGCGGTTAAAATGGTAGTAAATCATGTTGATGTTGATATTTTCCCTCAGCTGGTATAAAACTCGAATGATGTAGAAATGCTTAATTGGCAAAGCCTCTCCTGAATCAACAAACTTTCCAATTTCCTTCAAAAAGTCGGTAATCAGGCTGTTGAGTTGGTCGATCACAAAGCAGATACCCTCATCAACTAAATCGTTGAGATAAGCAGCCGTCTTTCGCCAATATTCATCATCTTCGTAGTCGTCAATAGACAAGACTTGTTTTGTCAAGGAAGACGACAACTTCGACAAGCTTTGAAGGGAGTCCAGCACCATTACAAGAGTCTGCTTGAACTGACCAAACTGCGTCACAATGGCGTCAATTGTGTACAACGAAGGGTTTGAAATTTGCGAGAGATAGAGATCAATGTTGGTGAGGTCGGTGTACTGAAACAGGTTCAGTCCAGACGTTGTGCGAGTCGATTGCAGACTTTCTGAGTTACCATATGTTTCCAAGATCAACTTTGAAATATTCTGGAAGTTGCCGACGCTGCTTTCCAAAAATTCGAAAAAAACTGACCTCCAAACAGATAAAAGACTATCCAAGAGTCTCGAATCCTCATATTTGATAGCCACCAGAGACGTAAATTTCTTGAACGATTGAAACACTCTGCTAAGCGAGGAAGAAAGCGCCTCGATATCCCTCGACTGAACAAAGTCTTTGCCAATTTGCTCCTTGAGATAAGCACCCACATTGATTTTCCAAGTTTCGCTGATCTTGTCCACTTCTCCTTCCGGTATATTTTTCAGCTCGTTCAAAGATAGAGGAAAATCCACTTTGTAACCTGCGGGTATATCGAGCCAGCGAGAGTATTTCTTGAAACTCGTGTTGGCGACCCAGTTCGAATTTGTTGAGCTGTATATTTGGCGCATCAAGGTTGTAGGAAGTTTCGAACAGAACACCCCGAGGTAGCTGAGCGTGTTATACATGTAGCTCAGACAATTGTGCAAATCGTGTAGCTCGAATTCTCGCACTCTGTCATAACGCAAATCGAGATACCATTCAAGAGCTTTCAGGATCTGGCTTCGTGCAACAATAATGTGCGACACCAGCAAATGCAGAGCGAACTCGTAATCACCGTCACCAGTGCACTCGGCCATCTCTGTTCGCAATTCTTGCAAAAAATCTTGCTTCATTTTGCCAAACTTCTCCGCCACAAACGATGTCCCTTTCAGTTCGTCTCCGAAAAAGCTCTCCGTGAGATAAAACTGCTTAGCGAGTTGAACCAACTGTAGCGAAACAGACTCGCGCGAATTCTCACCATCCTCGTGCTCGTAAACACGCGTTTCTGCTTGGATATCCTCGACCTCTTCTCGTAGAACTTGGAGACCAAAATCCAGGTGGTCCACAATGTTTCGCAACAATACTGGTCGATTACGGAACTTGGTTTTCTCCAAAGCATTGGCTCGGACCTCGGAGGAGAACTTGTTGAAATTTCGCAGACTTTTGTCATCGTACTTCGCTTTTCTGTACACCAGGTCAGATAGACAAGAGGTTTGCTGGTCGGAAAGTTCGTTCATGTGGATGATGTCGTCTGCCACTTTTAAAAGGTCTCTGTAGTTGTTCCCCACCAAAGTTCGCAACTCCAACCTCTTATTGTGGACATCAGCGGCTAGTTGCAAATTTAACTGTTGAAGCTGCTGGATCGAATACTCTTCGAACAGCTCTGCCGCTGACTTGTCCGCCAGCTTAGCAACAAGACCCATGCTATTTTTTCAAATTTCGTGTTATTATTTGTACATATTAACAAGCACCCCGGACACCAACAAGTATCTAACGTCGTCTTTCGGACATGGAGCGGCGCTGAGAGGCAAACAGATCGCGCTCCAAGCGGGAGTCTGCCCGTCTCTCGTGTATGAAGTTGCACATTCCGCCTCTGTCGCACTCGTTTGAGTAATAGAGCCGGCACGTGGCGTCGTCGAGGTTGGTCACCGGCGAGAGCTCGGCAAAAACGGGCTTGCCGTTGTACCAGCGGTCGTTGCATTCCTTGTAGCACTTCATTGCGTCGGCTTCGTCTCTGAAGCGCACGTAAACGTTTCCACTAAGATGGGGGTTTACGTTCTCGCAGATGACAATTTTGTCCACAGGCCCGTACTTCAGCGCGAGTTCGACAAAAACATCCTTGTAAAGCGAGTCGATACGTTGCTGGATTTGCGTTTCGTCAAGCGAGGACACGATCTCCGGCGCGACGGGCTCGGGATCGCCCTTTTTCAGTCCCTCCACATGTTTCGGGTTGTCGTACAATTTGGGAAACAAAATCGTTCTCGAGTGTTTCGGATACACGTGTGTCCTCACACACTTGTCGCCGTGTCGACATGCCCCCACTTTCTGGAAAAAAGTGCACAACTGCTTGTTGTGGACCGACCCAGACATAAATTGATCTATGCTAAAGAAATTTAACAAGATAAAAAATTAAATACGACCTAGCGAGTGTGTCTAGACAATTTTTTCTCCGTCCTCGTCGGAAGAGTTCACTCTCAAATGGTGCTTTGAGACGTCAACCTCACCGTGGAGCTCCTCTGAGAGCTGCTCAAGTGTCTTTCTCTTGGTTTCAGGAATAAGAACGGTGGTGAAAGTACCAAGCAGCATAAACAAAGCAAAGATCTCCATAACGTGTGGCAGCCAGCAGTTTTTCTCCTTGCCGTCTCTGGCACAGTTATGGTCTTGCAGGGTACCGATACAGGTCTGGGCAATGATGGCGCCAACTTTACCTGCGGCAGCACTAATACCATGCGCGGTAGATCTGTATCTGGTTGGGAAGCACTCACCAGGAACAATGAAGGTGGTGGTATTTGGACCGAAGTTTTGGAAGAATTGGGCAAGAATATAGAACGCAAGAAGTCCCTTGTCTCCAAGTTTGTGGTAGGCGAATCCGATAATACAGAAGATGCAGGTCAGAAGGAGGAAAGAAACAAATTGCAGGCTTTTTCTTCCAATGGTGTCGATGGTGGCAACCGAGAACCAGTAGCCTGGAATGGCACCGGCACAAATAAGGATCAGGTTACCGGCAGCCTGGTTGTAAAGCGAGTGGTAGACGTTTTTGGAGGACGCGTAGCCAATGGTTTGCAGAATGGAAGCGGTATTCAGACCCAGGCCGTAGTAAGCAATATCCAACATGAACCACGAACCAACAGTACCAATGAGGATCTTCATGTGCTTCCATTTGGAAAAGTGACCAAAGAAGTCCTTGGTAGTGGCTTTTGGAGGTCCCAGTTCCTCGTGCTCGTCCAAAGCCTGCTCGGTCTCCTTAAGGACCTCGATATCGCCCCTGCCTGCGTCTCCGTGCTTACCAGAGGTAAACTTGGCAATGTCGGCAGTGGCCTTTTCGAGCTCTCTGGACACGTCGAAAGTGAATCTTGGGGACTCTGGGATTGTCAATCTGAAGTACAGCGCAACCATACCGGGCACACAGCCGAATCCAATAAGAATTCTCCACATCTGGTCGCACGCCTTGATACAGTTTCCAGTGCAGCTGGAAGCCGTCTCGGCGACAATCAGATCGTCCTTGTAAGCGACAACACAGATGAGAGCCACGAGACCGGCCAGCAGCTGGCCCCAACCCTGGTTGGCGAAAACAGCACCCATGATGGCTCCTCTCCATCTAGTGGTCGAAAACTCGGACGTGATGATGGAACTGAGCGGATAATCACCACCGATGCCGATACCTTGGACGATTCTGTAGAATGTGAGAATAGCAGGGAAAGAAATAGCCTTAGACTCGCCAAGGGTACACTGCAAAACGGTAGCAACAATCATGATGATCAACTCTGTGCCGTAAATCTTCTTTCTTCCCACCAGGTCTGCAAGCAATCCGAAACCGAACTGTCCAATGACTGTACCCACAGAGGTGGACACTTTCAGAAGAGTGTTGGTGGAGGCAGGCATGGAGCCACCCCAGTAAACATACGTCATCATGGAGATTCCTAGGTTAATGGCGAAAATATCGTACGCATCCGTGAGGAAACCGACTCCAGCCACCATGACCGCTCTGACGTGGTACCATCCAAAGCTGGCATTATCGATCTTCTCCAGAGCCAGTCTTCTTCTCTCAAGAGGATCGGTGATATGGGCGAAGTCGTTGATATAGTTGTGGAACGCAGCGTTACCACCAGCAGTTTTGTATTCGGCCATGAGAAAGATGCAGATGGGCCTGGGGAGGACAGACTGCTAATATTTATACCAAGAGCTGCAGATATAATTTATGCGGCTTGGTGGCAGATTAGTCGAACGAAAATTCTAATTAACCACGATGCCTGGGATATTGGCTACTATTTTGCCGGCCGCAGCACGGAAAAAGACGCGAAAAAAACGATGACTGCAACGTGACGCCGTTTTGATTGGTCGACGAGCCAAGAAAATGCCCAGAAGTAGGAGGATGGTAGTTTAGTTTTCGAACGCCGAACACACGTGCTACCAATAAGTTGTACTAAATTAGCAGGTCCTCGTGTGCGTGCAAAAAATTAAAAAACCACGAGGCACGTGGGGGGGGGGGCTCTCACAGATCCAGAAAAGAAAAAGTGGGGGGGAGTTTCTTTCGTCGACACCTCTCGACCATCGACAGAATTTTGGCGTTTAACCACGGCCCACATCTCTTCACCGCTTAGCTTATGTATCCATCTTTGCACCAATTTAATTATGTCCTTTCAAAACGTCCGCAAAGCGTCCCAAGAGAAAGCCCAGGGATTGCTGCTGCCTTCGCTGCAGTCTCCGCAGCCTTCAGTTAGCGTGTCAAGCTCGGTCTCCATTGCCGGCTCTGCCCATACTGCGGACAAGACCACCCTGATGGATTTTCTAGGGCAATTTGACAAAGATAGGCCCGAACACCACGATACGGTATCCGGCGCCAGCCAGCACGAGGAGGTTGAGAAGAGCGGGCCAGAGGAACCGAGCGAAAAGGAAGAGGCCAAAATTGAAGAGTCTGCAACTGCAACCAACCCAATTGAGCCTGGGCCCGAAGAGTCAAAGCAGGAGTCGGGAACGGCGACAGAGAAGGCTTCCGATAGCGAAAATAGGGCCAGCGAACAGAACTTTGCAGATGAGGAGACGTCTGTGTCGTTAGAGCATATTACATCCACTAGTTATGGGGAGGGCCAGGTATTAAATGACACTTCAGACTCGGAGGAAGGGGAGGAGGAGTTGAAGGCATCTCAGAAAGTAGAAGTTCCCAAATCAAAGAAACAAGATGACAAGAAGCTGCCTACAGACTACCCGAATCCTCCTACGTCGAACAAGAAAAGCGTTGTATTTGATTTCCAGAAGTTCCTGACAATGTTTAAAAACAAGCAATGTGAGCCTATTCACAAATATCTTCGCTCTTTCTTGACCCAATTTTCTCAGAGAACATGGACAGTTGACGAGCAAGTTAAGCTAATTAAGGATTTTGAGGCGTTTCTCTACGACAAACTGCTGCAGTACTACCCTTTCAACACCATCCAAGACGAGCTGGAGCTGGACAATTGCAAAGAGGGACTGGAAAAACTAGTGCTTACACGGCTGTACTCGCAGGTATTTGCACCGGCGACGCCAAAACCAAAACAATCTCCACAGCAGCGGGAAGACCTCCTGAAAGACCGCAAGTACCACACTTCCCTGAAGCTATATGACTGGATCCATCCGAGACATCTGGACATACCCGTTTCGCTAGGTCTGGAGTCCAACTTTGTCAAGCTTGCGTCTGGGGAGATTAACAAAATCAACAATTACAAGTCGCCGAGGGACAAGATCATTTGTATTTTGAACTGCTGCAAGATAATTTTCGGGCTTATTAGACAGCAGCAGAAAATGCACCAGATCGAAGAGAACGCCGATTCGTTTGTGCCGTTACTGATCTATGTGCTGTTGCAGGCGAAACCCAAATATCTCTATTCCAACTTGCAGTACATCGAGCGGTTTAGATTGGAGGAGTTCCTTGTTGGCGAGACATCATACTACGTGAGCACGCTGGAGATTGCATGCAACTTCATCATTGATCTTGATCGAGACAAATTGACAATTGAGGACGAGGAGTTCGATGAGCAGCTCGCACTTGCGAAGCAAAGGCTGGAGAAACAGAAGGAAGAGAAAAAACAAAGAAATGAGCAGAAGGGCGCCAACGACATCCTTTCGCCGATACCAAAGAAACTGACAGAGCTGATAGGGTCGAATTCGAACGAGTCGCCGTCACAGGTGCTTACCAAGTCGGCCGAAATGATGAAACAGTCGATCTCGTCGTCGCTGAACAACCTGTTCCAGACCTCACCGTCTCCTTCGGAAACACCTGCCAAACAAGAACTCATCGATATCAAAAAGCTTTCCTTAGAGGAGCACGAGCACCAGGAGACAATGCGCAAGCAGCGAGAGGAGACGACCGACGCCTTGGTCTCGATGTTTCCAAATTTGGACCGCGAACTTATTACCGATGTCGTTGCCTCCAAGGCCCGCACAGAAGGCGGAGGCAACATAGGCGACTGCGTGGATGCATTGTTGGAGCTCAGTCACTAACAATGGCCCATGAGCATTTGTCGACCACGCGTTCGTGTTGCAGGAGCTATTTTTTTTTATTCTCCTGTGAAAAAACCGCGAAGTGCGGCTCGGCGTGCGGCTTAGATCAGAATAAGAATGACATGAAAAGTACCGAGTCGGAGCCAACAAAGTATCCATCTTATCGTTTAGGCGTGGCAATGAACTCTCCAATGGACGCGGGCCATGTGCTGGACGAGATCAAGACCACGGAATCACATTACATCAGCGAACTGGGGTCGCTGATGAGACTCGTGAACGCGTTTGATGTGCGGTTCAACAACTACTTTGACGACTCGGTGGACGATGCCATCGAGGAACAGATGGTCCACCGTCAGAAAAAGAACACGAGACTGGCCAAAACTGTGCGGACACTCATCACGATGCACCGCGAACTGGGAAAAATACTCCAGACAGACGACCTTGCGGTGCTGGCTGCCAAGTTTGCAGAATGGTGCACGGACGCCATCAAGTTGTACAAGCAATACATCAGTCTGTACCGTTTGCAGGAGAACCAGTCTGTTTCTGAGGTGGAGCTGCGTCGCCAGCCGCTACTTAGACTGGCTTATTTGCACCAGAGCATAAAGTGCGTCAAAAACATGCTGAGTCTGCAGATGGACCGTTTGCAAGGTGGGTCGGTTTTCTCCGACCTGGAAGTCGCCATACATAGATTGGAGCAGACAATGGAGGAGGCACATAGAATGGAGTGTCTCCAGCGCAAGAAGCTGGAGAAGCACGTCAATTTTTCCAGCGTGCGTTCAATGACAGACTTCTCAATGATATGTTCCAGTTTTAGTATGAACAGCATTGTGGAGACGTACCGGACAGAGATGTACTACACGAACGAGAAGCTAGACACGTCGCTAATTTTCAAGACTCTTGAGCTGATGTTTCTCAAAAACCAGACTGTTGCCCTGGTGTCTCTCGAAAAGGGGGAACGGACGCTGGTTTTCCCCCCATTGCGTGCCAACGAGCTCCACTACGACAAGCAGGTGGAGGATGAGATTTATGTATTCAAGCACACGCTGGACACAGGCATTTGTGTGTATCTGAAGCTGGACAGTGCCATGCACTCGAGACTGGCCAAGTTCTGGAACAGGCCCGCTAAGCTGACCAAGACACGCTCGATGGGTATGGGGATTCAATTGCAGGGAAGAGTGTCGTCAGAAGAGCCCGAATGCCAGCCACACCACCGTGTTTCTGAGATTAAGGCTTATGGAGTGCAGCAGCCGCAGGTGGCCGAAATTCACCCGGCCAGAGAAGTTCCTAGAGCACCATTGCAGCCTGTGTCGTCGTCAAAGCTCAATTCATTCGATCCGCTACGGTTTGCACAGAACTATCAGCACGGCATCGATGGCAGCTATTTAAAGAAGAAACGGCAATCTGTGTTTGGTATGCTTTCCACCATCATCAAGAAAAAACTGACTGTGTCCGAGCCTACAGATTCTGTTGTCGAGGAGATTTTCCGCAAGAGCAAACATTTGTTTTTGCAACGCGTCGAGTGGTGCAAATGGGAGGATAACCAATGGTCTCAACCGGTACGCGTTGATCTTTTGCTGCTCCAGTCCGACTCGGACAACTATCTGATGGGAACTAACGTCGACTCCGAACTACGTACAGAGTTTCTAATCAAGCTCAATGACAGCACAATTGTGAGACGGGCCTCTGCAACGGATATCCACATCACCAGCTGCGATCTACAGAGCGCCGTGACGCTATTCTGGCTCAAAACAGCAGGAGTCGACGAGGCCAGCCAGCTATTCCAGAACGTTCTAACTAGATCCACGTCTCTGTCGAACTCAAGTTCTTACAGCTCAAATCTGAGTACCACAACATACAACCCGTCCATCAAAACGTTCGTTACCTCGACGTCAATCGCATCAAATACTAAAAAGTGAAACATCTAATATATACAGTATGTCAATGCTCGTAGACGATCAACGAGGCGCTGGTGAGGTTTCTCAGGACATCAACCTTGTCCACGTCGTGAGTGTCCTCAACTTCTCCCCAGCGTTCCGTCTGATAAATTGTCTCCAAGGTGGCAGCGCGGGCGATATCGTCGACAGTCAGGTCGATTTGGTCCTGTTTGTTGTTGAGCCTGAGGATCGCCACGCCACTAAGGAAGGATTTGGCAGTCAGAGTGGCCTTTTCAAGCGAAACCAGCGACCAGAAGTCCAGCGTGTCCAGCCATTTGCGGACTGCTTTCACCGTGGCCTCTGGCTGTTTATTGCCAACTAGTCCGTGGATGTCCGAGTCCATGTAAGTCAGCTTGACCTCCTCGCCATTTTCCGCGTACGGCTGGAAAAATGCCTCCATCGACTTGATGATTGGCCGGTACGTCTGCTCCTGGGCCTCTCTGAGCTTCCCGTCGCAGTCTTTGGCGGGAGAAAACACAAGAAGAGTGTCGGTGTCAAGATATCTCAGCAGAAGCGCTTTCAGGTTCTCCTTGTCGCCAACTTTGGTCAACAGCTCTGCATCTTGTTTGGTGTGCGACTGTTCCAGATCAATGCATCTCGAGACCAGAGAAGTAAGTGGCACCAAATATGGTTTAATTTGCAAGCTAGGCAGATGTTTCCACTCGTGGGCTAGCAAATACGCCAGAGTGTGCTTATTTTTCGGGACCGTCAATTGGAAACCGAGCGGCGTTTTGATCGACTTGCCATCGAGCAAGATATGGTACCCATCGTCTTTCTCCGCCAAGTCCACTGTTTCCCAGAACTTGGTAAGTGTCTGCTCCAGTTTTCTGGTTTCCGATGGGGCCTTAGTGGATTGTGCACCCAGCGTCGCATAACCCCTGAACAGGGGGGCTTTTATGTTTCTTAGGACAAAAGCCATGAAAATTATTTTTTTGGGAGTAAATTGATTTGATTTTCTTTGTTAAATCACACAAGGTCGATCGACCCATATAATGAGTTCTGGGTTCGCCGTTGACGTGCCGGTCACAGACCTGGATGTGGACGATGAGACGTTTAGAATCGACGACTACGACGATGACAACGTTTCGCTGGATATGCGCAACCTGAGACCTGCTCCTGAATCTTTCTTTGGGAAGGTCAAGACAAACTTCCTCAAGGTGTTCCGACGGAGCCACAAGGGCTTTGAGTATCTCGACACGATCGAGATGTTTGACCGCAACAGGTCGGATTCGAGTTTTGCCGAGATGGGCGAGTTTGGGCCAGTGAAAACACGCAACCACAAAAAGCTGTATTTCCACCTTCTTCTGGGCGGATTTGTGGCCGTATTGCTCGCCATCTCGCTGGTCGTTACGCGTGCACGCTCGGGAGGATCTGCTAGGAATCTGGCAAAGCCTATATTGTCCAACGGAACGCACGAATTCTACCCAACGACTATTCTTCTCTCTCTTGACGGTTTCCATCCTCACTACGTCTCGCCGGCCCTGACGCCGTTTTTGCACAATTTGATGATCGGCAAGGGATATGGACCGCCATACATGATTCCATCAAACCCGACAGTCACCTTTGCAAACCACTATACGCTGGTGACGGGGCTCAAACCTATTTATCACGGGATCGTCTCGAACCGCTTCTACGACGCCGCATCGCACGAAATCTTCATAAATACCAACGACTCGATTGCTTTGCAGCCCCAATGGTGGGGTGGCGAGCCCCTATGGTCTACGGCAGCCCGCCAGGGCGTCAGCAGCGCAGTACACATGTGGCCAGGGTCGGAGGTCGATTATGGCACAAATATGAACCCCATGGAGGTTGACCGGTTCAACAAGTCTGAAGTTTTGTCGAGCAAAATTGACCGCCTATTTGAGTGGCTCGACAGGCCGTTGGCTTCACGGCCCGAATTGCTATTATCTTACGTTCCAACCATAGACACGCTGGGCCACGAGTACGGGGTTTCTGGTCCGGAGCTTGCCCAAGGACTTACTTATGTGGACGGATTTCTGGAGGCCGTCTACGTGGGGTTGGAGAAACGCAACCTGACCCATCTGGTGAACATGGTTGTTGTTTCTGACCACGGCATGGCGCCTACTTCTGACGAACGTCTTATTTATTTGGACGACTTGGTGGAGCTGGATAAAATTGAGCATATTGACGGCTGGCCACTGTATGGGCTTTGGCCACTTGCCGGGTTCAGCGCGGACGAGGTGTTTGGCGAGATCATGGAGAAATACCGCGCAGATCCGCAGAATAGCCACTACACCGTGCACAAAAAGGAGGATATCGAGAACCAGCTGGTTGGAGGAAGAAGTCGGTACGACTCGCGTATCGCGCCGATATGGATCATTCCTAAAATTGGCTATGCAATCACCACGCACGAGTTTATGGAGAAGAACCACCACTACACTCCAAAAGGCGTTCACGGCTACAACAACACGGAAGTGCTGATGAGGTCATTGTTTATTGCTACGGGCCCCTACTTTGAGCACAAGATGGGCTCGTCCTACAAGATGCTACCGTTTGAAAACACCGAGGTGTATAACATTGTGTGTGAGTCGCTAAATCTGACGCCTGCTCCCAACAACGGCAGTGCGCCCTCCGTGCTGTCCCCGAGCCACGCGTTGCCCAAGACGTGGAGGGACAGCAGGAAATATCCGGACACGGACTTTAACGTGGAGTGGGTCTACAAAACAGCGACCGTGGACCTTTTGTGGGGCGACAGCCGTGCTGAGCCAGATCTGAAGGGAGAAGAGGGGGGCGATGAGAAGGAGAAGGCGAAGGGGGACAAAGAAACAGGCAAAGGTCCGGCCCAAGATGATCCTGATAATTCGAGCGATGACGATACGGACACGGACGACGAAGACTCCGAGCCCGACCGTGCTCCTTCCCGCAAGCCACACTTCTCATTCCACGACATGTGGGAGTCTGTGGAGGAGGCTGCCGAGGATATTATCGAGGAAGTGGAGGATTTTTTCGACGAGTCATCCTGAGTCATCAATTGAGCTTATCGTGACAGGCTGTGTAGTTGAAAAATTTTATCTTGATATACTCCCGCCCGCAGAATAGATTGCTAGTACATATTTGCAACTTTCTGTCCTTTCCAGGTTGATGTCGCAAAACGCCCCCGGCCAGCTCACCAACACGCCGATGAACCCCAACATGCACGAAAATCTCTCGAGCACCACTCTCCAAGAGACAGATAGCGTCAACACGTTGCTGTCGCGAACTAGCCAGAAAAACGGCAGTCTGTTGGACCTGGAGCCTCGCGACGCACGAGATCCCCAGCCAATTGGCGGCGAGTCGCCGGCATTGCTGGCCACGTCGGTTGGATTCGACTCGCAGGGTCACCTGATCACGTCAGCCTCTAACATCTCGCTTTTGTCGCTCAACCAGCAGGTCGCCACGCTTTCGTCCACCCCGTCCAATTTACAGCGAACTTTCACCAACCCACGTCTGCCGCTGCTCCAGGCGTCGTCGGCAACTGCAGTCCCACAGCAGCAGCAGCAGTACTACCGCAAGTACTCGTTCACGTCGCCCAAGACGAGCGCCCGTGCGCAGCCGATGGCGATCCACGCGGCGCCAGACTCGCCGTCGCTGATCCCGACTTCGCTTGCCGCGTCACCGTCCAACTTCAACCTGAACCAGTCGTCGCCGCCAAACTCGCTCAAGTCTCGCAGCTCGTCCTACATCAACGCCCCCAGTCTTCGGCTCAACACAAGATTCCCTGCTCACCTCCCCTTGACGAGAACAGACTCGGTCCCGAACTCGATCGGCGGCCGCTCACCAGAATTCCTGCCCTGCTCGCTCTCAATGCCGCCGATGACGCCGCTCAACCTCTCGGTGCCCGCCGTGCCGGACGAGAGCCCGTTCGAGAACGAAAGCGACCCCAATAGCCAGGGTAGCTACAAAAGCGGGAAAAGCCCTGATTTTGAGCATTACGACGGCCCCGTCTTTGCAGAGCAAATCCAGGACGCAGAACTATAAGCTAGGGCTTCAGGTCGACACAGGCCCAGATGTCGCGGAGCAGAACGCGGTGCGCGTCCCACGACATGACGTTCACAAACTCGTCGGTGCTCTTGATGAATTTGCAATGCTTGTGCTCCATCTCGTAGTCCCACTTGCCCAGGAGATCGTACTCGACCACCAGGTCGCGCATCGCCATGTGCAGTCTGTTCTGCTCGGTTGCCAGCGACAGCCCGCTGTGCTTGAATGCCGTCGAAAGCACAACGTTCAGAAGAGAAGCGGGCGGGAACAGGTTCCATGCGTCTCTGGTGTTCCAGAGCCGCAAATAGCCGGACTCGAGGCCCATCGTGACCTCTCTTATCCGAGTCGTCCCAGACACCCTGTCGTACATGTTGGCAAGACTCTCGGACCAGAGCTTGGGCGAGTTGAAGGTGACCAGCACGTTGGCGACCCGCACGAGGTGGAAGTTCAAACTAATGATGGAGGCAATAGAACCGCCCATAGAATGACCCGCTATCACCAACTGGTAGTCCGGATACTGCTGTTTGGCTTTGAGGTACTCCACGAAAATGGCCTCGAACATCCTGTCGGCAATGTTAGAGTAGCCAGAATGCACTTTGTTGAGCTTGAAGTAGTTTCTCCAGTAGTAGCCCCAGTACTGGCTGCGGTAGTAAGTGTACGGGTGTTGGACCATGCTGGGGTCCACCTTCTTCTTGACCGACTTCCAGAAACCTTCCTTGTACACCTGGGGCCAGAAATTGATGGCCTGGTCACTGTAGATGGCGAAATAGTCTTTGAGCTCTAGGTCTGATCTGATGGAAACGACAATTTTTTTGTAGTGGTGGTCAAGAAATAGCATGCCCTTACCGTTGAGCAGATACTGCGTCCAGTCGAGCTTGCTGGAGGGCTTCTTCGTATTAAGCTGCTTCACTATCTCCACATCCGTGGTGTTATTTGGTATATTGGTAAATTGCTCTAATTTGGGCGGGAACTGCAGGCTTGTGGGGCCTGCTTCCGATGGTAGCTTGAGAGCGCCGTGCTTATTGTCGCAGTTTGTGATCTGCAGAAAGGACGCCAGCTTGTCGAGAAAAACGAAGACATCCTCATTGTTGAGCGGCACGCCCTTGGGCTGGTGGCGGCTGACGATTCGGGACAGGTCCCATGACGTCGAAACGCCGGACTTTGGCACAGGTGCCGAGAAATTTCGCGGGACCGGCTGACAAGCCGCAGGGAAGGATGCTAACAGCAGCGCACAAATACACATCGTGACGAGCATCTTATGGGACAGGAGTGCAGTAGCATTGGCTACAACACAGCTTATATCCCTGCGCAAGAGTATTCTGTTCTGCCCCAATAGGTCGATCGACCATGCCCTGAAAAAAAAAGTTAAATTTAGCAACTGACAACAAAACTGAAATCAGGGAAGTGAAAAAGGCTCACCGGTAGCAGACACTTATGTCATTATGGGCAGAAGAAAAATCGAGATCCAGCCAATAAATGATGAACGGAACAGGACTGTAACGTTCGTGAAGCGAAAAGCCGGGCTGTTCAAGAAGGCCCACGAGCTGTCGATCCTTTGTAAGGTTGATATCGCCGTGATTATCATCGGCCACAATCACAAGGTCTACGAATACTCATCCAACAACCCGCAGGCGGTGATAGAAAAGTACCAGCAGTCAGGGCAGACCCAGGAGTCGAAAAGACCGCAAGACTATGGCAATTACAAGCTGGTTTCCCGAGTCTCGACTAAGAAGGGAGCCAGAAACGACAACAGACACGTGAAGCAGGAATCCGTAGACGACGATATATCGGACGACCAGAACCACTCCGAATTGGACGGAGAGGAGGAGGAGGACGCAGAGTACGACGAAACTCCTACCAAGAAGCGGAAGTTGTCCAGATCCGTGTCGTCTGAGGATCGTTCACGAAGACCTACATTTGCGCCGCCCAAGGAAACAGGCGTGATGCCACCGAACTCCAAGCTGTCCAAGCGGCCGCTGCTGAGCTTGCAGATCCCTAGCAACGACAGGTCGACCTCCGACAGCGACATCACGGTGACAGCTTTGGAATCGGGCCAGCTTAACGCGGCCAAAGAGGGTGGAGACGCTGGCGCCGCGCCTGGACGCACGTCACAAAACGCGAAAAAAGTCAGCATTGTTGCCACCCCCACTTCCAACTCCTTCTTGCCGGGACTCAACATCATGACCCAACAGAACACCCAAAACCCGCTAGATCAGACCACTTCCTCCAACAAATCGACTCCTGTGTCGGCGACGCTGCCCCACGGGCTGTTTTCCTCGCTCCCGCAAATGTCACCGACGCAGATCCTTCCCACTCCGGTCTTTCCCCTGGGTCCGCAACAGCAACAACAATTAGTGCAGCAGCAGAATTTTGCACCCTACAGCGCCAAATTCCAGCCAAAATCCTCCACGGGGCCGCCGCCCTTCTTCAACTACACAGGAGACACACCGGTGCTCCCTTCAGGACTCTCTTCACGGTTTCTGGACATGTTTCCTTCGCCCAATGTATATTATAGCCAGGACTGGCCTATGACGATGGGAGCAGGAAATCCTCCCCTACAAAACCCAGGAGGCCCGTCAGGACCCGGATCCAACGGCCAACCCAACAACCATGTGCCCCAGCAGCTAAACCAGCAAGAAGGAGGTACGAATAATGGCGACTCTGGACAGAAAGGTGGCCCTGCGGCGTCGTCTGGCTCCACGTTCGGTGGGCCGACAAGCAGCAGCGGTACACAGGGCCCAGATGGAAATTTCTCCACGATGACAAGCCCGCTACAAGTTATCGGCTCGGCGATCTACAATCAGGCTGCCCAGGCCGCGGAGCGACGAGAGGAAGACAAATAAGTGTATAGTAGCTTAAGTAGTGCTCTTAATTTTTCTTTAGTCGAGCACGTGACTAGATACAGGGTTTACAAGTTTTTCACGCTTGTTTTTCAGCGAAAAAAAATTCGTGAAATATTCTCTACTAAAGATGAAGGTAGGTAGACAGAAAACTATCCGCGAAGTGTACTAACCATGAAGTTGAACATCGCTTACCCAGCCAACGGTACCCAGAAGAGTATCGACATCGACGATGAGCACAAACTGAGAGCATTCTACGAGAAGAGAATGGGCCAGGAGGTCGAGGGAGACGCCGTGAGCGACGAGTTCAAGGGTTACGTTTTCAAGATCACTGGTGGTAACGACAAGCAAGGTTTCCCAATGAAGCAGGGTGTCATGATCCCAAACAGAGTCAAGCTGCTTTTGACCAAGGGTGTCTCCTGTTACAGACCAAGAAGAACCGGAGAGAGAAAGAGAAAGTCTGTCAGAGGTTGCATTGTTGGTAGCGACCTTGCTGTCTTGTCCCTTGTTGTTGTTAAGCAGGGTGAGCAGGAGATCGAGGGTCTGACCGACACTCAGGTCCCAAAGAGATTGGGTCCTAAGAGAGCCAACCACATCAGAAAGTTCTACGGTTTGACCAAGGAGGACGACGTTAGACAATTTGTTATTAGAAGAGAGGTTGTTAAGGGCGACAAGAAGTACACCAAGGCTCCAAAGATTCAGAGACTGATCACTCCTCAGAGACTCCAGAGAAAGAGAGCTGTCAAGGCTGCGAAGGTTAAGAACGCCCAAGCCCAGAGAGATGCTGCTGCTGAGTACGCCCAACTGCTTGCCCAGCGTCTGCACGAGCGTAAGGCTGAGAAGGCTGAGATCAAAAAGAGAAGAGCTTCTTCATTGAAGGCTTAGGTAATGTAGTGAATATATGCAGGTAAGTGACAGTAGCGAGCTTTGTGCTCCATGTATTCGTCTATACTATAATCATTTATTAGGATTTTCACTGTGTTTTTTGTCGCTTGTCGATTTCCGCGAGCCGTTTGATGTTGTCGTAGATTTCGTCCGTGCTCAGCCCGTCGCCATACTTCATCTTGGCCTCGTACCGCTGTTTTTCCTCCTTGTATTTTGGATCCCGAAGCAGAATGGCTAGATGCTGGCCGAATTTGCTTTCTGGAATAAGCTGTCCGGTCAACGGACACACCACTTGTCGCTCCCCGTTCTTCGTGTTTTCCGCAAACTTCTGGTCCTCATGCTTCCTCTTGAGCCGCGATTCGCCCGCAGACCGGATCTTCATGCCAGGTCGTGCCTTTGGCGGTTCCACCGTCTCTTTCTGCTCCTCGTACAACGGCACTTCTTCCTCTTCCTCGTCTTCCTCCTCAGAAAGCGCTTCCTCTCCTTTATCCAGCAACGAGCGGTACTCCAATTCTCCGCGGTCGAGAGGCGGTGCCAGCTGTGCCACCTCGTCGACCTCTGTGAATTCGATGGTCTCCACCACGACAAAGTCCTGCCAGTCGATAGACGCAAATTCCATCTGCTCTTTTTCCAGCCGCTGCTTCTCCTTGGTCTGTTCCTCCTCGTCCTTGGCCATCTGTTGCGCGCGCGCGTAGCAGCGGTCCAAAAACTCTGTCTGGTCGTAATTATCTAGCTCGTGCAGTATTTTCTCCTTCTCTGCCAAGATCAACTTGTAGGACTCCAAATACTGTCTGAAAAGTCCATGGAGCGAGTGCGAGACGCTCAGAAATTCAAACTGGATACTCTGTTTCTTGTCATGAGAAACGTGCTCCTTTAGCACCTCGATCGACTCTTCACCGTTCAGAGCCACATATTGCGCTGCAAGCTTGATCATGTCCACGTCCAAAGCGGAAACTTTACCGGGCGAAATGATGAACCGCAGCTCCGGCACCTCAGGAGCCTCAGGAGCCTCTTTCTGCGGCTGTTTGGCCTCGCCGCTCTGCAGATCCTGTATGCATTTCTGGTAGTACTCGTGGTGCACATCGCCCTTTCTTAGGAAGGCAAACTTGGGGTTTTTTGCCTCCTTTGTCAACAGTCGCTGCTCAAACGACTCGCCGTTACGCACAACAAACCCCGCCGTCTTCTCGATCACCGCACGGATTTCCTCTGGCGGACCATCAGTCATGACAAAATAAATGTTGGAAAAATAGTTACTTCGACGCGTCGCTCTGTTATCTTCCTCTCTATGAAGATACTTTTATCGACAGTGCGAGACAAGGCCAAATTGACCGGTAAGTAAACCTGGCGGGCTAATTAACACCAGAAATCATCATTTCCCAAAATGAAACCGACCGCAAGATCAGACTCGCCCGACCAACACCAGCGCTGTACACCTCGCTTTACTCGGCCGCTATCATCGAGCAGATCACCCCGTTCAAGTTCAATGACACCACATACACGGCAATTGCGCGCCAGGGAGGCGTGATCGACATCTACAACGCCAAATCGTCCATGCCACTAATCTCGCTCACAGAAAACCTACGCCTGGGCTCCGACTTTATGGTTGCCCTGAACGTGGTGGATCATTTTCTGATCAGCTGCAGCAACAGGGGACTGGTGTCTGTCTACAACATCAGCAAGCTGATGGACGAGCCAGACCTGGAGGGTGGCTTTTTCATGCTGATCGAAGACCCTGTCGAGTTCTGCCGCCCGCTGGACAACCCGTTCAAGTTCGTAACGGGAGGATACAACAACAGCCTCGAGATTTACGATTTCCGCAGAGACTACGAAAGCCACCAACGCCATACGTCCGAGTCGACGTTTCTCAGAATATGCAGAAGTATTATCACGATAAAACCGGTGTTTAAGACCGCAAACCCCAAACCGAACGGGGACTTCCCGTGGCTCAAGAACGCGGTGTTTGTACGCGAGTCGTGCGAGGAGGCCGACCTCACGATTCTCGCCACAACCAAGTTTGGCAAACTGCTCATGTACAAGCCGTATTTCGCCAAGGTGCCGATCCAAGTATTCCAGCTCTCGCCGCATTCGATCAACCACATCACCACGCTGAACAAGTCCAAGATCCTGTTCATGGACTCATTCAATACAATTGGCATCTTCGACTTTGCTGCAGAAAGAGTGGTCAAACAGCTCAACATCGCACTTATCGGGTCCATCGCGTCGCTCGACTGCGTCAAAATCAACGACTTCTCGTTCCTCGTCATCATCGCCTCGCTAGACAAAAACCTCAGACTGTACAGACTGACGCTTCCCGACTGCACGCTGGCGCTCATTGGCATCTCAAAACTCTCGTCCATAGTGCCCTGTCTTCGGCTTATCGACCACGAGGATCACGTGCGCCAGCTAGACTTTAGGCATTATGACAACAAATAGCTCCTTATTTCTGGCCCATAACATCAACGTAGCCACGGCGCGGACCACGCTTGGACTTGCGTGCTGTCGAAGCAGACATCGAAAGCAGGTCCTCGATGTTGTCTGATTTTTTGCTGCCGTTCACCGTTGCAGGAGCAGGCGCGCCCGCTGGCGGCCCGCGTGGAGGTGCCCCCATTGCGCCAGGCTTGGCCGACGCAGAGTCAGAAACAGCCCGCTTGACAGGAGGCGGTGGTGGAGGCGTGGAAGCGGCCTGCTCCTCCGGCGAGGCATTCTTGTTCACCCATCTCTTTAGCTTCTCGTCGTAATAGAATGAGCTCTCTTCGCCCAGTTTGGCTCTGATAGGCTTAGGCTGGTCGTTTTTCTTCTTTCCCAACCAACCGAACCACGAGCTCCCTCCCCTTTCCGCGTGCTTCTGCTGCTCCTCTTTCATCCTGGCCTCGTCTTTCTCCTTTTTCTTTTTTTCCTCTTCCTCATTATGCCTTCGCTTCTCCTCCTTCGTTTCTTCGTCGTCGTCGTCATCATCTACCACGTCGTCGTAGTACTCCTGATCGTCGTCTTCAGCATGATAGCGCTTCTGATCCGTGATCACGGTAGCCGGTGACTTTGCCGGTCTGTATGGAGCAGATGGAGGGTCAAACATGCTCTGGAGATGGCTTGCATCAGCAGCATGGAACGAGGCAGCAGGCCTCAGGATCCTGCCACTAGGAGGAGGTAATGGTTCGTCGTTGGGCTCTGAGTCAATGTCCGACTCGAGCTCAGCACTATGGTGGTCCTCTGGCTCTTTCTCTTCCGGATGCAATGAATCCTCCTGCTCTCTCTCTTTTTCCTCCACCTCGGCTTTCTTAGCCGCCTCAATCTCTGCAGCAGTAGGAGCATGGTAGCCACCGTAGCTGTAGAAATCATAGGAGTCAAAATCGGGAGCCTGGGAGTCCTGCGTGTCGTTAGGGGCTTGTGTAGACTCAGCCATAACGTTGGTGGCAGGCTTGTACCGGCTCTGACTGGAGCCGTTAGATTTTCTCGAGGTCACGTGCGCATACGGATTGTAGACGTTCGGCTTCTTTGGTGGAGCGCTGGAAGCCTTCGGCGGCTTGTTTTCTGCCTGCGGTTCAGGGAACGTGTATGGTGCCGCAGACACGGCTGGAGTATCGTTTGACTGAACAGGAGAGGCATCCAGCGACTCCACACGGTTTGGCACAAACTTCCTTGCAGCCGGTTGCTGAACGATCTCATCGGTCATTATGGACGTATCGTGCTCTTCACCAAGATCCAGTTTTTCTTCCTTACCGCCCGGAGCAGGGGAATAAGCACTAAAGTCTGCAGGCTCCTTGCGAGCACCGTATTTGGAAACCTTTCCAGAAACTTCACGGTTGTTCAATTGGAACGGACTTTGAGGAGCGTAAGTTTGTCCCGGCCCTGGAGTAGATGTTGTGAAGGGCAGCTCAGGGCGAGCACGCCCAACCTCTACATAAGACTGGGATCTTGCAGCAGGTGGTGGATACGGAACGGCAGCCTGGGTTTGATCTGCTATTTGCGCCGAAGGGGACGATCCAGGAGATGACAAAGGAGCAGTATTCAGCATCGGCTTCTCGTTATCGTAAGCGTTGCCAGCACCTTGCTGAGAAAGAGGGGCATAAGCGGAAGCCTTTTTCGACTTTGTCTTTGACTGCGAGTAAGGCTGATGTGATTGAACAAGGGTAGAAGTTGAAGACGTTGTAGGAGCAGATTGCGAGTGAGAAGACGAGGTGTACATGCCAAAAGACGGTGCTCTGGACAATGTTTGATAAGTTGACATCACAGGCTGAGACTGTGGCTGCAACGTGGATAAGTCCAGCTGAGATTGAGTGCGAGAGGGAGCAGGACTATATTTGGCAAAGACACCTTCCGATTTTGCTTTTTTGCCGTCCTCGAGCTCCTCACCTGCGACAAACTTGTTGAACGACTTGTCCAGATGACCCCACACCTTGTCCAAACCAGATCTGCCCAACTTTCCGCCAAACCATCCAGACACCTCAATTTCTGTCTGGGAAAGTCTCTCCAAGAGCTGGTCATTGGCAAATGCAACGGTAGGGTCAACGTAGGTAGACTTGGATTTGATGACTCCTGTTGTGTGATCAACGTACTTCTTAGCCTCCGCAAGATAACCAACATCCAACAAGTAGGAAGCATGGCGAACCTTGAGGGAAAGCGTATGTGGGAATCCATTTGAAAAAGCTGGAGGGAGGTTTGAGGATGAACTCAAGACATACTCATAGAGCTCGTCAATGATTATCGAATCAATGTCGCTAGGCGACACGGTTTGAGTTTTAGGGATCAGGGGCAGACCAGACAGCAAGAAACAGATTTTGCCGTGGATCTCAAATCCGGCCTCTGAAAGTAAGGTTCCAACCTGAACCAGCACAGAGGCCGGATTCTTGTTGTTGAGAAGGACGAATGGAATGACAGATCTAAAGTTGTCGATTACCCACTCCTCTTTGCCGCGGAACTGTTCGGCACTCAATCCGTCCTCGCCTGATGATTGCAAACAGAAGCTCAGGTTCTGTTGGAGAACATCTGCTGCATCAAAGGTTCTTTCGGTGTACAGTTTGGTGACTTTGGCAAACGCTTCTGGCCCAAGGAGGTTTGCAACAATTAGTGCAATTGCCCAGTCCTCCTCGCCAATGGCCATTCGAAGAGCACTAAGCTTGTCTCCGATTTCCAGATACTTGCTGAGGTTGAGCAAACCGACTTGTTCAAGTTTGTGCGCGTTGAAAGGCTTTTGATTAGGAACGAAATATGTCTCGATGCTGCTCAGATCCGTAGGCCCATCTTGACTATCGCTGACCATCAAAGAAGGATTCACAACTTGCACGACGCTTCGCAAATACTCTTTTTGAGCAAAGTCACCGGGCTTGTTGATGTTTACCACAAGGGCTCTCACCACGGCCCACAAAAGATGGATCTCCGAGGTGAATGGACCTTCCAAATCAGCTCCCAGAGATAGCAGCTTATCGTTGATCCACTTTTCAACGTCTTTCTTCTTGGTTCTATTTTTCATCAAGGGACCAGGAAACTGCTGCACAATCGCTTCGTTTTTGAAGACACAGTTCCCGTCAATGATTTCCACATTGTGTTTGTGATGTCCGTAGCCATATGAAGAAGGAATGAGATATGCCACTTTGTTAGAGCCCGAGAAACTAAACAATGGCCACTGTCTTCTGACCAAATTTTCCGGGTTGACAACAACTGGTGCTGGAGTGGACTGGACCAGATGAGTAGATGCGTTGCTCCGTGTAGAGGAGTATCCGGAGTTTTTCCCAGGTGGAAGAAATGAGCTTCTTCTGTTGTGCGAAACTGTAGGAGAACTGGTATCCGGCTTCAGATTGTCACCATAAACAGAGTCTAACGGCTGGAAATTACTCTTTGGCTGACTTGAAGGGTGAGGAAATGGAACAAGCTTCGATTGCTGAGCTTGCGGCGTGTAGGGAGAGTATTTTGTAGCCTTCTGTGGATTTGAAAGATGTCTAATCTGCGGCTGAGAAGCTCCAAGCTGCGGTTGCGGTATTCCAAAGTTATTCGTATCGCTAGCAGGCTGAGCAAATTGCATGTGTGCATCAGGACTCCTTGGACTTGCTATTTGGGCGATCGGCGACTTGTGAGGCAGCGGAACAACATTGGGGTTCACTGGTGGATTGGGAGTATTAGATGGCGTTCTCGCGTGCCCTCCGGCCTCAGCTGGCGCATACGGATTGGTAGACTTTCTTGGCCGACCACCAACAGGAGGTGGAGGATGAGCAGCGCCTGCTGGAGGTTGATTAACGCCGGCTAGCTGCGCGTTGGCAGGTACAGGAGAGTAAGGACTAGCTCGTGAAAGTGCAGGTGATTTTGGTTGGTATGGATTTTTGGGATGCAAGGAAGGGGTTGCAATGCTTGGCAGCGGGAGCTCCTCAAAAAAGCTCTTTTGTGGTTTGAGTGTAGCTCTTCCAGGTGGAGACGTTGAACGAGTCGACGAGACACTGCCAGCCCGTGGAGGCAGAGGTTTTGACTGCGAGGCCGGCGAGGCTGGATTGTGTGCGTGGCTTTTTTGAAGCTCGATCATAGTATACACATTCTGCTTTGGAGCCGGCGTTTTCGAGACAGGAGCGTGCTTGGCTAGCAGTTCTGCAGGGAAATCGTATGCGTCCGTCTTTTTTTTCTCCTTTTCCAGTTTCTCCTTGATATGGGACTGCTGTAACGATGGAGCTTGGAAGTTTGTGTACGAGGGTGTCAGAACAGCAGGCGGTGGTGAAGTGGTCTGGAACCCCTGTGGGGCATACCGTGATGCAAATGCCGGAGTAGGCGATTGTCTTGACAATCCAGGGGCAGGTGTCTGAGAAACGGGGATGGTAACTTGCGCGGAAGACGGCTCATCATCCAAAAAATCGTCGTCTAGAACTTCGTCCAGCAAGAGCTCGTTATCTTCCTCGAGGAAACTCAACTTGTCATCCAGCTTGGGCTCTATATGTTGCTTTTCCTGTGGCTTTGCTGCCTCTTCTGGCTCAGATGGTTTCCCGGTTGCTGTCATATCTTGTTCAATAGCCTCCTGAAGCTTTTCTTCCTGTACGTTCCTCATAAAGTCGCTATTTTCGACGGACGGGACATTTTTTGGAGCCTCAGCACCTTCAACACCAGTTGAGTCCAGAACCCTCTGAGTCGCGTTTGCTTCATTTCCAGATCCAGGGCCAGGAGTTGCTTCCCACGGCAGAGGATCTTGCTCCTTGGGGTCTTCCCAAGGCAGCGGCTCGCTGGACTCAGCGTCCCATGGAAAAATCTCCTTTTGAGGTTGTTCCAAAGACTGCTCTGCAACCTTTTCCATCGATTGCGCCAGAGGTGGCTCCGAAGCTATTTCCTGGGGTTGCTCCGGAGACTCTTCCTTAGGCAATAATTCGGATGGACCATCAGTCTCCCAAGGAAGCGAGTCAACTGGTTCCTCGTCCCATGGCAGCATCGCCTCTTCTGGTTGTGATGTCTCTGCTGGTACCGTATATTCGGGATCAATAGAATCGGCAGGCCCATGCTTATCGTTCGACAACGGTTCCTGAACAGCATCTTCTATAGTGTCAGGGATATCGGCTGCAGATACATCAGATACTTCGATCTGTTCAGGCGTGTCCAGTGTTTCTTGAAGAGCATCCTCTTGTTGCGGCTCCACAGGTAACTCAGTCGTCTCAATGTAGGGTTTCTCCACTGCCTCGCTCTGTTCGGCTGGCAAAGGACTTTTTTCACCGCTATCCACACTTACTGTCGTTATTACGTGCTCTGTCTCATCTTTATCTTCAACTGGCATGTCTTCCACATTTGGCTGTTCTATGTGTCGCACCACGTCATTTGAAGGTATGCTATTGACAGGCAAGGGCTCCTGGGACAGCAATTCTGGCTCCAAGGAGACCGTACGTGTGTCTTGAAGAGGTTCAGAAGAGTCAGCCGGAATCTCCTCGCTGGTTGTCCCGTTTTCAGGCCCCAACACAGCCGATCCCTCAGTCTGGTTATTGTCCGAAATCGTCTTCTCCAGAGGCGTTTCCGCAGAATTAGCTGACGTGGGTTGATCTGAAACATTCTCGGAATGCTCAATCTCACCTTCTGTGTGAGGATGCTCGGACTTGAGCAGATTAGCGGCCTCGATACCAGCAGGTGTCGACAAACCCTGCTTATAGTCTTGTTTGTCGATCTCGTTGCTAGCAGGATCAGACACGGGACTGTCAGCCAGCAGTGTGTCTTGATCGGGTCCCTTGTGGGTCACAGAATCGACATCATCGAGATTTTGCGTATTCCGAGACATTGCGAGATCTATGTTTGTGTCTTTGTCTCGCTCAGTTTCGCTCATAGTGTTATTTTTCCACTTGTTTGTTTTCCTGCCATGAGCCTTGTGTCAATAAAAAAAATTTGGGCAATAAAAAAAATTCAATTATAATCATGATCGTGGGAACCAAAGGTCCTAAGGGAAAGCCGAAGATGGCTTCTGAAAAGGAGAGGTTTCTGCAGTGCTGCGGAGACATTTTGCTGGAGCTTGTTTCGTCGCTGAACAGCTCGAAAGACGTCAATCTAAATGGCCTGATCATCAGATACTCTAAGAAGTACAAGCTGAAGCAGCAGCCCCGGCTGACGGACATCATCTCGTCGATTCCTGATCAGTACAAAAAGTACCTGCTACCGAAATTAAAAGCCAAGCCCGTTAGAACGGCGTCTGGTGTCGCTGTGGTGGCCGTGATGTGCAAGCCCCACAGATGCCCCCATATCGCATACACGGGCAATATCTGTGTCTACTGTCCAGGAGGACCAGACTCGGACTTTGAGTACTCTACACAGTCGTACACCGGGTACGAGCCCACGTCAATGCGGGCCATAAGGGCCAGATACGACCCATACGAGCAGGCGAGGGGCAGAATTGAGCAGCTGAAGCAGATAGGCCATTCTATCGACAAGGTCGAGTATATTATAATGGGAGGAACGTTCATGTCTCTCCCGAAGGACTACAGAGAAGATTTCATAGTTCAGCTGCATAATGCTTTGACAGGCTACAACGGAACAGATATAGACGAGGCGATCCGGTTTTCGCAGGAATCCGAGACCAAATGTGTCGGAATCACGATCGAAACACGTCCCGACTACTGCACGGAGACGCATTTAGACGATATGCTCAAATACGGTTGCACAAGACTCGAGATCGGCGTTCAGTCCGTGTACGAGGACGTGGCCAGAGACACCAACAGAGGCCACACGGTCAAGGCTGTGTGCGAGACGTTCTGCTACGCCAAAGATGCCGGCTACAAAGTTGTCTCACACATGATGCCCGACCTGCCAAACGTGGGGATGGAGCGTGATCTGGAGCAGTTCAAAGAGTACTTCGAGAACCCAGACTTCAGAACCGACGGTCTCAAACTTTATCCGACTCTGGTGATCAGAGGCACGGGACTATATGAGCTGTGGAAAAAAGGACTCTACAAATCGTACAACGCCAATATGCTGATCGATTTGGTGGCGCGGATCATGGCGCTGGTGCCTCCGTGGACGAGAATTTATAGAGTCCAGAGAGACATTCCGATGCCATTGGTGACGTCTGGAGTGGACAACGGCAACCTGCGCGAGCTTGCGCTGGCCAGAATGAAAGATTTCGGCACCACGTGTCGCGACGTGCGGACCAGAGAGGCGGGAATCCAGGAGGTGCACCACAAGGTGCAGCCAGACCAGGTGGAGTTGATCCGCCGCGACTACTACGCCAACGGCGGCTGGGAGACGTTTTTGTCGTACGAGGACCCGAAACAGGACATCCTGATTGGTCTGTTGCGTTTGAGAAAGGCCTCGAAGAAGTACACATACAGAAAAGAGTTCCGAGGCCAGCAGACGTCGATTGTGCGCGAACTGCATGTTTACGGCTCTGTGGTGCCGTTGCACTCGCGAGACCCGCGAAAATTCCAGCACCAGGGCTTTGGCACGCTTTTGATGGAGGAGGCCGAGCGCATTGCGCGCGAGGAGCACGGCTCGGCCAAGATCAGCGTGATCTCGGGCGTTGGTGTGAGAAATTACTACAGGCGGCTTGGCTACGAGTTGGACGGACCGTACATGTCGAAGAGTCTTGACTGATTATACAAAGGAGGGTTCTATTTTGGAGCACATGTCGACGTAGCCCTTGAGGTCGTCGAGCGTGCGAACTCTGCTCCCGCTAAAAAACAATCTCCAGTTGGTGTTGGGAATGCAGTAATCGCTCGTGGATCGGTCAAAATACCACTTATTGACCGGGTTATTTTGTCTGGAGCGCCACAGCAGCTCGTCTGGGTACGCGAGCAGCAGTGATTTGAACACAATGTCTGCTATGCCGGGGATGCCTTGCAATTTGCGCAGCACAGCGAACTTGTCGAGATATGGCACCCTGCGCCCGCCTGCAGACTCCCAGGTGACGATTGCGCCGCCCTCGTAGTCGCCTGCGATGATGATGGCCGCGATGTTGCCGTTGACTCGGTTCAGGTAGTGCTCGAGGTCTAGGGTCTTGCCAAACGAGTCGTTTATAAGATGAGTTAATTTATTCAGGTCGATGATTTTCTGTCGGTCGAACTCCAATAAATCGATGCCCTTGCCGTCCGGCTGGTCGTCGGAGAGATGGATCGTGAGCGGTGTGCCGCGTTTGATCACGGTGGTGTTGAGCTGCGGTGTCTTTTTCAAATTTACCGGTAGCGACGAAGAGATGGTCGGACGGTCTGTGAGGACGTTGTAGATGATCGGGTTGGTAGTGCGCGTGCCGTGACGAAGCGTGGCAATGTCTGGCGTCGTGATCAGCCCCGTGGCCGCCGGCTGGATCGCCAGCAGCTGGTTCATTTCCGTGAGATTCTGCACATGCACGTCTCTGACCGACGAGTCTAGATGGCCGATGTAGAGCTCTGAAATGATGTCGTTGTACTCCTGGAGCAGGTTGATGTACACGTGACTCGACTGGAACCGTTCCAACGACGGGATCCCGCCGAGGTCCTCGAGATAGATGATTTTCTCGACGGTGAGCAGGTCATTTGCGTTGTTGCGACGATACGCCTCGTTGAGGCCACACAGGTTCGAAACCAGACGCTCCAGTGTCTCGAACGGCGTCATAACCTCCTCTGTGCTATCTTTCTTGACCGTTGTCGGGAATATGATTGGAACTATGCCGTGCAACAGCGGCACTACCAACAGCTCGGGCAGCGAGAAGTTCTCCTGTTCGAAAAGGCCCCTGACAGTGCGTGCCTGCAGATTTTCTGTCTGCAGGGTCTGGATTAGCGTGTCGCACTGGTGCACAAAGTCGTTGACTATCCGAAGCCGAGATTCGCTGGCTTTTATCTGATGCTTTCCGTCGAGCACCAAAACCGGAGACACGCCCAGCTGCACCAATTTCCGCAGGGTCAGAGCGATGCCCCGCAAAGTTTCCGGGTCGAGCCGCCGGGGGGTCGGGATCCTGATCAAGGCGACGCGCAGCGTGTCCGAGAGCTGGATCTCTGGCTTGTGGCGTGGCTCCGGCAGCTGGATGTCGCTCCTGGCCGAGTGCTTGAGCAGCAAATCGTTGATCAGCTTGTCGTGTTTGCTGGTCTGGGAAACAACGTCGCTGTCGAGAATGCGTCTGTGGCTCTGGTAGATGTCGTTCTCCTTGAGGAGAGGATACTTGGACAGGTAGTTACGAGCCTCGCGCTTGGTGGCTGTGCTGCTGAGGATCGTGAGAATTAGGTCCTTTTTGTCGTCGCTGGAGGTCTCGTGGCGCGCGATGCGCGACTCGAAGTTGGAAAGAGCCCGTTTCCACACGTTCGGGGCCGCTTGGAGCCGGCCCGGGCGAAACATAATATATTGAGTCACCAACAATTTTCCAGTGCAGAGATGTTTCCCCGGATTGTGGCGTGAACCTATTAAAAAGGGACGTAGACATATATTGCTCGTCTTTTATTTCGCATCCCGATCCAGAAAAAAACTACCATTTCTTCCGAAACCATGGCAGAAGAACCGCCTCCAGCCTGTCGCACGCCAATTGAGACGTTTACGCGCCCGAAAATCCGCAGAAGTTCCACCAACAACTACAAAAGCGAGCTCGAAGCACACACTCATCATGAGACCGACTCGCCTCAGAGACAGCTTGAGAGAAGAAAATCAGAGGAGTCCACGTACCAGAGAATGCTGCCGCAGTTCCACCGGCGGCAGATGTCGAACCACCAGGACGCAGACGATGCGGACGATGCCGCGTCGGTGATATCCAGCCGTAACTACGAGCGGATGGTGGGGCAAACTACCGACTTACAGCCGAATCCCTCGTCGGTGCCTCGGCCGCACGCCCCCAAACAGGGCTCCACTGCGCAGGAAAGACCGGCCGATCCAGAAAGACGTCTCTCGTTCAAGTTCGACGACTACAAGAGCCACATGCTCCGCAAGAGTCTAGGCGACAACCAGGTTTAGCGGGTCTACCGGAGAAAAAAGATACTGGCCCAGGCCTGATAATGTAGCAAACAAGGTTTTGTAATATGGCGCTTCGTTTTGGTACCCGACACACCATGTATCATGCACATCGATTAATCGATTTAAAATATTTTAATAATTATTCTTTATCTTCCTTTATGAGTGCAGACAACCTGGATGCCAATTTTACAGATGACGAAGGTGAGTACCGTTATCAACAAAATCTAACAAATGTAGATATTTTAGCGTTTGAGGAGGCTCTCAACGCCGACAATCACGCCACCGAGGAGTCAGTGATCTCCCGCGCGAGCTCGGTTGCCAACCTGGAGTACCCACACGCGAAGCGCAAACGCCACAAGCCGGTGGTAGCTGAGCGTGTTGCCGGCTCGGTGCCGTTTGAAGCCACCAATTCGCTTAGTTTCCAGGTCCTTAGATACCCGTTTTTGTTTTTTATCATGCTCTGGCTGGCAATATTGAGCATACTCTACATGATTGTGCGACTGTCTGTACTGGTGAGCGAGCAAATTCTGGCAAACACGGCAGAGCGCAGAAAGCTGATGGCCAAGCTCCAGAGCGCGACAAACTACGACGATTACGTGGCGAAGGCCAAGGAAGTGGATGCTCAGCTGGGCCTTGACGAGTGGAAACGCGAGGACCGGTCTTCGGAGTATGACTGGCGGACACTTCGACGACTCAAGGCCGACCTGCGGCGTTTGCGTCTCGAGGAGAACTTTGAGGAGCTGATGGTGGTTCTGCAGACGTGTGTCAAGTCGAATTTTGCTGGCATCGAGAACCCAATTCTCTACTCGCAGTGCTACTACGGCACGAAACAACTGATCCAGGACTACATCGACGAGGTTGTTGCGTCGATCAAGGCCATCACAGAGACGGATAAGGTTGCTGTTGAGGAAAAACGCATCTTTTTCAAAATCGTCTCGCGAAACTACGGCAAGACGGCCCTCGCACTGAGCGGAGGAGCGTCTTTCTGCTATAATCATTATGGCGTTCTCAAAGCCTTGTTGGAGAACGATCTTTTGCCAAACGTTATGAGTGGCACATCCGGCGGTGGCATAATTGCTGCGCTGGCCACCACCAGAACCAACAAAGAGCTGCTCTCGTTGCTGACGCCCAAGCTTGCCAAGCGCATCAACGCCGCCGACGGGAAGACAATGCTGGACTGGCTCAAGCAATGGTGGGCCACAGGCGTGATTTTCGACCCAATCACCCTTGCCCGTAAGGCTCAGTGGTGGACGCTAGGCTCCACCACGTTCCAGGAGAGCTTTGAGCGCACGGGCAAGGTTCTCAACATTTCGACCACGCCGCACGAGATGCACTCTTCGGAGGTTGTGTGCAATCACATCACAGCGCCTAATTGCTGTATCTGGTCCGCTTTGCTTGCCTCGGCGGCGGTTCCCGGTGTTCTCAAGCCGGTGGTGTTGATGGAAAAGGACAGGAAAACCAAAAAAATCAGGCCGTTTTCGTTTGGAAGCAAGTGGCAGGACGGATCTCTCCGGTCGGACATCCCGCTGCAGTCTCTCAACGCCTATTTCAATGTCAAGTTCACTATTGTGTCACAGGTGAACCCGCACGTTCTGCTGTGGTTCTACAAAAGCCGTGGCGACGTTGGTCGTCCTGTGCCGCGTCCAATGGGTAAGAGCTTCCGTGGCGGTTTTCTACCCAGCTACTTTGAAAACCTCATCAAGCTGGAGGGCATCAAGTGGCTCAAAATGATGAAAGACTTCCAGATCATCCCGAACTTCTTGGAGAGCGACTGGTCGGACGTGTTTCTGCAGCGGTTTGACGGCACCATCACAATATTCCCGAAAATAAAAATAGCAGACTACTTCGATCTTCTGGGCGACCCCACAGAGGAGCAGCTTGCGCAGCTCATAGCGAACGCAGAGCACGTGACGTATCCAAAGCTACTGTTCATCAGAAACCGGCTGGAAATGGAGAGAGCTATAGAGCGCGGTCGCAAGGTGACCAGAAATACAGCCAACGACGTCAACCAAACGTCGTCGAGCGAGGATCTCGACGACGACGACAACGAGTATGCCGACTCTCAGACGCCATTTATGGGTCTCAGACACCGAAGCATTTGATTACGGTTTATACATCTTGAACACAAACGACTGCTCGCCGAAATCGTCAAACCCTTCTTCGCGCACACTCTGCACCTCCTTGAGCCCCAGACTCTCGATCAACGACCACAGATGCGCGCGTTCCCGTTCGTACCGTGGCCGCAGAGGGAGCTGGACAAGAAGTTGGGCGTTTTCTGGCGCCAGAAAACGCTCAACCACGTTGCGCACTAAGACAGGATGGTCTGCAGAGTAAATGGGGTCGCTAACAATGACGGTTGCAAATTTTCTGCTACCGAAAGCGTGCGGGTTCTTCCAATCCAGGACCTCGCAGGGAAGATCCAGCTGGTTCAGCAGGATGTTTTCTTTCAGATTCGGCACAATTTCAGGCAGGTCTGTGAGAACAACATCCTTATACCCCAGCAGTCCGCAAGCAATCCCTACCAGACCGGTTCCTGCCCCGAGCTCGAGAATCGGCTCTGCTAGCCGCGGAAAGTTAACCAGCCGTCGGGCCAGCATGAGCGACGATCCCCAGGTCTTGAGTCCAAGGTTATCACTCGTCAGTGCTGGCTCTCGTAGACAGATTGGAGGCAGTCCATCTACTGTGATTTTCCGTGTGAACCCTGGCGCGGCCGTCCGCCCAGACTTCTCCGAGATGATTGTCGAGGCCAGTGCCCACACGTCCTCGCGGTCGGCAGCGTCCATCCATGAAAGCGAGGATCCGCAAATGCCGGTGAGATACGACACTATGTCGTTTGTCGGCAGTGCACCCAAATCTGAAAAATTGGCGCACAGCAGCGAACAGTGGGTCTGGAGCCACGGCTCTGCAGCGGCGAAACTAGCAGGGTGCTCTCGTTTGACCGTCTCTATGGACCGCGTTTGTGGAGTTTGTCCAAAATTGCAGATGTCGTCTGATTTGAGCAGATACAAGATGGTTTTCAGGACACAGGCCGGCGGTCGCGAGCCTACTTGTGGGAGGTCCATGACGTGCAGTGCTGGGAGATGCGACTTCTCCTCGGACACGTTCATAAGCACGGGCTCGGTGTCGACGTATTGCACGGGCGACAAAAAGTCGAGGGGGTCGAAGGACATGCAAAATAATAAATTATTATTTATATATTTCATATATTTTACATTTTTTATACATTGAGCCATGTCTCTGCCCAAATCGTACCAGCAGAATTTTTCTCCCCAGGAGATCAATTTCCTGGCCGAGCAGGAGCTGGTCACGGTGATACCGCGGTACAGTATGAACGGGGCACAGCTGATAGGCTCGAAGATGCCGAAACTGAGAGCCCTGAATAGAGAGCAGATCCCGCTGTGGCTCGCGACGTTGCTCAAAAAACAGGAGAAATGCAACATTGTGGTGCCCGAGTGGCTTTCCGTGGAGTATCTGCGTGTACGCTATGACGAGGAGATCAAGTATCCGAGCAAGTTTTCGAATCTACCCTGGCACTGGCTGCCGATAGCGAAAAAACTGCTCGACTACGCGTCCGACGACTTCATCGACCCGCCGCATGAGATCAGGTCCTTGCTCCAGGACTTGCGCGAAGTTCGACTCGTCAAGGCCAGAAAGGGAATTCGGGAGCTCAATCACGTGTATATCCAGCTGGACGGACTTTCGCTGATGGAGATCAACGAGATACGGCCGTTTATTTTAGAGGTGATGGATCAGCTACGGAAAATGAACGACAGTCTCAAAGTCAAGACCGAAGAGGAAATGCCGCGCCAGGCAGCCGCGCAGATGGACCGTGACGAAGACAGCGACGACGATATTTATCAAAAAGAGTGAGTTAGCAAACGTTTTCCACAACAACAGGCTTGCGGTCTTCTTCGCCCAGATCGGTCTTGAGTCTTCTGTCAAACAGCTCAAACAGAAACCCGAAACAGGAGCTTGTGATGGCCGAGTCATAGCGGCCCTTGCTGCTCTCGTCGCGGACAAAGGCGTGCTGGGCGTCGCAGATCTCCATGAACGTGAGCTTGGCTCCCGCGTCTCTGAGCTTGGCTCTGATGAGATCGCGGCCCTCAGGCGGCACGTGGTTGTCGAGCGTGCCGAAAAACATCACCAGCTCCTGTCTGTGGCTGTCCAGCTCCTTGCACACTCGCTCCAGCGAATCGTCGCCGCCTTTTCCAAGCGACTTGGAGTGGATGTCAGTGGCAAAGAAACACACAGCCGCCGTGATGCGCTGGTCAAGAAGCGCGCGGAACGCCAGATGGCCGCCCAAACACATTCCTGTAGCACCGATTTTCCCGTTAAACGTGTCCAGCGAGTACAAATAATCACAGCATAGTTTATTATCCTCATCGTAGGAATCGATGGTTTTTTCGACTTTGTACCGATTGCCGTCGTCCGTCCCCTTCACGTCATAGGCCAATGGACGGTGGTCGACAAAGTCGTGGTAAATCGATGGAGCCACGCAAATGTAGCCCTCTGCTGCGATCTTCTTTGCAAACCGTGCAACAGGACCCGTCACCTGGTAGATCTCGCTGTACACGACGACCCCGGGAAACTTGGCCCGTGGATATCCGGGGATTTTCGGGTGGAACGTGTATATTCTCATGGTGTCCCCCTTGGACGTCTTGACGTCTTTGTAAGATTCGGTGATGAGCATGGTAAAATTGTGGTTTGAGGTGTCGTACAATGAAAAATACAAAATAATTAATATTTTTCGATTTATTAATATTCGATGTTTGTCGCAGCGTCTTCTTTCGCCAGACCGTCGGCGGCCCGGTTGTTGCTGAATTTTGCACGTCATGCCTCCAGCGCTGCTGGTAGATCGAAAAAGCCAATTCCACGCCCGGGAATCGAGCGGATCGGCGTGCCTTTCGACCCCTACGTGCCCATGAGAATGTCCCGTCTACCAAGTCCGCTCACGGCACCTAAATTGTACTTGAAAAGCATCTGGAACCGTCTGCTGCTCTTTGCATACAACCAGGTGCAGGTCTACTACTTCAAGAAGTCGATGGGCAAGAAGTACAAGCCGAACTTTCTCAAATGGAAAAACGAGGCCATCGAGACGTTCGTCCGAGTTAACAAGGGATTCGCCGAGAAAAAGCTACCCTCGATCCGCACAAACGTGTCCGAGTACGTGTACAGCGCACTGGAGGCCAGAACCAAACGCATGCCTCCCACGACGACCATGGGCTGGGAGCTGGTGAAGTTTAACTCGGTACCTAAATTAATCAGTGTGCACTCGTTCCCGCACGAGGACGGAGTGCCTCTTCTTGTGCAAATTGTGTACAAGTTCGACACCAAGCAGCAGCTTGTCGTCAAGAAGGCGGGCCAGGACGTCCAGAAAAACGTCAGAGACTTAACAGAGTATCTGGCCTTTAATATCGACCCATTCACCGATAGAATCGTCCTGGCCGGTTCCGTGTTCGAGTCGCCCGTGTCCAGAGGCGTGGCTCCCAAGGAGGCTGGCGGAAAAGAAGAGATCATGGCCCAGATGAAGGCCCACGGAGATATCTACCGCATTGAACAACCTCAAGAATAAACTGTATATAAATCACACGAATCTAGTCCAGGATACTAGTGGCCTGGGCTGGCACGGTATCCAGATCCAAGGTACATAGACTCTGATTGTCATTTGTTAGATGGAACGTCTCGTCGCCCTCAATGTCGTCGCCGTCCGAAAGAAGTCCCAAATTCTCCTCCATGCCGTGAGAGTCTTGCTCGATCACGTTCTGGTAAGACGGAAGATCGTCTTCGTAGTATGCCAAGGAAGATCTGGATGGAACATGGCTGGCGTTCTCGTAGTCAAACTTTCCGTTGATGGTGATTGCGGGACGGCTAATGAGGTTCTCTTTAGAGACCGATGGCTTCAAAAGACTACTCAGCTGCCCCCCCGCGCTGGAGGGCTTGATATCCTTCTTTGCAAAGAGTTCTTCGTCTTCTGCGTCCGCCGTCTGGAGCAGGCTATCTAGATTGTTGAAACTCACGTCGTTCATGTTGTTCAGGCTGAGCCCGCTCAAACTGCTACCATTATGGCCCATGCTGTAAGACGCAGGAGGAGAGCTGGAGCCGACCGAGAACGGCGACTGCGAAAGCATCGTGGTAGAATTGAACGTCGAAAAGTACTGGTTCGGGATGTTGTAGCCACTCATCATCGGAGACGAAGGCTGCAGCACGGCTTCTTCGAATGTGGGCAGTTCTTCGTCTATGTCGTTGTTCTGATCGCAATCGGCACTAAAAGCAAAGCCGTCAGAGGGTTTTGAGGCATCGAGCGCGGACGACCTCACGGCATACTCATAGCTAGGAAGCTCGACATTTTCGCGCACGCAAAAGGGCGAGACGAAGACAATAGGTGTGTCCACAATCACTTCGTAATGATGCATTTTCGGCTCGCCGTTGTGGTCTGTTTTGCTTTCGTGGGGTTTGCTGATGCGGAAACAAACTTGCAGTCGATGCTTGATATTCACGTTATGGAAATTAGTGTCTGGATAAAATGAGAATTCTTGCAACCGGTCATCTTCTTTATTTGACATTTTTGGAGGAAAGGATGTCTTTTTGGGAGACAAAATAGGCGAAAGCAAAGGTGATTTAGACAGCCATCCAGAACTCTCTTCTTCCTGTTGATCGTTTTCGCCCTGCGAGCTCATAGAAAAAATGGACACCTCGTCGCCTCCAGGAGGCGGATCTATATCGTTGTCGTTGCCATCAAATCCGTTGTGAGTAAGAGCATCGTGCGTTTCAGAAATGAGTTTGGTTTCGTCATTGGCAATGAAACGCAGCGGACATTGCAATTTGACAGGATTCGTGATGCTGACTTCTTCCTGTGAAGTCGAAGGCAAAGAGCTGGAACTGGAGTCTTTAGAAGGTTCGAGCAGCTTCGTCATTCTTTTGGTTCCCAGATGCAGGTTATTGAAAGATCCGGATCTGCTGCGTCCATCTGAATCTGGCACTTTTCCGTTGTTGTAGCAGAAGGTTAGCAGGTTCTCGTTAGCACAGCCCTTGATAATCTGGGTGTTCATGGCAGAGGTGTGGTTTTTCTCCTTGGTTTTGATCTCCATTAACGTCACTTTACGCTCTTTGCATCCGGAGCGGTCCAATGAGCTCATCTCGGTCTCGTATTTATGATCCTTTGAGATGTAGGTGATTTTTTCCACAATGTTGATCTTGATCCGTTTCAAAGCGAGATTTTTCACTAAGGGAATGAGCTTCATTTGCAAAACAAAAGTCGAAGTTCTCATGAAAGGGTCGTTGATGCCAGATTTGGGAGACAGCTGGATGAACTTGCGAGGCAGCAAAATCTCGTAATTGAGAGAATCGCTCCAAATTTTATTGACATAAATCGATTTGTTCAAAGTTGACGTGGCGTCGGAAGGAGGCAGACGAATAACCGGAAGCTCGTGGCTGAAATCGTAAACTGGATTTGCAGACTTGTGGGAAGCCGAGGTGGTCGAAGATACGGATGAAGATCTGTGGCGGCCGAGTTTCCTTCGAATGCTCTTTGAGGTGTTGGAGTTCAAGTAGCTACCAACTATGTCGCCATCTTCATAGCGATGATGTTGCGGGACGGAAAGCAAAGCTGATGGGGGAGGAAGAATGGCAGGAACATATTGTGCAGATTCAACTTGCACATGCAGATTATGTGAGACAGTAGCAAGAGGTGTCCGCACGGTTTCGGGAGTGTTGATCGGATACACTACAGGAAGCACAAAAACGTAGTAGCCGGGCTGGAAATTGCGCGGTTCAGCTTCGACCCCTGCAAAAAGGTCCTCGTGTTTGACGATGTCTTTGCCGTTGTCGTCGATTTCATTGACAAAGTCCTTCGGACTGAGGGGCTCATAATATCGAAGGCTCTGTGCTGCAGATGGAGAGCGCAAAATCTCTGCCGAAGTTTTGGTGGACGAAGTGACCTCTGACTCTGCATCCTGAGCAAAGTCGAAGTTGAACTCCTCCACACTGTCTGGATCGCTGTCAAAGACTTTGAACGGAATGAAGCAGTCCGGGTTGCGGAGATCCAGGTCCCAATCAATGTCCTTGGACACTCTGTATTTTTCCTTGAATGCCAACTTGTGCTTTCCCTTTGCATTTTCCACGCTGATGCCAGAAGTCCAGTTCGTTGTCGCATCGGCGTAGTAGCGCGCCCGAGCTATAGAGGTCAGCGACTGGGTCTTCATGAGCTTGATGACCACCACAAACGTGTGGCTAGCCACGGTGTGATGCAACGTCCGCGGCTGGCGTAAACCCTGATGGCCTGGCTCTGGGGTCTCCTCGATGTCAGATTCGTCCATATCGCCCTCTTCGTCCTCTTCCGGGACGTCATCAGAAAGCTGGCTCTTCTTTTTGGCCGGGTTGTAAGGTAGAAACAGCATTTGTCCCGTTCCCGATAGGAAAGCCTGCACAGATTTTGGAGCAGAGTTGCCAAATATTTTCAGCGCAGACTTGCCGATCTTCGAGCCGTGCTTGAACTTCACGAGGCCGGCACTGAAGCCGCACTGCGACAAATACGAGGCAAGCGCGTCATTGTAGGGTTTCATGTTTGTCTTGCTGAAATCGAGCGACTCGCCAGCGAGGTCTTCGTTGCTCAGAGTGAAGGAGTGCACATCCATGCTGTTTCTAGGGGAGTAGGGGGCAGGGTTCACCGGGCTTGTTCCGGCTAACGACTGCAGTTTCTGTTTGAACATCTTTATGGAGCTTGATCGTGACGTCCTCGGGCCTACGTTTCCTATGCTTTTTGTCCCGGAAGTGGAGTGGGCTAAATGTTCGGACGATAGAGACATGGTCTTGGAACAATCGGAAACGATAGTGAACAACGTCTCAAGAGTATGTCCTGTGTGTTCCCAAGGGCCTCTGTTATGGTAGCTACACTTCGACCTGTAAGAGTAAAAAAATAACCCTCAAGCCTAAATGTAAAGCAAGATCAATTTGACACCAATTTATTATTAGCTTTGTAATTTTTCTTGTTGCACCTAAAGTAGCATTATTATTCACTTGGGGGGTGGAGAGAAAAAAATCCTCGACGGAGTTAGACTCGTGGTGATTCCGCGTTCGCGGTCCAAAGTCGACCGAGCCCGCATGGATATTTGGAAACGACAGGGGGCCATTCTGGACTCCGTCGTGAAGAGCCCTGACTCGATAGTGGTGGTGGCTAGGCCGTTAAGCAGGGCCAAGTTCGACAGCTCTGTGGGGGCCAAATACCGCGGACAGCCGGTCGTGAGACCCGAGTGGGTGGTGGACTCGCTCGCTAACAGGCGATTGTTGCCGCTCGACGAGTACCAGTACAGCTTTGATGAGAAAAAGCCGGAACCTACAAAAGAGCCAGAAAAATTGGAAGCAAGCGACCCGCACAAGGCGGACCAGCGTTTGGTTGGATTTTTAAGCATGGGCGCGCGCAGCGAAAAAGGCCGGATGGACGAGTTTGCCAACAATGCCAAGGTGGTGGAACGGTTCGAGGAAGCGATAAAGATATACGAGGTGATGCAGTTTTTCGACAAAAACAATGTTTTCCGCATCAAAAACTACCGGCTCGCGATCAGCGCGATCGAGAGCCTGGACAAGGCGCTGACAAGCGCACAGGACCTCCAGCGGTTTGGCCTGGACCGCGGCGGCATCGCACAGCACGTCGAGGAAGTTTTACAGACGGGCACGTTCTCGAAGCTGGAGACCCTGAAGCAGCAGGAGAAGGGCGACGAGCGGTACCAGCTGATGACGCAATTCAAGAAAATATACGGCGTCGGGGACACAACGGCGTACCGTTTTGTCAAGGCGGGCTACAAGAGTATCCAGGACATTGTGCACGACCAAGCAATGTATGCAAGTCTCACAGACGCCCAAAAGCTGGGAATTCTGCACTTCGATGAGTGGAACGAGCGGATACCACGCACAGAAGTGGAGAAGCACTACAATTTTGTGGTGAGAGAGGCGAAAGAAATCGATATGAACCTCAAAGTGATGCTAATGGGGTCGTATCGACGGGGAGCTGAGACGAGCGGCGACATCGACCTGATTGTCTACACGGAGGAGGTCAACGAAGCAAGCCAGGTCCACGAAAACCTGTACAAGCTCACCCGCAGGCTCCAGGAGTCCGGATTCATTGTCTGTTCGATGACAGAAGTGTCGCCCGCAATGCACAAGTTCAACGGCGGCTGCAAGCTGCCAGAAGCACAAATCTGTCGCCGGCTAGACATAATTGGCATCCCGCACGCGGAGCTCGGGGCGGCGACGATATATTTTGTCGGAAACGACATATTCAACAGATGTCTACGTTTGCTTGCTCGGATCAAGGGGTATCACCTGAGCAACAAAGGCCTGTTTCTGGCTGCAGATAAATCTCTTGTCGAGAGTTTTGATGAGCGCAGGATTTTGCACACGCTGGGTCTCGATTGGGTGGAATATAAGCACCGAAACATTTAGTTACATATCTGAAACCAACGCAAGCAGGAGATTTATTGCACGCGCGTGCGGCTCGCGGCAGCCGGTTTCAAAATTTGCAACCAGCCATAAAAACCGGCACGCTGGCATATTTTTCTGTGTCACAAGAAATACACCGAACGATTGGAGCCAGACACCACACAGAGGTTGCCGCCACTAGTCACTGGCTTTTATAGAGCTATCGTTTCGCATTGATTTCCAAACTGTCCAAGTAACCTCTCTACTGATACCCCTATAGATGTCTGCCGATAGCAAATCAAAACCTCCGGCGTTGGACCTTGGCAAGCAGTCCAAGGCGGAGCTGGAGAAAATCGCATACCACATCGTGTCGCCCGGTCTGCCGCCGCTCAGCGAAAGAAACAAGAGTCGGGTCCGCCAAAGCAAATCCATCGAGGCACAACAGAAACGTCTGATCAATGAGCGTGCCGGCAGCAGGAGCCCGGTAGAAGTGAAGAAATCACCCGGCGTGGGCGTCGGAAAGAATATTCCGCGCTTGAAAAGAGCCAAGCCGCCTCCTCCATTGGATATCCACCACGGCCCGCTGCGACACGGTCTGGCCATGAGATCGGCTCCATTGCGAGGGTACCGTGTGTTGATGCGGCCATATCCTGCGCCACAGCCTCTCTACACTTCTCCGCATGGCTATTACCCTTATCCGCCTGCCTATCCGCCTGCCGTGTACCCGTCGCCACCCCTGGTGCGATATCATCAGGTGAGCGTGGACAACGGGGAGTACGTTGTGGTGAAGACGCCGAGTTCTGAGGACGACCCGGTGCGAGACGAGGTGGATGAGGAAAAGGACGCAGAGTCGTCAGTCGACGACGACGTCGAGAGCCGCGCAATTGAAGACGGAGCCGTGCCCAGCGAGAGCGCGTCTGATCCGCCGATGGATGCGCCCGTCGAGCTGGTCTCGGGCGACCTGCGACTGGGTTCTGAGGTCTACACGTACGAGGTTCCCGTGCACGAAAAAACAAGCGATTTCCGCAAACATTTCCTGCGCCTGGCAGGAGCCATTTTCGACGACTATATGGCTAGGACTAGCGATCGATGATTATGTAAGGGCGAAAAAATATTGGTTGAAATTTATATTGGATCGCTAATTTTATTTATTTATTCATGTTTCCCACAAAAGTCAGTCCCCGGCAAACGTGGCGTTGCGTGAGGCCCGCCATAAGCAAAGTCGCGTGGCAGCCGTGCCGGCAGTTTACTCCACAGCCTAACGATCTTGCCAGGCGGGTCTTTGACGACCCAGACACCTGGCGACAGTACAAGGACAAACGCCCGGGGCTGCCGTTTGGGCTCCACAACTACACGTCGGGCTCGGTCGGCATGTTTCTGAATCCATATTTGAAGCGGCCGTCTGGGCTTTTGGAGTTTTGCAAAGAGTCTCTTCTCCGAGCTCGGCAACTCACCGTGTCCATCATAGCAGACGATTCAGCTGCTGGGTTGCGCCAATATATCAGAAACCTGGATAGACTGAGCGACATTTTGTGTCGCGTTATAGATCTGTGCGAATTTGTGCGCGTGGCGCATCCCAACAAGGCGTTTGTCAACGCAGCTGCCGACTGCCACAAGGAGATGTTTCGGTTCATGAACGAGCTAAATACATCTGAGGAGATGTATCTAAAGTTGGAACGCGTGCTGCACGACCCCGAGCTGAGCAAGGAGCTGAGCATGGAGGAGATCAGCGTGGGGAAGTTGCTGTATGCAGACTTCCAGAAGGCCGGGCTCGGACTCGCCGGCGAGGGCAAGTCGACGTATGTGGAGCTGAGCCAGCACATTGCCGAGGTCGGCCAGCAGTTTGCAGACGAAGTGTACGAGGTGGAGTCGGCAGAAGTGCTGGTTCCGAAGTCAGAGGTCCGGCCGGGCGATTTCACACCAGAACTCGAAAAATACATTCACGTGACCGCCAATGACGTCAAGGTCCCGCTTTATGGACACGTTCCGATGGAGGTTCTGCGGACTTGCCCGAACAGAGACGTGCGGCGGCGTGTGTGGGTCGCCATGCACACGGCGAAACCGATCCAGCTCAAGCGACTAACGCATCTGGTGATCTACCGACGGCTCCTGGCTGCGCAGTTCCAGCACCACAGTTTTGGCGCTTACCAGCTGAACGACAAGATGGCACGATCTCCCGAGAACGTTCGACGGTTCCTGGAGAAGTTGGCATTAGAGATCCGGCCAGAGGTCGAACAGGAGCTTAAGGTGCTGGCGAAAAGCGTCAACATAGACTCTGACCCGATCAAGGAAATCAGGCCGTGGGACCGCGAGTATTTGGCCGCCAGGTATCTGAGCCGGCAGAAGAGCACGAGTACGGAGGATATCAGCGCCTACTTCTCTCTGGGAACCGTGGTGCAGGGTCTTTCTGATTTATTCAAGAGCATTTACGGTATCGAGCTGCGGCCGGCAAAAGTGCAGCCGGGCGAGGTCTGGGAGCCCAGCGTGCGCAAGTTCGAAGCTACGAGCGACAGAGATGGCGTGGTGGGCATTATTTATATGGATTTGTTCTACAGATCCAACAAGACGCTAAACCCAGCGCATTTCACCATCTGCTGCTCGCGGAAAATATACCCAGAGGAGTTGGACGAGAACGACCCTTTTAACCTGAAACTGCCCACGGTCCAGACCAAAAAGCATGGCGACGACACGTTCCAGCTGCCTGTGATCTCGCTTGTGTGCAACTTCCAGCCCGAACACGTCCACGGCGACCAGGAAAAATGTCTATTATCTCTTGCACAGGTGGAAACGCTTTTTCACGAGATGGGCCACGCGATGCACTCCATGCTGGGCCGCACAAACCTGCACAACGTCAGCGGAACAAGATGTCCGACAGACTTTGTCGAGCTGCCGTCGATCCTGATGGAGTATTTTGCTAAAGACGAGCGCGTGCTACTGTCGTTTGCCCGCCACCACAAGACCGGTGAACGTCTCCCGCAGGCATTGCTCCGCCGCCACCAGGCAGACCACTCGTTCCTCGACAAGTGCGAGACTTTCAGTCAGATCAAGATGGCATACTTGGACCAGCAGCTGCATGGAGCAATCGACTTCAACTTCGACCCTCTGCGGTGCTACCACGACGTCGAGCGCCACTTCGAGGCGTTCAAGGACGACGAGTCGTCGTGGGTCGCCAAGTTCGGCCATCTGTACTCGTACGGCGCGATGTACTACTCGTATCTGTTCGACAGAGTGATTGCCACCCGGATCTGGGAGCATCTGTTTGCCGAAGATCCGTTCTCGCGTGCAAGCGGCGACAAGTTCCAGAACCAGGTCCTCAAATGGGGCGGCTCACGCGACCCGTGGGAGCTCGTGGCCGACGTGCTGGAGCTGCCGGAGCTGCGCCGAGGCGACGCTGCTGCGATGGAGCTGCTGAGCCATAACGGCGCGTCGATCGACGCGGCGACGCACTAAGTTGTAGAAAAACGTGGAAAAATAATGTAGTATATTGTTATGAGTGACACCATAAAAGTAACGATCAAGTAAGTAGCGCTTTCCAGCCGACGCTAACACGCAGATCGTCCGGGGACAAGAAGTACGAGGTGAATCTTTTGCCTTCGTCGACGATCGCGGAGGTGAAAGAGCAGCTGGCGGGAGAAACAGACATTCCTGCTGATAGGCAAAGACTCATCTATTCGGGCAAAGTGCTTAAGGACGCGGAAACTGTTGCCGCATATAAGATCCAAGACGGCCACACGATCCATCTGGTGAAGGGTGCGGCCAAAAGCGGCAGCGCAGGCCCAGAATCAACAGCAGCCTCAAGTGGACAGCCAGGGGCGAACTCCGACACCAGCAGCATTCCACAGAACATCGCTGCCGGCCAAGGCGCATTCAACCCGCTGGCCGGGCTCACCGGTGCACGATACGCGGGTCTGAACGTGCCTATGCCCTCAATGGAGTCTCTGGGCTTTGGTGCCGACGGAATGCAGCTTCCGGACGAATCCCAAATGGAACAGATGATGGAAAACCCAATGTTCCAGGAAAGCATGCGTGCAATGCTTTCTGACCCACAAATGTTGGACTTTTTGATCCAGCAGTCGCCTCAGCTGAGTGCGATGGGCCCTGCGGCCAGAGAAATGTTGCAGAGTGAATACTTCCGCAACATGTTGACTAATCCACAAATGATGAGAAGCATGATGCAAATGCAAAGAAGCATGGGCGGTCCTTCTGCATCCGCGTTTCCTGCTCCTGGTGGAGCGTCTGCAGAAGCGGGAAGCAGCACTTCGACCAATAATGCTGGCGGATCAACGTCTGGTTCTGGTTCTGGGTCTGGCTCGGGATCGGCTGCCGCAGCCAACCCATTTGCCGCTCTTTTGGGTGGAAACATGGGCGCCGGTTTAGGTGGACTGGGAGGATTGGGTGGATTCCCTGGTTTTGCTGCTCCAGCCGATAACAGGCCGCCTGAAGAGGTGTTTGAGGTGCAGTTGCGTCAGCTGAACGACATGGGATTTTTCGACTTTGACAGCAACGTGCGTGCGCTCAGAAGAAGCGGTGGGTCCGTGGAGGGGGCGATCGAGGCATTGTTGAACGGTAATATATGATGGCGAGCGCATTGTCTAGTGCTATGTACAGAATGTAACCTGCTGCAACTATGCGGTGGTGCTAGGTGTAGGTCTCTGTCCACACCGGGGTGTTAGGCGTGGACGATTTTCCAAATTCTTGTGGAATATATGAACACTGTCTTCAGTGCCAACAGGGGGTACTATCTATGTCCAGATGCGGAGGAGCCATTTGACAGTGGTTCCTTGTATACAAACGGCTTTGATCAGCTGGAGCCTACCGATGACGAGTTGATGGCTGAACTCTCCGACCGCGAGAAGCCTGCCAACGAAAGTGCCCGTGCACGCAAGAAACGAGAAAAGCGGCAGCATAAACAACGCCGACAGCGTAAGAGCCCGCGGTCCGAGTGGTCTATAGTCCATGAGCTGTGCTCTGGTGATGATAAAGTGCTCAAATTCCACGAGATCACCGTGTATCGAGAGGATATCCTGAATCTTCGAGACGACGAGTGGCTAAATGACAACAATTTGGCCTTTATCTACGAGTATATTACCCGCGTGCACATTGAGCCGACGCTGAGACGTCGAATCCGCTTTGCCAACCAGAAAATGATAGAAACTAGCATAATTTTACTCATGCCTGCATTTACATTTTTGCTGGCCCATCACCCAGAGCCAACCCAGCTCAGGGGTGTTCTTCCGCCAATCGAAAAGGCAAAATTTGTCTTCATGCCTCTGAACGACAACGAGGACCTTGGGGTGGCCGAAGGCGGTTATCATTGGTCCCTGGTGGTGCTCAGTGTCGAGGACCGGCTGGCTATGGTTTACGATTCGATGGAGTCTGCCAACGAGCAAGAGACAAAACAGCTTGTGAGCAAAATTGAGCAGTACTATGGATTCAAATTCAGAATCATAACCGATTTACACCCACCGCAGCAGAGCAACGGGTCCGACTGTGGAATCAGTGTGGCTGGGTTTACAGCGATTTTGGTAGCCCGGTTGCTGAAGGCAGAGGATAAACATAAAATTAATATGAGCATGGAAAACGTGAGCTTCAGCGCTCTGGACGCTCGCCTGTTTGTTCTGAAATGCATCAAACGGCTAAGAGACGAGACTGAGACTCGCTGACGCGCGTATAGATAAATGAGAGCGAATGCATCGTCTTTGTAGTGAGCGGAAATGACCGTACAGGTTGCTATGTGGTCTTTGACACCTCCAACATACCAAGCACAAGACAGGACGCACTGTATGTCAGACGCGGCGAGAGCACGCCATGCTACACCAAACGTCCGCTATCGCGACGTGGGGCGGTCTTGATTACCAACACAGCTCTTCTGAAGTAAAGCACACCTGAGACCAGATCTAGCTGGTCCTCTGGCATGCCGTAGTAGCTGGTAGTCTTCGTTTGCGTCAGCCTAACGCGATATCGGCCGTTCCCCAAAACACCAGCATATCAGGTTTGAAAATATGCTCATTTTCTAAACACTAGCTATTTCCTTGCCTAGCAAATACCGGGCCGAAATCAGGCTCTTGACATTTATTTCACATTATTTATTTTCATTTCTCGTTCCGCCTGTTGATGACATATGTGCCCGTTGGATACATTGCCCCTCGATTTCCGGCTCTGGGATGGCCTTTAACCAAGTATTCTCTCTACTACACCAAAGATGTGGTCAAGTTTACAATGTTCTGGTGCATCATTTTGATGACGGCGTTCTATTTGGCCGCGGCACTGATTGCGTCCTTTACATACTACAAGAACAACAAGAACAGCAAGAAAAAAGGTACCGCGCTGGTGGCCATCGTCGGGGTCTATGTGCTTGTTGGGGTGATCCAGGCGGTGTTGTCTGGATCGCTAATTGGCCTGCTACTTGCGGAAATATACAAAAGCGGGCAGTTTGGACTGAACCCATGGCTCACGTTCATCTACGGCATCATTGTTGTGCTCTTCAATATTTCAACCTCGTATTCGCTAACCAGTGTTTTATTATAAGCTATGCATCAAAACAATACATTTTCACGTCGCCGTTCTCCATACCACAGACAAACCGCGAATCGCCCAGTGCGACGCACGTGATCGGCGCACTGGAACCGGCAAACGTGTGCATGCACTTTCCTGTTTGCAGGTCCCAAACCTTGATCAGCTTGTCGTGGGCGCCGCTGACAATACGGAAAGTGTCTGCTGCAATGGACCAAACACCCTCGATGTGGCCAAACTGGGTCCGGACACACTTGCCGGTCTTGAGGTCCCAAAGCTTGATGGTGTTATCCAAAGAAGCCGTTAGGAGGTGTGACGGAAGCTCTGGGTTCTGCAGAACAGAGTCCTGATCGCTCTGGGTCTGTTCTTCGGTTTGTTTTTGGGTCTCGTCGGTCAGCTTCTCATCGAAATCGGTCACGATGGCGTCTTTCAGCGAAAATGGTATCACACACTGGATCTGGCCAATATGGCCGTTGTTCTCGATTCCTCCAAACACCTTCAAACATTCGTTCGTTTTGAGGTCCCACATGCGCACTGTGGAGTCATCCGAAGCGCTGAAAAGCGTGTTGCTCTTTGGATGGATTTTCACACACGTAACCCAGTCGCTGTGGCCACGCAGGGTGTAGCAGGTGCGCGACTCGACGTGCCAGACCTTGACCGTGTTGTCTGCCGAGCCCGACACGATCAGCTTCTCATGGAAGTCGACGCTGATCACACCTTCCTCGTGACCCGTGTAAGTGGAGATACACTGTCCCGTTCGGTAGTTCCAGACCTTGATGGTGGAATCCAGACCTCCCGTTATCAGTTTCTGGTCGTCGAATGCGAGCGTGCGCACGCCTCGTGTGTGATCAGTCAGCGTGCGCAGCAGTTTTCCTGTTTCCACGTTCCAAATCTTGATGGTCTTGTCGTAAGACCCCGTCATCAGCAAGTTGTTGTTGTCGTACTGGCAGCACAGAACACCGTCCATGTGCCCCTCAAACCGTTTAATCTTGTATAATCCCTTTCTCCAATTGCGCTCAACGGTGTATCTCTCCGAATACACTGCCTTCCAAGGCCGTTTCTTGTTTACCTTCTGTCTCTTGACGTTTGGCTTGCAGTCGTCCAGCCTTGGCGGCAGCCGCTCCACAATACCCTCTGTACTGTCCATGTCGTTGCTTCTGCGTCTGCGGCTGCATTCTTGTAACTTCTTCACTACCATCAAAGGCAACCCCCAGCCGCACTGAGGACACTTACGGTCGATGTGCTGCTCGCACATATATCTCCAGACTCTGTCGTCGTCCGCAAGCTGCTTCCATCTCGTGGAGACTTGGGCAGCATTGCAGAGACTTTGGCAGTCCAGATAACAGAGGATTTTAAGGGCTATTTCGCTGGGCAGCGTCTCGATGAAGTCGATCTTGATCAGCTTGGAAACCTCTTGGGAAATGAGCGAAAGTTGCGGGAAACAACACTGGCTGAGCAGCCCTTTGAGGATGAGACTGCGGTGTTGCGTGGGGGCGGCGCTGAAAATGGACCAGACGTGGGTAATCGCTTCCTTGTCGCGGCGAGGCAGCTTCTCAAGCTCCGACTGGATTTCCCGCATCTTTGTCTCGTCAGAACGACGGTCAAACCGGACTTTCGGATTGTGTCTGTAACAAAATCGTTTTTCGCAGTCGTCCTGGTCTTGCAAATGGCTGGCGAGAAATGGCGTCACTATCGATTTGTTGGGGGGATCTTCGGGGGTTGAATTGTCAGTCCCCTGAATTTCCTGCTGCGAAGAAGGCCCCAACGAAATGCTGTTGCTCATCACTTGCTCCAGATCGTTTGCGTCGGGGCTCTTACACACCTTCTGAAGCACACTCATTTTGTATATGGAACGAAAGAGGATTTAAAATTTAAAAGAAAAACTGTGGCATCAGATAATGTTTATGAACCCTTTTATTTTACGTATTTATTTTCGCCATGACCCCATGATTATGTCAGCACCATCTACCACTTCTCCTCTGGGTTAGCCTTGAACTTCTCGTATTCTTCCCGGTTGAAGATGCTCAATTCCGTCTCGTTGGCAATCCCGTAGTCCACCAGCGTTCTTGTGTTGTCGTCAAGGTCCAAGATCCAGTCGTCGTCGTGATCCATGTTGATCACCAAATTCATCGTCTTACTGCCGTGTGCGTGGGTGTAGATCTTGAGTGTGTCGTAATTAACGCCTCTGTACGGTCTGAGGGCGCCTGTGGTATTGATAGTGTTGATGATTGTTTCGAACAGCTGTTTTGGGGTGGTGTTTTTCAGATCGACGTGCGGGAACACGTGGTTGCGAACGTTTCTGTACGGAAACGACTTGATGATCCGCACGGTTAGCACGGAGTCGGTCACTGAGGTTAGCGTGCGGGGGTTGGCTACTTACGTGGGCGGGCTGTCGAGGTGAGAGGCTCTTCCAAGTCAAATTCACTCATTCTAAATTCTAAATAAGTTTTTCTCTAAATTTCTGGCACTTTTCTCAGAATATAAGGCTTTTGGTTTTCGATTTCCACCAAATTGGCCGCACCGGAGCTGAACTCAACCAGTCCTGTCTCCGCCACATACTGGACCCAGTGGTCCAGCAACTCCTTGAGCTTGCCAGAATGTGACTCTGCCAGATCGTGGATCTCGCCTGGATCTTGTGACAGATCGAACAGCTGCCATTTTCCAGGGCCATAAGGCTTGGGGATGTACAATGCCTTGTACTTGCCCTTGCGCAGGGCTTGCTGCCCAAACAGTTCCCAGCCGGTTACTGTGTCCTCGTCGTGGATCTTGTCTCCTCCCTTGAGATAGGGCACCCACGACTGGCCTCTTGGTGTGAGCACTTTGCGGCCACGGTACTCTGTGCCAGGGTGCTTGACGCCTGCAAGTTCTAGCACGGTCGGCAAAATATCCATCACCGTGCAGAACTCGCCGCTCACCCCACCTGCAGGAAGGGTAATTTCTGGATATCTCACAATCAGAGGACACCGAATGCCTCCCTCGGATGCCCACATCTTGTACATGTACGATGGGGCCGTTGCGGCCTGTGCCCATTGGTCGGAGTACCACACAAAAGAGTCCTTGTTTCCCAGATTTTCGTAGGAATTGTTGTAGTGTGCGCGAATGGCGTTTTCTGTTCTTTCCATCCACAATGGCATGGCTTCCAATAGCATGCCCTCGGCTCCATTGTCTGACATGAATAAAATGAACGTGTTGTCGTACTCTCCCGTCTTTTTGAGGTGATCCACCACGCGTCCCACTTGCGTGTCAAGAATCTCGACCATGGCAGCGTAGATCTCCATGATACGAGCCTCGGCTTTTTTTTCCTCGTCGCTTAATTCTTCCCACGTCTTATCGCGGTGAGTTTCCACCTGATGGGGTTCTATACCGTCAGGGATAATTCCCAACTCGCACGCACGCTTCAATCTTTCACGACGCAAAACTGCCGGTCCCGAATCGTAGCGGCCCTTGTATTTGTCTATCACCTCGCGTGGAGCCTGATACGGCCAATGTGGCGCCGTGTAGGTCAAACAACCAAGAAAAGGCCGACCAGCTCGTCTCTCGTCTTGCAAAAAGTCCAGAGCTTTGTCAGTGTACCAATTGGTGCTGTAAAAGTCCTCTGGCAGATCGTAAGGATCCAGCTCCTTGTCGTCCTCCACAAAAAGTGGCCTCATAAACCCAATAGGCGCGCCTCCCTCTTTTGACTTAGGAAAGTATTTGAAGTGGTTCCCGGCTCCAGGTAGAAGGGTGAAAGAACGCTCAAAGCCGCGCTGGACAGGCCAGTGGGGACGGTCCAATCCGAGATGCCATTTTCCAGATATAAAAGTATAGTAGCCGGCATCATGCAAGATTTCGGGCAACGCAGCCACTCTATCGTTCAGGTAACCTTCGTAGCCAGGCTTGCCCGCAAACCTCTCCGGGTAGTTTCTAGCAAACTCAGCCATCTGGCCGAGGCCAGCAAGATGGTTGTCGGTTCCTGACAGAAGCATTGATCTTGTAGGAGAACATGCCGACGCCGTGTGGAACTGCGTGAAGCGGTAGCCGTCCAGAGCCAGCTTGTGCAGGTTGGGGGTGGAAATCTCGCCTCCAAAAGGACTCAGGTCGGTGAATCCGAGGTCATCAGCGACAATGATGAGGAAGTTAGGGGCCATAATGTGCTGCTACTTTCGAAGTATGGCTGCTTCCTTTTTTATACACCACTTCGATCCACACTTGGGAAATCATCGCCAGTCACGTGATTCATGTCTGCTTTTTTCCCTTGCAATATGCCCCCAGAATTATTTCACACCTCGACGCACGTCGGGCTTAAATCCGAGTTTTATAGTCGGTGCCCGGAAGTAATAAAGTTATTTTGCACGGGTCGATCCGTCAAATCTGCTTTTTTTTTTATAAATATTGTTTTACTGCGCCTTCTTCGTCTATACCGCTCTCTCTTGATTCCTACCAAGGATCTATAATACCCGGATTTTCAGACATGACAACAGAACTAGCGTCTTATTCCTCGGTATACGTTTCAGCGGCCTCGGTCTTCGATTCGGCCACCTCGGTCCTGGCAACTGTCACAGCAGAGGCCAGTTCGAAGAGTTTGGCCATTATCGTTGAGCAGGCGAAAGCCACCATGTCATACTACTCGCTCGCACAGGCTGCGGCGACCATCACGGATCCTGGAGCAGCCTCCAGTGCATCTGCCGAGGCCGCGGTTGCTTCGGCAATTATGAAAGAACTGTTTGACGATAATTCTTTCTATGGTGGAAACGCTCCTTCTTTAGGTGGAAACATTGCTCTGCTAGTTGTCATGAGTGTATTTCTTGCCATGCAGGTCGTCTACGGAGCCATCTACAGAAACTGGTGGTTTTTCACTTGTTTTACCTGCGGTTTAATTCTCGAGGTCCTAGGTTATTGCGGGCGTATCTGGTCTTCGCAGAACATTATGTCCTTTAATGGCTATGTTCTGCAGCTAGTCTGTCTAACACTGGCTCCCTGTTTTATCATGGCCGGAATATATTACACAATTGGTGAGATGACGATTATCATGGGCCAAATGTATTCCTTGCTCAAGCCTATGCAATATTCGCTAATTTTTATTATGTGCGACATAACTGCACTTGTTTTGCAAGCTATTGGCGGTGGGGTTGCTTCTAATGCTCTGAGTTTGTTTGAAAGCACTCGTGGCGGTGCCGACATCATGGTGGGGGGGCTTGCCTTCCAGGTTTTTTCCATCGCACTTTTCCAGTTCTTTTGGTACATTTTTCTGTTTAGATGTTACAGAAGCTACAGAAAGCATGGAGACGACAGTTTTGATCCCCAATACGCTTCGGTAAGAAAGAGACAAGTGTTTTTGGTCTACATCGGCTTCATTTCACTTGCAGTCATTTTCGTGTTTATTCGGTCGATCTACCGTCTGATTGAGCTTGCACAGGGCTTTTCTGGCCATTTGGCAGTGACAGAGATCTACTTTTTTATTTTAGAGGCACTCATGATGGCTCTCGCTATATGTCTCATGCTCATTACCTACCCGGGTGCCGTTTACGGGCGCAACACTAAGATTGAAGTTGACAAGAGCGTTAGAGGTCTGTTCGAGAATACATGGTGCTCCAGCCGCTTGCACAGGAAGGACCCTGTGGAGCCTGCAGAGCCGGACACACACGATAAAGAAAAAGCTTCAGAGCCGCTCTAAGCGAGTATTGTGACTTTGCGGCTCGGCGGCTCAGGAGCGCATCGATGCTGTCATATTCTGCAATTAATACCACGGCTTCTGTTTCTACGAGGTCTTTCTTATCAACTGCTGACATTGTAAGGTCTAGGATCCCTGGTACCTAGCGTGCCGATTTTATGTTAGGTTCGATTGTCCAGGAAATAAAAATAAGCTGAAGTTAATTGTAGTGAGTTTCGGAGCAAAAACTAGTTTTAAAATTGGCACCGATTTGACTTTGGCCAAGCCCGGCATCGGGCAAATTACGGAACCCTGCAAACCCGTGCTACAAGCCCCATGGAGGCCTACTGATACCATTGAGCTATTCTCCGTAACGATGGGACCATCGCTGTTTCCTCGTGGTGCGGTAGCACTACGACATGTTAAGGGTTGGATACGCGACGCGAACGCGCAGAGCGCGAAATCTGTTATAATCTGAAAAACTACTTTTTTGGGCCGATGCGCGCCGCGCACCAAAGGAGCTGCAGCTGCAACCTCCGAGGCCAGTGCAAGCCAGACGGGCAGTCCTGAGCACCCCGAACACGACGCAAGATGGTCATAGTGAGCAGGCTCAAATTGGCGTGGGACACCCGTTGCCCTATTTTCCCCACGAGATTACGCGTCGCCCGCCCCGAAAAAAATTCCCGTGCCCGAATCACAGGGGTCGCGCACTCCTTTCAAGACGAAAATTTTGTGGTACATGCCCAAACAAGGGGGAACCTACATTTATAAAGAATCGATATTTCCATATTTCGAGATATCTGCCGATTCTTCTGGGTTGTCTGAAGAGCAGTGTCTAGCGTGGTCAATTACTTTTGTTTTCCAAAATCCCCAGTCGTCTTTCTTTTCGACACCAACGTTGCAACCTACTCATCCAAGGGGGAAACAAAGACAAAACGACCGACCTTTGGCTCAATTCTAAGCTAGTTCCAGAAGAAGTTTGATATACATGCTACACAGCGCATTTAGCAATTGAACACGCTTCGAATCAGCATTGAAGGTTTGAAACCAGATAGATCACATTTGAAGATCGTTTTTTAAATCACTGTTCAGCAGGCCTGATCTATAAGAGGACCTTGTATCCAGAAGCGATACTCACCATCCAATATGCGACAGAAAACATATGGCCCACCAAGAAGAACCCATGCCCCACAATATCCCTCGACACTCGAGGCAATTGAGAACCGCAGAAACAGAGTTGTGGCTAACGAGTACCTCGCAAGTATCAGTGCTCATTTGCAGACTCTTGAAAACAGCTCCCAGGCCAGTGCGGCCATGATTGACCTCCAGCCAGAGGTGAAATGGTTCATGAGACCGTACCTGGTCAACTTCATAATACAAATGCATGCGTCGCTCAAGCTGAAGCCACAAACGCTGTTCCTGTGCTGGAACATAATAGACAGATACTGCGCCAAACGCATTGCGTTCAGGCAACATTACCAGCTGATCGGATGCACGGCGCTTTGGATCGCGGCCAAGTACGAGGACAAGAAGTCCAGGGTGCCTACCGTGTCTGAATTGAGTCTCATGTGCTCCAACGTCTACGACGAAAGTATGTTCAAGGAGATGGAGATCCACATTCTTAGTACGCTGGGCTGGTCGATTGGCCACACCTCGCTCGAGGACATCCTCCAGTTGTCCATCAAATTCTGTGACCACGACGGGAAAGAAACCCTCGCCAAGCCGCTAGACCAGTACAAGTCAAACTCGCCAACCGTGAGTGCCATCTTGGCCATCAGCAGATATCTTTGCGAGCTGTCGCTGTACGAACGCAACTACCTCAACTACAAGACGTCCATGATAGGCATTGCTGCGCACTTGATGGCATGCTCGATGCTCAAGCTCGAGACGGGTTCCAGTTGGCTCGAGTCTGTCTATGTTCACTACTACAACAGCAAATATCGTACTAAGTCCAAGCATCAGCTTCCGACGCCCGTGACTCCATCCAAGAGCTTCAAATATTTTAACGACGAAACGAGTGATATTCAGGATGCAGACATGGATCACTTCCGGTCCACGGAAAGCATCAACAACGCATACGGTCCATTCATCAACGGATTCGAAGGACTGGAAACAATCTCTCAGCTCCGCCAGCTCTCGCTCATGCTTCTTAAATCGCTTCTTAACCCTGCAGAAGTTTTGATCGAGAAGTACTCGCAACTCGGGGTGATCACAGTGATCCAAAACTTTATCACCGAAAATCACCTTGAACATCTACAACACAGCAAGGAACTGGACGACATCGAAAACCTATCTCCAGCAACAGCAGACGAGCTCTCGAACTTGTTGCTCAACCTTGAGCATTACCCAGAGCTGACGCAGCTGCCTCGGCCACATGCTCAATTTGCGCAAATATACCATTCTCCAACTCTCAACAAGTCGACCTCATCTCCATTCAACTCGCCCTCCAAGTTCTCTTCGTTCAGTTCCGTTTCGTCGCAAACGACGTGTGATTCCTCTTACGAAGAGCTGGCTCAACGAAAGATGTATTACCAAACTGCCGGCATGCCGAGATACCCAGATTCGTCGCCGATTCTTAACACCCCTCAATAACTGCACAAATATAATGGCACATGATATTCTGACACTATAGACCGCTCGAGTTCTTTTCAATCTTCACGTCGGTGATCACGATCGACGAATCGTCCGACTCATTTTTCTCTGGCTGTTTTTCCTTTTTCACTTCTTTTTCCTCCAGTTGCTCATGTTCTGAGTAATAGTAGTTCTTGAATTCTGGAGGAGAGACGGATCGCGAGCCAAACACAAACCTGTCCACAAAATTCCTGCGTTTGCGCACCGGAATCGTGGGCGAGTGCGCTGGAGACTGAGACGGTGAGTTATACGATGGGCCTGCATTGTATGGAGAAGCTATGAATTCCGGCTCGATGTAGGTATCTCTGGTTATAATGATGTAAACGAGAAGCAGGATGATTATGCTGAGATTGAGGTAGTTCAATTTCTTCTGGAAGCTGAGTGAGTCTGCGAATCTGGCAAATTTGGAGTCTGTCTCGAGAAGCATGTGCTGGAACTTGCTATTTTGATAATTAAAGAGATTTTCGAAATTGAATGCCAGTTCGGTGTTCAGCAGCCGGAAGTTGCCGATCTGGTTCAGGATTGTCTGGTTCAGATGGTCTATGAGCGTGCCAAATTTTTTGTTTTGACGGTTTTCCAGGTTTTCGAATGCATTCGCCAGGATTTTGGACTGTTCCTCGATGTATAGCAGAGAGAGCGTTGCGTTGGACTCCAGCAGCGAGATTCTCTTGATGATGTTCTTGTAGATTGATTCCTGTGTTCCTGTGGTTTGTGTGGTCTTGGGCCTTGTTTCTGACGGCGAGTCGCCCGCCTCGCACAGCTCCTGCTGATGTTCCTTGAGAAATCTGTCCAGCCCCAAATACGGCGTGATTTTGCAATTATCATCGTCCGTGGAGCCATTCAGCGAAAAAACAATCTCGTTCAGAGAAAGGTTAAAAGACGGCGTTTCGTAAAAAGCGGCAGAAACCACCTCTGGCTTTTCCCTTTCGATTTCGTTCTTCTGGACCTCTGCCTTATCTTCCTCTTTGAGCTGTTCTATCATTGTCTTGCCGTGGACTTGCACAGAAGAAATCGGACAGTAGAACTCGTCACCATAGTATGAGAGGACCTCAATCTTCAAAAACTTGGCCCAGATCAATGGATTTTCCACCTTGAACATCTGCAATTTACGTATGTTCTCGGCTCTGAACTCTCCCAACGACTGCCATGTAGCAGCCGGGTATCGGTCGCTCACGGAAAACCGAACGTCCTTGAACATAGACGAGAAAAACTCGTAGTTGCCCAGCAGCACCTCCTCCACCAGAATATCCTCACACAGCTCGATGATTACGTACTTGTTTTTCGCCTTGCACTCGTTCAACAAATAAGAGTCTTTGTTTTCGTTGAGGATGGCGTTTGCGCCCTTTGCCTCCGTATTCGTTTTAACAATCGTCGCCGCGCAGTCGAACGAGGCAAAATTGAATTTCTCGTTGTACACCTTTCCTGTATCTTCTTTTGGCTCAGGACCTGCAAACATTGAGATTTCGATCTCCATCTCCTCGCCAATGGAACCTTCCAGCTCGCTGCTCGACTCCTGATCTGGTCTCTTTTTGGTGATCTGCGACTCGTCGACTTTCTTCTTTTTCCACTCTTCAAAGGTCAGGAAGTAGGATTTTTCTTCGTTAATCACACTGGACTCGTTTGCGTCCAGCGAGTCCGTGAGGTTCTGCACATCCAACTCCACCCTGGACTCGTTCAGGGATGCTGCTGTTGAACAATTGTCGTCTGCCAGCACAGCTGCAGAGTACAACCAAATGCTCCACCAGCGCCAGAGCATTGCAGGAAATTAGATTGTTTTATTTTGTTTCAACTTTTGGCTTTTTTGATAATTATTTTTTCTTAGTGAGATATTTCTTGTTCAGTTCCATGTCTCTCAAGTTCTGCACTGTTTGTGCCTCAAATAACAACAGGTAAGTTGCCGTTGCCCAGAACCTAACATTCAGGTCGATGGAGGCCCACAAGGTGCTGAAAGACGCCGGGTATACGGTGAGATCGTACGGGACGGGAACCTCTGTGAGACTACCAGGCCCCACGATTGACCAGCCCAATGTGTTTGAATTCGGCACGCCATACACAAAAATCCTTGAAAAACTCAACACACAGGACCTGAAAATACACAAAGCCAACGGAGTGTTGGACATGACTAAGCGGAACATTGGCATCAAAAAGGCCCCTGAAAGATGGCCATACTATAACCAGCCGCCTCAGCGATTGCCACCTAGCGAGTACCCTGAATTCGAAAACGAGCTGGATTTTCAGGTTGTGATAACTTGCGAGGAAAGGTGCTTTGATTCGGTCGTGGAGGATTTTTTCAGCAGGAACTACTTCGAGCCAAGCCAGACGCAGCAGGCTGTGCATTGTTTCAACGTCGAGATTCGCGATGAGCACAAAAGCGCACTGGCCGGAGCACAAGCCATTCTGGATCTTGCGCGAATGCTGTCGGACGCCCACGCCAAGAGTCTAGAGGATTTCAGCGCGCCCCTGTTCGAGGACAAAATCCCAGACATCATCACCGAATGGCAGCAAAACCATCCAGTGACACCTGTTCTATACGCCTTGTGCTACCATTAGTCATCTTGAATATTATCTATTTGTCTACAACACAACGCCCGTTCACAAACACCTTTCTCACGTTGCGGTCGTCACCGTTGAAAATCCACTTGTCGATCAGGTCCAGGAACTTTCCGCGCGACTCGTCGTGACTCAGCAAACCCCATTTCGGATTCTGGAACTCAAACGTGTCGACCGGCGAACCCTCGCAGTCTAACTGGATCAGCTGCGCGTCGAACTTGTATCCGACCTCGAACAGCCCCAGCTTCACGTCCAAGTTCAACACCTCTGCACCACCAACGGTCGCCAGATAGAGCACGTCGTGGGTGCTGAGCTTTTCAAAGTTGTTTTCCGACTTCATCACCAGATGGTTCGACACCAGCAGCGCGTGTTTGGCCACCTGAAGGATAGACGGCGTGAAACCTCCCGAACAGTCTGTTCCCAGACCCACTTTGACGTTGCTATTGAGCAGCCATCTGACTCTGGCCTCTCCAGACGTGATGGACGAGTTGGACGTTGGGCAATGCGACACCCCACACCCTGTCAGTGCAAGGAGGTCTTTTTCATGCTCCGACAGATGGATGCAGTGGGCCAAGATTGTTTTCGGGCCCAGCAGCCCAGACTTGTAATAAATATCTGTGTACGAATCGAACCCTGGGAACATTTCACTGGCCACCTCGATTTCCCGTTTATTTTCCGAGAGGTGGGTCTGGCAGTGATAGTTGTGGGACTTGCGCAGCTCTCCCAGCCATTTCATCAGTTTCTCTGTGCACGAGGGCGCGAAGCGTGGTGTGAGAATTGGCTGCACAAAGTTGCCCGAAGGGTCTCTTTTTTCAATGTGCTCAATCACGTCAAGCTGCGAGGCCTTGCTCTCCTCGAACGTCTCGATGTAGTGGTCCGGCGAGTTTTGGTTCATGCAGACCTTTCCGATCAGCGCTCTTTGGCCGCGCATCAGCGCCAGGTCTGCGAGCAGGTTGGTTGCGTCGGCGTGGATTGTTGCGTAGTACGCTGCCGCGGTCGTGCCGTTGCTGAGAGTTCTCTCGATCACCTGGCTGTAGATGCTGTTAGCTCTTGTGAGGTCTCTAAACGACGATTCCAGCGGGAATGTGTACTTTTCGAGCCAGTCCAGCAGCGTGGAGTCGCCAAATATGCCGTTATTTGGGAACTGGGGAGCGTGGATGTGGGTGTCAATGAAGCCAGGCACGAAGAATTTGGTTTCCGAGTCGGCAACGTCGACGAAACGCACTTCGTGCAGCTCCAGCCCGGTGAATTTCAAAGTGTAGGAGGTGTAGTCTGCGCAATTCTCCTTCACGAAAACTATAGTCCCGTCCTGGTCAACTCCAACGGCACAGTGCGTAAGCACCTGCAGAGCACCGAGCGACGGGGTCTGGATAAACGTCCCAAAATAGCAGGTGAATTTTATTGGTTCAAGGCAGCGCGTGGCCACCACTGGGGGAAACTGATGTTGGGTCATGTTCATGTGGATAACTGTTTTGCACTTATATAGTTTCCGGGCATTTTCCCCGGCGTGAATATTACAGATAGCTGCCGCGGCCCAGAAATATATCTCCGCGGAGACTTAAAATTTGGCGAGATCGTCGCGTCGCTCTTCCTCGGCAACAGAATATGTGCTATATTTTCCCTGTAGCAAGTATGCGTCTAGCCGCGCGTCGAGCCGCGCGTACAGCCAGCCACGTGTTCTGCACCGGCACCGTCCAGGACAGGACACAGGAAAGAGCAGTGGACCTTGTGAATTTTGTGGCAATGCAGAATACACCAGACCTGTGCAACGTAGTGAGCTAACTGACAGAATTGACGTGACTTGACAGCACAGCGGATCGCAAACTCGTTTCACTGAGCACGTCCACAGAAAGTCCAGGTCGACACCCAAATTATCTGTATACCCAAACAAAAAAAAGCTCGATGGCTGCTGCTACCATTGGCAAGTTCTGTGTTTTCTGTAGCCGGCCAAACACTATATAAACAGGCCCGAATTCCTTGTTAGCACTCCATTACACTGCTAGATCACAATGGTTGCCATCAACAAGATTTTCTGTGCCTCTCTGCTCGTTGCCGCCCCAGCTTTTGCTGCTGCCCTGCCTGAAGCCCAGGCCCAGGCTGATCTCTCCAAATACAAGGACAAGCTCAGAAAATTGAAGGAGAAATTCAAGGGCGGCAAAGACGAGGACTGCGACAGTTCCACCAAGACCACCCTGGAGACCTCGACCACGTCTGACTGTGACACTGCCACCAAGACCACAGAGATCATCACCTCCACCTCGTCCTCCGACTGTGACCCTGCAACCAAGACGACTGCGTCGTCCAGCTCTGCGTCTGTCACTTCTTCCTCGGATTGCGATACTGCTACCAAGTCTCTCCTCTAAATACGTTCTCTATACGCTCTCTAGTTTTGTCTGTTTGTACGAGAGAATAGCTACCAAAAACTTTGCTGAGTAATGGATAGAGTAATCTTTTCGCGACGTCTCGTAATTTCTACCAATCAATTTTCGTCAAAAAAAAATTAACAAATACAAAGAACCATGGTCAACGTAAGTATTGACTCCTTTCAGTTGCCCTAACCTTCAGTACATCAAGAGCCTCAAACTAAAGAAGGTGCCTCATGTCGGCGGCGTCACTCCATTCTTGCTGCTCGGTTATGCCCCAAGTCTCGCCCTTTGGGGAGGTGCCACTGTTGCTGCCATTTTCACCTTCACGGAGCACTGGCCATTATTCCAGGACACTTTCTACAAGAAGCTTCCAATCATGGGTAAGCTCTGGATCAAGGAGGTCGACCCACAGGACTTGCCACAGTGAATAGACGAAAATATATTATACAATTTGTTTCTACCCAAAGATTATTCGTCGTCGTTATTGCAGCCCACAACACCCCAACGGACTCCAGTTACCGCGTGCAATCTGTCGAGAATGTCATGTATTGGCGTTAGCAGGCCGAACTCCTTGTTTTCGCCGTCGTAAGAGTGCAGCATCCCGATGACTCCCAGCCCGGTTTCTGGGGCTGCAGACATCAGGTTTCCGAGGATCGTGGTGAACATCGACCGTCTGCCGGCTGCCGGGGCACGAAGATTCGATAGTTTCGTCAGAATGAACGCTCCCGAGTCACCGCCTGCGGCAAATTGTTTTTTGGAGCCTGCAATAACGAATTCCGACGTTCTGAGCGTTCCGTCGGACCAGTACACCATTTTCTGTCCATTCAGACGGCCGTCCGTGTAGCATGTAGTAGCCCCCACCTTGAACACGTCCAGCCCGGCGTGCTTGAGCGTCGCGAAATCTTTTGAGCTTTCCAAGTCGACCGTCTCCTTGACGGACAAATTGGAAAACATGAGCGATGGGTCATGTTTGTTGAGCTCCAGATCCTCTCCAAGAAAGTTGATGAACTTCTTGGAGTGGTCGGAAATCTTCACAATCGCTATATCCGAGAGTTTATCTTCCACCACCAGTCGTTCTCCCCAGATTAGTTGACCAAAAGATTGTGGTGGCAGGTTGCGCTTGACGAGCTTCTTCTTTATGCGCACCTCGCTCACCGGGTAAGTTTCGTCTAGTTGTCTGATTGCCGCGTCGTATGCCTGGTATTCCTCTGAGTGCGGCTCGTATTTTAGTCTTTCGTTGGCAAGAGCGTTTTTGTACAGATTGATCAAAACAGGCGAAGGAACAGACACGTATGGATAACTCTCACCCGCGTTGATGGTCTCGTTGAGTATCACGTGCGCGCAGGTGAGCCCAAACAGCGAGTTGGCGTATTTCTGGAGCCGCGTGTTCTCGTTGTTTTTCGAGATTTTCGGGTACAAATAGCCAGCGAGCGTGCCTGATAATTTGAGCGAGCTGTTGCAAGCGATGGGCATGGAAATCGGTACGTACCCTGCGTCCGGGTCGAGCGTGCGGAAAGGAGCGTGGAAAGTGGACGCGGCAGGCTTGATTTCGTTTTTCTGCGCGACAAAGTGGAGGTCGGCTGTGCTGGCACAGAAATAACGAATGATCTCTGTGTGCTCGTTTGTTAGCGTCGGGAAACCAAACACAAACGTGACAACGCTGAGGTTTTCGTGGACAAACCCACGCAACACTGGCGCAATGAAAGAGCCATCCTGGTCTGACAGGAGATTGTCCTTGGATTTTTTCACCAGCAGCTGCATCATGCGGCCTATTTTCTGTTCGCTCTCCAACGGCCGCGACGAGCTGCCAACTGGAAAGTTTTGCGGAGCCATCAGCGCCACGTAGTTCTCCAGCTCCTGCGGCGGTTTCTGGACCGTTTTCAGCTGAACCAGTAGATCATGTAGATTTTTAAGCACAAGCGCTTTCGAGTTGTCGTACACCTCGATCACGAGCAGATTGTCCACAAGAAAAAGAACGTTTTTAACGAGTTGCGCAAGACCAGGAGACGAGGCTGTTGAGAAGTGGTATGGGGGCAGCGAGGCGAGATAGCTGAGTTTGGCGATCGCGGTGGTTGTTTGCTTGATACTTTCGCTGATCTCAATGGAAGCCTTTGTCAGATTGAGCACCGACTGCGACACCCGCATTAAAGTGTTGGAAACCGTTTGTGCCAGTGTTCGCAGCTGTTTTTCTAGCGCACTCTCTAACAGACCAATATCTTTCTCTAACACCTGGGATGGCAAGGTTGTACTCCGGTTGGTGCTCCCCGCGTCCTTGGGCCGCAGAAGCGACGCCACGGCTCCGGCCTCTTCCGTTTCGTCATCGAACTCTTCCTCGTTGAGTACGCGCAGAGGTTTTCCTATCGATGTAAAGGTGGGGTGTTTCTGGGCACCGTGAGAGCTCTGTTGCGAGGAAGATCTCGTGGAGATGGTGTTTTTCGAGCTGAACAAGGAGTTTGTGTTGGAGTTGAAGGAGTACTGGAAAGTCTTTGTGTCGTCGAAGTTGAGGGACTCCGAGTCGCTGAGTTTTTTGGACGATGCCCGCGAGCCGCCCGAGTGGACGCTTGCAGCGTCGTCGTCGTCTTTGCGTCTAAATAATTTTAATGGCATAGAGAGCTGAAAAAGCGTGAACCAATATTTTTTTTATACGAAATGACCATGGAAAAAAATAAAAAAATATTAATGAGTCTAATATTCAAACGGCATGCCTCCTTCTTTGGCAATTTGGGAGAAAGCGTCTCCAAAATAGTACCAAAACCACACAGATTTTTCAAGGTGACCAAGCCGGTTGGCTTTGAAAAGCCCCCGGTGCATCTGAGAGATCTCCCACGAAAGAAATGGCTCACAAAGGAAAACCTCAATGTGCCCAAGAGAATCTGGGATTTCTACTTCGACGGGATCACAAGACGCACACGAGTCGACAAAATCCAGAAAGATCTTGCATACGGAGGAATGTACGATTTTCATGTCTACATGAAGACCAAGGGCAGGCTCTTCGAGGCTCCTGTTTCATACTTCAAGAAAGACAAGTCGCTTTTTTTCCCCAATTTCCGGGCTCGCACGCTGCGCGAGCAAAACGTCGAGCTCATGGATGTGCTCCAGCAGGCCAAGGTGACGGTGCTCAAAGTATACTCTGCCGACTCTGGCAAAGAGATGGTAGCCGATTATTTCAAGATCCCCGGCTCGGACGACAACTATCTGTCGAAGACCGGCATCGACGAATTCCAGAAGGCCTTCCCACAATCCCAGATTGTGGAGCTGTTGCTGAGTGAGAAATGGTCGAACCATTTTGTCCACACGTACGTGACCCCACGCAAGCTCAGAGCCGAGGTCCCAGAATCGCAGCACGACAAATTTTTAGTCGCACTCAGAGACGCGGTTCTGTCGCGAGAGGACCGCGAAAAACTGCTAATGACAAACACATATGCCGGATACGTGTATCTGATCGACGACTCGTTCCGGATCCGCTGGGTCGGGTGTGGCCAGCCGGAGGAGAAAGAGGTTCAGGGGCTGTGGAGAGCGCTCAAAGGACTGGAGAGAGAGACTGGGCGCAAATTGGTCAAAACTAGATAACCGCTGCATGTAAATAATAGACCGTAATTCCACCAGCTTTTCCAGTCTATGGGCCATACATCCTCGGTATATTGCAAGTATGCAATCAGCCGGGACGGAATAAAATACTTCTACACTACGCTGCCACCAAGGAACCTGGCAAAGTTTCCCAGCAAGCTCCAATGGCTCTATTCCCGAACAGTGAAGAGACCGCTGTTGCAGCTGGTGGAGTATATGCTCGTCAAGCGGACGCATACCTGTCAAAGCGTCTCATTGCTCATGATTCCATTACTAGACAGAAATTCAGGCGATTCCAGTGCTCTCATTGATTTGCAACATCGCTCGTGATGACCTCGCCGGCCATGACATGGGCCGAGTCCTGCGATTCCCCCAGCTTGGACGTGCCTTTCTCTTTGTACGTGGATACGGCAGGGATGTTGGCCTTGATGCGCGTGACGTTTGTGCCGTACGCGCGCGGCTCGAGGCGAATAAGTGTGTGCAAGGGAATCGACATCCACGGCGACTTTTCCTGCGGGGAATTCATGAAATATGCATAGATACATCTCAACACCGCCTGGTGCGTGATCACAAGCACGTTCTCCTGGTTCTCCAGTTCCATAATGATAGGCTCTAGGCGCTGGATAACGTCTCTGTAGGATTCCCCTCCTCTGTACCGGTACTCGAACTTATTTTCGTCACGTGCTGCAAAATCCTCAGGGAATCTCTGTGCGATCTCCTCGTATGTCAGGCCATCGCACGACCCAGCGTCAAGCTCGTCCAGAGCTTTCCACTGTTTCTTGGGATTTGGCAGAAACTGCGCTGTCTGCTGCGTTCTCCTCAAAGTCGAGGTCCAGACCTCGAGCTTGTCGTGGTTGGGAATGTAGTTTTCCACCAGGTCTTTGAGCTTCCGAGCGTACTTCATTCCCCGTTCACTCAGGTCTGCATCGCCCCCAATCTTACCTTCAAGGTTGTACTGCGACTCGCCGTGGCGCGACAGCCATATGTAGCGCGGTTTGATGTGCAGGTTCATAATATAGTAGGCGATTCTGCTCTCCAAGTAGCTCGCTATCTTGTTGATGATGATCTGCGAGTTGACGTTGATCAGTTTGATGAAGCTCAGCTCTTTTTCATCCACTAGGTCCATCGGCTCGTAGTGTGTCTCGTAGTACTTGATTTTCGTGAGGATATCCTCCAACGCATAGCCGGGCGGCTTACCGGCATAATCTGGGGACGTGGAGTTGATGTCCATTATATTCGACTTGACGATCGCCTCGTCGTCACAGAAGCTTTCCAGAAACAGCGGCTCCACCTTGTTGTCTCTCAGGGTCTGCGCGACCATTGCTCGTTTCTGCTTCGTCACGTTGGAACCGTCCAGAATAGCCACACATCCGTCCTCCTCGTTCATCCACTTGATGACGTCTTTTATCGCATCAATGTTGGCCTGTTCACGGATCACCTTGCTTTCTTCGTTGTTTGGGTTGAAAAAGTCCGCAGAAGGCTGTTCTCTGTACTCCTCCCGACGGTACGAAGACACGCTAAACACCCTTGTCTTGACCGAGAGCCAGGACAAGTACCGCACAATCTTGTGCGAGATAAACGACTTGCCACGAGCAGGCAGACCAACCATCACCACGCACACACGCAGGTTGTCAACGTGCGAAACAGTGTAGAGGGGCATTGGAGTGGGAAAAGCAGAGAGCCAAAAATAAATAAACGGCCAAAAAATATCAACCATACAAGACAATTATTGTTTTTAGGTCATAGTGCTTAATTTTACTTTTGACGGCGGCCGTTTGAATTATGACTGCTCAGCTGCTGGATGTGCTCCATGATTTGAAAGTTGGACCCAAAGACAATGATGACTGGCTCGATCCAACTACCAAGACAGCCACTCCTCCGCCTCCTGTGTCTGAAGAAGGTGTTCTAGCTGATATCAAGAGAGCGTACCTTTCTCCCACCAATGAGCTGCCATGGGATTTGCTGGATAAATTCCAACAAGTGCCAGAAGCTGGCCCGCAGGACAGAGAACGGTTCTACCGTTCCATGTTGACGATTCCTCCAACACTTAAACGGACCACTGTCCGTTTCCAGCGAAGCGGCATTGAGGGATCCATCGTTTCCTACAAGGAGACTTTCGACCGCACCATTTTGGAGTCTGGTAACTCTGCCGTGACGTCACTCTCTGTCAAACGGAAATTCGGTGGTAAGGACGACGCGATCAAAGGAAACTCGGGGTTTTTGCCCTTCCAGCCTGGAGGACTTTCTGCCAACGAGGAGCCCAAGGACTCTACGAGATTTCTTCACAGAGACGAAAACGGACTGCTGGACATTCCGCAGGGCTTAAGTCGCGGTTTGGCACTAAAGGACGGTGCGCATACAGATCTGACAGAGCTGGAACAAAAGCAGGCGAGCGACGAGCAAGAGCAGGTCCAAGATCAAGAGCCGGAGATTATTCAGGAATCCGACGTGGAAGACGAAATCTCAAAATTCATTCCTGCCAGTATGCTCCCCAGGCCGTCAAAAAGGAAGCCTGCTCTTCCTCCTAAACGCGAGTGGGCGCACGTTGTGGATGTGAACCACGCAATTCCCAATTTTGACGAGCTTGTCCCCAATCCAGCACGGACATGGCCTTTTGAGCTGGATACCTTCCAGAAAGAGGCGGTCTACCATCTCGAAAAAAACGACTCTGTCTTTGTGGCTGCTCATACTTCCGCTGGTAAGACTGTCGTTGCCGAGTACGCTATTGCGTTGGCAAACAGAAACATGACGAAAACGATCTACACGTCGCCGATCAAAGCACTGAGTAACCAAAAATTCAGAGACTTCAAGGAGAGTTTCGACGACGTTGACGTGGGAGTCATCACCGGTGATGTCCAAATCAATCCCGAGGCAAACTGTCTGATTATGACAACTGAGATTCTGCGTTCCATGCTTTATAGAGGCGCAGATCTGATTAGAGACGTGGAGTTTGTCATTTTCGACGAGGTCCACTACGTCAACGATATAGAAAGAGGAGTGGTTTGGGAAGAGGTCATCATTATGCTTCCCGAGCACATTAAGGTTGTGTTGCTTTCTGCCACGGTTCCAAATACCTATGAATTTGCTTCGTGGGTCGGGCGTACCAGACAGAAAGACATTTACGTCATTTCGACGTCCAAGCGTCCTGTGCCGTTGGAAATATTTGTGTGGGCCAAGGACGATATTTTTAAGCTAATTGATGCTAACGGATCTTTCCAGCAGAAGAATTTCAGATTGCACGAGGACAAGCTTCTCAAGAAGAAGGATGTTCCTGAGAGTAACGCCAAGGGAAAAGGCGGGGCTGTGGTTCGCGGCGGAGCACGAGGTGGTGCGAGAGGCGGCCGTGGAGGGGCCCGTGGAGGCTCAACAATGTCAGGAAAAATGTTCAAAAGAGACGGGCCAAACAAGAACTCGTGGCACAATCTGGTGACGTTCTTGCAAAAGAAAGACCTCATGCCGGCAGTCATCTTTGTGTTCTCCAAGAAACGTTGTGAAGAATACGCAGACACTTTGCGAGGAGTGAATTTCTGCACCGCTAAGGAGGCGTCACAAATCCATATGTTCATTGACAAAGCTGTTTCCAGACTTAAAAAGGAAGATCGGGAGCTGCCTCAGATCCTCAAAGTCCGTGAAATGCTTTCTCGGGGTATTGCGGTTCATCACGGTGGTCTTTTGCCGATCGTGAAAGAAATCATTGAGATTCTATTTTCCAAGACCCTTATCAAGGTCCTTTTTGCAACGGAGACCTTTGCCATGGGACTTAACCTCCCAACAAGAACTGTCGTTTTTAGCGAATTGCGGAAGCATGACGGAACAGGATACAGAAACCTGCTTCCTGGTGAATTCACGCAGATGTCAGGCCGCGCAGGTCGCCGTGGATTGGATAGCACGGGTACTGTGATTGTGATGGCTTACAACCAACCGCTGGAGGAATTTTCATTCAAAGAGGTGACCATGGGTACTGCTACAAAGCTATCATCGAAATTTAGACTCACATATAACATGATTTTAAACCTGCTTCGTATAGAGGCATTGAGAGTGGAGGAGATGATCAAAAGATCTTTTGGTGAGAATACAACTCAATCGCTGCTGCCTGAACATGAAATTGAGATTGCCAAGCTTGAAAAGCAGCTCAAGGATCTGAAAAAGCAAAACATTTCCGAGGAAGACAACGCCAAACTTAACCTATTCTACGAAACGATGGAGGAAATGAAGGAACAGTATGGCGATCTTGTGCAGGAGAGTATGAAGCTGTTGTACTACCAAAAGCGACTCAAGGTCGGACGTCTTGTTGTTTACCGTGACCGTGACACAAACCAGTCATATCCTGCTGTGACGGCTAGATGGAGCAACGGTGACGACAAAATAACTCTTTTGACTTTGGATGTCCAACAAAGTTCTAAGAACCAGTTCAATTGTGTGTATACGACCAATTTTGGTCAGCCTTATGTGGCAAAGTTCTTTAGCAAGTGGAAAGCGGGCACCAATTTCAAATTCATCGATGTTTCTCTTAGTGACATAGAGTTTGTTGGCGCATACTCTGTGCGGTCCTATATCAATGGCATCATTAACAAGGACCCTAAAAGTATCAGTGGTTTCAAGACGGAGGTGGGCCAGCTTCTTCGATACCAACGTAAATGGGGTGAGCTGGACTGGACTGCATTCCAGAACCCAAATATGATTGATATCTTGACACGCATCGATGAGCTGCGGGATACGGTGATGAATTGCTTTGCTGACGAAAAGTTTGACTCACTTGTCGAAGCAGAATATCCAACTTTCATGAACCGCAAGAACATTGAGAAACGCATAGAATCTTTGAGAAGTCTGATGAGCGAGGAGAACCTGGAGCTTTTGCCTGACTACGAGCAACGTTTGGAGGTTTTGAAACAGCTGGGATTTGTCAATGACCAGCTGACGGTCACGCTAAAAGGACGCGTTGCTTGTGAGATCAATTTCGGCTTTGAGTTGATTGTTACCGAACTCGTTTTCGAGAACATTTTGGGAACGTTTACCAGCGAGGAAATTGTGGCTTTGCTTTCGTGCTTTGTGTATGATGGAAAACGGGGAAACGAAGAGGGCCCAGCTCCTTTGTGCACGCCACGCCTGGAGAGTGGAAAAGACAAGATAGTGGAAATCGTGGAGCAGGTGATGAAGGTGTCCAACGAGAACAAGATCATATTGACAGCAGAAGAAGAACAGTTCCTTGAAAACAACCGGTTTGGGTTGGTGAACGTCGTTTACGAATGGGCCAGAGGACAGTCGTTCAAGGATATCATGGAACTGAGCAACGACGAAAACGAAGCAGAAGGAACGATCGTCAGAGTCATCACAAGATTAGATGAAGTGTGTCGTGTGGTGATGAATTGTGCTCTTATCGTGGGTGACTCTGAACTACATATGAAGATGGGTGAGGCTCAAGAAAAAATCAAACGAGACATCGTTTTCTGTGCTTCGCTGTATTTATAGATGGAACATTGGGTACATAAATTAGCTTTTCATTTTCTTTTGAGACTGCGTGGCTTGGTGACACCTGCGGGCCGCACCGTCTTGACTCCGTCCAGCGTCTTGAGCGGCTTGACTGATCCTTTACCCTTGTTTAGTCGCAGAGCAGGTTTTGTACTCGCCAAATTAGGACCTGCCTCTACCACAATCGAGACCACCGTTTCTCCGCGCAAAATCACCAATCCCAGTAACCGTTTTTCTTCGCTTATCCCTGATTCATCCGCATCAACAGCTTTTTGCTCGCGAAGCTGTTTTTTAGACCGCTTTGTCAGTCTAAACTCCTCTGCATCTGCCAGAACTAAATTCATGTGCGAGTCAAAAGATAAGAGGGTTCCTGTGAACTGTGAGGTATCCAGTGTGGTCACTCGCACACGGAAGTTTATAAGGTTTGCCTGGAGTTAGTAGCTGAGATTATTCCACTTACCAATTTAGGCTTCTTGGGCAGTTGTCCAATGGCCATGATATGTATAATTCCTAACTTTTTTCGTTTGATTATGTCAGCCCCAGCTCATTTTTTTGTGTCGCAAAAATAAAACCAAAACAAAACATAAAAGTAAACAAAACGTTCTTTACACCGTTTCTCCAAAGGAATATATATAGCGCTGCAACCGGCTATTTTTGCGTCTGTCATGTCTGAATACCATTTGGAGTCGTCGGTTCCGAGGAAAAGACAGTCTTTTTCCACCAACTTTAGTCAACAGCAAACAGGCCAGTATTTTAATGGAACAACAAACATACTCTCGGACCTGGACACTAACATACCATCTGCCTCCTCTATGAAGCGCAAAAGGCTAAGCTTACTGCCAAAGAATGTCAACATCGGCGCTCCAAGACTGCTCAACCAGCCTAGTGCTCAAAAGAGACAAAGCTCGTTCGGCCTTTCGCAACACGCTCCCAGCGTGCAAGATCTTGTGCAAAGATCCCTTACCAGAACAGGAATTCCTGCTCCTGGAAGCGTAAACAGACGCAGATCTTTGGCTCAGCATCAGCCTCCTCCATCGTCTAATGGCAGACTGTTTGAGAACTCCGTGGTGAATACTCCAGGTGCCCATTATATGACACCAACTCAACCCAGAGACCCACGTCCACTACGGGATCGCAATTTCCAGCTCAAGATGCAACAGGAACTGTATGCATTTTTGTCTACCAACAAGTTTGACATTGAGATGAAACATCCCTTGACCAACAAGACTTTGAAAAACCCCACGCAAAAAGACTTTGTGCTCATGTTCCAATGGCTTTACAAAAAGATCGATCCAGGGTACAAATTCCTGCGTTCGATTGAGCAAGAAGTGTATTCTCTGTTGAAGTTCTTGGAGTATCCGTATTTGGACACCATAAACAAATCACAGATAAGTGCCGTGGGTGGCTCTAATTGGCATGTTTTTTTGGGTATGCTTTACTGGTTGCGCCAACTTGTTGGTGAAAGCCTTAATCTCGATACGGTTGACCTGGACAATTTCCAAGAAGCGCAAAGTTTGCCTCAGAACAACTCGTTCCTTTATGACGATTCCATTAATGACTCTGTTGTGATGAGAGAGCAGGATCTCGTTGATAAACTTTTCACCAAATATGCTCTGAAATCGTACAAACTGTATATGTCAACCGGTGGCTCCAACTTCGACTCATATTACAAGGAGATGGAGAAGGAATATCACGGGTTTTTGAAAGAGGTGACTCAGAGGTTACATTCTATCGAGGAGGAAAACAATGAGCTGAACAGTAAGGTTGAAAACCTTTCAACTCAGGAGGCAAAGATGCGTGCTAATCATGAAAAGTCAAGACTGTTAGAGCTTGATGTGTCTCGGTACCAAGCGTTCATTGATGCCCAGATGCAAAAGAAGCTCAAGTGGCCTACCACTATCATGAAGATCGAAAAAGACATTGAATCTATCAAGGAGAAGCTTGCAAAGTCTGAAGAGGCCAAATCCCAGATTCTTTCGGGCCTCAGTTCGAAAAACTTCACTGTTCAGGCCATAGAAATGATGCACAGAGAGCGCTCCCAACTGGCAAAAGATATCGATTCCGTGGTCGACAAGAGCAACTCGGTCCAAAAGACTGTCAACGAGAAATTCTTGAGTTTAAGAAAAGCCTACGAAGGATTAGAGAAGCTTATCGACTCGTACAACTCTTACATGTATAACCTGCTTCATTCGATCACGTTCAAAGAATTACCACAGATAACCATCACCGGATTCACGGAGGAAGTGATAAATGATGACTCGAAACTTGGTAGGAAGCCGGATGAGATTATACCTCAACTCAAAGAATTGAATGTTAGAACTAACCTCACCGTCTTGAAATACGATTTGGTGGAAGCTCACCGTAAGAACCAGGACACCTTGATCAAATTGCATGAACAGCTTGATAGCCAACAGCAAGAGCTGACGGCCAAAGAGTATGCGATCCACGACTTGGAGTCTGAGCTCGCCAGCTTCCAAGCAATTGACAAGGACACCAAAGAACAACTGGAATACGAGCTGTCAACCAAAGACGCTGAAGTGGAGGCCGACCAAAGCACAATCAGAAACCTACAGAAGAGAATGCTGGCCGACCGCAAGGCCGTGGAAGCCAGACACTTTAAGGCCAAGGCAGAGCTTGACAAGTTTAAGAGCGATTTGAAGTACCAATACTTTTCATTTTTCCATAGAATCGGAGACTGTATGAACCAAACTCTCAACTTCAAGAACGATATCACCGCCAGCTTGGAATCGATGAACACCAAGATTGTGAACGAGTACCAAGAGCACATCGAGCTGAGCAAACTCAAATACGTGTGAATTAATAAATTGTATATTAGCGAGAATGGCGATTGACCTATTGATTCTGCTTCTTTCTCTTGTTCTTTTTGTAGTAGTTTCTCTGGAAGAACGGGTGGTGAGCAACTTCTTTAGCCTTACTCTTGGAATACTCGACATAAGCCATGTCTTCACCTCCAGCCAGACCGGCCAGCGATCCTTGGTTCTTCACTGCCTTGGAGGTGTTCTTCAGTTTTTTAGGGACTCCGTTACCAACAAGGTTTTCGGAATCTTCGCCCAATTCAATGCCTGCTACGTCTTCATTCTTCAGCAGCACCTCCTGAAGAAGTTCGCGGCGTTCCTTGGCCGTCGAGTATGCGAGGTTCGGCAAGTTCTCCATTCCGTGAAGATGCGTGATGATTTTGAATGCGTAACCCTGATCAACCAAGAACGCCTGTCTTTTGGTGGAATAATACATTTCCTGAGTGTCTTTGGAAACGAGACTGTAAAAAAATGCGTTGAAACCTTCGTCGTTTCTCCGTTTAGCTCGCAGAATTCTGCCCAATCGCTGGGCTTCCTGTCTTCTGGAACCATAATGAGACGAAATTTGGATCAGGCAAGTGGCTTCGGGCAGGTCAATGGAGGTATCTCCGACTTTCGACAGGAAAATCGTGTTGACCTGATCATTGTACTGAAAGTTTTGTAAGATGTTCATTCTCTCTTGCTGTGGCGTGGAACCATAAATGAACGGTTTTCCAAGCTTGAGTGCATATTCTTGCAAAGCGTAGACATTATCTGAAAAGACAATAATTTTGTCTCCACGTTTTTCGTGGTAGTGGATCAGGAACTGACAGGCCTGGAACTTTGTAGGATTCATGATGTAGAGAAGCATCCTTTTGCGCGCGCTTTCTCTCAGATACTCCTGATAAAATTCTGAGGTCATTGGACACCAAACTTCTGCACACTGGACATTGGCAATGTGTCCTTTTTGCGAAAGCTCCATCCAGTTGGCCTCGTAGAGCTTTGGACCAATGAGGAAGTTCAAATCGGAGATCTTCTCGTCCTCACGGACCAGCGTAGCCGTGAGACCCAGTTTTGCATGCGCAGCAATGGTCGTGACGACTCGACGGAACATGGCAGCGGGAACGACGTGCACCTCGTCCAGAATGATAAATCCCCACTCACGAGACGTAAGGAAATCCATCACTTTTTGGGCGTCGTAAGAACGGTTTCTGGTATTGGCAACCATGGAGTACGTCGAAACCACTAGCCCGGCGTCTCCTGAAAACATCTCCTTGTTTTCAGACGTGAACACAGCAACGTTCTCGGGTTGAATTGTGCACCATTGCAGAAATTGCTGTCTCCATTGCATCACGGAAACAGAGGACGTACAGAGCACAATAACCGACTTACGGATTGTACAGGCAGCCGTGATTCCGACCAGAGTCTTTCCCGCTCCGCAGGGAAGCACAATAATTCCAGACCTGGCACGTCCGTTACCAAACATCTTACTCAGTGACTTTTCCTGGTACGGTCTGATTTGAGTCGACGGTTTGAGGTCAATCTCCAGATCCGGGTTTTGGGTATCATTTCTGAAATCATATTCTTCCAACATCGGGTAGTCAATCTCCTGACAACGTTTTTTAACGATTTCAACAGATTCATGCGCAATTTCAAACGAGTGCACCGTATCGTCGTCCTCTTCTTCGCCTGCGTCGCCAATCACTGTGGCAAATATATTTTCCAGATTTTCATCCTGAGCACCGTTGTCGGCTGCAAGCGGCTGCTCTTCTGTCTTGACTTGCTCGTCCTTTTTTTCCTGTTCTCGTTTTTTGCTTTCCTCGGTGCCTGGAATCACCAAGTCGCCCTTTTGCGCAGGCTTGGTGATCACCAAACCGTCACTCATCGTCACCGTCGTCTCGCTACTCTGGATCCGCAATTTTCCAATCACCTCATCTTTCAGAAGCATCTGCAAAATATCCGCCTGTGGACTTTCCACAAAGTACCTGTTGTGTTTCAAAACCAGCTTCACCTTACCGTAAGAAACCGTGGCCTGCTTGATAAAGTTGACAACAGATGACGCCAACGGCACCTTTGAGAGTCGGCTCAAAACAGATATAATATCGTCTGTCTCAAGTCCAACAGAAACTGCCGCATACAGCGAATGTGTAGTGATTCTGTATTCGTGGATGAAGCTTGGACGACTCACAGGCTCTGCAATGGTCACCAAAAAATCCTGTGCCTGTTCTGAAAGAGGTGATAGCCCTTCCAAGAAGATTTTGCCGTCGAGCGGGCTGATCCATATAGGTCTGGCCGCATGATCTGGTTTCAGCTTCAAGTACGAAAAATCTGCTTTTCCAAACACAGCAGAAACGGAATCGGGCACAAAGTCTGGTGGCCGCGCCATGGAGATAGTCACAAGTTCGGAGTCGTCGAATTTCGTGTCCTTCGCCGTCTTCTCAATGTTGCGTATTGCCTCCTTAGCGTCATTTGCCTTCTTTTCCAACTGCAAATTTCTCTTCTTCGACCGCACGGCTTGTTTACTCAACTCATAGTCTGAGCCAGACGAGTACGAATCATCCGAATCGAATATATCGTCCTCGTCATAAATCTCAGACTCCGTTGCCATTAGTAATAAGTGTGATATAAAAGTGATTTTTTTTTTAAGTGCAGCACAGCCATGTATACTGCTAGAATAATATATATTTTGGGACAGAGCAGCTTACTTGTAGCAGAGTAATTATGTGGCCGAGTTCTTCAGACTTTCGAGTCGTTTCTCCACCACCCTGATCACCTCCTTCAGCTGTTGGGCACCAATTTCCGGGTACTGGTCGACAGAAAGGCTATTCTGGCGCTGGTCGATCCAGTTCCATAAGTCTGCCTGGCTCGTCATGTATATCTGGTCGTCGAGAGCCCTGTGCCTGTGGTCGACATTTGGGCGTGTAAACTTGTCCCACAGAATAAGGAGGATCAGAATTATCAGCAGCACCGTCTTGAGATCCAGCTGAGCAAGAACCCTGTCTTTCGGCATATGCTGTAGAGCAGTCTGCGAAACCGAGGGGATCTCTTCGCGCTCCTCGACCTCCTTCCGTTTCTTATCAGAAATCGACCTCCTCTTTTTGATCGAGACAGAAAAGGGAGTTCCAGCCTCCATGCGCTTCTTCAGTTCCTTTACCAGAATGCCCAGAGATTCTTTCTGTCCTGAGATGGTACCTTTTTCGACAGCACTTTTGATCCACGACTTGCCGCTCCAGACAACGGACGTCACAACGTATATTCTGCAACAGTTGTTGTCGCCCCAACTCAAATAGATGCGTGTCTTCACGTGGAATGAGTTGCCGGAGGGCACGTCTGGGGTGTCTGTTATCTGGGTCACGAGACAGCTCGAATTGAAATCGCAGCGCTCGATTTCTTCCTCCACGTTACATTTGGTCTGTTTGGGGCCAACTGGGCCATTGAGCGGCTTGGTGTATGAGTACGTTCTTTTCTTTGTAGACTCATCAAAGGCAGGGATCTCCGAGATGTCTGTGTTTTTCTGTATTTTCAAGACATTTTTCAAAAACATGGTATCTTGGCCAAATAAAAGCGAATATACTGCCCCGACAGGCGCCGAAATCGTATCGTTGACGATCTCGACGTCTCCCGACTCCGAAGAGTACGCATTGCTTGTTGGTTCGTGATGCAACGGGCCATCGTAGGGTATTCCTCTGAATGTGCGGCTCTCAGAATTATCGTTAATTTCTGGCTCGTCGTCTGTAATCATGTTCTCCTTGTCGGACACGTCGCTGTCGTTTCCAGAGTCCAGATAAGACTCCTTCGTGGTCTTGATGGTTTTGCTTGGCAAGGTTCCGTGACGAGACATTTTCACCGCGTCAGGGTCATCGCTCTCCTCAGACTCGGGATCGTCAGAGTCCACCTCAGAGGTGGTGAAGTCCAGGTCCACAGTGTTGAGATTGGAGCCCGACAGCAGCGACGACCAGATCTTCACCAGCAGCTCGTACGTCGAGTCTCTGGAAATAAACGAAGCGAAGGTGTACTTGTCGTGCAGAGTGCCGAACTCGAGGGCATTGGGAATACCAACGGTTTTCTTTTTCTTGATGGTGAGCACTTTACTCAACGTGATGGTGAAATGAGTAATCAGCCCAATGAGGTTTGAGTGAAAGCTGATGTGGTTTTCGCTCACGTACATGCGGCCATGAATCAACACGTCTTTGCGGTACGCACAGGTGTAGTCCTCAATGAATATTTCTGATGGAGGAATTTCCGGAAACATCTGGTGGAACGAGTCTTGGCGCTTCTGGCTGGGGATCTTGATATCCAGCTGTTCTTCAAGCCGTTTCTTGCGGGCCTCGAGATCTTCTTCGTTGTATACTACATTTGTGGTGTGGCGGCTCAGCTGAGTGTCACTGACAGTAGGCCGGCGTCTTTCTTTTGGCTGTCTAGAACGTCTGTTGTGGGTGGCTCCGTCCTCTTCCAGAATGCTGCTATTGTTGTGCGAGCTCAACGTGTACAGCGCGTTCGCACTCACCGACTTCTTGATCGAGCTAGGAGAGAGCGTTCTCCTGGTGAGCGTAAGGTTTCTAGAGGAGCTTGGGGCCTCTTCCACGGGCGTGTTGGTATTGGGAGACGTTGGCTGAGTGGTGGCTGTTGTAGGGTCAACAAGGGTGTTGGCGTTCGTTTGGTTGGTGCTGCCGCTACCTATGGCGGAGAACGGTGGCTCCTGAGGTTCGGAACCGGCGGGTTTGGGGAAATAATCGAGTGTCAAGGAGCCTTTGCCCAGCGAACTAAGCACAGAGGTCTTGATGGGCCTGAACTCGATATTCTCGACGGGCGACGGACTGTGATGGTGTTCTTGTTCCGCTGACGGGCTCAGAGTAGGCGGGTTCTCGTGCAAGTTTGTCTGGGATCGCAGATTGAAGGAATGCATCAAACTCTCCAAAATCCCCGTGCCAACTTTGGACTTAGTGATGGACCGTGCACCTGCCGACGAATCTGATTTGTGGGACACATGCCTTTTTAGCGACCGACTGGTACGGTTTGGGACGGAGGCTGTGGATCTGGTTGACGAGGACTCTATTTCTTCAACGTCCACATCGTCATCCTCCTCGCTTTCGGTCCTTGTGTGCTCTTTGATTTTCGACTTGAGGCGCGATAAGGAGTCGTTGGGAGTAATTGGCGAGATGGTGGGAAGAACCAAGAATGAACCAGTAGGGCTTACGTCGGCGTTCGATTCCGGCCTCGGATTCTTGGAAGGCATGGAGCCTGCGCTGGACACCGACGAATGGCTCTTCCGCTTGTTGAGAAAGTTTTTAATTCTCAAGCTGGCTCCTCGGGGCGTGGATTTTGAAGACTCAGATGTCATTCATACAATAAAAGCGCAATAAAAAAAATATATATACCCCAAGTTCAAAATTAAGAGACTCTACAGAAGCTGTAGCCAGGGACGTTGACGCGCATTATTTGACTGGACATAAGCGGGAGAATAAGCAAGTGCAATCAACGGTCCTCGGCCCATTCATTTTCACGTCTGATTGCTGCCTCCTCCTCTGGTGTGAAATCGTTAACTATGTTGAAAGTCTTGCGGATCTCCTCAGGAGACTTGCCGCGGATCATCTCCGCCACAACCTTGCATCCGGCGTTCAGCAGCGGCTTGATGTTGAGGTAATTGGCAGCAAGAATGATCTCGTACAACATCTCCTGGTCGACATTGAGGAAGTTCTTGTCCCAGGCGTCAATTGGGGCGCTTTTTTTCGAATCGTCGTCCTGCTCGTCGTCCGGGAAGTTGTAGTCTTTGTAGTGGTCACACCACTCAAGAATGTTCTTCATCACTGCGGAACGAACGTTCTGAGTTGGAACCTCGATGGGCTCGTCCTCGTCCTCGTCGTCTTCCTCTTCCTCTTCCGCAGGCAACAAGTTTTTCAGCATATTCTTGATCAAAATACTCTTTTCGGCGACCTTGCGCTCCACCGGGAACTTGTCGCCGTCCGACGTGATGATAATGATCTTTCTCTCAGTCATGGCAAAAAAACAAAGAAGGCATGTTTTTTTCCATTTGTATCGGTGTAAGGAGGCGTGCAACATTTTGCTTGTCGAGGACCAGGCATGGCACAGCCCAAGAAGGAGGACGCAGCTAGCTGGCTTGGGTGGAAACGCAAGCGGATGGCCGACTGCTACGAATTGGAGCGGTTCAAGAGTCATGAAATTTGGGCCGGTGGCCAGGAAAACTCCTAATTTAAAGGTGAGCTTACAATGCAGAGCTGTTAACGATCAGCTACAACATTTTGGTCAGATCAACTATTTCAGCAATTGTTGTCTAGTAATTCTGCTGTCGGCTAGCAACTACCAACCTGCTTGACCGCAACTCGTTTAACAGTGCCCCCATCCATTTGACAGGGTCGTGCGCAAATTTTTAATTTTTTCAAATTTTCTTTACCAATCTATGCCTGGCGAAGAAGAGATTATCTCCTACGTTGCTGACTACTTGAAGCGTAACGGCTACAAAAAGGCCGAAAGTGCTCTACGCAAGGAGGCTAAGGGCAAAATAACCGAAGTCGAGGGAAAATTAGAGGATAAATGGGTAGAGAGCACGGAGGGCTCTCAGGACGATTCTTCTTTGGAGTCGAGCTCCGATGGTGAATCCAGCAGCTCGGAATCAGACAGCGATTCCAGCTCCGATTCTGAAGATGATTCGAATTCCAGCAGTGATTCAAGCTCTAGCTCGGATTCCGAGTCGGATGAAGCTTCGGAGAATAGCTCCGATGACGAATCGGCCAGGGAGGCTGGCTCTGGCTCTAGCTCTGATTCCAGCTCTGACAGTGATGGGTCGAGCTCAGACTCTAGCTCAGACTCAGATTCAGACTCAAGCTCAGATTCAGACTCAGATTCAGACTCAAGCTCAGATTCAGACTCAGATTCAGACTCAAGCTCAGATTCAGACTCCAGCTCCGACTCTGGTAGCTCTAACTCCGACTCTGGTAGCTCTAGCTCCGATTCTGACAGCTCTAGCTCCGATTCTGACAGCTCTAGCTCTGACAGCTCTAGCTCTGACAGATCCGACTCCGAGAGCTCAGATTCGGACAGCTCGGACTCAGATTCGGACTCAGACAGCTCGGATTCTGACTCTGAATCTGACAGTTCAGACTCCAGTTCCGATAGTTCAGTCTCGGACTCAGATGCTGGCTCTCAAGCTGGCTCAACTTCGGGTTCCGACTCCGACTCAAGCTCTGACTCCGAGTCCGACAGTGAGTCCGAGTCCGAAAACACCAAGAAGCGCAAGAAAAATTTCAACGAGCCTTCATCCAAAAGAAGCAAGTCTGGAGCAGACTCTCCTTCGTCGTCCTCCACTGCTTCGCAACCAGACAGCCCTAGCGAATCTTCCAGAGACTCGAAGTCGCCAATACCAGCTCCGGTCGAGAGCCTGAAGCCTGGCCAGCGCAAACATTTCTCGCGCATTGAGAAAGAAAAGGTTGCGTTCGAAGACAAGGCTCTAATGGATAATACATACAAGGGTGCCGCTGGCACTTGGGGAGAGCAGGCCAACGAGCGACTTGGCAAGGTGAGGGGCAAGGATTTCACAAAGAACAAGAATAAAATGAAGCGTGGCTCTTACCGTGGCGGATCGATCACCATGGCGAGCGGGAGCTATAAATTTCAAGATTAAATAATGATTCAGATTAATTAATACAAAAAAAAATTTAATTATTTTTCATGGCACGGCCCAACAGGGAGATTCTTACCGGGGGTAAGAAATATGCTCAGAAGCGGAAGCAGGCCAACCGCGTGGAGGAGGTTGTGTTTGACAAGGACTCTAGAGTGCAGTATCTGACCGGATTTCACAAGAGAAAGCTTCAAAGGAAAAAGAAGGCTCAGGAATACAATCAAGAGCAGGAGCGTAAAGCACGGCTGGAGGAGCGACAGCGAATCCGTGAGGAGCGCAGACAACAAGTCCAAAAACGGCTGCAGGAGCTGAATGAGGCGCTGAAGATTCAGGCTTCTGACGACGAAGAGAGCGAGCAGAGCGAACAAGAGGGCAGTGAGGACAAGGAGGAACAATGGACCGGGTTTGACTCGCAGCGGTCAGCGTCTGACGAAGAGTGCAACGCCGAGGCTGGCAAAAAGGGAATATTAAAGCAAAAGTACGAGGTCGACGACTCAGACGCGCCTGTTCCTGGCGTATCTACCGTGGAGGTGGAAGCCATTGAAAACCCTAATCAGATCGATCTGATGGAGCTGGCGCGAAAAAATCGCGTTGATCTGCAAAAGGCCGAAGAAGTGCTGGAACAGTCGATCGAGCGGGCCAAGAAGTACGCCCGTTTGGTGGGAGCCGACGAGAAGCCCAAAAAGAGAAAGAAAAAGTTCAGATACCTGAGCAAGGTGGAGAGAAGGATCCAAACTCTCAAGGAGCGCAGAAAGTAGTAAGTTGATGCATATCTTTCAGTGTATAACTCTAATGTTATATCTACATACTTTGCAACTCGAGGTCCAGCTCGGTCGCTGATTTCAGATACTCTGTCTCGATCTTGAGGAACACCCAGACCCATCTTCTAAAGATCTCAAGGATCTCGAGAACAAAGTTGCCCGTCTCGTTGACGTACAAGGAGCTCAAAATGGTGGCCACAAATGAGTACTCTTTGTACGGAAGAAGATCGGCGTACAGGAGCCTGTAGACCCAAACGAATCGCAGCTGGAGGTCGATGAAAATGGCGAGGTAGTAGAACGTGGAGGTGTACACAAGCTTGTGGCGCAGCAGCGGCAGGCCGCGCTTGTTGGACAGAAATCTCATGAACAACTCGAAATTCCAGTCGTAATGCACGTCCCAGAAGAAAGTGTAGCACGAATTAATGAACACGGCAAGATACCAGATCCCCAGACCAGTCATATTGGACCGGATGAGAATATTGGCAAAGAGGGGCAAGAACGCAGACGAGTACTTGATTGCGTTCAGCAGATGCTGCTTATTTCTGCGTCTGCTCTGTTCGTACTCGTGCAAACACTGCTTCAGCCGGATCAGGGACGGATACATCGACAGCAAGATGTCGAGATTGTATATTTTCAAGTGGTCCTTCGTGAGCTCCTGTTTGATGTTTGGCGATGGCAGAGTTTGGTAGCCAAGAGCCAGGGCTGTCACATACACTAGAAAATCGACGAGCACCTTGGTGTACGACGTAAATGTATCAGCCAACAAAATATCGTTATTTCTGTGAGGAATGTCGATGTTTCCGACGCATATGCGACGCACTGTCTCAAAAAATCGTTTTCCTCCCGGTGACTGAGTGCCAGACGGCCACACGAGCGTTCCGAACGTCAGCAGAATGCCCAACAGAGGGAGGTATTCGAGTCCTGTGAAGTACCGTTCGTTAGACACAAAGAGGAGGTAGATGCTGTAATTCAAAAGGTTCGTAAAGGAGACTTTGTATGCGACATTGAGACTTTCTCTCACGAGCCTGAGGTTGTCAGTTCCGCTCAACTTGAGAACCTGGACCGTGTCGATCTTGCATGCGTAGCATACACGCAAGTTCAGGTACCAGAGCCAGACACCTGCTGTGACAAGCAGAAGACACTTGTACGGGAGAGGGAGAGCAAGCTCTCCAAAAGAAACGGCTGCCGGCTGCTGCCCCGCGGCGTTTGCGATTTCTTCTCGAGGAACAAGCATGGTGACAGCACAAAAACTGGAAAAAAAATTACAATGTAAATAAAAATAAATGGAAACGATCATCGCTATTGGAATTATTTATACCGCTTCAGATTAATTCGTGTTAATCCCAGCCAGAGGCTCATGATTAGCATGGTTGATCATCATTAGCGCGAACCGGCGGCCTTGGCCGCCGCAAAACTACTCTTTCTCGAAAAGCACAAAATATCTAATCGTTAGTATGTGTCTCAGAATTTTCAGTGTGTTTGGCATAAAATCGAATCGTCATATGGACTCCGTTTGGGGCGACAGCTTGTCATCACAGATACATACATTTTCAGGTTATACACAGCAAGTGGTTGAATATTTTTTGCTTAAGAAATATTTTCACCACCAGGAAAAACTTAATCACCCCCCACACCATGCTTATTGTTCCATCCAATTCCAGCTACACTTATCAAAACCTGCTGGATCTGAACAATGTGGAACGCTCAACCGACTCGCCGCTCAGCGTGATTGGCCACATCGACATCAACGCCTACTTTGCCCAGTACGAGCAGATCAGGCTGGGTTTGACGCCGCAGGACCCCGTCGTTTGTCTGCAATGGAACTCTTTAATTGCCGTTTCTTATGCTGCTCGCGAGTACGGCATAAGTCGCATGGACTCGCTCCAGACAGCAAGACTCAAGTGTCCCGATGTTGTCGTGGCCCACACAGCCGTTTTCAAGAAAGGAGAGGACGTCTGGAAGTATGTGGACTATTTGCCAGAGCCGGTGGATCATAAAGTTTCTTTGGAGCCGTACAGACGTGAGAGTCGCAAAATGATGCGGTTTTTCAAAGGGTTTTGCGATTCCGTGGAGAAGGCCAGTGTGGACGAGTGTTTTTTGGACCTCGGGCGGATGGTGCACCGCAAAATGATGGAGTTATTCCCGTCGCTGCGAGAAATCCCAGAAAACCCCAGGGACACAATGCTGCCTCCGATTCCAGACAAGCTGCCGCCTGAGCTGGAGGAGACACATGGGGTTTTCATTCCGGTGGAAAACGACGCCGTCATTGTGAGCGACTGGGACGACATTGCTATGATGATAGGCTCGTTGCTGGGGTACGAGCTGCGGCGCAAACTCAAGAAGGAGATGGGTTATACCACGTCTTTTGGCGTTGGTCGGGTCAAGACGGTGGCAAAGCTGGCGAGCGACTTCAAAAAGCCCAACGAGCAGACCACGGTTTTCAACAGGGCGATCGATAACTTTTTCGATAACTTCAGTCTCACGGATTTCTGGTCCATGGGCGGCAAGATTGGCCGTCAGATTTTGGAGACCTTACAAGCTGATCCTGGCAGCCGCGAGATACGTTATATCAGAGATAACTTCAGTTTGGCAGATCTCACGCGCGAACTCAGAGATCCTCAGCTGGCTGAGAGACTGTATAGGATGGTTCGTGGCGAGATGCGCCAGCCAATCAAGCAGCGCACTGACGTCAAATCGATGGGCTCGCACAAGAACTTCCGCGGTAACTCTGTGAGCAAGCCGGAGGATATACTGGACTGGTTCAAAGTGTTTATTGTGGACCTCGTTCTGCGTTTGCAGGAGCTGGACGACGAAAACGACGCCAAACGACGTCCGACCAAGCTGACTCTGTACATGCGCAACCGCGCCAACGTGACATGCTCGCGACAGTGCACGTTTCCGATCATTCGCGATCTGGACGAGATCCGCCGCAAGTGCCACGAGCTGAGTTTGAAGTTATTGAAGGAGCTAGAGGAGAACTGGGACGCCCAGCGCCACGGGCCCATGTTTCCGAGCACGCACGGAGGACTGGCGTTGAGCGGGTTCCAGGAACTCAGCGGGTACTCGCGGATCGACGAGATGATTAAAAGTGGTCCGAGGAGGGAGCAGGAGGAACCGCCAAGGGCTGTTACAGGCGAGAATTACATCTGTCTGCAGTGCGGGCGCGAAATGCCTGCAAGCGAGCGGACAGAGCACGAGGACTACCACTATGCCAAGATGCTGGATAGCACGCTCAACAAGCAGAGTTATGGCGAGCGGCTGCTGCATGGCCGGGAAAAACGCGGCAGCAGTGGAGACGCCGGCAGGCCGTCCAAACGGACCAAGTCTGCCAAACATGACGCACGGCAAGCTACGCTTCTTGGGTGGAGCAAGAAAAATTAATTTATCTATCAGTCAATAAAATCTTTCTATATTCATCAAGTCGTATTAGTATACATTAGACCTTTTCAGTGGAGTCGTGCTGCGTTTTGTGGAAGCTGGTCATAAATGCAAGACCCGGAGTGTAGTCGATGTACAGCTGGTCGACTTCCTCCAAAGTCAGGCCCTTGGTCTCTGGAACAAAGGCAAACACAAAGAAGATGGAGAAGACCACGCAGCCGAAGAAGACAAATCCATATGCAAAGTGAATGGCGTTCGTGATAAATGGAGTGAAGAAGGCGATCAGGAATCCCCACAGCCAGTTGGCAGACTGGGCAATACCCATACCCTTCTGTCTAATTCTCAGTGGGTAGGTCTCGGAAACAACGACAAAGACACATGGTCCCCAGGTGGTGGCGAAGAAGAAGATGTACAGACACGAGAGGAAAATCATGGCGTCTCCCACACTCTGGTTTGGATCCACGCCAAACTCGCCCTTGTACAGAATCTTGGTTCCGATGGCTGCGAAAATGACCAAACACACGGCCATACCGATACCACCGCCAATCAAAGTGAATCTTCTTCCGAACCGGTCAACAACAAACAGCGAGCCGATCGTGGAGGCAAAGTTGACAACACCAAGAACAATCGAGGTCTCGAACGAGTCGGTCAGACCCACAGACTTGAAAATGGTGGTACCGTAGTAGAAGAAATAGTTGTCACCAGACAGTTGCTGCAAGGATTGCAAGATCACACCAACAAACAGTCTGTAGAAAATCTTTGGCTTACCAGTGAACAGCTCGCCCCACGACGCAGAGCCGGCCTGGCGCTCGATCTCAATGGAGTTCAGAATGATGGCGGCCTCGTGCTCGACAAATTCGGAGTCGATTTCCACCTTGTTGACCTTGGCAATCGACCTCTTGGCGTCCTCGAGCCTGTCTTTCTCGATCAGGTATCTTGGAGACTCAGGCATGAACGTCATACCAAAGATCATCAGCAGGGCCCATGCAAAACACAGTCCCAATGGAATTCTCCACTGTCTCGAGTCGTCGTAGTTGTGGTATGTACCGTAGGTCGTGCAGTAACCAAGGAAGATACCAAGAGTGATCATAAGCTGGTAGCTGGAAACGAGAGCACCTCTAATCTCCTTTGGCGAGGTCTCAGAGATGAACATCGGACACAGCACAGAAACGGAACCGACGGCCAGACCAGAAATGATTCTGCCGATGAAAAACTGCACCCACGAAGTAATCGAGGCGATCTGGATGACAATACCAACAATGTAAACAATCATCGTCAGCATGATACCGACTTTTCTACCTTTCGAGTCTGCAAGCCTACCAAGAGTCAGACCACCGAGAGCACAACCGATGTTGAAGATGGAGATCATTAAACCGGTTCTCACGTTGGACAAGTAACGCTCGCCTTCACCGTTAATTTGACCGAAACGGTTTTTGAAGTCTGGCATGTTAACGAAACCAGAAATGGTACCGGTATCCCATCCGAAGACGAAACCACCGAAAGCGATCAGAGAACAGAGCAAACCTGTACCGAGATATTGCATGGCGCTCTTTCCGGTACTGATATCCTGATGTTCAGGCAAGGTTGCCTTGTTGTGTGCTTGGTCCTCGTACACGTTCTCCGGAGGAGGCGTGACAGAGCCAATATCAGATTTTTTGGATTGTTGATCCGCGTTAGACATTTGTATTTTTGAACAGAGAATAAAACTAGGGAGAAAGGGCCATATTTATACCTTATTTGCTGTTGCGTATTCTGCAATTTTCGGAAAAACTTTTTTAATTGTCTGGTTTTCTTTTACATGCATGACGGAGAACGCAGAATCCCGGGTGGGGAGACTGTTCCGGAAAAACTTTTTCCATTCTGCTCGAATTCAACGGGGTTGCGGGAAAGCCGAGTAATTACTCCCGTCTTTTGGAAGTCCATAGGCACATCCTAGCTCTACCTTCCCAAGCTCTGTTGCTGCTCTCTGTAACAGGTGTCCTTGTATTACTAGCTGCAAATTAAACGTACGTCATGCCGAACAGAAAAAAAACGGGTGGATGTTGTCCCCGCGCCCCACGTCTCTCCCTCATTACCCCCCGATTTTTCCGCCTACAAAGAGTGGAGTGGTTTTTGTTTTCCCCTGCAAAATTTTCCGGATCTGCAGCGCAGTCTAAGGCAATTCTATTGTTCTCCGTGTTTCTTTTTGGGTATGGGGCGACTTCCCGCGCCACGAGTCGACATAACGTTATTCCGACGTGTTAATAACAAACGGCTTGGCCCAGCTTCCGCCAATAATCGCTCAGCGCCGTAATGGTGTCATTTTGCAACCGAATCCCGTTCATCGCAGTCGAGTGGTCTATCATCTCCACAGAATGCCCTAATTGTTTCATGCCCTGCACAAACTCCTCTCTTGCTGGGTTTTCCACATATAAGGTCTCCGGAAGCAGCTGGTGGTGTAGCCGCGGAAACGCAATCGTCTCCACCAACCCCATGTCGTAGTGGTATGTTCTGACCAATGCCTCCAGAACTGCCGTGGTAATGCGGGAGCCACCGGCCGCTCCAATCACCATGTCCACCTTGCCCGTTGCCCGGTCCACGACGATGCTCGGCGATGTCGACGACAGCGGCCTCTTGAACGGCTCGATGTAGTTGTACACCGAAGGCTGCAGCCCAAATGCGTTTTTCGACGTTGGTATGGAAAAATCATCCATCTCGTCATTCAAAATTATTCCGGTCACAGGGTCGTGCACCAGCGAACCAAAGAGTAAATTCACAGTAGTGGTGAGACTCACCGCATTGTGGTATCTGTCCACCACGCTCAGGTGCGAAGTTCCGTGCGGCTCGTTGGGCTGATATGCGGGCTCGTACGCCTGCCATGGAAGTGTCCTGTTGTCGTTGATTTTCCCAGCAGTGGCACCACACCACTCCTCGCTGGCGAGCCGCGAATACCGTGCATCGCGGAACTCCCGGGCCGTTTTGTTATCGCTCAAAACCCCAACGTCTCCCAAGTTGCTCCGCACACTCGCAAGCCACTTCATTGTCTCCACCAGCCGGTGCGACTCTCTCACCGCAAAGTCTTTATTCTTTGCCGGCTCAAATGTGTCTATGATTTTGAGCCCGGAAAGCAACGCCAGTCCTGACGACGCCCCAGAGCTCGTATATATGTCCAGTGGGCGCCGCGAAAAATTGTTCATCACGAGTGCCGGCTCGATGACGGCCTGGTACCGTGCAAAGTCCTCAGCCTGCAGCACGCCGCCCATCCGTTGCACCTGGCGGGCAAGATGAGGAGCAATCGGCCCGTGGGGGTCGTAGAAGATGGTTGCCGAGCCGTTCTGCGCAACCTGGCGCAGCGTTGCCGCCAGCTGCGGACGTCTCATCAGCTCGCCCGGCCGCAGTAGACGGCCGTCTTTGAACACAAATTCCCAGTCGCGCCTGTAGTCGTGGAAATACGACTTGTACGCCGACAGTGCCAACCCCAGCAGCTCGTTCACCTCGAACCCGCCTTCCAGGATGTCCACAACGGGCATGATCAGCTCCTCCCAGCTGACCTTTCCCGAGCCGTGCAGTCTGTGCAGCTCATATAACCCTTGCAGCTCGCCTGGAATGGCCACGGCAAGACCTCCAAACTTTGACAACACCTCACGGCCGTTGAACATGTCCTTGTGCGCCTTTGCAGGGGCCATCTCGCGCGCGTCGATCGACACAGCGCCGTCCTCGCCATGTTTCCTGGTGGTGATGAACGCGCCGCCGCCAATTCCTGCCGAAAACATGGTATTTGTGGCTCCTATGCACAAACAAGTGGTGACAGCTGCGTCGGCAGCAAACCCCCCTTTCTTGAGGATTTCGACCCCCAGCTGCGAACAGAGGGCAGAGTCTGACGCCACACCCCCATGGGAGCCGCGTGCCGTCAAGTTCGTCTGCGGATTCCAAGTAGGGCCGCCGATAAAGGGGACATGGGCTGGATATTTTGGCAGATCGGGAGGTTTGTAGTGGGATGGCCACGACAGATAGACAACAAACAGCGCCATAAGGGCAACTGCCGTGACAACAAGCTTGGTTCTGAGCCTATATCGAAGTCCCAGTGACTTTTTGTGGCCGGCTGACAGACCCAATAACGGCTGATCCTCAAAGCCGTCCATGTATTAGTAAGAAATAATTAAAAAAGATAAGAATATAAATTTTTCAAATTCGATTATTTTACTTTCCAGGGATTTTAAACTATACAACTATCCCTCTCTCAAATCCATATACAAGCAACTACTCATACAGTCTGGTGATCATACCAGTACCGACGGTCTTTCCTGACTCTCTGAGATTGAATCTCTGGCCCACCTCCAGAGCAACAGGGTGGAGCATCTCGCACACCATCTCCACGTTGTCTCCTGGCATGACCTGCTTGGAGTGGTCCTCCTCCGATTCTGGGAATCTCAGAGTGACACTGACGTTGGTGGTTCTCACAAACATCTGTGGTCTGTAGTTCTCGGAAAATGGAGTGTGTCTTCCTCCCTCCTCCTTGGTCAGAATGTACATGGAGGCCAGGAACTTCTTGTAGGACTTGAGGGAGCCAACCTTGGCGAGAATCATACCTCTTTGAATTTGCTCTCTCTTAATACCTCTCAGCAGAATACCTGGAGTGTCTCCAGCCATAGCTTGGTCAAGCTCCTTGTGGTACATTTCGATACCAGTCACTGTGGTCTTGAGAGGAGTGGCGTTCTTGCCTCCGACAATTTCAACTTCCTCACCCTTCTTCAACACACCTCTCTCGACAGTACCAGAAACAACAGTACCTCTACCAGAGATAGAGAAGACTTCGTCGATAGGCAACAAAAATGGCTGCTCAAGGTCCCTGACCGGAGTTGGAATGTACTCGTCCACAGCGTTCATCAGTTTCTCGATGGCCTGCTTTCCGATCTCTGGCTCTCTTCCTTCCAAAGCACACAGCGCAGATCCCATGATGACAGGGGTCTCGTCACCGTCAAAGCCATACGAACTCAGAAGCTCTCTCATTTCCATCTCAACAAGCTCCAACATCTCTGGGTCATCAATGGTGTCGACCTTGTTGACGAAGACAACCAGTTTCTGAACACCAACCTGTCTAGCAAGCAACAAGTGCTCTCTGGTTTGAGGCATTTGTCCATCCGTAGCAGCAACAACAATGATAGCACCGTCCATCTGAGCAGCACCAGTAATCATGTTCTTGATGTAATCTTGATGGCCCGGACAGTCAACGTGAGAATAGTGTCTCTTAGGAGTTTCGTACTCAACGTGTGCAGTCGAGATGGTGATACCTCTAGCACGCTCTTCTGGGGCCTTGTCAATGGCCGAGTAGTCCAAAAAGGAGGCACCTCCGTTTTCAGAAAGCACCTTGGTGATGGCAGCCGTCAAAGTGGTTTTGCCGTGATCCACATGGCCGATGGTACCAATGTTGACGTGGGGCTTGGATCTATCGAAAGTTCCAGCGAATCTGACAAACGAGTTGCCAAAATCTCTTCGAACAGCGCGCACACCTGTAGCACGGCCGAGCTTCAGCGCTGCGAGCGCTCTAGTAACCAAAATAGACATTGTGCAAACAGCAAAATTTTCGCCGGAAATTTTTGGAACCTGTTTTTTTTTTCAGCACCGCAACCGCTTACGTCAGCTTTTTCAGTTACGCGATTGGTCACATGTCCACCAGCACGTAGGCGTCCTCTTTTTTATTTGGCTGCTGCGACATAAACGCTTCGTAGTCCTGTGTCACCTTCTCATTGTCCGTGCTGATGAACTGCTTCAGCTTCTCGTTGATTATTGGCCGGGTGCTGGTCAGCAGAGACTTTCTCACATACAGCAGCACCATCCCAGTTTCGAAATTGTCTGCTGAGTAATCCCTTATCTGGCCCCTGATTGTGTCAAACGTGGATTCGGTGACGGTGAAATTCTTCCCTTCTTCAAGCTCGTACACGAACGTGTACCAGCCCTTTTCAGTTCTGTAGCAGAATTGCCGCTCGCTTAAAATGACGCCCACGAGAATCCAAGGCTCCAGGTCAGGCTTATGCTCACCCAAAATGTAATCTATGCTGTAGATATCCATCTGTGACCGTTCCTTATTCAGAGCTGTCAACTTGTCTGTGTTTAGTGTTTTCTGATCTAGAATGTGGCTGGCTATTCCTTCGAGCTCTTTGGACGCCGACTGGATCTTTTCGTCTTCGCCAAGAGAAGACAAGTGGTTGAGGGTGGATTCCAACAACGCGGCAACACGTTTACCTTTGAACGCCTTGAGCTGCATGTTCTGCCCATTGATCTTGCTCACCTCTTCTCTCAGCTCGTTGATCCGCTGAAATTTATCTACCACCAGCTTCTCGTACTCGGATGTGTAAATCTGAGGGTAAAACTCCTCGGTGAGCTCAAAGCCACCACCAGGAACAGTGTCGCCGTTTCCTTCAAAGCTGATCGTCAGAACATCACTCAGCCGCACAAAGCCGTGCTGCGCTATGCGACTCAAATCCTTGCCCCATAAAAGCGAGTGCATGATCCGGTAGACGTCTTTGTAGAAGTAATTCGATTCGACAGGGAAAATGCGGTGTGTCTGGGTTTCGTCGTTCTCAAACTGGAACTGAGAAGTGAACAGTTCCATCAGCCGCTCCTTGGATGTCCACCCTAGTTTTCCGAACAGCTCGATGATGGTGCTGTAAATAAATTGAATAAACTCGGAAATGCTCTCGTAATCGTCTGTAATCAGTTTTGCACTGGCGTCAATTAGCGTCCTAATGGACGCAAACGCTCTTTTCGAGTCCGAAGACAAAAACGCTACGAGTCTCTGCACCTCCATGGTCACGTCCGGATTCGACAGACACCGCTCTTTTTTCCACCAGTACGGCGAGTACCCATAGTCTTCAAACTCGTGCTCCAAAACCGTATCTCTGAAAGCGGGAATGTTGCTCAGAATCATCAGCAGTGGCGCAAAATAGCCCTCTAGAAGATCTATTTTCACGGGAAGCAGAACTCCAGGCACTTCTGGTGCTCTAATGTACCGCGAAATGTCGTCGTAGACGTCATATTTGGGCAAAGCCTCGTGCTCCGACTCGTCAGAGTCCAGTCTAATCTCCTGATTCTCTGCTCCATATCCATAACTGGCAATCTTATCTCTAATGTCGTCCTCAATTGGGATCGCCGTGGAGGCACTGTGGCCGTCCTGGACGGGCCCCAGGGCCCCCGACTCGGTTTGCTCGCTGTAGGAGGGCAACTCTCCAGAGGAGTCCGCGTAGATGTAATTGACCGCAACCTCTATGTTATTATTGGCCCGCTCAAGCGCCGCACGCGCAACAGATGCGTCAAAGCCCATATTCACTAGGCTGTCAATGTTGTCCTGCAGAGACATGCTAACAAGAGACGTATTTCGATACAAAATTTAGACTTTATCCTTGGAGCACTATACACCCTTACACCACAAAACAGGAAACCGCGGCCCAGAAGCACTAGAACACGTCCGGGAGCCTCTCGATCACGTACGAGTGGCTACCGACGCTCATGATCGGCACACCGGGCACCTTCCGTATGCGTCGTTTGAGGTCTGCATCGTTGGTGGCCACGATGTAGCACTTGTGTTGCATTACCCGGTGCACCAGGCAGTCATCAGCGTAAGTACCCTTGTGCGAGCATGTCAGACGTTTAATGCGGGGATCCTTGGCGAGCGTGAGCGCTATTCTGTATCTGTGGCCCAACTTTTCGAGCTCGGCCATGACACAGTCTGTCACAATCGGAATGCATTTGGCATATAAACAGTCCATCATCCCGCGCACTATATCGATTTTCTTCTGGATGCTAAAGTTGAAGAAGTTGGTATCCACCAGCACCTGGTAAGGGGGCTTGATTGCCTCGTTGTACTGGAAGAACAGGGCAGACGAAACTTGCGGCACTTCCTTCACAAGCTCCTTGTCGCTCGTCTGTTTTGGTTTTTCTGCATTTTCCTTTCTTCTCGGGTCGTTCTTCGAGAGAACCCGTTTCACCTGTGCGAACTTTCTGGTCTTTTTGGCCTTGCCCATGATAATCTTTTAGCTGAATATTTTTTTAGATCTGATAATTTTTTTAAATCTTATGTAATCAAATCATTTTAAGGATCTTGTCTTTCCTCCTTCTTTTAGCGCCAGTCATGTCCTTAGCCAAATCCCTAATTCTCATGACAGAAGAGACGCCAAAGGAGCTGCCCCACTATGCGCGCCCCACTTACTCGTCCATCCGCAAATCCAAAACAGGTAGTCCCAGACCTGAGCGTCCCAAGACGGTACGCACCAGACCCCCAACGGCGATGGAATTGAAACTGGGATCGCCAAAGACACTTCAGTCCGAAAACAAGCCTTCCAGAATTCGCCAAGGAGTGTGGAATCTGTTCAGAAAGCCTTCACAGGAGACACAAAAACCCGCCTCAGGCGAGGAAAATGAGGAACACCGCGACGAGCCTGGAGACTTGAAAGACAAGATCTTTGCTGCCTTTGCACCCAGAAAGCCGGCTCAGGAGGAATCCTGCCCGGTGCCAATTTTTGACGATTACGCACGCCAAAACCCAGACATCATCCAGGTGGCCAACGATCTAGCCAACCAAGCCCAGCTGGAAATCGACCAGAGCGAGAACATCTATAGAGGCGGGCCGTTGCAGAAACTGAGCAAGAACGAGTATTTTGTGCCCCCTGAGGTCTTCTTCAGGTCCGTTGGCAACCGCACGTATATCCCCGTTGCTGAGTATCTGGAACTGTTGCACAAGTACGCCAGCCTGTGCAACCGGCTGAGGCACTCCAACGGCGGTCACGTGACCGACCCATGATCAAAAAGCTTGAGAAATCCTTTTTTTTTCGTGAAATATTGTTTATAGAGAAAATAATATGGCATCTCTAGAAAGCTTTGTTACAAGGCTGCAGGACCCGAGCCTGGACCTTGGCGCGCAACATGCCGTCCTGTCTGAGCTTTGTGATACCCTAGAGACCTACAATGGTGCCCAAGAATATGAGCATTTTCTCAAGAGCCTGATGCCGGTTTTCTTCAAGCTTCTGGAGTCCGTGCCCGTCAGCATGGTGTCCAATTCGCCTGAACAAAAGCTGCGGCATTTGGTGCTGGACATCATTCACCGTTTGCCTGTTAACGAGGCTTTCCAGCCGTACAGCGTCCAGGTTTTGGACGTGTTGACAAAATTAATCAGAGAGGAAAACGAAGAGAACGGAATACAATGTATGAAGATCATCGCGTCGCTGCATAAGAGCTACAAGGCCAAGTTTGCAGACAGGGTGCACGAATTCATTGGCATTTTGCAAGAAATCTACAGCAACATCCCACAAGTTGTGGATGAGCAATTTGGCGAGCACGACGAGTCGTCTGCTCCACCGACTAGTGGCTCACCTGGTTCACTAGAGTTGGACGAAAACACGTCCAAAACGCTGTTCAAGGCGACACACTCGTTCAAAATGATTGCCGAGTGTCCGATAACTATGGTTTCGCTGTACTCGTCGTACAAAGAGATTATCGACGATTCGGTTGCCAACTTTATCCCGCAGGTCATTGGGTTGCTGAGATTGCAGGCCAAGAAGCAACAGGAGGCCCACGAGGCTGCCAGGGCGCGAGGTGAGTACGTCACCGGGGTGACTAAGGAGATCAGGAACCGTGCTTTGTACGGCGACTTCATCCTGGGGCAGGTCAAGGCCGCGTCTTTTCTGGCGTACGTGTTTATCCGGCGCGGCGCCAACTCCGCGCTCGAGCCGTTTCTGGGCGAAATTCCGGATCTCATCGTGCGGCTGTTGCAGGATTGTCCTCCGGAGCTTGCCACAGCCAGAAGAGAGCTCTTGCATGCCACTAGACACATCTTGTCGACCGAGTTCCGCTCGCTATTTTTGCCCCAAATGGACCTTTTATTTGACGACCGTGTGATTATCGGCGACGGCCTGACTGCGCATGAGACGCTGCGGCCGCTCGCCTACTCGATCGTCGCCGACTTTATCCACGTCAACGGCAATCTATCAACAGACCGCATTTGGAAGAGCGTCCAGCTATACTGCGATCATCTGCAGGACCCGACTTTGGCGCAAACAGTGCACATCATGAGCGCCAAGCTGCTGCTCAACCTTGTGGATCGCGTGCTGAAGCTCGACGACAAGGAGGACGCGCGCCAGCTGTTTCTGATCATGATCAACGCGTTTGTGAAGCGGTTTGCCTTGCTCAACAGACAGTACACCGACATTGTGCAGCAGCACGAGAAGTTTGTGCAAAATAAGGAACAGAAACGCGTCGACAGCCTTTCCTGGCCCAGCAAGGCCAAACAACTTACGGGCAAGTCTCTGTTTGGTGCAGAGGAGCCGGCACCAGATACGAAAGCAGAAGCCAAGGATACAGAAGCCATGGACGTGGATTCGCCAGAATACACTTTCTACGAGATGCAGCGCGACGTACCGATCCATCTGGCGCAACCGTCCCCGCAGGACCCGCTTGAGAGCGCGAAATATCTCTTCCGGACGTTGATGACGTTCCTAAAGTCGATTTTCTACGGGTTCCGCAGTTGCAACCCGCCTCCCCAGAAGGACTACACGCCGCAGATGTGGAACGACTGTGCGCGGATCGTGAGCAGCGAGGAGATCAACATATTGAAAGAGCTGTTTCGCGAGTGCATTTTTGGGCTGCGGTTTTTCCAGAGCTCGAAGCCCGTGCTCAACACGGCGCAGCTGAAGCAGACGTTCGACGTTAGCGGGCCGAACCTGCCAATAACGTCGTCCAAGGAGGAAAAAGACCTGATGGAGATCCTGGCCACGATGTTCATCTATCTGGAGCCGTCCGCGTTCAACGAGGTGATGCAGTCGCAGCTGGAGCTGATGTTCGATGCGATGCTGAAAAACGCCGCTCTGTTGCACATCCCGCAGTTCTTCCTGGCCAGCGAAACCACGACGTCCAACTTCTCGGGCATTTTGATCATCTTTGTCATGTCCAAGCTCGGCGAGCTCGGCGAGGTGGACATCGTCAAGTCCAACATTCTGATCCGGCTCTTCAAGCTGTGCTTCATGTCGGTCAACCTGTTCCAGGCCGCTAACGAAACCGTCATCTTGCCGCATCTCAACAAGATGATCCTGCGCTCCCTGGAGTACACCACCACCGCGAAGGAACCCATCGTGTATTTCTACCTCATCCGGACGCTCTTCCGCAGCATCGGCGGCGGCAGGTTCGAAGCCCTGTACAAAGAAATCCTGCCGCTGCTACAGGTGCTGCTCGAGTCGCTCAACAGACTCATCCAGACCGCCAGAAGACCGCAGGAGCGCGACATTTACGTCGAGCTGTGTTTAACCGTTCCTGTGCGGCTCAGCGTGCTCGTCCCGCACCTTAGCTACCTGATGCGCCCGCTAGTGTACGCTTTGAACGGCTCGCAGGAGCTCATCAGCCAGGGCCTACGCACGCTCGAGCTCTGTGTCGACAACCTGACCGCAGAGTACTTCGACCCGATCATCGAGCCCGTCATCGAGGACGTGATGAAGGCGCTCTGGAAACACCTGCGCCCGCTGCCCTACTACCACCAGCATTCGCACACCACATTCCGCCTGCTCGGCAAGCTGGGAGGCCGCAACCACAACTTTATCGGACTGCACCACGATTTGCACGGTAGCACGGCCACTAACCAGGAACTGGAAGCCCTGTTCCGCATCGAGGGCCTGCCAAACGAGACGCCCGTGTCCATCACAGCAGGCATCTCCACCGCGCTCAACACGCTCGTCAACACCCGCTACAAGATGCACTACCGCGTGAGCGCGTTCCGGTATCTCTCTGCCGTGCTCAAGCTCTTCATCGACGCAGACGACGTCCCGGCAGACCTTGCCGCACGTATCGAGCAGGTGATCGGTCACGTGACCGACGAAACCAAGGCCAAGCAGCTGGGCGCGAGCGGCGAGATCGTGCTGCCTGCGGACAACGTGAAGGACCCGGCGCGGTTCACGCGGCAGGAAGAGCTGCTCGTGCGGCTGCTGGAGGCGCTGTTCTACGCGGTGTCGATCGACGAGGTGCGTGACGAGGCGGCCGTGCTGATCAAAGGCATCTGCGAGCACTATGTGCTGCTCTTTTTTGGGCGCACGATCGTCGAAGCGTACAAGTTTAACCGGCGTTTCAGCGTGGACGACCACGAGGGCAAGAGGTCGCTGAACGAGAACACCATTTTCGACGCCATCTCGTACGCTCTCAGCTTCCACATCAAGGCCGTCCGCGACACCGGCGTGGACGCTGTGCGCACTATTTTCAACGCGTGCGTGACGCTGTTTGGCCGCATTGACGACGCGATTAAGTTCCTGCCCATCCGGCGCATGTGCTCTAAGTTTGTGCATTGCTGCTTCGAGGAGGCGTACTACACGAAACTGGGCGGAT